CGTCTCTTTATTATGTAGATTGCGAGCCGTTGCGCATCTATTATAGTACGTTCCCACAATTAACAGGGACTTCCAGTTCTTCAGCACCACTTGATTCTCGTTAGTCTAGGATCAAGACACAGGTCTATCCTCGCAGCCTGGCGGCTGTCGCGGCTTTTTGGTCGCTTGACATACAGTCAGACTCTACTACACGTACCCGAGCTGGTGAGCCTTGGAACTCTGTCTTCCCCGGCAGGGTGCTCCCTCCCACACACACACATACACACACACCATGCCGAATTACTCATGGCTGCTCCTCCTCTCCTCCTCCTCGTCGTCCCCTCCCGCTTGTGTGAGTGACGATATCATCACAGACACGCATGTTGACGAGCAATACAATTCGACGAGATTGTCTCAGACTGCACCCTCCCCAGTGTCGTATACCACCCATACACCACCCATCTCACTGCTACCATGTTAAGGTCAAACGGAACTCGTCACCCCTTTCGGGGCCGCGTCTCCCGGGTACGACAGGCCGGATTTCATCGAGACCATTCTCAACGACATTGCCGCCATCTGATTGGTTCGCCTGCTAATGATTGAGAACCAATCACGGATTTTAAGACGGCTCTAGCACCCCTTGGCTCATACCGTATCGGGCGATTTGCATCCTTCCCCTCGTAGCTTCTTCCTTCTTTTTGACTTGTCTTTTCTCCTCCTTTCCTCCTTCTTCCATATCTTTTTTCCATTTTAATTTTTTCTTTCTTTCTTAGTTTCTACTTAGTGTCCTTCTACTTTCCCCTCTTGATAATGTTTAGTTCAATAAGCGCAACACCACCCCCATCCTTACGCGCGTCACCCAGTTGGGACGTCGGTTGAAAGGCAGCTTACTGTACTGTAGTCTAACGCTAAAATACCTGCATAGTCATCAGTCGTACCATCCATCTGTTTACTTGTATGGTACGTGCATTTCGTTTTCGCGCCGTGGATGAGAACCGCCCTGGAACGATGTGGCTATCTCTGGAACACAAAGTTATCGAGACCAGTATTCTCAAAGGGCATTCGCTGGACCACGGCAGCTTTGTGGTTGTTGTCATCACCGAAATCATCATCACCGGCACCACTAGCTGAGTGAGTTATCCACATAGGCTTCATAAATCAAAGAGTCTAGACGCCTCAAATTACCAAAGTGGCGTCGCTACGACGGGACCCATCACAACCAGCGATCAACAAAACAGGTTGAATAAAAATAGAAACAAGGTCCCAGAAGGTAAATCGGTCCACCTGCATATCATCTATCCATAACTACCAGCGAGCAGACCAGGCCCGCCCACTCAAGCATTGGTTCCACGCACTCGACAACGCACACACCAGCTTACTACTGCAAGCTATGGCGGCGCGAGGCGGATGTGGCTTGCCAGAAACAATGGGGCGCCGGGTCTGCCCCTTTGAGCAGCGAGGCAAACCTGTACGTGCCAGGAATATACAAGTGGTATGTTGGCATGCTAGGCGAGCAGAGGCAGCTGAAAAAAGTGAATATGCAGGCGATCGTGGAGATAAGAATAGAGAAGAAGAAAGAAGAGGAGAAGAAGAGACAAGAGGTGGCGGTGCCCTCTGTATGCGTTGGTAGGCGTATATTGTGATAAATCATCTACTATAGCAACGTATACTAAGGGGAAGGACTGGGGACGAATACCATCTATACAAGAAGGGGAGGGAAGAAAATGGAAGAAAAATTCTGCTGCAGCAGGGCTTGAGCCTTGCATGCAGGTCCCACGGCATTGTAGATCATCAGAGACATGGGACATGGTCCCACGCCTCCTAGCTGCAGAACGCTTCTGCGTGTCCTGCATGATTAGGGGAGCCGTTCATCCTCGTCTTAATAGTTTCGGGTTTTGTTTGGTTACTGGTTGGTTCGGCAGAGGCGACATTTTGTTTCGCCAACGAATGTGGCGAGTGCATGCATTGCTGCTGGATTACCCTGCTCCGCCACAATCGAGCTTCAGTCAGCAAAACCTGCCACGTTTGGATCAGCATTCCCAAACCAAACAAAGAAAGAAGAGAGAGAGAAAAGAAGGAAGAAAAAACCCTGATACCTGCCACTCTTGCCCTGGCTCGGCAATGCGGAGGGCGAAAGGCTGGTGACGTGGCACAAAAAAAGGTTAAAAAAGAACCATTATATCGTGAGACGGCTAAAAGGTCGCATATCGGCGACCGCACCTCGCAAAAGATGGAAGTGCGACGTTCCGGACATCATTGGGGGCTTGTCTCTCATTGATCATCTTCCGAGATAGAAAAACTCGGTACTTATGACCGTTTTGTGTATGTTCTCGCAGAACAAAAGTCAATAGAAGTCACGAACTGGACCTTTGTTTCGACGGTCAATGGTTACGGATAGCAGGAGGACGTCCCTAACTATTTTCCCGATGGATATTTTGTTTACATTATCCCGCCATAGAACTTTAAATCGGAAAAGGTTATCCGCTAGGTGTTTTGAACCCGTTCATTGATGGGCTTTGGATGGGAAGGGTGAATGACTCCCGAGGCACCGTGCGTTTGTGTGGCACAGAATCGTGTGTTCTATAGTATACGTACAGTATCTTCTGTACAGGGGTGAGGCCTGTGGCTGCGCACATATCTCGTTGGATCTTCAGGGCGTCTAGACAGGGGTGGCACCGGTGTGTGGGAGCCCTCACCCCAGGTGAGTGCCCGTGAGCGTGAACTGCCTGGGGTCCCTGGGTAAGCACGGTCGCATGCGCTTAGGTGCTATGGTTTGGGGGCTCTGGTGGTTCTGGGTCTGAGCTGGTACGTACTCGGTCTCACATATACTCACTCACCTAATCCATCAACCAGATGAACAAATCATCCCGGTTTTCCACGCAGGACCACAAAAGGCTAACAAGAAGTAACCGTCCAACCATTGTATAGCTGGCACTGGGTCGTGTACAGATAGGTCAGTCGTCACGAGGATCAACTTCGGTGAGCCCCGGCGTCCCCGCTGCACGCAGGAGGCGACAACATGACTGCAGATCTGGCAAGGTCAGACATCATCTGAGACAATCTGCAGCTTTGCATCATCTCATAGCTTGTCCACTCGGCAGCTTCTTCCTATCATAATCCTCCTCCTCCTCCCATCCGAGCTTGGGTTTCGTTTTCTTTTTTGTCTCTCGAGCGGTGAGGATGGTCACATGCCACCTGAGCACAATATTTGATGTCCCCTGGGTAATATCAGCATCGAGAGCTCTGGGCCTGTGAGACCGTGGCACATCTAAATCGTGCCCACTCGAACGGAACCCGTGATCGTCTCCTTCCTCCGTTCCTCCCCAAGGGCCGTGGCTCGGTTCTGGGAATGGCTACTCGGCTCCTTCGCAGCGGGGAAGGGGAAGGGGAGAGGGAGGGGTTTGGACAGGCCTGTAAGGCTCGTGAGCAATGGAAACCCTCTAGCCCCCTTCCACCCTTCAGATGAATTATCAGCTTCTGCAGGTTGGTAGTCGCCATATGCAGGACCCGAACTCCTCTTGGACGATCAGCCCACCGCAGGCTTGACCACTCTCGCGCCGTACAGCCCATCATGTTGTCATGTGGACACGAGCAGGATCTCCCGCTGAGATGCATGCGCAACCCGCTCTGGCTGAATTTGACCTGCATCCGCTCGGTCAGGATCCTTCCTCACCTAGTGGGGTGGGTTCCCATCTCTCCTTCATCTCTCTCTGTCTGTCTCTCGCTCTCTCTCCATCTATCACACACAGTCTCTCGGAATTTGTCTCCACGCGACGGCTCCCGACGATCAGAGTCCCCTTGTTCTCTTATCTTGACAGCGGCCTGTTCAACGGGGGTGTGCCGGAGGTGGATACTCTCATCTCTACCCATACGGCCTATGAGGTCTCGCACCATGCCTGTCATGCGCCGCCCACCGCGACGAAGTCTCTTCGGACAGGGGTTGGGGCTCCGAGTGTCCCAAGACCGGCCGAGTCTTCTTCTCACAGGCGCGGCTGAAGAGGGGAACCAATTCGAGAAGTTCCAACTCCTAGTTCGGTTCATTCCAAAAATGGAAACTCATTCAACAACAATGTTCTGTGCGAATAGCATCGTTTTCCCATCCCCCCCTTTGGCGTACTATATGGTAGTCCTTTCTGACAGATCGGATCGGAATCAGTACCATTCATTCAATAGGCTTGGGCCTAATAGTTTTAGTACAAGCAAGTGACCGAACCCAGGTCGTCCCGCTCTGTGGGACCACCTCTCAGAGCCAGCAAATACTCTCCACCACGGCGCTTAAGGGCTCGGCATCCCCCCCTCCTCGCTGTCCCCCCCTCCCGGTGGCTTCAATCCCTCGAACCGCTGCATGATGGTACGGAAATCACACATGAGGACCGGGTCAGCTGATTTGGTGCTCCAGTGGATAGTAATCGATATGTCATTTCTCCTTCTCAATACCTGCCATGGTATCTCTTGTCTTTAATCACAATCCCATGGAAGGTGGGGAAGTATATGCGTCTGGGTGTGATATTGGTGCACGATCCGACGTCGGGTTCGCCGTTCGATGCCGTTTTTGCAGTGGTTATGGCTAAGAAGATGAGGTTTCTTTCCTTCTTTCTCGTTTTCTCCTTCATGGTGATCATCAAGAGCTGAAGCATCTTTTATGATGATTCGTAACATGGGGGTGAAAGAACGGAGAAGGGGTTCCAGTTCTGGAGAGAGTGAACGCAACCATGGGTAGCGCTGCAAGTGCTGTGGCCGGGACGTCGTTGATGCTTTGTTCAACGACGTTGCTGTCGCTCGATGAGAGGCCCCAAGCTTCTGCTGGTTGGTTATGAACTCTTCCTTGTTGTTCTTCATCTTCTGCTTCTCATGATATTTTTTTCCTACTTCTAAAATGGAAAAAAGGAAGGTGAACAAACATGGGAGCATCAGCTTGGTCCGTCAGCGAGAGTCTCTCCCCCACACCACACCACACCACACCACACAAGGACACCTCTCACATGACTGCCCAGACCTCAAGATGCCCTCAAAAACAGTGCTCTTTGGTAGTACGGAGGTCAGTATTCAAGCTTGTCAGTTGCCTCAGATTCCACTAAGCAGCTGAGCTCGCTTGAGACTCGGGTTCGATTCCCAGCGGAAGAGAAAAGAGCTTTTTGATTTTCTTCCCGACCAGCTCCTGGGAGCAACGCGACATAGCTATTTTTCTCCGGCCTCCTCCTGGGCCTGATTACCTTCCTTTTGGGTAAGGAATCGAGGCTTCTGGACGCGTCAAATGAGTCAGTCGGTTAAGAGATATAGTGAAGCTATTCGGGAGTGAGAGTGGAAGTGGAGCGAGAAATCTTTGACCTGAGCACGGTCCTGATTCCTTTTTCTCTTTCTGCAGGTTTGCTGTGATCATCCTATTCATTTTCCATGACTGGGTGAACTTGGGACAAGGTTGTTCTGTCTGTCTGCTGGCCATGTCTAGTGTGTACCTCGCTGACGGCCAATCTGTTTGTCTGTGCAGCGGTCTTGATCGAGATAGATGAAGGGCCGTAAACTGCCGAAAAAGGAAGGCGGGGAAGGCAATATAATTCCTCCCAGAGAGGTCCTTGTCTCTTTCACAAGAGGGCTAGGGAATCAATTCATCTTGTTCGAGGGAGAGAGTTTCGTCCAACCTTATTGGAGTGAGAGCAACGGAAGACGAGGAACAGCGAAGTCAATCTCGTAGGTGTTGGTGAAGGGAAGAATAAATCATACAAAGCCACATATATATATTTTCGCCTTTCCCCACCAAGCACGCCGTCACAAGGGCTATATAATCATTGCGGTTGTTGACCAGGCAAGTAATTCCTTGACCGCTGTTGACGTATCTGAATCTGGACACATGCTCTGATTCGAAATGGCATGCCACGCAGCTTCTCCCTACCACGACTTTTCAAGATCCAGGACCAATTTTTCACCATTGAGTCTAGAGAAACCGCACTGAACCACATTTGTCTTTACACTCTAAATATAACAGAAATTAGTCCTTGCCCTTTCAGAGTTGCATCGTGATAATCCCGGCCTTGAGCTGATGCAGTGCCATTTGAGATGGTTCATACTGTAAATTACAGCCAAACAGTAGACTTGGCAAAAAGCTTGGCAGTAAGCTTCTAACCAAGCTGAGAGAGTCCAGGCCCCGTCATCTTCATCTTCTTATCGTCAATTGACCACTGCATGCTGGCTGCCCAGTTTGCAAGCGACCTCAGGAGACCGCCACGCCCCGTCTGCAGTCATACCACAAACACGCGCGCTCGCAGGCACATTCTACTCTCAACCCTTCAGGCGAGCATGTGCAATTGCTACAGTTAGTTCGCCTCTGCCCCTTTTCATATTTCCCCCCTCCCACGCTCCCCTTCCAAAGGTAACCTCTGTCTCTTATCCTCTGAGCCTCTTCGATCAACGCTGAGTCATACCGACCACGCATAAGCAAGATCCACCTCCCTCCCTCCTATAATCCTGCCTCGGCTGGTTTTGGTTTTTGTTTATTTACCTCGCTGCATTGCCTTTTTTTTCTTTCGTGTTCAGAGCCACAGGATTCAGAAAACATACCCACGCCGACTTGAGCTTGAAATACAACTCGCATTTGTGGGAACAAGTCTGTGATTATTACGAGGAGGGGAATCTGATCATCTCACCGGGTACTTGAAGTATAGCGGGAGGAAGCAGACTGGCTCTCTGTATCAATTCGACCAATTCTCATACCCAAGAAAGGAAAAGAAAGAAATAAAGCAAAGCAAAGAAGAAGGAAAATGATTGTGCTCGACCTCGTGCTCAACTTCTTGCGCATGTAAGGCAGGACCATATCTTGGTCACCTTTTACACCCAGATGAGTACTCTACTTACATGTATATAATTCTTTATCTAGCATCCTGCTCATAGCAAGTCTCGCCTCCTTTGGTCCTCAAGCCCACCGTATCCTATCGTACAAGACATGTGTCCGGATCGCTCCGTTCTACCTCCTCCTGAACCTCGTCTCGGCGACGGAGCAGTTCGCCCTGGGGCTGCACATCATCGTCGTCAGTGACCCCGGGACCCAGTGGATCATTAAATCGCCTCCGGATGTAGGAGACTACCTGAACACGTTGCAGTTCGCCGCTGTCTGGTTGGGTCATCTGGTACTGTGTGTTATAAATGCCCTTGGCTTGTTCTTCCCCCCCTCTCTCTCGCTCGATATCATCTACGCAACTAACCATCCTCTATTCGAGAGGGAAAAACCAGTTTCGCCCTTTTCCTGTGGTATCCGCCCCGCCAACTAGGCACCAAGGTCACAGTCGTCACCCTCTACCTCCTCTTCCTCTGCATCTCCATCATCCCCGTCATCTTCGAGGCCACCCTCCCCGCCCAAGGCCTCAACGGCCCTGAGAACGACCGTCGCTGGTTCGCGGCTATGTTTATTGGCATCCATACGCTCTTCCTCGCTCCCGTCATCACCGTGTTCACTCTGGTGGCCCTTTTCCCGCAGCTGCGAGAGCTACGACAGCTGCAGCGCGAGAACCGCAGAAATGACGACGACGACGACGACGACGACAACAACAACAACAACAACAACAACAACAACAACAACGATAACAACGTAATCGCCAACGATGGCGACCAAAATAGGCTCAGTAGAACAGGCGCGCTAAGCCCCCACGGCCTAGCCCTACAGGCCATGGTGTTCCTCGTCGCGGCGCTGTACTGGCCATTCCGCTTCCACATGCCCCTCCATGGCATCCCCTGGGGCTACTGGTACCAGACAATAGGATGGGCGGCCGTGGACAATGCCTTGTTCGTGCTGGTGCAGGCTGTATTGTGGTATGTAGCGAGTCGGGCGCGGCGGCCACAGCGGCGGGAGGAGGAAGAAGAAGAAGGGTCAGGACGACCTTCATCCGGGCAGGGGGAGACAACGCCTCTTATGGACAATGAAGTAGCTGGTTGAGTGATGATATGAGGACGCAACATGTGAGAAGATGTTTCGAAAGACAAAGTGTATGAGGTGTTCTAGTTCTGGTGCAATGCCTTCTTTTGTCTTGTGATTGAAAAAATTGAAGCCTCGTGTCAATAGCATCTGCGCTTCGGAGTGATTCTTTACATGAAAGCTGTGTTCCTGGGAACCGTGCACGGGGATTTGTTCGGCCGGTTCAGGTCCTTTTCACGTCGTAATATAGCAACCGGAAGATATCCCGTGTAAGTGGAGGAAGCGTCACGTATTGGTGCTTGAGACACCTAGTCAATGCGCGGTGTGGCTGTGCGCAAAGCAGATCGAGGGTATAATCTTGGTTTGTGTCCATGTCTTGAAAGATGCATTCCTTTAACGCCGGTCATTCTTCCCTATCAAATCCATCCCGGCGCCTCACTGTGGTCAAGGTAGTATACAAACGCACCGCGGTTCGCAATTGAAGTTGCCAAGGCGGACTTTCATGGTGAGAAGTCCGCAACACGCCACAGGAGATCGGTGCAGAGTCAAATGCAGTCACTGCTCCCTGCTCCCTGCTGGCACCGCCTATCGTCTGGTTCGATGGCTCGCATTCCAGGTGACCACACCGAATCGCTCAGCACGCGCCTTAGCCTTAGCCATTTCCACCTTGTCAGCCAGAACGCCATGCGGTAACAGATTCTAGTTGTCGCCTCCGAAGCGCTTGGCCCGGCGCTCAGCTTTTGCCTTCTCTGTTGGGTCATCAAGGACGTTGCCGCCACCACGCGCCTGGTTTCGGGTACCGCCGCCACCGCCGCCACCACCACCAGCTCGACGACCACCCCCGAACTTCCGGTTGTTCTGGTTGTTGTTGCGGCCGCGGCCATTGCGGTTGTCCAGGCTCTGCCTCTTGCCGCCGCGCTGGCCATCATCACCGTGCTCGCGACCGCGCTTTGGGCGGCGCTCGGGGAGAGCTTCGTCGAGGCCCTTGGGAACAGCGCTGGTCTCGATGCCGAAGCGCTTGGCGCGTTCATTCTTCTTCACCTCATCTGATTCTTTGTCGACAGTGATGCCAAAGCGCTTGGCGCGGTCGTCTCGCTTCTTCTGCTCGGCGTCGGCCTCGGTAGCGCTGAGGCCTAGCGCAAACGATGAGGTTTCGGCTGGCTTATCGGCAGCTGTCTCGGTGGCGGTGGCGGCGGCGCCACTCTTCTCGGGCGCTGCAGCAGCTGGTGTCGAATCGGTCTCGGCAGGTGCCTCAGCGGTAGGAGGTACGGTTGATTCGGCGGGTTCGGCGCTCGCGGGAGCAGGCGCAGGTGCGGCGGGAGCTGCCTCCGCCGCGGCGACAGGAGCTGCAGCGGGCTTTGGATCCTCCTTTTTGGTAGCGACGGCGGCAACCTTAGTGTCATCGTCGTCCCAGTCAATCACATCCTCAGCTTGGCCTGGATCACGGCGGGTTCTGGTAAGCTTTCTTGCACCGCAACGGAAAGTAAGGGAGGGCGCGCGACAGGGAAGTCGAGGGTTGACGAAGTTCGGGCAACGGGTCACGGGCGGTCGATGGCAGTAGTGGTAGTGGTAGCCAGAAGAACGGTATGGGACGTACTCTTGTCGTGCTCCTGCAGGCGCGCGATGAGGTCGGCCTTGTTGCCTGACTGGGGGAGGCTGCGCTCCGAAAGGAGCTTCTTCAGGTCAGGGACCTTGAGAGACGCGTAGTCGGTCATAATTAATGAATCGTGGCTTGAGAAAAGAGGACAACCTGGTGTTGATTAGGTTGCAAGTAGTGAATGGGAGTCGGAAGTGCAAGGATAGGTGGGAAGTCGGCTGGCACAAGGTCTTTGTGGTGTGAGAGAGCGAAATGAAAAGAGGGAGGGTCTTTTGGCTGTGCGTGTTGGAACCCAGCTTAAGAGAGAGAAAGAAGATGCGCTAGGTTGCAGGTTAGAGAAAGGGAGCTTGGAAGTCGCGCTTCGACTTGCGTCAAGCGTGACCTTAGCAACCCGGTAGAACAATAAGCCCCTGCAGATATGATTCATGCATTTAGGGCTATTGTGCATTTAGCGGGTTTCCATACTCAGCAATTGGCACAGTAGCGCCAAGGGAATAGTGAGTACCATACAAGTAGTAGTGAGTCAGTAGTCAGTGCCAGTGGCATAATGGGCACATTAGCACATATGTACAAACTCGGTCACACCTAGTGCTTTCCTTTAGAAGCCTACAGTCTCTTTCCTCTTCACCTTCTTTCAACACTAAGCCTGTCCCATCTTGACTAATTTCTTCCCAGGGCTCGGAATCGTTCTCTGCCTTCTCCTCATTCATTCAATCAATACTAGCATGACTGATATTTCCCTGCCACCTTGGCTCATCCTGGGTGGGTATGGATGTTTATACTGTCTCATATGCTCTTGCTGACAACATTGTGATTTAAAGCCAACACGTTCGATTTATGTATCAAGTACGAGTAGGTGAGACGATTCCACTGATTCTACTGCGTGGAAAACGCTTCTTAGGTCATCTGAGTGGAAAACTTGTGCATTCAGTAGTCAGGCCATCCCAAGAAGAGGAAGCTCTAGATTATAGGGCCATTATGGCACACTAGATTCTCTACTACATATCCAGAGAAGATGTCAAGAAGGAGGAGACTTGGCTAGAGTCCCTGGTCAGCGTACTTATGTAAGCGAGCCCACCTGCCGGTTCAGGCAACCTTGAAATCTCATTGTAGCTTTTCATTGGTGACTCAACTGTTAGCCAGGGCCAGGCTCTGAGATAGTGTCACTCTTCTCCTCCCCCCCCCCCTTATTTATCACCTTCGCTTTTGTCTGATGGTTAAAATGGCAAGAAGTCTGGACTATACGCACACATACACACACGCAAGACAAAACGTCTACTTTGATGACCCAATCACACTTCCACATAGTATCTATGACATGAAATAAGGCCCTCCACTCTCTTGTGGTGTAGACTGTTAGAGCAGAGTCCGGGAAGTGAGTAGATGCTGTAAGCTAGTCTTCACAACCCGGCACGGAGCATCATTCTTCTATCTCAAATAAGCTTTGACACCAAATTCCATATGTATATTATATTGAAATAAGAAAGTCAGCTATTACCAGGCTGAGAGAATAGCATGTAGTCAAGTTGTTCAGAAAGCTTCATGGAGAGCTGATATTTTTAGCTTTGAATGAATTCATGAGATCTCATGCCCACTTGCAAGTTCTCAAGGGGCTCTATGGGTATGTCATGGTGTCACTATCCAAGCCTTCATTTGTTCAAATACAATGTATGAAAGTCTATTGTCTCTAGTAATGTAGATGATTTTGGACTGCATTTAAGTTGCTACCAAACATGTTCATAGCTGTGGCCTAATACTTGGTAAGTAATAGAACTCAACTAAACCCGCAAGACTTGATATATCTATGAATAGATTTGATTTGAGGACAGTGTTGCTCTTATAAGCTCCTTCATTTCATCCTTCTAGCTGTTATGGACTCAAGAATCTTTATTCAATATCGATGCGATTAGTCTTTGCCTTCATGATTCCACGCACACTTTCTGCACAGGCAATCTCCACAACAGCATCATATTGAAGCCTACGAGATTTGTCCTGCTCCTATTCTAGCTTTGATGTTCTCTATCTATGCAGCCTTCTTGATAAATGCATATTCCATACCTCCCAGACATTCTACTGCACCCACTTCTTCATAGCCCAGGGCCCGGTACAACTTGGCCCCCGCAGCGCTCGCCATCAGACGGATGTTCTTGTGCTCCTTTGCTGCTCGTTCTTCACCCCAGTCCATCAACATCCTCCCGATACCCCGGCGCTGCTGAGCTGGATCCACAGAGATAGCTGCAAGGTCTAGAATAGGCAAGTCTCAGCACAGATCCTGATTGACCGCATACGAACATGACCAGCACAAGAGCGCATGAAAAGGAGGGAAAAGAAAGAGGGGGCGGGAGAGGGGTTGGGGGGGGGGGTGACGATAATTTTAGAAGGACAACTCACACCACGAGTTTTTGTATGCCTCTTCGCCCAGGGCATCCAGCAGGTTCTTCTTCAGGACCTTGGTGTCCCTCTCAATGATGTCCAAAGCAGCTAGATCCATGGTGGGTGGACATTGCGCCCTCAGCTGCTCAGGCATCAGCTGGCTCTCAAGGGGGTCGTCCCGGCTCTGCCAACACGCCGAACCCACGATGTTGCTATCATCAGGGCCGTCCACGACGACAATATAGTGCCGATTCTCATTATCGAACCCGTTCTCGTGCCACGCCCTTCTGAACGCCAGCTTTTCCTCCTGATCGAGCCCCTTGCTCAGGTGTGGCGGGAAGAGTGCCTCGGTAAGAGGGCGCCCGCGGAATGCCTCGGAGGATATCTTCACCAGGGTGGGGATGTCTGCCTTGTGCGCTCTGCGGATGTGGAGGCCGGAGGAGGGTGAGGAGGCCGACATTGCTGTGGGAAGAAATTGTTGATGAGATGAGGGGCTGGACTGTTGATTGTTACACCTCCAATTTGACAAGAAGAAGAGCTACCGTACTCAGGATGTCGATGATGTTCAGTTGCCTCGGTCTCAGCGACACAGCATGGCATCTTTTATAGATTGCCAACACTAGCGGCCTTTGGGTGCTGACGACAAGACGCTAGTGACGGCATCGTCAACTGTCAACTGAAGGCGTATGGAGAAAAGCTTTTATCGTGGGTAGGTCAGCGCGGCTCAATACAGGACCGAGGCTTGCGCCATCCTCGTCGTGTCTCGTTTACGCGTCTTCATGTGTCCCGATGGCACGCGGCTCCTTAGGAAGCATTCGATTTCTTTTCGTGATCAAGGCTCATGGTACTACTATGTGAATACCGTGGGGGAGGCCGGCCACTGGGTATGATCCCCCGGTTCTTTCGCGGGGGGGGGGGGGGGGCGCATCGCCGCTCACAGCAGGAAACGCCTAGAATGGCATCTCATTGGCACCTCCCAGGACTCGATAATTATTTGAATGATGTTAGTGCCGCATTTAAACCAAAATTTCGTACGTACTAGGGTTTATTGATTCTGAGGAAGTTGGAGGGTGGAAAAGAGCGATTGGTGACTTAAGTTCGCAACCTCTGTGTCTAGGATAGCTATCGTCCTGGACCGTAGCTATAGCGCCTGAGCTTTAAAGCACTGACAGCAGTCATTTGCTGCCGCCGGAGTGGGTGGAGAGAAGGGGTGAGGATTGCTTACTACTTAGCACTGTAGCCGTATTACAATGGCATTTAGTGGATACAGGGTGTCCAGCGGAAAGCCCATACTTATAGCGCATGGATGACCTGGGGGGACCCCCTGCTACAACCCTCCTCCAACCTGCCGTTGCAAGATTAGCATCATATCCTGCACCCAAAATATTTCGGCAAAAACACAATCGACCACGACCAACACCTTCGAATGTCAACACAAGTCCATCGCTCTTTTGCATCGCCTCTCCACTCCTATGATGAGCAAGAGCATCTCCGGTCATGGCGACAAGCACTAGCAACCACTTCAGCACTTCCCTCTACTAAGACTTGCAGAGCTAAACGACCGCCTCTTTGCACACAGCCGATGGGACGGCCCTCCCCGTCTTCATCTCTCTTCTCCGTTGCCACATGATGCCCTCTTCCACGACAGAGAACCAGGGGCCTCTCGATCGCTTGCAGAACCATCCCGTCTACGGAACATCTCGGGCTGACGTCAGCCTGGCGGCCTGGATCTCGCAGCCCGGCGTCCTCGTCTCTGTTCTTGCGATCGTCTGCGGAGTCGGATACCAACTCGCCCAGAGCAGGGCCGCCTCGCGCGGTCAACAGCTGCCCAACCCCGCCGAGCTGCTCTGGAAAGCCCTCGTCTTCCTCACTCCTGCCTTCCTGCTCTACGCCGTCGATCGATGGGTGAACCCTCCCGCCTTCCCGATCCCGATGCTTCAACCACAGCCTACCACACACGCTGCCAAGAGCGACGTCCTGCGCCGGATACTACGCGTCGACCAGCCCGGAGGCATTGTGGCGTCGGTGTCTGAGGCCGGTAGGCGGGCTTACACAAATACCTTCTCTGGCCCCAAGGGCGGTTCATGCCAGCCCGCTGGCCTCAGCAACTGGGACAACTCTTGCTTTCAGAACAGTGTGCTGCAGGGACTGGCATCGCTGAAGCATCTGCCCCGGTATCTGACCGGTTTGGCCCCGGGGCATGCTGTACCAAGCAGTGACACTCTGACCACGGCTGGAGCCTTGCGTGCCTTTGCCGCTGACCTCAACGATGTCTCCAACAATGGCAAGACCCTGTCCACACCAGGGGTGCTAAAGAATATGAGCACGATACAACAACAAGATGCCCAAGAATACTTCTCGCGGCTCATGGATCAGGTGGATAAGGATATAGAAAAGGGAGCGAAAGCCGCCTACAGACCACCCGGCTTCGAGCCGGAGCCGAGCAGGGACGACACGACGACCAGCCAGCACAGTGATGACAGTGGATATCAGAGCCTGCCGGTGCTCTCCAAGGCCGGCTCGGAACTCATGACTATTCGCAACCCCCTTGAGGGCCTCTCTGCACAGCGTGTTGCATGCACGGTGTGCGGGTACTCGGAGGGGCTCTCCATGATTCCCTTCAACTGTCTGACCCTGAATTTCGAGGTTGGCGTCGAACAGTACGACCTCTTCGAGCTCCTCGACAACTACGTGCAGCTGGAATCCATATTCAGTGTCGACTGCGTGAAATGCACCCTTCTGGAATACCGCAGAAGCCTGCAGCATCTGGCGAAGGCCATCCCCGCAGCAGCAGACAGGCTGAGTGCTGTTGAGGCAATGCTGGAGGACGACGAGTTTGACGATGAGAGCTTCAAGAAGCTGAGAATACCTGATGCGAAGAAGGTCAGCTCCACCAAGACCAAACAGGTAGCAATCGGGCGACCCCCACGGAGCCTGGTGCTGCACATGAACCGTTCCGTCTTCGACCCGATGACGTTCCGGTCCTACAAGAACACGGCTGCTGTTCAGTTCCCTAAGACACTCGACTTGGGTCCCTGGTGCGTCGGAAGTGCGGGGGGTGTCAATGCTCCCACAGAGGCCAAGGTAGCTGGCGACGGCTCACCCTCTGCTAAGGGTGGGGGCGACCATGAGCAGTGGGTGATTGATGCTACCGCTTCGATGGTGGCAGGCGACGCACATCCATCCAGGATCTCCGGGCCCATCTACGAGCTACGCGCCGTGGTGACACATTACGGTCGACACGAGAATGGCCACTACGTGTGTTACAGAAGGCACCCTGTCAACACCTCAAAATCTACGAAGAGATCCAAACCACAGGACGATGCTGCTCGCCCTCCCAACCTGGTGGGTGACGGACAAGCAGATGATGTTGACAGCTTTCACGAGGACGAACAGGATGAGGCTGTCGCTGCGGCAGCAGAGGTCGAAGACCCATACAGCGAGGACACAGACTCGCAATGGTGGCGCCTCAGCGACGAGACCGTCACTCAGGTCAGTGAGCAAGACGTCCTCCTGCAGGGAGGTGTGTTTATGCTGTTTTACGACTGTACCGATCCCAACTCGATTCTGGTGACGCCTGGGGAAACTCTGGAGACCGACGACGCCGGTGAGACCTTCACGACGGCCGGCGAGGAAGGTCACAAGTCGCCTTCATGGTCTGAGTTTTCTGTCGCCACTTTGTGCAATGCTACCACGAACGAAGAGGACGGCGTATCAGCAATCAGCTCGGTGGCCTTGGCCGCAGAAGGGGCGCAGGTGTCTTCTCTGAAGCCCGAGGTCGTCAGATCGGAGCTTGGTCCGGCAGCCGGATCGGCGGAGGGAGGACCCAGACTGGTGAAGGAACGAGGAGACGAAGATGCATCGGAAGGCAACTCTGTGTCACGAAGAAGTTCCGTGACTGTCGTGCCGGTGGAAGAAGGTGCCGACACGCCTGTTTTGAGCGGGGAATCCATTCCAGACGAGACTGCGTCTCAGCCGGAGGAGGTACGGGACTGATGAATTTTCATTGCTACCAATTTGGTCAGAGAAGAGCGCAGGACGGTCGATCATGTTATTAATTGCATAGCGTTGGCGTTGACGGGATGCGGACTACCATCAAGAAGGCGTCTTGTCTATATTATGAGAAATCAAATTGCAGCGAATTATTAGCAGGGCTGCTATTGTGCTGTGCAGATCGTATCCACTGTTTTGAAGTCTTTCCACAGGCTAATGAAAATGTCCCTAGTTCGGTGGCGATCAAATACACTGTCGAGCAAATATAATATCAAGCCCTCCCTCCGTCCAAGAGCAACCAGCGGAGGCGGTCACTTTGGCTTATTGCCAGGAAAGTCTTCAGAGTCTTCTTTTTGGAAAAAAACCATAGTAGCGGATCGCTAATGCTCAATAATGCCATTTCCTTTTTTTTCCTTATGCTATATGCATTATACCAGGCAAATTGCACGGTCATGGTATATGAATCGACTCCCTCCCAACAACGCCTTAGTGTGTTGAATCTTTGTCCTATGTACAAAACAAGAAAATGTGCTGGTTTTTTTTGGCCTTTTTCAGAAGGAAAGAGAAATGAGAATAAAAAAAAGAAGTAAAAGGATATGCATTATGACCGTCCATGGTACGACAGGTTGGCTCCGGGCCCCCTTTGCCGCCAGCCTGTCTTGTATGCAGTGCCGCTTGGTTCTCCCCCTTTCCGCTGACCCCTTTCTCCTCTCCGTATGCGTCCCGTATTAGACTCGATAAGAACGTAGGGCTGCCGATAGATATGTGAGCCCTTTCCCTGTTCCATACCATGCCCGAGCCCTAACGAGCCTTGTGTCGCGTGATGTATGCTTTGCTCTGCTTTTTGCTCCCGTGTCTATTTGTTCGAGTACCGTGCTTCCGTTACCACCAATTTGCTGAGGGATGAAATTCCCACACGCTTCTGGCCAATGTCTGCCTTGGGCTTCTCCCGTCTTCCTTGGTGATGAATATCGAGGTCGCACTGGGGTATCATGGTGTCGGCTTATCCGTTGATTCATGCTTCATTTTGTATTTTGGGGGGAGATTTGGAAAACAAAAGAAAAAAAGGGGAAGAAGAATAGCCCCGCCTGCTTTGTTCGGAGATGTTCGAGAAAAGAAAAAATAAGGGCACCATCGCTTGGCTGCCTTTTACTTTTCCAAGGTCCTCCGTCTGAACAAGAGCTCCGCGTTGGGGTCGGGCGATTTGGTCATCATCAAGACCATCGACTTAGGCCTCGCCTGCCCTTCCTTGAGCCGCACGTCGAAGTTGATGAGGAAGTAGGCCAGGATCATTTTGATCTCGTTGCCAGCGAAGAACCGCCCGGGGCATGCGGCCTTGCCAGCGCCAAAATTCATATTGTCGCTGATGCTGGTGAACTGGTACCGGTTCACGTCGTCCTCGGTCCGCTGGCGCATCCGGAAGAACCGCAGCGGGTCGAATTTCTCGGGCTCCGGGTAGTACCGTTCGTCATGCGAGAAGCCGCTGAGCGGGGCGAGCAGTTTCGTGCCGGCGGGTAGGTATGTCCCGTCCGAGAGGGTGATGGGCTGTCGCACCTTGCGGATGAAGGACGTCACGTTGCCCGACAGCCGCTGGACCTCCTTCATGAAGCTGTCGAGCTTCTTGAGCTTGGTCATGGAGTCCTTCCTCGCCCAGCCGCTGCTGGGATCCCCGCCCTCCAGAACGGCGATCGCCTCCTGCCTCAGCTCCTCTGCGTCCTCGGGGTTCGCGGCCAGATCGTACATGCAGTCCACGAGCAGGTTGTTGGTGGTGTGGATACTGGCCGCGCTGAGGAGGAGCTGCAGTTCCGCCTGCGTGTGGTAGTCTGTCCTCTCTTCCTCGGGCAGCGCGTCAAGCAGCCACTGGATGAAGTCGTCCTCTTTCTCGTACCCGGGGCACTGCATATCGCGCAGCCGCTCTTGAATGATGGGCACCAGCATCTTCTTCGCCTTTTCCGTGTCCTGCTTGATCTTGCCCAGGTCTGACACCAGGTACTGCCCGATGGGCCGCAGCCACTCAGGGAAGAACTGCAGCTTCACGAGTGCGAGGAAGATGTGGATGGCAAAGTTGACTGATGTGTCCATCCAAGCTTCTTGGCGGCAGATGGAGGGGCCTACGAAGGCGCGCCCGCTTGTGCGTGCCACGCACCGCAGGGCAAAAGGCTGAAATTTGACAGGTGTCCAGTCCTTGCACTCGGGAAATTCGGTGGCCGTCATAAACTCGACTTCCTCCTTCAGCTGGGGTATCAGCCGAGCCAGATTTTGCGTCAGCTTTGTTCGGATCAAAGTCGGCAGGATATCCTGGTGTCGCTCAGGACAGAATTTGGTGTACTTGCTCATCAACGCCTATATAGTTGTCGTCAGTATATGAAATGGGACACTAAAACGACGCCAATGACTGGTCAAAGAGGGGGGGGGGGGGGCATGTCGGGGTTTCGGACCTCGCTGAGAGCCTCTCTCGCACTGAGGACGTCCTCAGGCAGGGCTCTCAACTCGTTGATGAAATTTGTTGGTATCAAGACTTGGAGACCCTCCGTCGCCTTGATCTGGTAGACCTGATCATGAAACTATTTCCCGTGTCAGCGCAAACAAGGTCCAAAGAGTAACGTCGATGCAAACATATATATATATATATACATACCTTGAGGTAGGAGTCCCGAATCAGAGTCTCGGCGTCAAAGTACCACTTTAATATAGACGCCTTGTAGAAGGGCACGTTCTTCACCCTGCTTGACTTGGCTGCCTGTGTTGACTGAAACCACCACACGCCTAGGAACACCAGGGCTATGGTGACATAGTAGTTGAGGTGTTGGGCCCGTACTACCACAGGCGCGGCCTGAACGAGGTCGATGGATGACGAGTCCATGCTGAGATACCGCCCAAAGGACGAGGTGTTGACGGACATGGGCGAGATGGGGCAGCACGAGTACGTTGACGGCTGCGAGACTGCGATCGGACTCGTGTGGCTGGATGTCTCACACATGGCCGCTGGGAGAGGAAAAGGAGGTCTTTCGGTTCTGTTTAGGAGAGATAGGATCTCTCTCAAAGACAGGCGTTGGAGGTAAAGAGGGAATGAGCGGGTTTTGAGCGGCACGAAAATGACAGGCCGGAAGCTGAGCGCCGAAGACAGCGGCCATCTACAGTCGCGGTGGAAACAATACCAAGACGGAATAAAGAGCGGATAAGAATAAAGTAGAGACGATGTAGTTGGCTTCCGATAGATGAAATGACGAACAAATGTTTCGGGAAAAAGAAGAACGGCTCATGTGCTTCCCGGTGTGTTAGTCCAGGAAGGAGGGAAGGGAAGGGGAGGGGGAGGAAGAAGAGCAGAATGGGAGTGGCAAGTCTCTCTTTCTCTCTCTCTCTCTCTCTCTCTCTCTCTCTTTTGACTTGCGAACACCACCACCGTCTTAAAGATAGAAATAAAAATCAAAAGGACCAAACCGGAACCCGTCCGTGAGAGGTCTGTTTATTACAGAGACACAACAATGCAGTAAGGGTTGAATGTGCTGGAAGGAGGAAAGTCTATAACGAGGGGGGCGGCAAGTCCCTTGATACCTGCAGGGCCCGGATGTCTTGTCAAGCCGAGGACAAGGGAAGAACAAGCTTCAAGAGGGACGGGTTAGGTGGGAAAACAAGAAGAGATGGGTGACGGGTCCGCATAGAGACAATACCAGCTCAAGGCAAAAGTAGAGGGTAAAGTGCTACACTACCTGTCTCCGTCTACCGCGCGGAGCACAGTCTGCCAGGGTGCCACAAACACACAACGACAAGCCCATACCACATCGCGACGTGACCGACGGCTTGGCGTCGCTTCAACTGACACAAATGGAGAAGCGGCAATTCCGTGCCAGTGTTGGGCTGTGCTGGTCCGCCATCATGGTCTCTAAAGGGCGACAAGGCAAGAGCGGAGAGAGGGGGAGAAAGAATAAAGAAGGGGACATGCTTATTCCTCCATCCACGTGGGCTTGTACCCTTGTTGCTCGGTCTGTTGTGGCCCCCTGGTCCTTCCTCCCTCTTCTTCTTCCTCCTCCTCCTCCTCCTCCTCCTGCTGCTGCTGCTGCTGCTGCTGCTGCTGCTGCTGCTGCTGTGCCGATCGTCTCTGAAGCACAATACTGCAGAGATGCGAGAAGCAGGGCGGGAATGGGGCCGGTTCCAGGTTGTCACAGAGTTCAACGGAGGGTCTTTACTGCACCAGTGAGCCATTCAGGCGACGTTATGGAGGATGAGGATGAGACGTTGATTTGCTACTTCCCATCTGAAACGGGGCCAAACCCGGGGGAAGGAGACGGGATCACCTGCAGCCGCGTCTCGCTTGGGACCAGGTTCTGTAGAGAGAAAGAGGTTGATGCTGTTAGTGGGTGGGGCTTCAAGTTCCAGCCGCACTTGTTAACAGATTTGGTTACTACGCCATACTATGTTCTAACATCATTTCAGTCAGCTCCAAGTGGGGGACACTATCTCGCCTCGGAAGTACCCCCCCTGTACCGCCTGCCAAACTTCGCGTCCAACCTCAACCGTTTGTTGTCGCAGCTGCATCGCATCCCTCCCAACAAGCTTCTTCGCAAAAGTTTGGCGTCTGTGAGTGATTACGTTTCCCCTTTGTTCACACGGACCCATCGTTAGAGACAAGACAGGCCATTGTGCTTATTGAAAAGCTTGTTGTTGGCACGATGCTACTAAGTATAGGAAGACCGTCTCTTGTTATGGCCAATATCAGCTGGGCCAACCTTCGGTTCTGGAATCTCTCACCGAGCTTTACCATCTCGTCTTTTTCTGAGTGTTCAACACCTCTGCCGGCCCGACAGCCAACATGCCCCTCCGAACCCGGCGGATATGCAAATCTGCTCGTCCCGTGTGGTACTGTTGTCGTTGCTAGAACCCTACTGCTAGGCTACTACCACAATGGATGCCATCCATAAGTGTCGGCTTCTGCCAACAGCCACAGCTGCCCAAGAAAGGCGGCAGCTGTTCAGAGAAGAGGCTTACATGCAGCTAAGCTATACCCTACCGACATGGCAACCCGCAATACGGCAATATCTGGAGCGGCAGTCGAAAACAAGCTCAGTCGCAGACCCCCAGAAACCACTTGTGCCAAGGTCCGTCCGGGAAATGATGAGCGAGCCACGGACCCCGGTCTGCAGGTCCCCGCTCTGACAATGGATCGCCTCACGAGCGGGGGCCCTTCTGTTTTGTTAAGGCTGGAGATTAGGTTCTCGATTGGATCGGGCGCTGAGGTTGCTATGGCAGCTTCAGCCTCAAGATTGACATCCACCAGGTGCCGAGAGAAGGCCACTGCCACCGTGGCGCCTTGCCCAAAGGGCAGCTTTCGGCGACAGAAAAGCTTGAACCTCTTCAGCCCCCTCCCTCCTCCCTCCCCATCTCGACTTTGAACTTAGCCCCGCAGGTCAATGGTGTCTCGGTAGCCTTTCATCCCTCATCATGCCCTTATTGATATCGTCTGCTTGTGTCGTGTTTTTCAAGCAGATCCGCACCTAGGCATACCTACCTAATGTGCCAACGAACCCGAAACGCGAGGCATTAACATCTCCGGAGCATCAGTTTCTTTAGATGGAGATCCGGTCCAACGTGATCATCAAATCTTCGCAACCTCGTTCTTCCGAAGTGTCGAAGTTACACACATAAGACGAATGCCAGCTTGTTTCTAGTACAGGTGGCTATTTGAATACCGGAAATAGGACCATCGTGTTTCACTCTATGGAAATCTTGGGAACACTTATGTGGCGTGTTCCTTGTTTCCTGACGGGCTGTGCCTGGCTTTGACATGAGCTTTTATTCCTTAAATCCGTGTGCTCTGCCCTTCGTCGTACCAGATGGTCATGTGACGGCACTTATACAGCCTGTGAGGTGTTTGTCTCAGGGTCCGATGATTGGCTTTGCTTCTTGGACACACATATGCCTCGAACTGTGCTTCTTGGTGTTTGCCTCAACGCATCTAAACCATTGCAAATTGGTATGGGGACCCTGCGGTATTATGGGAACAACAAGATCCGCGGCTGCCTTGCTCGGGATGAGGCTCAGGATCTCCCCCTCTACACCACGTCGGCCGATCCGTTTCCTTTTGTTGCAGAGTATACCCCGACCGCTATCAAGGAGAGTTCCCGTGTCCAGTCCGACCTGAATTTCACAAAAGTCTAGTATCGTCAACTGAGCGGACTCGTGGACGGCGGGTCGAATTCAATGTCTTGCAACGGGAAGTTTTAGCCAGCGTCTCGCCATATCCACATAGCCAGAGAGTGGCGAGCTTGATTGCTTGACATGTGCGATATAACCGAATCCTCTGTGAAGGATCGGTGTTGTGCTCAAAGGTCAGCTTGGAGGGATGATGTCGCCTAATAGCCTTGGGGTCTCTTTTGTCAAGTAGTAATAGGTTTTGGGGCCTTGACACAAACAGGAGGCAGACGAAGCTTGCAACGGCGAGGCGGACCCAGCGCGTTATCGTGTCAATTCCTCCCCTCTTATTGGCTGCCTAGATATATTCAAGATAAGTGTTGGGGACCTGCTCCTGATAGGCTTCCTGCTGGTCATAGCCTCATGCTGAGACCACCCAGCACTGTCCCAACATTGAATTGTGCAACGTAAGGTTGACTAACTCAAATTCCGTGGAATCTTACTAGAGCCCTCGCCTTTTTTTTTTTTTTTTTTTTTTTTTTTTTTTCCAGCAGAGCCAGCTTTAGGCCAAATGATAACAAAAGGAGGCGCGAGGAAAGAGAATCAAAATTTCGCCATGTGCTCCCAAGGACGTGATGGTATGCAATCCAGAAAAAGGTTGAGAACCCGTCTTCGGACCAGTGTTATGCTTTCAACTCAGTCGGGTGTTCTTCTCTATTTCCTTCGTTTGTTCTCCTCTTGTGCTGAGAACGGACCTGCTAGGTGTCTGGCAGGTTCACATGAGTTAGTATACGGAGGAGTTAGACCTTGCTTTTGTGCGAAATCGAGTTCTCATCAACCTTCGAAACTCTATTGAGACCACACATCTCCTGTATACGCTGAGGTTGGCCCATCTCAAGTGCTCGCTCAACTTGCGACTATAGATAGACTGCTTCTCGCTCCAGAGTATACGTGCTTCCCATGCTTTCAAACACATATTCCTTCTTGCCTATGTCTAAAGTCTAAGAGCCCTTGCATTAACAGATAACCAAGGCCAGCTTACTACGGGAGTGCCGATATGCTCGTGAATGACCACGCTTGCAGTCATTATGCTGACCATATCAAGAAAGGATCAGTACCCACACGACCACACCCCAAAATGGTATGTCATCGATATCAGAATTTCAGCCAAAACCCTGATCTCTGAGGTCAGGCGGTCAAATCATAGAGGGATACCTCCAGAAGTACATAAACTTGGGGTATAAGTCGGATTCGAAAAGACTAAACACAGCCACCTTCCAGACAGTCATCATGTATGCGACAGCTAAAAGGAGTGACCACTCCCAGCTGACTGGAAACGGCTGTGGTCTATATAGCTGCGTAGAACGGTCGAACTCACACATCACGTCTGTCGTCATTTCATGTCACATTTGGGTTGCTATTGCAGGCGGCACGAGGGAGGGCAACTGGTAATCAGGCCCAGACAGCTCAGTAGCACAGCTTCATGGACACCAAGTGGACTTGTGGAATGGTCCTCCATGCCGATGAGACATTGAAAATTCCACCCTCTTTGCATGTAAGCCAGCTCATCAGTGTCTGCAATAGGTTCCTGAGCATGTGTTAACAATGATGAGGCGAATTCGGCTTTGCGACCACCGTAGCATCCAATCAACGTGACCTGAGGCCTGCCTTGTCAGGAGGAGACGCAGCGTGACCCACGGTGGCCAGTCTGTGCCGCACGAGAAATCCGGTACTTCCCTTGGATAGTAGACCGAGATTGAGCGGTGAAACTTTCACTGAACATTCTTGTTCAGTCAAGAGTAAAATCCTATCTCCAGGTCGATCAAGGAGTCTTGATCACCGCGCATGGTGGTCCCGAAAACCCCCGTCCATTCAACTCGGACTGATGTGGCGGAAATTGCAGCCAGGATACGAGAATCTCTTCAGGCTCTGAAACACCCAGAGGCTAAGAACGCGCGCTCGGATCTGCCGGACCACATCTCGGCCTTGATCGTCTGCTATGAACATTGTCTGCCGGTGTTTGAGGCTTGGCTGGTAAGTAACTTTCAGGCACAAACGACTCAGCGCGGTCGACAGTTGCCCTGCCCCAGTCTCAACAAAATGCATTGTCGAGCTGTCACGGCCGACGTGGCAAGCTGCTCGACCAACTCACAAAAATGCGGACACTATTGCATGCACGATTTGCTTGTTTCATGGCGATGTCTCTCGTTTTACAAGGGGGTTTGTTTAATTGCTGTGCCACATATAATCTTATCAGATCGATCACTGGCTGAGGATTGGTTAGTAAGACAGGGGGGAGCGGACAAAAACAGTAAGAAGGCGTCCGATCTCGGCCGTACCAAACCATGATTGATAAGATGGGCCGATGGAGAAACTTCCTTGTCGGCACTGTCTTACACTGTGGTTCGGCTTCCCCTGACCCTCTTTTCGCGCACGAGAGGAGCGGACCTCCTGCCCGTTGGGATGTGGGCGGGCAGCAGCAGGGCGACCCGGCTCTCTCCCCCGGCTTTTCAACCCCCCAAGACCACGTTTGACCGCGTAAGGTCGTCTCTGTAGTCGTAGTGGTAAGGATGAAAGGGTAGGAAGGGCTGGGGTTCAGACTGTTTCCAGAAGAATTGCTGGCGTGGCAGCACACCCACCTGTGCTGCAGCCCCTGCCGTTGCATTTCCGACTCGACGAGAAGAGCAGCCGAGACGCGCATGTGCAGGCGCTTGATAAAGGCCATTGTTAGACATCTAATAGGGCACCTGGCTTGTTTGCTCCATAGGTTTTTTTTTTATACATTTATTTCCTCTCCTTTCCAGCTGGCTCGTTCCCTCCGCATCGTTGTCTGCTCCTCGTGAGCCCGGGGAAAAACATGTAAGTGAGACAAGGAAAATGGGGGGAAGGAGGGGAAACAGAGATTATCAGATGGGGCGATAATCACGGGATGTCATGCCGAGGGTTTATTTTCGGCGGTAAGGCCAGGTCACAATCTGATAAAACAATTGAGTAGCAGCCTGGGGAAGCATCCCTTGAGCCAGCATGTCCGCGTCCCACCCACCCCAGGCCTGGACTGCAAGCCACGGGGCACACGAGCCAGAATGGGGCGAAAGGAGCAGTGCGCCCCTTGGGCGTCCACCTCGTCATCCCTCCCATGGGCACACTCCATCGAGATAGGGTCAGGAATCCTGTCGGCGGAAAAAAGTAGGAAAAAAGGAAAAAGGTATGTCGAGCGTGATCTTGAACACCACCCAACCATCCATGTTCCTACTCGATGTATGAGCCGAAGACTGCCGTGTCATGCCATGTTATGTCATGTCATACTTATTAGAGTGCACTGTTCAACCTGTGCACCGGACAACGTACCCGGGTAGTTGTGGAAGTCGGAAGGACACGGACACCGTCAGGCCACATGTAATTTGACTTCAATTTTACGCCATCTGATTCGGGATCCGGAGGACGCCGTGTCTACAGTCTTCGTAGTGGTGGTGATGCTTGCTCCAGCTGCTAACTGCTAGTAGCTGCTGCACGCTGACCGCAACTGATATCCCATTCGCCAGGCCCCGCTGTTCTGCAATTACCATATTCGTAGTTGCTGCGTAGTATGTACTGATAGCATGGCCAGCAACGCAGGCGCAACCGTCGACGGAGCCAAGACCTACAAGAGTACAAGCCTCTCTCTCTCCTTGGAGTCGTACGCGTCGCTCCGATGGTGGAAAAGGGATAGCAGGGCCTCCCTGTGACGCAGGTGCATCCGTTGTCAGGCAGACCAGCCAAGCCAGCCAGGAGGAAAAAGCGTTGGAAAAATGACACGCAACAGAAAGATCCGGTCAATCCCATCCGGTTCAAAGGGGAGAGGGAGGAAGGAAAGGGTGGGTCACAAGGGGGTACGAAGAGGGCATGGGGAAACACATTACAGTGCTACATCCCAACCTGGGCCAGAAGCCCCATCGGGCCCTGCTGTGCCCATCTGTGGTGGGGCTTCCCCAAAAAACCTTAAGCGGACACAGTGTGTGTTGCGTCAGGCTCTGATTGGGCAATCCCCCGACCCCAAAAAAATGAATGAGGTAGTAGGGGGCAAAGGTGCAAAGCCCTCTGTTCAATTCATTTTCTGCCCGGTTCCACTTTATGCCATCACTTTGACATAGTTTATCTGATCCTCACCAAAAAGGACAGCCCTTCCCACCTCTTTCGGCAGGGCGTCTTCGAGAGCATGTCCGAGTGGCTTTCATCATCATCATTACTCACCCTTCCTAAGCCCTTCTGACCAAGGCAAATCCCTCACTCGGCCTCAACTTCACCTGTATTCACTTCTCTTTCTCATCAACTCAGCAATCACTCATTACTTCATTGATTACCTGTGGACCTTTTACTCCTTGTTCCTGCCCACGACCGACCGTGGCTCTCTCATCTAGTTTTCGATCTAAATTCTTCTCTCCACAGAGTGGTTCATGCAGCCGGCACTTTAGTCTCGTAAAGTCACTGCCACCCCTCCTGCTAGCCGGCCACAGCCACAACCTGCTTCGAGACCCCAAATTCTTCCTCCCATCTACCAGCAGCAATCTTCAGCCCGCCACCGTCACACTCGCTGCAACCACCCTAAACACGGCAGCAACAAGCAGCCCAGCCTTCAGGATGATGGCTACATCGTCTCTTCAATTGCAGAGGGTTGCCTTATCTGGTGGCTGTTGTGCACCCGAAGAGCCCACAACAGCCTCCTCAGCTGCACCCTCACTCACTTTCTCTGAGCACTCTGGTGATGAGCAGGATGTTGATGATGCCTTCCCCACTGAGACCCGCCGACGCCGTGCCTCTACTCGACTGATTGCCCAGAATGCTGAAGATGTCCAGCGCATCACTGGAGAGTCTACTGCCCAGCTTGCCGCCCGATGCTGTGGTGGAGGCTGCTGTGTGAGCGCTGGTGGCAAGCAGGATGGTGTCGAGTACGAAAAAGTTCAGCACCCAGACAATGATGCATTCAAGTCACTCTGTCTGGAAGTCGACGAGATCCCTACCATCCTGACCAATGTGGTCGAGCTGCCCGAGCAGACTGCCTGGCTGGAGCCACTTAGACGCCCTTCAGATCTACCCTCCCCTCCTCTGTCAGCCATCTCCCCTACTGCCACCACTCTTGGCACTTCAGATAGCGACAACAGCCTAGTGCACCAGGCTCAGGATGACCTGCAGAAGTTGACCCTCCAGGAGCAGCAGGAGGAGGAGGAAGAAGTTGTCGATACCTCCGTCCAGCCTCCAAATTTTGTCCAACCTCACCCTCCGTTCCATGTCCACGCCGTCAAGATACACAAAGCTCGAGAGTTGACGCGTCCCGGCGCCGAGAAGAGAACGTTCCATTTCGATATTGACGTCACCGACTACCCACACGCTGAAGGTGTCGACTTCAAAGTCGGAGGTGCCATTGGTATTACTGCCCCCAACGAGGAGGGCGATGTGGAAGAGATCCTCGACCTCCTCCTCGTGCCTCGCTTCCTGCGTGCTAAGCCCGTCATGCTGCGGACCACCAAGGGCCGCTGGCCCACCGTCTGGGGTGACGACAAGGCCCGCGAGCTGGTCACCACCCGCCGCGACCTCCTAACCTGGTGCTCCGACATCCAGTCCTACCCCCCTACCAAGCAGCTGCTGCGCATCCTGGCTGAGCACGCGACCGAAGACAACGAGCGGAAGATTCTGATGTTTCTGTGCTCGGGCGACGGCCAGGGGGTCTTCTGCGACTTCCGCACCGGGCCCCACGTCTCGCTCTCCCAGCTGCTGCACGCCTTCCCCAGTTCGAAGCCGCCCTTGGACCTTCTCCTCAGCGTGCTCCAACCGCTCATGCCCCGCTTCTACTCGCTGTCCAACGACCCCCACGACTCCTTCGAGACCCGGGACGGCAAGACACACCGTCTGATCGAGATTGCAGTTACGGTTCATGAGACCGCAGACTGGAGGAAGGGATCACGAACGGGCGTCGGTTCGGGCTTCTTCCAGCGCCAGGCGCTCCGATACATCGAGGCGGAGGAGCGCGGCGTCAAGGATCCTCAGGTCTACATTCCCATGTTCAAGGGTCTGATGGCCAACCCACTGGCCAAGGAGTTCGTGTCGGACGGACCCATGCTCCTTATCGGGGCCGGTGTGGGCATTGCGCCGTTCCGCGGCTTTGTGCAGCGCCGGCTCAAGACGGCCAACTGCGCCAACAAGGTCTGGGTGCTGCAAGGCATTCGAGACTCGCTCGTCGACGAGATCTACAGCGGCGAGTGGGGCGTGCACGAGGACGAGGTCAAGCGGGTGGTGGAGAGCCGCGTGGGCGAGGGCCGCTACGTCCAGGAGGAGGTTCTCCACCAGGCCGACTTGGTCTGGTATGTCATCAATGCCGTCGACGGCCGCGTGTTCGTCTGTGGCAGCAGCAAGGGCATGGGCGAGGGTGTCGAGGACGCACTGATCAAGGTGGCCATGCAGAAGGGCAACCTGGGAGAGAGCGAGGCTAAGAAGTACTGGGACCTCAAGAAGGAGGTCGGCCAATATATCGCCGAGACCTGGTGATTGATCAACTGGATCACTACAAGGGGGATCTACCAAGATTCCTCAATGCTACACCACCTCTTTTAAGTACACCCTGTTCGCGAAACCGACCCCGACCCCGACCTCCGAGCCCGAGCCCGGTCCTCGGGGCCGGTGTTCGCTATCTCCGACCCAAACGAGAGCGAACCCTCCAACTTGAGACCATCAAAGAGGAAGAGAGGAAAAAGTTATAGACTCACACTACCGCGCAAGCCAGCAAGCATTCAGTCATTGGACTCTGGGAAAAGGAAATGGGAAAAGGCAGCACTTGCACAACGGCGTTCAACGGCTAGGAAGGGAAAGGCAGGAAGGAGGAGGTGCAAAGGAAAAACAAGCAAGACCACCACCAGCTTCTTCTTGTCTTTGGCGTTTCGCGGCATTCTTTGGGGAACTTTGCTTTTTACTCTGTATACAATTTTTACTATGATACAACGACGACAGAGGGTGCTGTCTCCTGGCATGGGCTTTTCATAGCCGCCATGCATGCCCTCTTTGCTACTGGCTTCTGCAGCGCCTCTTTTCAAATACCAAAGATGATTATATAAATACTTGCGCATGCCTTTTTACTGTTGCGCATCATGCGTTTCGAGAATTGTACAATTTGTCGAGTTCCTGGGCTGGCTCGCGGCGACCAATAGTGGCCTTCGGTTAGGTCAGGCGCTGCGTAGAGAATTTGAGAAATCGCCAAATCAAGTAGCTTGCATTGCATCCTCCTTGGTCAGGGGAAGAGCCGCATCCATAGTACAGCCACAGCCAGGTCCAATCCATCTCTCTCGTCCAATTGTTATTCACCAGACTGGTGCCCGCGTGCATAGACGACGATCTGAGACTCGAGATTACTACATAGTACGTACAGGCAGTCTAGGTAAAGAGTCGATGGGGGTAAATGTCGGAGCCTGCCTCTGTCCTCTATGAATCCGAAAGCGTCACGCTGGCGCCCGCCCGAGACTCGAGTCAGGCTGGCTGGCTTGTGACACCCTGCCTTTTGGGTTTCCAATCTTTAGTCATCAGCACACTGGGGCTAAAAGCGGCTTTACAAATGCTTCGAAATCCAAAAGATGGTCCGAAAGGACGAATCAGCGATGATTCAGTGTTCCGAGAAATAGCCGCCAGGGGTGGGGCACCCCTCCTCAACCCCACCATGAGAGACAGAGAAAGGGAAGGAGAGAGTGTGTGAAAGAACGGGAAAAAAAATTAAAGAGGGAACCCCACCACTGAAAGTTGGCTAGATACATAGTACGTACTATGGTAGTTCTGATGGTTTCATGGCGGCATGGTCCAGTATACCCGTAAATCCGTTCCACTCTGGTCTCAACGCTTGATCTACTATGGCAGATGAAGTCCTCGAGTACCTTTCGGCTTTTGACTCGATTCCTAAGGCTCTCGTCATCGAGACGCAACTTGATTGATAAGGTTTAGAAATAGAGGGAAGGCATGAAAGGATTATAGGAGCTATGACCAAGTCGTCAGTAAATGACGAGCCCAGGTTTTGGACCCCTGGTTCCGATGATGGGAGGGGAGGCATAGAAAGAGAGAACCGTTTTCAGAGAGAGGGGGAGAATTCTAGAAGATACTTGATGCGTATATACCAACCCCCCCTTCATGCCTCATCTGTGTTGAACCCGTGTCTCTTTTTTTTTTCGTCATCTTGAACCACCTGCATCTGTTGTCCACTTTTTATCCCCCCCCCCTTCTTTATTATCCCTCATAGTTCGTCAAGCCTTGGTCATCGAATCAGAGCTCAAAGTGGGGCCCGCATTGTATTATACCACAGAGTACTAGTATTATCTGCTTGCCGCGAGAAACTATGAATACGACCCGTCCCCTCGCCAGTATCGTCTCGTCCTCTCTCAAGACCGTCACCAACACCAACAACATCTTCTTGTCCACCTCAAGACTTGCCCCTACTACCATACTTCCTCGACAACTCAGAGCCACCACTCCCATTATCAATAATCACCATCTCCCCTACTCAACCACCACCACACAAAACAAGATGGCTGCCAACGCCCAGACTATCATCGACCTCGCCAAGCAGCGCCGGTCCTACTACCCGCTGTCCAAGGACCTGACCATCACCCCCGCCCGCGTCCAGGAGATCGTCAAGGACCTCCTCGACCAGGTCCCTTCCTCCTTCAACTCCCAGTCCAACCGTGTTGTCGTTCTCTTTGGCGCCGAGCACGAGAAGCTGTGGGATTTCGCCACCGAGATCCTCAAGGCTATTGTTCCTGAGGACCAGTGGGAAGGCACTGCCAAGAAGATGGCCCTGTTCAAGGGTGCTGCTGGCACTGTACGTCCTCATTCCTCTCACTCTCTTACTCTCTCTTACTCTCTCTTACTCTCTCTTACTCTCTCTTACTCTCTCTTACTCTCTCTTACTCTCTCTTACTCTCTCTTACTCTCTCTTACTCTCTCTTACTCTCTCTTACTCTCTCTCTCTCTTTCTCACCCCCTTCCCTCCCTCCCCTTCCTCTTCCCCTTCCTTTATCTCATCACAATGTCAAAACCTAACCTCTCCAATCATCCAAACAGGTTCTCTTCTACGAAGACCAAGCCGTCGTCAACGCCATGCAGGAGCGCTTCGCCATCTACGCCGACCGCTTCCCCGTCTGGGCCGGCCACACCGACGCCATGCTCCAGTGGGCCACCTGGACCGCTCTCGAGGCCGAGGGCCTCGGCGCCAACCTGCAGCACTACAACCCCTTGATCGACCAGCGCGTCGCCGCCGAGTGGAACGTCCCCGCCGACTGGAAGCTGTCTGCCCAGCTGGTCTTTGGTGGGCGCACCGGTGAGGCTGGGCCCAAGGACTTCCTGCCCCTGGAGCAGAAGTACAAGAGCTTCGGTGCTTAAGTGAAAAAGATACGGATGGAAGTAATGTAGGAAGGCAAAGGGAGAGATTATGAACAAGATTGCTCGCCTTCGTTAGAACTCTTTGTTTCTTTTTTCTGATATAGAGAAAGAGAGAGGCCGGGGGATAGAAGCTATGTATACAGACACTAGACTCTTGACGCCGTCGCCGTTTGCTATGGCGTGGCAGCCAGTGGGCTGGATAGGACTGGCTGGCTGAACTTGCATTGGGTGGAGCGCTTTCAAACAACCATCATATATATATATATACCAAAGAAATATCAAACAATATGAAAGGAAAAAGAGCCAAGACACCGAAAAGAAGGAGCAATATTTCCTTTTTTTTTTTTTTTTTTTTTTTTTTTTCTCTTCTTCCAAACTCGACGTCGGGGATGCAATGCAGTATGACGTTCCATGCTTAAGTAAAATAATATCCGCCTGTTGCTCCTCCCCAATCAGACGCACCTTGCCCCTGCGGCACTGACGTGTAAGGCTGAATGGGGAGGACCTGTCAGTCAGCCACGGGCCGAGGCGAGTATGTAAGACAACACCGCCACCCCTCTTGGGTCAGCTTTTTATTTTGCTTTTGTGATTTGATGTTTATGCATACAGTGGTGTATGTGTATCTAGGTCAGAAAGAAGTGTGGGTGGGGGGTGGGGGGCACAAATCTCGGGTGAGAATGACTCTTGTGGTTTGGGGATGCTTATTGGGGGCAGACATGGGAGGGACCGCGGGAGAGGGGGGGGAGGGGGCTTTGTGTAAGTATCGTTGCTCCCCCAGAGAGAACAAGGTTATTGGGCACTGGCAAGAGAAATGCTTATTTTAGTTCGGTATACGATTTGTATTCAGGTACCACTACTAATTAGGGTATATACCATGCATGCTAGCTAACTACATACTAAGTGCTTGGTCATGAGGACATCTCATGTCAATGGCCTGATTCCACGACTGCTGTCCCTCACAATTGTGTGTAAATGCTACCTGTTTGTTCCAAGATAAACTTTTTATATTTTTTTGTATTTGCTCCGTTTCAGAAAAGGAAAATGAAGAAGAGAGAAGAAGGAAAAAAGCAAATCGCGAGTGATGATGTGTATCATCGGTATCTATCTACGACTATCTAAAAGTGTTGTGGCTGCGTTTCCCCCCCCGGTGTCAGAGACGCAATCATCATTATGGGATGAATGTTGCATTCTCTCACACGCAGTCCTCTCTCTTGTGGACATCTGGCCCCCTTCTGCTGCGTACTGGTCTCTCTCGGGGTCGAAGTTTCCACCCGCGAGCGAACAGTTGGTTCCGAGAACCCACCTGACAAGGGAGACAGAAACCTGGAGGGGTTAAGTATGCCCTTGTGATCATTTCAAATGACAAGTTGCTGTGCTTTTTCTCCGCTGTCGTTCATTCAGTTCTGGCCATACTTCATATGTCCCTGGCGATGACATGGCACACATCACATCCCTTGCGCTCACGTTGCTTGTCGACGTTATTTGCCCACTACGCCCCCCAAAACTCCCAACTCGTATCGATCCGTGTGTAAAACAATCTGGCTCCATGACTTTATCCTTTGGCATGGCACATATGGCCCAGGGACCACTCGCAGTGGCGCCCGCATCCTTGTCAACGCACACAAGATGTGCTGACAAGCCGCGTGAGTCATCCCCTTCATAAGGCTGCACCGTTGGTGAACCGGCGATGTTACTCGGAGTACGTGCTTTTGATCCGAGTCACTTAAAGTTTAAGTTTTCATCTTTTGTCGTGACGAGTCCGGGAATAGTGCCCTCTCCCTACATGGTGTAGCTGCTTTTCAGAGCCTCGCGATCCGCAGCAGGTAGTTGGTTGAGGAATTGATCGAACTGAGGAATCATTTGCCGATAGACATCGATGATCTATACAACATGGGTTAGTGCTATTTCGGGGAGAAAGAGAAAGAAGAATTGTTTGTTAGGCGCTGGGGGGGGGGGGGGAAGGGTGTTCATCTTTCACTTACCTTCTGGAAAAGATCATGTAATTCGCGATTGATATCGCTCGGCAACCTCGTGTCGTACTGCGCTATGCACTGGAAGTACGATAACATGCTCTTCTCCATCGCCTGCGGGTTTTGGCCGACAATCATCGTGAACCCCTTCAGAGCGCTCGCTTTCTCGTCTGTAGAGTCCAGCTCGGTCATGGCACTCAGGAACTCGTCGGCAAATGTCGACAGGTGAGGCCCCAAGATGTCTGCGTTCTGCAGGCCCAAGCGGCCAAGGGCGATGGCGGCATTCTCTGTCACGCTGACGGGCACAGTCGGATTGACCATGATCTGCACGAAACGCTCCATCAGGTCGTTCACGTACGGCGCCGTACTCTTTCCATTCTGGATGGCGACCTCTCCAGCGCTCCAACAGGCGTTGTTGACTACACTGAAACAGCCCTCGATGTCTTCGTCGACTACATTATCAAAGTCGAGCTGCCTGAGCAGGATGGGGAATATCGATGATAGGTGGTTCTGCAGTTGTGGGAAAACATACTTGGCGCAATCGCCAAGAAGAGCGTACGCTGACTGTCGGACTTCATCCGCTGGGTCCTCCATACACAAATTCAAGAGCTCAAAAAAAGCTGGGTCTGCGTCCTTGACAAGAGCCTGGGCCTTGTCATCCTCAAGACACTGGATAATGGCGCTCAAGAGGTCGAGACTTGTAACGAGGAAGTCCTTGTCGGGTTGATCGTAGTTGTGGTTGGTCTTGGCCGCCAAGGTCTGCTCGAGATTCTGGTGGATGATGGTGACACAGCGCCTGAAGATAGGGTGCGCGTAGGGAGCAAAGGCATCTCTCATCGCCATGGCGACGTAAGACAAGCACTCAAGCAGCGGGAATACCTCGCGCGACTCATCGGCAACCTTCTGCCATCGGTCGATCAGGGCGGGCATCAGCTGGCTCGAATGCTCTGGCAGCGACAAAACAGGCCCGACATTCTCGGCAAGCGTCTGAACACAGTCGTAGAGAATGTACATGTTCTTGTCCTTGTACTTGGCGAAACAGCGGATGTACTGCTGAACGATCGGCCCGGTGTATGGCTCTAGGACCTTTCCGGCCTTTTCCTCGAGGTTCGCCATGGCCGACGCACCAGCCTCCTGGACCTTCTTGTTCTTGTCGAGCATCTTGTGCAGGATGCCCTCCATCATCGGCACAAAATACGCCTGTAATTGTTGTGGGTCTTTCAGGTTGGCAGCCCACGACGAGTAGCGGCCGAGCGTCCAGCATGTGATCTGTCTAACAATGGGCTCTGGGTCGTTTAAGAGGGAGATGAGGTACGAAACCAGCTCCGGCAGGTGAGGCGTCACAACCGTGATGCAGCCCTCTGCGACAGCACCGAGGGCGAGGACAGCAGCCTCTCGACGCGGCCACTCCTCGTGCTTCAGATTTGTCGTCAAATACGGGAGGATACACTCGAAGACGGGGTCCTTGAAATCGCGCGCAAAGACGTCCAACGCGGCCGCAGAGCATTTTCGCAGAGTCCATTTCTCATCCGGATTCTCGTCACCAAACTCATCGTCAATCTCGTCAATTTCACCCTCTTCCAGGTCGTTGTCCATGCTGGCAAGCTTCTGGTACGCGTTGCCGTTCTCAGCGGCATCCGCCGAATGATGCGCGGCGAGTTTGCGCGCCGACTTGTTTTGCGCGAACTGAGGCTTGATATCCTCCACGCGGTCCTCCTCTTCCTCGTCGTCCGACGCACCACCCAGCAGAGCAATATCCTCGCCGCCGTAGACCATCGACTCCAGGAGGACGGGGATGATCTTTTGAATGTACGGGTTCAGAGCCTGCCACAGGTTTTCATGCTCGCCGACTGTGAGCCAGAACTCGGCCGCCTCGCACGCAAGCTCTTCATCCTCACTCTTCTGCTGTGTGATGATATAATCCACCAGGCCAGCGATGTGGGGTGTCAGCTTGTCGGGCCTCGTGTCAACCAGTTGCACGAAGCAGCGGCAAACCTGGCGTCGAACATCCTCGTCGGCGTCGTTGGCCAAGGTGAAGAGAGCCTGGAGGAGGTCGTCTATGCAGGTGAGCATGGCCTGGGTCTTGCGCGGCGTGAAGACGTTGATGGCAGTCAGAGCCTGGGCGCGCACTTTTGGCAGGCTGCTCTTGGTCGCCTGGATGAACTTGGGCAGGAGATAGTTGAGTGGCCTCTGGCCGTTCTGCTCGCGCTGCAATATCTTGAAGTTGTCCTCGCAGATCTTGGCCATGGCCGCCATTGCGCCCTCCTGGCCCTCCGGAGACACCTGACCGGTCTCATTCCCGATCATCTTGAGAAGCTCCGGGAGGAACTCGGGCCACGAGTATATCCCCACGCGGCTGATGAGCTCTGTTGCAATATTTCCGGCGTAGCTTCGAATCTGGGGAGACTTGTCTTGTATGCCGAGAGGAACGGCCATCTTGATCAGACCCAGCGAGGCCTCGGGGATCTGCTTGAAATTGAACTTGACATTGTTTTTCAGCATGATCGCCGCGGCGGACCGAACAAGGCCATAATCTTGCGCGGAGAACTGGAGGCCCGAGGGCGGTTCGGCGCTGGAGAAGAGGTAGGCTAGGTAGTTGTTGAAGTCTGGTGAGGTTTTGGCTTGTGACAGCATCTGACGGAAAAGAAGTTAGCAACGCCTGTTTCGGAACGGAGAGACGCATGTGGACGTGGCCATACCAGCTCGGCCTTCTTCTGAGCTGCCTTGTCGAAGCCGCTGAGAGAGTCCTTGAGATAGACGGCCAGAGTCTGGAGAGACTCGGGCGAGGGTTGCCACGCCATGACAGAGGACGGATGCGGATTCGTGGAAGTGCAACAGGGCGCACCACCTCCACAACAGGCCCGAGGAGGATCAAGAAAGATATAGCCAAGTGTCGGAGAGGCTTGCTCTGGTGGGATTCAATTCAGTCTGGTCGAGGAGAGAATAGGAAGGAGGGAAAAGAGGAAGAGGGTTGGGAGCGGTTTGTGCAAGAGATCGCCGGTTGGGAAGAAGGTTGCAAGCTTAGCGGCTGGGCAGGCTTGTATAAAGAGTGAGTAGAGTGAGCGGGCGGGTGGGTGTTTCTGAGCTGTGGTAAGAGGGTAGAGGGATTGGTGGGGTGTTTGGCAGGGGCACGGGCTCCAAAAGATTGCAACCCCTCTCCAAGAACACCAGGCGCCGTTACCAGCCAGGAAACAATGTGGGGAAAAGGACCAGGGCGAAAACAAGCCCCCCTCCAAAAATAAAAGAGAAGGAAGAACGAAAAGCAAGAAGAAGAAAAAGACGAACAGAAAATAGAATAATAGAAAAGGATAATCCAAAGCTGAACAAGTCGAATCAATCTTGTGAAACTCAGTACAGCGCATAAAATTTGCACCTTGGCCTACATTGACATAAAAGATTTAAAAAAAAAATTTAAAAAAAATTGTGACAGTGTGAGATGGGGGCCAGAGCCGCCCCAAGTCCTCAACTCTTGAGGCGTGGTAGCCCTGACGTTGTACCACTGCCCGTGTGTCTGATTTTTTCATCCTCTCTTCCCTTCTCGCCTCCTGTTAGACCTTGCTTTAGTCAGGACACTTAAACTGAGCTTTCATGGCTATGGGAGTAGCTTAAGTGGGTCCCTCTTTATTTCTGACCAAGCGACTTCACCTGCTGGCACCCTTCCACCTTCTTCTCAGCTGCAGGTGACCGTTCAGCCGGCGTGATAAGGTGATTATCAGAAATCAGTAGAAGCAATGCGTCAGACTCGAGCCGCGTACCAAAAGTAGCCTTTCCTGTTTCCTTTCTTTTACTCTTGTTTTTACTTCTCAAGACCAGACGAAGGTCATGAGGGTGGGTACAAACACCCGAGTTTCAGTGAGACCTCCTGACCTGCAAACTGCGGTAATGCTCTGGAAATCACAAGGAGAGCGCCGCATCGCCAGCGTGACAGCACCAAACGGTAATTTTGGACCTTCGTCTCTCTCTTGAATACTCAAAGACTTTAGATGTCCATGGACTAGAACAGGTGGCATTAACAAGCCTCCCTTGACATATGCACCGAGCGCCGTCACAGTCGCAATACTGTTGGCACTTAGACTCGAGCTTCCCAGATATCAGCAGAAAAGCTGGAGGCGGAGAAAAGCCCCAGGTCACAAGTCTCTTGTCGATATGATTATCGAACCCCTGCTCTGACGTAGTTGGATAGTAGCATGTGTTCAACGGCTGCTGCACATTGCCTATGCCAACTTTGTTCCCGATGCTTTGCTCTTCCCAACTAAATTATTAGAAGTCTGCTTGACTCCTGCGGTGACCCCGTGCTTCATGTTGTGGGCCGTACACACGAGACCTAGCATTACAATCTTGCTGTACGACTTGGTCGAGGGGCTTGGGCTTCTTCAATGAGAACAATGGTTGGGTCACCCAACTCGTGTGGTCTACCAGTCGCCTCGGGAAGTGTCGAACAGGCTCAGTTGCTGAATGGTCACTGACCGTTCCCTGATGAGGCCAGACTATCTTTTCTCAAAGTGTTCAAGTTTTTCTCCAGTGGCCGTTCACTCATGAGAACCTTCGCAACGGGGGGCCCAAGGTAGCATGTTAGCTTGTTTTGACACAGGGCGTTTGCGCCCGAAGGATTACTGACACCAGCAGTCTGCAAGGGATCGGCACTGTGCTGTGACCTGAGGGGGAAAGCTTGTTGCAGCGAAATTTGACAGCAACATCGTATCCGGTTGTCCTGATTTCAGACATGCTCAACATTTCCATAGGCTAGACTCACTGCGAGTGCCTGCTAATCCAATCCATTGCTCGACCTAGCTTCTGCTCCGGTCGGGCTCACGTCGTCAAAATCTTCTGAAGCCTGCGGTGTGCACGCCCTGTGTGACGCGGCCACCTGCACTGGCACCCCTGGCTTGGTGGTTCAGAAGTGATACGGTGAATACCTTTCGCGGCTGGCGTTCCCGCGGGGGAAGGGGGAGGTCACACTGGCTCAGAGCCCGCCCTCCCGCCCGCCAATGACCAGAATCGAGTTGAGCCTCTGGTGTCAGAAAATATGACCTGCACTGGCCAGCACCTGCCCAATAGTGCAGCTAGCAGGCAAGCAACCAAGACATCGCAAACCACGGCCCTTCATGAATCGCTGATGGATATCCCAGACACTCCATTCGTGATGCCCTGTGACGTCTGCAGTTTCTCAGTGACGACCTCGACAACCGTCTTAAAAGCCTCCATCTCTTCCTCTACAGTCCCGCCGAGCCCTGCGCCTGCGAGACTCACCGAGCTGCCCACGTATACAGGGAGCTGGGCCCTCTTCGCGAGGAGCCGGGCCAGGCGGGAGGTGAACTCCAGCGAGGACTCAACGCTGAAGAGGGGCGTCGAGAGAGGCTGACTTGGATTGAATTTCTAGCGAGACGAGGTCAGCACAGCGACTCGGCTGAGGGCATGAACAGGACTCACGTCAGGCAACGAGTAGACAAAAGAGCCCATGGTCGGCGGGCTAGACATCTCGTCTGCCGATGCGGTCGTCAGGAAGAGCATAATGGACTTCGCCTGGACGGTCAGATGGATGTAGATCCGGGTGTCGAGTGACCTCGGAAGGGGGAAGGAGAGCTGAAACGTTTGCATCGTGTTCGCCATGTTTACGGATCCAGGCAAGTGTAGCAAGCTTCCCCAGGTCTGATGATGGATGGGGTGAGCGGCTGACGGATCACTGGACAAAGTTACTCTTGCTTCGTGCACCCTGGAGCTCTCTTAACTGCAGTATTGTGAGCCTAGGCAGGTCTGCTGCTGTAGCAGTTAAGCTTACAGTGGGCTGCCGAAGGATTACAGTGGATGCTGTGCAGCTTGTGCTAGGGCCTGGGTTGGGCCCACCCACCTTGTCTGCCATGCAGCAAACTCGACTAGGCCTTAGCCTGGGCAGGCATTGCTGGTCAAACCCTCCGAAACTGCAGCAAGCCCTACTCCAACAAATCGACCTTCAACCTCCGCCATGGAAAACAACAAACGATATAAGCCCCGCTAGTCCACAATATAAATCCCACCTGTCCACGATGTCGTTTGACTTGCTTTTTGAATAACAAATAACATTGCTAATCTCCCAAGATTTGTATTCTTGTGTTCCTTCTCTTCTTTACATCTACAACTTTACTCTTCAGTATGCATCTCAACATTTCATGATCAAGCACCCTTGGTGATCAAGTCCGGAGTTATCACGAGAGAGCATTTCCGAGAAATCTCAACATCATCACACCCACATAGCTGTTGACGTGAGAATCACCAAGCAGAATCTCACCATCCCACAGACAATCCTGATCTCTGAGAACAAGCTCCTTGAGTCTCGGTCTCAACAGCACAACATTGACAACCCACTCAGCAGAACAAAAAACTTGTGCCCTCTGAAGTACAGACAGAATGGCAACTCAGCAGGAGTCCACAGATGAGAATGCCTGGCAGGGCATTGACAAGACTGTTGATGACCCAGAGGAGGCCAGAGTCATGTTCTGTGCTCTTGACTCTTTCATGTCAGTTATACACATCCGAATGCATCTGCTATCCCTGCATTCAATTTACTGTTATGCCATCTTTGTTGAGCCGAAGCTCTACATGCCTCTTCAGAATGGGCATTTCCCATACTGCATAGACTTCACCTCTCTCCCTCTCTCAGAGAATATTACTGACAGCCCCTACAGGCAGTACGGAAAGGTTGCCCACTTCAACTGCACCCATCTGCGCCGACAGTCTTTTTACGCCCTGCCCGAGGCTCACTGGAAGATGCTCGCCGCTCCCCCTTTCAACTATCTCGAGACCCTGGACAAGGTCGACGCGGCTATTGACTCCAATGCCGAGCTTGCCCGGAACATCGCCAAGCACGGAATGCGGAGCTTCCAGGTCTACGAGTCCAACGGGGAGGGTGACTTCCAGATGCCCGAGCAGTGGGCTGGCGTCGCTAAGTACGGCGACATCGACAAGGCGAGGAGCACCCTTCGTCAGTTCTACCGTGACTGGTCTGCTGAGGGTGCCGAGGAGCGTGAGGCCAGCTACGGTCCCATCAAGCAAGCCCTGGCCGCCGAGCGCGCGAGCAAGCCTGAGGTTGAGCACCTCAAGGTCCTCGTCCCAGGCGCCGGCCTGGCCCGCCTCGTCTTCGATCTGACCCTCAGTGGCTGCGATGCCGAGGGCAACGAGATCTCCTATCACCAGCTCATTGCCTCCTCCTACATCCTCAACTTTGTCCAGTCCGCTGGCCAGCACACAATCTACCCGTGGGTTCACACCTTCTCCAACCACAGCACCCGCGAGCGCCACCTGCAGGGCTACAAGATCCCCGATATACACCCTGCCACGGCGATGTCGGCAGCCCAGGATGTCGGCTCCATGTCCATGTGCGCGGCGGATTTCTTGTGTCTGTATAGTGATGCAGAGCACAACGACACCTACGACGCTGTGGCCTGTGTCTTCTTCCTTGACACGGCGCCCAACCTGATCCGCTACCTCGAGACCATCTACAGCTGTCTCAAGCCCGGCGGCGTTCTCATCAACATCGGCCCTCTCCTGTGGCACTTTGAGAACAACGCTCCTGGAAATCACGGTCACGACGACGACGGCGATGGCGAGCATGACGCCAACAACTCGTCGGGGATTGCGGATCCGGGCAGTTTCGAGCTGTCTGCTGACGAGGTGATGGCCCTCGTCAAGGGCGTCGGCTTCGTTGTCGAGAAGGTCGAGTCCAATATCAAGGCTCCGTACATCCAGGACCAGCAGTCCATGCTGCAGACCATCTACTACGCCACCTTCTGGGTGGCTCGCAAGCCTGCTGTCTGAGTCTGTGGATCCAGATGAACCCCCCACAGCCTGACCAACAAGAGCGGCGAAACGCTCCTGCATGTCATTGTTGGAACCGAAAGCCAGAAAAAGGTGTTGATGAAGAGACGACCAGCTCGATTAACTTTTTTATGGCCCAGGTTGCTCACCACCTGCATCTTCATTAAAGGAAAGGAGAGAAGAAAAAAATAACTTGATCACCGAACGCACATCAGAGCCCGATGCGACAACTTGTTGCCGCCTGGAACAACTTATGGCCATGACAGGGCAGAATTGTGCAGGATGTTGTCTTTGTCGAGCTGATGTTGGCGAACGACATACCCTCGAAGTTACCCACGAAGGAATTTATGCGACACGAATCCGTTCACCTGTCGGTTCAGGGGCCCGCTACTTCTTGGTTGAGCAGCGCATTATGCGCCCTTGGTGACTTGGAGAGTTTAGGAGTTTTGCGTTTCTGAGGGGGTTCTTCTTTTCTTTTTCTTCTGTTTTGGACCGGCCTTGTTTCCAGTCGGCATCGGAGAAAAGTTTAGGCCTCGGGTAATGGCCTGGGAGATGATAGAAATGACCTGCGTTCGCTGTAAAAGGCATGCAAGGTTTTGATCTTTGGGTTGCACATTGGTGGAGCATTGAAGGCATTTGCGGATAGATGAGATGTGATCCGGGCTCGGCACACAGATAGATGCCTCATTTTTACAGGTACTAAGCCAGAGCCTCCAAGAGCATATTGAGGTCTTTCCATCTTTATTTCCTCTCGGATTAGAAATGAAGGACATGCATATTCCCTGGTGGTTTCTCTCGCAACACACACACACGCATACACGCACACACGCTCTGATTTGCTGATGTATACCAACTGTGGTCTATCCACGATATACACACATACAGCAGCTTTCTCTTCTCCTCCCTCTCTGTCTTCCTTCCTCCTTCTACAGGTGCGAGTCCCCAGCAGCCGACAATTCCCCCCTGGTCCACATCGCACCACCATCTATAGCCACCGCCTCCCCATTCACATGGCTTCCCGCCCTGCTACACAGATACACTACCACACCCGCAATATCCTCAGGCTTCCCAAGCCTCCGCATAGGGTTCGAGTCCTCAAACTTCTTCTGGCCCCCGCTCAGCTCCAGCAACACCGTGCTCATCTTGGTTGGGAAGAAGCCCGGACAGATACTATTCACGGTAATATGGCGCGGCCCCAGCTCGACAGCCAGGTTCCGCCCCAGATGAATCACGCCGGCCTTGCTGGCCGAGTACCCAAACGTGGCCTGCTTCCCCAGCGTGCCGACGCCCAGCCCGGCGACCGACGCCGTGATCACCACGCGGCTGGGATCCGCGATCGAGGCGCGCGCCTGGAGCAGCGGCGCAAACAGGCGCACCGTGTTGAAGACGGCGCGCATGTTGAGGTCAAAGACCTTGGCGATGGCGGCGTCGGGGTGCGTGTCGAAGGCCTCGCCCCACGTGGCGCCGGCGTTGGCCAGGAGGATGTCGACGTGGTCTGTGTGGCTGCGCACGCCGTCGACCAGGGCTTTCACGCCGGCCTCGGTCGCACTGTCAGCGGGGACGGAGATGGCCTGGCTGCCTTGGGGGAGGTTGGGGAGGGCGTTTAAGGTGGCGACGGCGGCCTCGCAGGCTTTGACTTTGCGGGAGGAGATGAAGACTTTGGTGCAGCCTGCTTGGAGGAGGCTGTTTGTTTGTTAATAGGGGAGTATGTTGGTTGATTTGGGTTCATTCTTGTGTGTCGGGGTTTATAAGCTTGATGATAACTTACGCTGAGGCTGCTGTCAGGCCGAGTCCTCGCGAGCCTCCAGTGACGACAGCGACTTTGCCCTTGAGGCTGAAGAGGGAGGGAAAGTCCTCGATCTTGTGGTCCTCCATGTTGCAGTTTATGGTCTATGCAACTGTATCCTAGCCTCAAATAAAAATTGTAGATCTATTCCGTGTTTTTGGTCAATCTCATAATCTCATTATATCTCAGTTTGAGGGGAGAACTTTGACACGACAAATCGAGGGACTTACTAGAGATGGCGATAGATGGAAATCAAGCTGTTGTTCGTGCTGTCCTTGCTATAAGCTGATGATGGTGTAGAAATATATCTAAGAAACTCGTAGATGAAGATGAAGAGGAAGAACAGATCTTCAGAGTGTGAGAGAGAAGAAAAGAAGACGGTCCGGAAGACTACATACAAGCTTCCCCGGACTGGGGGTGGAGCACCAGCCGTGACGATTTGCGGGGAGGGAACAAAAAGCCGAGGCTCGGTCGATCCGCTACGAAAGGATACTAGTTACTGTAACCTCTCTTTAGACGCCATGTCTGGTGGCGTTCAGAGAAGATGCGTGTTGCAATTGGGGTTTTGTTTTTATTTATATTTATATATTTCCAAGTCCTCTCACTCATCGTCTCTTGTTGGTGCTGTGTTTGGTGGAGCTCGTGGGCGTCTCTGTGTCTTGACTTCACCACATACAAATCACGGTATCTTGTATTATGCTCAACCCAAGTAGAGAGAAATCATAACCTGACCAGGACGTAGGTGGACTGGCAGACTTTACGCGTCAATGATATGACCATAGAGGTTGACCAAGTATACGTCGGCCATCCATTACCTCGCGAGAGAGACGGAGATCTAAGATTCAGCTCAAGTGGCAGGACAGCAGAAAACACTACGTCCGATGGATGATGAAAAGAAACACGCCAGGCCGTAGCTTTCCAGTGCCATCATCTTCCAGACGATCGAAGACAATGCTCATGAGATTCCCGATGTGTTGTTTGGGATCCATGCACTCTCATGCCCTGAACGTAAAGGCCAGGCTGGATTCATCGTCGCATGGCCGCGACATCTTATGAGACCCCATCGGCCAGACTTTCTCATTTATGAATTGGTATCTGACAACACGCTGTTTTTGCCCTCATACTCCGTGCTTTAATATGCGATTTGTGCGCAATGGATATCTCTCCCGTTTCCTTTGCACGTGCTCTTCAATGCCCAAGACAATAGTAATACATTTTTATCAACAAATCGCCTTTTCGTCTCACTTGTGCTCTTGCCGGCTTTGGAGAGGAAAAAAGTAACCAGCTCAAGACGCGGCAACAGGCTCAGGCTGCTGCTGCTGTTCTCCACTAGTCCCGCTCGGTGGGACATTGCCGTCCTGCTGAGCTCCATCCGCATCTCCAGCAGCGCTCTCTTCCTCCTGGCCCGTGGCCGCCGAAGCAGAAGCCGCTTCAGCAGCCGTACGCTCCTCCTCTTCGCGGCGTTCCTGTTCAGCTCGCTCAGCTGCCTCCTGCCGCTCCCGCTCCGCGCGTGCCTCAGCCTCGAGCCGCGCAATGTGCCGCTCAGCAACTCCTGGTAGGATGCTGGCCAGAAGTAGAAGGCTGGCTCTCTCGATCCGGCGTATCTGGTCAAGCAGCCAGTTCGCGTTCTGTTCCCTTCGCTGCTCCACCAATCGAGCAGCAGCCTGCGCGGGGTCTGGCTCACCCTGATGCTGTCCAGCCTGTGGGTTGGGATTGTTTCTGTTGTTGTTTTCGCCGCCCTCATGAGCCGGCGGTGCGTTGTTCCTCCTCCTCTCGGGACCCGCAAATGGGATCAAACCCTCGAGATGCTGCCGTACAGGCTGGAACAGCTCATTTGCCAACCCGTTGAAGAGTCCCGTATTGACGAGAAACACGGCTGTCGCTAGGGACATGATGATAAACCAGCGCGTCCAGCTGGTGTTTGCTGATGTGAACCACCACACAAACACCGCCAGCCTGATCAGCAGCCAGACGTGAGGCCACAGCGCGGCAAGCAAGGCCGCAGCCAGATTACCTTCGGGATTGGCCGGGTGCATGTGTGCAGCACCTGGGGCTAGCGGCTGGACTCGTATCTGTGGCTGGCCTGCTGGTTGCTGTGCGGCGGCAGGTCCTTGGTAGGTATTGACGCGTATGTTGCCTTGTTGCGGTGCCTGCTGGGCAGCAGCCTGCTGCTGGGCTGGTGCCGAACCACCAGGATGGGACTGGGTAGGAGCTTGGGCCTGTTGGGGTCCCGAGGCGACGCGTGGCAGCGGCGAGAACCACGTCGGAGGAAACATGGCCGTCGTGATGGTGGGAACATGATAGGTACGTGGAGAAGGTGTGTAGTACAGCTCTGCAGAAGTGTTCATGAGAAGTGCCCGTGGTCCCTGGGGGGAGTTGACGATGTAAACCTCGGGCAGGCTCGGAGTCGGCAGTCTGTTTGATTGTGCCGACAAGCTGTCGTGGCTCTGCGTTCTCGTGGTCTCAGGTGTCGCTGTCCTGCTGTTGGGGGCCGGGGCCGCAGAGGCGGGTCTCCAGGGCACAGTGACGCCTGGTGTCTGAATGGGCGGTAGTTGGCCATTCAGGTGCAGCTGGTTCAGGTGTGCCATCGCGGCACCATGTGCACTTCTTTGCATGGCATCGGTCATCCTCGCCGTCGCCTGGGTAGCATCAGCAGCTCTGAAGATGTTTCCCACGTCAGTTGATGTGAGGGGAAGGTCTGGGCCTGACGCGCCCGCGTTGGCCGGCTGTGAACTTGGTCGAGCGATACCCTGGAGCTGGCCATCGGGACCCCAGAGTGCCGAGGTCTGCGTCGTGATGCGGTAAACGTCACCGTTCGGAGTGACAGCAGCGCCTCCTTGAGGAGGCGGGATGCTGGCCGCCTGGCCGCCTCTCGCCTGATCTGGAGGAGTCATACCCATCCGTTGCTGCACCTGGTTCATGTAGTGCTGAATCCTCTGTTGCTGCTGATGTGGGTGCGGCTGGTGGTGGTTCAAAGCGTATCTCGCTGGGTTGATTGCGTCCTGGTGCATCCCTGGGGGCCACAGCATTGGCGGGCGGCGATATTGGGGCCCGCCTTGGACATTGGGAGGCGAGAAGGGCTGTTGAGGAGGGCGAGGGAGCGATGTATCCTGACTAGGAGGCGCGGTGGAGGCGCCTGGGGAGGCGCCTGGGGAGGCGCCATGGTTCTGGACTTCACGGAGAACCAGGTGTATGACGAACTGGTTGGTATCGTGGATCTATCACGGCAATGCACGTCAGTAAGAGGCCCGAGAGGAGGACGAGACGGGCCAAGACTACTCACACGCTGCTCGCCCAGCATTTGAAGAAGGGTGTCTTGCTCCCTAGCCAGCAGTTTCCCCTGGTGTATCAAACGCTGCTGCTCGTTTGTCGGCTTTGACTCCAAGACATCTCGGATCTTCTCCTTGAGCTCTGCAACGGTCGTTGAGGCCGGAAGACCGGGGAATCTGAGGGCCTCGTCTACGCTTGGAGAGGGCGAGACGATGGAAATGTTGACAGAGAGCTCCTCTTGAGGAGGGGGGGAAGGAGGAGCTGCTGACGAGGACCCCGTCTCGTCAGCCATGGCAGAGCAGAGTGAAGGTGCACGATTTCAAGGGTTGCAGCAAGCTGAGATGACGTTGCATATGCTCTGGTGGGCGAGGGACAGCTTCAATTCCCTCCTTCTTTTTGTATTATTGTGAGGGTGGTGGAGAGTGTTAGACGAGAAAGAGGAGATCTGGTTGAGACCTGATGGGTGTTAAGTGCACACAACTGGTTCCATGTTTACAACATGTGCTTTGGAGGGCGTTCAGAAAACAAAGACACAACCCCCAAATGTTACACAGTGAATAATGTATGGAGGAAACAAGGCGCTATTCAGCAGCGGCAGTGCCTGCCACGGCGATCAGGCCAGGTAAGCTAGAATTCCAGGGCTCTCTTAGCTATGGTGTTTGGTACAGGGGTGGGGGTCCGGGAACGCAGGCGGGTCAGGGTCAGGAACCGACCGGTAATTACGTACTCAAAGGTACTGTACAGTACTTGCTATGTAATACTACCCAGTCAAGAAGACCCTGCCCCTAAGCCTCCTCATACCGTGCCTGGGATTGAAACCAGTTGAATTGGCTCTTTACAATGGATGAACTCCGTGGGATTATCCAATCTTGCCATTCTCTCCAATATATCACAGATTAGCTTCCTTCAATTACCACACACCCTTTTTTCCCAGCCTCCTGCCTCTTTGTGTCCCGGTTGCCAGGTCCTTAAGGTCTGGCCGGACATGCTGAGCCCAAGCTTGGCAATTGGTCAGTCACTTGTGTACATAGTAAAATCCCATTGCTCTGCCAAAGACGTCATACCAACTAACCGTTCCACCCTGCCGGGACTACTTGACCAAGGTGCCAAGCTACTACCATAGTACATACAAATACAATACACAGTCTTGAAAACCTCCTTCACACGTGCTGTCCATCTATGTGTACAAAGTATCCTTTTGAATTTCAGAGTACGCGTTCCGGCAAAATCGGAACAATCGGTCCTCAACGCATTAACAACCCCTGGATCATACGATGGGTCGATGGGTCTCTTGACCAGCCGATATCGATAAGACTCTATCACAAGGGAAAATTTCCCAACAAGTACACGGCCGATTCCCCATCTCCGCGAGCCCCAGCTCTATCCTGAGCGCATGATGGCTTCCATGTCCAGGCTTGGCAGCGGCCTCGTGCGAAGTGCGCTGCTCGATGAGTCCCCAACCGCCCGCCGCTGTCCAACCTGTCTACAGCGACAGGCACTCTTCCAGACAGGAAGGCCGAGACAGCCTTTCTCCCCTCAGGCCGCCGGCCAACAGCAGCTGACTCCCCAAGGCAGCGGCGGCCGTCGATTCTACTCCCAGCAGTCTCAGTACCGCCCCAGGTTTTCGTCACGATTGCGGATGGCATTAGGCAGGTCTCGGACTGAGTGGTACTTCATCCCCGTCGGAGTCGGCATAGGATTCCTGGGACTAGTTCAAGGCTACAAGGTCTATACGAGGGAGAAGGAACAGCAAGAGGAAGGGCAACAGCCAGCAGCCAGGTCAAAAAAGCGCCCAAGAATACGACCTGATGGGCCATGGCAGGTCCAGGTGATGTCCACGCTACCGCTCAAGGCATTGTCTAGGCTGTGGGGAAAGTTTAACGAGGTGGACATCCCCTACTACTTCCGTGTCCCTGGCTTCAAGCTTTACTCTTGGATATTCGGCGTCAAGTGAGTTCACCCCGTGGCGTTGTGCTTGGTGTTGTGGAAGTCCGAGTGACTGACAATGGAGCAACAAAAAGTCTCGACGAAGTTTCTGAGCCCGACCTGCACGTCTACCCTAACCTGGCAGCCTTCTTCTACCGGACCCTCAAGCCTGGTGCGCGACCACTCCATCCCAACCCGAATGCCTTGCTATCGCCCGCGGACGGAAAGGTGCTGCAGTTTGGACAGATAGAAGGCAACGATATCGAGCAGGTGAAGGGCATGACATACAGCATCGACGCCCTCCTCGGCAAGAATACACCTACGCCCAGTCTGAGGTCCGGCATCAGCACGCCGCTCAGCGACGACGGGACCCCGCCCGAGGAGAGAGAATCCCAGAAGGATGCCGAGGTCGTCAAGCAGGACGAGGAATTTGCCCGCGTCAATGGCATCCCCTACACTCTGCCCGGCTTCTTCTCCGGGGCGGACATGTCCAAGAGCAAAGACCAGCCCTCGGACCAATCGACCGGCGCATCCCCAGCCTCCGTCTCAGAGGTTCGCGCGGACCTGGCCCTAGGCGAGCGTCCCTGGTACGATCTCCTGTCCCAGGAGCACCCGACCTCTCTCTACTACGCCGTCATCTATCTCGCGCCGGGCGACTACCACCGCTTCCACTCGCCCACGAACTGGGTCGTCGAGCGCAGGCGCCACTTCGCGGGCGAGCTGTACAGCGTATCGCCCTACCTCCAGCGGACCCTCCCTGGGCTCTTCACACTCAACGAGCGCGTGGTGCTCCTCGGCAGGTGGCGCTGGGGCTTCTTCTCCTTCGTCCCTGTCGGCGCGACCAACGTAGGCTCGATCAAGGTCAATTTTGACCGCGAGCTGAGGACCAACAGCCTCACAACCGACACGGCCGCAGATAGGGCCGCGGAGGAGGCGGCTGCGCGGGGCGAGCTGTACACGGGCTTCTCGGAGGCGACGTACGAGACGGCCAGTCCCGTGCTGCAGGGCCACGCGCTACGGAGGGGCGAGGAGATGGGCGGGTTTCAGCTGGGCAGCACCATCGTGCTGGTCTTTGAGGCGCCGCTGGGGAAGGTAGACGAGCAGGGGCAGCTGCGCGGAGGGTGGAACTGGGGAGTGGAGAAGGGGGTCAAGGTCAAGATGGGCCAGGCCCTGGGGTGGGTGAGCGAAGAATGAAGACGTCGTGTGGGCATACGCATTTGTGGAAACTATGTAAGTTGGCTGCACACTAAGAGCGCAGGAACAGACCTCTTGTGGCAATTCTCGCTCGTCGAGCCCACCATTTTCGAAAATTCCAATACAAAACAAAGACTAAATGGACAACATTTGCAAGTTGCCAAGGTTTCGAGCAACAATGAAGAAGCATAGTCGGTATATGAACACGATGGTGGCCCTTTGAGGCGTATACCACCTGCGAAGAACATCTCCAGACATAAAAGTTGGCTCCCAAGGCCTTCATTACTTGGACGTTTTTGCTGCCATCTATCAATAAATATCATTTAAACTGCCCGGAGGCATCAAAAGATGAGGTTCCGCGAATCATCGCTCAAAGTGTCATGAATGGCTTGACAGGCGCGTGATCAAAAGCTGCCTCGTCAAAAGTAGAATCCTACAGTAGATTCACTGCCGGTGGTCGTATCTTGACATGTTCGTTCCAATCTCACGTCTCCTTGTCTATCTATCTTCAGGCACCAGCAAATCACTTGTTCGTGTCCTGTGTTTGGCGTCGTTTACAGACGGAGACTTATGGGATGATGCTACCGCCACTATTGGACTAGCAATAGACAAAAGGTAGACATTAGTATCAGATTGTTTTGAGGGCAATGCTGAATGAAGACCTTTCCGGTATGTAGCACATTCGACCTCCTTCTAGCTCCCAACAGAGGCCCCCTTATGTCAATAGAGAACACATCAGAGGCTACATGTGACGAGAACCGCAGAAAGGCAGGAGCGGCATCATGACAAATGAGAGTGGTCAGTTTATGGCACATATGGAAAGATCGGCACGTACCCTCTCCTTCCCTCTCGCATATCGGCAGTCCCATGAAGACTTCCTCGCTCCAATTCTAGGCCTACCTTTCTCTTATTCTTTTTCAACCACCCGAGGACTCTAAATCTTCAACTGTTCTCCTTCGGTGCATAATCTTTGATACGTTCGTTCAGACTGCTATCGTCAACAAAATCTATTCTTTTACCTTACACCTCTTCACAGGCAGCCTTTAATACTTACATATACAACCTGATGCGCAGAGTCACTACGAGGTACATACAGATTGACGACCACGACATCATGGAGCACCTATCAGACAAGCATTACTCCAACACTGCCTCACTGACGTCAATGGACAGGCCGTCCATCATTGCGCTGAAACCTTCACCGGTCACAATCTCCGAGTGTGGGTCAGAGACTGAAGATATGGCCTCTATCACTGCTCTGAAGTCGCCAACCTTTTCTACGGAGAACTCTCCACTTTCGCCTATCCCGTTGTCGACACCGTTCACATGCCTACAGGAGCTGCTCGATAGGCCCACGTGCCAACCTCGAAAACGTCGACCACTTAGCGCTCACGAAACCGCAGACTTCGAAAATGTCCACAAGCAGTACGTCCACCAGCTAGAGAAGGTTGGCGAAGGCGCTTTGGCAGGTATGGCTCTTGGCCCTGAGCATTCAATCTTATACCCTTGCAATGCAGCCGTCCTATTGATCTCCTCATGATTGATAGCACTTGATCTTTCTTGAAGATGGCTTGTGAATTTTTCTGACAGCCAGCTAGAATACCTGGAAAACCAGTTCCAACACCTTGTCACGTCGTTGGGATCGCGGAAGGAGGATATAGTCTCAATGGCAGTGCCTTCAATTTCTCCTCTCGGTGGCGCTACATCTACTTTGAACAGCCGACAACGGGCATGGAAGGGGTTCATGGGACTGAGAAATCTGTTCGACTCCAGGAGACAGAAGCATCTTTCAACATTATCGACAAATTTGGTGGTCGAGCGTATGAGAGTAAGCCTCCGTGGTCTTGCCAGATTGCCACACAGGCACAAACCAAGGTTCATGCCCGCCAGTCCCACACTCAACGTCGGCTCGCTACGTGATGAACCACCGTTACCACACAGCATTGTCAACCAGCCAGACATCGACACAGCTCACAGTGATACCTCGTATGGGACGTCCATGGATACATCCACATCATCGCCAGATGGAAACCCTTTTATGGACAATCGGTGCTCCTACAGCGTTCACTCAGTAGCCTCCTCCTCGAACTCGAGTCTATTCGCCGCGCCTGTCAAGCCAGGGCGGACGATGCCAAAGGAGAAGCTCGCCAGACTGGCTAGGTACGGAGAGCTGTTGCATGATGTCGAATCAAGAACCCCACTTACATTGATGGAGATTGCGAAGAACTCTAGAGTCTTGCTTGAGCAGTTGTGCGATTCAGAGACGATGCAGCAGTTGGTCGATTCTGGCCTGCTGAGGCAGGTGGTAGACATTGAGCTACTGAGACGAGCTCTTGAGTTCTTTTGCCTGTGGATCGATGCGGAAACTATAACTGAGGACAAGGATGAAATGAAGTCTGAGGTCTCCGAGCCGCCCATTGCTCGGCCTCTTCAGAGTGGAGATACTGAATCATGCCAGACATAACCCAAGCTCGGGATATTGAGCTACTGAGGCCTGCAGAGGGAATGCGATAGTGCTCTAGGGCCGGTATCGCACTGATTGCTGCATGCAGCTGATGGGTGGCGATCGAAGTTCAAGGGAAGCGTGTACCCCATCAAATCCAGCGTCTCCGTCTGATCTGCTAAGGCTTTCATAGATCATTGTGTATTGAATAACAAAACAGCGTCCAAAAGTCAGGAGAGACACTAAACGCGAGAGATTGAAAACTACCGAGGCAAAAGGCGTTCCAGCCTTTACATATGTATTTTTTTATATATATATCACAGTGCTGGAAACCCGCAGCTGTACACTCTTCTGCAAATTGCCTTACAAGCCGTCTTCATGGACCACATACAAAACTGCACTTTGGGACTTTCGTCACTGTCGTCGGGCGCAGATACCCACCGTACTGCATGCATGATGTCTCTGAACCCCGGTCTAGTCCTCCCGAAAGCGCCAGCCCCTCAGCTTCATTTCCATCTCAGACCACGATGACTGACGGACGACTCTTACACTGCTGGGTTAGGGAAGTTTGGAGAACGAGGACAGCAAGAGAGCGAGTCAGGGGGAAACCTTGCCATCGCTTCCCTTCCGGCTCCACCCCCCGCTGGCCCTTCGGCTCGGCACGATTCTGACAGGCGATCTATCTTCGGCCCGGGCCTGGAGGAGACGATGGGTGGATCTGATGGTCTGTCGTTATGATCTTGCCTTTCTTTTCGGGAAGAACATGGCTGCGTTGTTGGACTTGGGGGTAAGAGTTGAGGGTGACGAGAGGCCAGGTGAGGGCAGTGTAAACTGTCATTCCGACACATTTTGGTATGAATAGGAAGGATTTTTGACAAGGACGATCTTTCAGCCACCTTCTCACTCACACCCACCTCACCGGGTCTATCTCTTCCTTTTCGACATCCAACAGCTAGTTGCCCCCACGCCATGCATCGATTGTCCACAAAGAGGTGAGGTGAGCACACCGTTCCCCCCCCCCCCTTCTTTCCCGTCCCTTCCACGCCGATCAAGTCACAGGCCTGCTGCCCCTTCACACTTACACTTCGCCGAAATGGCCGGCACCGAGGCAAGATGAGGCTCTGCGGAGTAACCTTCTCCGGCCTGTTCAATTCGCAATCTCATGCACTTTTGTTTTATTCATTTCAAGGAGCCTCTCCGCCCCCACTGTCATATCCCGAAACCACCCCGAAAAAATTGGGGGCGTGACCACTCTCTACCGCGGTGGCACACCCTCCATAGCAACTGCATGACGATGATCCTTGGCTGATTTCGAATCGAAGGGGAGGTGGGGGGGGGGAGGTTCACAATCTCTGGCTTTCTTTCCCTCCACATCAGAACGAGCTTGCTTGTCGCTGAGGGATTATTCTTCACCGGTCACCGCTTTTTTGTGCTTTTGTTCCATGTGTATGAGTAATGCGAAGCTTATGGCCTTGGGAAAAGGCTGCCAAGTAAAATGTGCAGGGGAGGAAGGGAGGGTGAGAACGTCATTTGTCGACGGGGTTTAGGTCCGGGGAAAAAAGGTGTCCAACTGCATGGGTTTTGGTATCACCCGTATACTTTTTTCTCGTTTCATATCCTTCTCAAAGTAGAATAGGGGGAAAAGAAAAGACAAAGAGAGAGAAGAAAAGAAAGGATGAGAAGGAGAGCGAGACGGAGGAAGGATTTTCCTTGGGTTGTTTTGTTTCGAAAAGAAAAGAAAAGAGAAAGAAAAAAAAATGAATTCAAAACGGGAAATAACCGACGAACCTTAACAGAACCAGAGAGTTGCGTCTTTCTACATAGTACGCAGGACGCTATGCATGCCTCGCTACCGAAGTTCAGGCCAATACATTCGAAGGCAAACAATTTCACAACTTCCTGAGGCTTAAAGCCACGCCTTCTATTGGCCCAAGATGAGGGATGGTCACGCTGGCCGTCAGCCCCGCAGGAATGGTCTGCCATCCCTAATCCTCTCCCTCCCTCCCAGAACCGCCATGCAATTGCCTCTTCCGGTATGCGCGAAGCAGCCTTGTGGGGAATCCGAGTTGACACTAGCTTCCCCAAATCTGATGTAACGGAAGCGGGCGATCGGTGTGCATGGAAGGGTAGGGGAGGGAGGCAGCGAAAAGGAAGGAGAGGAAGGGAGGAGGAGGAGGAAGAGGAAGAAAAAAAGGGCTGGGCTGCACTTTTTGCCCTAGGGTGTCATATGCCTCCCGCGTGTAACCCCCGACGACCCTGATTTCCCTTCCCTCCCCTTTTTGCTTCCTACGCACAACTAGGAAGAAAACAGGGGGGAAAGGCAATTTCGGGCTGGGCTGAAAGGGGTGGGTGCATGACGACGCACCTTGGCAGGTAGAACCAGAAAAAGGAAGGGGAAAAAAAGAAAAAAAAGTACTACGGCTTTGTGTCAATTGGGTGTTGTAGCATGTAAGTACCATGCTTGTATCTGCCAAGTTTCTCTTTCTTGTGATCGCCGACCTCGAGTCTTGTTATTCGGCCCCCCCCCCCTCCCCAAACTGGGGCTTTTCTTCCCCCACTCGTAAAGAGATCAAATGGTGTCAAATGTGGGGCAGTGAACTCATCGGGGTGAAGGATGGGTGAAAAGCCAGGTCATCGATTTCTGGCACTAATCCTTCTAACTATCCTGGGGCCAGAGGTACTGGTGCACCCGTTTCTATAGGAAAAGTACAACAAAGGGCCGGCTAGCCTGAAACCTAGTGAAAGGGCCCTGGTGTCAGGGGCCTGAAAGGCCCTTTCACCCACATGAGACCAATGCCTTTATTCCGACAAATGGTCATCAGCCTTCTAGGGCTGGCTTTAGGGGGTGGGGCTAGGGTGGCTGGTCCAAACGCGGGACGCGATCGGTCTTAGGGAGAATTTGCTTGAGCTAGTATGGTGAAAGTAATTTCCACTCTTGCGAGCCACTGAGACGCGACAAAGATATCTTTTGGCTAATGTAGGTGGCCGGTTGAGCAGAAGCAGGCCGGCAAGTCACGACGTGGGAAGACATGATGGGTTCCTACATTTGGAGGTTTTGCTCCTTTGGGGGAGGGCGGTGACGGGGATTGGTGTTGTCTTTTTGTTTTGATAATTTTTTCCCTTCTCATATGGACACCAGAAGTGGAGACCTGCTCTGCCGCTTGGGCTCTTTGGATGCCTATCGATTCATTTTGGCGGTGGGTGACGACTGGATATGATGCGAGTCTGTGCATTATGGGGTGGCAGGGCTTTCATACTGACTTTTCATGCCGTCCATAGAATTATCATCAATCTTATGCGTTGACACCTGACCTAACTTTTTGTTCTAGGTTCTTTTCAGCTCGTCAGCTTGAGTCACAGTCGTACGTATTCGGAAAAGGGATCGCAAGTCGGGTCGCATGTCAGGTCGCGTGTCCGTTCACAAGTAACATGCCGGTAGATGATGTCTGCCAGAGACTTACCCATTCTATGGATCCTGAAAGATTGCTATGGAAAATAGGTACAAGAGAGAAGAGAAGAAACAAAGAGAGAAATAAACAAAAACAGTATCGCCCATTAAATCTGTCCAACAAGCTTCTATAATCCTGTCATACGTACCCAAAACCTCGTTGTAAGTGAAAATAAAGATGATTAGAACAGGGGGTGGAAAGGTTGAACCGTCCATTCTCACATGAATCTGATACAAAAGTGAAGAGAATATGTGACAAGACATGCGCCGAGCCCCCTTCCCACAAAGAAGGCTGGGCGAGGTTCAACGCATCTCCAAAGTGATATCGTTGCCATTTGGTCCTGGTGCCGCAGCCTGCCATTCGGCTGCTGCATGTGACATCTTGAGATCTCCGTTACTATAGGCCATCTCGGTCTCCATCGGCTCTTCCTCATCGTCGCTTGCATACAAGAGACTGAAATTGGAGAAGGGATCACTGAGCCACGATGGTGCTGTTGGAGGTGCTGTTTCCCACGTGGTCTCTGAAGCTTGAGACTGTATGCTGGGCGGGGTTTTGCTAGCTTCCTCATCGTCGAACCAGTTGCTTAGTACGCTCTCCTGCCACTCGTCGCGGTCCAAGACGCCTGTTGGACCTGTGTTCAGATACTGCGAGTAGAGAGTCTCAGTCTCGTGTATGGAAGTGCGTAGAGTCTGCAGCATCCATCTGTTGATGAAATCAAGCTTGTTTCCCTCCTTGGCATCGCTGAGCAGGTTCTGTATAGAAACCTCTTTGGCAGCAGAGTCCACGACAGCCTGGAGTTGTAGATGCTCGGCTGAAGAGTCTTTGGTTTTTCTCAGAGCCGCCTTGCCTTTTTTCAGAACTGCCTTTGCAGTCCGTGGGAAATCTTCCCGGAGAAGATGAGATGCAGGGTTGGATAGCAAAACCGAGAATTGGGTCGTTTTTGTGACTGTTGTGTTTCCCGTCCACTCTGCAGCCGTTTCACTGAGATCCTTCAAATCTTCGTCGATGGAGAAATCTCCAGGAAACCAGCTCTGAGCTTCAGATAAGGAGATGTAGCGGGGGATGATGTTCATTTCGCAGCAGATTTGCACATGTTCCCTCACTTTTTCGCGCAAGTGTCTTAGTGTATTCAAAACGCTGCACTTCTCAACACAAAAGTTGTCAAGAAATTTCAACTCTTGATCCTGAAGTGGTGTGATATATCGGAGGGCTGAAGGATGATTTTGCTCAAAAAGTTTGTAAATGTTTCTTTGCTCTTCGATTTTTTCCTTCTCTGCAAACAGCTCAACACGTTTCTGTTTTGCCGTGTTGAACTCGAGCACAATATGCATAAGTGTTCTCCACTCTGCATATTGGTTTGTTCTGGCTGGCTCCATCTTGAGACATAGAAGCAGCTCGGATTGTGGCAATGGCGGTATACCAAGTTTCAGTGGCTCGCGGGTTGCTCCAGCTTCAATTGGATTGCGGAGCCCATTGATAAGGAGCCGTTCAAAATGATCAAGCTCATCTTGAGCATGCTTCAGTTCTTTCTCGAAAGTCTCCATTGACGTTTCATAGCCTCGACATGTCTCCCGCTTCTCCTGCATCTCCTGGAAGAGATTTTGCAAGTCGCTGCATTGCAATGTTACCTGGGCTGAAGGCAGGACTAACGTGAGCACAGATCGAGCAGCAGACATGAACTTGTGCTCAGCTTCATCCCGATCTTCTCGTGCTTTATTGATCTTGGCACTTGTTGCCTTGATGTGAGACCGGATGTTGTATACAGTGATTTTCTGGTCTGCTAGGTTCTGCCACCTGTTCCGCACATATCTGTCCTCCGGTGTATCGAGCTCATTGTTCTCGGCCTCTGAACGAGTACCCGTACTGGAAACTGTGGCCCCTCGTATGTGTTGCACTATGTGTCGGTATATGGTGTGACGCTTCAAGATGGGGTAGGAGAGCGAATTTATCGGTGGCCAGGCTCGGTAGACGCCGCGCCTGAAACCTGGACTCCATCTCAGATTTCTCACTGACGGACCCTCAGTAACTGACGCATAGTCACTGGAAGATTCGCTTGAACTCATGAGGAATACGAGATGTGCAGATACGTGACGAGTGGGGGGAGCAAGAGACGTGAAGATGGCATCGACAATAAGTCTTGATTTTCTCTTTTGGTTAGATGACAATACTGGCTTGTAAGGGGACATTGAACTATTGTGGAAAGGGGGGAGGGGCGGGAGGAAGGGAAGACTGGCCAAGTACGCACTTGAGATGCAAGAGGTTATAGCCACCTCGTAGTTCCGAACAAGGCTATCATGGCTGAGTTGTTTTGTAGGGATAGCCAGGGAGGGGGGCAAACGACCATAGGGCTTGAAAATGCCAAGTTGGAACTTTTTGAGCTCCACGCGTGTGGCTTCTGTCACTGTAGCATGTGAGTCGAGATGGGGGCAGCGCGCACGCGACAAGGCTGTATTAGATGTACCCGCGTCCACCGCGGAGAAATTAGCTTGGACACGCTGCAGTGTTAAATGCAAGGCTCGGGCCGCATAGGCTAAGGTGGAATTATTCAAGGGAAATGAGTTGTCGTAGATGAAATTTGTTTTTGCGATGGGGGTTTCTCTGGCCCGGCCCGGGCGGTTTCAGGTAAGGGAGGAAAAAGAAGTCAAGCTGAACAACTCCCCGCTGCCAGCATGACCTCGGAAATGCTCCTCACCTAATAGCAGACGTGTAGGCTCGACCGCTGGAAACATTTTGCAATCCGACCAGCCGATATAGGTTGGAGCTGAGTATCCCCCCCCCCCCCCTTCCAAAGAGACACGCGTAATTTGAGTTCCTGCCAAAACCTTTCACAGTTTCGTAGGGCAGAGGGTGGCATGACAATCCATGAGTGAAAATGGGACCCCTGCACACCGGTTCATTGTATAAGGTAGTATTGAACAGGGGTTGGGTTGTTGACAAGGTTGGGACTTTCCTGTACATGCTGGACCTGGCTCCTGTAGCACATGTCTAGCGCGGCACTATGTATGATGCACATGCTCGTGGTACCTCAGCACTACCGCTATGGTACTGTAGCAGCGCACCCGAATAATTTCCCACCGTACGACCTCATTATACGCAACATGGCTCCTGACCTGCCCACAGAACATGACCTGCCAATTTCGTCTCCACCCCACTCCCTTCTTCCTCTTCCTCCTCCTTGACAAATTATTCCGAGCAATCAACCTGCAGTACTGATATGGTACACCAAAGAAAACGGAAACCATAGTAGCCCATGCATGGTGTCTTCTCCCCCGGGTTTATCAGTTCCTTCTGTCCGGCTCTTGAGTCTCTATTATAACCATCTTCCCCTCCTGCTTTCCCTATCCTTCGGAACTGCAGCCTTCAGATATCTTCAGATAACAATGCTAAGAATGCTGTCAGGTCCAGTCGAGAATCAAGGACGTCTGTATTTGGATATGGGATTGCCAGTTCAGGATCCTGAGTACGACGTGCCAAGCCATAGATGAAGTCGAGCACCCCCAAGCCTGAGGTTTATGTCATAAGTTCCTAGTATCTCCTGCTAGGTGGGACCTCTCGCATCATGGCACTAGGAATTCATTGGCTTTACCTTGATCACGAGTTATGCAACATGCGCAGAAGGTGGGTGGGGAGCCCAAGGGGAACGCATCCACAACGCAGAAGACGTTGCTAGTACGCTGGAACTACTCGCGCGCGCTGTCTACGGCTATCGCTCGATACCTCTTATGGAAAGATCTGGCTCTTAACCATGTTGTGTGGGTTGAGAGGCAAGAGTACCAATGGGACGTATCGCATCGACGCCGTTTATGAGACCTGTGCACACTTTATCACTCTTCTCATGGCCGTCATCATAGCCACCCTCGGCCCAATGACGGGAAATTGAGGCTGAAAATGGTCTCTTGTGTGTGTTTCCCCACAAGATATCCAATACTTGAAGATGCCCACCATGTCTAAGCCTGGACTACTTGCTGCTGGCTGTTGATAAATATCTCGTCTATCCCACTCTCAAGTTTCCTCATCTTGTATTCCTGCTGACCATCTCCTCCATCAGTTTATCCGAGCAGTGTCTCTCTGCACATATTTGTAAATTCAAGGCCTTCAATTGACTCTACTCTCCTCTGCGCAGCAGGCCAATCGTGACAGTGCTGCCGACCAAGAAGAGAAGGCTTCATAAGCCCACTTGGTGTAGCCATGAGCTCGAGCACAGACGAGATCCACTGGGACGGAAAGGGCGCGTACTGGGATGACAAGGAAAAAAGATACTACTGGTTGGGCTATAAAATCCAACGTACGTATGTTCATCTGCTTTGAGTCCTTTCCCCTACGCTCGCTGTCGCCGTCAGAGAGTTTCAGTGCATGTCCTCTAATGTTATCATCAGCTGGCGGAAAAATAAAGGAGGTTCGGAAATATATCACAGATTCCCAGTATTTTGATCAGAAGGGCTTGCCATCCCTGTGCCCGCCAGTACCACCATCTTTGATTCCGCGCACTTCGAATCCATCAGACCAGGTCTCTGTTTCTGCTGGTCTTGCTGGGGATTCAGACCAGCAGACCGATTATTGGGGCTCATCTTCCAATTATATGTATGGCGGAGGCCAAACTCACGGTGCGTTGATCCCATCCCCTCTTGCCTCTCACTCTGCCGTGGGGGCCTTCCCCAACATTCTTCCTTCACGAGCGGGTACACGATCCTTTTGGACAAACTGCCAACGCTTTGGGTAAGAGGCAGCAGGCAATTACCCATACCTCTTGTAGAAAGCCCCAGGCTGACTTTCCAAATTCTCAAAGCTGGATCCTCTTCAGCACCTGCATGGAACGATCCTTCAGGTGGCTATTGGCAAGGAAACGACCCCCAAGCATACCAGAGCAGCTACAACACTGGTCCTACGTCTGGATACCAGGAGGGCCTGGACCCGGCCCCAGCTGGGCTCCCGGTTCATCCAGCTCCGTCTCATGGTAGTTCGAGTGGGCACAGGCGGTCTTCTAAAGACGACCATACATCTCACCACAGCTCGCACAGACAAAAAAAGTGTGAGTTTCTCCCGAACTCGTTGCAACGAGGCACATCCGGCCAAGCTAATCGCTTTGCCAGCATCATCTCGTCGCCAAGAGCCTGTGACATATGGGGAAAGCTCTCGTAGCGGTGGGAAACACCACCACAGAACGCAGCAAGAAAGCTGTAAGCAATACAAGTAGCTTTTGCGCTGCGTCCCTCGCCAAGGCTAACGGGCAGGCAAACATGAAGCATCAAATTGGCACCACCAGCCTCATCGTGGTGATCACGATGCACTTCCCCAGCAATGGTCACCTAACGGGCAGTCTGGCTATCAAGGCCAGGGCGGCGCGTTCTTTGGCGTGAATTCCTCTCAAGGTCAGAATTCGTCTGGTGGTATGTGTGATAATCATCAGCTGTCAGCAGTCTATACTAATGTATTGTGCTCTCGTGATTAGGGCTGCCTCCTGTAGAGCTCAGGAGCAATGCCACCAAAGGTGCTCCGAATATTCGGAGAAATAAGAATGGCAAGGAATATTTGGACTCAAGTACGTTTCCTAATGATCATATGTACTGCAGAGTCTAACATTGAAAGATTTCCAAATATACCCATCGTCAGCTTTCCAGCCTGGCAAGGTCAGTTTACACTTCAATAATATGTTGAACTTTTTCCAAGTGTAAACCATTCAGAGATGACTGAGAGTATTGGCAGATTATCAAGGTGATGTGGGCTGAACCAAAAGGCATGGCACCAACAGGCCAGGCCGGTAGCTTCCTTACATGCGTAGATACTCTGTTGGCAGATCACCAGAATGCATTCTGGAGGGGATTCCGCCGCTTCATCATCATTAACAACAGGGAGGGCCACTGTACTTGCGTGTAAGTCGCATACCACCTCGACTATTGCAAGCAGAGAAATACTGATAGACTATTCTAGCCCTATCTACTCGTATGGAGGCCAGGGTTGCATCAAAAATGGTGCTAAGGCGAAGCAACACGGGATCATATACGAGAGCCCGCCGGGAAATGGGCCAACGCTATTGCCGGGTGAGCCTATGCCTGGCTTCGCGCCGATTCGTGCTATCACAACAGCGCCCAACAATCAACCCCTGAACGATGCCTCGAGGGTCAATTATGCAAAGGTCGTAACTATCGAGCATAATGTCAAGGTTATGTTTCTCGGGGAGGTCGTGGAGGAGGACTGGGAGATCGCGAAGAATGCTGTGAAATCATTCTTCGACTAAAAGAGCCGAGGAGTGCGATGCATCTCAAAAAAGAGATTGCATTGCCGTAGGCTGCAGGGAGTCTGGCGGTTGGCCGCACATGGCCGCCCCCGTGACATACCCATGGTTCCAGCGCGGACATCATCCTGTCCATCACGCGCAGGCTGCTTCTTTCTCAATACGTTGCTGCCAGCATTAGCTGGTGGAAAGGGGACCTGGTCAATGTTCCTGGCAAACGCACCGGAGTGACCTTCAACAGAAGGCCTCAGAGAATTATTTTGCCAGCTGTCCCTCGGACTTATTCGACGATGAATAAATCTCCTTTGAGTTCTCTCCTCTTTTTTTCCTTTTTTATTCCCCCCCCCCCCCAACTTCATTTCCTTTCATCCCATTTGAAGCTTGCGAGAATTTTTGGCAGAATGACAGTCAAGTGACGACGATGACAAACCACAGCAACAGCAACAACAGGGACGCTACTTTGCCTCGCGCTGCTTCGGGGAAGTGGCCTACGACCTTATGATCCATGATATCTCAGATACACAGGAGGGAACTTGGGTATGGAGAGCGAAAATCGTGGGGCTAAACAGGCCCCTGTAACGAAGACATGAACACTTTCTGGGAATGCTTTGATTTGCGATGAATATTTTGGAGCTGGCTGAAGCATACGTCCAATCAGGCTTGTCTTTCCTTTGTTGATTCTCACCTTTTGTTGAATTCTGTCTCAGCTGTTAGCTATTATGAACTTGGGTGGAATGAACATCTGAGTATTGAAAGAAGAGAGGCAAAATCCGCAACCATGTTGTTTCAGTTTCCCTCAGAGATGTCTGGGCGAGCACTGTGTCCGCTCATGCACATAATTGACTCGGTCATAGATGGGAAACGGAACATAAGCACATGGAAAATGTGCTTTTGACGTTGTTTTCGATGATCTGTGCCATCCTTGCAAGGTACTGACTTAGGAAGTCGCCTACAGCCGGGTGGGCAGGGGTTTTGACGGAACGCGCCAGTAGCGCTGGATGCTGGTTGCTGGGGTGGGGGAGCAGCATATGAAGGTAGACAGGCACGACAGGGTTTGAGTGCAGGCTGAATATGGCAACATGTGCGTACCCTCCTTTTACACAAGGATTGAGAATTGGTTTGACTCTATTGCTAGAAGAAATTGTGAAGATGGATGTGACTGCTTGGTAATTTAAATTCATATTGCTCAGCATGGAGTTGATCAACTTGATGTGGTGTGTTGGGCTCTTGGAATTTTGTTTGTGATGTTCGTAGGGCTAAGGTACAAAGGCTTTGTACCTGTGGTAGGGGTCCTGCTCCACATTGAACTTCGAAGGTGGGTCCCCTTGATCCACGCATGCCTAGGCTAAATCCCCTCCATCGAAAGACACCGCCCTCCTCCCCTTCCACCCTCAGCATTGACGCACTCATGATCTGACAATAATTTCCTCAACCTCTAGAGCTTGTACATTCTAGCAAATCACTGCTCGACATGGGATCTAGAATCACCTTCCTAGATCCTCAGTTGTTTTAATATCTTCTTGTTCCTGCTTTCAAGCCTATTCTCTGCGACCAAGCCAGCACCAAAATTGTCACCTCCAGAAACACCACCATTGCGACAGTGTCGCAAACACACTGGACGCGCCAAACCATCAACTCTCGCTGCGCGATACCCACCACTAGACAATAACAACATTGTCCCAGCTACATGACTACCACGATTCCCCCGCAACAACTCTTGCCGTCCTTCAAGCTTCATCCTCCTTCCTGTGGGATGTCCACGTGATTGTTCAAGAGAAGCAATCGCTGCTACCTGCCAGACATCCTTACTCCATATGGACTGCGAGACCCAGTTTAGCATTTTCTCCTAACAAAGCTCAAGATCACAGGTGTGTCGATAAATCAGTAGGATTTCTGCGCGACGCGCTTTGGATACTGACATCTTGGCTCCAGTAGTCTTGCTTCATCGAAACCACCATGTCGGAAGAGGAGCCTTTGGGTCGAGCGGCTAAGCGTCGCAAGATGTCGTCGGCCTCAGATCCACTTACCCCCAGTCTCGGTTCGATTTCAACTGTCGTTGTTCATCTACCAGCCACCGCGTCCGCGTCCGCGACCTCCCTGTCAGACTCGCCGAGACCATTCAGCTCGTCGGGCGGCCTGCAGGGCTGCGACGATGCAAACACAAATGTTATTGACCGAGATCTCGACACTAGCAGCGTGCATCCATCGACCACGCCCTCAGCGGCCGAAATCCCTCTACCAGACTCACCGCGATCGGCGACTCCATCGGATGGTCCTCAGGGCGGCGACCATGGAGATGCTGAAGTGGTCGACGAGGACCTTGATGCCTCGATACACACGGTCAAGGTGTCGAAGCGGGCCGCCAGGCGTGCCATGAAGCGTGCCAGGAAGCAAGCCAGAAAGAATGCCGAGGAGGAGGCCCGGGAGCAAGCCCGAGAGCGAGCCTGGGCGCGAGCAATCCAACCATCCAAACCCCGCCTCCCTACTTGGCCTGCCGACCATATTCCGGTGGAGATATTCAACTCGATTATCCAATTCCTCCCTCGCAAAGACGTACAGAGCATGCGTTGTGTGAACCACGAGTTCGACTCCAAGCTTTCAGAGACCTACTTCAATATCGTGGTCGTGCCTTTTCGCCCTGAGTTTGAGGCGACCTATGGTCTCTTGAATGTCAACCCACGTCGTATTATGGGCAGTAAACGCTTGGTATTCAAGAGCATCCAGCTCGAGGGGATCAACTCAGGAGGCGAGCCTTCCCCGCAGCGTCAAGCCGCCGACACCGACCTGGAAGACGACAAGTTTGTAATTTCGGGTGGCCACCGCGTTTTCCAAGAATTTGGCCACAAAATGCGGAAATTCGCTCTCGCCCTCGAGGTGAATGAGCGCGATTTAGGTAGCCCTCCCGTCAAGGTCAACCAGGAGATCATCCGCGCGCCTTGGGGTCTCTACCGCTGGCCGATTATGAGTTACCAGCGCTACTCACAGCTCGAAGGCTTGGAGCATCTGGCAGACGAGACCGGATACATGAAGAAAGCGTTCCAACATCTCGGCAACGTCACGGACATTGGCATTTCGTGCGACGTCGGACTGGGCTGGCTGCACGGCCCCGATATCAACCCATACATGTCTCCTGACGGCCCATCCGTCTTCAGACCTACTACTTATGGAGACGGCGCACCTGAGACTCGTGTCTCCTCCACTTTCATCAATGACTGGGAGCCATCTCCCAGCCTCAAGATGCTCAGGCAGATGGCATTGAATGCGGGTTATTCCGTGGAGGAGTGGCCCCTCGTGATCTTGCGCCTCCTCGAGGACGAGGGCTGCGAAGGTATCATCGAGTGGGAAGACGTGGAGCAGCCTGATGGCCAGATCGCTCGCACGCGCCTTTCCAGACTCGCAGCTGGTGAGACTACCGACACGCGGGTCATCATTCAGCATATCGAGCAGGCGATCAATCTCGAGGACATGGCCCGAGCCGGCAGCACCCCGGAGACACAGCCGGGGCAAAAACTCCTTCCCCTTGACCTCACTATAGCGCAGGCAGAGATGCTGCTGGAGCTCGAGTGGGCTCATCGTGCCCTCATGCAATCGTACCGCATCGCGGTCATGGACAACAAGGACTCGTTCCAGAACCTCCGCCAGCTCACCATTGCGCGCTGCTCTGGTTGCCACATTGCAACATGGTGCAACAGTTCGTTCTGGGAGACCATGACCTGTATCGAGACACTTCACCTGGGCGTGATTGCTGACTGGCGCGAGGTTCACAAGCAATCAAGTGGTCATGTCGTTGAGCGTCGTAAATCCCCACTTTTCACCTGCGGCAGTGTCTTTAAGCTCCTGCAGGACTATGTTGGCGAGCAGCCCAACATCAGACATGTCTCTTTTGAGTGGATCTGTGGCGGCGAGTATGCCATGGGCAAGAGCCAGCGTGATCGCTACATCCTGCCAGCTCCTGTTGTCTCCAGAGTCGAGCACATGACCTCTTCCCAGCATGTGATGGAGCCACATGAAGTTCTCCACCTTCCCTATGTGCAGAGGCTGTCTCTCAAGAACTGCTGGTTCTCTCCACATGTGTTCCTGTGCTTCTTCAAGCACATGGGCATGGAGGCTCTTGTCCACGTCAACCTGAACTCTGTGTCCCTCTCAGGACCCGTAAGCACAGGCCCAGAGGTCCGCATCTATCCCCACACGTCTGCTGGTGAACCCAAACCTACTCATTGGCCCTGGCCGCTCTGTGCTGGAGCTGAGCCTGGAACCTGGTTTCTCCTTGAGAACCCCCTCGACAACACTCCCAACCCTGCTTGGACATGGCTTCCTGGTGCTGCTGGACATGTGCCTGCTCCTGGTGTTGGTGTTGGTGGCGGCGGCGGTGTTGGTGGCGTCGTCCCTATGCAGCTAGCAGCTCCCCCTCAGGCTGCTGCTGCCCCTCCACCCCAGGCGGGAGGAGCTCAGGCAGCGGCCCACGCCACTGGAATCGCAGTGAACTCGGGCATTCCTCCTATCCTGAACGAGGTGGTCGTGTACCCTCTTCGATGGCGTGGATGGTCCTGGCCTCATATCCTGGCACGACTGGGATTGGCGCCAACGGCTATCCAACTGCTGAACCGTACCGTAGGCGGTCAGGAGTATCTGCAGGTTCTGGACAATCTCGAGAAGAATCTCACGGCGAACTGGTCCCGCATTTTCCGGGGCCGGGAGGATAAACAGAGCCTCCAGTCCATGACTTTCAGATCCTGCGGCTACGTCTTGATTGACATACCCTCCATCAACAACTGGCAGATCATCCCGGACTATCCAATCCATGTCAAGCACACCGAGAGCCTGGTTGGCAAGCTGAGGGAGTACGATCTCAAGATGTTGACGTCCGATGAGGACCTGCTCGCCAAGATCATGCCTCACATCACCGAAAAGGAGAAATATCAGATGCGGGCCGTCTTTGGCTTTGGCTTTGGCTGGCAGCGTTACTTTGAGGACACCGTCATCCAGGCCGCTATGGCCGATGGCAATCCTAATCCTGGCCAGGGACGCTTCTTTGGTCGGGCGACGAAAGTCCCCACATCCCTCGATGCGGACGAAGAGGTCCAGCTAGAGTTGATGCAGCTCACTTCGCGCGGCCCCTAGGAGGACCTGAACGACAGTGACGGCGACTATTGGATGTATGCGGACGATGACAACTACGATGACAACTACGACGACGACAACGACGACGAGGAGCACGGTATCATTGATGCGGATGGACACGAGAGCATTGACGATGGCCAAGACCAAGTCGATGACGACGATTGGGCTCAACTCGTCCCAGTTCCACAACTTGTACCGTACATCAGCGGTAACCCCGTTCATCAGTCTGGTGAGGAGGAAGACGCGGGTACAATTCTCAATGACGACGCCGGCGCTTGGGGCAGCGCAAACCAAGCTTCACTCGACGAAATCCGGGCCGATCTCAATCTCAGTGGTGGCGATTGGGGCACCGCAGCTTCAGGCTCGCACAGTGCCTGGTGAATGAATGAAAGAAAGAGAAAGTAAAGAGAAGGGAAAGAAGAAGAACAAGAAGGGGAAAAAAAGAAACGAAGAAAGAAAAAGAAAGAAAAAAAGACTGTCGGCCACGTCGTTGCGAGTATGACAGAGAGCAACTCAGCAGCTCTTCTACATTGCTCGAGGCCGCCAAGGATTGTGTTGTGGTCTTATCGGGAGCCCTCGGACCAGACGCTGGCCGGTGTAGCTTGGCATATGGACTCCTCCGGGTCGACAGTATCCTTCGAAAACTCGGCCTCACCGTGTCCGACAGATTGTGTTAATGATGACAGCAGTTCCTCTTTCATTTGCGGTTGTACTGCAGAGGAAAGGCCTCGGAGGCCTCTCAATGGTGGAAGCTGCCCGGAAGGCTATCTACGCCCTGATGTACCACAAGTGGTCGGACTCAAGGTCCACGGGTGGCTTTGCAACACCAGAGTCCGTGGCTTTTTTGTTTTGTATTTCCTTTTATTCCTGTATCTTCCTCCTTGTTGTTCTTCCTACCCCCTTCCCCTTCCCAGGGCGTTCTGGCTGCCATTGTACAATAACGCAAACTTGGTCTATGCTGGCCATCACTTGGACTATGGCATTACGTACTCTGCGATGTTGACATTGCGAGGGTGGGAGAACTTTCCTCTGTTGTTTCTCTTTTTGTTTTTTTCTTCCTTTCTTGATTTCTCCCTCTCTTTTCATACTTTCCCAGGGCGTTCTGGCTACCATTATGAGGCAGGGCACAATGCTGGCCTATGCTGGCCCTTACTTGGTCTACGGCATAGATTGCATTCCCTTGCGACATCGGTCTCGCAAAGGTGGGAGGACAGTCTGTTTTTCTCAAAGCATATGGGGGGAAAACCCTAACAACATCACGGCGTTCTATCAGATGGGAGGGCGGATTTGCCCCACATGTCAGGTGGCTAAGAGGCGTTTTCTTCAGCATACCGGAGCATACAAAGGTCATAATAATGAAAGAGGGGAGGGTTGGCTCTGTCAACATCTGTTGATGCATCATCGGGAAAGGAAAAAAAAAAATTGTGTACGATTACTTCTTTCCCTCATTGAGGGAAACTGAATATGAAATGACTTTACCATGAACTTTACAGCTACATTTACAACCTTGGGACTAGACACAGAGGCTGACCTTCTGGGTTTACAACCTTTTCCGAGGACGACGTTGAGGCCTGTCTGTTTGTTTGCATGCAGCATATGTGGTGAGGCATGGATGAATGGGTTTTTCAGTGGTGTACACCTCCCGTCACTGGGTGGGGTGAGGGAAAAGCAGGCCTCAGAGGACACTGACTCGTGGGAACAAGTAATGGAAAGACCTTTGCTCGTAGAGCCAAGATGTGCTTATTGTAAAAGACTGCAGGATGCCGAATTCTGTCATGAGGATGTTATGTTGTAAGGCAGCGGGATCCAGTGGTGACGAGCCTGGGGTCCAGGACCAAGAAACACACTCAAGCATGTGTGTATTTGCTGGCAAAGCACTTTTAGACATGCGTTTACTGCTTTTTGAGTATGCCACATTGGCACCCTTATTTCCACCATCTTGGAACACCTGGTTCTGCGCAAATGGTCTTTGTGGTATTGGGAAATTTCATTCGTGAATTTTATCCGCTTTGCGTGGATATTTTCTTTTCGCATGCCAGACCGTTTCTGACCCGAAATGCCATGCCTCAATACACCGGTCCCAGAAAAAGCGAAGCCGTTCCCTTTGCACAAAGTCCATTTATTGTGAATTGCTCCCGCCCCCACCTTAAAATCAGCAGTGACCGACCGACAAGTCCATCACGGCGCCACTACCATCCAAGACCACCGCCTCTGGTTGAGAGAATTTAGGCGGCGGTGATGGCCTTGCGCACACGCGAACCGCGCTGCCTGGAGTTCAGGCGCTCCTCACGGGCGACAACAGCCTCGGACTTCTGGACAACCTCCTCGGCCTCGGTGAGGATCAGCTCGATGTGGCAAGGGTTGGACATGTAGGGGTTGATCTAGACGATGGTGTCAGTAAAATTGGCCAGTCGAAATTTGGTGGGCTGTCCCTTGTTGGAGTGGACTTCGGTTCAGACGTACACGACCGTGGGCACGGTAGGTTCGGCGGCGCTGCTTAGGAGCCTGGTTGACTTGGATGTGCTTGACGACCAGGGCACCAGTGTCGAGGCCCTTGGCATCAGCGTTGGACTCGGCGTTCTTCAGGAGCTGCAGGAGGAACTCGGCAGACTTGACGGGCCACCGGGCACGAGAAACACCCCACTGCTTGCCTGTTCATCATAATCAGTCAGTCTCATGTCGCGTCTTCATAAGAATAACCATGCCGTCCGCCTCATCCACAATCGCCTGCATCGTAGTCTGGGAACTCTTTCAGGCGCTTCTGTAGTTCCCCCCTCTTGACCATGTGCACTTTTCCTCCCCCGGGAAACCCTGCATTTCCCGTCTCCATCATGTCTCTCGTACAAAGTCGCATTCGAGGGGTAAATCGTACCTTGGGCAGTACGGCCAATGGAGCCAGCGTAACGGCGCATGGGGACAGCCTCCTTCTTCTCCTTGACGTTCTCGAGGAACTTGACGGCGCGCTGCAGCTTCCAGCCGTTGATGGCCTGGGCGGTCTCGCGGGTGTTCTTGAACGAAACTCGGAGGTAGGCACCGCGGGCCTTGGCCGACTTGGACGGCGCAATCTCGGTGGCGGCGTATCGAACCTAGTTGTCGGAAAGCAGAACGTGTCAGCCCTCAAGACTATCCTCAACCACGTCGTCGTCCCCCGTTTTCGCAATTGTCCATCGCAGTTTTCTCCACTCTATCAATTCTTGGGCATCGATCATAATCGTTCGAATTCGAAAATCGCAAATGGAGGATGCAACTCACCATCTTGACGGATTGGGTGTGGAGATGGTATCGGGTGTTGTTGATTGAGGGAGGTCGTCTCGGTCTGGCTGGCCAGCAAAATTTAGATGGGGTTGCTCGAGGTTGCCGCTACTGAAAACTCTTGGGAAAGTGCGGCCCAATTTCAAGATCACGTGCGGTCTTCACGGCAGGCGCCGTGAGCAAAGACTGAAGCTAGCTGCGGGCCATATTCCCCTGCCAGCTGACATAAGCGGGATCCGGCAAATCCATTTTTGCGAACAGCCAACTAGAGAGTGAGATGAGGACCCCACCTGCTCTAAGCCGGCGGGCAAGAGTGTGGGGAGTACCCAGGTACCTCTTAGGCTTAGGCCCCTACCTTGAAATTTTTCAACTTTTTTTCTGCACGGGCAAGCTTTCCAGGTACAATTTGCCTTGACGAAAGTTGCAACATCAGTGACTTCCATTGAAGGGTACTCACTACAACCACCCTTCGTAGCTCACTCCAAATCAATCTCAAAAGCTATTTACCTCTTTCTTGTCAATTTTCGAAAGCACAGCAATGGGTTTCGCGCCAAGAGGACGTGGTGGTGACCGTGGAGGCCGCGGGGGCGGCTTCCGTGGTGGTGATCGAGGTGGTCGCGGCGGTGGCAGAGGTGGTGGCAGCTTCCGCGGTGGTGACCGAGGTGAGATAAAAATTCGTGTTGCTGAAGGTTATACAACACCATTGCTAACGTTAACCCAGGCGGTCGCGGTGGTGGCAGGGGTCGTGGCGGTCCTGGTGGCCGTGGTGGACGCGGAGGTGGTCGTGGAGGTCGTGGAGGCGCAGGCGGCGGCGCTGGTGGAAAGAAGATGATTGTGGTACGTCCAAGTCCCCCCTTTCACGAGCTGCAGATTATGTTGAAGGGTCGCTTACATACCATCTTTGCAGGAACCCCATCGTCACGGAGGTGTCTTTGTCGTCCGCGGCGGCAAGGAAGATCTCTTGGCCACTGCCAATCTGACCCCGGGTGAGAGCGTCTATAACGAGAAGCGCGTTGCGATCGAGAATGCGAAGAGCCAGGACGGCACCACGACCAAGACCGAATACCGTATCTGGAACCCTTTCAGATCGAAGCTGGCTGCTGGTATCCTGGGTGGTCTCGAGACCATTTACATCAAGCCTGGCTCCAAGGCTCTCTATCTCGGTGCTGCTTCTGGTACCTCCGTTTCCCACGTCGCCGACATCGTCGGACCTACTGGCACCGTCTACGCCGTCGAATTCTCCCACCGGTCTGGTCGCGACCTCATCAATATGGCCACCCGCCGCACAAACGTTGTTCCCATCGTCGAGGATGCCAGACAACCCCTCAAGTACCGCATGCTCGTCGACATGGTTGATTTCATCTTCGCAGAGTATGTCAAAGTCCTAACTCTTTGGATTGCAGTGGACAGAAAAGCTAACGAACCATAGTGTTGCTCAACCTGACCAAGCCAGAATCGTCGCTCTGAATGCTAAGCTCTTCCTGAAGCAAGGTGGTGGCATGCTCATCTCCATCAAGGCGAACTGTATCGACTCGACTGCGCCTCCTGAGCAGGTCTTTGCCCAGGAGGTCGAGAAGCTGAGATCGGAGAAGTTCTTCCCCAAGGAGCAGCTTACCCTGGAGCCCTACGAGAGAGATCACGCTGTAGGTCAACCCTGTGCTTGCATATATGTTTAAAACACGTCACATGATGTCGCTAACAACCACACAGATGGTGTCTGCGGTCTACCGGCAGAAGGAGTTCGTGGAATAGGCTAATGGCGGTTCCGCGGATGCGCGCTCTTCTTCCTTTGCGATTTTATGATTCAGGATGTTTCTTCGGTTGGAGGGCTTTTTATATCTCTATTCGGCAACGGCGAATGACGGCGTTCTAAGGGCATCATCAGGCTTTTCTTACGTGTGAATACAACACGTGTGTGATACTTCGTCCGCCGAGGACTCGGTAGATCAAAAATTGCTGGAGATATCCCATGAGTTAAGTGAAGTTGTATTGTCATTCCTGCAGGCCATGGGCTTGATTATGAACGGCTGTGCTACTTGTCTGTTGTGCTCATAGTGGCCACCAGAGCCTTGCGCATCTACACAGAGGCTCTGGTGCTACTGGATTACCGTCCTTACCCAAGTTTTTATAAAAGCTTCACAAACTCTCGGTGCAAGCTTCTCGAGTCCCAAACGGTCTTCCAAGGGTCTTGTCCGTTTCAACCCGCTCAAAAATCCGACTATGTTTACGGTTAGCCTTTTGCGTTGTCACAGTCTGCTGAGCTGGTTTTGCTCCTATTCCTCAGACATGGAAAAACTTCTTACTTTCGATGGGAGGCTAACGGCACATCTCAACCTGTATGAAGAGAGACAGTGAGATCCACACACGAGTAGGTTTGAACTTCTTGGGCGGGCGCATGTTGATACCAAGTATCAGTGACTGGAATTCACACCATACCTGATATAGAACATACGATAACTACCGCGGATTTACATGTCGAGTCAGGATCATATCGCGGTAATTACTCGTACCCTACATCACCGCACAGTCTCACTACCAGCACCATAGGAGTGAGAAAAGAGAGAAAGAACAATGTGCTGGTAATATTGTACTCTATTACTTTTTGCCCCTTGTTTCAGTCCCTCGGCACCATTTTCCCCGAGCAAAATCCAGCCATCTTTTTAAAAACACCACAAATCCAGCACTGCTATCTCGTCACTCCTGCGCCGAATGGGTCATGATGTGAAGGATAGCCCTGAGATTTACACAAGCGTGCCTCACTTCAGCTCGCTGTCGCCAGACTTGTGGACACCATGCGCGTTGCTGACGTTCGTCAGGCCGCTGGAGTCCGTGCAATTGCTGCAATTGATCATGTTCTGCAACACACAACTCTGTCTGTCAGCCTCATCGGCGTCTTGTGGCCTCCACAAACAAGAAGAAAAAAAATTGGGGGGGGGGGGGGGGAGGTCTTCAAATCCGTCAGCGTACCCAGCAGTCTTCCAGGTTGCTGCTGTTCTTGCAGTTCTGCAGTCACGCGAAGATTGTTAGGGCGCTCAGAACGTCGCGAGCAATGGGTCCCCTTCGTCTGATTCTCCAACATGTCTACGAGGGGGGTACTGCCTGGGTCTGGAGCAGGTGGCACTTACAGTGCAGTCCACGCAGTTGCTACAGCTATTGAGCTTCTCGCAATTGGTACCTGAAAAGGGTAAGCCAGATTGACTCGGACACGGGATGCTTGTTCCTGAGGATATATGAGGGGAAAGAATACGTCGCAACCTCGTGCTGGTGCGAACGGACAGTGGTCTGATTCCAGCCGGGACTTACAGTTGCTGCTATTCCGGCAGTCATAGCAGTCGATCATGTTTGAGCAGTCGGTATTACCGTTCTCGTCGGTACCCATGATTACTGATGCGGAGTAAGGAGAGTCGTACGGTTCAACGGAGAAGAATAAATTTTATGTTAAGTGTCGGGGTGAGATGCTTGACCTATCATTAATTGTATGACTTGGAATCCACAATCAGCCTTCTGGGACTACAATACAGAGTAATAACAGGGGAAGCGAGAACGTTATAAAGCTTGAGGTTCTTTGACTGTGCCCTTATCCTCGCCGCTCCTTTGACCCGCCCCCCCGGCAGCAAAGAGCGCGTACCCCGAATAGTGCATGTCCGTCTGACAAAGTCACGCACAATGACGAAATGGACATACGAAAACCTGCATCATCCTATCCGGACGTAATCCCCCGAAGAGCTGGCTTGTGAGACTGGATTAGTTGGGCCAATTGAGGCGGAGGACATCCTTCATCAGACCGTTCGACTTGCTGACGGCTACTTGGCAGATTGAGAAGAGGGTGTTATAGGGTGGTCATGCTTGCTTGATTTACGCGCCTTCGATAGAGACAATATGGGGCCAAAAACAGCAAGATTTCACTCTTGTCATCGTGATCGGAATCGGACGCCACTACCTATATCAGGGAGGTGAATTGAAGGACGAATCTTTGTGAGGGCTGTTGCTTCGCCAATGGAAGACCTCCGCTTCACTTCTCAAGTGACCTTCCCTTACCAGGCCAATCTGCTTTCTGTGTGGCCAAGATGAGTGCTGCTCCTGTTCCCGGGCTTGATGATGGCCCTTGTCGGCGTTATCTTTACGGAAAGGGTCGCAGGCCCCAGGACCTTGCGATTGTTGGATTTAACACAGATCAACCTGTCGCGGCTGACCATCATAGGCAATCTGATGAAAGATACATCGTCGGTTCCTTCGGACAACGAGACCTCTCGTATGCGACAGCTAAAAGGAGTGACCACTCCCAGCTGACTGGAAACGGCTGTGGCCTATATAGCTGCGTAAAACGGTCGGACTCACACATCTCGAAGCTGGTGAATCACGACGAGTGCGTCGTACGCAAAAGTCAGCTATTCCAGCCGTGTCATGTCCATCTCATACTTCAGGTCCTGTGCCTCGATTTCTGCATCCCACTGAGAAGCAGCAGTGGTAGCAGTGGGACAGCACCATTACTGCTCGTTGGGCCGCCCAGTTGGCTTGGTGTCCTAGCCTGGTCTGTTAGGCAAGGCGACGCCGGGCCTCTCTTGCTTGTGGCGACCACCGCATCCATGGGTACGAACATCAGGATGACAGCCTCATCCTCCTCTTGTCCATCTTGACCATACCTTGTATGGCCACGGTCTGATTCAGTCAGAGTTGAGATGCGATGGTACATGTGAGAAGAGGGACCTGCGTTTATCAAGAAGTCTGTTCGGCTACTGTGGAAGCTCTCAACGGGACAGTCATGATGTACCTATACCATAAGCGTCCACAAATCCATGGTAAATACGCAGCAAGAGGGGCGATCTGCAGAAACCCCGGAGCCACGAGCTACTGGCGGTTATTTGAGAAAGAAAAGGCAGGAAGCACACACTGCAAACCAAGCCTTACTTGTAACTGGGTGCTGTCCTCGAGGTGATACCCTTTCAAGCAACAACAGCTTCGATACATGGTTAACACTTGGAAGTCGAGCAGAGAGCTCCATGGCGGCCATACACAACTTTTGACAGGCAACGTCAACCAAAAAAAACCTTTCTTATTGGAAAGGAGAGAGAATGCCACAACCTTATGGACTTTCGATGGAGCCCAGCCAGACAGCAGGGCCTCCTTTACATTTAGACCTGCGGTCATGCTTTCTGATTGAGTGAGCGAAGAGCTTCATGATCTTCCTCAATATAATAATTCCCTCACAGAAAAGTCGTACCCGCTCAAGATACACCTTACAGCAAGAAAACACGTCTCAAGGGATCATCCTAGAGATCTTAGCCTTTTTCTCTAGCAGGTGTTGCTTGTATATCAACGTGCAACACCCTTCGCCTTATCCTAAGATCCCAACAAATCTCCAAGAGGAACGTTGAGGATGATCAGAATCGCCGGGAAACTTGAGAATAAGGGAGCAGGGAATGTACCGCACAGAAAGGCCGACAATGAAGACTCGCCGACGAGCCAAGGACTTTCACTTCTGCTGGATCTTCGGTTCTCAGGGGGATTTCCAGGACTACGGGGTGAATTCCTGGTATCGCAACTTTGCAGAAGTTCCCCTTCGAAGCGCTAGCCACATAGGACCGTCACGTTCTCCGTCCCAAGGTCAAGATGGATCGTCAAAGACACGAACCAGGTAAGATCACCAGGGTCTGAGCGGCGGTGAGTTCCTCTCAAGGTGAGGCTTACATCCCACGTCCATCACTTCATGTCTTGGGAGGTCGATCAGTTCCGCGGTAGCCATGGAGATGCCACGAGTTGTACTTCAGATTGAGACTATATCCTCTTTCAAAGGGACGTTTGTTTATACATGGTATTATGGTAGGAAAAATGGATTGCTGAGGATCAGTTCCTAGAAAATGATATGACTGGGTACTGGCAGGAGAGCCTCGACGCTGACGTCGTGGGTATAATCCTCTCTACACCTCTGCTGCAGACACTCGACGCCAAGTATGGTATTTCAAAGCTGAGTAATATATGACTGCTCAGTGTTCACGCTCACCTTTCAGTTGTCCACTTCCGATATGTGGCGTGGTGAAAGTATAGCGAAATGGCATTGCAAACTGGGAGTATCGGACCGACTTCGACCTGCTGGGAAAAGAAGAAAGGCTGCGAGGTGGTTCCGGTGTTTCGAAGCTCGCAGCCGAAAAGAAAGTCACCGCATGCGAGCTTACTAGGAGGGAGGCAACCAGGCACTGATATCCCATATCGCCTTGTGCGAATCTACACAGGAACACAAGCGAAGATCGTTAAGGGGGCGTCACAGGGGTTTGAGCAGCTGGCGCAAACGCGTACCGGAAACTTTTCTGACGTTTTGAAGCCCGCAAGGAAAAATGTAAAGCCCTTGTCAGTGACCCGCACTGTTCCCCAGACACATGCATGCAGCAGAAAACCTCGGGATTATGTTGGGAGGCCGAGAGCCTGGATGTTCACAAATTACTCTGTACATCTCCGTACGGACATGCAAACCCTTTTTGGAGCAGGCCGACGATTAGAAGGCGGATGTGTCAGACCAGTGGAACCTCAGACTCGCTGCACCCGCAGCCAATAAAGTCACCCCCCAGGAGACCTGAACGGTTTATAAAAAGATTGTGGCCCACAGTGGTACACGTAGTAAGTGACTGTGGAGAAGCTTTTCTTCTATTTTTTTCTTCTTTTTTTCCCTCACATACATATGCTTTTCTTTTTTCAAAAAAGAAAAAGATTCGAACGTCCTCGTGAGCAGGCCTGAAGCGAGCTGGGCGTGGGGAAAGGCGGAAGTTTGGGTCAAATGAAGGTGCTGAGGCTGCCCTGCCGCACATGCTCTAACTAATATGGGAAGTGTATGCGACGAGCATGCGACATGTCACCTCTGGCAGAACAACGCACACTTTGTTCAAGTCCGTACAATGTACGTCAAACCGGCACTCTCCTCTACTGCATTGACCCCTTTTGCCTGGTTGTGCTTAAGAATGTGGTCTCAGATTTTTGTGCTGCACAACTACCTCTCCGCGGTGAGGAACCAACTGCCCGGAAGTCACGGCAACAGACAAAACGTCTTAAGAGAGACACAGTGATATTTTTATATATCAATTTTCAGAATCAGGGTTTTATAGAGGGTGAGATGAGACCTCTTTCGAACCGTAGGGGCAATGGACCCTGAACGATAGTTTTTCAAGGTATTTGGTTTATGTATTCTAGATTATGCTAAGTAAAGTACTTGAGCAGTAGGGAAACAAACAGGGATCCAAGAATAGTGAATTGATGTTTCTGAGACCATAGAATTAAGGAAGAACAAACATAGATCAGAATTTTCTTTTTAATGCCTACTAGCAATGTGTCTCACTTGACAACATATGAGATTGAGGGACTTTTCTCATCTTCTGGTGAAACAGGATGTTGATGCTACTGTCTGGCACTCTGATGGTTTGAGTGGTGGTCGGCCCAAATTATGGCATCCACCAATTGCATCTAAGTACTTCAGTAGTATGGTACTTGTTTCCAGCACCGGCCACAGGAGTACCTATCATAGTATTGTGGTACCAGGGTACCTGATATTTTTGATGAAATAGAAAAGTCCAGCCTGATAGCGAGTTGGGGACCTTCATTGTAGCTGCTTGTGCCGGCACTCAAGTGAACTACAAGAAAAAGAGTCCCATTCAGACAGCATTGATAGACCATGAGAAGGCAAGGTTCGCATGGTCCTGCACAGGTGGCCGAGATAAACAATCAGACATGCATGGTTCCCGTGTGGGTCATCGTATTGGAAATGGTGTAGCATGTGTAGGAAGGTACATGATCAGGGTCCTTAGGTTCAGAGGAAGCACGGGCCAGTCCCCCCCCGGAAAGAGTGGATCTCACCATGGGATAAAACTTCCGTGGTGGGGCCTTCCTTCTCCATGTGCTCCATCACAAGAAAGCTTGCCATCTCTTCCCACCCACAGCTCTCCACCTTGCCTGCTCCCTCACCAGGAACAGCCACCCACGACGCGAGGCACACGGAAGCCCTCACTTGCCTCACAACCTATCCGGTGACCAGATCACAACCTTTTCAGATTTGTGGCGCCTGGGGGGTCACTGCCGGCTCCCCACATCCTGCGAATCCGGACCCAGTCCAGCCCACAGGATTACCACTTTGCAATTCTGCTCTGATCGCCATCAAACGGACAGCACCCTCTGGATCCCTCCTACCCCTCGCAGGAGGAATGGGAGAAAATTCCAGCAGTCTGACAGCCTTCTACTAATGTCCATTAGGACGACGTTGGACTATCATGGCGCATCCCAGGAACAATAGTCAGGCTTGCCACGTGAGGCCAAGCAGCCCTCGACGGCCCAGGATCGCAGAGACGTTGAGGATCCTGGCTTCGCATACTGAGCACACCGCGTCACGTCAGTGGGGTCTACCGACGATCTGTATACATACTAAGGCAGTAGCCTCGTCTACTGTATGCAAGTAGGACTGTTACGACGTAGTGACAGACAGGTCTGCTGCTGGTGGTATTGGCACCAGCTTGTCGGTAGCGCTTCCCAGCAGGGTTCCAATCACGAAGGACAAAAGTACAACGCCAGTCAGTGGCCCTCTTCCTCGAGTCGAATGCACCCACTTGCCTGTGCTCTCCGAAAGACCGTATGCTGCCTCTCTGAAGTCTGCTCTATTCCTCAATTGGCGGCCCCGTCTCCAAATAATCGGCAGAATCTTGCCGATCTCGAGTGGCAGGAATACAGCGTTCGGATGATATTGTCACCGTATGGTTTTATGTTGCTCAGCAGCTTTGGAAGACCCCCGACGAGGACGAACGAGATGGTTACAGGACCATCAGCAATCTTGATCCTGACTGGTCGCAGTCATGCCGCCTGTCTAGCCTCTCCACGGTTTCCATTACGGCCCTCCAAGACACGCAAACACACTCTTGCAAATGCCGAGGAGCCGCCTCAACATTGGTCTTCTTCTCGTGGGGGGGGGGGGGTTCCTTTTCTTTTTCTTTCGAAGGATATTGCAGAGCCCACATCCCGGAGCCAACATCCTCACTCGATCCACTGGTAGGATCTTCATACGTCTAGCTGTTTGCAAGGACCAGCACCACACTGCTTGAAAACGATCAGGCATCATACAACATTGGATCCAGGCTGAGATGAATACCCACATTCTGCAATGTGCCCCTTAGGGTTTGCAGCTTAACTACAACTATCGAGTGTGATTCGCGTCGACCAGGGGATGTTGACATCGACCGGTAGTTGGGTTTTTTCTTCTTCTTTCTTCATCAAACACCTGGGCCTGCTCACCATGAGATTCTGGCCGCCTTCCAACTAAACTTCCGCAGGGCTCGCGTCGTTGCGTCTCTACCTTGGCTCATAGTATCAGTGCAGGTGACCAGACAGGTATGGGATGAACAGCCAAGAAGCTGTCGTCACGATTCTCACTGCGTCGAGCCAGTGCGCCCATACCTCGCAACATAACCCCGCGTCTAGTGCGAAATGCACAGTCCTCCACGACATGGCGGCTGCACTCGCGAGGCAGCTCGTGTCGCAAAGCTGCGAGACGGGTGTCTCTCTTCATTATGATCCCCGCACCCACACAATTCGCCCGGCCGAGCGGCCGACTGTCGATTTCAGAGGAGAACACCACCTTGCCCTGCCGTACCGGGGACCAACATTGGCCCTTCCAGTGCACCATCCGCTCAACAACAGCGGGTATCCCGGCCCTGGTTTCCCAAACCTCCACCCCACCCCTTGCTCGTGTAAGGGATGGATTAGATCAACCTAGCAAGCCCCTTGCCATACACACCACCCTCATAGCTCAGGCTTTTTGTATAGGTATGGTAAGTTGCTCCTCGATTTTCGTACTTTGCCAGAATTGACTGGACTTTTTTACAAAAAGCCTTCTCCTTCCTCGTACCTGCCCCATCCCCCCCAATCCCCTCCACAGAGTTTGTGGTGGAGACGAGAAAACAAACCCGTGAGAGACCAATTTCCTCGTTTCTTGAAACCTCGATCTGCCTATACCTCACCTATTCTCCAAACCGTCTGATTTACTGGCGGCACTGGACGAGTACGCGCGGATACGTCTGTGTCCCGTCCTCGACACTTGTCTGAGCAGGAAACATTGCTTTTCTCGCGCTCAGGGCCTCTGGGCTATTTATCCCCCGTCATAACACCGCATCTCTCCATTTACGCCACAAAGGGAGCACAGGCACCAAGTATCCTCGGGAGTTCAGATCATCGACAATTTCCTGCATTTTAACTGCTCCAAACCATCGTCCTCATCACCGCACAACAAAACCATTGCATACTATTTTGCAGCTGCGTTATGGGCTGAGTCTACTCAAGAGCCAAATATTGCGAGGACATCAACGAAACCTCCTGCGACGTTACTGGTTGGCGTGGTCTGATCCAGGCCTGTGAACCAGAATTAAGACCGCCAGACCCGATATATATCCTCCCTTTCCATTTCGCAAGCGACCCGAACCACGAAGCCAAGATGTTGACCGACGATCTTACCGAGGCCGAACTCAATGTGTTCACCGTCCTCGAACGGGCAGCGTCGGTGGCTTCTTTGCTCGGCTGCGTCGTCATCATCGTGACGTTTAGCTTTTCGAAAAGTTTCCACAAGCCTATCAATCGCCTAGTTTTCTATGCCTCATTGTCAGTTCACCTTTCCACCCTTTTCCCATCTCCTCGACGATCCGCAGGTCCGCCTGGCGTAAACAGTGGATGGTGTTGCACATCCTGCCTATGTGTCTCTCGTCACGTCGTTCCAATTGATTCACTGCCGCTGACTCTTGATATGGACTTTATAGAGGCAATGCAATGACCAATGTCGCAACCCTCATGGCCAGGACGTATGTGGGTGACTCAGGCTCGGCAGGCTGCCAATTGCAAGGTTTCCTGATCCAGATGTAAGTCACACTCTGTCCATCCAGCCGTTTGTGCGTCGCGGCGTTAAACTGACACTGAGAATTTGATTTAGGTTCATGCCTGCAGATGCCTTCTGGACATTGGCCATGGCCGTGAATGTCTATTTGACGTTCTACCGCAAGTACGATGCCCAGAAATTGCGGAGGATGGAGATACCATATCTCCTTTCTTGTTATGGGCTGCCATTCATTATAGCCATAACATACATCTTTGTTCAGACCCCCAGCAAGGGCCGGATGTACGGCAACGCCACGATCTGGTGTTGGATTCAGCAGTCATGGGATGTTTGGCGAATCGCCACCTTCTATGGACCTGTGTGGTACGGCACATTGTTCCTCAAGCCCTAAATGACCGAGTCAGTGAGTACCGACAAGCTGACACTACCACAGGGTGGCTATCGTCGCAACCTTTTTCATCTACATCCGTGCTGGACGTGAGATCTACCGCAAGCACCAACAGCTCAAGGATCTAAACTACACATCACACTACGAGCCCGAGCCTCTGCCGATGAACGAGGTGGCCAACAGCAAGACGACCGAAGTCTCTGTGACCGTGACCAGCGCTGGGGAGGCTATCGACCTCGCACCGCTCGGTATCAACATGAACAAGCACGACTCGATCTCCGGACATTCCCTTGGCGACCCGTCTCCGTACTCCGTCTCCATCAGCGCCAAGCCTCAGCCCGCGGCCGAGTCTAGCACGGCGGCGGCAGCAGCTAACACCAGCAGGGTGAGCACGTACGGCGCACAGCAGGGACAGGGGCAGGGCTTCCAGATGCCAGGGCTGCCGAAGCTGCCCTCACGGCGCAAGATCACGCTAGATGCGCACAACGCCGCGTGGAGCTACACCAAGGTGGCGCTGCTCTTCTTCACGGCGATGCTGGTGACGTGGATCCCCTCGTCCTTGAACCGGCTGTTCAGTCTGGCGGAGGCGGGCCAGATCAACCTGCCGCTCGAGTACATGTCCGCATTCGTGCTCCCTCTGCAGGGCTTCTGGAACGCCGTCATCTACGTCATCACAAGTTGGAAGGCGTGCAAGTCCTTCCCCGACGACGTGGCCTCGCACTGGAGTGGGTCGTCGTCATCGTCGTCGTCGTTGAAGATAATCTCTGGGATGAACGGCAGAGCCCATCATGGCGGTGGGAGGGAGAGGGAGGACAGTGGAGATGCTACTGGAAGAGGAGGTTCGTATGGGAAGAGCTCCAAGAACGCAAGCGAGACGGAGAGTATGGAAGAGTTGGCGGTCCGGAGCCAGTCGATTTCCTCATGTTGAGGGGAAAAGAAAATATTTTTTTTATAAAAAAAAAAAGAAGAAAAAAAGAGGAGGAAGGGGAAAAAAAAAATCAATAATTCATTTTGGTCTCGGGAGACGAATGTACGACGACACTTGTCTGTGTTTTTACCACGTAATCTTCTACATACCCCCCCCTTTGCTTCCAAAAAGAGCGCGCAGAGCCTATCTTTCGCAATAACATGCCATCAACAATTCATTCCTTTTCGAAAACGTGACTGAATGGTCTCTACATGCGATGCTTGTCTTTCTGTCTCTCTCTATACCATAATACTTGACGTTTGCGACTTGAGCAGTTGGAAGGGGATGCTCACACACCCTCACTCGTAGTTTCGCAGGAACAGTAAACTCAGAGAGCGGGATGTGACCCCCAGTGTGAGCAATCCTCCCGTCGTGCTGCTGACGCAGGTGGGTTACATCCACGCATCACCACTATCGCCTTCCCTGTCCGCCTTGCATATTCTACCAGACTATAGTACTAGTACAGTACTGTGTCTTGTTTCATCCCTGTTTTTCTTTTTTTTCTTTTTCTTTCTTTCTTTCTTTCTTTCCTTCTTCTTGCCCCTGCGTCATGCATGCATCATGTATGTGCACTGCGGAAGGTGCTCACACTTTGGGTGCATACCACCACCTCTCCGTCCTAGGTAGGTTCAAGCTCACGTGGGCTACTGCTATGTCCTTTACGCATGTCCTGTCCTTCGTGGCTCGTCACACGCTCTGTTTGGGAAAAGTCATATCGCTTGTTTGGGAAGATTTCTACGCTACTACGTACAAAGAATATGGACCTCGCACGGATCGCAACCCACCTAGGAGTCGGTCGATTTACAAATGTCGACTCAGGAACCGAGGCAAGTGCCGTTGAATCAGGTAAGCCGACATGAATACTCATTACAATTACCCCTGCTCGTTGCTCTCGCCGCCTTCATTTCCAAGAGACCTAAAAGGTCTCACATCAAGCCCCCAAACTGGGGTTGTTTGCAACTTTCTGCCTCTCATGGGCCGCTCTACTACGAATTTTGTCTATCATTTAGCCCGGTCGATCCGTGAACGAGTGACTTTTGATTATCGAGCATCTTTCTCTGCGGGCGCTCATTGATTCGAGCCTTCTTATTCATACTGAGGCACTCCGCGGTTTCTCTCTGCCCATGGCTTGCTATCTTGGGCTCTCTCTCCACTGCGAGTCAACACCCCCGCACCCAAATCGTCGGGTCGGGGGTAGGAGAGAGACTTCGAGTCCGGGGTGGTGGGGGTGGAACAGTAGAGGACCCTCTTGGCGCGTGTGTCCCCTTTTTTGGGTCCACCCTCCAAAAGAGTGATGAACTCTTTTTGCCTCCCGGTGGGAGAAAGAGTTTCAGACACCTGCCTTAGGTCCGCACCTTGGAACGCCACTATGAGCAAGGCTATAACGCTTGTGAGAAGGTTTGAATGTGGCCCGACCTGACAGACGGCCCTCGTTGATCTTGAGGCGACCTCCACCAGGCCTCGTCCATGCCGTTCGTCCGTCGTGGTCATTACGCATCCTGTGGGACCTCCCCCCCCCCCCCCAAACAAACAAGCAAGCCAAGCTATGAGAGATCTTCTCGGCTTGCCTCTCTCCCGCGCTGGTCATTTCTCTTCAAAATGGAGGAGGATCGTCGTTTGACCGATGAGAGCCCTGGAGACGGAATTTTAGTTTGGCTTTTCTTGTGTCTATGGGGACCAACTTCTTTCGGCTTCGTCTCCCCCTCCCTTACTTTCTCTTATTTGAACCAGGAGCAGACCCTGCAATCAGACCACGACTTGTGACTTGAGAAAAGACGGTACCGCGCCGACTGTGCCGCATTCTAGGACCAGAGACGTTGATGGACAAGCTGCAAGGTGGTGGTACACAGCCGTTCACGCTGATCTTATCTATGCACGATTACTTAGTCGTCCCAATTCAGAAGTGACAGCCTGGGACCACCAGCCCGCTCCGGACTAGACTGCTGTTGCTGACCCGGGGCCTTCTACGTTTCAATCGTCTCTAATTACAACCGTGCGGTGATGTGGCTTACTCCTCTGGCACACTTGTCGGGATGACAAAAGAAAGAATAAAAAAACAGGGGGGATGACGGACAACCCCCCGCCCCTCTCCCATTGGTGACAACTGTTGGTCTCATCGAACGTTCCTGCAGCAGCGGAAATTAGGCGCACGCTAGCAAGCAACCACGGCACGCGTCGCTTCAACCTATCAAGATAGAGAAGCTTTATGTGCTAAGTCCCCCAAGTATTGATGTGATGAGTACACAGTACTATGGCTAAATAAGACAGGCTCCCCAGGCATCTCGTCCTGGCTCAAAGCGTGTGGCATTCATTGTCGGACGATGAATCGCACCGGTATCAAAGCCAGCAGTCAGAGCGGGCAACAGCCGCACCACGTGAGGGAAGGATGATGCTGGCCAAGGAAACCTGCCAGGGCGTGCTTGACAAGGCAGGGGAGTTTGGGTGGGAAGGGGCAGGGGGAGAAGACCTGCCGAAGGATCAGGCTGAGGTTGGATAGGGCAGGTACGAAAGAAAAGTAGAGACCCCTGACGGCGACAACCTAGGGAATTTGGGGTACTGATTGCGTGGAGAGAGAAACAAAGGAGGTACAGCCTGCGACGTCGCGTTCAACATCCCTCTCATCTTTCTCTTTCTCTCGCAAGCAGGACCCAATGAACAGGTAAAGGTCAACTGCACCCGGTGCTAGTGATCGATCAGGTAGTCCGCCGACACCGAAGACTGCGACAGGGCCAGCCAGTCGCTGCTGAGCCACCGCCACCTTTGCGAACCACCATCACCCCTCCTCTTTCAACTTGTACATCGATCGGATGCGTTCAACGTCGAACCTATGATCGATCCACCGAACCATTTTGAATACACCATAAGAGGAGTCACAGGCACCAACGATCCTTCACCAGATGTCGATATCGTGGGAGGAGAGGATCGTTGTTGAGCGGTAGTGCGTGCTACTGCAGGTATGGTATGGCGTCTCCTAGCTTAGAGGTGTGGTAGATAAGCAAGTGCTAAGTAGTCTCTTGCTTCGTCATGGTTGCACCGGCCCTTCTCAAGGGCCAGGCATGGCACGTGGAACGCGGAGATGGCGTCCTCGTTGACAGGAGGCCTGAGCGTGTACGCCCCATTCCAGGGGTTTTGTTGGGTTGAATTGCGACGACGGACGCTACAGCAGCTGGGCTCGGTCTTTGCGGAGATCGAAGCTGGACCAATGATGGCCAGGTAGGACGACTCTCTTTCGGTCAACGAGATGACCACACCGACTCGCTCGACCAATCTGGTCTATCGTTTCTCTCACTAGGAAAGGTAATAGATGGCAGAGCAGAGCGGCAAGGATTCGAAGAACTCGTGAACTTACTCAGATTATGGTCATCCTCATCTTTGACAGTGTTCAGAGATGGACAGATGTCTGTGCTGGTTGATCATCAGCTCAGGAGAATTGGCACAACATAACGGCATGGAACAGGTCAAGCAAGAAGGTACCACTGGATGAAGAAACCCGTCTCTTCATTGACTCGTCTCAAGGTGGTGCTGTACGCCCATAGGGTATCTCCTCCACGAAACAACTCCTGTTAACGCCACTTGGTTGTGATTATCATGGTTGAAGATGCTCAAGATTTCCATCTGTTCATCCATCTAGTCCAATGCACTCAGCCCAGGTATTGCAGCCGGCGATGTGTAGCCTAGAAGAAGAAACCTTTAGACAAGGGGACCGAGAAGTTTGAACGCAAAAAGAAAACTAAAGCATCTATCTCTGTGTCTCTCTCTGTGTTTGTGTGTATTTGCTCTTACACCATCCCGGCAGACCAAGCATTTACACATACACTCACTCAATCCTCAGAGGCTTTGCAGGCGGCGATGATGCTATACTCCCAGTAGGTCTTGTGCTCAACGCACTCGTCGACAATCTCGGGTATCTCCCACCACCAATTATCGCCCGTGACGAACGAGCCCCAGATCTCCTGCCACAGCAGACGGCCGACCGTGGTGCGCAGCTCCCGAGTGATGGACGGGGTGTCCGACCCGGTGCTGCTGCTGCCACCACCGCCACCACCGCCACCACCGCCACTGCCGCCACTGCCGCCACTTTGGTGGTGACCCCCTTGAGAGACGGCGAGGAACCGCGCGTTGGTGATGATGCTCCCCTTACCGCGCAGCCTGGCCTCCTCAAGCCAGACGGGGAAGTTCCTACTCGGGTGGCCGACCCTGAACTGTAGCTCCAGGTTAAACACCAGGTTGCCGTCGATCCAGCTCTGCAGGAGCGGGCCCATGGACCGGGCTACAGGCCACGGGTCGATGATGACCATGTGCAGGTAGCCTCCGGAGGCGAGGATGCGGTGGATGCCCTGCAGCAGTTTGGGGATCTCGGCGGACGGCAGGATGGAGGTCATGAGCAGGCACGAGACGGAGGAGAAGGACTCGGTGGCCAGGGCGAGCATCGAGACCGAGATGGTCGGGCAGATGATGGGGTGGATGTTTGGGTAGTGCTTGTGGCTGAGGGGCTCGGGCGAGAGGTGGTAGACTGGGGTCGAGATGTTAATTCCTGCCAGGTATGATGCGGTGGCTTGTGATGTGCCGCGTCAGCAGAGAGTCCAGAGCGGAGTAGGATGAATGGAATGAGAGCCCTACCTGAGCTCTCAAACAGAGCAAGAACCTTCTGAACGCTGGGCCTCACAGCCGGTCCGGACAGTTGGTCCTCGGGAACCCAGATCGTCTCCATGTTGTAGAGAGCAGTCAGCAGCCAGCGCTTCCTCTCCATCTCTCGCTCCTTGTAAACCAACGCGACATCGTTGGCTCGCTGCGCATCGGTGCGTTGGTGGTGATCATCTGCGTACGCAGCACTCTGGATAGTAGTAACAGGAATGTTGCTGGTCACCCCTCTCTGGCCGTTGAGATGCATCAAAACGACCCTGGGCGAGGCACGCAACATGCGCTCCGTCTCGCGCTGCACGTGGGCGATATCCAGTGTAGCGGAGGCGTGCTGGTCGGATGCTGCGGGGTCGAAGGACTCCTCAGGAGGGCCCGAGAGGGCAGACTCAGTCGAGCTGATGGCCCAGTCGTTTGGGGCCTTCCAGGTGTCTGGCTTTTCGGTCGGCCGCATCGTGGCTGGGGAGATGGCGGGCGCGCTCAGCTTGGGACGGGTGTGGACGCGTTTCTGGTGGTGTGGCTGCTGCTTGGCGCAAGAAGGGCCGGCCTCCACACTCTTAGCATCGGAGGAGCCTTCTGCGATGACAGGCAGGGTGTGCGACTCGTCGATGTTCTTCTGGAGGGATGTTTCGACCGCGGGAGGTAGGTGAACCACTTCGGAGAAGTTCGTAGGAGTCTGCGAGGCGCTATGAAGTGTTAACCATCGAAGCTCACTATAGCATATCTTTTCGTTCGCTTACGGTGACTTGGAAGAGGATGGTCTGGATGGCGGGCGGTGGTCATCATCTCCAGCAGAGATGTAGACTTGGGACACAAGAAAGTCGCTGTGCTCCTGGGTCCGGTCTCTGATGGTGGTCACGGTGGTCTTGGTGATCATGGAACACCCATCCGTGAGCTCCTGGTATAGACTGGTACGGCCTGGCTGGGGATTCGTTATATCACAACCAAAGAGGGAGCCGCCAGGAGCGCGTTCGCCCTCGTCAAGCTTACTGAAGACAGAGTCTGCGAAACCTGGTCTCCTTTTAGCCATGCTGTTCGCGTTGTTATTGCCCATGTTTGCATTAATGACAGTAATGCAGGGCGTTCAGAAACAGCACTGACAAGAAAAGGCGTTGCCAAAAAAAAAAATTTCTTGCAGAGTAACGACACTGTGCAAGAAGGTGAACGAACGGGTGACTAAACTCACTGGAGAAGCGCTTAGACGGAAGCCCTGGTGAATCTTCCACTCCACCGCCACCTGTGTCTGGCCGTCTGCTGCTGGATGACACTGACACCCTCTCATCACCAAGCTTCTCGTCGATCGTCGGAGACCGCAGCGACGAGCTTGCCACCGACTTGGCGTTGCCTTTGCGCGAGGATGACGAGCCGCCCTTGTGGCGATGTTTGCCACCAAAGAAGCCGAACTGCTTGTCCACAGAGGACACAGAGGTGCGCACCGATCCAGACGTCCGAGTGCCGCCGCCCTGGCTCAGGTGGTCGTCCAGCTTCTGGTACTGCTCGCTGTCGTCATCCTCATTCAGGCTGCTCGCGGTGGCGGCGTCCTTGTGGCCGTCCTTTTCCTTGCCTTTGCCCTTGCCTTTCTCCTTCTGCTTCCTGGCCCTACGGTCGCCAACGGACTCCCTGTTAGGGTCGCTCCAGTCGACGTCAAACATCCTGGATCGATCGTCACCTGGCTTCTAGTCTGTGTGTCGACGCATTTGGGATGATGTTTTCCTCTTTCTATTTCTGGCCGCTGAGCTGAAGCTGGGGACTGAGCTTGTAGTAAACGATCGTAGGTTCTAATAGGAGGTGAATCTTCTTCGTAGTGGTTGAAGTGGTAGGGAAGGAAAGAAAGAGAAAAATGTGCTACAAATGATAGATCATTTTGGGCCATCGATGTCGCCTCAAACTTGATGGAAGGGCGCGGTGTGTTGTGTGACAGATAAGCTCTCAGCTGTTAGTCAGCTTCTCATCAAATGGAAAAAAAGGGGGGAGAGGGGGAATTGACTGACATACTTGGTTATTGGGGGGAAAGGGATGTCTGTGCAAGACAGCAGACACATGAAAGTGACGATGAGGCGGTGATGTGACCAAGTTGCTTTATCTTGCTCAAGTTGAAAGGAACATGAGATGGTCCTTGAGACCACATGTCTAGAAATGTGGTTAGGAAAGTGCTCAAGATATTGCAAATATGCTCATACATTATGCCCTTACTGATGCAAGGACGCGTTTCTTCAAACAAAGTTGTCCGAGAGGTGCGGAGGAAGAGAAATGGGATGAGGATAGCATAGGCAGGGTTGCCCAGGCTGGCGTGTGCGAAGTTGTAGCAAGGCTGTACACAGAGAGCCATGAAAACTTCTAAGTACACAAGGCTGAGAATATCTCAGGGCGCCGAAAGAGAAAATGAGCACAACAGGTTCCTAATAACAGGAGTGGGAGGGTGGATACTTAGATAATTCTCCAAGGACCGACTACCTGCGAAAGGTTGATAGCAAGTTGTGTAAAAACCTGAACACTGTATAAAACAAGGAAAAAGGAACATAGAAGCTGCTGAATCAAGCTTTAGGTAGATAAGAAGTCAATTTTTCTCTCCCTAGTAGGTCTTGGAGTCAAGCCCAGCATCACCACCAGGACAGCTTTCCCAGGGCAGATGAAGGTTCTGTCAATGCGATTCATACAAAAGCCACAGAGACACTCGGCAGCCATTGCATCATCTTACACATATAGGACCTGAAATGTTTTGGGGTGCTCTGAGAGATCTCGATCAACACTGATCAGCCTGCTCAAGTAGACAAGGATTCTGAGGCCCAACGTCAAAGGAATAATCCTGGAGTAAGAACCAAGAGGCTGTCGTCATCTTACATCTAGCGCATGGGGCCTCTCATTCGGGGAGCAGCTATAATTTTCTGTACAAAACACTCACCCTCTTCTAGTATTGCTACTTGTATCTTGTCAGAAGAATGTTGTTGTTGACATTACTATAGGTTAAAAACAGGGCTTCGAATAATATCATGTATAGGTAGACCTAGAGGGTCTAGAAGTGGAAATCCTCATGCGGGTCAAAGACTCATCAGAGCCAAAGTCGTGAGATTGTCTATGACTCAGTAGTAATAGAGAATAGGCACTTACTTACCCTATGGATTATAGATTGGTCAATGTCTGCATGCTGCATCTTGCCTCGTAAGTACATCTGCCAAAAGCCGTCAGTCACAGTAGGAAGTTTGAGTCAGCGGACCGAACCCGTCCGTCCACGGATGTCATTGCGTTGATACATGGCATCCAGATATTATTCCGCAAGGATCCTTTCCTCATGCAACAAACCGAGTCTTTGTCTTTCGTATTCACCTAGTAGTTCCCACGTCTCGTCCATTCCATTCTCGCTGCCCAGCTTCCAATCTCGGAAATAGAAACGTCGCACAACTTCCATAATCACTGTACATACAGATTTTTGAAGCCTTATGCCCCGAATTCGAGCCTCGAAGAAGGCCTCTCACTGTCCCTTCCAAAGCCATCATACGCCCAGTTCCATTGAGCAAAAAAGAAATCAGCGGCATTGAAAAACGCTAGACAGCTCCACACTGCGGACATTGTATGCAAATAGGTATGACAAGACGCCCGCACCCGAAGCCACTACCGCCCGTGTCCAAAGCAAAAGGAAGACGGCAAACTTGTTGTCAGATTCTCGCCCGAGAGTGGAGAGAGACACACACACACAGAGAGAGAGAGAGACGGGAGGCCAGGACGTTTGCGCTTAGATCTCGTCATCTGAATCTGTCAACACCAGCGGTTGCATGGCCCGAGTGTGCTACAGGTACATGGCACGGTATTCCTGGGCCAGTGTCAGGCTGGCTGTTTTCTCACCGATTTTTCCTGTTGTCAAGTTGAATGCCATATAGTCTAGTTCACTTCTCCATGGGCGCTCCTGTGGAGGCATTTGTAACCGAAGCTTAGCGCCGGCAGCCTCGAGTTTCCTGCCTCCCGGGAGTGACAGCTCCGTGATCTCGTCTATCCAGTGTGAGGCAGAGGACTATCTACAGACCTGATGAAAACGTTCTTCTTGGGAAAACCATCATCCCTCGTAAACTGCCCTGTGAGCTTCACAATCCTGCCAAGAAGGAAAAGAGTCAATCACTGAGCACGGGCTCCCCAATATCTCGCTTCTTCAGGTCCTGCGTGAACTCGGAGATCACGGCACCAACCTCTCCGAGGTGCAGCACATGGACAGAAGACACAAACTCTTCGAAGCGCTAGTTAATCGACACCGCTTTCGTGAAATTTCTCTCTCTCTTGGCCTTGGTAACACTCGCACAAGACATTGAGGCCTGCAAGTGCTCGGCTGAGCCCCTCCGCCGGTGGCAGGGCTCGGGTAGTTCATCCACTCAACTTCCGCCATCCGGAATCCACCGTGTTCTGGTCAATAGTCTCGTCTCGGAAGCACGGTGAGCTTGATTCCAAGTCAACGGCCGACAGCCACAGCACAGGGTACAAAAGAAGGGGAGAGAGAAAGGAGGAACCGAAGACGGATGCCTCGAGGGGTGGATTATGATGTATCTTGATCCGGACTTTGCATGACCGCCTCGCGCAGGCTGCAGCCATCCATAGGCCATGGCCGCCATATTCGTCCTCTTCAGGATAGCCGAGTTTTGATGGCGACCCCGTGGTGGAAGCCACTAGCTGGGAAGGCACAGAACATGGGCGGCCGCATTAGATTATGGTGAGTCTCGTTTGTTTCTGGTAATTAGGGGCCCTCATCACGACGCAATGGTAGCAGCCGCCATCAGAACCAAACGCGGCCCGTCGGTTGGCTATCTCTGGTGGTTTCCACACACACTCTCTCTTTCTTGCGATGCATAGCATGAGCAGGGTCGCGGTAACCTCAAGCCCGTCACTCACGAGATCGGTCTCACGACGACCTCATGCTGCTAACTTGCACGTCAAGAGAGAGAGAGAGAGAGAGAGAGAGAGACCCGGCAGCATTTGCTGAATGCCCGGAAGGGAGAAAAGGGAGGGAGTACAGACGCATGCAGTGCTGCATGTACATGTATGTTGCGCCTTGCTGCGTGCGGTAAGCGAGTTTGCCACGATACAGAGCTGCGCAATCCCGATCCAGCATGTCCGTGTTGCTGTCTGTGAGACGTGAGAAACTTTGCGCAGATCGCACCAACAGGAGCCTCACCCCTTTCTTTTCTTTTCTTTCCTCTCTCCCCTATGGTGGAGTCTATCCGAGGGAACCGAAATCAGAGTCTCAAATGCTGGTCTCAATATTTTTGCTGGGAGGTTCAAGGGCTCGGCCAATTGTGTACGCCAACGAGCAGAATGCCCTATTTCGGTGATGATCTTCTTGTTCAGACATAGCTAACAAGGCAGACAAATGACAACTGTCCAAGTGGTTCTTATGGTAGTTACTGGTGATACACGCAGAATGAAGCAAGACATACCTGTAGAATGATGACCCGCCCCCTTGGATAGGTGAATCAGGCAATGGTAACCGTGGTTTCTCTTGTCGAATGAGGTCAACTTCAAGGAAAGAAAAAAAAATCCCACCTTCTCGGCATGATCCTTCCGGATTGGTCAGAGTCAGTGTCTCTTGTTTTCACCGTCGGCCGCCGAGGATGACTTCCGTTGACCGTGCTACCCAGTAAGGTGTCAGAAAGCATTGGGTAACATGAGAAGTCCATCGATAGTGCAGAATGGACAAGATGTAGCCGGGCCCCAGCTGCGTCCTCAAGCCACCGAATCAACGCTCTGTCGTCGTGTTACTGCAGGCCCATGCTCTAAAGTTCTGGGACTCGGCCTCGAGAGTAGCTAGGTTTCTGGTCCTTGTCTATCAACAGCTTGTTCTGTTTTCCCTCCTCCTCCGTTCGTATCGTCTCCCAATTTCAAAGCAACATCTCTCAGTCGAGGCCTGGCCCGCGGCTATTGTTGCTGCTCGGAGTTTCACACACGAATTTGGATTCTAGCATACGTCAAGTACACTAGTCGAATCGCTGATGATTCTATGGACTAGAATTGGTATGTTTAAGAGCCCCTGCATAAGGCGGAACCGCCATACTGCGACATCTGAGATCCCAATGACATGATAATCCAGTTCTAATATCACAACCCGTTCTAATCTTCGATTTCAAATAGGCTCACGACGCATTGTGGGGAATCGTCACACAGACAACCGATTCTGATTCAAAAACTGTCTCTGCTCTTCTTTTCTGCGTGCCTGAGGTCTTTTGCCGTACACGAGCATCGTTCTCCCCACTTGGCCGTGTTCGTTCCATTCCTCCTTCCGCTGATTCTCTTGTGGTCTCTCAGTCGTTCCTTGAACAACCTTCGACGCCTTATTCTTCTTCTCCATGAAGGATAGATGTCACGCTGATTGTGTCCTCGAGGGCATTATGGAACTTCAAGACGGTGACAACGAGCATGAGGGCCAGCAGCCAGACCGCTATGTCTACGGCCAGAGCTTCATGGCAAGGACCTTTGGCCGGGTCATGGACATGCTCAGAGGCTTCGAGACCTCTGTCAACCAGTCGACATTCGGTCGGGTCTTCAGGCTGGGCGGATCTGGTCACGTAAGTGACTTCAAATACATGGAATGGTGACACCGTTTCGATTAGGCATACTAACGTCTTTTCCTCAATTCGGTGCAGCCGGACCAGATCCAAGGCGCCAGCTTCTACACCGAGATCCGAGCAGGCTTGACAACTTTTGCGACCATGGCGTATATCATTGCTGTTAATGTATGTGAGGCAGGGGAAAAGAAGAGAAGAAGAAGAAGACAAAAAGAGAAAAGGGAATCGTGCTCTTGTTATGCTCCTTTAAGTCACTGACTTTGTCGACTCCAGGCCGACATTCTTTCGGAAACGGGTGGTACCTGCGTATGTGAGAAACCTCTCACCGCAGCGGGGACCTGTGCAAATGAGACGGAATGGCAGTCCTGTGCAAATGGTGAGAACGTGCCTTGCCCGTAGTCACGAAGAGAAGGCAAAGACGTGCTGACGAAGCCATATATAGTCGTCAAGCAAGACCTCATAACAGCGACGGCGGCACTATCAGGACTGGCCAGTATCCTCTTTGGCTTTTTCACCAATCTCCCTGTCGCACTGGCGTATGTCGTCAACTAGACGTCCCTTACCCCCGGCCCCCCCGAGCTTTCGGAAGACCAAGCTGACTGAAGATACAGCCCCGGTATGGGTTTGAACGCCTATTTCGCCTTTCAATGCGTCGGAATCCGCGGGACAGGCTCTGTCCCATACTCTCTTGCACTGACTGCAGTGTTCGTCGAAGGCTTTATCTTCATCGTGCTTGCACTGACTGGCATGCGACACTGGCTGGTGAAAATCATACCCGGGACGATTAAAACAGCTAGCGGCGTTGGTATAGGTCTCTTTCTGACCATGGTAGGGATGTCGTACTCTGAAGGCATCGGTATCATCACCGGCAATCCATCGACGCCTCTGACGATTGCGGGTTGTGACGCGGCGTACCTCGATCCCAAGACCGGGGCGTGTACAAGCAATCTGATGACGAGCTCCAAGATGTGGCTCGGTATCACGTGCGGTGGTCTCCTGACAGCCTTTCTCATGGCATTTCGGGTCAAGGCCGCCATCATCATCGGCGTGGCGCTCGTCTCGATCTTATCCTGGCCGTAAGTCCTGCCAGATTCTGTTTCCCATAGGTGGGCGTGTGCAAAATCTAACGTGTGCCAGCCGCAATACACCGTTCACGTACTTTCCCAACACAACTGAAGGCGACGAGCGCTTCGCCTTTTTCAAAAAGGTTGTCTCGTTCCACCCTATTACCCACACATTGAATGCGCAACAGTGGGACCTCTCCGGTAGCTATGGTGCCTCCTTTGCCCTAGCGCTTTTTACCTTCTTGTACGTCGACATCATCGACTGCACAGCAACCTTGTATTCCATGGCAAGATTTTGCGGCCGCGTGCAGCAGCAGAAGGACCGGCCCAAGAAGCGTGGATCAAGCAGCGACGGAGACTTTCCCAGGTCGACGGTCGCGTACTGCATTGATGCCGCGTGTATCTCGATCGGTTCGCTGTTGGGGTGCTCGCCTGTTACAGCTTTTATCGAGAGCGGTGCGGGTATCGCCGAGGGCGGGAGGACCGGATTGACAGCCATGGTAACAGGGCTGTGTTTCTTGATATCCGTCTTCTTTGCACCGATTTTTGCTTCCATTCCGCCTTGGGCGACGGGCTGCACGTTGATCTTGGTGGGTATCTTTCCTCCCATACTTTTGACCAAGGTCAACGCAAATGCTGACATCTGTTAGGTTGGTTGCTTGATGATACGCCAGGTGTCGGCTATCAATTGGAGTTATATCGGCGATGCCATCCCTTCCTTCGTGACCATAGCCTTCATTCCCTTCAGCTACAGCGTAGCGTACGGCCTCATTGCGTAAGTCGCTACTTTCCTGGGTCGACTGCATTGCTCCTCATGCTGACCAAGAGGTGCAGTGGTCTCTTCATCTACGCCGTCCTCAACGGCATGATAGGGGCCGTCATGTTCCTGAGCCGCGGCGCACACGAGCCCAAGGACTACCACCGGCGGGAGTACTGGACATGGAAGCCCGCGGGAGAGAAGCCGTGGATCTTTCGGATCTTCACCAAGGGCCGTTTCTGGGAGGACGAACGGCGCAAGACGCGGCGGTCCCAGGAGAGCGCCAAGGAGGCGTGTGACGCGTTCGCAATGTCCGAGGTGGACCTGGATTCTATGAGGACCTCGAGAATCGCGACCTCGTTCGCTGCGTCCTCACAGAGAATTTCGGCCGGGGCGGCGGACGAATCGGGCGCTCATGGGCTGGGGGAGATCGGGAGCGACGGCGAGACGCACGAGCTGGACATTGTGGTCGTTCCGAAGCAGGTGGCCCAGGTGTCTCATGAGTAAAAATGGACATAGGGGCCACTTCTGAAACTCATCATCGAAGGGCCAAACCAAACAATGGCAGCAGATGTAGAAGGAGGTGACCACTGACAAAGTTCAAGACAGCATCAGCAGCCTCAGTCACCCCTTCACAGCTTTTGATTTAGTCACCGGGGTCTAGAGCTCTGCTACTGGCGCAGGTTCTTGTCCAGGGCCAGCTGTTGTTGATGGGATCTTTCTACACGAAGAGACGGTAAATGAATTATGGCATGTTATAGGATGGGAGGCATGTGAAGATGATGAAAATGTGAAGCATAAGATATTTTGGCAGGGATTGTCAGAGATAGCTCTGTGCAGGATGCTGCCTGTAGGACTTGTATTAATAAACGTCATGAGAGGTGCAAGACATGTTCAAAGCCAGTAAGAGCAATAAATCAAGTGAGATTGGCAAGAAGGAAGGGGTGGTTATCAGAAAGCTTCCTGAGGCGCGGTGGCTTATGTCAGCATCAAGTGGTACTGTACTTGATTGCTTTTGGCGGCGCTCTTTATGACGGAGCTAGAACTTTGGAGCTGCTCTGACAAGCATTCAAGCTCTCCAACCTCGCCACAGAATCATCACAAGCATAGCTTCCTGCTCTTCCCTCTGGGTGATTGGGGTTGCTACAGTACTCTCTCGTTTCCTTCTCTTTCTGCTAGTGGCTGTGCTGCTCTTTATCCTGGGCGCTCCCTTCCACGCTCCCTCCATTATCCCGCGCACGAGGTGCCTCCGTTGCCTCAAACCATCAAGATGAGTGGCGGTTGGAATACCAGTAAGTTTTGTTGCTCTCCATTCTCCTGGCAACAATAGAGATCACTCAAATGCTAACTTTGCCTGTAATAGTTGAGTCCGACGCAGTATGTGGACACCGCTTCCTTGACCCGTTTTCGCCCTATACCAAGGCGTTGCCTGCTCGCCCGCGCCCCGTGTCTTACACCACGACATCCAGCTTGCATGCGCTAACCGTTCACAGGGCGTCTTCACTTTTCTTCTCGAGAACCTCGGCGTTAAAGATGTGCAATTCGAGGAGCTGATCAGTATGGATCCCGAGGCCCTTGCCCAGCTGCACCCGGTCTACGGCGTCATCTTCCTCTTCAAGTATCCGACAGACACCCCGTATACGTCCGCGGAGAAGCCCCTCGAAGGCACCTTCGACCACGATGCCGCGGTGAATCTCTGGTTCGCCAACCAGACCATTCAGAACGCCTGTGGGACCCAGGCCGTCCTCTCCGTGCTCATGAACAAACAGAATAAGCAAAGCCCTGAAGGCCCAGAGGCGGGATACATTGATGTCGGCGAGCCACTCCGCGAGTTCCACGACTTCACAGAGAGCCTCCCTGCTGAGTTCCGCGGCGAGGCTCTGTCCAATAGTGTATTGATTCGAGACGTGCACAATGCGTTTGCGAAAAGCCAACCATTCGTGGACGAGACCCAGCGCCAAATCGGCGAGCCAGAGGATGTCTACCACTTCATTGCTTACACACCCATCGGCGGCACGCTGTACGAGATGGACGGTCTGCAGCCTGCGCCCATTAGCCACGGGCCTTGCACCCAGGAGCAGTTTCCCGCGATAGTCATGGACGTCCTGCAGCGAAGGATCAACCGTTACGACACTGCTGAGATTAGATTCAATCTCTTAGCCATGGTGCGCGACCTGCGCATTCGCGCCAATGAGATTGGTGACGCGGAGTTGCTCGAGCGTGAGGGGCAGAAGCGTTGGGATTGGCAATTCGAGAACGCTCTGCGGAGGACCAACTTGATTGGCTTTGTGGGAGAGGTGCTGAAGGGAGTAGTGGCCGACAAGCTGAAGACGGGCGGCGAGGATGCCTACCAAAAGTGGGTGGATGCTGGGCATTCGAAGATGAAGCAGCGGATAGACACCAAGAAGAAAAAGACAGGTATGGCGGAGGATGTAGAGATGGGAGGTTGAACGGAAGGAAACATCATGAACGCCGAGGCCGATGATGGGCAGGTTTAGACAACTCGTCGGCGACCTATATTTATACCCCTGAAGGACGCATTCTCTCTTTCCGCTACTCCTTTGAGCTCATTGCACAGCGGAGACATGACGACGGAGCAGGCCGGCGGGCGGCAGTTGGTGACAACAAAAACTTCTCTGTGCATTGCGAGATGGAGCTGACGTTTCTTAGATGCCTACTGTTCACCAAGCCACCGCTGTTGTACCCATTGCTTGCTCAGTCTCGAAAACAAGGACCAGCTTTCCTTAGTCTAAGTCTATGGCAGGTCCGTACTCAAGAAGACCCTGCTCATACACAGTTGGTGGTGGGAAAGGACTCTTCAACATTGACATGACCCTGGTGCGTTTTCGATTCGACACCTGCCGCTGCTTTATCGACGGCCCATCGAATAACCTCACCAGGACTCTCAGAGATTTTGAATACTCGACACCGGTCTCGTCTGTCCGCGCGGCGCTGTTCCTCTTGACACAGATGTCCAGCGCCGTCTCATTTGCGCTATTCCTCGTCTGCGGATCGGCTCCGTGTTGAAGAAGCGCCTCAACAAACCGTGGTAGGCACCAGTATGTGGCATGGTGCAGAGCGGTGTTGCCCTTCAGGTCGATCAATCTCACATCTGCTCTTCGCCACAAGAGGTTTTCTAGCCATGCCATGCCGACCTCTTCGGACAAGCGTCCACCGCCGACTGCTCGGATCAAAGCCATTGGGCAGGTCTCACCGCGCTCGTTGTACGTGTTGGGATCGTCGAACGAGACAGGGCGCGAGATGCTGGGCGAGTTGGACACATCGCGCGCCGTCAACCACGCGTGAAATGACGTCTGTGCCAACGAGGGATCGCTCGATACTTCTGCGGATAAAGCGTCGTCCATGATCTGGCTGTATCTATTCGCCAACTCGGAGATGGATGTCGCTTCCACATACCCTCTTTCCATGTGCCACAAGGCTTGTCTCTGAAAGCTCTGCGCGATCCGACGCCCTGTCAACTCACCTGTTGAGGTGGGCATCATCAGCGCTGCCAGAGGGACGGATTGATTTTGCTCAGATATCATCTGGAGTATATCCTGAAATCCAGAGACGAAGTCCATCCTCTCTCTGAAACCGAGACCCTGAATCGCTGCATCATTCGCAACAAGGGCTGCTAGGCAGTTATCCCCAGCAGAATCGCCCTGCGTCCAACGGAATTTCTTGTCCTGCAGAATTCGGAACAGGAAGCGAACGTTGCCAGCTAATGTTGTCGGATTCAAAAGGTGCATGAAGGTTTGGCCGGTGTGGTCCTTCACGTTCAGCAGATCGTCGGCGCATCGCTGCACAAGGTTACACAGGAATTTGATATCGTCTCTCCACCTTGCTGCGATATGGAGGGCAGTCTCATTGAGAGTAGTTCGGCCGCTCTCGAATCTAAAATCCCGAGGACCAAACTCGACCCTCGGGAGTTGCAATGGCTCTCCGGTGATGTCCGTCATAGCTGTGACGACCTTCCGATGCAGACATTCTGACCGACGGCCACAGCAGACTTCGACAACCAAGTTTGTATACACCATCGAGCCCGGCGTATCTGACATGATGCTACCGGCAAGAGACTGGGCATTGAGCGACGGCCGCCCGGACCGGGTTGAATCTGTAGAGAAGCTCAGAAGACTGCGAATCTCAGCCAGAAGAGAAGAACTCGGACGGCTCCTTGAGCTGAGTGACCTGACGGATGTCTGCAAAAGTCTGGTGCCCTTGATAGACGGTGTCTCGCCTGCTGCGGACCCGCGTACTGCCGTCTCGCTCAAAGTCGAGTGAGCGCTGTTATACTGAGAGGGCGGTGTCACTGCGAAATGCTAGGAGCGATGGCTTAGCCGTGTGGGAGGCTCACGAACGGTGTACCAGAAAACATACCGGTAACCCTATACTGGGCTCATCCTGTGGCGACCATAGATCATTTGACAGCGTCTGTTGGGCATTGGTCGGTCGACTGGTCTGATGCCTGGTTGATACCCGTTGACGATTCCTCACGATTCGATACGAAGCAACGCGCTCTCTCGCAATATCGCGTGTTCTGGGACGTGCAGTCTCGCTAGACAGCAAGCGCTGGAGTTCGACCTGCGTGGACCGTTGTCCCGAGTTCAAGCTATATGAGGGGAGAGAGAGATGCTAAGGACTCTCGTTCTTTCTTTGGCCCGCAAGAGGGAGTAGTTCTCACCTGCTGCCGTACTTGATCGAGGCCAGGGCGGATAGTATCTTGCCAATGACGGTGGTCCTGAGGGTTGTGCAGTAATACAGCCTGACGAGGTTCCTCTTCATTCTGGGGCTCTGCCAGACACGAGCAGCGGTTGAGGGACGTCCGCGTCGATACCCAAAGGAGCCGGTTCTCTTCCTGACACGGCCACTGTCGTGGGCGAGCTTAGGCGACGAGGATGGCGATGAGGTCTCGGACTTGCGTGAGGGCGACATGATGGTTAGGTTGGGTGGATATCCCGCTTCAGTGATGTATGATTGGCATCGCACTATGTTTCTTCAATTTGTTTTTCCATTCAATTTTTGCGTATCTTTCTTGCGCGCGGGGCACAATGAGTCTTATATCGACATCTCACCACCCCGCTTTCCTCTCGTTGCGCAGCCTCACAAGCTGTGAGATGTCGCCCGCGTCAGAACATATGGCTCGTGCACAACTCCTCCTACCTGAGGAGTATTGATGTGGACTAAGTTGTTCAGCGCAAAAAAGAATTGTCCAATGGATAAGAACGTCATGCACGTGATGTGGTGCTGGGTGTCAGCAAGCTCAGCCTCCCGACCCCTCGTAAGTCCCCGTCCCGTATTTTTTGCGCGAGGGCTATTTTCAGAAGCAGGATGCGTGCCACATACTGTAAGAAGGCAGGGTTGGTATTGTGGAGGCAAAATGTGCCCCACGCTGTTCGACATTTTGCTAGCTGCCTAGAGATATGTCATCGCGCACGCAACAGTCGAGAAACTTTTTGCTTGCAGATGCCAAGGGCTCGCTTGACCTCGCCACCTCTTGCAGTATTATATCGTTACTCATTCCACTCTTCTCATCTTCGTGATCTGGTCAATAATCATCGATTGAGGAGACATTCCTGCTGGGGAATGGACTGCGCCGCGCTCTCACTGGACCTCAGCACTGTCCAGCGAGCTGCAGCAGGCGCACAGGTTCGAATTGGGTCAGAGCTTTTGCGAGGTTCTGGAAGACGGGTCAACAGCCCCTCGTAGACGGCCACGTGGTAATTGGTATCTGGCGTGTGAATGTGTCAATCAACCGCGGGTGTTCAAGGTGATAATCGTTAAGCCATCGCTACAGAGCCTCAAGTCCATGGTGCATGAACAGACGGCTCTTGTGGGTACTCCATTTTCGGTGGTGCCAATGCCTGCAACAGATCGTCTCCAGAGACATGACGATGTCGATATCAAACTGCAAATTGTGTGCTCGGAGGGATGCTTAGGTACAGCTTGGGCCCTTGTAAATTAGAAATGATATCCACAATGTCAAGACAACCCACCACACGATGCAAAGGAATCTGGCTTTTGATGCGTCCACGGGTAGCAGCGGTCGGGGATTGTCGTGAGCTTCACGGGCTGATACTCCGGGGCCGGGTCCCGGCCAAAAACAAAGCGGCACGGCGGGAGAGCACTATTAGAAAAAGCACCGAGCCGGCGAAAGCGACTAGACTCCGCTATCTGTCCCGGTTTTCGTGCGCACCGCACTGCTGTAGACTTCCGACGGCTGGGTGTTGCTACTCCAATTACCTTCAGGCTATGCATCGGTATCAGCTACCAAACCAGCTAGCCTGCAGCCATAGCTGCGCAATGGTTTCGGGACAGCTGGCGCGCCCGTGCGGGAAACGATGAGCACGTATCGAGTGAATATTGGAGAATCACGCATGAGGGTTGCATAGAGAGCCAGACTTATTATAGACGACCTAGCCCGACACACTCACGCCATCGATAGTCATTCTTGAGGTACTGCGAGCCCCTTGCTTCCTTATCTTTCTCTCTCTCTCTCTCTCCTCCCGAGGCCGCGCCCCCCCCCCCCTTCTTTCCATTCCACCCCCTTCCACTTCGAGATCGTAGCCAAAGCCGGGAAAGGCAGACTGGATATGGAAGCTGAGCTTGGTCAAGATAGAAAGAGTGCCGGTGTTTCATGATATGATAGTAGATCTGTCCATTGGTTTACAGTGGCTTGCTGAGCGAACTGCCTTCCCGCCCCCCCCCCCCCTTTCTTCCTTCATGTTCTTCCCCCCCCCTTCGCCCCCCTCTTGCGTGCATCTCAAACGTGTATCCTTTCTTGAGGACGGGCCACCGGATGAGGGGGGTCTGTTCTCTTGATTGTGTAAGTCCTGAAAACGGTGGCCTCACCGTTTTACGGGCTGCCCTCTGTTGCGGTCGTTGCTCGTCTCCCTGCCTCGCCCTGGTTTAGGTCCGCTGCGGGCCTTGACGAGTGGCCTTCCAGCTTAGGCAGGATGCATACCTGCCTAGTCCGACAACAGCAGCAGCAGCAGCTCAATATACCACGAGGGGCTGAATTCACTTCCCACCACGCGGGGCATGAGACAAGATGTCCTCAGCTATACATGGGAAGTCCAATATCACCACCATACTATCGAGGGGTCACCACACCTTTTTTTTCTCTGTCTCCTTCTTCCTCCTTCTTAATTCTCCATTTTTTTCTTTCTTTTTTCATTCTTCTTTCTTTCAAGAATCATTAGATAAACCATGAGAGTGCCATCTGGAGAAGTGTATAGTAAAATAAAGATAATAAGCTTAATGTTCAGGAAACCCTTCTTCGGACGAAACACTGACAACACACACACAAGGTTGACAGCAAGGATTAGATACTCGATAAGGGCGTATCGTAGAACCACCTAAAGATTGTCGTCAAATACACACGAGCCAACGTTTCGTAAGGCGTCTCGCTACATGCACGCTCAGACAGATTTCCAACCCAGCGCGGACAGCCAATGCGCACGTGTCGGACCAGATTCGCACGCCCCCAACGACCGACCGACATGTGTCTGAACACTAGGCACCCAAAAAAAGAGATATGGGAAGCGCAAAAAAAAAAAAAAAAAAAAAGCAGAACAAAAGAGTTCTATACGAGGGGCGCGGGGGCTAATGTTTCACGAAGGCGGCCCCCAAGAAAGTTTCGTATGTCCTTTCAGGTGCAAAGAAAGAAAAGGCAATGGAATGGAAAATAATCCTCTTGGTCCCCCTTCTCGGCCTCGTGTCCGGGGCTTTGCCATTGCATCGGGGTTGGTGCGCCTGGGCATGGTCCGTGCATGTACGGTCATGGCGGGCGCAGCTGTAGGGGGCCTGCATGCTCGCATCCTCTCTCCCTTTGGTGTGCCGCTTTCGCGGTGGGATCGTGTGCCATGGATTGCATCATCCTGTGGGACGGAAGGAGATGCTGCAAAAGGAAGAGAAGGGCAGTGTATTTCATCCATCCCTCACTTTGAGATGCCGCCCCCCCCCGCCCTGCATCCAGAGAATACCAAGTGCGAAATGATTTAGTATACAATCCAAGAATGAGGAGAGTGATGACGGTGAATCCTTTGTTGCAGAAACCCAGGGCCATGTCTCACACCTCCACCACAACAAAAAAAAAAACCAAAAAAACCTCGTGACGACTCTTCTGGATCTTTTCCTTTTTGCCTCTCCTTGAGTTACTCGTCCCTACTAGAAAAAAGAAGAAAAAAGAAGGAAAAAACAAGAGACGAACAAAAGACATCGGTCTTGCTTGATAATGAAACTGGGGGAAAAAGAGAGAGGGAGAGCAGTGTTTTCTAGTGGAGGAAGGTGGGGAGGCAGGGATACTGTTTAACCAAGACACGTTCCAGAAGTAGGCTAAGCTGCTTAGTTAGGGACCCCCCCCCCCTTGAACCTTATTTACCTACCCGCATCACGTAAAGTACTCTTCAACTACCACAGTCCTTTGTACCACCCATCATATATACTAATTCAAATCCCTAGGATCCATGTCCACCCCAATATCACTACAAGACAAATACACACAGTCGTACATTCCAAACATGTGACATGGCATTTTCCCGTAAGACAAGCGCCACGTCCACCAAAAAAGCTGCCTCAGGGAGGTGAGCGAAGACACACGGCCGGCTAGATCAGACAGGAGGGATTGGGGAACAAGTTTTTTGCTTTCTTCTACTCTTTTTTTTATTTTTTTACGCGTGCGCCATGGTGAGGAATGCCAGCGAAAGAGACATGGCTCAGTGTCGCTTGTCTCTTTCTTTTTGTATATTCGAGCAGGTCAGCCAGTAAATGTAGACTTGCCGAGAAAAGGAATGGGTGCAGTGCTGGTCATATAAAAGGGTGACTAAAGGAAAAAGAAAAGAAAGAGCAAAGAGGAAAGAATAGCCTGGTCCATACTGTAGTAACCCTACATTTATGCAAATGTATGCTAAATGCACACAACATGAACGCAACATGTGAGCCAAGTGACACAAGTGACACAAAACGACGTCGTGTTTTCACTACAAAGGCGTTTCTTCGCCCTAGGGCGGGGCGTGTGACACCAGGTAGCCGAGGGCTCGAGCTTTGTCGGGTTCATGGCTGGCTAGCTGGCTGCAAGATGAAAAAAAAAAAACGAGCCCTCCGTGTATGCAAGAGAGACAATCTTTGGGTCATGGTGGATGCAGGGTAGCACAGGTCTGTGTGTGTGTGTGTGTGTGATTGTGACCGACGACGGTGGTGGTGGGCGGCCAAAACAGAAAGTAGGGAGAAACACTCAAAAAAGTCCTGCATAGTAATTTGTATTCGGAGGGTGGTTTGGCTATCTGTCGAACAACTCCGTCTTGGTCCGACGCCATGACTTCCGCCTCCCCAAAGCAGTTTGGTGGTATCATAAATTCTCGTAAAATGCACTGCTGGCAGACTCATCCCTCCCCCTCCGCCTGTTCTTCTCATACTTTGTGTCCTCCCTTGACCCGACATGAAAGTGCGGATTTTAATGCAAAAGCCGTCGCCGCCAAATGTGTGCGGCCAACGGACCATGATAACAGAAATTAGAGTGGAAGAAAAAAGATGGGGAAAAAATGAACCCAGAAAAAAGACCAGACGCCGTATTGACCCCAAGTATGCGAGAAGTGCGCGCGCGCACACACGCTTGCAAGTAGTTGTCAGATGAAACTTCCCCCATCACCGCAGGTATTCCCCCTCCATGAAAACGCCCCAGTCAAAATCTCAAAAAATACCGGTCAAGGATGTTGTTGTTGTTGTTGTTGTGTATGTGACCGGCCACCAGTAATGACGACATCTTTCCCTCCCCGAACCCTGTGGGTTGATTGATTTGATTGATTGCTGTAAATCTCTCCCCATACCGGAACTCCGACGCTCTTGAATGCTTATCCTTTGTGTAGCAGATTGACCACCGGATGACTGAAAGACCATGATGATGTGTATTGAGGACCTCTCACAGCTGAAGCTTCCCTGGGAGCTTGACGCTCATCCGCCTCCGGCCGAAAGTGAATGTAGATGCACGCTTGTTAGGCGTGAGGGGGCTGGGTGTCGTCAGGGGCGACATGGGCGAGATAGGTGACTCAAGCCCGTGCTCGCCCTGGAATGTCCGGGTGACGGACATGTGTTTTGCCATCCTCGCGTTTCTCTCCGCTATCCTGACGATCTCGTCGTGCGTGATGGGCGCCAATTGTGGGCGAGGCGGTGACCGCGTAGGGGGCGATGGTGGTGTCACCGCCCTCTCGCTTCGTGTCTCCATCCGCCTCAACGGCGGCGATGTCTCCTGGGGCTCCTTGGCCGGCAGCTGCTCCATGGAAATTGGTGGCTCGGCGTCCTCCTCTGTGATGCTGGCTTCTGACGGTGAGCCAGGTCGGCCGCCAATCTCGCCCAGTGCCAGGAAAGCCTGGTTCATCCTCGGGACGCTTCTCCTCTTCATGAGGCTCATGGCCCTGGCGACGCCCTTGAACATCTTGGTGGGTGTCTTTGGTGTCTTGGGCCGGTCCTCTTCCGCCGGCACTTTCACCTCCGACCTCACTACCTCCTGAGGCACATAAGCCTCCCTGGTGGAGTTGACTTCGCCTTGTGTGTTGCCCAGCGAGTATGTGCTGCCGTTGGCAAAGGGGTCGACCTTCAGGAAGGGAAGGTTCGGTCTCGATGATGTCCCAGGAGGCTGCATACTGCTGCTCCTGAGCAGGTGGGCAGGGCGCGAGAATGAGTGTGCAGACAACCGGGAGGATGTCGTCGAGGTGGACATTCTCCTCCTGCTCTTCACCTCCATCTCGTCGTTGTGGGAGGCTGCTTGCCGCAGCTTGTTGCTGTTCTCGAGGTGTTCGATTGAGGTCGGTGAGAGCGATCGCCGGTTCTGTGGTACCTGGATCATGGAGGGCTTCCCTGAGAAGATGACAGACACCACCCTGGCCGTGACCTGATGCTTCCTGCCGTCCTCGGCGGGTGACGGTGACAGGTCGTCGCTGCTGGACTCGTACTCGAAGTCTGAGAAGTCATCCGTGGTAGCAGACGCCTCCTCTTCGGAGGAGAGGTACTCGTCATGAGGGGTCTGGCTGAACGCTGGAGGGTCGACGGGCGCCACGATCTTGAGGCCGACCAGACCGTCCAGCATCCGGGACGCTCTCAGAGCACTCTTCGGTGGCAGGACGGGTGCCTGCTCCTCGACGACCTGGTGGTCTGAGGTGGGTGTTGTGATCTCCTGGACGTCCATTGTGTCGTAGTACTGGCTCTGCATGGAGTCATAAGTTGCTGCTGCTGCTGCTGCTGCTGCTGCCGCCGAGGGGAGGTTCTTCTGCTTCTTGATGGGCTGGGAGGCAGCGAGGAGAGTCTCCTCAAGACGGGCGGCCCGACTGGGGACGGCGTCCATGTTAAGAGGTCCTGCTGCGTGGCCCTCGCTTCGGGGTGAATCCACCTCAGCCTTCATGGGTGGTGGAAGGGTCTGCTCCACCGCCAGAGACATGATGTTGCGGTGGAGACGGGTCAGTGAAAAGGAAAAGGAAAAAAGGTTATTGTTGTTTGTTGCGTTGTACGTATGCCACGGCCCGGCTGGTCTGTCCTGGGAAGTTGTTTCCGGACAAGGGAGTTTATTAGAGACAATGTCCCTCTCTCTCTTTCGCGGGGTGGTGGAACTCTTTCTTTCTTCGGGGCTTGGATTGACGCTCAGGTCAGGAAGGGGTTTTCTCACGGAGGGAGTAGGAGCACTGCAACGTTATGAAGTGAGCCTTTGTGCCTCTCACCCGACTGTGGAGAATGGGCATGGTCTGCAGGGACATTGAAGGGGTGCACGACAAAAACTCCGAGGGAGCAAATGGAAATGGGAGGCTCCTAGGTGATTTAACAAGTTGGCTGGTGGTGTGAGAGGGCGAGATATGGGGATTAAGGGCACCTTGGCGCGTGCAGAGACACCTAGAGTGAGAGGACAAACCCAGGCGGCGTATCCCTGAGATTGACACCCTCGTCGGTCGACCCCTTCCCCCTGTCTGATACATTGTACTTGTCTAGTGCAGCAGGGACAAGGTGTGTGGGGTGGAGAAAACGACATAATCCCTGCCCCCTGTCTCTGGCCCCCCTTGTCTAGCCACCGCCCACAGGTCCTTTGCTCATCACCTGTGGAACGGAATTGGGGGGAGGGGGCGGGGGTTGCATACCAGAAAACGGAGAGCTGAAAACGGAGGATAAGAGAAAACGGCAACTTACACGAAATCCTGATCTTCTTGTTGATGTGGCCCTTGCTGAGACTCCACTGTTTTATCAGGAATAATTCCGTCCTCCACCTGATCTGAACAATGATGATGATGAAAATGATGATCCTTAGAGAGCAGATTGGATCGCCCGCCGTGGCTGGCAGGTTTTGCAGCTCCTGTGTAAGAGCGATCAATTGCGGAGTGTAGTGGTCTGGTAACAGACTTGATTCACGTTGCGGGATCTGCAACAGATGGGGGAGAGAGACACAAGTCGAGACACTATGTGCATCGCAACCCGCTCTGCAGGCCAACTTTCAGTGCGCACAGGGAGAATTCGTGTGGGTTTTAGAGAAGGGGAGGCAAGGCGATAAAAGACGGGACGGTTCGACAGGCGTCAGGGAGCTTCGAAAGCACGGCAGATCCTGTCTCGGCGCGACTCGTTGGTGTGTCACTGGGGCACGAGGAAAAAAGGTTGAGCTGCTGATCGAGAAGTCGCGGGCGAGAAAAAAAAAAAAAAAAGGCAAGAGAGAATCACCGGGAAAAGCCAAAAGGGAGCCAGGGAGGTGTTTCAGATAAAACAAGGGAAAAAGAGCTGCAAATGCTCCTCCGGCTTTATGTCGGCCGGTAGGTACGGGCGGGATCGGACTAGTCGTCTGGTTAAAGTTGTCGACGCCGTGATGTTTATTTCGTTAATGAATGATAAAAAGTAAATTTGGGGACAAGGACAAAGAAGGTTGTTTGAGGGGAGGAAGAGCATCTATAATATGTAAATGGTGAACATGAAAGCAGGCAGGACGAAACATAGATGCCTACGTGATGAAGCCGCAGCAGGGCTGGGGGCCACGGCAGAGACCTGATGGCCCTTTTGCCCTAGCATGCCATAGTGTGGTCTATGTACCATAGTATATAGTAATGTAGCAGAAGACAGGCCTCTCGTTCAGGTCTCTCACGTGCATTTAACTATGTACATATCTCTGTGATGCAGTGCAGTCCAGGTGGCCTTTCGTCATGGCCCAGCGCAATGGCTGCGACCGTTTCCTGGCCAGCATAAGGCATTCTTAGGCTGTACCGCAGCGATTTCTCAAAATCACCCACTCAGCACTCAAGCCACTGTCTGGGGGCAAAGGCTTGAATTTGTGGAGGGACCAGGGTCGAAACGCTGAGTGAGCCAGGGTTGCGCCAGAGTGCGCTTTCGACGCCAAGTCGATTCGCCCAGGGGTCTTGAAGTCCCCCAATAAGTTTGGACCCTGGGGTCAGTAGCGCGAGGGGGCTTTCTGATGCTTCATTGGCTCAGAAAGCCTACACCATGTTTTGGGATCCAGAAATCGAGCAAAGAGATTTTGATCGTAAGATCCATATTGACAAGAGGAGTCATAACAAGTATGCCAGGGGATTGGATCCTGTATGTACACTTTACAGAGAAGAGTGTTTTTTTTTTTTTGTTCTGCTTCCAAACCCCAGATCGTTGACCGACACACATGCACAACATGGTGGCGTGGAAAATGTCCTGAAGTAGCCACGAGGGTGGGCCCGTATTCCCTAGAGCGAGATTGTTCAGGTCCTCTGCAGTCTGCACCTGCGATTCCTGTTGCTCCTGCTACTCCTCCGTCTCTCCTCCTCCCGCTGCTGGGGGCCCCTATTATTTCGCAACCTCCCTCTTTCTTCCCGATCGGGAATGTGGCTTGCTGCTGGAAGACGATTTGGTAGAGGAAAAAATTCGCCCGCACCTCCTATGCTGCATCTGGACCCGCGGGGCGTCGTCCAAATGGCGCTGGCGCTGCTCGGGATGGATGATGCACGGCAGCATTGAAAAAGGGGGAGCAGCCACCACCTCGGAACTTTGACAAGCCCTCCAACACGGCATGGCGTTCGCTGGCTGTAGCACAACATCAATGTTGGGCGGCAGCAGCAATGAACTACCAATACACACAAAGCTCCCTCTCTCGACTTGCAGATCTTCTGCAGAACATGCGCTTATTCGCCCGTGGAACCCAGGATCTGTCGATCGCCTGACGCGACATCGCATCCTACTATAGTACATCAAATAAAATAGAAATGGAAACCCCCAATGGTCGTCTTTCTGTTTCCCTCTTCTTTTCATCCTTTCTCGTCAACGAGATTAAAATTTTAGACCCATTGCGTCTCGGCAGTGGACCGAACACAGCGTCCATTCAGTGGCATTTGGCTCCCCTCGACCGTCAAGATTGCGAGGCGCCGCTAGGATAAATGAACTGGTGATCAGTGCACAGACGACAAGCACGTCCCTTTCTTTCCCCATCAAAAAAGGTGGGGCCCTTCAGCGCCCTCAGCGTGGCAGGCCGCAGTTACCGCCAGACTCGCTTCTCGCGATCATAGACAGGGCGGCTGTTGACACCCCCGCTGTGTCCCATCGCCCGCCGTTCCGCACTCCGTTTTTTACCCTTCTTTTTTATCTTTTTCTGCCTGACCCAACCGCGATCAATCAATAATTCGCAGTACTACTCTATCCGCCGTTTTAGTTTCCCTGACCCTCCTACGGATGAAGTGGGAGAGGGTCTAGACACGGAGGCAAACGCATCTCTTGGAAAGCCATACAGTATAGTATCTCCCAAAGTGGTTGCAGCATTGAGAGCAGCAGCCGAACCAAGAAACTCGAGCCAGTCAGAACAGCCTCTCGCCAATCTCTCCTATTGACGGACAGAAACCCCTGATCCGTAGGCAGCGGACCTGCAGCGGCCGTCCTGGACCGCTCTGGACGGCCTCCCTCCGCGTGGGCATGCGTAAACTTGCGGGGGGCCGCAAGAGAGAGAGAGAGAGAGAGACAGAGAGAGGAAAGTCTGGGGGGGATGACGCCGGGGTGCTTCCACGAATCATAGCGCAAAACAGCCGCAAGAGGTGTGTGATCCCTATCGAGCAGTCGTACATAGCTGTGGGTGGTCGCCTTTTGGGGTCATGATTTTCCCAACCGCCAAGCCACTTAGCATGCGAGCTGTGGCATGGCTTTTCTGGTCACCTGTCCACGATTGACTTACCGACGGAGCCATGCTCCTCTCTTGTCACAACCCTCCTTCATGCTCATCCTCATCTTCGACACCATCATTGTGTTCCTTTCGCAATCTCACGACTCCATCGTTTGCTCTCATCTGAAAAGCCCTCTGGTCCGTAGGAGAATCGAGATCGGAATCAATGGGCAGGCCCTGCTTGCTGTGCTGCACTCTTGGACCTTTTCTTCTTTCTTCTCCTCCTCCTCCTCCTCCCCTTCCTCATCCTTGTCCGGCACTGCTCACTCCCTGGCCAGTGATCTGCAGGGACGCAGGGATGTGAAGTCAAGATTTGCCTCTGAAGCCAGAGGCCAATCAGCGACATGAAACATTTGCCTATCGCAGAAGCGTTTTCCCGTTACAACCCCCACCACACCCCATCAGATGTGACTATGTCAATGGTTTATGCAGCAGCCCTCTTCCCTGCGCCAAGAGAAGAAGAAGCAGAAGAAGACGAAGATCAATAGGTGGAGGCATAACGGAGGCAACAATCTAGGGCGACCATCTGACAATGCTACAGGCCAGATAATGCGCCCAGGCCAGACCTTTTCGAAAACACAATACAAAACGGGTGTGAATTGCAAAGTGTCGATAGATTGCGTGTAACTATTGTCAGGCAGCATCCGTTTGCAGCTTACTAGTGTCTCCTCAAGGCTGCGAGAGGGAGGGACACACCCACACCAGATTGTTGTTTGAGGTAGGGCGGCCCAACACCCAGGTCAGCCGAAACTTATTGAAAACAGGTCAGTTTTGCAGCTTTCTTCATGATTCAGCCTTGTGGTGGGTGTACCAGGGCGCATGACAGTCCTATTGGCAGACCAAAACCGTTGACCGAGCGAAACGGAAAGAAGGAAAGGGGCCTTGCAAAGCAGTGGCCGCTGATCCGTTTCGAGGATCTGTCAACTTGCCCCCCACCCCATAACCTATCCTACCATGATGTCTACTTCTCTCTTGAAAAGATTACACAATGTGACGACTGTGGGACTCATGTGTATGTGTGCGCGCATCAATCAGCCGGGCGGCCTTGATAGATTACAGTAGGAAGGGCGACAAAAACTTGGCAAAACAACGCACACCCTCCTGAAAGGCTGGGTTTACAAAACTCTTGTCGTCCTGGTTTTTGACGAAAAGCGCCTGTCCGTCATCCTGCATCGGTCGCCACCCTCCTCGCCTTAGAATTCGACATACAAGTCGACCATCTTGTGCTAAAATATGTACGGTGATGGAAGAGGGAACCACTTTCTACTGTAGTATGGTTCTCTATCTTACCGAATCGGCTGCCCGGCTACGTCAATTCGTTTAGCCTACCCTGTTTACCAGCCTCCTTTTTGGGGGGGGGGGGGGGGACGGGAGGCGCAGTCAGTAAAAGTTAATTATTCAAGGTTTCGCGCTCTCTCTGGGGCAGTCCCTCTCGCGCCCCAGTGCTCGCCGCCAACGGGCACAACAGAAGAGAAAAACAGGGGAAGTGGCAGGGACGGGAAAGCATGGCGCCATGATCTGCAACTCTGTCTGCCACTGAGAGAAATGTCGTCATAGGGACGCTTGCAGAGTTTCCCCCCCAACCCCCCAACCCCCCAGTGACACCAGCCGCAGGTGGCTGGTGTGTGCTTGGAATGTGGATTGCCAAAGCTTAATTCTATTCTTGGATCCCACACGAAAAGAAAACAAGCCACACACTTGGACGCATCGGGAAGCCCGCTTGTTACTGGATTCTTTAACGTCGTCGGCCGCTCGCATAAGTGTGTACCAGCGTGCCGGGACTGCATTATCATCAGATTTACTTAGTTCCCGTGGAAGCTGAACAGTCAAGTGACTCTCGACTGAAGAGTCAGTTCCAGTCTCAGCTTATATATCTGACCTCAGTTGTGCCGTCCCGCCTGTGGTGGTGTCTTCTGACTGGACTTCTCACACAAACCTAAATCGTCTAGGCCTGGGTGGTTCCAAATCCGAAGCGGGCCAACCATTCTCGAGTCATAATCTTGGTGTAATACGTGATACTCCATCGCCGTTCCCGGATATGCCAAGGTCGCGCCAATCACGGTACGGCCATATTGTGAAGACATTCGATCAGTACAGTGACGTGAGCTTGTTATTATGCGCTTCCTATGACCTGCTCAGCTACTCTTAGTGGATTGGCTAAATCCTGAGGATAAGCTGTTACCAAAGGAGAGGGCGGTCCTTTTGCCTCAGCGTGAGGCACTTGGACCAATTATTTTGTGACCTACACCTCGTACTCGCGGGCGGAATTGGTAGCCACAAGTTTCGACTTCCGCGCGGTCCAAGCAGTCCAACGTTGGCTGAGACGTGCATCACATGCCAGACTCGAGCTGCCGAGCCGCTGGGGAGCTGGCCTGGTCTTGCAGAGACAAGAACAAAACACAACGGCACATGAGAGCAAGAGGGTGTGCGCCTAGTTACTGCTGTGCCTTGTTGATAGCACTGCCCACTACCAGCACCATCTGCTCACCACGAAACACTACGAAGATTCATAATGGAAGGAAAAGTAAAAGTCAGTTTTCAGTGGAACCTAGTTAGGATACGAGTCACAGTCAGTTCGCTTGCAGTACCATGTATTATTGTCCACTAATCACCTCGGCAACAATAAGATCCCCAGGGACGGAAAAAAAGACAAAAAAAGAAGTCGTTCGACGGGAATTGAGCCCGACGTGGGGGTCGAACCCACAACCTTGAGATTTCAGAATCGGAAACTCTGTAAGAGTCTCACGCTCTACCGATTGAGCTAGCCGGGCGCCGGTGAAGGCGCTTGTTTGTTGAAAACTCAAGCTTTCCAAATGATTTATATCTGCAATAAAGAAAAGGCGCAATGGAACCTCCGTCCCCGTCGACCGCCGTCCAGTAGCGGTGACGGTGGAGCCTGCGGAGATTTTCACTACCCCCTTGCATTTGCAGCATGCCGGCGACAGCGAAGCCTAACTCGAACGCGCTTGACGCGTTGTTCATCGTCTTACCCCCTCCTCTCCTCTCTTTCTCTTCTTCCCCCCTTCCACTCCGCTTGTGTGGAGTTGACATGGACTACGTTTCCATCATGGTAAAATGACTCGCCATTGAACCTCCAGGGTCCTCATACGCAAGGTGGAGACGCAAGGAAAAAACCCTCCCCTCTTCGCCTACAGAAATTCGAAAAGGGAAAACGGTTGCAAGCCCAACGGGAGGAGAGGCGAAGGGGGGGGAGGGGGGAAACGCTCGCTTGCGGGCTGCTAGAGGCCCACGATGCGCAGGGTGGCCCCGGTTCATATTGTACGATCTACCCGTCTATCCTCATTTGAGAATCTGACAATCCGCGTGGCGTGTTTGTCCATCGGCTACAGGACCCATTCGGGAGGCCGTGCTAGCCTTGTGCTCTCTTCCTCCTCCTCCTTAGGGCCGGGTTAGCTGGGAGCCTCATCGTGAGGTGGCGGTCTACAGGAAGGCGGGCGGTCTGCCAGTAGCCAACCACCATGCACCTGAATGGAGTTGTCTTTTTTTTTCTTTGGGGAGAGCGGGGGAGAACCGTCCAGTCGGGCCTTGCGTGTGCTATTTCTGTCGGTCAGGCCGCTCTGAATTTTCTTCTTCTTCCTTTTCCTCTCACCGCTGGGCCAGCCTCGCCACTTCTGTGCTTGAGGGCGGTCAAAGTGAGCAAAGAGTCAGCCTCGCGACGCAGAGTTTCGGGATGGTGGTGGCTGTCTACGGCGTCTGATCAACCCAGCTGAAGTCTATGCCGGGTCTTATGCACATCACAATGAGATAGGCGGGTTGTTTATCTGCCTCTGCATCCGTGGCTCACAACGATATCTCATGCCCCCGGTCCTCATCTCCACCGCGCAAGCCTCTTGTGTGGGGGACAAGCCTCGTCGCTCATAATACTCCCTCACGTCCGTCCGATCTTCCAACCTTCCCAGACGGTCGGTCATATTCGGGAGCGGTGGCAGACAAGAGATGGCCTCACAACTGGCCTTGGGCTTGACAAGTGGGTAAGTATAATAGCGGGCCCACATTCCACTTTGTTCTATTCGCGCGACCGCGCTATAGTACGTGTGGATATGGGAATCTCAAAAAAAACAAAAAAAAACCGCACTGGCTCGGTTACATTTCGATTTCCTTTTCAGCGGAGAACCACTCTTGAGGATATTGCCTCGTAACTACTATAACGTAGCATAAGAGAATACAAGGTGTGGCTTGCGAAATATGGTCCCATTCGGCCGAGACCGGGGCCAGAGGTGAGCTCGAAGGCTGGCCATGTGTTTCTGTAAATGCGACAGAGCAGAAGCAGCGAGCTCATCGAAGGCCTTTGGGGGCTCTCCCCCTTTGAGAGAGGTCGCGCAGCAGCGAGTACTCGAACCAGTGAACAAGATCCAGTCGCCCGACCACCGTTTTCAAGGATGTGCGGATAAGAAGCGCAAGGTTGCCACTCTCCAAGAAACTGTTTCTACGGAGTGAATGTCTATAGTAGGTATCCGCGTCAGCGAACCTACCATTACCATCGACGACTTTTCCGGTAAAGAGGCGGCTTGGCACTGAAGCCCAGTCGTTCCAGATATAAAGATCCTCCCCGCCCATAAGGCGTTTCTCGGCCGCCAGAACGATAAGCAAACCCCAAGCCCACAATTTGTTTCGTTTCCATTTCTGCCTGTTCGAAAACATTCGTCTACTCGAAACACTGACAGCTCGCGCTAGACCAATTCACTGCAAACTACCAGTGGGGTCCTCTGTGCCCATAGTATTGGTATCTCATGCGGATTGGACTGGCGTGTATCAGGTGAATTGGCGTTTTTTTCTTTCTTCTTTTCGGAAGTGCCGAAAAAAGGGGAGGGAGAGAAAGAGAGGAGTGGCGGGGTTTTTCAGGTCGCGATATGCCTGGTTTACGCGGGATACGAAGTTCGTGCCCGAGGGTTCATCCATGGATAGGAAAAACTGAATACGATGTTGAGGAGACCTCGGCAGCATTGTGGAATGGCGTTGCATGAGAAAAGATGCATGGGATACCACTGCCTGCGAGATGCACTCTCAAGTGTCGCCTTCTGAACTCAGGTCGAGCAAGTGCTCCGGCTGCAGTCAGAGATGAAACATGTTGGCCAGGCTTCGATCTCAGGTCGAACCCGAGGATGAGCATACAGATGGCAGTTCCTGTCTATGACAAACGTCTTGGGCACTTTGTCCACCAAGATCGACAGATCATCCTGAAGACGCGCCGGCCAAGTAAGCCCACCTCTCCAGGCTTCATCTCCTCAAGCGAGTTCCAGCCTTCCTGGATGATCTGTCTTTGGGGTCTTCATGCGTCGAGACCTCGTCTGCAGGAGCAAATGATGTGATCTACAAAGAATTATGTCCTTCAAATTCCCGGAGATCGATGACAGGGGATGGAACCGGGCTTTTATGAGGAACCATTTCGCCTAAAGTAGACATGTGCCTTTTCGGAATGACCACCCTATATTGTGACCTATCACAGCCCAAAGTATTGAAAAGTGTGCTATTTCGAGGGGAAGCCTCCGTGGTGAAGGGGCCCAGATCTGCAAATTCGTCAATGTCTCTCCTGCGCACAGGACAAGTTGGCCGGATCGCCTTCTGATCGAGAGGGAAAGTTGGCGGAGAATCCAGGGCGTAGATCTTTAAGCACATTTCGTGAGTCTTGAAAAGGGTTTCCCTTTCGCCGCAATGACGCGACGCATATCACCGAGATGATCGAAAGGTCGAGTACTCAGGCGCGCACCTCAAAAGGACACACCGCGGGCCGTGTCAAGCCAAAAATTCTGACAACACTGGATGAGCGTTTTGCACATCGTACGAGGCTTTACGAATGATTTTCAAGAAACAAATCATATGAGAGCGAAGCCCCCTCTTGTACGTTGAACACAGCTGGATATTCAATTACCTTGCACCTTACTATACACGACTTAAACGCTATCACACTCGACATGCACGCGCCGCGCAGCAGGGCTGAGTTGCATTTGCTTTCCTGCTCCTCACACACACAAAGGACATCAACACAGTCTTCATTGAAACGAGCTCCGTCAGAGCAGAGCGCTTCGAGGCCTCTCATCAGAATGATCTGCTATCCTCTCGCTCAGAGACGGCCCCGGGTATCCAGCCCAAGCCATCGCAACATGATTGATGGTCGGCGGATGAACGGCAGCCGGGCAGTCCAGGCCAAGAATCATGGCTTTTGGCGTCCTCGGCTCGAATGAGCCAGGGGGAGGTGGCGTCACCGGCGATGCCTCGTAGGAGCTCAGAGTATCAAGGGAAGCCGTTGACAAATGTGGAGCCTGCAGCTCATCGTCCAGGTCATGGACTGACGTCTGCAGGGCCAAGGAAGTCAGGTCTTGTTGCCTTGCTGTCACAGGTCGAGCGATGGTCGGTGTCTTCTCGCTCTCGTCGTCAGATGCTAGACACTGTTGGCTATGTTTTCCTGGGCTCGTGCTGCCATGGTCATGTACCCGCGCACTGGACTCCCGACTTGGGGCGCTTCTGTTATCACCAGTAGCACAGTTGGGTCGGCGGAAGATGATCTCGGCGACGATCTCATCATCGGGGTCTGCTGGAGGACCCAGGGATGGGTCTTTGACCGAACGAATCGGTACATTGACTCTTGGTGTCGTCTGCGTCGGCGATGTCCGTCTCGAGGTCGACATACTTGGGCTTTCTGGACGGGCTTGGCGGGAGACGTCACTGCGACTGTGGACTTGTCCGTATCGTGATCGTGCTGGCGACGACAAGGTAGGCGAAGATCCATCCTTAGTCCGTGAAGAAACTCTAGCCATATCGGCACCGCGGCTACGACGTCGTCCTCGGAGGTCCTCGCTGGACTCGCCTGGTCCCACGTGCTCCTCCACGAGTCTCGATATCTCCTCCCAGAGCTTTGCATGGGCCTTTTGATGGTCGAGCCGTACAACGACATCCTCGACAGGATTACGCATCGTCCCATCAACGGAGGCCGACCTGCCTGCTGGGCCTGAAGACAAGCAACGCTGATGTGATGTTGGTCTGACCGCGTCCTCGCGCATTGAACCTTGGCTGGTATTCCTCGTGCTTTTTGACAAAGATTCGTTCTCACTAGAGGCGACAAGCTCATCCCTCGCGTCGAGAGCGATGGATTGGAGGTAGAAGTCGAGTGCTCGCTCAAGCAGCTCATCATCCATGCCAGGGTATCGGCTAGAGAGACTTGCACTGCGTGGCTTGGGGAATTCTGGCCTCGGAGACACCGACAGTCTCCTGTGTTCCTGCTGTTGAGCCGCGTCGCGCCAGTCCAGCGCAGTAGCAGCGAGGTCCGCGCTAGACAGACGCCGTCTGGGCCGCCCGACCCTGCTGACGTTGCGCGACTTGGGAGAGGATGGTCTGGCGAGTATGGTGTGGGTATTCGTGACCGATTCTCCAGCTCTTGAGGTCTGGTGGTATTCTGACTGCTCTGTTTGACAAGCCCTTTCAACCTTTACACCTTGGAGAGAGATGAATGATGTACTCTCCAGTTCTTCTGAAGATCGAGCCGGAACATCTGCAGTACAGTCCCAAATGCTCGCTTCCTCTTCATGCTCTATATTCGAATCTTGCGAATTCATTGTGTCGCTGACCAGGGGAGTCCAGATACTATGTTCTTGGGATCTTGGAGAGCATGGCGCCGTTGGATTTCGCTCGGTGGGCGTACTATCCTCAAGACTCTCAGCGACAGGTGCACTGCTTAAGACTAGGGGAGAAGTTAACTTATGGTGCTGCTCATTACCGATATCCCTTTGGTCATGTGCCGAAATAGATTCTTCTGGGAGGTACTTTATCGGTGTCCTGTCGTCGGGGTCTATCGGGAAGGGTGTCAGCAGCACGCTATCGACAGCACTGGACTGCCCCCCATGCTTGTTGGTCTCGTGCTCTGGCACATTCAAGTGACAGTTCTCCTTGCGCAGGATCAGTTTCGCCAGAGGAGGGTCGTCGGTATCTACAACCAGGAGATCCTTGACGCCCCGGCCAAGCAGGCCGTACACGTTGACTTCCCCCTGGTGGATGCCGATGACAGCACTGGTTCCAGAGTACACGGCGTCACCCTCGATCCCGGTCCTGTTGCAGAAAACGATAACGATCTCGTCGCGGGACTCGTCCCTGATAACAGGCTCCAGGCGTTGGGCCCAGTAGGCGAGAGCCTCCATGTCGGGCTCGCCGGGAAACTGGGTGAAGTGTTCGCAGTCGTCACCCGTGATCCAGGCCATGGTGACAATCACGAGGCTTGCGCGCACCTCGAGGATGTGGAAGGCGAATTCGAAGGCGTGCCAGGGTGCCTCGAGCCTGTATGGGTTGATGTCGGTACCTTGTTTATGATTGTTAGTCGTATTTCATCTATTACTACGAAAATGGAAAAGTGTGCATGGCATCAGCGAAAAAACTCCATGTCCTGACTTACAAATACCAATGGCCGTATTCCCCAGCCCCGAGATTTGACCACCAAAAAACCCTTGGCCTTCATCAGCCCACGCTTCGTCCAGGCGATATAGAAACGTCTTGCGGTAGTTTGCCACCGTCTCGCCGTCACCGTTCACGAGGATAGCCGAGTTGTAGAATTCCGGGTGGGCTTGGTGATGTCCTGACACATCCACCTTCTCAGGGTAGCCGACGAGGACGCTGGTGTTGTGCTTGAGGGCCACTGTGCGAGCCCAGAGCGAGCTGATGCCGGACCCAGATGGCTCCAGATATGGTGCGATGTCCTCTGGGGACTGGAAATTCCATCCTGGGAAGGCACTGTCAATGGAATGCTCATTCCCATCCACCTCGAGCACCTTCCGCGAGTCGAGGAAACAAGAACAAGGATAGCACCTTCTGCGTCCAGAAAGTCACAAGAAGAAGAAGAAAAAGGCCGGCAGCACAAACCTGAAAATGCAAGCTCGGGAAGCACCATCAGATCCAAGCTGTCAAGGTCGTCCTGGCTTGCCTTGGCCAGCACCGCATCCGCGCGGTTCAGATTATTGTCTGTGTCGCCGACCTGCGGCGCAAACTGAAGACACGCTATGCGCATTTCGAAGGAAGGTATCTCGGGAAACACGCAACTCCAATGAAACAAAAACAATGAAACAAAAACAGAAGGATATAAGTAGAACTTCCACACACTCTCTCTTTCTCTCACTCACACACAACCAGTCTCGTCTAACACAAGGTGTTAAGTACGTATATATGTGAGAGGGTGAGGGAAAGGCTACCAGAGCCGAGCGAAGGAGACGACGGTAGGAAAACAGCTTCGTAACCAGCGAGAATCAGTAGAAAAAGAAAGACAGAATAGGGAGAGATATCAACAAGAAAAGGCTGGTGTGTACATCGGCCGCACCCGCATGATCCCTCCCAGCATCCTCGGATGATAATCAGGTCAGTGGAGAGGATAGGAAGAAGGGGGGGAGAGCTCGCTGCCCCATGGGCTAGGAATCCGAGCCCCTACATTGGAGTGCACACCTTTTGTTGACGACGTGAGCATGGCTCGGGTGACACGGACGACGTACACGCGCATGGATCCCCCTGAACAGGATGCTGCCAATTGCAACAGTGATTGCTTGTATCCTAGCGTCACAATCAAGCCGACTGCATATGGAAAAAACAATGTGGTGTGGTGAGCAGCCAGTGACCTTGCGCCGTTAAGCGCTAGGGTCCCACTTTGCCCGTGCTAGGTTGAGATTTCGAAAAGTACGATCTTATCACGCACGAAACCCTGTCTTTTTGGGCACTGCATGTTCCTCCCATCCATATTGTCACCTTTCTATTGTCCCATGCAATGTTCTTTGCATCACTGTAGGAAGACACCCAAGTCCGAAGTGTCGAATCGGCTGGGACCGAGGCACAGTGGGCGAGGGGCGTTGGCGAATACGACATTCCTCCACGTGGAAGACTCGAGGGCGAGGGGGTTCTCGCGTGCTCAGTAGAGATGATGCAAAATATAACCGTCCAAAAAGCCAAATTGATCTGAAGGCAACGTGGACATTCCTTTTCTTCCGTCTTTTTCTGTGTGAGTCCGACCGTTACGCAGCTATATAAGCCACAGCCGTTTCCAGTCAGCTGGGAGTGGTCACTCCTTTCAGCTGTCACACATTTTCTCCTTTCCTTCAGTAAGTCTATCATTGTTTGATGCAGAGTGGGGCTGTGAGGATCGGCGGTTTCTATCAAAGTGTGTAAGATGATTGGATGGATGAGAGTGGGAGGGGTCTGATTAAATAATGGAAAGCCCTAAGCATAAGGGACAAATAATTTTCGATCAACGCTGCAAATTTCGGGAAATGACTTTTAACAGACTATGATGGTACTTCGCAGCAGAGGTATCATGATAGAGAGAGAGAGAGAGAGAGAGAAGAGGGAAAAGAAATCAAATTCAGACGTCCATTGATGTGAATCCCCTTTTCTAATCATTATCATCATTTCAAGGGAGAAAATTACTTGAAAACATGGAGAAAGAAAGAAGAGAAGAAGGAAATGTCAGAAAAGAAAGAAAGAAAGAACTGCCGTCTCGAATATTCACCAAGAAGCACGCTTGGCTCTCGGTATCTCCTCGCCCGCCGACTCATTCGCCAGCTCGTTCAAAGAAGGAAACCTCCCATCGGAGCGGGGATCAGAAGTAGACGTCAGCACATTCTCAAAGTCCAGATCGAGCCTCATAGCCTTTAGGCGTCTTGGGCTCAAATACGTGCGTAGACGATGGGGTGGGCGAGGAGGTCTTGGCTGCCTCTGCCTGGCGACGTAAATCCTTCGTTCCAGGCAGTGTCGGTGCACTGTAGACCCTGCTATCGTCAGACAAGCTCTGGAGAGTCATGCCTTTCTCTGCCATCTTGGGTGACGAGCCATGCCTATTTGCTCTTGGCTCGTTGTGGTTGCTGCTGCTTTTTTCCATGTGCGACATGGCTCCTCTCTGCTGCACTGTCGGAGGAGGGCCGGACGGGCCTGCGGCTTGACCGGGAGAGCTGTGTGTCTCGACAGTCTGCCCAGGATTGGGCCCCTGGCTGATACTACGCCCAGAACGATTACGAGGATGGAAGATTATCTCGGCTACGATCTCGTCCTCGGGATCATATGGCATCGACGACGCGTTCGGCACATCCGGTGCGAGGATGGTCCGAATGGGCTTGCGGCTCCCGCGGTCCTGCGATGCCAGGCGCTGCGCGGCTCCCTCCATGCCTTGCGTCGCACTTCCTCCTCCGCCTCTTTCTGGAGGAGACACTTTCCTCGTCAACGATGACGAGTCGGACGTAGTGAGGGGTGGGCGGCGGTTGGTGTCCATGTGTCTCCCACGGCTCTCGTCGCGCCGGCTCGGCTGCTGGTGGAGCACCTCTCCGACCATCCTGGACAGCTCCGACCATACAAGAGTCCTGGTATCATCAGGCTCGATGTGCGGATCGGCATTGTGACTCGTCAGCGAGGTGCTGCCCGTCCTGGACTGCGAGGGGAGGAATTTCGCGCCAGGTCTGGTGGAACCAGGTCTAGCTCCAGCCCAGCTTGGATTCTGCTTGCAGTTTTTGAGTATGTCAGACTGAGGGCGCTCGATCACGTCGTCTGTGAAGATACTCGGGCTTGCTATGAACGGGACGTCCTTGTAGGGGACACTACCGGGTCTCTGGTCATCATCACTGGTCGAGTACTGCATTCCCGCCACTTTTTCTTGTTGTTGTTGTTCTTCTGCTGCTGTCGTCTGGTTGGCTGTGCTTGATTTTCGAGAGCGTTGTCGGCCCTGGCGTTGCTGCCCCTCTGCGACCTCACTATGGATCGAGGCCATCGCCGACCCGGGCCGCCGCCTTGCCAGAACTGCCAGCCTCTCTTCGACCTCGGAAGATACAAGACTGCTTGGTTCCGAAGGACGACTGTCCACAACAGGTCGTCCGCTGCGACTGGCGTTGCGCGACTTTGGCGAGGAGGGGCGGGGTGGTACGGCATCCTGACCTTGTCCGCTATATTTCGAAGCTATGCTCTCTTGGTCTCGAGTAGGAAGATTGATAGTATCTTCTAGCGGATCGGAGCCCGTTTGGTTGTCCGACGGGTGTCCCCTCTTGCTGGCAGTCGGCGTCAATAGGGGTCCCTGGGATGCATCCAGGTGTATGTTGACAAATGAACTCGGCACTGCCTTGGCTGTCACGGCCGACGAGGAAGGAGGGTAGGCGTTGGGAAATCGGGTTTCCATGGGGCTTCTTAGCTGTGGCTGGGACGGAAGCGAGAAGTACTTGTTCGGGACGCGCCGAGAAGCAGGTGAGGCAGCGCCGGAGGTGGCTGCACTAATTGAGACACGCCCGCTGAAGATCTGCGGCTGGCTTTGACTCGGAGAAATGTGATCATACGGGTAGGGCATGTCGCTGTAGTGTTCCGTGGGCTGGAGATCGGGGCTGGTGATGTTGGGCCTTTGACTGAGCGGTGTGGGACTGGGGCAAGTCGGTGTTTCGATACCGGGGCTCTCTTCCGTGGGCGAGTCCTGGAGAGACAAGTGCCGATGATGGTGTTCTGGTATCTGTATTTTGGGAGATTGTGGCTTTACTCTCATCCTCTTCTCACTGTCGGAAGTGTTCGGTGTAGGACTCGGCCTCCTCTGCTTACTGCGTGTCCTGGGCGACTGATTTGCAGTTGTATTATGAGGGCTGTCTTGGCGTATCGATGGTGCTGTTGTCGCTGCAGTACTCTGGCGAGCCCTCCGAGACACTCCAGATACCTGAGAGGCTGATGTGTCATCAGACACAACAGACGGCCGCTGTACCAACCTGGCGAAAGGTCCGTTATCAGTGTCGACGACAAGAAGGTCCTTGACGCTGCGGCCGAGGAGACCGTAGACTTTGACCTCCTCATCTTTGATCCCAATCACAGCACTTGTGCCAGCATAGGTAATGTCGTCCTCCATTCCGGTTCGGTTGGCGAAGATAACAATCACTTCGTCTTGGCCCTCGACTCGGATGAGCGGTTCGAGACGTTGCACCCTGAGAGGATAGTCAAGTCAATAAGAATGCGGCCACAAGAGGGGTTGGAAGAGGTAATCTTAGGGCAGAGAGCCTGGGAGGAAGAACAACAAGAAGCCGGAGAGATCGTTGAAAAAGCATGTTGCTCAACAATTAACGCACCAGTAAGTGAGTGTCTCCATATCCGGCTCCTCAGGCATACGGCTGAAGAGGCGGCCATCTTCACGAGTTACCCACGCCATGGTAACGATGACCAAGTTTGCTTCCTCTGCTAAAATGTGAAAAGCAAATTCAAAGGCGTGCCACGGTGCTTCGAATTTGTAAGGACTGTGACAAGAGAGAGCGTTAATTAGTACTTCGGGGGACATATTAGACAGCGGAGATAGGCTCGAGGGGTTCTTACTTGAGGTCCATACCTACGAGCACAATCAGTAAGCGGCGGGGTTGAGAAAACAAAAACAGTAATACATCAAACACAGTTGAAGACTCTTGTAGAACTCACAGATTCCCATGGCAACGTTTCCGAGGCCGGGCACCTCGTCCGCAAAAAAGCCATCTTTGCTCTCCAGCGCCCAAGTCTCGTCTATGACATAAAGAAAAGATTTTCGATAGTTTGCGATGGTCTCGCCATCGCCATTGACGACGATGGTCGAGTTGTAATACTCTGGGCCTGTCGGCCATCTCGGCGAAACATCGACCCTCTCTGGGTAACCGACCACCACATTGGTATTGTACTTGAGAGCGGTCGTCCGGGCCCATAATGCACTGATACCAGACCCTTGAGGTTCGAGGAACGGCGAGATATGATTCAACGAGGTAAAATTGTAGCCTATTTTGTGCGTTCAGCATATGAATCAAGGCTGTTTGCCAACGCCGAGGGGTTCTTTCTTGATAGTTTCATACCTGTGAAGGCCAGTTCGGGCAAGACCAGCAAGTCAAGATCCTCCAAATCTTCTGGGTTCGCTTTGGCCAGGACAGCGTCGGCTCGATTGAGGTTATTGTCAACATCACCAACTTGTGGCGCGAACTGAAGACAAGCAATCTTCATGACGACCCTCACAGCCCAAATGCTCGGTGCGCTTGGTTACTAGACAACAAAATCCCACTGCTGGCTCGATTGTAGTGTTGTAGACCGACTGATAAGCGTTTGCGGAACTAGATGTTTCGAAGCCGTCGACTCAACTGCACGGAGATCAGGAACTAAAGCTATTAATGCTGAGATACAAAAGAAAATATTGGCGACGTCGCGGGACGAGCCACGATACCATTGCTCAAGACATGGCGTGGGGGAAAACCGTTGGAAGTGCAAAAGTCCAGAGATAGGCAGGGGCTCCAAGCAGTCATGGCAAGTTGGAACTTCTTTTTGTTAGAAAGTTCAGATCCAAGTATGCATTCTCCACCCCACGCCTCACCATCTCTCGCCTAGGAGGTATAGTAGACTTGGGCTAACACAAGCTGACGCTTATTACCGTTCTGTCGGGATTGAAATGGCCTCCCAGAAGACCTATCACGGGCCGAGAGAATCACCAACGCGACACGGAACACGACATGAATGGCTCGAATGAACAGGCTGCATGTAGTCCAAGGAATAGTGCTCCACTGAGGTCCACTCGCCGGTACCTTTGCCCAACATCCGCGTTCAAATTACTGTGCTCGAGCATTATCAGACCCAGGATTCTAGAGCGGACTTTTGCACTCGTTGAGCTCCTGCACGCGGATGCTGTCTCTTCCGCATTCGCTGAAGGGTCAAGCAGGTAAGCGCTACGACTTGACTTGGGTGGGCACAATATCTGGTTGGGAATCCCGGGTCCACCACCCGCTGTCCCCCCAAGCCTAGAAGAAAGCGATCAGTGGCAGAGAGCGTCTTAAACTGAAATGGGTAGTCGTCTGACATGCCAGACTGGTATGTCGGTGTCGTTCGGTGTCGGCCAAGTCCTTGACCGACTTCTTAGCTGTGATTCTTTTGCAAAGGGCTTGATAACATAAAGCTAGTTTGTGTCTCTCCACCAAAATGTGTGGATGATCCCTTGATAATGCGCACAATGCATCCATAGCGTTGCTCATGACGCCGGGGTTATGCCTGGACAGGAGACGACGCCCCTTCCTTCATCTGTATGAGCGTGGAACCAACATCGTCTGCATACGTGGTCGCTCGCAGCTCGTCCTGCCACCGTGACGAGCAGACTAGGGTGTTAGCTGTAAGGGGGACTCGAAATCTGGCGTTGATGCCTTGGCACCCACTTAACGTCTGTAACCAATGAGCTTCGGGCATGCCAAGCTAATTCTGGAAGTGATCAACCACGGTATGCTGTCGAATCATGGACATAAGGGGAAGCTTGAGATGGTGTGCTACATCTGCCGATGATTGCCCTGACCGGACTCCCTCGCACTGACTTTACGCGATCGCACCTCTTCCAGTTGGCTCTCAGGTCCGAGTCCATTTGTCCAAGAAGTCAGGAGACAACCGAGGAAATCTTCGGCCAGCTGCTAAAGTTGTCCAGACATTAATGAAAGCCACGGGGGTTCTCCGCACTTAGAGAGCAGCCCGGATAAGCGTAGCAGATCCAAGAGAATACGGCCGTGAGCATAGGGCTGTCTGAGGAGTGCGCTGCAGAAGGATAAAAAGGAAAGATAGAAAGCCAGCTAGATGGCTGAGGCTGTCTACAGAAAGTTGTGGGGCAGTCAGCTGCCAGGCACGCACGGGCCTAAGTGGCTCACTGGTAGATAGGACATTGCTCCCGGTATGTTTCTTGACAAGAAGCACTTGTACTCACCTGGGATAGTCTCGTGCCAGCGAGCGGACTTTTGTTCGACAGGCTAAGAGTACTAGCTGCTGATCCTTGAATACGACAGAGTGTTTGATTTTGAGGGGTGGTACAGTATGGCTGTTGGCAAGACTTGGCCCAAGCAATCAGACTTTAGATCCTGGCAAAGAGCGGTATCGGACGGATGTAGTTCAACAAGTAGCGAGGGCTAACGTGGGAGAACGAACAGGCGTCGATGTCCCCTGACCTCCTTCGATTCGTGATCCTGGTCCGATACCCTCCAACTCGTCATTCTTCGTAGCATTCTGTAAAGCGGGCGGTATAGCCTTTTGATGATGCTTGCTGTGCAAGGCCAGTGACCTCGATAGAATCTTAACACGCTCTTCGATGGCTCGAGGAAAACTAGTCGAAATTGTAAACGATCTGAATCCATCCTAATCTCGTTCTGTGCCCACAAGTATTCAAAAGCTGACTTGTAGCAAGAAATCCTTGCGCATGCTGGCCAGTGGTTCTTCCTACTATTTCTATCCTTCTGCAGAGCAGCGCTATGCTCGTGTAGCCTGTTGTCGGAGGGAACGCCAGGGAGACATGGTCATAAGGATCTGGAGCGTGACGATCTTGATTCCTGATTTGAGAGCACAACTTGTCAAACGTAGATTGATCCAGAGCTGGCTGGATTGGTTCTAACGCTTGAGCAGGACCTGATGATGCTTTCTCAGTGAAAACTGCCCATCTCCACACTCTGCTGGAGCCACCTATTATCAAAGCCATGGCGCGCGTCCACTTCTGGAGGCTATGAAGATTGCTGAATGAGCAGTTCCAGTATGATCTCTGGACCACGGCCCCCCGTGACCCCCTCGTCGAATTGATGCCATGTCAAATAGCAAAAGTGCGCCTTGAAGAGGTAATGCATTGAATTATGAGGTGTAGCTAGTGTTGAAACACTAACGATCGTTTTGTTTTCGCCAGTTCCCTGTTATCCTGCATCCATGCATCAAGAAGGGAGTCTTCAGTATCTGCCTGGAGCCTCCCCACCGGTGGTAATTTTGCAAGATATCATCTCATAACTGTATCCGCAGTATTGCTAAACATTTAGTAGAATCAGCTAACAAGGGAATTGTCACATAGAACGACATAGGTAGAATGATGATGGCGGGAATTGAAGATGCTCCCGTCGCACCCACACGTCGAAGGAGAAGGATGGCTGGAGCTCCACTGCCGTGAGCCATAGGAATCCGAAGCAGGGCTCAGCAGTTCTAGCGCCGAGTCACATAGATGCGTTGACTCGCAGCTCGGGTCTATCGCTCGCCATAAGCGCCGGTAATGTGGAGAGAACTCAAAGATGCTCATTGGAAAGGAGTGTGAGAGGTCGAGCAGATGATCGTGCTTCTGCTCAAGAGCACTCCACTTGTCAGACGCTTCCCGCTGCTATACCTGAATTAGCCGCCACCTTGTACATAGTAGCTAGGAGGCCAGATGATTGCCATCTTTTCCATGCCAGCCCCCCGGTCAAGTCATGCTTGTGAGCCTGTCAGCCTGTACCACCTGTTCTGGAATAGAGCAAATGCTGGGTAAGCAGAAGGCGGGCCGAAGCGTTTACCATTGTACAAGATGACAAGATGCAGACAAAGCAAAGTCGAGCTGCAGAGAGACACGTAGCCCACAGTATCATGGCATATGCAACATGCAGTGTGTAGTCACAGTCACATCGAGTTGTTGGGAGGGGGATCAAAGGCCACAAGATCAAGTGCTAAGCGCCAGAGCGGCAAAGGTGACAGAGTTCAGGCTTTCACTGGGCAACAAGACGCGACTTGGCAGCCTGAGAACCAGACTTTTCGAGATACCCATGTGCTTGAAGAGAGACCATCGATCTCTGTTCAGTGGAGCTCTTTCACAAACGAAATGAAACATTTGTGCCGGGACCAAGGTATCCAAGGCACTCGTCTAGATCTGTTTATAGACGAGGAGGAGAAGAACGAAGAAGCAAGCAGGTGATGGTGGAAGCGGGATCTAAGCCCACTCTCCCCTGCCCTCATCAACCAATACAATCGCTCTGTGGGCAATTGTGGGCAGGTGGCACCTGAAGATCCTGGCAGACGATCAGCAGCTTCCCGAAGCGCAGCAGACATAACCCCTGTCCTCTTGGGCCTCTCAACGGCCACTGGTGGAGCCAGGGCGGCCTCGCTGAGCGGCCGGCGTCTAGAGGAACCACTCAGCGTCGCTCCTCGTCTTCGAGATCGACTTGCGAGCCCCCCACAGCCAGATCTTGGTTTGAATGGGAACAAACTTTGTTTGTATGGATGATGACCTGCATATGCGTTTACTACCTCTTTCCCCTTCTTGGCCACTCACGAGGCCTGTTTCGCGCCGGCCCACTCCCCTCGGAACGCACACGATTGGAGGAGCCCTCATGAACCCTCTCCCACACCTGCGAGAAAGATGGTGGGGAGGTCTCGGGGTATAGCCACCATTCATTGGCTCTTTATTGATGTCGCCAGCCGATGTCCTCGTTGTTTGTTGTACAGGCAATTTACGAGCATGGCGACGACTTGCCCAAAGCGTCTTCTCGTCTCGCCCTCTTCGTTCGGGACCGCAGGGCCCTCGCGCCCCAATCGGTGGCGATTCGTCTGACATGCAGGCTTTATATCAGTCTTGCAGCCCCTTGGGCCACTACCCATACGTGTGAAGATGAACTCTTGCACTTGGCCTCCTCCTCCTCGTCCTCCTTTCTCCCAACCTTTGGGCTCTGCTGGACGGAAGCACAACATCCAGTCTTCCCTCCTCCTTCTCCTCTCTTACCCGGAGCGATAACACCGCAAATGGTTGCCATGACTGGCGGACTCTCGACACCATCTCTTTGTTGCTAACCTGACCTCTTCTTCCCCCCTCCTCCTTCTCTCCCATCTGTGGTGGCACAGGTCATGTCGTGCAACATGGCAGCCTTGCATTCATCAAGGACAATGTTGTCGTCACTCTTCCTGAGCCTGGTGCTTCTCGTACTGCCCGGTACCGACGCTCTACAGGTCACACCAGGATCTTCATGTTCGTCCTTTTGTGGAGACGCGTCGTCGACAAACTCGACCGATATTGTATGCAGCGATTTTGACTACTACTCATCCGCGACTGGTTCCACGTTCATGAACTGCATCGAGTGCCTGGAGACCAGCAACGTAACTAGCGGCTCCGATAGCGACGTTGCGTGGTTGTTTTGTAAGCTCTGACCTCCCAGACCCTTTGCTTGCCCAGGCGGACCGCGAAGCTGACCATTATCGCTATCGCAAGACAACCTCCGCTACGCCTCTTCAGTGTGCATTTATGACTTCCCAAATCACAACATCAGTAATTCTTCATCGTCATCGTCAGAAGAGTCATGCGATCTGCAATACGCCTGTGCGCCGCTACAAGAAGCCCTCGAGTACGGCAACCTGAATCCTTCTAATGGGACCGATTATGGCTACTGCCAGGCCGATGGCGGCGCCTTTTATGGCACGGCTATCGACGATTGCGTAAGCTGCCTGCAGGCGAGCCCGTCGACATACACGGCGAATTGTAAGCCTCCGTGTCCCTAAGCAGACGAGTCCTTCCCTATAGCTACTCACACGGTCCAGTTCTCCTCGCCCTTCAAGCCGGCTGCCAGCAGCAACCCAAGGCAGGGACCACCCTCTCCATCACGGGCTCCCTCTTCTCCACGACAGCTATCAACATCACAGATACTTCAAACTCGAGCTCAACCACCTCCTCCACATCATCGAACAAGTCTACCCTTTCCCTCAACAGGATAATCGCCATCGTCTGCTCCCTGGGCGGCTTATTCTTCCTCGCCATCGGGCTTTTCATCCTGTACTGCTGCCGGCAGCGTCGTTACGCACGGGAAGATGCGCAGCTCCTCGGGAATGACGGCTATCCGTCCCACCAGCAGCACTTCTACTACGGCAAGGACAGGCAGGGCTCCGTCTCCACCGCGCAGACTTACGTTATGCCTCCTTACACGATGGATCACAAGTCAAAAGTCGCTCCCACTTTCCCTCTGGGCTCAACCCCGGCAGTGTCTGAGCAACAGTCGGCCTTCCCCTTGGGGGAGACTTTCGCCAGCAACGCTGACTACTACGACCGCCTTGAGGGCCGCTCGCGGTCACAGCCACTACAGGCTCACCCGGTGAGGCTGAATAACTTCGCCCCCAGTGTCGCCTCCTCTTCGTCCGAGGTTGATACCATCGGGCATCTCCCCACCGACGCGCTTCCCACACATCCCGCCTACATCCCACGCAGCATGACGCCAGGACAATTGGGCGGGAGAGCGAGCCGGAACGTGAGCCGGAACGCGTCGGTACGATCGAGCGCGCCGAGCCAGACCCAGACCCAGGACCAGGCACAGCAGGGCCGAGCCCCCAATCGCGCCCACTGTCCAAGGAAGACCGACTCATATGCCATCCAGGTCTACCTCAACGGGCCTGAGGAGCCAGGCGCCTCGGCGGCGCGGGCGGCAGCGAGGAGCGCGTCCAGCCGGGATATCCAAGTCGAGCTTGCTGACCCGCCCGAGACTTACACCGTACCGGGACGGCAGCTGCTGTACACGCCGCCAGTGCTGTCAGACCGGCAGGGCAACTCCACCTCACTTCAACCGGGGCAAGCCGGCCTGGTCCCGCCGCCGCCTGACCGTGCCCAGACCACGTCACCCGCCGTGTCGTCCCTCGTCCTGCCGTCTGTGCCAAGGATAAGGGTGCCGAGCACGAAGCCGGCAAGGCTGCGGATAGATGACACCACGTGTGCGAAGGGGAGCGGCCGAAGCATGAGAGTATCGGGACCATTGGCATTTCCTGACCCCAGATTCTCCGTGCGGCCGCCAAATGACCGCATCGTCGAGCAGACGCTAGCGAGTGGTCCACAGTTGGATCTGCCGATTGCAAGTGGGAAGAGCTATCTATATGGTTGATAGGCTTGTTCTTTTTTTATATGATACCTTTGATTAAGCGGCGCACATGGTGCTTTATGTACATGTTCGAGAGGGAAGAGCCCCAAGGATATCTCTCGTGCTCTGGGGGGCTTCAATATTCCTTTTTTTGGGTGGACATTTTTATATTCAATCAAGCCGGGCCAGAGAGGTTCAGGTTCGGCCACCGCTCAACGCAAAACGCTGCGCACTTGCCAAAGAGGCTAGATGCTCAGAAACAATATATTAATACTATGTACAAGAACCTCGACACCCAAGGCATGTCCGTAGAGGAAGCTCAGCCTAGGCGATGACCCGCGCCACGGGTCTTCCAGGAATCGGGAAGTGGTCCACTGCCCTGCGCCCCCGTGCCGGCACTGGACTGTGACGCTTGCATCGCAGTACCATAGTTCCTCGTCACAATGCGAGGTGTGTTCACCAGCCGCGACAAGAAGTCAGGTGCTGGGATCCAGTTCCTGCCGCCGCCAAACTCAGGGTATAAGCGGGTCAGAAAGTCGTGCAAGTGAGCCGCAATCAGGCCGACAAGCTGGAGTAACATGGCATGCGGACCAGACATGAGCAGGGTCGCGCACATCATGCAAATCGGGATGAGCTGGGCAGGGACGGTGAAGAAGAAGAACCCGGCCTTCTGGCCTCTTGCGTCCTGCGTGGCAGTGTACGCCATGGCTAGAATGAGGGCCGGGAGGAAGAAGAAACTGCCCAGGAAGTATTTTGCGACAACCTGTGTTTCCTGTCAGTCTTGTATCTCGTATATACGTGTATGTATACAACACTTGGCAGTCCTGTTCATCAAAAATGTGGGAGAACAAGGGTCACAATTGTTGGCGAAGAAATGTAGGGCGCTCGAAACCACCCGGGCTCACAAAGTCAGAGCTCGAGTCATCCATAAGACATCCCACCATGCCCACACCGCGGACCGACCCTTAACTAGGTATTGCGAATGACGGGCCGGCCGAAGTGCAGGGGTAATCTTCCTCGTTTCCAGGAACCGTGATAGTAGTAGAGATAATGCACTATCCGGGCAGATATGCGAGGTGCGAAAGAGCAAAGCAAGTGCGAAGGAGACGGAGAAGGAAAAATAAGTTGAGAGATGGAAGGGCTGGTGAGACGAATGCTGAAAACTCACCAAAATGATGACGCCACAGAAGAATAGGTACCACAGCAAATCCTCTGCCCTGGTGAACTTTGGATGTGCAGTCTCGAGCTGGTTCAAGTACTGATACACAAAGTATGTATCCATGACTATACCCAATTTGGGCCCAGTCAGGAGGAAGCTGGTGAAGGGTCGCCATACTTGGGGCGGGAGCTTGAAGATGAAGTAGTAGTCGAAGTAGAGCCATTGTACGGGGATGAGGCCAAAATGGCCACCAATGGATGTCGCGAGGACGGCGGTCGTGACAAATCTGTCAGAGTATGAGGTCAGAAGTGTTCGCCTGCGCGGGCAGAAGGAGGGCTTGGTGGTTTGATGCTTACCTTGTCAATGGCGGCATGCGCCAGTAGGCATCCATAATTTCAGCCATCGTAGAGGTTGTTGGGTGATTGGTCGGTGGGAGAGGAAGGGATGTTGACCAAGCGGGGCAGAGAAAGCAAAACTTTTTGCGTTCGTCTTCAGTTCTCTCTTGACACCGGGAATAGAAGATATACTGTGAATGAGGAGGTTGTAATGTGGTGGTTGCGGTGCGAGAGGTTGTTGATTTAAACGAGAGGTGGCCTTTCTTGGATGCGAGGCGAGAAAGGTAAGCTCAGCAAAAGGCGCTGCAGCGTTCTCATGGAAAAAGAAAATGTAATGGAGAGGTGTCAGGCAGCCAGGCACTTGCAGGGGTCTGATGTGGTGGGGTGATTCGTTCCAATTCGCTGGATCGGAGCCTGACACGGCCCGGTGTGAGCAACAGGAATTTTTGTAGGTATGTACTTGCAGCAGCACCCCGGCATGCATGCAAAGTATCTGTGGGTAGTAATGACAATAGCGAAAGAGATGAAGGGAGAGTGTGGCATGTGACTACCAGGTCCTACCTGATATGTCTGATAGAAGGAGAAGGCAGAGGGATCAGAGCAATACACAAGAGCTTGTATTGATGATCTGGTCGCACCTCCTCGCTGGGCTCAAGGCCTCATTCATGGTTATGCAGCTAAGGATGTGTAACAAGCTGGTGCGCGTATTGCCAGGCATTAGCAGGGCCCTTTTCGGCAGCAACAACAACAGAATGATTAAGACATGAATAAATGCGTGGATATTGAAGAGTTTTTGGCAGAAGATGCTGAGAAAATATTCGTAGTGGGAGAAGGGTTTGAGGAGAAGAAAAGTTGAAGCTGGAAGAAATATGCTGCAGACACGATTAAATTTTTTGAGCATGGTCCCCAGTTGGTGTGGGCCTTATGGGTCGTTCCTGCGTATTACCCAGTAGTAGGTAGATACCGTACTTTGTACAGTAGTCACCTTCGCGCGGAACCGAAGCCGGCAAGAGCTGGCTCATACCATATCAACCCCTGTCTCCTAAGTCGGCTTTGAAAAGATGAAGACCTAATTATGAACCCTTGCCATGGAGTGACTGCATACAAACTGTGCAAGCAGTAGTCATTCTAGTATATGACTTGTTTGTCTTTCTGCACTACCCAATTGACTATTTGAATCTTGGATCTACTCATCTGGGGGGTTCTTTGGCAGGTTCAACACAACCGTGTCGACAGAGCGAGCATCTTCTCAGGATCCATGGAGCGCCCTGCTCGGGTGGTGAGGCAATTGGCCTCTGGAATCCACGCGAGGTCCTACGCTACTACCGGTCTCAAGATTCCGGCCAAGAAGCAGAAATATGTACCTTCGTCAGGGACCTATCCTGTCGGCTTCCAGGCCGCAGGAGTCATCGTGGGCGTGAAGCCAAACAACACAACCAAGCCTGACCTAGCCCTATTAACCTCGGACCGTCCATGCGCCGCCGCTGCCGTCTTCACCAAGAACAAGTTCCAGGCTGCCCCCGTGACTTTCAGCAGGGACCTGATCAGGAAGACAAATGGGAACATCCAGAGCGTCATTGTCAACTCTGGATGTGCGAATGCCGTCACTGGCAAAGGGGGCTTGGAGGATGCCGCCAAGATGTCCCAGGAGACGGACAAGGCAACAGGCGCGACGGATTCGACCATTGTCATGAGCACTGGAGTGATAGGTCAAAGGTGAGGGAATGAACCTAATCTTCAGGCTCCTCTTGCGAGACCATGTGTGATAGTTGGTCCAAGAGTCATCGTCCCTTGAGTACCAACAATTGCTGTCGTGCATTCTTTTACTGAGAACTCATAATATAGATTGCCACTCCAGAAGATTCTCAACGGTGTCCCTCAAGCCCATACCGCTCTGGGTTCATCTCATGACCACTGGCTCACCGCCGCCACAGCCATCTGCACGACAGACACATTCCCAAAACTCATCTCCCGGACCTTCACCCTGCCCTCCTCGCCCGGCATCACCTACCACCTTGCAGGCATGACCAAGGGCGCCGGCATGATCCACCCCAACATGGCCACTCTCCTAGGCATCATCACCACCGACGCCCCTGTTTCCCCTTCGGTTATCTCAACCCTGCTCAAGAACGCCGTCGACCGCTCCTTCAACTCTATCACCATCGACGGCGACACCTCCACCAATGACACCGTCGCCCTGCTCGCCAACGGCGCCGCCGGTGGTAACGAGATCGCCTCCGAGGGCTCTGAGGACTACGCTGCCTTCAGCTCTGTGCTGTCCGCCTTCGCCGTCGACCTCGCCCAGCTCATCGTCCGCGACGGCGAGGGCGCCACCAAGTTCGTGACGATCCGCGTCGCCGAGGCGGCCTCCGAGGTCGGCGCGAGAAAAGTCGCCAGCACCATTGCCCGCTCCCCGCTGGTCAAGACCGCCCTGTACGGGAAGGACGCCAACTGGGGCCGCATCCTCTGCGCCACTGGCTACTCGCTTCTGTCGGAGCCCGGCGAGCCGGTGAACCAGGTCGCCGACATTGTCCCTGAGAAGACCAACGTGTCGTTCGTTCCCGTCGACGGGTCGGCAGAACTCAAGCTGCTGGTTGATGGCGAGCCCGAGGCCGTGGACGAAGCTCGGGCTTCCGAGATCCTGCAGGCCGAGGACCTGGATATCCTTGTGAGGCTGGGTACCGGTAAGGAGGAGGCCACGTACTGGACTTGTGACTACAGCCACGAGTACATGTGAGTGTTTCCTTGCTTTGTGCATCTGACTATTGGGAATTCAGCTGATTTTGTTTCAGTACAATCAACGGTGATTATCGTACCTGATGGCTGAAAGGGGCGATAATGAGCAAATAATCCACAGTTGGAATTTTGACGAGAATTGGACGTAGGATAAATTTGCAGTTATTTCTCAGGAATCTCGTCTTTTTTTCACGAGTTGATTCCTTTTCTTCCCAAATGAGCCTAAACAGGTGGCCATGATCATTTATTCCTGGTCATCCCATCCTGTCCAAGCTGCACCCACCACGAGGCGACCCATGAGCCCGTCTCAGAACGAATGTCCTTGCAGGAAGGAGAATGCATAAAGTGTATTTGTTACATGGTTCGTGACTTTGCAACGCTTGGGTATATGCTCTCCGCGCTGTATATGAAAAGACTCGACAAATAAATACTACTGCAGCCACAGTAGAACACACCTAGCCAAAATGTCTGCTTCAGAAAATTTCATTTCAGATGCCGTCACTGTACGCCTCGTTCTCCCATGGTCCTTGGATCCGTTCCACGTGGTCCGTGCCGAAAGAAAAAAAGAAAAGAAACGAAACCAAAACGCCGGGCTTGATGCAATTGACCGTATTTCGATCTGTTTTTGTTTTGATTGATATCCGTTTAAAGTAAGAAGAAAAATGGTTTCGTTTTACGTCCCGTGTAGGGCTCGAATGCTGTCACTGCCTGCTGTCTTAGCCTGATAGTGGAAGTCCTTTTGTAGCGCCTATTTGGCACTTCGCGACTGACACGCCTGTGAAGCCTGCCTACTTCCTTTACTCGAATTTGAGAGATCCTTGCTCTCACCACCTATATTGACACCTTTCGACCGAAGCCCTCGTTGACAAGTTGATTTAATGTTCCCATGCTGTTCCGGCCCACTCGACTGTGCCAAGTTGATGATCATCAGCCGTGCCGCTTTTTGGTCCAGTGCTAACCACCTAGGTCCTGGCTTTGAGACAACTGCCTATTCTGTTCACGATACCAGCTTGTGTCTTCTTCCATCTCTGCAGCGACCTTTCTAAGCTCGCGCAAAGTCTCCTCGACATCCTGCTCAATTGTGCTAATGGCACTACCAGCTTGAGAGCCACCGTCGACATCACGATGCGGGCTTCCTAGATGCATTGGTGAAGAAATGCCTGCGGGTAGGGATTGTCTGAATGACGATGTGGGTTTGGACATGCCGCCTGTCGGCAGAGACTGTCGGAAGGAGGTGCTGGGCTTCACGAAGCCTGATCTTGGAGGCGAGCCCGCTGCGCCGACGCTGAGAGTGCTGCGGCGCGACCCAGGTCCAGTCAGTCCCAAGCTTGCGCGATACGCGCCATCCTGTTCCAGTACACGGTTGTCGTAGTCATCTGCTTCCGACTCGCCAGAGTACTGCGAAGCACCGTCATGAACAGAACTAGTCCTGGGCCGAGGTACCTTTTCGGAAAGAACGTGACCCGTAGGCGTGGCGAAGAGCCCGCGGCTTCTCAGCAGCCAATATGAGGATTTGATGCCACTGCTTGGCCTATTTCGAGCTCGATCGGGTTCGACGGAGGACCGAGGCGACGAAGATTGATACTTCGAGAAGTTGGTGACCTTCCCCGTCGCAGGTACGGATTGTAGAGACTGGCCGAGGCGGGAAGAAGTGCTGCTTCTGAAGCTGATGAGATCGTCCTCATCACGCTTGCCGTTCACGAGATCTGCTAGCTGCTGAGCTTTCTTGCTCCACTTCTGCTTCGGCGCCGGCTTCGAAATCCCAGCGTCGCGTACCGAGCGGAGGGGGTCCCTGCTCGGTTTGGCTGGAGGACCCATGATACGCCGGTTGGAATTTGGGCTGATGTGAACGCCCACCAGTGCATCGTAGATCGAATCGTCGTCGCGAACACAGTTCTCTGCAACTCTTTGCTGATCTGGCACACCATTCAGAACACCAGTGGTAAGCAGGGCGTCAGCATCAGAAACAGGACTGCTTCTCCGAGACGTGTCGAGCGACATGTCTCCTGCTCGCCTCGCTCTTTTTAATGCCCGTTCCTGATCAAGTTCATCAAGCCAGGAGGTTGGTCCGGAGAGCCGCTTAAGGCGCGCCTCTTCCTCCTTCTCCTTCTTGCGTCGTGTTGCTCGGGCTTCAGCTGCTTTAGCCTCCCTATAGGCTTTTAGAGCTTCTCTGTTGTGGCGTCCAACACGCCTCGTTGCCTTCTTCCTTGCAATTTCTCGCCATCGATAAAAGAACTTGACTCGCAGATTCCAGTCCCTGAATTTGCGCGCTTCAGCCCAAGAAGACATGTCCTCTTCCCGTCGCTTCCGCTCATTCTCCTCCCGTTGGTATGTTTTGAAGGTCTCGTAGACAAGATGCTCTACGAGGTTGTCCTGCAGGGTTTCCATCAATCCACCATCGCCGAGTAAGATCCATTTTGCAAGATCACCCATCATGTCTCTTGGGGACACAGGCGGCGCAGGTACCAGAGTCTTGACTGGCGTGGAGGTTGATATGCCAGACAGTGACGTCGATTTGACAACCTCGGTTGGTGCGGCCGGTGGCGGTGCTGGTTTCAATGCTGAAACGAATGAAGGTGACGTGGATACCGGAGCAGAGGATGTGTTTGAGAAAGGAAAGGGTTTCGCTGGACTCGGTGCATCTTGTGAAATGTCTGTCTTGTTCGAAGACGCTGTGGCAACGGCATTCCCAGCACCCTCGCCCTTGGCTGATAATGGTGGAACAGCTGCAAAGAAGCTACTAGTCGATGAGCCAGCCAGAGACGTACTTGGAAACAAGGGAGCGGCATGCTTTTCAGACGGCTTGTTGAAGAAGCCAAAAGCATTGACAGACTCTTGCGTAGTAGAAGCGGGAGGTGCTGTGCTTGGCGTAGATGGCAAGAAAACTTGGGACGTTTGTATAAGTGACTTCCCAGGCACTTTGTTGACTGATGGCCCCTCAGCAGACGATTTTTGAGACCAAGGGAATAGAGTCTGTGCAGGGGTAGCAGTCGTGGCCGTTGCTGTGGTCGTGTCCGTAGCTGCGTTCGTTGCGTGCGAGAAAAAAGGGTTCTTGGTGGTCGTATCGGACTTGAGATTGCTGAACAAGGACGAGGCCGGCGTACCAGCTAGGCTCTGTTTCATTGGAGATGAAGATGACGAGGAAGATTCGTTGTCGAAGAAGTTCACCCCCAAATGTGTTGACTTGGGCTCTGTAAACATAGGCGTGTCTGGAGGCTGAGTGACAAATAGACTATCAGGGCTGGCGTTTGTCTCGATGGCGGGCGCGCCCTCCTGGAAAATGGTACTGTGAACCACCTCCGGGAGAGTGTGGTCACCACGCTTAAGCTCGACCATCGACTCTGAAAATGATTGCTTGATAGTCTTCGCTGGAATGCCTCTCCTTCGCTGAACGAGCAAATAAGGCTCGCTCACGCCTTCTGAAGAGAACTCCATGTCTAGGTCCTCGAGGAAAGCAATGCACTCTTCTTCCGTGTCGAAACGGAATTGCTCGTTAAGAACCTTGGCCGTCAAATCCTTCGGCCCATCTCTGACCCTGCCATAGGCCCTGTGGAGGCCTTTCAAGATTTGGCGTCGAATTTCGGTGAAATGGATCTCGGCCAGACAGGCCATGGTATAGGACACTTCCGGATTCTCAACGATAGAGAAGTAGCTGGTGAAAGACGGTGATCCGGTAGTGAGTGGGGCAGACGGACGCAGCGGTCCGCGGTGAGCGAACACATTACGCATCGTCTCGATGAGGGTGACCGCCGTCTGGATTTCCGTCGAGTTGTACCAGAATTTCCTACTCCAATCCTGCATTTGTTGGATGACAAAGGTGTCGTGGGCGTTGAACAAAAGGTAGTAGGCGCGAAATTCGGCCTCGTTCTGGATATCGATATCCATATCCTTGCACTCGTCGTAGACTTGCATCAATGAGAGCAGAGTCTTGCCCAGCTGCTCACGCTCCTGCTGCTCCGAGAAGTCCTCCTTGCCATCCCTGGAGAGTAAATGAAGAGAGACGGCATGGAATCGGGTGATATTCTCCAAGCAGTAAATCTGATCAATGCGCTCTGCCGGTGTCATGGCATTCTGGAAGATGAAATCTTTCCGGATTGCTCTTGTTCGGTCCCAAAGAAAACCGTGTAGTGAGGGGAGGTTTTCATCTCCTCTCAGGACATCGTCGATGAGGTAGTTTAGGGTTCGTCTTAACGCAGCTGGAGATCGCACCTCCGTCGGTAAGGGGGAGTCAGTACCCGCCGCTGAACGCTTGAAAGATTTGACCATCAAATCTGGATTTGCCCAGCCATCGTCCGGTCCGGCACTGTGTATCCTTTCTGGGAATTTGACGTCGTGCTCGACGATGCGCGAGACCTTCTCGCCCTCGGGGCACATCTCCTCGCATATGCCTCTGAAGTCGATCGCATCGCTGAGCTTCTTCCGCACATCGGGATCGTCGATTAAGCCTGCCTTGATCAAAGACGTCCGAATTTTGTTCTCATAGGCCTTGTACTTGACTCGGTAGTCGTCCATCGTCTTGATGTTACTTGGGTCGCCAGGATGCTTCGGCCACTGCGGGGGTTTGAGCCTGTCTATGCGCAGCTGTTCGTGGATCTCTGCGGCATAGGTAGATGGCGACTTTTTCTGGGCCTTGGTTATAAGTAGTTGGGCAGGCGCCGCCGCCGCCGAACCGAAGACATTGGTTTTGGTCTCATTGAGATGATCTGCGAACCCATTGCTGGTCTTGCCTGTGTCACTGCCACCAAAGCCTGTGGACTTCATGCCCTTTGAAGGTGCGGCGAGCGAGGTCTGTGGTCTCTGAAAACTCGTCGCAGAACTGGGGCCCCCTCGCTTAGAACTGGCCCCATCCTCAAAGGCATTCTTTCGCTTCTGATTGTTCGTCGCAGAGGGTGCAAACGGTGTTAATGGCGCTTTGGACTGCGAGCTCGGCTGACCAAAAGTGGTAGGGGCTGTGTCATCTGTGGATTTGGAAAGGGATGCGAAGGGACTCGCTGAAGCGGCGGAGGTAAACGGGTTCGCTGTTGTTGCGCCATTCTGGTTCGTGAAGGGTGCTGTCGCGTTGGTGAAGGGGTTGGTTGTAGCGCTGGTAGTCTGTGTCTGTGTTGCGAATGGATTCGAGACAGGAGGGCTTGGTGTGGCGGCTGTTGCGGCCGCAAATGGGTTGTTCATCATAGCGTCTTTGTTCGATGTGTCGGGCCCTCCAAAGAATCCTCCACCGCTCGACGAGGTCGTACCGAGACCATTTGTCGCGTTTCTCAGGCCGCCAAAGGCCGAAGATGACCCAGGATTCTGAGGAGAATTGTTTGAGAAGGCTGTGGACGCGGCGAAGGCGGAAAACGACCGTGATTGCGAGGGAAGGGCAAAAGGTGTGGACTGGGTTGACGGAGCTTGAAGGGGTGACGAAGTTGCGGAGTTGGATGCATCAGCCAAAAGCGCCTGCGCTCCGAAGACAGGTGCTTGACCGAAGCCCGACATGTCCTTGACTCTACCGCCCTATCCTCTCCTCGTCCGTCATGGGTGGAATTGTCATGCGTTGTGCTGTGGGTGGGTGGCGTGGTTGGACCTTCGCCGGCAGCGCGACGAGATGCAAGTTGAAGGTTGAAGTTAGGTTTAGTGGAGTTGACGGACGCGCTGTTGATGCAAGGTAGGCGCAAGCTTAGCTTAGCTGACACACCGATCTGGGAGTAGCGTCGACTTCGATCAAAGCAGGGGATGGGCGGGACCTGTACTATAGTACAAGGCTCCTTGGTTGCAGCGCACGTTGCCATCCAGCATCAGCCTCCTGTTTTGCGTCGACATTTCTTCTAATTCCAACGCAAGAGTCCACTCATTGTGCCAGGACAAAAAACCTCACAAGTGTAGACTAAGTTCAATATTTTCATGCACAAAGGAGAGCTACAAACAATCTACGTATCTTGTAGTACATATAAGACGCTTTTGGTCATGAGACAAATTAAACAAGAGGCAAACCAAGTAGAGCGCTTCAAGGGCTTAAAGGGTCCCTGAGAGAGAAGAAGAAAAAAAAAAAAAGGGGGGGGGGGGACGAATGTGTAAAGCCAACACAATGGGTATCTTGATTCAGTATGAGAAATTACGAGCGCATTAAGTTTTGAGTACAGATGCCCTCAACCGGATCGTCCTTTAATCCGCGCCGGTCCAAGTCCTTTCCTGATTTCATCCAGCTCCTGCACTCCACTCTGGTCCTTGCCTCTCTTCACACGCCTCTTTCCCTGCATCTTGTGGCTTCCCAAGAACTCATCGAGAATGCCATCAAAATCTTGCCTCATAGGGCCTTGGATACTGGACATGGAGGACATGCCTGACACAATCGAGCCCTCCTCCTCGTCATCCATCTCCCCGTAGCGTTCCTCCATCTTGTCAAACCGCGCGTCCAGGATGGTTAGCTGTTCGTTGCGCATCAGAGAAGACGATGTCATCGAATAAGCTGAGGGGTTCGTCAGAGCGCCCTTCCTCTTCTTCTTTCGGGCACCCATGGTGGTCGTCGTCCACATTGACGATTGGCCGTCCATGGGTGATGGTCCCGCAGGCTTCTTCTCTGTTTTTTGGTCCTTCTTGAACTGCTTGAAGTTCTCCAGCCAATCTTGTGACGGCCCCTGCTCTGGCGTCTCCGCCGTATTCACAAGCGCCGGCACCTCGTCGTCATCCTGGTACTCCTTGGTCGGTTTCGCAGTGTGATCAGACTCCCAGCCATCATCCTCATACTCGTCATAAGTCTCTTCAAACTCGTGCCTGTTCAGCTCACCCGCATCCTTCGATAACGCCTGGAAGATGTCTTCATCGTCGTCCACATAAGCATCATCCTCCAGCGCCTCCAGGACTTCCCTCAAACGAGGGTCCATGTCAGGTTGGAAGCCGGCGATGGCGTCCGGTATATCCTGCTGCGACTGGTAGGTCAATCTTTGCAAGTCTTTCGACGGCAAGATGTCTTCGTCCAGCAGATCACCCGACTTCTGCTCCAACTCCATCTGCTTGAGCGCCTCTTCGAGCGACTGCTTGCCCTTGCCCTTATTCTGTGGTGCCTTGGCCTCCACGAAGACAGCCTCACCACCTCCGGTGCCAATCTCACGCATGTGCTGCATGTAATCATATTCGGTGTCGTCGAAGTAGATGCCGTAGTTCGCCGCCTCGCCTTCGTTGTCTCGTATGCTCTGAGCGTCTGAGCCGAGTTCGGATGCAAGGTCGTCTAGCTTCTTGATTTTGGAAGAATTTGGTTGCTGGGTCGGATTCAGCACCATCGATGGCGCAGACTCATCGTTGATGCGAGGGTCGTTCTGGGGCCGATGCACCAGCGTGAAATGCTGAGCAGTGCCGGCCTTTTTGGCCTTCTGCCAGTTTGATGGAGGCATCTTGTGAATTCAGATGTGGCGACAGACTGAGTTATGGTTGCGGGAAGTGTAGGATCGAGAAATGGAGGGTCAATGTGACGATAGAGAACGAGAATGTGTGTAAAAGACTCCAGTTGCGTTAGCATAGAAGAGCGGACTGAGAAATTGTACAGTAGCACGGCTCTAGGACCCCTGGCGCTGGAAATTTTCGAAATGTTGGAGGGGTCGGCTTATCGGCTTATCTAAGAAAGTTGGAGAGGCAAGGAAATCTTGCCCCACGATGACAATTTCTAAGCTGCGCCTGCACTTCGACATCATCCTCATAATTCAACTAATTTTGGAGACAGTTTCTTCAAAACTATCAGTCTGGTCTGTTTCAAATATTTTGAGACTCCCAAATCCAATTCTCATCCCATTATACACCGATTCGAGTCGAAATTAATCTCGAAACTGCCCACCATGGTGCAACCAAAGTCCCAGAAGAACGTTGGTCTGGGCAATGCCCTGATGCACGACCGCTTCGGCAAGGGCAAGGGCAAGGACCGCCGACGAGGAACCAACGCGGTGACGCGCGTGAACCATACAACAGGCGAGGAATACATTACAAATGAACGCGAGGAGGCGAGCTGGGTCAAAATGCGCAGTGTCACAGAGCAAGGCGCGCTGGATGAGTTCCTGGCGACCGCTGAGCTGGCCGGCACCGACTTCACAGCCGAGAAAATGAACAACGTCAAGATCATCCATACCGACCAGAAGAACCCGTACCTGCTTTCAGCCACGGAGGAGCGTAAGACGCTCAAGAAGCACAAGGAAAACAGGGAAAAGTTGACGGTCCCAAGGCGGCCGAAGTGGGATGAGAATACCACGCCTGAAGAGCTAGACGCACTGGAGAGGGAGAGCTTCCTGAACTGGAGAAGAGGTCTGGCTGAGTTGCAGGAGAACAATGACCTTCTCATGACACCTTTTGAGCGGAACTTGGAGGTGTGGAGGCAGCTTTGGCGTGTCATTGAGAGGTCAGAACTCGTGGTGCAAATCGTCGATGCCCGCAACCCTCTTATGTTCCGTTCCGAGGATTTGGAGCACTACGTCAAGGATGTGGATCAGCGGAAAGAGAATCTGCTACTCATCAACAAGGCGGATATGATGACCTACAAGCAACGAAAGGCGTGGGCGAATTATCTGAAAGGCGCCAAGATCGCGTACAGATTCTTCTCAGCACAATTGGCCAAGGAATACAATGAGTTAAGAGAAGAAGATGAAGGGGAAGAAGAAGATGAAGAAGAGGACGATCAGGCACCGCCAAGTAGTTCGCGAGCTGCGGAGGATGAGGCAGAAGAGGAAGACGGAGACGTGGATAAAGCAGCCCAAGACGGGGATGCTCCAGTATCCGAAGAGGATGACGAGGATACTAGGATCATGACGGTGGAGGAACTGGAAAGCATATTCTTGCAGCATGCACCCGCCAACTCCTCGGCAGATCACAAAATCACCATTGGACTTGTCGGCTACCCCAACGTTGGTAAATCATCGACGATCAACGCCCTCGTCGGAGCCAAAAAGGTCTCGGTCTCATCTACACCAGGAAAGACCAAGCACTTTCAGACGATACACCTCAGCGACAGGGTTGTGCTATGTGACTGTCCCGGTCTTGTCTTCCCCAACTTTGCCACCACAAAGGCAGAGCTGGTGTGCAATGGCGTCCTGCCTATCGATCAGCTGCGCGAGTTCACTGGACCAGGAGCCCTGGTCGCCAAGCGGATTCCCAAGAGCTTTCTGGAAGCTCTTTACGGTATCACGATACACATGCGACCGTTGGAAGAGGGCGGCACCGGTGTGCCTACATCCCAAGAACTTCTCAGAGCGTACGCTCGCGCAAGAGGTTTTGCCACCACAGGCCAGGGCAACCCAGACGAGTCTCGCGCGGCGCGATATATACTCAAGGACTATGTCAACGGCAAGCTGCTCTGGGTGGAGCCGCCGCCAGGAGATATTGACGCGAAGGAGTTCAACGGCGAGCTGTATGACCCGTCTCACCTGACTGGGAAGCGGCGGCTTGCACTTGCGGCTGCCATGGAGGCCATGTCAGTCGCCGGCGGAGAAGACGATAGCGAGTTTGGCGATCTTGACATGGCCTCGTTGCAACCAGCGGGAGCCAAGTCGAAAACCCTCGACAAGAACTTCTTCGGCCCTGGGAGTGGGAATGCAGGACATCTGGGGCGGCCGTTCAGCTACAAGTACACCCAGCAGGGCAAGGTTGCGACTGCTGCGACTGGTGGCAAGCACTTGAGCGGACGCAAGGCTCGTGCGATGATCGCGTTGGAGAACGGGCTGGATCCCAAGGATGTGCAGCTCAGCATGTCTGGCAAGAAGCACTTCAAGGGCGGACAAAAGGCAAAGGGCAAGAAACAAACGGATAAGCTGGATGACGATTTCTGAGGCATTTAGCTCGCTTAGCACGACAGGCTTTCAACGCGGATGAGGGTCCAAGAGTTCTTGCGCTCTGGCATCTTGGCAAATGTCAAATTTATGGGAGATATGTACGGTTCTAGGCGCAGCGAGTAACAGCACCAATTAAAACTCATTCCCGCCGAGCACCTCCAAGCTGTGACCTCGCAAGGGCTAATAAAGGCATGATACAAATCACTTGGCTCCAATATAAAGATAATCGGTGATATATTACAAATGAAACATGTACATAGAATGTTTTCGAAGACTCTGTGGTGTGCCGTTATGACGAATATCCTCAATGTGTAAATCACCAGAGAGACAGACAACCCACAAGCAATCAATATCTACAGATTGAATAGAGGAAACAGGAAGGAAGAAAGCCCTGAAGGGCAACAAAGTAGTCTATAAAGTTCCTCTCCCCGTACACAAGAGAAAACGTTCCAGACGTCTCTTTGTGGGGCCAGCGGTGAAAGAGGCGGCTCCTACCAACACCGCCTGCGGTGTCGTTCCCCGTGTTTTCCGAAGACGATAACTTTTGATCATCATCATCCTCCTCCTATTCAACCATCCTCCCAAAAGCAGCAGACCCAGCTGTGCGGACTGGAGGATAGAAGGTCGAAAGAGCGTCCAATCTTGACACGCGGCGGTAAGAGCCGGAGAAGGAAAAGAAGAAAGCAGAAAAAAAAGAAAGTCTAGAAGAGAGTGCCGAGACTCTGTCTCGTGTGTGTCCAAGTGCAGGATCCCAGCCACCTGTGTGGGTGAACCAAGCATCTCACTCCTGCACGTCTTGGTATAATAGAGATGACGTCGGGCCGAGGGAGATGGTGGCGGAACGACCGAACGTTCTCCGGAGCATGCTCTTGCTGGAGTCCTGGTGGCGTTTGCTCCCTTGCTGAGATATGACGGGTCGCCAGAAAGAAAGAAAGAAGAAAAAAAGGGGGGGGGCGGGGGGAGGCGACCAGCGCCTCACCTCTTGTTGACACAGACGATTCCGGTCATTTTATCGATCGAAAGGCTCACCCTGTATCATCCGTACAGGGGCGAGTCTCTGGCTCGAGCCTCCATCGTCCTTCTCTACTCGGTGGAGAGAGGAGCTGGAGAGGGCGTGGCACCCCTCGGCCTGCTTCCGATATCATATGTCTTGAACACGATGTATTTGGCCTGGCTTTCGGGGTCATGCTCGGTTTATATTGGCAAGACATCTTCTGAGTCTCGGCGTGCATGGAGAAGAGGCGCTGCTGAATAGTTTCGTCGGTGGCGGGATCGCACGAAGCGGCTGTTGGGACGAGTCGATGCATTTCTGTGAATTCTAGAAAAGGAAATCTAGGCGAGCGAGTGTAGAACAGTTGGAAAGCTGACCAGCAGTGGCGTGAAGAAGACGATCATCGATCGAAGGTAATGAAGACCTGCTTCAAGAGAAATGAATCAAGAAGAGTTGTTGAGTTGCTGCCAGAGCAAGTCGAAGGAAGGGACGAATGTTGAGCGAGTGTGTTGGTCGATGAAGATGTCAATGAGAACTCAGAGCTGGTGACTCTAGCAGTATATATACTGTTGTTCTTTTGCAAAGGAGCGTACTTCGAGTTCTCTTCTAGAATCCATCATCGTCATCGAGGCACGTTCATGACTGCTTCTCTCGAGGGGGCTAGACCCAGCACACTGTCTCATTTGGACGCCCACATTGGGTCGTTGACTTCCTAATCGGTGGAGAGGCCGAAACACCACCAACTAGGTAGCCAATATCTAGACCATGACCATGCTTTTCCCCCATCCCTATCGGGACTTGCACTCCGGGGATCGTTCGCAAAGACCATTTGATGTATTTCATCACGTCTCGTGGTCTGGACTGGGCGGCTTTAAGGCGGAGTTGACATCACTCCCCTCCCTGGATGGCTGCTGTTTCAGTCCCAGCTGCGCAGCGACTGCTGACGACTTTGCGGATGCAGCCAATCATCTCTGTCATACATCTCGATGCCGCCGTTTCGCCATTCTGATGGCTGCTTATTTTCCTCGGATCATCGCCTCCGGAGTCTTTCTCAAGAGCACACTCACAGACATGCCTGATCACCCTCGCCTCCAGTATAGCAGTCTACGACTGAACACAAGCGATTCATGGGCGTACACGGAACACGCGAATCGAACAACTTCTAGCCCACATTGTTGAGATCTGACTCGTCTGACGCCACTCGCTGTTGCGCCCTGCAAGCGTATGCTCATGAGAACATGAACTGACGCAACGTAACAGCCACTTGCTCCAGATGATCCAGCTCACCATGATGTCACAACGGGTCCATTTGTGTAGCTGCTCCAACAATACACTCACAGCCGGGGGCCCAGGAATCTCATGACCCGAGCACGGCAACGCTGTGGCACATTGATCTACCCAGGATGGCTGACAAAGGTCAAAGGCGGCTGGTTCTTGTACCGCTGGCGCGGATCTCAGCTCATGAACTCCCTGTGGCAGTCTTGTGTTCTGGTTATGCTGAGGTTTAGAGTGCAAGATCCGTCAAGTCAGGGCGTGTACTAATGTCTTGATAGAACCCAAAGGCACCTCCCATTACACTCGTAGCAGGTGCGTTCATAACAGACGTGGTCTGCGGTATATCCGTCTCTGCCTTCACAATCGCCGAAGACAGCCACGCCGGTCGGCGACATAGACACTGTGACTTCTGGATGACTCTTCCTAGCGAAGACACATCGTGCTGACCACAACAACATGGAACCTTCCAGCCTTCTCGAGGGCCCACCCTCATTGTCTTGTATTCACATGTCATAGTCCAAGCCAGCATGGCAACACCCGCTTCAGCACTTTCGTCAACAATTGACGATTTAGAACAGCAGTGCAGCCCCGTCTGTCATCATCAAGAGCACAGATATCTGCCAGAGAAAGTCGATACATTCTTAAGTTCATTGTCAGAGGACTCAAGCTACTCAGCTAAGCCCCTTCTGCGGATCACTTTTTTACGTCAAGGCCGGACTGGTCCTTGCGTGCAAGCTCGACCTAGCACCCATCGATCAAGTCACATGGGGGCTTACTTGGTCGAGCATCTGGAAGCTGAGGGCCTACAGGCTCGGTTCGATGAAGAGCATTGCCCAAAGACGCTTGTCCCAGCAGCTGTTGCGAGGCCGCTGCCGCCGGCGGGTGCGATAAACGCGCGCTAAGCGTGCTGGACTCCATATATCGAGACCCAAGTGCTAAGCCCCAGGCTTGCGGAAGAACAGTCCTCTGACATGCAATGATAGGCTGCAGACAGGGATTGCGGTGCATGACATGCTGCTTGTGAAACTGCCAGAGAACAAAACGAACAACGAGGGAGATGGAGAGGAAATTGGAAAACCAATCAGTGGAGAAAGAATTAAGAAAGGAAAGGAAAGGGTTCAGAAAAGAAGGAAAAAAGGGAGGAAAAAAGGAGAAGAACCAGAGGTTGACTAGCTTGCTTCTGTTCTCATAATGTGCCATGTCGCGCACCCACCCACCCACTTCAGCATCATCATCGTCATCATCATCATCATCTCTCTCTCTCTCTCTCTCTGGGCTCAGCATGTAGAACCAGCCTTGGCGGCTCTTGGGCGGCGCCAGACACTCCTGCCAAGCGTTGACCGCCACATGCAACGGTTCGAGCCGTGTGCGCCCTCGCTATGAAGCTTTAGGCAGGGCAGCTGACCGGGAGGCGAGATAGTTTGCTTGAAATACGAAGCAGAGGCAGCCAGGAAAAGAAAAACCGAAACAGATGCAGCTGATCGGCAAGCGGTGTCAGGAATACAAACACTCATTTCACTGACTCCGACCAGGCATGTACGCTCGGACAAGAGGCCTCAAAAGAGGCAAGAAGCTGCCGCTGTCAAGAAACAAGGCATCCTTGGGCCCCTGCTAAGCTGCAGATAAGATTCGCCGGCTTGCGCTTCTCATGTGCGCTAGACTCTCTCGTCTTCCGTTGCTGAGCCAGGGGGGGGGGATCACTATAGCTGGGACAGGACCAAAAACAGGATCGTCCTGCTGAGCAAGCCGTTTCGTTGGTGATAGCGGAATGCGGGGTTGAACCGAGCCACGGGAGTGTCGAGGCGCTTGAGGCAAAGCGGACGGGCTGGAGGGGGAGCAATCTCTCCTAGCAGCGATCGTGTTCACGGGTGTTTCGAGTTGCTGGAAAGTCCGGTAGGCATTAGTCTCGTCGTACCCGAGAACTGGTTCTGTGGCGACTTGAGGTGCCGGTCCCAACGGTCAAGGGGGATGGGGACAAGCATTGTGACAGGATATTTGTATCTCGCGGTGGGTGTGTGTGTGCCAGAGCGGTGCCTCGTAAGTATGACGCTCTCTTGAGGCTGCGAGGTTTGTGTGGTGTTGATCGTCGGGAGGTGTGCCAGCATGTGTTGCGATTCAGAGCACATCCTGGTTCCTCTTCAGGAATAGACTCTGCTGCACTGTCAATCTTGATCAGGGTGTGTTGGAGGGTTGGTTGGTCAAGGTTACTCCGGAAGCTACGTGGTAATAAAGTCCAGAGTGCAATCGGTATCAAGCTGTGACGCGCCTCTTGCTCGTCACTGGCGCGCGCTGCAGCCCAGTCTAGGGTGGCGGGTGTGCCTTGTTTCGTTTCGCTTCTTCTTCTTCTTCTTGCTTCTTCTCCTTCTGTTTTGTCTCCTCCCGCCACGAAACATTGGTGCCAACTGCTGCAGTGAGCTCGAGCTGTGTGGTCTGTCAGCAGCCCGTGTGGACTGTGCTTCCGGTCTGGACTGTTGTGGGACTTGTGGCATCTGCATCACCAAGCGAGAGGGAGACCATGCAGCGCACCGGGCATGGGTTTCAACGGAGGAGGGGTTTGTGGATGGTGGGTGCGCCCGCCTGCTGCCCTCGTCCCCTGGCGCCCCTAATGGCATTTGCGGTGAGACGAGATGCTGATTGGTCGGCGCGGCTCTTTTATGCTTGCTGATTAAATTTCATGCCCACCAGGAGGACGCTTCCCGATCTATGCGCTCCATCTCCCATATTGAATGAATTCCCAGATAGGGGGCAGATGGGGTAACATGGTACCACAGGTAAAGGGGAGAGGGCCGGCGTAGGACGCAGTCCGTAGTGGCGGTATGTATTTATGAGGTGGAAGGTTGAATATGTTCATGAACACAACTTTGACGAGTGGGCGCAATCATAGAAGCCGAGCTGGCGACGGATCGTGCTCTGGAACGGCGCTGCCGTTACCATAATTAAGGAGATAGATATCATTGTCAACTTTGAGAAGTACTCCGAATGCTCGTCCAGTATGGGTGCACTGCGCACATGAATAAGTAATGCTGAAGACGACACGGAAGACCTGTATGCCAGCATCACAAATTGCATGGAGAAACTCGAGCCTGCAATTCATCACAGAGTTGACAGGAGATAATAACTCAACAGGAATCTTAATGGGGGCAGTTAGAAGACAATATACGTAGTCCAACTTGAGCTACTACTGGTGGTAGTCCTTGCCACAACACCCCTTATCATGGTGATCCCGAGTGCTTTTTGTGTAGAGGGCCTTTCGCAATAGGCCAATCTGCTGTTGGGTACTATGTACTATGATACTACCACGTGTAGTACCTGGCTAGGCACAGATCCGCATTCGCCCCTTCCTCTCGTCTGTTGTCAATGTAGTGTAAGGGCAAAATTGCACTGATGTTAGGCGAGACAGAACTGGTCAGGTTATAGGCCTTGGAAGTTGCTGGAAAGAAAAATTGGAAGGGGGGAAAAACAGAAGAAGGGCCCTAGCCAGGGTACAGAGCGGCACAGTGGTGCTTGCTGCCTACTTCTGGTACCTGACGTGCCGTTAGCACATTCCCTAGGGAGGAGCTAAGGTACCACCAAAAAAGGTACCTCCGTACCTCTCTACTGTGGCACGCGTGGGTACCCTTACCTTAAGGAAAGGGGTAGTAGGGACATCCCCACCCATCAGTGCCTCTCATCCTCGCTGCATGCCCCATAAGCCCTCCCAACTTACCCAAGAGGAAGAGAGACCGACAGGGCCAGGATCGCGCACCCTCGTGAGAAATTGACGTCTACCGTGCTTCCTATCAAAAACCCAGCAGTCTTTTTTTATCCCCCCTTCTCTCTTCTGGGGGGTCCATATCTATTCTGACTCTGATAAACTACCTGCCTACCTCACCACCATTTTCACCTCAACCTTCTCTTACCACCATTGCCATCGTTTGGTGTTCTTTGACTGACTCGACATTCGTTTGCGAAATTCAGGCCACCCCCAACTCTTTTCTTCTTCTTTTTTCCTTTCCTTCCTCAATCGGGGTGACGACGACGACGACGACGACGACGACAGTCACTACACCTAACTAATCTTTGTCTGACTCGCTGGAGGATTTGAGGTCTGGTCTTGGCAGAAGATTCGACCCAATCTGGCCGTGGTTACGACAGGTCGGCCTAGCAGAAGGCAAAGAAAACCATTCAGGCGCCGCTTCTGCCCATCCCGCCGCCAACAACGCCAGCACGCGCGTCTTGCACGTTCCTGGTGCTGTTTTTCAGCACGCTACACCCGCTAAGAAAAAAGGCCCTCTAAAAAAGGGGACGGCTGGGCCTGTTGAACAAGGAACGGCAGAGCATCGTCGCAGCCCAATCAAAACCCTTGCCTTACACAACCAGAGCTGGAGATAGCGGCAGCAGTGCTCGACAATTCCTTGATCTTCACGACACAACTATTCACCACCACACAACAACTGCACCTCCTCCTTTTACCCCTCTAAATTTCGCCGGCACGGGTAGCTCTGCCTGTCACGGGCAAACTTTCACCACACTACGGCCCCGAAACGGTGACGTCCGAGACCCACGCCTCTAGGCCCCCCTAGGCTCTTTCTCCTTTACCCCCTGGGTCTCAACCTCCATTTTCTCTCTTTCACAACAGCCATTCGCTTTCTGAGGCCGCGTTGTCCATCCCAGAATAACAGCTCGACACGCGCCAAACGTCAAGAAGACAGCTGCCCGCCATGGCGAACCCGTACGTTCCACCACGTGAGGGAAAGAGAATCACTCTCAATCAGGCCACACATGCTCAAGCACGCAAGCTAATCTTCTCCCTGCGGTAACAGATTGAGTGCCACTTTCAAGTCCATCTGGCATACCATGACCAGTTATGACCGCCGTGCGTGATACTCCAGCGTGCTTCCCCATGCTCGTCACTGACGCGTGACTAACACAACACTGTTTATAGACTCCAGCTACGATTCCCCTTTCCGATCTGGTCGCCACGTCCCCCTCGGCCAGGATGGCCTCACTTCCGTCGCAACAGCCTCCGAATCCCGCGCAGACATCACCTCTCCGTATCCTGACTACAATAATCGAAGCTCTCTCATGCATCCAGGTGGCGCCACCTCGTACAATGGTGCCCCGATCTCACCAGCCCTGCCTCCTCAAAGCCCTGGCGCGAACAGCCCATACTCTCCCGGCATGCGATCCAAGCTCGCGCGGGCAAGCACAGGCGATGGATTCGAGATGCAGAGCCCGGCCGGCGAGATCCCCATGCAGTCTTTTGAGGACGGCCAGCCGCCCGCACCGCCCGTCACTCACTCGTGGAATCGCATCGACTCGTGGGCTGAGGACAATTACCCAGAACTCTGGGACCAGCTCTGCGAGGGCTGCACCGTCAACGACCTGAATGAGCTGGAACACCAGTTGGACTGCACGCTGCCTGCTGATGTTAGGGACTCTCTTCAGGTGCATGACGGCCAGGAGAGAGGCGGCATGCCCACAGGTATCATCTTTGGTTCTATGCTGCTCGACTGCGAGGAGATGGTGCAAGAATGGGACCAGTGGCGCAAGGTCAATCACCAGTTCCTTCTGGACACGGCTATTGTGAACCCCTCAGCCCCTTCTCGAGCTCTCGGCGGAAGCAGCGAGGCCTCGTCCTCCAAGTCTGCTACCAGCTCGAGCGGCCCCAACAAGCCGAACGATCTTGCCTGGAGGGAGAAGCTCATCGCCCGTCAGGACTCGGTCCCCCCCAACGCCATCCGCAAGGCTTATGCTCATGCTGGATGGATCCCTCTTGTCCGTGACTGGGGCGGCAACAACTTGGCCGTCGACCTGGCGCCTGGACCTAAGGGTCATTGGGGTCAGATCATCCTCTTCGGCCGCGACTACGACACGAAATACGTGGTAGCTCGCTCCTGGGGCCATTTTCTGGCTACCGTCGCGGACGACCTGAACAGCGGAAAGTGGTTCATCGATGAGGATTCACAGGAGCTGAAGCTGCGCGAGTTCAAGGCGACCCGAGTCGAGCCCGGATATCTCGACATCCTGCGATGGAGGATGGATCAGAAATACGGCCGCCGCGCCGCGAAGAGGAGATCTGCCCCCCCCACTGGAACTACGTCCCCACCCGTGCCAAGCTCTCCATATAGCAGCGCTTCAGAGCCTGCTGGCGAGGCCCGCGGCCGGTCGCTTCACCGCTTGAGTGGTGGCTCTCCACTGGCCAGTCCGATGCGTCCTGGATATGGCAAGGCGAGCCCTCTAGCCCGCGTCACCGAGGAGGGCGTGGCTCAGGAGCTGACTGTTCCCAACGGCAAGGCGAAGGCGGAGAAGCTGGTGGAGGTTGACACGCCTCGTCCCAGCAGTGAGGAGCCTTCCGCTCCTAGGCTCGCAAGCCTGACCAAGGGCGACTCCTCTGATGAGGCAGAGGCTCTACCTAAAGTCAATGGAAAGCAGCCTGCCATTGCGACCGAGGAGGCAATGAAGGAGATTGAGATCTGATGGAATTCTGCAATAATGAAAACGATACATGCGACGAACGGCAGGAGCATACATACACTGTAGAAGGAGGATCGGCGTCCCCGGCGTTTTCACAGTCTCGACTTTAGACGACATCGTTCCTCATGGTCTTTTCCAATCGCATCTTTGCGGCAATTCGTCATTGACCCGAACCTTTCGCAACAAGACCCTTTAGTTGTTGGCCTTCATCTTCGATTTATCACGCCGCAACACTCGAGGGTCACGGGCAAATACTGCTAGTGCGACTTTCTTGCAAAGCTTGTTGGATTCTCCTTTTCTATCACGGCCCGTTTCCATGGATGGACTTCGCAAGCGGTCAGACACATCTAATACGCCCTCTGCATACTCGATTATCGGGAGGGGGGGGTTGGGGGGGGTTCTTCTGTATATTACTTGACTGGCGGCAGAGGGCCTTGGACCCAGCCTGTCCTCAGATCTTGAACGTTCCATTAATTACATTCAAGCCCTGGCGGGAGTCCGGTTTTTATTGTTCATTTCTCGGAGTCAGGAGGGTATATGCTTGCGGCGTTGTCTTGAAAGCAGAACACGGCTCTTTTCCCAATGAGGACTCAGGTCTAGGCAGTGACGAGAGGGCTCGCAGAGAATAGTCTATGAGATACATTTGCCATCTTGCACACGCCACATGCAGGTTGAATGGTCTAGAGACTGCAGCCTTAGATGCATTTCAGCCTCCTCAGCAGTCATCCATAATTGAGTGCTTACTGTGCCTAAGTTCTGCCTTACTGTCGGTGACGTTCATTTACTTGTGGCTGACTGGAGCAAGCTCGTGTCAGCCAGTGCCTTTGTGAATTTTCAAAGGACCTGACTTCTGACATGCATTAATTCACTGGATGGTTGGGGCTCTCTCTCCCCCCCCCCCCTTTTTTTTTTTAAATTAATTCAATGCAGGTGCATCAGTGCTGCTTACTCCTCGGCTGTTCATTTTATAAAATCCAACAGATATGAGAATTTGATAATGAAATCAATGCCGAGCTGTTAAACATAAGTCCAGCTAAACATAACTCAAAGCAAGCTTGAGGTATTGATTATACGTGCTAATAAGCATTACTGTTGCCCAGTTTCAGAGGGAAAGGCTGGGAAGGACTACATACTGCCTAGCTTGCTGCTGAGACTGAAGGTATCTTGGAAAGCAGTTCATCTATCCCAGGCATCAGGGTTGGAGAAAATGGTGCCTGACTCCTGAAGATGAATTGGCTTATTAGGTACTAGAATGATAGATTCTCCTCATACAAAATGGCTTGTGGCTCGAGGTCTTGCTGACCTTCAAGACTTTTCTTGACATAACTCTACTGAGTTCTTCAGGCGCTAGATCTTGCTCAACGAAGCTCCTGAATGCATACATGTACCAAATCTACAAGACATGGCTGAAGGAGACACTTGAAATCTTAATTAATATACAGGTACTCTATTATAACACTTGTCATGGCTCATGATCTCCTCATAATAACTTGGTAGATGAACTTACACACATTAGAGTAAGCAACTTCTCAAAAGATTTGGCTTTCGACAATTGTTAGAGTCAGAAAACTCTTCCAACAGAGCAGTTGCAAAGACAGTTCAATGTCAATGCTTTCTCTGTTGGGAAGTCTTTGTGCCATTGGGATAATCCCCTAGTGCTCGGTATATCAACACAATAGACATACATGTAGATACACAGTCACTAGTCCAGACAGAGTCATCATGCTCAACAACAGACCATAGTGACAATAAGAAGCTTGTGGCTCATGTAGGTACACCAAGGGAATAAACTCAGTTACAGTATGTGAGATGTTCAGTTGATAGAGGCCTAACGACACAGTTGATTCGTGTGTGGGATTGTTGCAGCCTTGGTGAAGCATGATTCGCAATGTTCATCTGACTTGGCAAAATAAAAGTTCTTTGATTCGAAGTCAAGCAATTCACAGTTGAACAGCAGCTACAGCAGGTGCAGATCTCATTTGAAGGGCATGCATCGTTCAATTTTCACTCAAACCAGTTACTCAGGCTGGGGAGCCTACGTCTCCTGCATGTGTGGTCTATAATACTGCGCTGGCTCTGCTGAAAGCAGAATCCAAAAATACACTCTCAACCATCCTCAGCCCGCCAATCCCTGAAAGGCAGAGAGAAGCCATCTACCATTATAACATCACAAAAACTCACAATGGTATGTCTATTCTCCAGTCGCCATCCCTATCCTCTCGAGGAATTTACCAATGAAGCCTCCATTGTCATATATTGAGAGCGGTCACAACCATCCCCCTCCTCCTCTACGGATGTCCTCTAATTTGGGTCACTTACAACAGCAGCCAGGACACAACTATTCTCACCCCTGGCCCGGTGTGCATCACGAGGCTGCTGGAGCACACCCAGGCCCCATAGATCAAGCTGGCCACCCTCAGAATAGACCTAGCTGGGTCATGATCAGCCTGCAGGATTTCATCAGCATCTCTGAGAAGCTTGAGGAGATGAACATACACTGGCCTGTACACCCCTATTGCCACATGGCCGAGGGTGGCCCAGCTGGAGGCTACCAGCACGCCAGCCCTCAAGTCCACCCACCTCCCGTGAACGCGGCCCTGGCTATGGACCGACAGCAGCCCCCTAGTGTCCAGGCAACCCCTTATGCAGGTGGCCACTATTACAACATGGCCCTGCCGATGATGATGAACACCCCTCAGCCGGCCTTTTACAATTTTGGCGCGGCCCCGGCTCACTTGCAGCCGGCTCACCACCAGCCGCACCCTCCAGCTGCCAATATCCAGGCTGTCAATGAGCACGCCCACAGGGACACAGCCCAGCCGGTCGACAACCAGGAGCCGCTTCAACCTCGCCGCCGCCGTCGCCGCCACCGCCGCCAAATTCAGCCCTACACGGAGGCTGAAGAGGAGACCATCCTGTCCATGATGGACGCTGGTCGAGGGCCGGTGTCTGTTGCGAATGTCTTGGAGGGCCGTACGGCCAACGCGATTCAGGCCAAGTATTGTAAGGCCCCTATCTCTCCCTCGTATTTATTACAAGGCCTTCAAAAGAGGAAAGAGAAGAGCAATGGAGAATCATCACAATACGTGATTTTCTGCTTGCCATATCTCAGTGCTAACAGGATCGTCCTTAGGGCGCATGAAGGGAGGAGACCCTAGGGGAGCCGAGAAGAGTCGCAAGAAGGCCGCTGAGGCCCGAGAGGACGCAGCCAGCATGGTTGGCACATCTGGACAAGAAGATGAGAGTGACAGGTAGCTTCCTGCCTAAACCTCTTGGGTCCTACACATTCAGATGCTACAGACAAAGCACTGCGATGTTTGGTAAAGGAGATTTCACCAAGAGTGGTCTCAAAGAAGTAACCTATACTCGCAGTGAGGAGCCTGGGTCTGTTTCTTGGGGTATCATCATGGCTGTCCCTGGTCGAAGTTTGCCGAGGAGGTTGTTCTAGGATACTGTCAGCCTGTGTTTAATAATTGTGGGAAACATAAGGGTGCAGCTGGTGCCAGTTACATCAGTGATCATTTTAATACAAACAATGCTAGACGAAGAAGAAGTGTTTTTTAACAGATAATTCTCATGGGCATAGGTATATGTGCAAACCCTCAGCCTATGATCCTCGGGTCCGAGCTGAGGATAGCCATCCTTCTAGTGATCACATAAAAGCTGTTTGTATGATTCTCTGCAAGGTGTGCTTTGTTGATGCGGACAACCTTGAATGCCTCCAAGACTTTGAGAGAGCTGAGTATTCAAGTGGTATCACTTGCTGTGTAAATACTTAGGTAGTAGGTCTGCAATTGCAATGCCCATGTTTTACAAATCCACATGTTCAATGCCCTTGAAGCCAGAAGTTTTCTATATGCTTTATGACAGTCTTAGGTTTGCTCCAGGAATGTCAAAAAGCATCAGGGAATTAAGGAAACGGAAAAGGGAAGACAGCAAGAGAGAGTAAGCCGGGCCCGGTTACCTGGGCAGTCAGCGGGTTTGGTTGTTTCGGGCTTACTGCGGGTTAGGGTCCTTTAACCGACCAGGGGTCTAAAGACGCCTGAGCTCTGTGCCTAGCGCAATCGTCGTCATCCTCAGCCTCCACCTCTGACAACGGTCCATCTTATCCACGACAAACACCATCTTCATCATCTTTGCAACAGCCCACAACAACTTTAAGCCACTCCCTCCCAACAGTCGTCCGTTTCTTCAGGACCCCCGAGAGCCCTCGACTTACAGGCAAGCGATCCAACGAGCTCACCTGTCCCGCGAGTTGTCTGTGCCTGATCGCACTCGACCTGTTTCACAATCACAATCACCAACACTATGTCTTCCGATGAGCGTCTTTGGAAGTTCAGCAAGCCGGAATGGCTGAACAGCGTCCATGCCCGTAATGCGGGAGTGTACGCCTCAGGAGCCTTGGTAAGCCTCGCGCTCGGCCTCTAGAGAAACAGCCTCGTGCTCCCCCGCCCCCTTCCTCCCGAGCTAGGAAGCCGCCTGATATCATCAATATCACCATTCACGCCTCCCCCCTTCTCCTACCAAGAGCAAGGCGACATCATTGTAACGGAAAGCTAACACGTGTGACTGTGTCCCGCCACCTATAGTTCTCCCTCGCCTTCTACATCCTCCTCGACGCCGCCGTCTGGTCAAAGTCCTCGCAGAACGGCTCAGACGTGCACGTCACCTTCATCGACTGGCTGCCCCTCATCTTCTCCTCGCTGGGGATGCTGATCATCAACTCGGTCGAGAAGCAGCGCCTGTCGGCCGACAGCTTCTCCTACAGCGGGTCCGGCGTCGCCTGGAAGGCGCGGGTCGTCCTCTTCCTGGGCTTTGCCGCGCTCGCGGGCGGCATGGCCGGCGGCGTCACCGTTTTCGTGCTCAAGTTCGTGGTGCAGAGCGTCGAGTGGCCGATGTTGGGTATGGGCGTCGAGAACGTTGTCGCGAACGCGCTGGTCGGGGTGAGTAGCGTCGTGCTGTGGGTGAGCCAGAACATGGAAGATGAGTACAGCTACAACCTAGCGCTATAAAGAGCGAAACATTGGCGGGCAGAGAGGACAACGGTGTGTTTGGAAAGCGGATTTGGACGGGGGATGGAGACGCGTCTGGCAGTCTGTGTTTCTATTTTTCGCAGGAGGCATTACACTGTGCATCATTTGGGTTTCACATTCTCTTACGTCTCTTGCGTGTACAGTAATGGACGGACGGAGCATGGGAAGGAATTCTATCTTGGCGCCATGGACCAGTCGGCTGGGCTGGGATTATATCAATGAATTATGTTCGACTGGAGCCCACTCTATTGCAGGTGATCGAGAGTTGACGAAAAGAAGAGCAAATACCCGCGGCCTTGATTGAGCCGCGATATCTCGCAGATTGCGAGCCTTTTTCTCACCAAGCCCTTTTGTAATGTCTATATCATATCGTTAAGTCATGCAGATGATGCTCTACTTGCTCCGCTTGTAGATCTTGGCCAGGAATGCCTCGAAGATTGACTTCTTCAGGCCTGAGCTCTCATCGATGGCGGCGATCTTCTCCCTGATCTCGCCGACCACCTTCTGCTCGTAGTCCAGGTACCGCTGCTCTAGGTTCAACTCGTCGTACAGCTTCTTAACGGCGGCCTCCTTGTCCTTGTCCTTTCGGCCGTAGTTTTCCTCAAGAACCTTTCTCTGCTCGGGCGTCGCAATCTCCAGCGCCTGGTTGACAAGCCACGAGCACTTGTTGTCCATGATATCCGTGCCGATCTTGCCAATGTGCTCGGGTAGACCAAAATTGTCAAGGTAATCGTCCTGGACCTGAAAGTACTCGCCCATGGGGATCAGGATATCCTCGGCCTGCTTGAGGTTCTCGGGGGTGCCGATGTTGAGCTGGTGCAGGGCGAGCGCGACGGGCAGGAAGAAGGAGTAGTAGGCGGTCTTGTAGACAACGATGAAGCTATACTTGGACGCCGAGAAGTTGTCAAGGTTGACCTTGCCCTCGGGGGCGGTGAGCAGGTCCGTCAGCTGGCCGATCTCGGTCTGGAAGGTGACCTCGTGCATCAGCTCGATCAAGTCGATGTAGGCCGGGTGGGAACGGAAGTGCTTCTTGAGGAGGGTGTAGATGCCCGCCTCGAGCATGAACGCGTCGTTGATGGCAATCATGCCTACGCCTTCCTGAAGGTACCAGCACGGCTTGCCGCGCCTTGTGATGCTGCTGTCCATGATATCGTCCGACACCAGGAAGAAGGCCTGCAGCAGCTCCGTCATCCAACCCAGCGTGGCAGCCTGGAAGTATTCCTCCTCAGACAGCTTCCTGCCCAGCAGGAGAGAGACCGAGTCTGGGACGGACATGCCTCGGTTGCATTTTCCGCCGACCGCGTTGGTCCGCAGGCTCTGTTCAAGTCGCACGGGAGGGGGTCAGACGCGCGCTCTTCTCATGAACCAACAAAGTGGGGACGAGGGCGGGGTCAAGAAGGAGAGAGGACTCACAGCTCTGAACCACTCCAGCTCTGCCTCGGGCAGATTGTATTTCTGGGCATGCTCGAGGATGTCTGCCTCCAGCTTGGGGAACACGGCCTCGAACTCCTTGAGGGTTGTCTTCTGAAACTTGTCGTCCACCTTCTGTCTCTTAGGGTCGCTCTCGACGGGCGCCGCAGCGTTTAGATCAGCAAGGGACGTCTTTTCCGCCATGGCAGATCGAGGTTGGCCCGTGGGTCGTTGGTGCTGAGACCGGAGTGAGAGTAATTGGGAGGTACGTCGGAAAAGCTGAATGCCAGAAGGCTCGTCTGAGAGGGAAAACTTTGGAAATGGGAGGTGGTGACCCAATCAATTGGCATGAGAAGATTGTGGCGCTTTTTGTGCTTTTATCTTTACGCAGCTTCCGGACCCCTGCAGGCGCATGGTACCGTAAGTAGTAAATACCGCCTTCTATGATATGAAGCTTAGGGCTTGCCGAGCTCGGTTCCGTCGGTCAGCGCCTCGCCTAACTTGCTATGGTACCTGGGCCAGGGTCCCCATGCGTACGCTGCACACGCCTTACCCAGTGCATCACCCCTTGAGGCACAACAAACACTCAGTGCTCTGGTTTGGTCCACCTCAACTTCCATTGCACGTCCTCATGAAAGTCACTGTTTATGATTCCGACAATAAACCGATCTCCGGCTGATCTTCTCGTTCCGAAGCCGCTGCGCTGAGTCGACTCAACCACCGAATCGGCCAATTGCGTCCCCTCAGCAATATAGCTGCTCGCTTTTCAACAAAAACGCGTCTTCAAAGGTAGCCTTGCTGGTCTGGTGGTCCACTGAGGACGCTCACCCTGCGGCGGGTGGGACTAGAGAACGATGGTGTTTACCGAACAGGATATCGACAACCTGCGGGCCTCACTACAGGATGCTGTGGTCAAGTGCTCCGAGAGATGTCTGTATCAGTCGGCAAAATGGTATTATTTATAATTTCTTCTCACCTGCGCGTTCATGTGGCGGAATACATGGCTGACTAGCGACATCAGGGCCGCCGAGCTGCTGGACTCCCTTCCTGAGCCGCCAACAGGTGAAGATGCTGGTGTCAAGGTCACAAACACACCTAGGGGCTACATGCCTGCCATACTAACACCGAATCCCGACGAGGTAGAGGCTGAGCTCGAGGCCTTGGAGTTCAATAAATATATCATGGCAAAGTCCTTCTTCGACTGTCGTGAGTTTGACCGGTGCACAGCCGTGTTTCTTCCAGATGCCCTGCTGTCCAGCATCCTGTCTCCCAGAAACGAAGACACGCCGCTCAGTTCCCAAGCAAAGGGCAAGGAGGCTGCAAGTTCCAATGCATATGTATCTGGCAGCAGTAGCCTTCCTGAGATCAGCCAGAAGAGCTTATTTCTAGCCCTGTATGCCAAGATGCTATCCGGCGAGAAGCGAAAGGATGAGGACACTGAGATGGTTATGGGCCCGCAGGACCTCGGCTCGGTCTGCAACAAGCAGCTGCCTCTCATCAGCCGGTATCTGAAGACCTGGTTTGACGAGAGGCGGGCGTCACCCGAGGACATATCATACGAGGGTAGCCAGGGCTGGCTTGAATATCTGTATGTGTCGGCGAACCACCCCCCCCCCCCCTCTCTGGCTATAGGATAGGCTTACTGACAGGCCTTCTAGATACGGCATGGTCTTGGCCAAGGAAAAGAACACTGATGAGGCTCTGCAGTGGTTCTTGCGCAGTGTCCACCTCTTTCCAATGAACTGGGGCTGCTGGCTTGAGATGACTGGGGCCATCAGCCGAGTTGAGATGCTCAACAAGATCATACCTCGTCTGCCTCAGCACATCGTCTCTTACATGTTCCACATACACACCTCGCTGGAACTCTACCAGCCGACCAATGAGCTTCAGACCGCTCTGGCACAGCTTCAGGAAATCTTTCCTGATTCTCCATTCCTGCTCACCTGTTCAGCCCTGTACTTGAATCACACCAAAGCATTGAAAGAGGCCGCAGCAGAATTCAGCCACCTTCTCTCCCTACACCCTCACCGCCTTGACCATCTCGACATCTACTCCAACATTCTTTTCGTGCTAAACGAGAGACCGAAGCTGGCCTTTCTAGCCCACCTCTGCTCTAGTGTTGACAAGTTTCGGCCCGAGACGTGCGTTGTGGTTGGCAACTACTATTCGCTGCTCTCGCAGCACGAGAAGGCTGTTCAATATTTCCGTCGGGCCTTGGCCTTGGACCGATCGTGTCTGTCGGCCTGGACACTGATGGGGCACGAGTATGTAGAGCTCAAAAATACGCACGCCGCCATCGAGTCGTACCGTCATGGCGTGGACATCAACCGGAGGGATTACCGTGCCTGGTATGGTCTTGGCCAGACGTACGAGATGCTCGAGATGTACCAGTACGCCCTCTGGTACTACAAGAAGGCGGCAGGCCTGCGACCGTGGGACGGCAAGATGTGGATGGCTGTTGGTTCCTGTTTACAGAAGCTGGGCCGAGAGCGAGACGGGATCAAGGCTCTGAAGCGGGCACTGCTTGCTGACACCTACTATGAATCGTCAACGAGCAGCTTCGGAAGTGCCGCTGGTTTCGACAGAGCTGCACTGGGTCAACTGGACACGGATGTCCTGATTCAGATTGCTACAATGTACGAAGCCCTGGACGAAGAAGAGGAAGCAAGAGCCTACATGGAGCTGTGTGTGGCACAGGAAGACGGCAACGTGGACGGCATAGAGGGTAGCGCCGCCATCGAGTCTGCCGGAGTCCTTTCCGACGAGGATCAAGACAGTGGTGAGGACAGAGAGAAGAACCAGGGCACGGGCGTCACAACAGTGACCAGCAAGGCGCGTATGTGGCTGGCCAAGTACGCACTGCGGCATGAGGACTTTGTCACTGCGAACCGGCTCGCGAGCGAGCTCTGCCAAGATGGTCAAGATGTCGAGGAGGCGAAGGCCATCATGCGAGATGCACGCGACCAGATGGAGTTTGCCGAGGGACACGGAGTCGGATAGGAACGGTTGTTCTTTGGGAGATACAGACGATGAATCTCTGAAGAACCTCTACGTCAAGTTCTGGAGGCTTTTCATGATCCACCACGAGATTGCCGCTGGATCCTCCGCCAAGACGGCACAAATTATGCAAGCAGCCTTCAACAGTCAAGACTAGGCTTAGGGCCCATGTGCCTCTCGTGAACAAGACTTATGAATTACTAGAACATGACAACCGGCCCGGTTCCTTTTAATCTCAATCAACCTTCGAGGACCTCTCAGGTTGTTAACCGCGATTGAAAGCGGGTTTGACACCCCCCCCCCCCCCACCCACGACTGTTGAATGTATTTTATGGTTGCGAAGGATTTCTTAACAAACCTTAAAGCGAGCCCCAGGCACCCCGCGCTGCCACCCAATCATACATAAACCACAGCATTCTCAGTCTACACACAACAGTATTGCACACCGTGAGGTAACACAAAGCAGCCGAACTCCTCGATATAAGCTTGAAAAGAGAAGCTTGCAAAAGACCGTAGCATGGCTCGGCGCTGCCACCACTGCGTGGGATTATCCATCGAATCCTTAATACGCCTGGCCAAAGATGAATTCAAGGGCTACCACGAATTTCCAAAACAAGCCTTCTATCAACACCACAATTCTCTTCAGGACCTCGAAGCATCAGCAGAGAGCGGTTGCGAACTTTGCACCCTGATCTTGGATTGCTTCAAGGGTGCTCAGGTAGAGGATGCAGATGATCGCCCTATGGCCTGGCCGGAAGACTGGGTCAGTGACAACCATGAGCTGGGTACCTCAATGTTTACTGTTGCCAAGGGGCTTGATGATTCGAGCATCCGTATAGCCATCAGCGCGGATCATGTGTACGCGACAGCGGGAATTGAGGACGTCTCGCAGTTTGACACCCTCTTGGTCCAGATAGGGCCTAGAGATGACGGCCCTGAGGCGGTGATGGACTGGGTGCTTCCACCGTTGCCTTTGGCTATAACTGTGGCTCGTGGTTTGTCTTGTTCTTCTTCTTCTATGGTGTGATATTCTAGACGTGTAAAGGTACCGAGTCCCTTCACGACACTCGTCACTAAGCATTGGGTTCTTTAGGCGACGTTTTCAAAATCGACGAGTACCAGATCGGGCATTTCGAACTTGTTGCAGACCTCGCCGCTATGGAAAACTTCGAGATCGCCCGGGGATGGCTCAAGACTTGCAGGACTGAGCATGCCCATTGTCCCTCTGACGATCCCCCTGTCCTACCGACTCGCGTCATCGACGTCGGTACTGCACCCGATTTCCAGGACCTTCGAATCTTCTTGTCTGCGGGAACGAAGGACCACTATGTGGCTCTCAGCCACTGCTGGGGCGGCTCCATCACGCCACTGCTTACAACAAAAACACTCGAGTATTTCACATCCTCGCTTCCTTATACCGAATTACCTGCCAACTTTCAGCACGCAATCACCATCACCAGAGAGATGAAGGTCCGATATCTCTGGATCGATAGCCTCTGTATCATCCAGGACTCGAAGCGAGACTGGGAACGAGAATCTGTGAAGATGGCGAAAGTCTATCGAGATTCCATGTTCACCATCTCAGCGCTGGCGTCCTCAGGGAGCAAATGCGGGATCCTTGCAAACAGCCCTAGGTCGGCGCGATCGCCCAAGCCCGTCACTCTGACTATGACCACAAGCGACTCCAAGAGTCACGAAGTGAAGATTTCCTTAGTCAATGCAAAGGGCGAGTATCTCAACGAGCTGGCCAACAGGTGCCCACTGTCCAGCCGGGGATGGTGTCTTCAAGAGGCCGTTCTGTCTCCTCGACATTTGTATTACGGCCAGGAACAAATCTACTGGCGTTGTCCTTCCGGCTTCCATGACGCAGAAGGATGCGGGCCGGGGCGCCGCTTCCCGTCTGATGCGTACGACGGCATAGCATCTGCGCTCTATGGAGAGATCCTTCGAGACACGCGCCCAAGATTGGCCCCTAGTGAGATGACCCAGCACGAGGATGTAAATGGCGTTCTTACCGAGTACTACCTTCTTGTGCAAGACTACTCGCACAGGGAGCTGACTTTTAGCTCCGACAAGCTTCCCGCATTTTCTGGTGTCGCACAGCGCCTCCATACTGCGGTCGGCGGGGCGTACCTTGCGGGTCTCTGGAGCACAGACATCTGCCGCGCCCTCTCATGGCGTGCGGAGGGCAGAACGGCGAAGCACGTGCGGCCAGCCCGTACGCCTTCGTGGAGCTGGGCGGTCACTGATGAGTGGGTCTGGTTTGACGTTGGCTCAGAGCCACCAGAGGATGGAGATGCATCCTTGAACTTGCAACTACTCGAGCATGAGATCAAGCTGCACGACAAGGACAATGCCTATGGACAGGTGGAATCAGGGAGCCTGACAGTCAGGGGCCTCACCACGACAATGGCCCGCAGCTCACAGCTGGTGAATGCCTGGCCTTGCAGCTTCAGCATTGGGACGGTGCACCTTGACAACGAGGACATTGACGAGGAGCTCGGCCCAGGGGTAGATGGGCGGATGGCGATGTGGTCGCTGTTTCGAAAGATGGGGGAGACGGGGCTTATCTCCATTGTGACTACGGCAGGCCACGAGGATGACTGGGAGATAGAACAGGAGGCTATTCATCCTGAGGATTACTTGGTTCTACTTGTCTACGCCGAACTTGAGGGAGAAGGCGAGTGGACTGAGCGTGCGTCTTGTCTCCTTCTACAGCAGGACGATAGAGAAGGGGGAAATACGTATAGAAGAGTGGGCGTCGCCAGGCTGGACGCGCTGAAAGTAGCGTGGCTTAGAAGTTGGGAAGAGACAACGCTTAGGCTTATCTAGAATTACACTTCATCTTGTAATGGATTTCAAGATTAACATCTTGTACCATCACGTCGACGGTTTATAGTCTTGGTATCGGCTTTGTATGTTGACCCTCTCTATAGGTGCGAATTAACAATCAGTGTAAGCCTCGAATGAACGTTGGCCCCCTCTGCTTATTCCATGTACTCTGTGCAAAGTCAATACCCTATTTAATGTTCATCTACTGAAATTGACCTTTTGGTCCTGCTTCTTCGTCTCGATACCGGCACAATTGGCTCGATGAAGCTTTTGCAAATTGCGCAGCTAATTGACAAAGTCGCATGTTATCTTCCACTCCACATTACTGGAGACGCAAATTACTACTTTACTCGGCAATATTTATCTGATCATTTGTGCCTATCAAGAGGAGCTGACAGATCAGCAATGATGTGATGGCTTACTTGAAGCTAATTTGCTTATATATTGTCATCATACGGTTGGTGGTGTGTGGTCCCCAGCCAACCGTTATTGCCTTACATGTATTGCAACACAACCACAATCACCCTCTCCCACCCGTTTTTACACTCTCCCCATACACCCATTATTTGTGCTCCAGCCAGCCTATGTTACCACAATTTTCCTGGAGGCATGATGGCATTAGCTCTCCGCCTTAGTGGTCCTATGAGACGCTGATGCTGAGCTGATGCGTGAGAGTATGAGTAATTATTCTGTCTGGCATTGTTGCCACAGCCTGCAATAGAGATGTTTACCACTTGCCACCCTCCCATGTGTTCTCGAGTAGAATTCCGTACGCGCCCAAGGAAAAAAAGATCGCCAGCACACCGACTCCCTCAGCACAGGATTATCTCCTCCCTCTTCACACCCCCCGCCCCCTCCCTCTCCCAAACTGGAAATTTCTATGATGACAACTCATCCAGGTACCTACTTAAGTAGGAAGCTTAGCTCCAACACGCCAGCCCAAAGAACTACGTAAAGGCACGATGAAAGGCTGGATGGGAAAAAAGACCAACACACAATGTGACCTTGCCCTGCCTGCATACCATCATCCTAGGAGTATCCCCCACCTCCCTTTTCCTTCTCCAGTACTGCCATGTGTAAGCAACAGAATACCAACCTCAAAATTGACGCCATTGAGACCCCTCCCCCTCCCCCCGACCCAATGACGTCCATGGAAAACCTCCGGAGGGAACGTTGGAGAGAGGATGTATAGTCAACATATTTATCCAACCCCACCGAGACGCTATGCTGCGCGCAATACGAGCTCTGAGGTCGACATGGATCCGTCAACCGGCCAAAAGGTGCCTGCCCCTCTCCCCAGTGCTACCCACCCCATTCCTCCCTCAAGCGATGGCCAACCTTATTTATCTTCTTTTCCTTTTCTTCTTCCCCGGCCCTTTCTTCTCGCGCTTTCTGCTCGCTCCACCTTGTCGGCTGGCTGGCCGGCCAGAGTCTCCCTGTGAATGTCCACAGGCCGTTTGACGAATCCGAGCTCGTTGCCCGACACCACCACGTTATGCGATAGGCCAGGACCCCGGCCACCTATCACGCTTCTGCATCCTCCTGCAGGACCATCACACATGAGAAAGAACGTACTGCTCGGACGCGTTCGGCGGTAGAGGAATTCGGTACCCCAGTCTATAGCAGGGCAGGTAGGGCTGGTCAAAGCATCTTGACTGCAACTCTTGTAGTGCTGACTGGGCCGAGCTTATGTGTGTGCAATCGACTCTGTGAAGGGATCGAAGCCGGTGTCATACTCAGAAATGAAGACGCCGCAGCTGCAAAAGCTTCAGCAGGCAAATTGAAGACAGATTAAGGTCTATTTAGTGTCAGGTTGACTAGTGTATTATTACCGCCCTGCCAAGCAAGCAAATCCGTCATGTCCGCCAATTTTGTCGTACCAATTGTCCTCCGACATTGCATTCGTGTGAAACTTGACAGCCATTTCGCTGAGTCCAGTAAAGGAAAGTCTAGAAGGGTATATGGGTGCATCATAAAAAAAAGAACTTCTTTCAAATTCCGCCCGATTCATGTCCGTAACTCACTCATTACGTTACTCAATCATGAGACGTGCCAAAATCGCCCAAAATTTCCACCCCCTCCCCACCACCACCACCAAAAAAAAAAGAAGACATATTACTGCTTTCGGCACCCTATTCAGTATGCTGCCTAGACGATGAAGGCAGCAACACCGGCAACAAAGCCGACCAGGCCGGCACCGGTACCTGCCTTGTAAGCACCATTGACAGTGACAACACCGGGAGTGCTTGTCGGAGGGATCGGAGTGTTGGTAGCAACGCCGGTGGTCTCTGCCGTAGTACCGCCAAGACCAGTTGTGCCAGAAATGTATGTGGACGCCGGAGGAGTACTAGTGATCGTCGTCACAACAACACTGGAGGTGTAGGAAATGGTCACAGAGGTTGGTGCAGACGTCGGGGCAGTTGTCTCACCGGGGATGGAGACAGATGTGGCGACAGATGTGGCGACAGATGTCGAAGCGGACGTCTCAACGGAAATGGGAACGGAGGTGGCGCCAGACGTCGGGGCGGACGTCTCAACAGAAATGGAGACGGAGGTGGCGCCAGACGTCGGGGCGGACGTCTCAACGGAGATGGAAGCAGAGGTTGTAGCGGTCACATTGCTGCTTGGGTAGGGAGCGCCACTGCTACCAGAGCTGACCTTAGCAGTGGTAGTCTCGCAAGGCACCACAGTCGTGAAAGTACTAGTCTCAGTGACTGGTGGGGGAGATGAGACGCTGACAGTACAAGGGCAGGCTGCAAGAATGTTAGCCATGCCAGGCTCTGCCGCAGAAGGGTTAGAGAGAAGATGGGCAAACTTACGCAGCGTGATAGTGGTCTCCGAGGTCACAGTGTACGTTGTGTTCAGATAAGCCCAAGTTGTGGGAGACTGTGGACACGCCAATGTTAGCAGAAGCTCAAAGTGAATGTCGAGAGGGAAGTGTTGAACATACGGGGCAGTAGGTGGTCCAGGTAGGAATGACAGTAGTGGTCCAGACTGTGCTGATAGGAGCAGTGCCTGTGCTGGTAGGAGCAGTGCCTGTGCCCCAGTGGGTATAGTGGCCGCCGGCCTGGACGAGGGCAACAAGGCCGGCCAGAGGAGTGAGCTGCTGCAGTCTCATCTTGTACTGCCTGAACTAGACTGAGTGTCTTGAGGTCTGACGATTTTCAGGGTTTATCTGTGCTTGTCCAATCTTATTTGGTCCCTGATCCCAACCCAAACGAATGTAGGTGAGAGTCGGTTGAGACGACGGTGTATTGGTCGGATGGAAACGATTGAAGTGATGGTGGACGATGGGGGAAGGGAAGAGAGAGGGAGTGGCAGAGAATGTAGGTGGGCGGACGTAGGGATTTATCAACAATGGAGGCTGATTAAGAGGAAGAGGGACAACAGATGGAGGGGGGAGTAAGAAGAAAAAAAGAAGGAGGGGGGGGGGGTGCCAAGCCCAAGTCACAGTTGCAGGAACTAAGCAGGTGCGAGTGACATTGACGAGGGCGAGATAGGAAACAACAGCCCTAGGTATGCTTACCTGGGTAGATAGTACCTGCCTGACGACATGGACGCGAGGAAGTCGCCTCACCTCTGTACCTTGGACTCGTACCTACCATCAGCTCGGCAACGGAAGGCGCGGGACAGGATGGATGTGCCACCCAGTCCACATACTCAAACACACACTCTCTCCCTCACACACGCCCTTCTGTAAATTTGACGGGGTTACCATGCAGTTCGATCGTCTGTACCCTTCGCGAAGGATTTCCGCCCCTTTCCTGCAGGTGCCGTCGATGCGCCTGTTCCTCTTCGTCATTGAACTTCTCCTCCCCAAAGCGATCGCATTAATTTCCAGATTCACTGACAGAACAGAAGTTGAACGCCTTCCTTCCATTGTAGGGGAAGGAGTGGCACCATCATGTCTCGACCCACACCCATACACAAAGTGCAATAAGCTTACTTTCAGACTTCAGCACACTCCACAGCTCCTTCGGCCTGACCGCTTGGCAGGGCGCGTTGAGGTTGACATCTCGTATGCGAACGCAGCACTGTCACTTTTCTTGCCTCTTGGCTCGGTATGAATCTTCTCCATAGCAATACAGTAGGCGAAGGCGAAGTATTGTCGTTGTCGTTGACCCAGCCAAAGCCGACAGCGCTCACCATGGCCAAGGCTTCTGACGGATGGAAAGAGGAAAACAGAGCTGGATGGAAGTTGAGTGGTCGATCTTGACCCATGTTGCCTGATATGGACCTAGCCTAAATTGGAAATCAGCTCACCTGTCAATGGGTGTAGTCCCACACCACGACCGGTCCCAAGTCGGTGGAAACTTCGCGGGGGTGGGTGTCAGAACGTGACATTGATTCCTCAACCCAGCGCTTGCTTGTGCCGGATCTGTCCGCAGCTCACCATGCCCCTCTTCACTGACTCTCATGGTTACTTTGTCACCTACTGTATTCGCCGCAAAACGAGACCACTTTCGTCTTTTCAGAAACCGAATAAGGTCAACAGACACAGCATGGTGGCATTTGGCAGTGATGAGCATGTATGCACAGCAAGCGATGATGGTGTCGAGACAACTTATCGTACATGTCAAATACGAGGTGTGCGCTGTCCAAGTGTCAGCCGACATTACCCTCATTGGTTAGACCTGCTTCCCAGCTTCGGTTTTGGGCAAGCTTATGCTGCAGCAGTGCAGTGATTACTGGAGCGGGGTTTCTTGGCCACAAAGTCGCCTTCGACATCTCCCCTCCCAAGCTCCCCTGTCTGCATTTCGATCCATCTGCTGAGGAAGCTGACGGGCAACCGGAAAGCAGCTAGTGATTCAAGTCGATCGTGACACGCTCGTGTTGGTAAGCCGTCTCTCCAGTCTACCTACTAAGCACTCACCACGACTCACCACGACAGCTCAGTAGAATGCTACGTGACCCGAACGTTACCTTCGCCATTTACATCTCTTGGCCTTTATCCCCCCCCCCTCAAGGGGGACCACCGTCTCTCCCAGATGGCACCCATCAATCGATGAGGTGGGCCGCCTTCAAGATGGGTTCCATTAAGCAAAGCGTCTAATCCATATGTCAAGGCAAGTATACCTAGTTGTGATGATAGATCTTGAACCCTATGATGCATTTGGGCGATCCCGGCCCGAAATGCGGTGGCAAAATAATCACTGACATTTCGCCAGCCACAAGATAACACTATTGTCTTCGAACTATAGTCTGAGCCAAATAGATGTTCATCTCGAGTGAGCAACTGGGCTGCATCATGTTCCATGCGATGAATCGGCGGCATCCACCCCTCAATGGCTAGTCCGTCCTACGAAACTGGAGTGAGGCCCTGCCTACCCAAGAATTACGAAGAGTCACCTGCCTCATGACCCTCCCAACATGTCATCCCAGCACAATGGATGACTGTTAGAGGCCAAAAAAAAATGGTTCTTAGTAGCCCAACACGCATTGCTATTGATGCTACACGAGGATTGTGTTGGTTGGTCGTTCCTGTTCAGATCGTAAGAATGCTGGGCTTCGGCTACCAACTCGTATTTCTCAAGAGGCTTGATGGAACAACGTGACCTACGTTTCCAGAAATGGCCGTCAGCAAATGGACCAAAGCTCGAGATCACTATGGTGTTGAAGCCAAACGGGGTCCCCGGCAGACTGGGTGTGCTCAGACAGGGACAATGTGCTGTGTCCAAGGACCGCATCCCCAGTTTGACTTCACTGGATAGCGGCCATGTGCGGTGGTCGTCTTGACGAGTTCTCTGTCTGTCTTCAGTGGGAATGTGTATAGGGAGTCGTCAACACGAGAGTGTCCAGCTATGCTGTGGGAACGGCAAAGGTTGTAGGCAGGAGTGATTGATATACAGGGCTGCTACCTAATTTTCAGTGATCGATCTCCTGGAGAGAGATGTCAATCCATGTCAAAGCTGAGGTACCGCTGGCAGGTATAGTAGCACCCTCATTTCTACTTTTCCAGGCACCATCACAGGGTCTATCATCGGTATGGATATGAATTTAGCGACAACAGCAGAGCGACCTGCACATTCAAGTGTGAACGAAGACTTCGGATCCTATATCTGGGCCAGTACGATCAAATTGAGACACTCAGATGCCAAGTAAGAATGCTTGACAATCGAGAGAATCGAATGACTGATGTGTGCACCAGGAGCATCATGATGAGGGCTTTAACGCCAGCGATCTACCGTGGGGCGATCCTCGCTGGCGTCGGCGAACCTTGCTAGCAGCTGCCCGACATGCAATACATATTCGCGGTATTCTTTTACCTTCCCCATAACCATAAAATCTTCATCGAGATTCCTAGCAAGGAAAGATAAGGAAGACTACACTTACTATGAACGGGCATAACCGCCTGTGAGCCTGTGAGAAGCTTACTGCACTGAAGCAGAACCTCAGCGATACCACGGGAAACTCCACAGCAAGTTACTCTCTGCCCTCATACCGAGTCAGATCCTTACCGGTGAGAACATTACAGTGGATGGATATGCTCAGTCCGAGACTTGCTATCGGTAAAGATTGTGACCCCGAGGATGTTCATACTTTCACCCCAGGAACGGTATTGTGCACCGTGTGTAGCACATCCCGAGGTTCTCGTCCTTTGGACACTTCGAGCATGCATTCCGCAGATGTGCTTCATCACTCTCAGCTCTGCCCTGGCATGATCAAGGATCAAGACTTCAGATCATGTGGAGACAATCAAATAACCATATCTAGATGACAGGCTGATCTACGAGACGATTGATATAAGGTCCGACATCAATGTGGAGAACGGCGATCGTTGTCTCTTGGAGGTTTGAAACGGGACGTTAGTTGTTAAAGATGTTCTCGCTTCTCAAGCACGGCTCGATCTCGTTTGGCGGCTCTGGAGTCTCCTTCGACAGTGAGGCATACTGATCAGGATGCGGGATCAGGCAGCAGAGACGTATAATCCAGTGGTCTCCGGCGAGAGTGTTGGGCTTGACTGACATTTTCCCAACCCAGACTTATGAGATGGTCGAGGGCGGCAATAACCTTGATTCTGTGTTGAGACCTCTACTCGAAGCACCATTTGATTCAGTTTTCCTACTCTATTGAAACCGAAAATCACTTCCGTATGCAGAGCATTGTCGGTCATCCCGACAGTCGCCGTTATATGGCCTGCGCGAACAACACGGCAGTATCCTCACCAGGCTTCACTTTCTATTCCAGATCGAACACTCCAACATCTGACTCGTTTTGTGCATACGCGTTGCGAGCAAAGCCACTCACTACTAAAGCCTATCTACAAGGCTGTCGGGATTTTGAAGAAAATGTGGTTCAATGTCAAGGCTAGAAGGCACCGGCACAGAGAGGCTCATACAAAGTATATACCTTACTGTAATAGGGGTTGTTGCCGATCGGCTAACCTACCTGCAGTGCGCGAGACTTCTCAGCCGGGTCGATTTATGGAGCACGGATCTCGCCTGCTGTAGTAAAAAATTTCAAGATGCGCCGTCGTCCGTCGCAGAGTGCCCGGCTTGTGGGGGCCGGCCTAGAAGTCACCCGTCTCGGCGACTATGACCTCAGTCCTCGGCAGTCCGTTCAGCGGACAATTTTTTGAGTCGACTTTGAGACGGCTGGTCGAGTCGCGCACTATAGTCAAGCGGGACAAGGAACACAATTCTTACACTTCTCATCAGCGAGAACACATCGATGCCGTCAGGTTCTGTCATCGGCGGGCGGATGACAGATCGTATATGCGAGGACGGAGAATGATAAGTGTCACGGGTTGCAAATCTATACTTTCCTCATCGTACACGAGTGAAATCACTCACCGATGGCATTGCAAACTAGATTGGCCCAGATCGATGCCCTTTTCCAACAGGGCAAACAAAAGCTCGGAGATGTCCATGAGCCTCGGACGAAATACAACATAAACGTACAGGTGATGCGCGAGCAACCCAGCGAGCAGCGCTGGCTACCTGCAGCAATATTTTGGAATGAGTAGATTTCCCGAGGAGGTCCCGAGGTCGATCGATCAGTGTCACAGAGTGAACGGCAAAGCATTCATCCCTAAGCTGCGCTGGTCTGTCGTGCGAAAGCTACAAGCACCGCCTCCTCAAGTTCAGGCTTGGCCCGGGACGGCGGCTCGGTACAGGTTTCCCGTTGGGGAATCGAAGTTTGGGACGACTTGGATCTACGCTGAGAAAGGCTCGTCGCTGAGACCCGAAGAACAAGTCTCAGGACCTTATCAGCGCAGTTGACCCGAGGTCTTGTGCGGCAGCTACCCTAGCTTCCAAGAGATCAGTTACCCAATGTAGGTTGAACAAGAGGATACATCTGTCTGTCAGCGTGTACCACAGCAAGGCACAGATCTGGGAAGCGCCAGAGCAACAGAAGCGAGCCTGACTGTCACCGAGAGGTCTACCGACGTCAGAAGAGTGGGGCGCACTGTCCGAGACATTCTGAAGGTTCTAGTGGATCTCGCAGGGCCGATGAGGAATACAGTCTTGCAGTCAGCACTGCGGCCATGTAAAGATTTTTTACAAAATCTGAGGCGCGGGGAAGACTGCTGGAGACTTTCATGGTGGGTAATTGATGGAGGGGGTGGCGTCGCGGGGTTTTTGCGCACACATCGACAACTGGCTGACACGTGAAAGACGAGCCCAGGTAAAACGGCCCCTACGTACATATGCCGCAACTCTGACTGGGGCATACTTGCCCACGCTCCTTAGATTTATACTCCGGGCTCACGAGTCGCTCCCAGGATGAATCGCGACTTCCAGCAGCGCAATACTGACAGGACTGAGCACTCTCTGGTTGTCCGAGTGCTGCTCAGCACTGTCGTTGCGGATCCGCGAGGTCCAGACCAGTTGCTACTGTTTAGTGTCCCTGGCGATCACGATGATCCGCTGATGAAGTGACGCATGGGTCTCCTTGGTATTTCGTTATCGATAAGAACAACCTGTTCGGACTCCGGGTGCCGGCTGCCAAACTTCCAGAAGCCAATAGGTGAAGGATCTTTTGCCCGAACCGTCAGCACTCCGTCGGGTCTAAGCAGTCTTCTCAGGCTTTCGTCATCAGCCCTGACAATTCTCTCCGCAGAGACGGGCCCTCGTTGTACCAAGCCCAGCCTAGCCGGCCAATGACGACCTTCTAATCTGCGGGATTTTTCTTCCATGACCGTCACAAAGGTTTCTTGCAAAGGCTCCGCAGCCTGCCACCAAGTACCAGAGTACTTTGTGAAAGGTACCTTGGCATTTGGTGCCACGTCTGGCCGACATACCGCCTAGGCGTGGTACCAGGGCATTTGCTGCAGAGAAAAGAAACCTCGTCACTGCGTTATGCTTTGTTGGCAACCTTGGAATGGTCAGGCACCGATACAGCCTGCAGAGGTGAGCGGGGTCGTTGGTGATTGTCACCATTTGTCATGGAGTTATTGGCCGCGAGCCCATGATGGGAAAAGGCGAGATCACTCGTTGCTGTATATCGTTCACCGACAAGAACAGAAAATGAGGAGAGTGTGAGCCCTGTGGTCCAGCAATCAACTGACAAGTTGGTCTCCTTATTGGCTTATTGGTGGTTGTCCTGGCCGTCTGACCCCTGCAGCAGCGGCTGCTTACGATTCAGAATGCAAGTTCGTGCAACGGTAGCGATCCAAATGAGCGGCTAGACGTGGCAGCGCCTCTGTGCGGTGTGCCCTTCTTTTCCCCTCCCTCTCTTTTCGTTCTTTCTCGTTAGCCGCACAACCAAGAATGGTTCGTTGGTCTTGGCTATACTCGTGAGTAGGGCCGAGGGCCAGGTACAGGTGTTCAGCAGGCGTCACAGAGCAGACGAAGCTCTGTTGCTGTTAGGTAAGTAGGTGTGCCAGACTGCCCCTCTCGCGAGTCAAAGAAGTAAGGATTTGATATTCAACACTAGTCTCGCCAAGTGCCAATGTAAGAGTTTTCCTCTGTGTGTGGGAGAGCACAAGCATCAGCGAAAGTTACGGCAGACGTTACCGATCCTTGTCCCGTGCTAGGTGGCCCTTTTGCAGCCCAGACTCGCCCTACTGCACGTTTTCCAGGGAACAAGTGCCAACGTTCGACCAACCGGCTGTCGTGGAGTGGCGGCGGTGGGTCCACGACTCAATCAGCTGCAGGACAGCTGCGTGTGCAACGTGTGCATTGCGTCTGCAGACACTACCATGATTGTTGTTGTACTTCACAGATTCTCTTGTCGTAGCCCCTCCATCCTAGTTCCATACTGTTGTGTCTGGCTGCCGGCTGTCGGGAGGCGGGAGGCAGGGGATTGGCAGAGAGGGGTAGAGAGGCACGCCTTCAGCCTGGACAGGAGGAACTCGGATCACGATGCAAACCCTCTGCTGGGGAACTCATTTTGCGTGATTTCAATCGATTCCCACTCTGATGTGTGTGCAACACGTGTCTGTTTCGGGGCTGTCGGTCATGGAAGGGCCCAAATTTGTTGCCCCCCCGGCCTGCCCCTTTGTAACACTTTCCAGCTAGCCAAACACCGACTGTGCTGGTGCCTATTAAACCAAAGCACAAACGCTGTGGGAAAGCAAGTATGTGCGAGCCCCTGGGCCCCGTCACAAACCCCCTCTCACATCCTTATTTCTATGGGCCCTTCTGCACGAACCTGTCAGGGCTGGCCACATGGGTAAGCTCCGAAGCCTTTTTTTCAGGTACCCGTGATCGGAACCACTACCCGGCCAATCAGGGTGGAGAAGCCGTTCTGTTCCTGAAAGTCCATCTGCAGCTAAAACGAAACGGTTCTAATGCCTCAGCCCCGCCCCTCCGGGCCTGGACTTTTCTCCCCTCTTCCTTCCCAGGCTCGCTTCGGCTGCAATAGGCGTCGCAATCAACTTGTTCCTCTCTCACAGGCTTGCGTTGCAATGCCCCCTGCATCTGCACGGAGACACACCTTGCTAGGGGTTGCACACCAGCGCTCTGCTTTCTGAATGGTCGCCCCCCCTTAGGTCCAACAGCAAATGGGCCGTACATATCCTGATCCTGTTTTTCCAGACTCTGGATGGGTTGGATCAAGGCACAGGTGCATGCGCCAAGGCGGGATGGGGGCAACGTGTCAAACTGTGAGCAGACGCAGCTCAAGAAAGATGATTGTTGGGGCAGTATTGTTGGTCAGCCCCTTTGTGGTTATTTTCAGGCCCAACACCCAACCTGAAAGATCCCATTCACCGCCCAACAACAAAAGCTGTTCGAATGAACTTGGTCTGTTTCTATACCAGTCATTTGGAATGAAGGGGGTTCATGGCCGCTTGGGCCTCTTTCGCAACGACTTCGTTCTAACAAGCGGACCGTTGAAACGGAACCGACCGGCGTTGCACCCCCAACGAGGCAGACCTGCGGCACCCACCAGTCGAAGGGGGATCGAAAGGTTGTTCTTTGTTGTTCTGCTTCTTTTTTCCCAGTAGGATGAGTTTCATTTTTTCTTCTTCAATTTTTCTTTCTTCCTTTGGTGTGAGGCGGAGGGGGGAGGAAAGCCCAGAAAGAAAAAAAGAAAAACTCTGAATTTTTAAGCCTTAGCTTTTCTTGTTCTCGCACTTGCTCAAGTGAGCAAAATGCCCGAATTGGGCGGCGCCACCGGGGGCCGCACACCAACAACGACACCCATTAGGCCAGGCCAGGATGACGAGCCGGGCGCTATAGTGGGTCCCGTGCTTGAAGGGTCAGCTAGTATACCCGAGCGTGGTGGTCGTCGGGAAAGGGGCCCGCCAGCCTTGACTCGGTAGGGAGTCTTTGGACTATGAGAGGTTCTTCTGTACCAAGGTCTTGGTGTGCGTGGGCCTAGGCTGTGATGTACCCGTTACCGCGCGCCCAGAGCCACACCCCCTCCCCTCCATTATCATCAGAGTTCTGTTTCCTTAGTCTGGCCATAGTTCACTGAGGGAGGGGGAAAAGGTATAAAGGGCTCTGGCCCACCAGACTCCTCCTGATCTTCTGAGTTTATTATTTCCTTATTCACGATTCGGCAAGCCGTTGTGACGATTTCTTTCTTCCTACACTTCCATCACCCACTCTAGCCAACGAGGCTGCACATTCCCTGCTTTACCAAGCATCCAAACTGCTATACACACTTTCTCTCAGGTCCCTGGTGGCTTTGAACACTTTTTGAAAATCAAATCTCTTGAGACATACTTCCAATACAGTCCTTTCTTGGAATATCTCTTACAAGTCAACAAGTACTTGCTATCTGACTATCTCTCACGATCTGTCGATCAACCTACAACACTTTGCACAACAACAACCAACAATATCAACAACAGCAAAAATGCAGTTCAAGACTCTTGCTATCCTTGCCCTGGCCTCCGCCGTGAGCGCTGACAACACGGTCACCATCCAGTCCATGGACGGCACCGACCGCACCCTGGTGTGGACTGGCTCCTCGACCATCGCTGACACCAGCGTCCCTGCTGGCGAGTCTGTGGATGTCACCGTCCCCGATGGCTGGATCGGCAACTTCTACTCGTACTCGGCTGGCGCGACCAACACGCCCGGCATGCTGGCTGAGTTTGCCTTCAACAGCTATGGGGGCTCCACCTACTTCGACGTGTCTGCCATTGTCAACCCCGACGACACCGAGGGCGTCTACCAGATCTACCCGGCCGACACCGAGTCTCCCGTCTCTGGCTGCCAGACCTTTGCCTGCGACAACGCCTACTACCTGCCTGATGACGTCCAGACCCGGGCCAGCACCAGCACCTCCTACGTCGTCACTCTCGGCGCCGGCCCCTTGGCTGTCTCCAAGGTCAAGGCTCGTGATGGTGAGGACCAGATGTTCCCCCGCGAGGCCGTCATCGACCCCAACTTCAAGCCCGCCGTCAAGAAGGGTCGGTTCACCTCTGCCCTCCGCTGGGCCAACCGCATGTAAATTGGTCTCAGTCCAACCCAATTCCTCCTACTACCACGAGAAAAGGAAGTAGCGCACGCTGGAGTTGCAGCTCTTCCTTCTCGACGAAGCCACGATTTCTCATTCTACGCACAACAACGCCAAAACACTTTTTTTTGAGATACCCCCCTTGGGTGCCCAACTCGCTTCCTACAGCGAAGGGTTGGGAGAGTGGAGTTACTTTTTTGGGATATAGACATGTGTGTCTATATATGTGGTGTGGTGTGTGATTTGGGCTTGTTCAAAGACAACAACAACAACAACAACAACAACAGACCATGCACACTCTTACGCACACACATATATACACAAAAACACGACAGGAAAAGCGTGACGGGATAACGATTTACATGTGAGGGATGCTCTGTGTCCTCAACCCCATAGACATATCACGGGACTGGAACCAACCAGCCCGGCAATCACTTTTTGTGCTTCTTGCAACATCCCCCTACTTTTCTCTACACTCATTCAAAAAATGTCTTTTTTTTCTTCTAAATAGCCTTCAATTCTTGTACAAAGACCTCAGGGTTTATGCCAAATGGCCTCCAAAGAAATTTATTATTTTCCTGGCCAACCTCTATTCTCACTTTCAGCCATTTGTCTCCTTTTCAGTGATGGGAACAAGAAACATGTGATGAACTATGCTACGCTGTCTCTTAGTAAGTCTTGGGCCTCTGGCTCCTCTTTCTAATTGGAAGTCCACTCAGGCTCCTTCATTGATCGTGGTCTAGGCTTGGAGTGGGTCCCAGTCCCGTCTTGCCGCACGCACGACTCCTCCCTTCCCCCTTGGCGCGTTGCGGCTCGATCGCAGGCGCTGCTGCAGCAAGGTGCGTTGAGAGGGCGCGATGCAACGGTGATCCCGTCTTGGCCTCGTCACCCCTGGCATGGCTGGACTCTTCAGCAATTATAATATTACCCCACCCCGTCAAGTTGTTAAGCGAAGGTTTGGAATACGTCAACCCGGACCATCATTTCGTCTTGTTTTTTGACTTGTCTTTCATGCTCCTCGGCTGTCAATAATTCACCCCTCCACCTCTGAAATTAGAAACTCGTTCTTGTTGATGATAATGGGGGCAAATATGTACTCAGTGTATGGTTTGTTAAGATCCTGCGGAGAAAATAAGGGGGAGGGGGGGAGGGGGGACGACGACAACAACGATGAAAGCGGATCTGGCGTTTGCCATCCGACTCCTTTTTCTCAGAGCGGATCGATCGCCTCGTTTCCCAATCAGGCCATACTGGGGCTAAGCACTGCTAATTTTTTGGCTGCAATTTGCCCGTGATGGATGATGCCGTGTATTGAATTGAGCCAGGATGGATTGTTCCGAAGGATGAAGCGGAATGCTATCCTCGGAGGATTTTCTTGAGGCAGCATGCACGGCGAATCCTCCCGCTCGCAAGCGCAATGTAGCCCGACAAGCCGCGCTGAGGAAGCATGCATGGCATAGCCCACGCAAAGCATAAGGATATTGGGAACTTGGGAATAGGGAAAATTCCTTGCACTACGCTTTTACTGCAAATGCTTTTGCTTTGACTGTTTCCCAAGATTGATGGATTGGATGGACGGGTGGGATAACTGTCTACTCTAGCTATGTGGTATGTACGTACGTTTCGACACGAAGAAAGAAAAAAGAAGAAAAGAAGGAAAAACGACAACGTGTCGGTGGTGTGTTGGCAGAAACGCGGGTTTGATCCTTTGATGAGGCCACTTTCTCTTTGTAAGGAGGATGAACGGATGAATGGGGAATCCTTTGTTTTCTACGAAATAGGCTCTATATTCGGAGGTTCTGGTGGTTTAATTTGGCATGCGTGGCGTTCTAAAGTTCCGTGGAAGGTTACTTGATGTAGTCGTTTTATTTGATAACTGGCAAGTACTTCAGGGTGTTCCCCGCCAGCCACACCCGAAGAGGAGAGAGGACGGCATTGTGGTGGGGAACATGTCTCACGAGAGGGTCAACGTCTGTGAGAAACATCACTGGACCGAAACATCATTTGGTTATGCTTCGTAATCAAGAGCCGTATAACTAAACGCTTCGATCAAGCAACCTCATGAAGTGAGTAAGTAAATGAGCAAGTCTGGATCCAACTTGTAGGCAGGGCAGGAAGGAGCAATCAACATGATCTACTACAGTGACACACGAGTGCTTTCGGGGGATTTCCTCGGAGGGGGAAGGGAGGTGCAATGCTAGCACTACAGGATCTCTTCCTTCCCTTCAACAACAATAATCATCCATTCATTTGCTCAAGGTAGTGATGCCACCTTTGAACTCCTAAACAACTTGTGTGTCGTACTCGTCAATAACGCTCTTGGGCTTCACAAATTTGCCCAGCGGCTGGTACTTCAGGTGGTGAATACCAAATCCTTCGGGCCCGCCGATCTCGATGCCCCGTTTCGAGGAAGTCCAGCGGTCGCTGGCGGCGATGCCCAGTACCGTGACGAGCAGACCGTATCTGTACTCGGGTGTGCCGATGGCCTCGCCGTTCTGCGCATCGATGACTGAGATGAGATCGGGCACGATGGCGAGGACGTCCTCCTGTCTTTCCTCCTGAGGGGCTTCCTCCTCCCCCTCCGTCTGGGTGAGTGCTGCTGGCTCGGGTATCTTGATGGCGGCAATGTTCTCGTTCTTGAAGGGAATCTTGATGCGTCCCACGAACTGACCTTGTCGTTCCCCTTCCTGCAGCGCCCCGTCCCCGTCACCACCACCTTCTTTTCGTGCCCCAGCCACGTCCATGCCCTCGATGATACACTCGCCATAGATGTGACCCATCCTCAGCGTCCTCGTGACGCCGACAATCTTGCCCTTCCACAGCACTTTCGCGGCTTGCGAGCCCCCAACCTCCTTCACGATCTCCTCAGCGACCTCATCGACTCTGTTCTCCCTCCTTGCCCTCTCCACCGCCCGGCCGATCCGCCAGGACTCGGAGATGGTATGCTCCACAACCCACCGCCTCGTCTCGGCGCCCGTGACAGGGCCCTCAGCGCAGCCCGTGTGCGAGCCCATCTGGCTCAGCGCCGCTCGTAGTGCCCTCTCGACCTGCAGATCCGACGTGGCTTTGGTCATGATGATGACGTTGCCGTTACCATCACACATGGACAAGGGGCAAAACACAGGCCGCCGCTCGTCAAAGACCACAGGCGTGGTCTGCCACTTGGTCGGGTAGGCCCGCCCCATCCAGTCACCGTCAACGACGGGCACGTCCATGTTGGTCGATGCACCCAGGATCATACCCTGCAGGCCGTTTCCCCCACCGATCTCGAGCGCGATCATGTGTGTCGCCTGTGCCCCCTTGGGCAGGATCTGTGCCAGTTCCTCTTGCGCCTCCATCATCTCATCGCCCTGAAGCTTCTCGATACCCACCGTGGGCGAGCCCATTCCTCCACCGCAGCCTACGCGATCGTTATCGGCGAGGTCGTCTGGCGAGATCACGCGCACGGAGGCTCCCGAACGGAGGATAGAGCGGAGTCGGACCATAGAGGAGTAGGGGGAGCCGCCTCCGCCTGTGCCTAGGATATAGCAACCTGTTGTGATGAAGGCGAGGTCCGTCTCTGAGACGTGCCAGACGCGGTTCTTGACCGTGGGATGATATGTGTCCAGGTCGACCTCGGCCGTTGGGCCGCCGGGTGTAGAAGCAGCCTTCGACGGTGACGAGGAGCCGTTGGTGCCAGTCGCCGTCTTCTCATACTGGTCCATATTGTTGGCCTGCTCGCCTGCTGTGGTTGTGGTGGCGGTACTGCTAGGCACAGCACCCAGGTCCGTCCGCGAAAAGTCGAAATCCCCAGCGGCACGCACGATGAAGCGAGACTTGTTGGCAATATACTGCAGAGGCAGCGTCTCCAGCTCAACAATCTTGACCGAATCCCGCGCCGCTCCCGAAGCAACGGTCCTCTCGACTGCCTCCGCCGAGATCTCCTCGAGCAGTTTTGCAGTCGACTTGCTCTCGGTAGACTTGACCGTGTCGACGACGGCGCTGACACCAGCCATGGCAGCGCCGATGGCGTTGGCAACCTCGGACCAGCGCGGTTTAAGGACCTTGCTGGCACCCTTAAGCTCGTCCGGGCTGATGACGGCACCACCCCCGACGAGGAGGACGGGCAGGTCTTCGGGGGACGTCTTCATCATGTCGATGACTTTTTCGAGCTTCTGCTTGATGATGGCCTGCACCTCGGCCAGCTCGTCGTCTGTAAGCTGGCCCTCGACCAATTTTGGATCGCCGATCTGGACGACCTCTGGACGGGAGAGGACGGTGGCGTCTGTGGTCGTCAGGACGCTACCGCCGAAGACAAGGGCCTCTTTGGTGAGCTTGTAGCCCACACTGTCTGGGCCGACTGTCGTGCGTTTTCCTGACGATGACGAGCCTTTGCGAATGATGGACCCACCGCCGAGGCCGATACTCTTGATGTCTGGGCATGAGAAATTCATGCGCACGCCGGCCAGCTCGCTGTACGCAGCCTGCTGGCGAGGGAATCCGTTGGCGAGCAATAAGCCCACATCAGTAGTCGTGCCGCCGACGTCAACGACCATGATAGCTTGTTTTTCCCTTCCTGCCTCCTCCTCCCCCGCCGTCCCACCTTGCATCAAGAAGGACGCACCGCGCATGCTGTTGGTAGGCCCGCTGCTGAACGTCCTAATGGGTAGCCTCGCCGCCGCATCGCCAGCGAGGATGGTGCCGTCGTTCTGCGTGATGAAGACGGGACAGTCGAGGCCCAGCTGCCTGACGGGCTCCTGAAAGCTGCGGATCGTCCTCCTCGCAAAGGGCAGGATGGCTGCGTTGAGGATGGCCGCGTTCTCCCTCTCGAGGAATCCCAGGTTCGCCACCTCTTTGGAGAGGACTACATCGACAGCGGTAGGCTCGTCACTGTCTTCGTCTCCTCCCTTCTTCTCGAATTCCTCCCGGATAATCTCGGCAGCCCGCTCCTCCTGCAGATACACCGTATCAATAGGACTGAACACCCCATTTACAACGATGCTCCGGATGCCCATATCGCGAATTAAACGACACTGCGCCCTGACACCCTCCTCGTCCAGCTCCGCAATGAGGTTTCCGTCCACCTCCAGGCCTCCTTTCACACTGGCCCAGTGGCCCAGCACCAGCTCGCGCATGTCATCAGGCCAGTCTATACAAGGGGGCGCATGCTTCCCAAACGGCCCCGCGAGCCTGAGCACGGCGACGCGGCATAGTCTTCTGGCATCGCGCTCCACGACGGCGTTGACGAAGTGCGTGGTGCCGATGGTGACGGAGGCGACGTCGGCTGGGTTGATGGGCGGGTCTGTGGTGGTGAACATGTGGGTGATGGCGGCATTGATGCCGTCGCTTGGGTTAGTGGTGGTTGGGGCTTTATGGTAGGCGATAATACCCCTGTTGGAAGAAGAAGAGGCAGAGGTGAGAGACGGGTCGATGATGACGCCGTCGGTGTTGGTGCCTCCTACGTCTACGCCTATGCGCAGGCGTTTTGTGGTATTTGAGACTGCCATGGTGAACCGAGAGATGGGGGGATCCTTTGAATCCAGGTCCTAGTAGATGGGATGAAGACAGCCTCTCGTCGACATGCAATGATTACTTATCACAATTTCGGATGACGAAAAGACGAAGTGGTGTGTAAATAGTCCCCAGAAATGTCATGGCATGGCACCGTGTGATAGAATAATTGAAAAGGGACTACCAAAAAGGGAGTGAGTGACTTTCGTATCATACTTGAATTTGAGGCCATTCCAGAACTCGTCGGGCCCTCTTCTATAATACTATACCCACATAGCACCATCATATACTGTGCGTCGGCAGAGTTCCCGGTGCCGGTCGGGAGGCAACGCACTGCAAGCTCCGGGTTATTGGGCGTTGATAACGTCGCGACCGGCGATCTCTCTTATTCCCAGGTGGAGATAAAAGTAAGAAAAACTGAGAGAAGGAAAGATAAGTAAACACCGGCACCGGAGATCTCCCTTTCCCCCTCTCCGCCTTTTTTCCCCCTCAATCTCAAATCGTAAACAACGTAGTATTGTCCTTCTTCTGATCAATGTGGGATGGTTGGGTGGAGGAGCTAAGAGACTCTATGATGTGTGTGTGTGTGCGTGTGTTGATTTATGGGGGACAGAGAGGGGTGAGGAGACCTTGAGACTTAAACGACGCTGCGGGAACATCCCGCGCCCCCCGTACAGTTTGGTACTCGCCATGCACGCTATGGTCCAGAGAATCGGGGACTCCCTTGGTTCTCCCTCCCATTCCCTCGCTTCCACTTGCTCGCTTATCAATATTCTATCAAGCTGAGTGTAACCAGGGATACGATACGACTCAGTCCACCACACCTCTCTCTCATGATCATCAGTCAATTCCTTGCCCGAGCTTGATAAGAAAGGGAGACAGAGAAGAAAGGAAAGAGAGGGTCAAGAGATAGATTGTTCTGGATGCCGGTGTAGGGTACAGTATCTTTGTTAAGGAACTATGTTTATTATATTTATTATATTTCAGAGCGATGGTACTTGTACTTGATACTAGTAAGGGAACTCGACGACGTTTCCCCCCCTCATCAAGTTGTCCACCAACATCATCATCATCATCATCATCTTGATCGTCATTTTCGTCATCCTCCTCTTCATCCGTCACGATCATGGCCACTGCCAGCCTGTGGTTTCGTCCTGGAGACATCAAGGAGAAAGTCCGTCTTCACGGCGACGAGACCAAACATGAGCAGACAGACTCGTGGAGCAACAGAGATCTGATCCCTCTCCCGCCTGAGAGACGAACATGGGGTGGGTCTTTTGTGTCAATTTTTCTTTCTTTTCTTCTTCCTTTTTTCTTTCTCTCTCGTGTCTCTCTGCTTGGCTGGATTTGATGTCTTCCAAATCCCATGCTTGATTGTTGTTATCTGATCGCAAAAATCTAAAGTGGGTGGTGTTCTTATATGCACAAGGACTCATACCCTGCCCCACTCAATATCCTAAGGACTACCACACTGGCCACCACAACAATAGATCCTCGTATTTATGAAGTGAGGGCATACTCAGCGACGACTTTATCGTTTTCCCTTCGAACTATGTTTCTTTTGACAAGGGCCTGACGGCGGGCTCTGCGAGTCTCTCCGGCGTTTGGAAGGGGCCTCGTGACTGTGGCTTCTCTTTGACATCAAGCTCGATGTCAAGCTTGATATAATGCTCGTCGCTGGTTCGGTAGCAGCGAGTGTAGCGCCAGATGCTCCGCTGTGCCCCTGTTGGCAGTCTTGTCTCTCAGGATGTTGTGATTTTTCGATGGGTTGTGGTGTGTGGTAAGCCTCACAGTCGATGTACTCGTCCGAGTTGGAGTCATCCTAGGATCATGCCTCGGCTATAGGGTTTTCCTGAGCCGCTTGGTATCTAGCGTTTGCATCCTGAATAAATGCATCTCGGTGCTTCTTTGCTAGGTCTCTCAGATTTCTGTATGCAGTAGCTCCTTCGACAAATCTCTCCCGTGTATCCGTCATAATAAACCCCCTAAGCTGGTTCATATGAAACTCGGGCTGCCCCTCTGGCGTTGCCGGCGCAGTGGCATGGTGGGCATAGAGCTGGAGTGTTCCTGTTCCGCCATGGTAGGTCGTAGTATAGGTATAGGCATTGCCATCATATACTAGCTCCTCTCGATCATAGTTCTGCAAGCTATGCATTGCCCGAGCACCGACTGCTCCGTTGTAGCGAGCCTGTCGCATCATTACCGCTGCAGATCCATCCGGGCCTTTAGCCTCCAGAAAGAAATTGGGCGCTATAATCCTATCTGTCGAAGTGGAAGGGACAATATGATATTGAAGTTCGCGGCGGATATCCGGATTGAGCTGTTCAGGGCGAGCGCCTAGAGCAATATCTGGTTTCGCTGCTGCTATAGTCCCGTCGGTAAGCGGCTCTAGGTTTAAGAAAGCCATATTCTCAGCGGATGGATAATTGTCCTTCCAAGGGCCAGCAATGACCGGTAGAACATATTTGCACACATCGCTTTCATCCTTTGCTCGAGCATTATCATTTTGGAAGGTCTCGAAGGCATCATCCGGGAAGCGAGAGGGCGAGAGTGATGGCCTCGGGTTAGCTAGTGCTGCTTTTATTTCTGTCAGATCCGGCTTTTGCGAGCTCCAGGTTGCATGGATCCCATGATTAGCCAAGTGCTGTTCGAAGCCAGGGTTTTGGGCTGATGACCTCTTGCTCTTGGTTGTCCCCGACTTTGTTGTGACTGTAGTAGGATCAGTAGACTTGGTCGCTCAGGTCCTGGACGAGGAGCTCATGGTGCCGGCGGTATGGTGCCTGCTCAGCGCAGGAGCAGGATACCCTCGAAGGTCGCGCAGGTCTGGTCCGCCGTGGTGTGCAAATCGGGCGAGGTCTCGGGCAGCGGGCTCTGTCGGCGACGACGGGGGAGGGGCAGGTTGTTTGCAAATCCGCCGGTCAAGCTCTTCCAGGGCCGAGCGGATCAGCGGAATCGTCGAGAGTCTGTCCCAGAACTCGGGTGGGTAGCGCCAGGGATCAGGATAGCTGATGGAGGGCGGATAGATGCTCTCCGCTGGGGAGTTGTCGGGTGCTGTCTGGTGTCGATGTGGTTTCTGGGCTGAGCGCTTGTCTGGCAAGGACTGATCTATCTTCCGGGACTTTGCACATCGACCGTCTTGCAAGGCCTCATTTGCTCGTTGCCTCTTCCGGTTCTGCAGGATCGCCATGGAGGGCGTCTCACAGGAAACGACAATGAGAGCGGGAACGGGTGATAATAAAGAGCACTGTCGGCCATTTAACATCATACACCCGAGGGAGCGTGGATGCAGAAATGCGGCGTCAGCGCGTGGAGGAAAGTTGTCATTGGATCGCCTGCGTTTTGATTGAGGTCAAGGGAGAACATTCTTATCGGCTAATGATTGTCTCATGATAAAGGATCATGTGTAGCTCTTCAGACTGAGGTGTGGACATCAATCTTGGTCACAAGCGTAATGATATGTCACAGATGGGCGCTACCGATCCATAGAAGTGCTTAAATGTATATGACCAAGCACCAAATGGTGATTGATGCCCAAGGGTTGGAGGAATGCCTCGTGGCTGATGATGGCTGGTATCAACCAGATGGTTGGTGGGATTGCGGCTGGTATCACCAACGGGAGTGACTTTAGCCGTTATGCCAAAGGGCCAAAGCACTATGTCGGGCGGCACGATGCTCTCGGCCTGGATTGTTGGTGTGCTGGTCTCGTTTGTCGGGCTCGTCACCACGTCTGCTGCACAGAAGATCTATGGGGAAATCTACTGTAAGCACACAGCCCCACGATCTCTCCCATCCTTTCTTCCTGCTGAGGAATAGGAAGATCCGCCTGAGCCATCTGTACCGGACGGCGGACACTTCGTACTGGTTCTGGCACGGCGTCAACTGGCGCGCCCTGGTTGCGTGGCCGTGTGGCTGGATCCCCACCATAGGAGGCCTGGTCCTCACGACCTTGGGCAAAGATGATGGCCCGCGGGGCTTGTACCAGCTGTACTACATGGCGTTTCTCATGGGGTTCTCTATCAGCTCCATTCTCTTTTACACCCTCAACAAGCTCTTCCCCGTCCCCGGCATGGGCGAGTACGACGACATCGACTTCTACGGCACCCTTAGTCCCGACGAGGCCGCCAAGCTGGGCGTCATTCCTTGTGACCGGACGGCGGTCATCTATGGCGACCACAGTAACGACCTCAGCGCGACACAGGTTGCCGAGGCTTTTGATGACAAGAAGGGCGGGACGTGTCGGGATGATAAAGCTAGACGCGAGAAAGTTGGCGTGCCCGTCTCTAATGACAATGTATTTCTTCTTCTTCTTCCTCCATGCATGGTTAGTATTGTGATCCGGATGTCTGTCTGTATATATGCCGGTTTAGGGCTGTTGGATGAATGGAACCTGTACTTTGCCGTCGTGTCACCAGTACATGGACTGGCAAAAGAATCTCCACTCCACTGATTCGTATCCTACTGTGCGTGTGGAACATCCATAGGGAAATGGCATGCCCCCCCCCTTCTCGGTGTATAATGGATCCCCATACCCCATGACCCGTGGGATCACCGGTGCCATGTCCTTCCGATGTGCCCGCCCGCCCGCCCGCATATCGCTCGAAAGTCGGCCAGTGATGACGAAGAGCCATGCATGATGATCCGAGTCCGAGATTGATTCTCGTTTCCACAGCCGTTGCAGCAGGGTAACATCAGCTTGGCGACTTGCTGTCGTGATCCGGAAGTGGGAGAAGAAGAAGGAAAAAGGGGAGAGGGGAGAAAGAAAAAGACGGTAGGAGATGGTGCATCCACGTCTCTGGTTTCCTAATGCTGCTCTTCATAATGTATGTACTAAACTGTTCATGCTTAGTAAAAAAAAAAAAAGCCGGTAAAGCCATGCGTGGTCTTGGAGAATACAACCCAAGAACGAGTTAGATTATTTGCTTCTCAATATGACTCGCTCGCGCTATATGTCAAGATGATAATGCTTCTTCCCCTATCCGCTGTACTTGAGGGAGAGAAGAGATCCTACGACTTGGTCTCGACTCCCGTAGAGTCCTTCTTTTTATCCTCAGTCTGGTCTATCGAGCTCTCGTTCCCGTTCTCTTTTTGGATGGCTCCCGTGTCTTGCTTCTCCTCGGTCTTTGTCTCACTAGGTGGTGGTGGCGGCGGTTGCGAGGCGGGCTTGACTTGTTTCGACTTGACAATGTCGATCAGGTAGTCGCCCGTATTCCCGAAACCGTCGATATGCTGCAGCTTGCTCTTGAAGAATTCAAAGTCACGCAGCATGCTAGATGGGTGTTAGCAACGTATGTTCCATATCCCATGTCTGACTATCCAGGAGAAACGAAAGAGAGAGAGAGAGAAAGAGAAGGAGGGGCAGAAACATACCTATCCCGACCAGCCGCAGTCTTCGGATCAGCAACCCTGAAGTCTGCACCAAATTGCTCCTTGATGCTGGTGAAGACGGGTACCATGATCATGCGCACTGCGTCGTCGGAAAGATGTTTGCAGAGATTTTTGTAGAGAAGAGAGGTCTCCTTCACCAGCGTCTCCATATAGGCATGCGCACCCTTTGTCTCCTTCTCCCAGTCGGTGGCCTTGGCCGTCTTGGCGTGCGCTGTCGCTCGGCCGCTCATGATCTCCACCAGCTTGTCGAAGATGGTCTGCGTGTGCTCTTGGTAGTCTCGTTTCACCTTGTCGAACTCGCCCATCAGCGCCGATGAGGCACTACCCGACCCAGCGTGACGCCGGGCGAACTCCCGCACATAGGGTATCAAGGCGGCTACAAATGACAGAGCTTGCGAGGAGGAGGCAAGGTGACGGGTAGTGATATTCCTGAGCCCCGCTGTCCGCGTGGCGCCCGCGCCCAAGATGAGCTGCTTGCAGCGCGAGTCGAAGAATTGAAGGTATTTGATGAGCGACTTGGCGACGTCTGATGTGATGGAAGGGATCCCCACGATGAGGTGTAGAAAGTTGGACATGCCATCCATGCAGTACACGGCCGAGTTGGGCAGGACAAAAGTTTCCGAGTCGATGATCGCTTTTGCCTTGCCAGAACCGTTGCTCTGTGACGACTTTTCAACAACACCGTTCTCCTCATTCTCGTCCTCCTCTGGATATGGGATCCAGACTTGTGTGCCTAGTGCCCATGCTCCCGGGTCACTTGTGCTGCTGTCGAGAATCCGCTGTAACTGTTCCTTGTGTGCCTCCGTGAAGTCGACTGCGCCCCACTGATCCAACTCCATTCCTGTGGCAAGTTTCTGTTGTTCCGCATCGCCGTGATTCCGAACAAAGTCCTTGATCTGATTGTTGACCTCGTCCTTCAGGAGCGTCCCGCTCCTCCCTGACATCGACTCGCACTCGTTGGCAAAATGTAGGTTAAGCGTGAAGTAGCGCAGGAACCAGACCAGTTCCAGATGAGTACTCTGCTCTGATCGCACTCGTAGTATCCGCACAATCTTGTCATGCGCTATATCAACCCCATTGCCAAGGACAGCAGACAGGTCCAGCACCTTGTGAATCTCTTCCTGGGCCTCGATGCCAGCAACCGACGTTCTCCTCGTCGGAGGGCTCAAGGGTGGCGATTTCAGTGGTGGGGACTTCATGCCTGACGGTATTGAGCCATCCTCGATGGAGGCAGCAACATCCAGCATCAACTTGACCTGTGTCGACGTCCTTCGCAACGTCTCGGTTACGCTGACGTAGACCTTCACCAGCAGTTCCTCGGCATCCGCGGGCTCGAGTGCTCGTAGGTTCCGAGCAAGGATTGAGGACTTCTCCCTCTGAGACAATTTGCGCCCACCACCAGTGGCGGTAGAAGCAGACATTACAGACATATTGTCGTCGTCGTTCGAACTGGGCAAGCCCTGCTTCACGAGGCTCCTGACCTCCTTGATTACAGAGTCCCGATACGCCGTGACCGCATTAGTAATCTGTTTTGCCCTGTACAGGCCGCCCAAGCTCTCGATGAGTTTTGCGCGAAGGTCATCCGTCGACTCCAGGTAAGATGGGAAAGCCGTCGGTTCTCGTGGCGTGCGGCCACCCCTCGCTCGTATGGATGCGCTGTTCCAACGTACAAGAACTTCTCGAGTCGAGACGTTCTCGACATGGCGCCGGAGGTCTGCGATGAGGCTTGCCACAAACTTGGTTTCGTAGGCCTTGCCGATTCGTGATCGCAAAACATTCATGTCCTCGTTCACACCCTGCAGCGCTATCGCACCTCGGAGATCCCTCAATTGCACAGTCCGCAGCGCACTTGGCGGTGGTATCGACTCGTCTTCCTCGCCGGCGATAAGGCCCTCCAGAGCGTCAATCCCGTCGAGTGCAGCATCGACATCGCCCGAGTCCACCATTGACTCGCAGTTTGCCAGCTGATTCACCACTTCCTTCAGCTGCAGAACGGCATCATGGAGCTGCTGGACGTTTTCGCGCCGCCGCCGTATCTGAACGGTATGTAGACCACTGAGAACAATCTCCTCATCCACAGCCTCAAGCTCTTCTCTCAGGGTCTTTATCTTCTGCACAGACTCGGCCGTTTCTGTGTGGAGTTCTTTCAGAGATCCGAGAGCGCTGAAAAATGTGGTCGAGGCAGTCGAGATGGCAGAGATCAGATGCATTTCCACAGTGTCCATATACCAAGAGAGCTTCTCCTGTAGGATCGCATTCGTGGCCAGGGCCTTCCGCGGCGCTGTCGCATTCCCATTTGATGACGCTTTCTCTTCTTGACGGACGACCTCGGATCTCTCGCTTACAACATCAAATGTCCTTGGGTTCTCTAGGTGGAAGTCTTCGTCGAAGTAGACGACGGGGATTGTTGATAGTGGAGGTGGCCCCTGGGCGGATTTTCTGGAATAGCTCGAGCTCGACCTCCGCGCGATAGGTGGCGCATCCAGACCAGTAAAAGAGGATATCGAAGAGACAGATGCTTTCCTTGAGTTCGGTGGTCTTCTGCCTGGACGTAGACGGTTGTGGGTGTCCTCGCTAAAAGAATCTCCGACCTCGTCCCCTTTCCCACCTCGTGTACGGTTCAACACGTCTTCCTCTTCGCTCTCTTTTACCTGTTGGAGCTGTCTATACAGTGCGCCAACTTGCTTCAAATATGGTTCAAATTCGGACGGGTTGATCTTTTGGATGTTTGTCAGGGTCACAGGAGGAATGTCCCGGGCCGTCGGTGGCTTGTGGGCACTCGACGCCGGAGCAGTGGTGTGTGGGAGGAGACCGGTTCGAACGATTGGGGGTTGGAGGAGCGTTGAGATGGCTATCGAGCGGTCAGTTGTGACCACCATTTCTTTCTTCTGGTGGTCGCGCATACCATTCTGCCCGATTTCGAGGACACTCTCGCTGAAGGCCCCCTGATCTAAGGCGCCGCCCACTGAATGAATCGATCCGGCTGTAGACGGCCTTCTTGAACTAACAGATCCATGCCTATGAATGTCAGACAGCGACACCAGTCAAGAAAGTTCGTCGTTGCTAGCGTACCTGTGGAAGGGGAAGTCTGCACGGTGGCTCTGCGGTGAGGTAGGAGAGGCAAGACTGTCGATGGACTTCCGGGCCGCTGGATTCGAATACATGATGGATCCAAGAAGCTAAAGGACGTGACACTGCCCGTATTGACAATGCGGTCCTCAAAGAGCCCCAAAGGAAAGCCGGCGTGGCTATTAGTCGTCGATGGATAAGCGATGCTACCGTGGAATCATTGCTGGAGTTGGTGTCTGTTGCAATGCGCGGAACGATGAAAGGAGCGTCACAGCCGAGGGTGTTTGATTATTGTGGCATCAATGGACTGAGAAGAAGTAGGAGCGCTAGATACAGAGGAAACTCGAGAGCAATACGTTGTCTGGATGGCAGATTCTCGGTCCCGAACTGAACTCTACTGTGGTATACATGCACACTCAATGGACGGGTGATGAATGCATCAGCCACGGATAGTGAACAGCTAGCCGTCAATGGAGCTCAATGGTCCACCGACTATTGACCATGCTTACTACTAAGCAACGCTATGGTACTCTGGCAGTCTGGGCTGTTTGGTGCCGTAGCTGTCAAAGCGATAAGATACAGGGCCCGCTAGCTGGGCCTGCTTACTGTACATACTTTTGTGCAAAATGCAAGGGTTCGGCGAGCACTAGCAGTAGGTACTGTATCCCCTGCTGCATGTTCGCTGGAGAAGCCGTAAGCCTTTGCTAGAAGGACAGTGACCAGGTCTGCCCCTGCTGCAGTTTAATTGATTTCGCGTTGCAACCGCGTCTCACAGCGCGTCACCTCCCACTTCTCAGTAAATTTCGCGTCACGAAGCACTCGCACTCATTTGCCCTCCACGACACCCGCAACACCACTTTGCTGTCAGATTTCCTCCTTGACATCGTCTATTCTGAGCGCAGACAGCACCGCCTACACGACTCAAAATGGATCGCGGGACTGTACATACTCTTCACGTCTTCCCTCAGGAAGAGGCTGAGGAGACAAACCTGCAGGTCCAGAAGCAGCTCGAGACCTTCATCCTCGAGTTCAGACTTGACAACGTCTTTGTCTACCGGTAGGGTGTGATCACGAGCAAGTCATATTGACAATATCACTGATAAATGCCATTCAGGGATCAATTGCGCGAGAATGCGCTGCTGCAAAATTACTACTGTGACATTAACATCGGCGACTTGATCAAGTACAACGAGGAGTTGGCGCATCGCCTCGTCACAGAGCCTGCCGAGATTATACCACTGGTGCGCGTCCTCACCCTGATCTCTCCACTACTACCTTCTTCTGTGCTGACAGATGTTCATCTCAGTTCGAAAATGCATTGCGAAAATGTACCCAAAGAATCGTGTTTCCTCATGACATGAAAGTCAACCTGCCGCCACACCAGCTCCTTCTGCATTCAGATGCCGAAAATGTGTCGATCCGCAACCTCGACTCCCTCACCATCTCTCGACTGGTTAGAGTACCTGGAATCGTCATTGGCGCTTCAGTCATGTCCTCGAAAGCAACGGAGCTTCACCTGCAGTGCCGTAACTGTGGTTACGCGCCGAACATAAGCGTAGACGGTGGTTTCACGGGTGTCACCCTCCCACGGCGCTGTGGAAGGGAGAGGCTGAGGAACGACCCGACAGAACCATGTCCACTCGATCCCTACTTCGTCGTGCACGAAAACTCCAAGTTCGTCGACCAGCAGGTCATCAAGCTGCAGGAGGCACCGGATCAGGTTCCCGTGGGAGAACTGCCGCGACACGTCCTCATCTCCGCCGACAGATACCTGACCAACCGTGTTGTCCCGGGATCGAGATGCATTGTTATGGGCATCTTCTCGATCTACCAGAATAAAGGAAGCAAGAACTCGTCCACAGGTGGTGCCGTCGCTATTCGCACACCATATTTACGGGCTGTCGGTATCCAGACGGACATTGACCAGACTGCCAAGGGTCACAATATATTTTCGGAAGAAGAGGAGGAGCAGTTCCTGGCGCTGAGTAGGAGGCCGGACCTCTATCAGGTGATGACCAGGTGCATAGCCCCGTCTATCTACGGAAACCAGGACATCAAGAAGGCCATCTTGTGCTTGCTGCTTGGCGGTTCCAAGAAGATTCTACCCGACGGCATGAAGCTGAGAGGCGACATCAACGTGCTACTCCTTGGTGACCCGGGTACAGCCAAGTCACAACTGTTGAAATTCGTTGAGAAGGCCGCTCCCATATCCATCTACACCTCGGGCAAGGGATCTTCGGCGGCCGGTCTGACAGCATCCGTGCAACGAGACCAATCCACCCGAGAGTTCTACCTGGAGGGCGGTGCAATGGTGCTCGCAGATGGTGGTGTGGTATGTATTGATGAGTTCGACAAGATGCGAGACGAGGACCGAGTGGCAATCCACGAGGCTATGGAGCAGCAGACGATTTCCATAGCCAAGGCCGGCATCACTACCATCCTCAATGCGAGGACATCTGTCCTGGCAGCTGCCAACCCCATCTTTGGCCGCTACGATGACATGAAGACCCCAGGCGAGAACATTGACTTCCAGACCACCATCTTGTCTCGTTTTGATATGATCTTCATTGTCAGAGATGAGCACGAGCGCGGCCGTGACGAACGTATTGCCAAGCACGTCATGGGCATTCACAAAGGTGGGGTGGCAGCTGATGATACCACTGAAAGCGAGATTCCTGTCGAGACGATGAAGCGCTACCTGAGCTACTGCAAATCGTAAGTCAACCAGACCCCTCTCTCGTCAATCATCCGATGATCATGAGGCTGACAGTCCACTAGACGGTGCGCTCCTCGTCTCAGCGAGGCAGCAGCGGAGAAGCTCTCATCGCACTTCGTCTCGATCCGCAAACAAGTGCACGCGACTGAACTGGAGGCCAACGCCCGCTCGTCAATCCCCATCACTGTCCGTCAGCTCGAGGCCATCGTGCGCATCACCGAGTCCCTGGCCAAGCTGACTCTATCCCCTGTCGCGACGGAGGCCCATGTCGACGAGGCGATCCGGCTGTTCCTGTGCTCGACCATGGACGCCGTGAACCAGGGCAGCAGCCAGGGCAGCCGCGAGCTCAACGACGAGGTCAACAGGATTGAGGCAGAGCTGAAGCGGCGGCTGCCCATCGGGTGGAGCACGAGCCTGGCGACGCTGCGAAGGGAGATGGTCGAGGGCAAAGGCTTCAGCGAGCAGGCGCTCAACAGGACGCTCATGATCATGCAGAGGCGGGACACGATTATGTTCCGAAACCAGGGGGCGCAGGTGTACAGGAATGGGGCATGATAAGGCGCGCGTATGTGTGTGTGGCGGCATCGGTGAAACACCGTACGAGGGGTGTTAATCGGCGTTTGATTTGGTTCGAGGAGGAAGGAATTATATTTGCGTGCTGGTTTCCTGTCTGGCCTGGTTGGGAATTGGACGGTACTTATGCCACTGTGTGAGATTCGTAAGACAATTTACATATCCATCCATTGTCTTTGGTTAGGAGATGGCCATTGCCCGGGCAGCACCGTTGCCTGAATGCGTGGATGAAACCTAGCAACATTGTCAATTTATACACCACTCCAGTGAGCTGACTACCTTTTATCAACCCCTCCGTCTTCAAAAGTCAGCCAAGTCACAAGCAGAGGACCCCAGCTACAGCAGTCAGCTAAGCGTAACCTGGTGACCAGTAGTACAGGGTGGCTGAAGAGACGGGAGGGGTGCCTTACCGCGATCTACTCGACTATTCCGGGTCTTAATCTGCCTCGGGAGGACAGGTCTGATGGGGTCTTCAGAAGATGTAAACGCGCAACTCGGTGATGTCTTCTGTGAACAGACGATACGGTTGGAATGAGGGTTCAATTGGGGTGAACAGGTTGTTTTGTAATCGGTAGCAATTTCCACTTATCATTGTTTCCTGCTTTGAGGTTGAAAACAAAGACACAAAACAGAAAACAAGATGCGTGTTGCGTGGATGGAACTCATAAGTAATGTCTTAAATAATGTACAAGTCTACAAAATACCGGGACTCTACTCCCTGCCGAGATGCGCAGAACGCCTGCGCCCGAGATGAGTTGTCTCTCACACGTACGCAATGGTGTTGTCGAATCGTATGGTAGCGTTGACTCCCAGAGCCGCTTCTCCATTAGCAACAGAAGGACCGCGGGCGATGAGCTAGAAAGGAGCAGGTCAGCAATAATGTTCATAGTATCTCTTCATTGTCATGATCGGACAGAGACTCACCTCTCCTTCTGCCTTCTCATCTGTTGTCTTGTGATCGCCAGAGTCTCTCAAGAGGATCTCCACGCTGGTTACGGGTGGGCCGAAATGGGAGCATTTATCCTCGTGCACCCGGTAGTCATAAAACTGCGTCTGCGCTACGGCGCCTGCCACCTTCGCTGCTGTCAGCGCGTAGATGATCCGTGCACCAAGGTAGATCCTCAGATCCGATAGCACAGCAGACGACAGTGGCGGCGTCGTTCCTGAACCAGCACGCTCAGCGGTGTATACCAGTCGTAGCTTTCCGGGAGTCTGTCCGATGGCGGGCCTCAGACTATCATTGTAGGATGTCAGGAAGGAGGCAGCCGGCATGACACCCGTCTGCGTGAGTTCGCGCGTCTGCAGCCAGTGTATCTTGCTGGTAAAGAAAGAGGAAACGTTGCGCGTGGCCAGCTCATGGGTCTTGAGGAGAGTCTGCGGGGAGGCCACGATGACTGTTGGTGCGATGCCACGGGTCGCGAGGCCGAGGTCCACATCGCCTGCAGAGGAGTTGAAGGCGACCGAGGCATTCGAGTAGAGGGCGGCGAGGGTCAGGGACAGAGTGTAGGTGCTGGCCAGTGAAGCAGCAGGTAGGAAAAGGTCAGAAGGGCCCAGGCGCTGGGTCTGTGGGATGGCGAAGAGCTGTGCGGCGATGGCGGAGACGATGTTTGCGTTTGTAAAACGCACCATCTCTTCTGTGACGCCTGGCTTCGAGGGCCAGAAGATGGTCATGTCACGGGGCTCTGCCTGGCCTTCAAAGGGGGGGAGCTCCGTGCCGGCATCAGCCGGGCTGTCCTGGACGATGTCCTGCCACGTTACGACCTCGATGCTGCCGCCCATGCCCTGCGGGACCTCGTTCCAGTCCATATGCCTGTTGCCTTCATCAACCACCCAGATAACATGTCGGAGGGAGGGGTAGTTCTTGACAACTAGATCGAAAGGGAACGAGCCGGGAAGGGCCACGACAGTATCGACGGCAGCGCGGCGCAGCATCGAGATAACGGCCTCGTCGGACTGGTCAAAGGGGATGAGGACAGCAGTCAGGTTGTAGAAGGCGCATGCGAAGATGGCAGCCATCAGCTCGACCGAGTTGGGCAGGTAGATGGCGACGCGGGCACCGCCCTGATCGAGGATATGTTTTCCGATGAGGTTGATCTGGCGCGTCACATCGTCTGATGCAGTCAGTAACCGTCGAACATGAACGAGATGCGTTCAAGCATACCAAACTTGTGCTCAAGCACCTTCTGTCCCCCAAGAACCGTCAGGATCTTTCCCTTGCCCGTCGGCTTGCCCGGTTCCGAGGTTCCGCTGATGGCCTGTCTCCAAACATCACGGAGATCTCCATCGCGTCCTCTGGACCATTTGGAGGCGCCAGGGTCCTTCACGTTCAGGCCAGAGTTCAGAGGCATGCCATGAGGGGAAGAGTGGGACCGATAGACGGAGGATTCGCCTTTGTATCGCACAGGTGAGGCTTGTGCCTGGCGAGCGAGGAGCAGAGGGTGAGTGTCGGGGTCACGGCGGGCAAAGACCTGGTAGGAGAGGAACATGACGAGGATGGTAGCGATAGCAGTTGAGTACGAGTTCCATTGCGCGAATAGGCCGGTGACGCCCTGGTCGAGCTGCCACATGGCGTTCTCAAAAAATCCGTTGAACATGGTGGGCTGAGCTGTCGAGCCGGAGAAGCTCCTCCGGGTCGAGAACTTGTTGTATGTCTCGGGCGGAGTGTGAGTGACTGGATGGGTCGGTCGATCGATGGCCGAAGATGTTGAGGATGGTACTATCTTGGACAGAAAGATATTCACAGACGAGGCAACATAGCTCGTCGCACCTGTGGTGTGATGCCTCGTCTTTTGATATGATTATTGAGAGAATGTGATGCCTCGATAGACTGCAGAAGTGAAGAGTCGCAGCCAGCGGAAAGAAGCTCTGAGTTTGAGGTTTTGAAGGAGACGGACAGCTGTGACGAAAGCCTGGCTCTAGCGCGGGCTGGCGGGATGGTTGGAGGTCCCTGAGACAGTGGGGCGGTGCCGTCACAATACCCCGGCACGCCGTCGCCTAAGTAGCAAATATGTTAATGTCAAGTACTATTACCGACGTTGGTCTCTGCATGATTCAATGTGCCTACCTTTGGGATATGTGTATGCACTTAGGCTTGTCTCAAGACTCCATGCCTTCATTCTGAAGCTCACAGGACTCAGAAGACTAGTAGATAAAGTGTACTCTGTCCCTGGATTTCATCTCACCAGTCTCCTTGTTCTCTTCTGCTGACTTCCAGGGCTTAACAGCTGGAGGGAGTACTCATTATCATATAAGGAATTCATTCACACGAACTCTTGAAACATGAAAATCCGTTTTGTACTTGACACAAGTAGAAAGCGCCGACCTTACCTGGCCAAATTACTTCTTAAACGCGTACTATACCTCAAAGCCATTGGTAGTACAGTCGTGGTGCCTTGTACGTTCCATGCCAGAGCTGAGTGCTGCTGGGAGGTGGGCGGTTAGTCCCGTGTCCCCACCAGGAGCAAGGATGCTGTCACCTAGGGAGCCATGCAGTGTTGATTTTCGCGTTTTCAGCGAAGTCTGCCTGCCTAGCCGGCTTCTCTTTCCTAGTCACCACAACAAAACGCAGCTCGACCACACGCACCTCTTCGCAATAGGCAGGCTTGCCTTGGAGGCACATCTTCTCCAGAAGACTTTACTAACCCAACAGGTATCCTCATTTTTTCTTTCTTTTTGTCTCTGAACTTGACACCGAATACCAACCCAAACCGTCCCCTTCCTCGGGTTGGCCGCGCAAACCTGGACCAGCATTCAACCTCCCGGCGCATCATCCCCCATCGCGATCAACATGTCGGGATCCTCAACGGCGCTCGCCGTCAGCAAGCCTCGGTTCAACGTGACGCCCTCCAAGACGACACCCTCCAAGGCCATCCCCCCAGCTACCGAGTCGCCTGGCAACTGGCAGCACCCTCGCATTGACGAGATCACCCGCCGGCAGAGCGCCACCCTCTTCACCAGCGACAATGTCAAGACGGTCATCTACAACGTAACTGCACTGTTTGTGGTCGGATTTGTTCACAGGATCCATGATGACTTTAGCTCAAGATGGATGTAAGCAGGCGCGCGCGACAGCATCTCCCGACCCGCCTCGGCCGAGTCCACCGGAACTAACAGTTGTGTGTAGTCACGGTGTCGACACGAGGACAGCAGTGTGGTGGGCCTTCTTCGCCTTCTACATGCTGCCGCTCTGGAATATCCTAGTCGCCTGTCTTCCCCTCCTCCGGGAGAAGGATGACCTGTCCGATATTCCCCTCACGCCGGCACAGCGAAAGCTACTTGGCCTCCCGCCCAGCTCGAAGCCGCCAGCACCGGACACCGTCTACAGCACACCTCCACGATGTTCCCGGACCCCGTCCATCGCGAGCTCGACCGGCAAGGCCAGCCCGAATAACTCGCCGCTCTCTGCTAACGGCAGCCCGGGCTCTGGTTCGAGGATTGGCGGATCACCATACTCGCCTGTCGTGAGCCCGCTGCTACAGAAAGCTGTGGGCTACAATGGACGCCGCTCGACCTCTCAGGGATCGCCCACCCCTCTTAGCCAGAGCCTGCTCAACCAGAGCGCCGCCTCTTTCAACTCGAGCGTCTTCTCTGAGCCACCTGCAACGCCGAGCCCGCCTGGCGGAAAGAGAATCAGCGTGGGGCTGAACAACAAGTGGCTATACGAGAGGAGCAGAAGATCGTCAAACAATGTGTGGTCATAGCAACAGTCAGGAAGGGATGTTTAGGGAAGAAATGGCGATTTGTGAGAATCAAATCGCGGTGGGACCACGCCGACAGCTGGCTGGTGGTCTCAAGGCGAGTTCGCAAGTACGTTCTGCGAATCGCCCACGAGCTGAGAGAGATAGGAATTCAAGGCAGCAGCCGGGAAACCTATATCGCTTTGCCTGCCAAAAGATGCTCACGCGGATGCCTGTATATGCCGTGGGACGTCACCATCCTGTGTGTACTTTGTGAAAAGAGTGACACAGCTCAGCAGAGAGGGCCTAGATGCACGGTCGCATAGAGACAGTATAGAAAACGAAGACATGCGAAACACTGGACTTGAGAGAGCTAAAACAGAGTCCAGAACACTTTCATGTAAAGCATAAATCTGCAAGTCATGTGAAGCAGAAATCTGCTTGCAGATTTGAGTCAATATATTTATTATCGCCTCTGTTTTGTTTTGTCTTGGCTTGTTGTGAAGTGGTGGTGGTTGGGTTCGAGGTGACGTACTGCTAGTAAGTCCTCCTGGCCAGGGGTTTCCCTGGACGTGCTGTGGTATTTAGTTCCATAGTACTTGACAGGACGTCGCCTCGGCGAACGCAGCCCCCCAAGACTCCGTCCGGCTTCACCGACAAACGAAAGCCCATTTACCGAAGCTTCCTCCTCATCGTCACGCCCTGGGAGTGTACAACCCACCTCTGGCACGTCTTGTCGCCAAGAGTCGAGTCCCATCCACCCAATCTCGCCTTGGGACAGCTATCGGGTCGCTGTCAACATGGGTGCGAGCGACTCGAAGCTGGTCTTCAAGAAGGGCATCTTCAGGCTCTGCGGCGAGCGCAACATTCCTGCCGACGACCCATACTGGACTTCCGTGCGTGGCCCCCACCAGCTACTTCTTGCCCTGCTCTCCTCCTCTTTCTCCTCCTCCTCCCTCCCGAAACCTCAGTAGTAGTACTGACGGCAGTATCATCGTGACAAACAGTTCTGGGAGCTGCCGGAGTCTTCCGAGGATGTCTTCAGCCTCTTCGCCCCCGCCGACATCCGCCGCACGAGGGACACTGCGCTCGAGAACCTAGAAACCCTCATATTAGCTGTCACCTCCCGCCTCTTCGTCCTGCGCCACCACCCTTCGTTTCCCGATCCTGAGATCGCCCCGGAACGCGATGCCCTCAACTGCATACGGGTTCTGACCCGCGTCATCCCTTATCTCTACGAAGCCGACAACTTACAGGAATGGGAGCAGCGGTTCTTCTGGGGCGTGAGGCGGAAGAGGACGAGAGAGGCCAGGATCGCAAACGAGGTGCTCTTTGACGATTCGGAGGAGGAGCAGGAGGCACAGCTCAAGAGGCGGCCGACGGATGAGTGGGAGGTGACCAGGCCGCTGGCCGAGGAGCTTCTCGACACCCTGGTGGATCTACTTTTCTTCTCGGACTTCACCAGCACCAAGCAGCCACATGGCAAACCCAAGGTTACCTATATGATATGGCAGAGCGGCGTGGGGTGCAACCAGACGGTCGCAACGACCAAGGAGTTCGAGAGCAACCGCATCGAAGTCCTCCGCCTTCTGCTTGCCCTCACCGGCCAAGGCATGTACATGTCTGCCGCAGCGCTGCCGCAGTATGGCACGAGGGCTTTGACGCACATCTGTACCTGCTCGGACAAGCAGGTTGTCCTGTCTGTCCTGTGCTCCCTCCTGAATACTGTACGTCTTTTGGGTTTACCACCTGAATGTCGCCCTCTGCCTCCACAGCTGACTGTCTTTAGACGATGAAATACAACCCCGCGAGCTGGCGGGTTCCTTACAACGCCCTCGTCTTCAAGGACCCAAAGCAGATTCTTGTCACCTATTCTCTCCAACTCCTCCTCGTCACCGTCCTCTACCCCGTACCAGAGACCAACGGTGAGGCGCAGAAGAACTGGTTTCGACACTTTCTCGGGCGGATACATAGACCGCAAGATTTCCAGTTCATCGTCGATGGCATGACTCGAATCCTGAACCAGCCTCTACAAGCTAATGCCTCGTACATACCCGGGACACAATCGTCTGTCAGGTTCGGGCCCGAGATGATCATGCTGTTCTGGGAGATTACGCAGTGCAACAAGCGATTCCGTTCTTTCATCGTGGATACGGAGAGAGCACATGACTTTGTTGTCTTGATCCTATTCTATGCTCTGGAAAATAAGAACGATGCGTCCAAGCAGGGTGTGGTCAGGATGTGCGCGTTCCTCCTGCAGACGCTTAGTGTTGAGAAGAGCTTTGGTGTGAACCTGAACAAGAACTTTGAGGCTCAAGAGACACTCCCTCCTGTGGTGCGAATCCAGGGTTTTAGGGGTACCTATGCCGACTTTCTCATCCAGGTAAGCTGGTCCTGTGTCTCAAGGTCATCATCCTGCTACACGCAATGCTAAACTAAATTTAGTCCATCTACAATCTCATCACCACGAGCAATGGCAAACTTACTGCCATCTACCCGGCCCTGTTGGCTGTCATTAATAACATCGCCTATTACCTTGAGGGTTTGAGCACTGCGACAAGCACCAAGCTCATGCAGCTGTTTAACTCCATGTCCTCGCCATCATTCCTGCTGGTCAATGAGACCAATCACAGCCTCCTGAGGGCCTTGCTGGAGTCCATGAACTCTGTTCTGGAACACCAGTACAAGAGTAAGTCAGGTGCTTCTTCTCTAAATGAACATGCCCTAACGAAGAGATTCATTGATGTTTCCTCTCTTCCTTTTTCTTGAACCCAAAGAAACCACAAGGACAAGTGCTGACAATCTTGCAGAAAATCCCATTTTTGTCACCACGATCATGCGAAATAGGAAACGCTTCGAGGCACTGCGGAATTTCACACTGGAGAGTGGACAAGAGGAGATTGAAAGACGAAACAGACGAAGAAAAGACGCGCGAGCATCTTCGGACATAGATTCCACGAGAAGCTCAGCGGAGAGCTTAAGAAGCCCAGTTGGAAGCCACTCGCGCGCACCGGCATTAAGCAACGTACCAGAAGAAGACGGCACGTTCACAATCGGAGATGAGGAGGAAGACAGTGATGAGGAGCGCCCCACGCCTTCACAGTCAGACCCCGGCGAGAACCCCTCGCGTGCCTCATCGGTGGTGGAGGATGCGGTGCCGACGCAGCTTCGCGGCATGTCGGAGAAGGCCCGCGGCAAGATGCCGGCCGGTATGCAGAACTTTTCGAGGCAGAACAGCATGACCAGTCTCAGCGGATACTCTGTGTCAGGCCAGTCACAGAGCGGGCAGTTCGAGCCGACAGCGCAGTGGATCGACAGCTGGCTGCCAGAACTACCGCTGCACACCATCCTGACCACAATCCAACAGCTGTCCTCGTTGGTGCCCCGACAGGCCTTGATAGCGGACCATGCCTCGCCAGACACCCTGCGGCAGATCAGCCAGGTCAAGCTGGTCGGCGTCGACGTCTCTCCCGTGCGTGTGCACTCATTCGAGTGGTCACCCCTGGCATTGGGGTGGTACGAGTCGCTCATCTGGAGCTTCGTGTTCAGCAGCGAGATGCAGGTCTCGAGGGGCACAGTCGGCATATGGAACGGCACGGCGATCAAGCTCTTCCGGGTTCAGGAGACAGCACCCCAAGGACCGACCCTGACCTCGCCGAGAGGTGCAGTGGATGCGGTGGGTAGCAACATCGTATCAAGAATCGGAGCGATCAACCTGCGAGGCCCACAGGCGCAGTCGCCGACGAGCGCCCCCGGTTCGGCCGGCAGTACACCCCATCTCGGGCGAAACTAGCAGTCGGAGGGTGCCGAGGTAAACACGTTGCTGTCTCGATTATCTCCCTGAGATGCTGGGTCCTGCAGGTGAGCAACAATGCCGGCATCGGGAAAGGGGTAGGGAGAGAGAGAGAGAGAGAGAGAGAGAGAGAACAGACACATGAGGGCGAGCCAGGCGTGAGAGGAACAGCAGAATCCAGGACCGTGGCAAACGAGGCACAGTTGTTGGGCAGTGGATATCAACGACAGGACTTTTCAGGGAGAAAGTACAGGTGGTTCCGACAGCAGATAAGCAGCGATACTAGATCACCGAGAGAACAAGTCCCGACTTGGTGTTGGTGGGTGGACAATGGTTTTGGGATGTGAGAATAGAAAGCCTATTCAAGATGCGATCTCTTGGCATTACTTACCTCACAGAAAGTAGCGAGCGATGTGACGACGAGACTGGCGCGAAGGGATTGTGGATCAACACCGTCCATACCCATACTCATTACTACGTTATGTTATAGTGCCAGTGCCGTGCTACTACTATCCGCGGGCGTCTATTGCGCTCTGTTATTACATCCCCCAGCTGTAGAAACCGACTGGTGGGATTGTAGAATTATAGCCTGCCAAAATATACCTTTTGAAAGGGACTTCTAATCATACTCGACTTTTTATTCTAACCTTACCTTCAAAACGGCCGCTACTACCATTTACAGACGCGACAAATGTTATTTATTCAGTAATAATCTTGGACATAATGATTATTGGCTCGAGGGAGTGAAAGCTCCGGCGCCTACTGGCAGCGCAATCTCCTTTGTTCGGACAATACTCGACTCGTGCTGCACAGGGCACGGATTTCCTACACTACTCTTCTTTCTTTCTTACTTGTTGTGATCTTTCTCTTTTTTTTTCTTTCTTTTTTTTTTTTTTGCCACCTCTGGGCTGCCTCCCAAAATATAGACGTCGCGTAACTCTCTTCGTAGTAGCATGCTACCATAGAAGCTGACTGAGAACGTGGCGACATCTAGATTGATCGTCTTCGTCCCGTGAGCTCCCTCCCGGGGGGGGGGTTCAACTATGTTCTGTCGTACATGCGTAGCGGGCCCTAAAGAGCTGGCCTGGGGGACCCCCCGGGTCTCTGGCCAGCGGCAGCCCGCGGTACTGGAAACCCTTGCACGCTTGTCCACCGTGCCCCACGTAGGTGCCCTGAAAGAAGGAGGGTAGGCCAGGGGGAGGTTCCTTCCCGACTTTGCTGCATTGGCAGATCAATTTCCGGACGTGGCCAGGGGCGAGACGATCCCCGTGGCGGTGCGTGCGTGGCCACTTCCCGGATATCCAACCTGCGTGCCTGCCAAGTTTCCCAGTCTTCAATACCAGTTCTTCTCCCAGGCGCTGGCGCGCAAGCCACAGGACCCCTGGATCTTCACAACCCTTACCTTAGCATGTCGACAAGCGTCAGGCTCGGGAGTGCAATAGCGTCTTCGCTGTCAAGCCACGTCTAGGACGCTTCGGGACGGTGTTGGGCGGTGATAGGTAGGACCTCGACCGGGGTCCATCTTCCCCTTTTAGATGAAGGGTCAGGATGTGGGATGGGCCAGGGGGGGTCCAGTACAGAAACAACGGTACAGCGGTAGGAGGAAGCGTGGTGTCCATGTTTATTACATAGTCTTATTGCATTGATTGCTCTTTTTACTCATCTTCGTGTCGTGGGTTTGACCAAGTTCTTGTGCTGGCTCTTCTCTTCTCTTGCGGCTCGCCCTTCTTCCTCTTCTCATCATTCTCGTTCTTCTAGTTGACGTTGTTGGGATCGTAAGTTATACTTGTTGCAGATTTTGACTTTAATCTGGTTTTTTTCTTCTTGTTTTAACATACCTTCCGCCGCCTACCACATCAGGATTTGTAAAATCGACCTTTTTTGTTGTGTTTTATTTTAGTACACGTAATTTTGTGGACGCCATGGCGGAAAACGAGGAGACCCCCGGCGCAGCAGTCGATGATGAGATCAAGCCGTACAAGATCCACGTAGGTTCTTGTTCATGTCCACAGCCTAACCCTGTTATTATGAGTTCGCCTCCTGCTAACGCCACTTTTCCAGGTCTCGAGCAAATACTTGAAGTTGACAAAACAAAAGCTTGAGTTGACGAGGCTGCCACATGAGGGGGCGGACCCCCCTTCCGAGGACTGGTGGGAGCCCAAACCGCAGGTCGAGTCGCTCGTCGACTTCTGGCTCGAGAAGTACTCATGGCGGGACCAAGAGGAGATCCTCAACAAGACGCCGCAGTTCAGGACGGCCATCTCCATCTCTGGCTCCGAGGCCCCCCTCAGGCTGCACTTTGTCCACGTCAAATCACCGCATGAGCATGCCCTGCCCCTCCTCGTGATACCCCCGTTTCCCTTCTCGAACCTGGCGCTGCTGCACCTGGTGAGGCTCTTCACTGAGCCGGAAGATGCAGCAACCAACCAGCCGTTCCATCTGGTGATGCCAGCACTCCCAGGGCTTGGCTTCAGCGACCCGCTCCCGACCAACACGCCCGAGATCTCAACGACGGCAGAGATGCTGAACACCGTGATGGCACGCCTCGGATACCAGCACTACCTCGCCACCAACGCCGGGCCCGCGCAGCACTCGCCAGCGGAGATCGACTGGAAGCTCATCAGCCACCTCTCGACCCAGTACCCGGGCTCATGCATCGGAGCCCACTTCATCGCCCCCTCGCTGGCGAAGCCCAAGTTGTCAGAGGCGCCCATCGAGTGGGCCAAGTGGACCATCGCCAGTGCTTTCAGCGCTGGCATCCTAGGGTATAGCGAACAGGACTTTTCTGCGCTCAAGTCGACACCGGGCGCCCAGAGTCCCAGGAAAAAGAAGGACCTGATGCCCTCAAAACTGGGGTTGAATGCCGTGGGCCTGCGCGAGCCCAACACACTTGCGTAAGTGAGATTGTTCCCCTACAGAGTGCTTGTTGGGCTGTATGCTGACTGAAGACTCACCTTCATGACAGTTACGCCATGTGCGACTCGCCAGTCGGCCTTCTCGCCTTCGCCATGAAGGGCTTGGGGCACCAGGCCCCTCAGATGCAGTTCACACCTGAACAGATTATTACCTTTGCCAACCTTGCTTGGCTTCCAGGTCCCGAATATTCGATGCGCTTTTGGGCACGATGTGCAGCACAGAATCGAGACAAGATGCAAGAGAAGAAAACCACGGTCAACAACAAGCCACAGGTCGGCATCACCGTCTTCCTGGGAGGAGAAGATGATGACGGTATGGACGACGCGACCACCTCCCAGGAAGTAGGCCAGGGGGCAATCAAGCTTGGGAGCCCAACGAAGGTCACCCCTGGAGCTGCGTATGCGTGCCCCGCGTGGGGCAACACACACTACAACGTCCTCTTCTCGCAGCGGGTATCGGGCAAGGCCGGGCTGCTGGCGTGGGAGAGACCAGACGTCATCCTAGCAGGAATCAGGGGGCTCGCAGCAGAGGTACTGAAGGTCGACAAACGGCTTCAGCCTGAGCATGCTACGCCCACTGCTCCTCTCGAGGATGTGGTGGTCGCTCAGGAGTCGGCAACGAAAGATGATGGCGGCCTCAAGCCACCACCAAGACCGACTCTAGAGCAGGGCGAAAGCTCAAAAACACAAGTCGCCGAGGAGCCGGCGACACAAGACGATGGCCTCAAACCGCCACCAAGACCGGTCCTGGAGCAGGGCGACAGCTCCCAGACTCAAGTGGCATCGGAACCTCCTGCAAGCCCTAAGGGAAAACTGCCTGAGGCGAAACCTGACGATGCTGTCAAGCCGAATTGGGACAACAGAGACGAGACCGATTCGCCAAGGCGAGGAACACCAGATACTATAGTCATGGTGACTGCACCGACAGGTGAAGAGACCAGGGAGTAATGAGTTGAAGGATAACCCAAAATGCAAGTCGAAACTGCACAGACACGCGAGAACCCAGACTTGCCACACTGTCCTTTGAGGTTTAGCCCTTTCTTTTTCAATGATACCAATCCTTTCTCGAATTTATGAGCAAAACCAACAAGCCAATGGCATAAGTACCGCCAGGTTTAATTGATATATGCCTTTCTGATGGATAATGACCGCTGCAAACCCGCAGGAAGGGAAGGGATGGAAATGGGATGGGGGCTGGATAAGGGGGCTGGGGCTAAATAGAACACGATATATCCTCAAACTCATGAAACTGTGGAAGCATCTTGAAGAGGATACTGAATTGATTAGATCTTACTTTTGTTTGTAACCAAGAGGTGTTAGAAATAAGAGGGGGCCAGGAGGGAAGGTTTGAGGGACTGGGATATCGATGATATGACGTCTAAGTGCAGTAAACAACACCCAAGAGGTGAGCCTCGAAAAGAGAAGGTACAGGGATCGGACAGCCCGGCGTGTCAGGGTCTTCCCGGACCTGTCTCCAATAAACGTGGCCTTAGTTGGAGCTCTCCAACTCACTGCACCGTTTCAATCATCCAGGCTTACTTCAGTGGAGCCTCGACACAATGGCACCCAGCAACTCATGACAGTGCCGACGACGACAACACTTCCATCACACCGACCTGGAGCACAACAAACCAACAACAAACGGGATAGACTAGCTCTTCCCTAGTAGTCCATACCCCCTGATATTTGTTTCCCCTCCACACAGACTCGCCACGATGTACTCCTCGATCGTGCGGATACAGAACACCTTCGGCTTCTTTACCACCGTCGCCTTCGTGATCGCCGCCCTCATCGCAGCAACCGACCTCCTCGCCCCGCGCACCCCCTCCGCCGGCCTCCTGAAGACGACCAACGTGCAGGTCATCAAGGGCAGGCCGCATTACTACTCCAGCCGAAAAGAAGAGTACGCCGTCATCAAGTTCAGCCTCGACGCCGACCTGTCGAGCCTCTTCACCTGGAACACCAAGCAGGTCTTTGTGTACGTGACGGCCGAGTGGGATGATGCGGCTGGTGGATCGGAGGGCAGCAATGCCACTAGCCAGGCTGTCATCTGGGATACCATCATCACCGCGCCCTCGTCGGATCACCTGGGTAACTACGGGCCGGCAAAGCTGAAGAAGCTGAGGAAGAGCGCCGAAGGGAAGCCAATAGATCCGAGCCGGTGAGTACATGCGCGCGCACACATACACACACAGTATGACCTATGTAGGCATTTCGACTCAGATATGCTAACGCAATCGGACAACAGCGGCAAGCTCTCCCTCAAGAACCAGCGCCCAAAATACCAAATCACCCACCCCTCCGGCAAGATCGCCGACACCCCCGACGTCCAGCTGCGGTTGCACTACAACGTACAGCCCTGGGTCGGCGCCCTGACCTGGAATCAGAACAGGGACATAGGCCTGTGGAAGGCGTTCGCCGGTGCCGTTAGCGAGGTGTTCAGGCTGCCGTTGGTCAAGAAGGACAGCGGGACCAGCTCCAAGAACTGAGAAAGGCTGGGCGTCGAGGCTGCCGTGGGCGGACCGAACGAACGTGATAAATAGTGTCGGTGTGTCTCATATATAAAACGGCGCAAAACTCCAAAGCGCCGATCAATTCTGTCACAGTTCAGTTCAATAACGCCCGGCAATTACTCACGATCGACACTCATTAATTTCAGTTCTCTAACTCTACACTATGCCTATCTATACTGCACGGTGGCCCTTCTCTAGAGAGGACACGAACGTGTTCATATTCAAATAGTATAAACGCAAGGCCGCCTCACGCACTAGGCCGGCTAGAACATGTAGTGCAGAGAACATATTCGTGATCTTCCATGTAAGAAGAACCACAGAATTCATCAACATAGGCCGATCATTTTCGCCATCCTATGCTCTCTCCGCCACGATGCAACTCTATAGAATTGCCGGTCAGCCCTTAGCCCTTGCCAGGAAGGACGCGGCACCTCTAAAGAGTTCATCATCAAAGATGTGTGTTGGCCAATGGGCTTTTTCGCACTGAGCAGAATTATGCGGCGGACTGTTGGGCAGGACCACCTCTTCCACGACCTCGAGGTCCTCCGCGACCCCTACCGCGGCCTCGGCCACGGCCGTCAAGACCTGCTGGTGGTGGAACGGCGTTGTAGGACTGGGCAGGTGCACCGTTCTGCTGCGATTGGCCATTAGTCATAACCGCACCGTCCATACCGCCTCGGCCGCGAGGAGCACCGTTGCCACGACCACCCCTATGGCCGTTCTGATAGCCTCCTCGTCCGCCGCGATACCCCTGCTGAGGTGTCTGATTCGGTGAATGGCGGTACACTAAGTTGCTGGGCTGGATGTTGAGTGATCCACGCTGGGCACCATCATGACCACCTCGTCCTCGCTGGCCGTTGAGCGCGCCACGCCACGACCCACTAAGTGGTGGTGGGATGGGAGCATCGTGATAGGCACGTCCGGACGCACCAGGCGCACCATAGCCACCACTCGCGACGAGGGTGGTGAGTGATGGGTGTGGTGCCCTCGCCATCTGAGCCTTGGACCCAACAACGACCTGTCGGTCGGTGAGGTTAAGCACAGACGTCGCAGGGACAGTCTGACCGCGGAACGCGGGACAGCGGCCGTCAAGCGTGTTGCCACTCATGAAGGTAATGTCAAATAGAACATCGAGGATCTTGTTGCTGCCTGCACGACTGATGCCAACCACTGTGCCGCGCGAGGCGATGGGCACCTTGCCGATGTCCTGGACGTAGACGACCCGGTCGCCCAGGCGGAACCCTTGACCACCGAGTCTGTGCTCTGCGTCGCTAGGCTTCAACAGGGCGCTGCGTGGCACGCTCTTGATGTTCTTGGGCGTTGTCTCCTGGGCTGCGGCAAGGGCGCCTTCAGCAGCCTGCGCGAGCTCCATCACGACGTTGGAGTCGAGCTGCTCCGCCTCCAGGGGCACTTTCGGGAAGTTGTTGGTGCCCACGGACTTCAGATATTGAGCCATCTCCTTGACCCTGGCTGTTGCCGTCTTCTCGTCCGCCCAGAGATCGGTAGCTGCGACGTCCCTCTTCTGCACGTTCTTCTGCAGACCGGCGAAGAAGTCTGGGAACTTCTGCATGTATTCAGCAACCAGCTGGATGGCCTTGCGGCTGTATTCCCAGCCGGAGTCAGACTTTCTCGAAAAGCCCAGTACCTTCATCTTCCTTGACTCAAACTTGAGATTGAGACCCAAGTTGACCTTGAGCCCGCCGACTCCAATAACCTGGTATGACGAGGTGATCTTGCTGAAGGCAAGCGGGTGGAGGCCCAAGTCTCTGGAGACCTGGAACGATGGGACGTATCTGTTCTCTCGTTCATGCTTGAAGACGACTTGCTTCGCAAACTCCGGCTCCTTGTTGTTCATCGCGGATATTGTGACTTCTAGCTTGGCGCCATTGTAGCCGGTGACAGCCAACGGCCTGCCGTAGTTGAAGTCTCCCAGGTGGAAAGCACGCGTGTTGACGGGGAACTCCTCCTCAAGAGGAAGTGCGGCCCTCTCTAGGAAGCGCTCATCCTCGTTGACCACCTCGTCAACAATAGTCTGGGAGGCGTAGAAATCTCTCATGCCTGGGATCAAGCCATATTCCTTGATTGTGGCACCCTCGTCGGTCTTGATCAAGCCCTTGAGCATCTCGACGTGCACCATAGACTCTACGTCGCCAATCAAGATGCCCAGGCGCTTGCTGTAGAAATCCTCCCAGTATCTGGCGTTCTTGTTATAATCATCAATGTCCTTGTTGGAGTGGTCCTTCAGCACAACTTGTCCGGATCCGTCCTCAGCCAGGATGTAGTCAAAGAGCTCGTCCGACACGCGAACGATCTTCGCCTCCTGGAGGAACGGGTATCCCACGAAGCATCGCTTGCCAAGCTTGGCTTTGGCATTTTCCACGTTGGTCCGCGTCGTCGAGTCAACGAGTGTGACCACCATGCTCTCGTTCCGACTATCCGACTGGAAGACATTAACTCCATGAAAGCCAAGAGTTGCGTTGTATGGCAGTGTGGCCAAGCTGGGGAAGCCAGCGAGAGCGGAGACGTTGAGCAGTGCGCCGTCCATCAAGCCCTGCCTGTTGCTCAGGCCTTCTATGGGAGGCAGGTCGAAGATGTTCTCCACGCAGCGGCAATGTGAAATGTCCGGGAAAATTCCCACCATTGATGACGGATACGTGAAGTCATAGTCCGAAGAGTAGGTGAACTTGATGGGGACATTGAAGCCGTTTCTGCTTTTCTCGTCATCAGAAAGCTCTTCATTCTTCGGAGCCATCGCATCCAGAAGCCTCTTTTCGTCGATGAAAGGAATCTTAACAACTGCCTCCCAGTCCATCTTCTTCCCATTCATGTCTAGCTGGAAGTCTCTGGGGTAGAAGTCGATGATTGGTGAGGTGGGATTTGTCATCAGGTCCCAGTAGACTGTTGGCACAATTTTCTTGCTTCGGTCAGGAAGCACACCCATCAGCTGCTCGAAGGGTTTGAAAGGCTGACCAAGTTGGAAGTCGAGGTCGGCGCCGAGGCCCTTGATGACATCCGAGATCAGCGGAGAGTAGTGGTATTGGTAGAACCATGGCCACGAGCAGATGCCGCGGTAGTAGTAGTAGAGAACCCATTGCAAGCCTTGTACATAGTTCTCACAGAGCTTCCTGAGCTCTGTCTCCTTGGTTTCCGGCGTCCATTCAGGGAACTTTTCGGCGTAGTATTTGTCCTTCCACTCCTGGAACTTCTGTTGGTATAGAACCTCGTATTGGGCCTGAGCCTCTTCTGCCGAGACGTCTTGTACTTCGGCATTATCGTATTTCTTCACAAGGCGATTAATGGCGAGCTGGGACTCGTCCTCTTCCTCTTCCTCCGCCTCCTCCTCCCCTTCCTCCTCGCCGTCCATTTCTGGCTTTGGCGGGAAGGAGAGCACGAGGTGACGCGCACCATCGTCGTCTGAATCGGTGGACCAGCTTAGGTTTGCGCTGTCCGCGAGATCCTGGACGAACTTCCGATCAGCAGCGTTAAGGCTGGCCCCGAGATCGAGTGTTTGAGTAGACCGCTTGGTCAGAAACGGCTTGATGCTCTGCTTCCACAGCGTCTTCTGTGCTGATGTCACAATCAGCTTGCCCTTGGGCTTCGGGGCCGCCTTTCCGTTCTCGGCAGAGCGCTTAGCCCGGAACCATTTCTGATCCTCGGCCTCGTGTTCGAAGAAGCGGTACTCCTCCTTGCTGAGCTCCTCCAGCAAGAAACCAAGACGCTTCAGATTCATGACACCGCCCTCGTTGATGTAGCCGTCGCACTTGGGCAGGACTTTCTTGTATGTCCTGAACATCATGGCCAGAGCACCCTCGTTGATGTGAATTCGTGGAAGATTAGGCAAAAAATCGTTGCCCACGAAGAAAGCCATAAGAATGAAATCGTCGATGACATTCTCCATGTTGAACGGGAAACCCAAGGCGGTTGCACCGGTTTCCTTCAGATCCTGGAATTCCAGTTCCAGATACTCCCTGACGATGCATAGATGCATGAGGTAGAAGTTTTGATGCTCTAATTCCTTAGACTGCACCTTAGACTGGCGGCCGAAGGTGACCTCTTCGCGGAGTAGGCAAAAATGCGGGTCGTGACTGAGCAAGCCCAGCATGATCAGATCCGCATCCAGACCGTACAGGCAATGCCGCATGTTGGGATGGTAATTCGGCTGTGCCCTTGCGTTGCGGATATACTCCATAATCTTGTGTTCACCCTCACCCGGAACTTCATGGCCCGAGAGGACAATCTCGCAGCCTTGCCACTCCTTGTCTTCTGTCACCTTCTTGTTGATGAAATATCTCAGCTGCCTCGACAGCTTTGCCATGAACTCGGTACCTGGCGTGATACAATTACTGTCGAACGGTTCCTCCTTGGGCAATTCCTGCCCCTCCCGTATCGCCTTCTCTCTTGCCTGCTCGGCATCTAAGGCGGTCCTGAATCGTCTTGCGCGCTGCTGGTTCATCTTGGCGCGCGGCGCGACACCATCGACGGCCATGAAGAACAGCTGCTTTGGTTTGATCTTGCCAAATAAGTGTTCGATGTAGTTGAATATGCGAATGAACATCTCCTCCTCGCTCAGACGGAACTGGGTGTCATCTGAGTCTTTGTGGGTGCAATTGTGGATGATTCCGTTCATGTCGAGATAGAGGGCATCGAACTCGGGAATACGGTTCTCTGCGATCAGCTGAGAGATGGCAGGGTAACGCTCAGAGAGCCATCTGAAGAACTTTGGAACACCCATGATGATAGGGTTGCGAGCAGATGCAGCTCGCCAATGCTCTGTCAAAAAATAGGTTAGAGGGCTGTCAGAGATGCGCAAAACGGTGCGTGATGTACCTTGAATTTCTTACGGCACGATAAATAGGGCCGATTTCAGAGAGTGGAAATGCAAAGATGTTGCTCTGCAATGCAAGAGACAATTGATCGACACACCGGAAAGGCTGTCACTTTCCGCCTGGGTCGTGCAGCTGAGGATCGAAGAGGGAATCAGGTATACTGTTCTCGATAGCACTTATATTCCCAAAGGACAAGAAAATGAGGAAAGAATCCTATTAGGCGAGAGCCTGTGCAGGTGTGGAGAGCTAGCAGCAGCAGAAGAGTGATGTTATTCACGAAAGACCAAAGACCAGCATCATCACAAGAAAGGAAGCTGATCCAATGGTGGCGGGACAGTGTGGGGCAAGGTTCGTGCACAGACCACCCATGCAGTCGGCCTTCCAGGCTCTTGAGGTAGTCTCCACCAAAGTGTGGATCTGATACCCAGAGCTGGGGTGGGAGGGTCTCAGCCAAATGCTCTTTCTATAGTAGATAGTAGATGTTCTCATGGCTGCTACCTACAGTATCTCTCCATTCTCTGGTGTTCAGCCTAGCTCGCTACATTGTAAAGGCCCTCAGTCAACACTGTTTCCAATCGCATATGCCAAAACAAACTCTTCTCAGTTCAGATTCTGAGCCTAAGTATGGGCCAGTAAAACCAGGGCGTTTACTGTACCCTCCTCATGTCTGTCCATACCCCAGGCGCGTGGAGTATTTGTCTTGTACCATGCTTGTAAGAGCTGGCCAGAATCTGCCAGAATCTTTTCGTTCCTATGGTATTAACAAGAGACTCGCGCTTCCTCCTGTTGGGGGCCTGAAAGCTCCTGGGCATACTACGCGACTGGGCTGAGTCAGAATATCCGAGAGACAAACGGAATAACGAACGCGATCCTCTCATTTGAGTAGTGCTTTACAAATGAGCTCCCGAAATGATAATATGGTACTCAAAATAGACAGCGCAGATAGAGAAGGAAAACAAAGAATCATGTGGTATCATATGCTCTCTCTATGAACCCATCCATCCTACTACGAAAATGTTATCCTTCCCATTAATCCTCCTCGCGGTGCCGAGCAGAAGGCTGCGCACCAATCAGCCAACCCACGCCCGCTGTCAGACCGCCGACGGCCGCTTCCCTCAACTGATCCCGCTTCCTGGCCCTCTGTTGTTGATCGCCAGCGCCCAGTCCAGAATCGCTCCCGGTATCACTCGGCCTGCTCTGTGTCGTAAGATTGAAGTTCGACAGGGCCGTCAGGTTCCTCTGCGCAGACAGCATGCTGGCTCTCGATAGGTCGAACAGCGACATGGGCGCCTCCTCTGCATTGTGGCGATTCGACGTGCCCTGTCTGCCGCCTGAGACGTGACGTGGGGTCGCGGTGCTGAAACCGCCGGGCATCGTCTGCATATCGGCAGCCTCATCCCACGCGTTTTCTTGCTCGGCTTCTGCTTTGATAGCTGCATCGAGTGCTTCCTCAGTGCGCCGGTAGCTCTTGAGAATTTCGGGCAGGGTTGCGGCTGGGGCAATCCGTAGAGCTGTCGCAAGACATTCAATGCGTTGGTCTAAATGACGGATCTCAGGATTGCCACTTGCGGTGCCGAGATGGGTTGGTCGGACTGTCCGTGCGGTGCGCTGATACATGCCTGCTTGCAGTGCTGCCCTCCACGACCAGTCATCTCGTATCGGAGCACTATCACGCAAGGACCCATTGCTGGCCTTCCTAGCTACAGCCTGTGGTGGCCCACTTAGTGCGGCCAGGCGGTTGACAACGTACGTATATGCCGTCTCGAAATCGTCTTCCGTCAGGGCCGCATCAATACACATGGCTGTGATGCGTTTCTCGGCATTCAACATCTGCGCCGGCTCCATTTCTGCGGTCAGGGCAGAGTGTCCCGACTTATCCTTTACGGTCAGGCCCGCAGCAACCATATTTCGCCCCACATCGACGAGATCTTGGATCTGAGTGTAGCTCTTTGGGTTCTGCTGGAGGACCTTTTCGATAATAGACAGTGGGTCGTGGTGAACGCGAAGAATGACTGGTGTGAACGGCTCTCCCTTCTTCAGGACGAGCTTATAATCGCTCAAGCCATGTGTGGCTTTCAGCAAAGCCTCTATTCGTTGTGTGGCCACCACCGACCTTTCTATGGTCCCTGGGAAGCCGTAGATTCTGCTTGGTGATTAGCTGCTGCTCACTCATAAACATAGTTTCTTTGTCCAGTCGCTTACATGTCATTGCACTTCTTAAGCCCGCCTCTTGTGCGGTTTGGGTTGGAGGCGTTATCGTACGCGGCCATTGCTGCTGCATAGATCGTGTCTCGAAGTGACTCCTTTGACAAGGGTTGCTCCGGCGAGTCTTCGTAGAGAGACTTGGCGAGGGAGTATCCTGTTGTACTTAGCTCTGCTCTCTTGGTAATCGATGGGCCTCACTTACGAGTACGTGTCAGAAGGGCCTTCAAGATTTCGATTTCAAGGAACTCCTTCTCCAATCGGCCAAACACGGTACAGTGGTGCTGATCGGCATCTGCCCACGCCTCTTCCTCCTCCTCTGCACCCCAGTCTCCGAGCCATAATATCTCGTTCCTCGCCTTGATCCAGTATTTGTCGTCGGAGTTCGGCCCGCGTTCGGTGATGGTATGTACCAATTTCAGGAACTCCGTCCTCTGTTCCCGCTCGTCCTGAAGTATGGCCAACTCGCCTGCTTTCCTCGCCGTCATTGGGTACCCAGCCTTTGTAGAAAGGTAGGCACTGACTATCAACGCAGAAAGTAATGTTGTGGCAAGTTTCGATGGTTTTGTAAGAATATTGTCCTCTTCGAGCATATTGTTGCGAAGATAGGTGACGTGCTTGGCGAACATGATGTTTGTGCTGCCCAGATCCGGGACAGGGGATAGGCTCGAAGAAGCAGTCTGTAACGAGGGCAATGGGTCGTCCAGAAGCTTCGTCACCTCGAGAGTAATAGTGTATGCGCCAGTCAGTGCTTCGGTCGTGGCGTCCGGAACAAGATATGCGCATGCCAAGGCAGCCTGCGCATACCGCCGCTCTAGGTACTGCTGTTTCTCCTCCTCCATCCACATCTGCCCGAGTCCACCCAGATCAACATCTTCGGGCCCGTGCCAGTGATCTATCGCCTCGACAGCGACCTTCCAGGATGTGCTTGCTTGCGAGGTCAACCAGACGAGCATCTGTTCCCACCCGGGGCAGACCAACTCATCCTCGTCAACGTCTTCGTCAACATCTTCTTCTTTTCCCACTGGCGGCCTCTTCGTCGTCGTCCACCTCTTGTCATTGTACAGCCATGGGCCAAGGAGGCACCTCAGATCCCGCGCAACATTTGCATAGTCCTCTTGCACCCCGGTCTGTGAGAGTAGCAGGTCGACAGCAGCCGCATCGCCAAGCTTCTCAAATTGCGACAATGTTATCGGAATGCTATTCTGGGGATAGAACTCGTGGTTCCTCCTCAACAGAGGTAGCAGCACAGAGATGGTCCACGTCCGGATGCACGGCGAGTGCTCGAGGAATGGTGCAAGAAGATCAGGTAGTTGTGTCAACAGCCCGGCCTCCTCATCCACCTTGTAGGAGCGTCGTAATAGAAATAGGGTGAGGGGATCATCCTCTGCTTCTGCAGGTGCGCCGGGCCATGACAGCTTCAACAGGTGTAGCTTGCGGACCTTCCTGATGGCTTCCTCCTCTGACAAGTGTTCCACGGCAGATATATCGACATCCCAGTGCTCTTGCGCAACATATTCGCCCCGATCGACCTCCTTGACAAATGACACGTATTCCTCGGATTTTAGCGTCTCGGGCAGGTAAGTGAGGAGGATGCGCAAGAGGAGTTCCTTGCGCAGGACGGAGCCATGATTCGCAGCTATGAAGGACAGGCTGTCGAGATCTGCTTTGGCGGCGAGATGGACAGCCAGGAGGACGATTTTCGGTGCCGAGAGAACAAGACTCATGGTGGGTCGTTGTCACAACACATGTTCTTCAGCTGCAAGGTGTCTGTCGTGAAATTGTCGTCCAGACAGGCTGTTGTGCTTTGGTTCAAAGGTAACAGAATCAAGGTCAGCGATCCAACAAATGCACCAGTTACCTAAGCTGTCACATTCACTTTATTCGGTATGGCATCTTGGCGCAAGCTAAACCCCTGTGGCTTGCTTGGAGCATGCTACTATAGTACAAAGTACCTAAGCCCCTGGTACCAGTCTGCTTGCCGCCCTCGGCACCGAGTAATGGGTCTGCGACTGCCCCCGGCACGTCATTCTCCCGTACCGACAAGCAGCAGCGACGGGGATGGTCCACCTGCCTTCAACCTCACCTCAACTTTCGCCCTCACAGCCAATTGACCTCGTCGGCAATACACCCTGTTCATCACCCAATTGTTGGCATCTCAAATCAGTCATGTCTTCAGGATACGGTCTGAATGGAGGTAAGTTCGATTCTAGCAGCCAATGGCTGCAAGCCACCCGAGAAAAACCTGTCGCTGATCTGTTCGGTTCCTGTCAGGTCCGGGCCGTTGCTTTCCGTTCTGGCAGGAGGTGCTCGCCTGCTACGTCGTGAACGTGAACTCGGAAGATGATTCGGGCAAGAAGAAGTGTGTCCCGGTGCTGGAGGACTACTACGAGTGCATGCATCACAAGAAAGAGGTTGGTTGGCTTATATAGGGACTATGGCTGGTGGGACGTCGATCTGAAGCTAACACTATGGGTGTTCCCAGGCTGCCCGGGCGATGGCGTTACAAACAGCATACAGGAAAGCCGAGTTAAACCAAGGACGCGAGAATGTACCGACAGCGGGACAAATACGGAATTTAGGACTACTAGGCAAGGAGGACGATACCAAGAAGGTGCTGGCGTCCAGCTCATAGACGATAGAAGGCCCGCGCGCCATACGTCTTGTCTTATATCGGAGTCTGCGGAATACAATACGAAATTCTTCTATCATAACCACCACGCCAGGCATGGTCAATGGACTGAGTTATGGAGGCCGAGAACCCATGTTGTTGGACCATGTCAGTGAGTGATGTTGTCAGGCGATATCGGCGGGCAAGAGTTTAAACCTAGTGGCCCTATTCAAACTCGAATTCACTAAGAGCGTGCCCTATCGAGGTGTTTCTGGGTGGCGCTTATGCTTTTTCTCTGAGCTCGGAAGCAGAACGTTCCTGGATCTGGCCACGCGCAGTGATTGTTTTTAGTGAACGTATCGTTCCGCTGCTGCTGCGTTGCGTTGGAGATAAGTTCCAACGGCTCCAATGGCTTGTTTTCTTTAGTTCCTTTACTGTTGCGCCTTCCCGCTCAAGTGGCATGGCAGGGGAATCGACTGCTTGGATTTCCTGCCCCGCTGGGGACCTGCATTGGTCTCACTTTCTGTTTTAGTGTTTTTCAGTAAATCTCAAATGTCAACTTGTTGACTTCGAACCCAAGGGTCCCTCCACTTCCTTGGTTGGCTGCGGTCCATGCTTTAGGCTACAACTTCAGAGCTTTAGTCTGACCATGCGTACGAACACAACAAACCATCACGATTAACAGTCCCCTGGATCGAAGAGAAAAGAAAATGCCTTTGCTTCAAGGCATCGAGGTAACGATTGTTACGCAGTCAGAGCTTGGGCAACTACCTGAGTACCCTCATCCTGATGGCTCTTCGTTTCAGTCGCGCCGCCTGCGCGACAATAAACCAGATGATCAATCCAATTCTTGCGACGGCGATTTCCAAAATCGGGTCGCGGACGATCCAGCTCACGCTTCAGGAACTGATTCGACGGTCTCAGTATACGTTCCATCCCTTCCTGGTATGAGACTCTGCGATTCGTGCCGGCAGCCACTCGACTGACTTCTCAATAGGCGCACAATTCTGGATCAATTATGTCGTCAAGACTCCCCCTTCCCCACCAGGCCACCTGTTCTTCAAGTTATACATGAATGGAAGACATATCACATCATGGGGTATCAACCCGAGTATCAAGAGTCATGGTCGCGCCGAGAAGGCGTTGTACGAGCCCAGCGACCGCTGGGACCAAGAAGAAGACGGTGTCGTGTTCAAGCAGGAAGGAATCGAGGCCCGATATTTCTACTTTACGGGCAATCAGCAGGAGCTGTCTGCGGCCGACAATGGCGGGCTGATCGAGGTCCAGGCTTTTCGGGCCAAAGGTCGAAAGAGGCGCGCCGCGAAACTGGACCAGTACCGCGTCCAAGACAAGTATGGCATCACGTAAGTAAGCTGACCCGCCGCAAGGGCGAACGATCTCCTCTGACGCTTATAACGTGAAGTGCACCGAGCGGTGGCCTGCTCGATAATCCCCAGGACATCACATTCTTCGACTTCCACCTGATCGATCCCAAAGACGCACCTTTTGCGACATTTCGGTTTCACTATCGCTCGTGGGACAGCCTTAACCAGCTCTCCCTAGTTCCTGCCGACGACCCAAGCATTCTCGAATCATCTGTTACAAGTACTGTCTGCGATGCTTCCGAGCTGCCACCGGAGCGGGATGCCTCAGCACCAGAGCAGGTCGAGCCTTTTATTATCTGTCCAGACCCTGATGAATCGGTATTCGTCGACAGCACATCAAGCGGCGACCTCAACGAGCCGGCTGTCAACAAGACTCGAAGAAACAGCTCCTTCGTTCTGAGGACTCCCCCTGAACTGCGCCCACGGTCGGCTACCAGCCATAACCTGCCGCAGCCGAGCAAGAGCCTTCGAGATGCCCTCCCAGTGGGCTTTCCAGAATCCTATCTCTCACGACCGCTTCCCGATCGGCCGCTGCCTGATCTTCCTGCCAGTGTGAGCCCGGATCAAAGCTGGCTTCCCCGATCTCGAAAGTCTTCTACCGCATCAGCGGCGCCGTCCGTCGCACCATCGCTTCGGAGTTACGTTAAGAACGAATCGTTCCTAGATGAAACAATCGAGTATGGACAGGCCCAGGAAATTCATATGGACAAGAAGCACCCTGGAGTTCCCCTGAATCAGGAGAAGGCTGCTCTTCCCGCTGTGGCGGTCTCCAGCACATCTGATGCGTCGACATCAGACTACGATGGTTCCTCTTTGGCCGAGAACAACTCAACAAAAATCGGCCCAGAGATGCTATCACCAGGCAACCATTCTGCACGTACCAGGAATATGCTGGAGGAGCACACAACTCGTGCTCAAAACCAGCAGGCTGCTGCAAATATAAGCAGTGAGAATCCGGACATCGACTTCTCCAGGTTTCCGCACCTTGGACTGTCGGAGTCGGAATGGATCCGGCGCACGCCCTCTCCTCAGGCTGTGCAGCCCCGTCGTATTCTGAGCCCCCGACTAGACCGACTCTGGAAGACTCTTCGTAGAAGCAAGAGTCGGTCACCCCTGCGCCCTTTTCGCAACCCGGAAGAGGAGGCATCTCGTCGGAACTACTCGACCCCGCAGCTCACCAGTCCCGAGGTGAAGGTCAGACTTGGCAATTGGATTTAGTGTGGTTCGATGCAGACATCGACCATGGACGAGACGTCAGGCCCACGGTTGGTGCGACTCGGCCAGGGCAGCGGGCGTCCGAGCTGCTTGCGGTCATCAGTGCCGACATGTGGGAACACAAGTGGTGAGAGTAGTGTGAGTTGTCGGAATACCAGAAGGAAGAAGCGCTTCAGTGTCGGCTCGTGGATCGCGAGACCTTGATTATCATTCAGATATGTCTACTCTGCTTTTTCTCGTCGCACGGCCAGTATGTTGTCCATACAATGGTGTCACCACCACTTCTCGTAAAGAACCCGGTGCGGCTCCAGGCTCATGCCGGCAGGCGACGTCAGCTTCTCGACATACTCATCCGTCATGTCTGGAAGACCGCAGACGTAGACGACACAGAATCGCCTATCTGCCCCGATAGCCATTTTGATGTCCTCGATCGTAATCCGCCGGGGCTCAAAAGTAAGGTCAAGACCGTCCAGCTTGACATCATCACCATCAATCCTACCACCACTGTCTTCACCCTCACCATCTCTGCGGGTGAGAAACAACGTCAACCGCCCCTGAACCTGTCCGTCCCCTTCTCCAGCCTGCCCTAATATCTTCGCGAGACGACTCACAAAGAGCAACTTGCGAGGATCCCGGCTGCCTTCGCCTGGATCGCGCATCGAGTAGAGGACCTCGACTCTGTGCCGCGAACTGTTAGGCTGCTCGGCGAGGTGGGCGATTATGCTCATTAGGGGGTTGATTCCGACACCGCCGGCTATGAAAACGAGTTTGCGGAGGGTCTATGTTGGGAGTGTACGCGCGTCAGCCAAGGGAGGGGGAAGGGTGTTGGATTTGAGCACTTGAAGTGTAGAGAATGAAATTGTCGAGTACTTGGGTGAAGAGCTGATGCTGTTTCTGTGGATACCAAATGCAAAGTTCATGCAGGAAAGCACAGTTTGGTCGTATACACTGGGACAAGAGAAGTTCAATCGCAACAAGGATAAGATAGAACAGACGTACCGTAGGCACAACGCCCGGCGGCGGCCAGACAAAGCTCCCGCCAACCCGCACCCAGATCTCCGAAGACACAATCTCCACCGCCGGCCTCCACAGCCAGGATGCGACCGCGTTCTCGGGCGACCTCTGGACCGCGAGCTCGAGGTAGGGACTGCCGCCCTCCTCGGACAGCGGCGTGCCCTGCGCCCTCGACGGCGGGGACGTGATTGTGAAGCCGCCCGGTTTCGAGATCCCGGGGACAAAGACGTCGAGCCACTGGCCTGGTAGGAACTGCGAAAGGGTGATTGTAAGAAGGGTTTTACGTTTGGTTAGTCAGGGCGGCTGATGGAAACAGACGAGGGAGATGCGGGGGCTGGTAACGAGCTGCTCACCCTGATGCCGCCGGTAGTAGCTGGCGGGATCACCAGGCGGAATGTTCGGATGGTGGCGTTGATCTCATCCACGCGCTCCAGAATGGTCTTATGCAGCGACTATACAGATACAACACGGACGTCATTCATTAGCAGGTGATTCTCCTCAGTCATTCCAGATTTCTCATGTCTTCCCCCCCCCCCCCCCCAACTCGACAAGAACGTACGGGGTCGCGTGGCTCGTGGGCTGTCCTCTCTGCGTGGTCTACTTTTGTCATCCTAGATTGATGGCGTTGCTGTAAATAGAAGAACAAAGATTTCGGTGGGGAAGATTTGATGATGAGTGAGGTTCTGCAGCTCTGCATTCTCTGCGTTTGGCTTCACGTAGACAGGAAGTTGTGTCAAAGGTGGGAAAAGTGGAGGCGTGGAGGTTGTGAGGGACGAGTGTTCATCAGTATAAATATGCGCGTACCAAGGGCAAAAGTCGTTGGTTGGCAGAATTATCCTCACCTCCCTAAGTACCACACAATGAATTCATTTTGATGAGAAAAAAAGTTTTCATGCACTGGCTGATTGATCTTTTTTGAGGGCAATAGCTCAGATATAATCTCAACATCACCTTCGTATAAGACGAATTTCGCGTCCGCGTACAAGATAGCAAGCAAAGACTAAAATATGAAAAGAGGCTCAGAAGAAAAGTCAATTCATCCATATCACACAAGGGGGTTCCAAAGGAATGACCGAGGAAATAATCGGGTATCGCACACCAAGAATCCGACAACCGCGACAACATAATTATTATGCTCCTGCGCAGACCATACTGGCTCCCAACATGCCCTCAATAACTGACACCATGTAGGCTCAAGAATATTTGCTCTTGCTTCATCACCATAATACAAAGTCTCCAGCCCACATGCCGCCAGGATCCAGTCCTGCCGCCACTCCAATCGTCGCAGTGTCGTCCCATGCACCGCCAGATTGACCTCACAACGATCATACCAACTCATCACAAAGGAAAGTGTTAGGCATCAGAAGCTTGCCCAGGCCTCGTTGGCTCATGGCTGTCCATGTTGCTCACGTTTCCAGCACATCCCTGTCCTCCTCCGATGGCGGCAGCACTGTTGAATGCCCGGGATAGTTCTCCCCCTTCTCCCACATCGCACCTGGGCCGTGATAAGATGGCTCTGCGGGGTGATCGGCCGAGGTCGCTTGCGGAGTGGTTTCCTTCTCTTCTTGGTTCTCTGTCAAGATCCTCGGAGATCCTAGCCCAGGTGGCTTTGTCGGTTGGGGACTATGCACAGGCGCAGACTGCGCAATATATGTCGGCGACACAATGGAGTCTGAACCAAATGGTAGGGACCGCTTTGGAATATCATGGCCTTGCATGCCAACCAATCTTCCAGTTTCGTTTCCTTCGGCGGTGGCCTCGCCAGTGCCGAGTTTCTTCAGCAGCAGCTCGGATTGTTGCTTGGCCAGGAGTTGCAGTCGTGCCACGGGGTCCTGATCAAAGAGCCGCATGTTAGCCAGGCCACAAAGACAGTCTTCAGGCGTGTGTAGCCGCCCACACATACATACCCATTCGGATTGACTCGGAACGCCAGTAGCAGCCGGCAGCTGGTCTCCGCCGTCATCCTCGTCAGCTCCAGGAGCACCCGCCCCCCAAAACTTGGGGCGGCGGACAGGTGCGGGCGTGACGGGAAGGCTGGGCCGCTCGACAGCAGTTGGGAAGTCAGTCAGCTTGGAGCCACGCCTTCGCCATTCGACCCCGGCAGACGTGTCCTTCTGGCTTCGAGCAGTACTATCACCCCCGGGAGAGGTATTTCCAACTACTGAGCCAGGCGATTTCTGCCCAACAACGCTACTTTGGCTGTCCTGCGTTTTATGGCGACGGTACAGGGGTAGCTTCTCAATATACTTCTCAATTGCTGGGTCGTCGTCCCATGCGTTCACGCGGGTAAAGGAAGCCCAAGGGTCTGAAGATGTTACATGGATCGTCGGTGTAGTAGGCGTAGTCGGTTCACTCTTGCGCTCCAGCTCGGACGCTTCTGTAATCAGAGAATTAGTCATGGTTGCAGGGTGGCTGCTGGGGAAACTCCTCTCACCGGATGTTGCAGCCGTTGAGCCCTCAGTTATAGAAGGTTCAGGTTCAGACGGGGTAGGCTCATTAGCAAAGACTCTGGTGGGCTTGAGCTGCTGGGACTCCCAAGGGAAAATCGGCTTGGGTTTCTCAGCAGAGCCTCGCTTCTCTTTCGGAATCTCGTACCCCATGTTCTTTGGAGGGCTTGGATACCGCTGAGGAGGAATCCATGGGGCTGGATCAGATGACATGGTGTAGTGCGTCTGAGGGAAGTTTATCGCCTCGGGTTTGGAATCTGCGGGAGGAGGTTGTCTAGATATCAAGTCAGAAATCGCCGGAAGAAAGCTTCTGCACTCCCTCTCACCTCTGAGCGTCCCAACTATACTCTATAGGGGGTGGTTCAAACTTGTGCTCCTTCACCTCATGGTACGTCGGAGGGGCCGCCCCCGATGTGGCTCCTGAATGCTGCTCTGGTCCAGTCTCAGTTCTTGTTCCCTCAAATACGGTGGCGGAAGGGGGAATGTGATGTTGCTGAGACTGATCCTGGTGTAGGCCGCCGTTCACAGGTTTACCTTGGGGAAGCGGTGGCTCGCCGGTCGGCACAATGTAGGTCGTCGTAGGAGGCTGAAATTCGCCCTTGACAAAGTACTGGATGATGGCTGGCACCTTGTATCCCTCCCCATCTTGGGACCCGCGGCCTGGGCTTGATTGAGGAGACTTCCGCGGAATGTCAGCACACCGATGACATGAGAATAAATGGAATGAAGAGCTCACGGGTTGCCTATAGTGCCGGTCGTAGACAGCCCACCATCTGCCGAGCATTTCACCATATGGGCTGTCTACTGCTGTCGACGCCGATCTACCTTGTGTCCATGGCTTTTCGCTTCCGATAAAGTGAACCAGATTTATGCTTGACTGGAAGTGCCGATATGCAGGGACGTACGAATAATGAGCGGATGGTGTGACGTTGTAGCTGAAGCTCAGGCGGTTATAGCTGTTCTTGAAGTGCATATTCAGCAGGCCCTGGTCTGCACCATCAAAAGATATGCCCCGCTCTGTCATGGCTGTCAGGGCATAGTAGTCGCCCAGGTTTGGGGTCAAAACCATGACTCCAGTATTGAAAATGTCGGGCCAGCCAACGTCGGGGGCAGCAGAGAAGGGCTGGGGCAGGTCAAACAGCTCGTCGACAGCCCTGTAGGCAACAATATCGGCATCGAAGTAAACGATCTTCCGAAACATGGTCTGCTTCCACAGATTGACCTTGGTGAAGGCCGAATGGAGATCGGCGCGGTTCATGAGATACAAGTTTGCTGGCTTTGCATTTCGTATGCGTGGAACAGGTAAAACATAGTCGAACTCTTTCTGCAAAACAAAAGTTAGCATAATCTGACCATCAAGTCGGATTCCTTACAAAAGGCCGAGGGGCGTGTCAAGAAGCCTACCTTGAGTTGTTCTACGACCTCGGCCGAGACAGTGTCCAGAGTGACCATAACGGCCAGCTTCTTGGTTGTGCCGGCATCACGTAGAGAGTGGGCGAGTACCAGAGCTCCTATCTAAGAATGAGTAGTTGTTCGCCTGCGCGGGAGTGAGCTTGAAGAAGCTTGTTCATGAGGCTTACCTGGGAGATAGGTGTCGCTGAGCAGCAGCTACTCGGAAGGCCAGTGGTCAGCTGGAGTTATACTGCGTCCTTCTAGGCCGCCTGCTGCTTAAAGGCCCAAGCAATCGCGAGGGTCGAGAATCATTTGGCATAAGGGGGGAGAAGAGAAATCAATGATAGGAGGTGAGAGGGCGGCTTTGGCTCAACGCTGCAGCATGAGCCATACCACAACATCAAAGTGACTTACCGTGACGTAGGCGTCCTCGCCGCTTTGCGCAGCCATTGTGTGGGGGTTTGTGATCGTTCCGTGACAAGTCAAACTGAAAAGAAGAAATGAAGCGCAATGCTATGCTCTCATGCTATGTGTATTGTACAGAGGCCACTCGGTGGGTAGCAATTTTGTGGGAGAAGGAGGGGAAAAGATCAAGTCATGTCATGAGAGAACGGAGCAATATGAGCTTGACGCGGGCAACCATAGAGTCGAAGCTTGAATGCGCCGGGGTGTTCTAGCGCAAGGAGGGTGCAAGTGCTCAAAGGTTGGGGGGGGGGGAGAAGCGGGGCCTCCAGGGTTCGTAGGCAGCTTTAGGCCTGGGGTCCAGGGGCGCTAGGCCGGGGCCAGGACTAAGAGGACGTGCTAGGATTCCGCACTAGGTACCAAGTAATCTGGAGGCGCGTGGGGAGATACCTGCATCCAAGTCCCGCTACAGTGCAAGCTTGGAGGTACCCATGCAGCAGCAGCCCGCCCTGCAGAAACGGATGCAGTCCAACGGATTCTGTCTTGCAGCTCATGTCGAGACGATGAGATCAAGAGTTTTTTGTGCTCCACTCGAGTGTGAATGATATGGTGGTAAGTGCGTCTACTTTTTCATCTCCCACCATCTGATCTTTTGTTTTCTTTTTTTTTCCGTCAAAAACTTCGTCAAGCACAGCCTAGCTTGGCGCGCCTCGCGGGAAAATATAATGATAGTCTGCGTTATTATATATAACATGTATGTCTCTTTGCTTTCATGGAGAAGGAGGTCTCCTGCTTTGTGACGGAAGCGGAGATGAGCAGCTTCACGTTTTGTGACACGTTGGTGGCCTGCTTGCAGCTTGTTGTCATGGTTTTTTATCCCGCCCTGCGCGCGAAGAGGAGGAAGCAAAGACGGTACTTGTCACACCGTTGGCCCCGTATTCGCATATACATACTGAACTGGGGCAGGGAATTTGTTGCGATGCGACGATAATCTCGCCAATGACGACCTGCAGCTCTGCCTCCGTCGAGTGCTCTCGATACAACTATGTCCATCCGCAGCGCAGACAACGGCCTACATAGCCAGGCATGAGTCGTATGTTGTTTCGTGTCTCTTGAAAGAAGCTTGCGACCTGTTCAACCCAGCGTTCCTGGAGACGAGGAGCCATAGTCTGCCAGACATGGTGTCAACGCCACCGATAGGCGACCACGTGAAGCATTGTTCGAGAGGGGCGACTGTTGGAGGCGGTTTGAACAAAGCACATCCCTGCCCACACTTTCACCTCACCCCTGCTAATGCCTCCTGATTTGGCAATTACACGACTTTGCTCACTTGAGCCTCAACTGTCTGTGATTTTTTCGCGTGCGTTTGCTCAGCCAATTCGTTTCTAGAATTGACATCTGGTGAGTAGACTACAATCTGGTAAGCTTGTATCTCTTATATCGCAGGCAATAATGTGGACCACTGGTTATCTATGTTTTGCGTGGGCGGAGGAGGGCCGCGGCTCATGCCCACCTTCTTGGCCTCGTGTTCAGGCTTCTATCATCAACACGCTGGAATACCCCTCACTCACCTCAGAGAACGGAACAAATTCCTTCAATCTACTAGCTACGTTACTGTTTAGGCCCTTGTTTGCACGTTGTGATTTACGCCATGCAAGGGTAAGGTCTTAGACAAAAAAGAATAAGAAAAATTGGCCCTTGCCCGGCACGTGCCTAGCTGTCTTCTTTTCTAGGGTCTATTCTCCAATGACGCAATCCCTACAGGTCATCTGAGCATGCTGCGGCCCCTCTCCGAGACCACCAATTGGCATACCATCAACCCGGTAGGACAAGATCTGGCAAACCTTCCAAAACGTACATCATGCAAGAGGTCTCGGCGCGATTATGGGAGACAAGCACTTCGGGCAGTCGTTCGAGTCAGGCCCCAATCGAGTTGACGAGAAGATGGACGTAAGTATTCCATCCGCATACTGACAAGAGCAGGTCTCCAGATGCAATGCAGGCTTCCCCTATGGTGGCATAGGAGCGTGGTTCCAGTTCTGTGAAGAGCTCAGGTCTGGCAGAGACTTGGGTGTGGCTACCTGGGTACTAAGTACTTGAGGAGTCACTTTGTTGCTCCAGAAGTTGGTTCCTAGATCGTCAGAGGATCAATACCCAGCCTGGATACAGGTAGAATTTGACCTTCGGGGCACGCGCTACACGAGCACATTCATGTGTCACCTCAGTCTTCCCTCCTGCATTATCATTCTTGCTCAAAGTTTCTGTTGGGAGGCCAGTCCCCCCCCCCCCCTCCGGCGAGAGGCTCCAGTGGGACTAGAAGTACTGTAATACTCGGATTTGGACTCTGGGGTAGAGGATGAAGGCATCAAGAGTAAGGGCTATGTGATATACAGCGGCTCTCTGAGCTCTTATACTGAAGGTAACCAACCTCAGAAGCATTTCCAATGCTTTGGGAATGCCAGTGTATATCTCTGGCGAATATATGAGCTCTGTGCTAGCATTCTTAATATTACTGGCAAGAAGGTAATGGTTTCTTTTATAATTGCCATTGGGATTTTAATCGCTAGAAGAATGGAACTTTTCATTCCAACATCAAACCTGCGGAACAACCTAAGCGGCTTTGTGCATTTTGTGTTGCAACTCGGATGGACTGTTAGCCGGGTTAAAACAGGCGGGATTCCGGGTTGACCCGAAAATGTGGATGGCGTGCATGAGCTTCAAGCACTTTATAACAACGTCCGGTCCCAGTTTCATGCAGTCTCAGTTTTTCTTATTTCCACGTTACAAACGACCTTTCTACATTCCACGATGGGTAGAAGAAACGTTTCGATTGCCCAACGTCGGAGGCCTCGTCTCAAGACGTCCACGGGAGGTGGAACTCACATGGAACCCTAACCAGGCCAGTCACAGTCACGTCTCTGCCGGGTAGCGACATCTCTTGGCATGACGAGGAAAAGGTAGGCCTCCCGACCTGCCAGTCAAAAGCCAGGGCGCATGCTCGAATGCCATAATCCCCAACGTACTGTTAGAAGTGGCCACAGACGATGACGATCTTTCTTCCATCGAAGGCCTGAAGAGAGCGGGACCGAGGCTATGGGGCGGGTGGCTGTGCTGCGGCTAGTAGAGCGTGGCGTTCCGAAACCTCAAGTCGACGAACAAGACGGCACTTGCAGACCAGTTCGTTCTTGGGTGTTGGTGGCCTCTTTCCTGGGCCCTTGCTGGGTCTTGAAGCAAGAATCGCATCGCGGGGGAGATCATTCAAGGAACAATGCTACTGAGGACAACACGTTTCCGATCTCGACGTTTTTGTTGGCTGAGACATTTGAGGTCGAGGTATAAAACGACAAATTTCCACACTCATCACTCCTCGATTCTCATTCCTTTTCAGTTTGACCGTGAGAAGTGAAAGCTGGAAAGAGAAGTAAAGAGAAATAGAAAAAGGTAACTGACACACAAATTTCCTGGCCCCCTTTCCCACCTTGGCAGCCCGTGCTCTGCTTACTCATACGCACATCCAACAAAAGTATTTCGGGGCAAGCCTCCCCCTCCTTATCACTTCACATAGCGCCTCCTCTTTTCAACAATCCCGCTATTCGACCGCCCCCTTTTCCCGGGGAATGTACGCTCAGTCGCCTCGCACCGACACTCCTACTACACCACGGCTGCAGTATCTGGCTCGTCCAATTGGCCCCCAACATCACTGATCACCCGTCAATCCATCAGAAGACCCATTCGAGGTGTCAGATCCATATCAGAAAGACGCGCGCCATGGAGCCCGACCTATCTAGAAGCATTACCCACCACCCTTCCCCCTTCCACCTCCACCAGCATTCTTCTCACGCCTCCCACAACTCTCGACACAATAACAGTCACAACATCTCCATGTCCGCCATACGGTCGATCCATTCCGACGACAATGCGGCTGCCAGTAGTACCGCCCTTGACGCTGAGGAGGTGAAGGGCCACGATGGCCTGGACAACACCACCCACGCCCGCCACATGCCCTCCCCGCAGGAGCCCGACGTCGAGAGCCAGAAGACCGATGGCAAGCTTCCCCGTGTTTCTGTCGAGAGCGATCCTTTCGGGCTTTCAAAAGGATACAAGACTGAGGAGGAACTGGAGCGGATCAAGGCCAACATGTCCAGGAAACGTGATGGCCGGCCAGCCTCTTCGCAACGGCAGCAGCAGCAGCAGCAGGACAGCGATGGTACCGTTGCAAAGTCCACGTCCTCGCCAGCGGCCAGCGTCCAGCAGGGGCAGAGCCGCAAGATGCGCTTGCTCCCCAGCTTTGGGCAGAAAAAGGTCCAGTTCCACAGGGTGCAAGGCTTCTACAACCGCCAGAACGAAACGATCGAGCGGCTCTTGAAGCCCGTCGAGGAACATGTCGCCGACGCCAAGCAGGAGGAAGGTGAGGACCACCTCAAGTACAAGATCGCGGTGTGGGGCTCCTTCGCCGCCAACATAATCCTCTGTGGCCTCCAGCTCTACGGCGCCATCACGTCCAGCTCTCTCTCCCTCTTTACCACCATGGCCGATGCCATCTTCGACCCCATGTCCAATGTTACCCTCATCGTGTCCAACCGCGCTGTCAGGCGTGTCGACCCTTCGCGGTTCCCCTCTGGCAAGGCCCGCCTCGAGACCATTGGCAATATCGTCTTTTGTTTCCTCATGACCTCGGTGTCTCTTATACTGATCGCCTTCTCCTGCAAGGAGCTCGTGAGCCGCGAGGGCGAGGGCGGCACCAACACATTCCACCTCCCCTCGGTCATCGCCGTCTGTGTCGCCTTCTGCACCAAGCTTGCGCTGTTCCTCTACACCTGGATGCTTAAGGACAAGTACTCGCAGGTCTTCATCCTCTGGCAGGATCACCGCAATGATCTTCTCATCAACGGTTTTGGTATTCTGACCTCCGTTGGCGGTGCTAAGCTCGCGTGGTGGATCGACCCCATGGGGTCCATCCTCATCTCACTCATCGTGTCTACGATCTGGCTGCGGACAGCCTTCACGGAATTTCTTCTCCTGGTTGGCGTTGTCGCCTCCGTCGAGACCCAGCAGCTCATCACGTACGTGTGTTGCACTCATAGTCCTGCCATCAAGCAGATCGACACCGTACGTGTATACCACTCGGGCCCGAGGCTGATCGCCGAGGTGGACGTGGTCATGGACCCGGACGACACGCTGAGGGACACGCACGATGTCGCCGAGGACCTGCAGTTCAAGTTGGAGAGCCTGCCGGATATCGAGAGAGCCTACGTCCATGTGGACTATGAGACGACGCACAAGCCGGAGCATGCTTGGAAGAAGGATCTATGAGACGTGGAGTATGCATATTCACCACAGAATCTTCCATAGTCAGGTTAAGTTCAGTACACGCACTACATCCAGAACATGGCGATAGAATACATGAGTACATATAGCTACACATCCCGCTCGGCACCTTGGCAGCTTGGGAATGGAACCGCTGCCCAGTGAAGGTTCGACGCGATCTAGAAAACTGGATGCGACTAGTCCGGGGAATCCTTCTGCGCGCGTGGCTCCTCAGGATGCATTTCAGTAAAAGGCTGCGATAATACCGAGCGCTCTTTGAGGGGGTTGTCTGGACCCTGAGCTCCCCACCATCCCCCCCCCCCCCCAACTCCTCCCATGAACCGTCTTTGTGGCTTTGAAATAGTGACTCATTAGTTGAGAGTGCCTTATGGGACAGACGACTGACAGGTAGAAGTCACATCCAGAACTGCCTGTAGCTCTTCACCGACGGCCGCATCCACGGCCACTTAGTCTTGCTCTTCAAGATGACCTCGTGGCGAGCCTGTTGCAATGCCGGAGTGGCGGTCTATCCTCTGGTGCAGATCGTTCGAGGTGTTTATTCGCCTCTGATCCTTGCCAAACCAGATTTTCTATCACCTCCTATTCTTTCTTCTATCAACCACTCTTCACTTGTCTGGCTTTGATCCAAAATCAATAATTGATGGGCAGGAGGGTTCAGCACCTACCTGCTCAGGTACTCATAAGCATGTTTGGTATGCAAAACTACCTGCAAGGTTCGGTGGTCGAAGAAAACAAGTATTTCGAATCAGCATGTTGGAAAGCTGGTTATTTGCAAAACAGAATGCATCAAGAGGTCAAGTTAGGTTTTACAGAAGGATGAAGCATTGCTAGGTGTATCAACTCAATTTAACAGCAAGCAGAAAAGGAATAGAATATGTGATTCCCATCCAAGTAACTCCCGGTGCGTCTCACACTATTCGAAAACCTTCGTCCGTATGGGTTTGCTTGTACATGCCCAAGAAATGTCATTTACCAAGCGCTAATGTGTAGAAGAGGATAAAGGGATGTACATAATATTTATCCAGCACAATGTTCTAGTGATACACCAGCCATCTCTGCAATGTTATCATCTCATGCAGGGGTTCAGCCTGTGAGAATGGAAACATGAACAATTTCATGGAGGAGACAAGCAGAGGGTTCTCAAAAAATGGTCAAATGGCAAATTCGCTGCAATTATATGCAAGTGACTCAAATACACTCTGCTTGATGACGAGTATTGTCATGAAAATACGCTATCTGTGTTGGAGTAACATCCCAAATGGCATTAAAGTGACACAAGTGAGGCACCCAGTCACCCTTGATGTTCCCCCCGCCCCGGCTTTTATTTTCTTTCCTCTCTTTCTATATATAATAAGCTACTTAAGTTTGAGATACACCGGAGACGGAATCGATCAAATAATTGATTAAGTGCCACACACACCGCGATTCTATGCCCGTAGAATCGAATTTTGATCGAAAAAAATGAAGAAAGAAATAAGCATCGATCCGTAACGCCGACGCAGAACCCTAAGTCTCTCGACCTCTCTCCCTGGAGGCAAAACTCAAAAAAAGGAAGAAAACAAGATCAAAACAAGCATCCAGATGCAAAAACAAACACCCAAGTGACATGCCCGACCGCAACTCTGTCTGCCGCGATTTCCGCACTACCAAACAGCAACTACGGCCAGCAAGGTCACTCCGGTGGCCAGCAGCCAGCTTGCAGTCAACATGCTCGCACCCGAGTAGAAATGGAACGAGCCAGGGTAATTGCAGGTGATGTTCCCGTCGTTGCTACCCAGCCTCGTGCCGTAGCTTGTGTTGAACCCCACATTCCATGGCCTTGGACAGGTAAATCCCAATGAGGCCGGGCAGCTCTGCACGAGGTCGTAGCACAGCTCCTCGCACGGCAGAACCTCCTTGTACGGGCCGGGCTTGACCTCGGTGTCGATCAGAGGGTTTCGGCTGGTCAGATAGCTCAACTGGTGGGTGAACTGGGAGTACTGGAGCAGCAGGTCCTGGGGGAGGGAGCTACCGTCCGGGAAGGTGGAGTTCATAGCACGCGGCTGCAGGAAGGTCTCGGTCGAAGTGAAGTCCTCGCAGCGAGGGATGGTCACAGAGCATAGCCAGTCCTTGTAGGCTGCGCGGCAGGTGCTGCAGTTGCGGACCAGGGAATACTGCTGTGTGTCCTCGGCCTCGCAGGGGATCATTGTCATGGACTTGTTGAAGCCGTCGTAGAGAGATTGGGCGTAATCATCGTAGAACGCGCCTAGGGCAGACGTGGTAGGAAATGTCTGGTTGTTGCTGGGCACGGCATAGGCGACTTGGTCGCAGAATGTGAGGTTGAAAATCAGAGCGCAGTTGCCATAGCCTGGGACTCAAATGTTAGCACGCTGACAAGTAACCATATACCTAAGTACCTTGGAGATACATCCAGAAACTCACTCGACTTGGTCTCAAATTGCGTGGTCCGATAGACTGAGCCACCACCTCCGACAACATTGGTATCACTGGAATTGTCCACATTCCTCGCCAGGATGCCGACGTACTTGGAGCTTGAGTTCAGCCCACTGAAGTAGAACTGCTGCTTCGGGTACCCGCCCGCGCCCCTCTTTGTCATTCCCGTCGTCACTTGCGATGTGGTCTGGCCGTTTCTAACCGCCGCGATCTGGGCATTATTGTTGAGGCCGCAGTACGAGTTCTCTAGGCCCTTGATAGACGGGTTGATGTCGTTCTGCGCAAACATGACATACGGCCGGCTGGCCATAACCTCCTGCTCCACCTCGTGGTTCCGGCTGGTCGTCAGGTTTTGTGTCATCAGCAGGACCGACGTGGTGTCGCTGTCCACCCAGAAGAGCTCCTCTGTGTTCGTCTCGTTGTAGCTGTGGTACCATCCATCCACAGAGCCGGCTATCTGAACATTGTAGATCCCGGAGAAGTTGCTAGACATGTTGGACGCGGCCACGCCGACGTAGACGCTGTCGGATGTGGTCAGGTTGAACATGACAGCGCCTTTCTGGAAAGTCCTAACCTCCTGTTGGCTTGAGTCGGCGGACGGCCCTGGTGATGTGTTGTCTGTCGAGGTCGACACGTACAACGTCAACTGAGGGGGCGTTCCCGTGGTTGTCGAGTTTCCTGCGGGCTGTAAACATGTATTTGCGGACAAGTAGACCGTCGCAGATGATGCCCTCTTTGCCAGTGTTCCCTCTCCATCTGTTGCCTCTTTTTCTCCTGCTGGTGTTTCAGGCTCCCCACGTAACTCCAGCGGCCAGTTCTCCTGCCTGCTCGACAGCTGCGAGCTATCGAACACAAAGACTAAGGAGTCGCCCGCATTGAGATTCATCTTGGTCGGCACGTTGTTCGTCAATGCGATCGTGTCCCGAGTAACGACCGGTGCCCTTCCTAATATACTCCGTTCAAAGGCATGGAACTCGGGCTCATACAAGGCATCCCTGACCGCTCGGGAGCCCAGATCAATTTCGTCGTCGAATATTATAGGCGAGCCATGGTTGATCTCTTCTGCTAAGGCGAATTGAGGTCTGAAGAGAGAGAGGTAGAGGATTATCAGGAGGACGGTGGCGGTGACGGACGCCGCGAGCCGCGACTGCAGCGGTGAGAGCTGCATGGTGAGGACATGCCCTCACGGGGCTATCAATCGGCTCTTTGGTGGCTTGCTCGTGGATTTCGATAATGCGTGGGGTAGAGGTGTCTGTCAGGGGCAGAGCGTAAGATGTGTCGCAAAGAACGACGTTGGCAACCGGGATACGCTGGTGGCACGGTAGCAGGCACGGATAAGTGATTTGAGAAGTTACTGGGCTTCCTCATCTGAGGTTTCCAAAAACAATGATTGATGCTGTTTGAGAGAAGCAACGAGGTCACCGGGGGAGGGGGCGAGGAAGCAGGGGAGAATGTTCCTCTGGTGAACAAGAGTATGCAGTTCGGAGGACTCGCAAGTTTAGGTTTCACTGCTTTGGATCTCTAACATGCAATGCAAGACGGGAGCCCTGAACCAGCGGCAGCCAGCGATGGACGCCAGCGGGGCCGACCCGCTGTGGCAGTACTGGAGGTACTCAGTACGGGTGCTGGCACACTGGATTTAAGCTGGGGCTAATGTAACCGGGGACCCCACCCATCTCCTACCACTAAGGGAATCTGGCCCTCCCCCTCCCCCGCTGCCGCATGAATGCGATCTATGTATTCAGCCATGTGCCAGGTCAGCATCTCATTCCTCGGGCATGTCAGCTAGATTATGAGAAGGCAAAGTATTTGCAGCCGCACTAAGTAGGGCTGGAATGCAGTGTCGTTCAAGAGCATGGCCCTCTTTCGGCACATGAATTCTGTTGTCCGTGTAGCCATGGCAACGCTCCGATCGTCTGGACCAACCAAGCACATGAAAGATGGAGCCACGAGCATTTCAATTTGATCATGTCATAACCATTTGATTCGGTATACATTCCTGGTCCAGAGCACGCACAAGGAAATTAGGGTCCGAGGTGAATCATGTCTCTGGCAGACCCTTTCCAAACGGGAAAAGGAAACCCATCCGTCTATTGTATCAATCAATCTATCATCTCCCCACACACATCACCGCCACCTATCTCGTCACCTTTCAGAACAGTCCCAAGGAACTGCCAGCCCCGAGAAGGGTCCTCGCAATGAAGCACTTATTGGCCATTGCATGTACCTGCCGATACCGAGGCGTACTTTGGTCACCGCGTCGAAGACCGTGTCTCGATCCAAAGTCTGTTGATTGTCGCAAGGGTCACGCACACCCTTGGGCTATCGCGGTCCCGTGTAAATCATTTACTCGGTCTTATCGGCCTGGGCGCGCAGGCCAGGGGCGGTGGAGCCGCCGAAGTAGCGACCGAGCATGGGCGCCAGGAAGGATCGGAAGATGATTTCAGCACCCCTGTAGTCAACCGTCAGTATTACCACATCTGTTGGGAGAGTCGGGGTATCATACCTAGTCATGGGCAGGGAGAGCCACAGAAGGAAGATGAACTTGAATGTATAATAGAATGGGAACCAGTAGACGACACTCAGGAGGCTCTCAAGGACGCTGAAGAGAGTCAAAGGGTTAGAGATGTTCGGACCGACGTCCAAGTTCGCGATATCGGGGGGCCTTACGTGAAAAAAGAGAACACAACCCAGTACTGGGAGAGATTTAGTGAGGACTCAATGCGAAAATAGCCAGGCTCGACGGAAACACTTACAGTAAGCCACTGGGTGTCATCAGACTTGCCAGTTGTGAAGAGCGCCTCCAGAGAGTAGTATCCAGGGATAGCAAATCCAGCCAGGTTGGTCAGGAGCTGACCGCCGAGGTTGAAGACAATGAAGAAGAAGTAGAGGGTGACCAGGCCAATGACAGCATAAGTCTTGGGCACACCGGCCTGCTTCTCGATGTTGTTGAGGGAAGGGTACTTGGAGAGCTAAAGGTGATAAGCGGCGTTCATGGTCAGCTTCCAGACACATGGCAGGAAAAAGCTCAGGGAGTCAAGACTGCGCGCATGACTTCATACCTCCTTGTCGAGAGCACCCAGATAGTGCTGAGCCTTATCCTGAGCAGACATTGTTGCAAATTTGTTAAACTGATCTGAATGATGCGAAACAGGTTGTAGTTCTGGGCTTTATCGTCGTGGTTAGAGGAGGCAGAGCTGAAAGGTCTGAAGGCAAAGACAGTTGGTCAGTCTGGAGGGTTCGAGAAGCTGGAACGTCAAGGCTGACTGGGCTGCGGGGCCAAAGCTTGGACCTGGGTGCCGGAAACGCAGTGGGCTGGCTGTGCCTGGGGCTTGCACAGAAGAGATGACTACTTGCAGACGGTGTAACTGACCTGTTGAGAAGAGCACAATTGTGGCTGTAGTTGGTATATTCACAGGGAAAGGATTTGATTTCTTGGAGGACTGGAAAAGGACTTCAATTTTGGGAACAGGTGGCTTTGCAACTGAGCTGACTGAAGAGGGTCTAGAGCTTGGAAGGATCAACTTTACGAGCTTTGCTCGATGACGACTGATGTGCTGGACTTGCAGGCACAGCGGTTGGACAGCACTGACATCAGAGGGCCCCATGCAAAACAGGGGGTGGAAACAGAGGGGGAGTGGACATGGAACGGATGGACCGGTATGCTAGCAGCTTTCGAGGCGGAGCATAGGACTGATGCCTCAGGCAACACTACTGCTTGCGGAGTAGGCCAGTATTATGCTTGGTGATTGGAGAAGGGGCGGGAAGAATGCCTGGTTAGACCTGTTTGTGTTAGGTCAGCAGTCTGCTCCACCCTGATAACGTATTCAGATAAGATTGGAATACAGGGCTATTTAGCGACTTGCAAACATAGCTTCTTGCACCACAGGCCTGACAAGCCTGACATATCATTCGTGAGTGGCCCTGTTATTGATCAACACAAATGCCCCAGGCCGTGTCAGCCACTCGATCCTTGCATTTGTTCCGTTTCCTTCCCAACCGCCAAAAGACTGTAAACAAACCTGGCAGCCAGACACTCTTCACTTCAAAGAGAGGCCGTTTGTATCACCGCGTCTCTTCTTTGGCCTTACAGTAGTCTTCCTGTCTCCACTCATACTTATGATTTCTTCCATTTCATTCGCTACCTAACTGTCAATCTGCATACACAACACGGCGCACTCGACGCCAATCGGTTTTCTTCACAGGCTCCATGGCCTCGACAGGTAAGAAGATGATGCTTTGTTCTACGTCCCCCCCCCCCCCTCTGCTAATTCACAACGTCTGCCTCACATCGACATCGCTGTCGCCCGTGGCCACAATGGTCGCGCCGACAGTCATGCCATCTATTCTCGATCGCGCGCCTCTCTGCTGGCCTAATGCCGATGCTGACAGTTTTTCAGAAGCGTATTCGCGCTTCCCCCCACCAGGTCGGCGGCCCAGTGAAGGATCAACAACATCAGCGCGCTCCGTCACCACACAACCCAACAATATCGACTCAAACCAACAACAAGATGAGATGACCTCCTTTCATGCCGCTGCCGCATGGCTCGCCCAGCAACAACAGCAACAACAGCAACAACACCAGCAGCAGCAGCAACCCCAACCCCAGCAACAACAACCCCAGTCTGGACAACTGCGACAGTTAGCCCCCGCCCCGCGACCAACTTCTCCCGAGTATGTCCTCGCCAATGGACTGCCGGTCCAGCAGGCCCGCGATTTTTCTGTCGAGCAAGGAGTACACGGAGGGATGGGGGGCCAGTTCCGCTTCCAACAGCAGCCGCAGCATTTGCAACATCAACAACCGCCTCAATCTCACATGGGCCGTCAGTCTCTACCAAGCGACTATTTACCTGTTAACGGACACCCCAGCTTGGGAGCCCAGATGATGGATCGTAATGACAGTCCCGCACCAGACTCGGGACTTGATATTGGCAGCGCGCCGACTAGGTCCAGGTCCAACACGAATAACGATCAAGAGATGCGGGAACTATTCAACAGGAATAGTCACCGCGCATTACAGGATGTAGCTAAGGAGCTTCATGGAAACGAGCGCGGCCCTAGTAGTGAGCGCAGTCGGCAGCTCTTTGCCATGCTGTGGTAAGTGCATCCAGCTATGCCTTGCCTAGACCTGGAAGCGAGTCTTCTACGAGAGAGATGCGACCTAAAGGTCAACTGTCGTATCTCTTTTTAGTGTTGCGTCCTGGTCAAACCATCCTCTTCGTCAACGTGACTGACCATGACATCCAGGATCAAATCAGCATGCCGAAAAGGCAAGACTTCTGTGCCGCGTAGTCGTGTGTACGCTAGTTACGTCAAGCGGTGCGCCCATGAAAAGATTGCTGTCCTGAACCCGGCCAGCTTTGGAAAGCTTGTCAGAGTGCTGTATCCCGGCCTCAGGACGCGTCGACTGGGTGTACGTGGCGAGTCCAAGTATCACTATGTCGATTTTGAGTTGATCGATGTGGACGTGGACGATGTGGATGAGATCCCATCGCAATTCTCAGCCTCCGGCCCGTCGAGGCTAAGTTTTGCCGAGAGCTTTAACATGAGGTAAGAGAGCCCCCATTACTATCAATGGCGTTCCGGGTCTGACGTGTCATCAGCAACCTCACACGACCGTCTACAGCCGCCGGTTTGGAGCATCCAGTAGCCCCTTCTCCTACAGAAAAAGGACCTGCCACAGACACCAGGGATGTCACGCCCCGTGGCCACGAGCGGCGAAATATTCGGCATGCCATCTACAATCATCCCTCAGTTGCCAGTGTGGCAGAGCTGGGCGTGACCGGCAGTAGGACATCAAAGAAGCTTCATCTACAACCCGATGATGCGTCTGCTTCAACACGCCTGGTCCTTCCGCCGATCGAGCCTTATCTGCCTTCAGGCACCGACCCTGACGCTGCGAAGTCGCTTGAGGCCCTCTACTTGTCGCATTGTACTTCTTTGATCGAGTGCATACGGTTCTGCAAAGAGAAGAACTTCTTTCATCTCTTCACCGCTTTTCATGGCACCCTTACAGTACCGGTCCAGAAGTTGCTGGTCAATCCGGCCCTCGAGGCGTGGATCGAGCAATGTGACCTCCGGATGTACCAGAACATGATGCATATAGTCGCTGTGGTGGCTCTGCAAGTCATCCCCCCCTTTGGACTTCAGAGTTTGCGCAATATTTCCGAAAGGCTTGTCTCTCACATCAGGACCTCTTTTGAAGGTCAGCCGGACCACGTTCTCAGGGCCAAGGAGGCGCCTGCTGCTTTATTTGCAGACCTCCTGGATCGAGCACTGAGAGTCAACACAACGGCTCACGCCAGTGCGAACTTCCTTCACAACCACGCCAATCGAACTCAGATGTATCTTGACTTCATCACATACGTGCGGCCCAGGAAGATTGCGCAATCCGTGCCAGTGGAGGCCATGGAGGACGTTGTCTACCTGCTCGTGTCAGAGATCAGAGAGCTCCTGGACCCCAGAGATGTTCCATGGGACCTCGAAGGCTGCACAGTTCAAGGTGACTTCTATATCCGGAACCGCAACCCCGAGCAAGTCGACAATGAAGGTGCTGTTGAGGCGTCCAATCTTCTCGATCGTTGGGTTGAGCTGCTGAAGTCCTTGTCCTCTCGATTTCCGTACGCCTCTGCAGGAGATATTGTTCTGTTCACCCAGGCCATTGGTACGACCATGATGAGGGATCTAACCATCAATAGCGCCGAGAGTTTTGGCGCCTGGTGGTGTCTGAAGTGCTGGATTGACGAGATGATCTGGTTCCTGGCTGAGAAAGGCGGATTCATGCAGCAGACGACAACTCGAGCCATTGTCTCAGCGAAACGAAAGAGCCAGGGCGAACCAGAGGGCGCGGAGGCGCGAAAAACAATGCGATTCAGCACTGGCAGTGGTCCTGAGGACCCGATTATGACGTTGATGGAGAATTCGCAGCAAGTTCTTGCACCACTGACCCCGAGCCTACAAAACGAAAATCAGCATGTTGTGGTCGACATGCATGCTGCTAACTACGATGATAGCGGCATCAGCCTCCGCATGTCCGGAGAGGATTCTCCCATGAGCAAGTTCACCTCGCAGATGGACAGTCAGAGGGTGCACGACGGGGGCCAAACCGTCACTGGTGGGCTGCGGTGACGATAATCTGGAAGATTTGTATTATGATTTTTCTTGTTGGCGACGTAATGGCGTATGTTGCTCTGTCTTTGTTCTGGCTTAAGTTCACAACGGGGAAGGGAGAGGTGTTTGATCGTCGTTATGCTGGCGGCCACTGCGCGTGAAGGGAAGCTTTCTCGCTTTCTTTTTTCGGCGTTCCGGGGACACAGGTTCATCATCATGTTTGATGAAGTATACGAGCGACACGATTGGGTATACGGCTGAGGCTAAGGGGGGGGGGGCATCTCGTACCTGGTTTGGGTGGGCAGAATTGGATTCTTCTACTGCTTCTCCCCCTTTTCTTGCCTCTTCTCATCTACTTCTGGGCAAGGTCTGGTTGGGCTTACACGTGGACTGGAAAACTGGATGGACAGGATTGTGATTCCCCCTTTTTGGATCGGAGGTAGGATCTTGGGTGGGCTAGACCACCTACCGCCCTTCATTTGTGCGTGCTACTCAGAGTAATATTATTTCTGCTGTTTTCATGAGAGTCATGTTCGGATGGCCACCGCACCGTGTGCCTGATTCCTGGTGGATGGCTGCAATTGCGCTTGGGGTTTCCTATGCTTGGTCGCTTGGCGGGACAAGGTATAGAGAGAGACAAAGGACTGCGGGAATCGCAGAAAATGAGGCGGGCTGTTCAAATATATAGTGACCTACAGAGCGGAAAGTGGACAGAGGTCTTGGCTACCTGGGCAGGTCAGGAGGCGAAAGAGAGGTCGTTAGAGGCTGAAGATCGTATACAAACATGGTAAATGATAAGATGCAAGTGAATTGGCGGTCAAAAAGGGCATGACACAGACATGCGAGACAGACATGCTGCCGAGTTTAGGATTATTCATCGTCATACAAGACCGTACTGGTCCACTGAATATTATTGTTGTATATGATATGCAGAAAAAAAGTGATTTCTCAGATTCTGTCTATCAATTTGTAGTGTCTATCTACAAAAGCCTGATGAACCTTATTGTACATGAAACCAAAGAGGCGCCAGGCATGTGAGCTCGGGTCTCGGTACTTAGGAGGGGGGGGGGGGTTGGTAAGCCGCGGCTGTGCCTTTTCTCACTTCTTCTCGCTCTGGGCGGGAAACCTAGCAGTCCTCGTCCGTCTCCCTCTTTTACTTTCTTCTCGCTGTGCCCTCTGTTCTCGCTTGTGACTTGTCTATTTTAGACAAGCAAGTACTATTTGGAGTACCTTGGCCTATTGTTTCCTCCTCGAGGCCGCTTTTGGGCTCCTGCTCGGTATCCAGGGCTCGCAAACCAGATCAATCTTGTGTGCGGTCGAGACACGGGGAAAGTTCATCGCCAAATCAAGTGCAGTAAACGAGCGGGCCGGACCCTTCTCCAGTGGAGACTTGGGAGTAACGCACAAGCACAGCAGCAACAACAGCACTTTGGAGGTCAGAACAGCCGCAGTGGGAGCTTCGAAGGCGAGAATTTATAACTCAACCAGCAGCACTTAGAGATCAAGTCCCCAAAGAAACCAACTCCTTCTTAAAAGAGGTCGAGTCTCTCTCTCTTTACCTTGCTGTGCTCCTTATATATATCTCCTTCTCGGAGACTACATTTCTTCCACACTATATTATCAACTCCAAGAACGAAGGCGGCGAGGTCTGCCCCAGCTCACCACCACCACCATCATCAGCCAAGCATCTGCGGCATGGTTCAAGAGATAGAGGGCGAGTTCCAGGTTGGGAACGTTCGCCTGTACAGGAAGACATGGCTCGTGAGTCCTTCCCCTTTACTTTCCAGTATAACACACCAAACACACTGCTAACATTCGACCTAGCCCGACGATGCTACGCCTACCGTCGCTAAACTCGTCTTTATCCACGGCTTCAGTGACCATCTCGGCCGGTACTATGGCTTCTTCCCCTTCCTCGCCTCCTCCGGCATTGCCGTTTACGGCTTCGACCAGCGAGGCTGGGGCCGTTCTGTCCGCCGGCCCGCCGAACGCGGCCTGACGGGCCCGACTAGCCAGGTCCTCAGCGACATCGCCGCCTTCATCACGCAGGTGGCCATCCCCGCGCCGCCCACGGCCTCCACGCCGCTATTCGTCATGGGCCACAGCATGGGCGGCGGCGAGGTGCTGGCGCTGGCGAGCACGCCTGAGTACGCCGCCAGCGTGGTGGCGCCCGTGCGCGGGTGGCTTCTCGAGGCGCCCTTTGTGGCCTTTGACGACAAGGAGAAGCCCAGCGCGCTCAAAGTCTTTGCAGGCCGGCTGGCGGGCCGTGTCCTTCCTCATATGCACCTCGCCAACCCGATCCCCGTCGAGTACCTGTCACGCGACCCGGCCGTCCAGCAGAGCCTGCAGGAGGACGAACTGTGCCACGACACGGGCACGCTCGAGGGCCTGGCGGGGCTCCTGGACCGCACGGCCGACCTGGCGAGCGGGAAGCTGAAGCTGAGCCCCAAGGTGAAGAGCCTGTGGATCGGGCACGGCGACAAGGACATCGCGACGAGCTATCCTGAGAGCAAGAAATGGTTTGATCGGCAGACGCAGGTGGAGGACAAGACGTTCAAGACCTACGAGGGATGGCTGCACCAGCTGCATGCCGACGTGGGCAGGGAGGAGTTCTATGAGGACGTCAAGGCGTGGATCCTGAAGAGAATCGATGGTGGTGGTGACGACGACGAGGGACAGGCCGCCGTAGATGTGGTAGATGTGAAGGGGAGTGCAGGAGGCGAGGTGTCCAAGGACGATGAGAAGAAGGGCGACGAGGAGGAGGAGGGTAAGGTGGACTCTAAGCTATAGTGTCTTTGCTTCTTCCTGCAGGTCAACACAACTCAAAGATCTCGAATCTCGGGCATCTCGTTTATGTCTTGCCGGGCAGAAAGGTGGATCAGGGAGCCACTCGAGAAGGCGCTATGGATCCCTTCAGGCTGTTATCTGGTGGGAAACATGACTGGGCATCACGTTTTGGCATCATACGTTTCTTAATACTATGGGGGCTCTTTTCTGCCAATGACTTACAAGCAATACAGTTTGTCATGGCCCTTCAAAGCTCAGCACTCTCAGATCACCATCTCCCCTCAGTCTCGTCGCGAAGAGTCTTGGTAAAAGTGCAAGTGGAAGAAAAATCAGGCAAGCGGTAGTGACGAGATCTCGAGGAGTGCATTAATGAACATTTAAATATTTCTATGCTCGATGAGGAATTCATTCAGCGCAGTGGAAACCTGTGGCGGAAGTGGCTCGAGATGCTTGAAGAGCATGTCACTGCGAAGCCTTCTTATCGTCATTGAAGTATCCAGTGTCGTACAGTGAGAACTACACAGTACAATGATTTAGCGGGAAAATGCTGAAGGCATCACGAGATTCGCGACTGCCGTTTAGAGCTGGGTCGGACAGCCATGTGCAAGAACAATTTACGGAAAGTTTGCTCCTTCAGCAGCGAGCCTCTGCCAATGAAAGGCCAGACTTTCTAAAGCTCTGTGTCTCATTGTTTCACACATCTGACACGCAGCTCAAGCGGCGGTCCCATCCGTGTGCATCATTGGCCCAGACCCCTCGTGCCCTTCCCTGATGATTTAGCTGCAGGCTGACCTCAACATGCGCCTCGTTACGCCATCTCAGCCTCCAGCGCTGCCCTCCTCAAAGTGACACCATTCTTGGACAAGTACTTAGCCCTGCTTGACGGGCCCATCAACTTCAACATTCTAACAGATCGTGCGTTCGCAGCCTGCCAACTGGGAGTGATGACCTCCAGCCGCCAGATGTCGTGCTCTTCACAGGCTCATGTCTCTCATAACGAAACCCATCGGCCAACATGGCACTTCGCCAAGGACAGCACTGCTGGCCCTCGACCTGCAGAACGATTTCCTCTGCGCAAACGGCATGTTGCCGGTCAGAAAGCGGCCTGAGATGGTCGACAATATCATCAAACTCGCCAAGGTAATCCGCGCCTCTGGAGGGGTGGTCATTTGGATACGGAGCGAGTTCGAGGCCCACCGCGTTGCTGGAAAAAGGCAGGTCTGCATTAGCGACAAAGTCGGAGCTCCCGGCTTCCTCCACGCCGGCATCGAAGATCCGGATGCCTTCCTTAGCAACGGTGCTACGTGTGTTCAAAGGGGCAACCCCGGTGCGCAGCTCGCTCGTGCCATCAGGCAGGCCCAGACGCCCGAGGACTACGTGCTGACCAAAACCTACTACTCGGCGTTCCAGTCCGACCAGCTGCCTGGTCTGTTGGAGCTGCTGTCCGTGGGGGCACTGGCCATCTGCGGCGCCTTGTCCAATGTGAGCGTTTACGCGACTGCGCTGACGGCCAGGCGGTATGGGTTTTCCGTTACGGTTGTAGAAAATTGCTGTGGTTATCGAGACGAGAAATTGCACGCGGTGGCGATGAATACCCTCACCGAGGAGGCTCGATGTACTGTTGCTGATTCCGATCAATTTGTGAGCATCCTGGGGGGTCCGGAAAAGAAGAAAATCTCTTTCCCACCAACGGCAATGAAGATCATGGCCATTATCAAAGCTGCACGCGAAGAGAGGACAAGACCCTCCCCATTCATATGTACTTATGCGAGGCAAAAACCCATGGCCCCGGAACCAGGACCGTTGACGCCAGCAAGGAAAGTGACCAGCTCGTTATTTCCAAGTCGCAGAAGTGTATTTAAGTATTGGAGGAAGATTCTCAGGAGGCCTGGATGGTGGAGACCGAAAGTCCGGGCTGGGTTCAGACGCATCGAGTGGAATTGTGTGAGTTCTCCTTGTGAACTTGTCGAGGTACACTTCCATTACTGACGAAACCGAATCTCCTCCCAGCACTGTGGTTCGGCCTTGTATGGTGATTTTCCGTCAGACACCAAGGATATCGACGAGCTGGAGAGGGCCCTCAAGAGACCCTTGCGGCTCGTGGAGCTCCTGGTCATGCAACAGTCAGGACGTAGCTCTGCGAGCAACAGCAGCTCTCTCGCTAATCCTCATGGAGCGTCGAGCGGGACGAGCAGAGGCCGCAATAGCACCAACAGGGCAGACTCGGTTTCTGCAACTATGAGCCGATCAGCAAGTCCGACGTATATTGTACCCAGCGGTGGCGCTGGCGCTGGTGGTAACACTGGTGTTGGACAGGTGAACAGTCCACCGATTCCCAACTATCTGGCAATGTGCGTCAATACCGGAGATATTTATAAGACTCTCGCCGAGATAGAGACATCGCAGATCATGTCCGACTCCCAGGCCTTTTTGAAAATGCGTGAGAAGTACCTGGAAGTTAGGGGCTTCCGCTCGAGGTTTCATGCTTTGGTGAAGCCGGTGACTTTGAGGTTTGTGAAGGTAAGAATGCTTCCTATGCCCCTGGTGCAGCAGCATCCATATCACTCTCTCTCCCAACCCCAGCTGAAGAAGAGAAAAACTATTGCCAATGATAGTTTCAGCTCTGGGACCTCCGCAACGGCTACATTTCCATCTGCGAGCAGGACTGCATCCCTTCGGACAGGACCGAGTACGACTATGTACCGAGCGATATCAAGCCGCCCCCAATGCCGCCGGAGGTGTTTATCCACTATCTCGAGCACGACGAGGGGGACATCAGCCCCTTGCGGAACCACTGGCTCCCGCGGCTGCCAAAGAAGCGGCGCACGCGGGTCATCACGGACGCCACACTAGGATCAGACGCATGGGGTATCCACATCATCGAGGGCCCCAACCGCGAGGTCGTCTTCTGGGTTTGTTTGGCCACCATTGCGGCGAGCGTGGTGGCCGGTGTCCTGTGGTCGGGTCTGCGGGCGGATGTGCCAGGGGGGATGGGGATTGGGTCTCTGGCCGTGGCTGTCCCTCCTGCTGTGCTGGCCATCTTTCTTTTCAGGATGGGCGGGCTCTGACAGGACAGAAATTTGGCTGTCGTTGCGTGCTATGGAGGTAGGTGTGTGTGTGTGTGTGTGCGTGTGTATAAAGAGAAAGGGAACGGAATATCATCATGGACTAGGAGAGTTTTCATCAACATGAAAAGTCATTAAATCTGCCTGATTGTGGCCTGACAAAGCCAAGCACTGGTATCTGAAACGTCCCGTCCACTTTATGTGTCTGGAAGCACATCTCGCTCCTCCTTCTACCTCCAGCGCCACCACGAGGCCTTTTCTCCTGCCTTCGAAGGCTCAGGCGCTTGCTCCTCTGGCACCCTAGACAACTCCTGTTCGAACCGCCTCTCTAGTTGGGCGAGCCGCTCCTGGTACTCCTCGACGCTCAGTTCCCTGCTGGACGCCGCCTCCTTCCCGCCACCGCCCGTCCTGCGCAACCGGGCCTGGACTGCCTCCGTGAGGTCCTGCACCGCCCTCTGCCGCTCAGCTGGAGATTGTCTGGCAAGCGCCGCAAACTGCTCCAGGTTCAGAGCGGCCGGGTCAATCCCGTGGCGGCGGAGGTTTCCCAGGGTCTGGATCTTGAGGGCGTCGTCCCTGGTCATCCAGGCCACTGCTGATTCTAGGGCGACGATCTCGGCTGTGCTGTGAAGTCAATTCAGAGCACATCCTTTTTTGATTTTCATGAGTCAAATAAGAAGGCAAGAGGCAGAGGTTGGGGGAGGGGGCGCAAACCTTCACGATCAGCACGGATCTCGTCCTGTTCTAGCTTTACCCAGCCCCAATAGGCCAGCTGGTAGGTAAACACTGCCATCAACAGAACCTTGGCAACAGGTCTGGTGAAGGTCTTGTAGAATACTGCCTGAAGGGTTGAGGACAGTTGTCAACAGGTGAAAGCAGCAAGAATCTTTTGGGGGGATGAGTCAACAAGGAAAAGGAAAGCAAGCATTATCCATCCATCCCATCATCATCAACTCACCACATTGGAAGGCTGCCTATCTGATGAGGCGAATCGTCGTAGGGCTGGTGCTCTTGAGGTGAGTGTTCTTGGCGAGGGCCATATTTGCCGGTTGACTATTGACAAGGCTCTTGAATTCATCTTGGCGTATGCAGAAAATAATGTGAAGAGGAGGAGTGAGAGAGAGATGTATGTCTCATATGTGTTGGTTGGTTCGTATGAAAGAATCGTGGTTGATTGTGGAGAGAACCCGAACCCTTTGGTGAAAATTGCAGGTGAGGTCACAGCACAAGCAAAAGGCCTTAGGGAAGCTACATCAACCTTACGGCTACTAGCTACAAATCTCAGGGCCCTTTCCACCCCACCTCGGCTCTGCTAGCCGTGCATGGGACTCAAGGGTGAGCCCCCCCCCCCTGTGAGTGCGGAGTCAAGGGTTGTCGTCGAGTACAGGGAAGAGGGCCTTTCGAGATTAGACGACACGTCTGCCAGAATTTCGGGAGATCTGGTCAATTGATTAATTGAAATCAAGCAAGGGTGCGCGGATTTTGTCCTTCATTCATTCAAAGAAACAAAAAGAAACAAACCGATACTCAGTCTGATCCCCTACTTATCTACTCTTCCAAGAGTATCCTTCTCTAAGCAACTTGACAGCAAGAGACGAGGCGATCTGTCCCTTCTCAACGAGCTTCCCTATTTCAACTCGCTTCCTCCACTCGCTCAACCGGCTCCTCCCCGACGAACACAACCTCCAATTCCACTCCCTCTTCCAAGACCATTCGAAACCCCGTATTTCACTACTATTCTCTCTTTCTCTTTCTCTCTCTACTCAGCCCCCGTTGCCTCTTTGACACCAGACTTATACAATGGTAAGTCCCCAAATCCCGACCCCCACCAGCTTGTCACATGCATCTCTCTCCCCTCCAAGCGCATTCATTCCCACCTCTCTCCCTTGCAACAAAACAAGAGCAACGAAGGAGAACTGACCCGGCTCTATTCTCTCCGTCCAGGCGCAAACACCCCAACAACGACGCGCCAACGCCAAGTTCGCCAAGGAGCAGGACGCCCGCCGCGGCAAGTCCAGCGAGGAGATCAAGAAGAGGAACAAGGAGGTCACAAAGTCGCCCATCTCCCCCGTTTGGCTCGGTACGCGCAAACTCTGATGGACATCCTCCCCCTCCCCTCCCCTCTCTCTTTACCTCCCCTTACACCAAGAAAACAGAACAAGAACAGAACCCACCTAACAGATCATCTCTTCAAAACAACACAGGTGTCCTTGCGTTCGTCGTCTTCGGTGGCATAGTGTTCGAGGTTCTCTCCCGCATCTTCTTCGGCAGCCGGTGAGCGAGACTTGTTGATACCAGGGGAGAAGGCAGTACCGGTGTGGCGTGATGGGGTGGAAAGGAGTTTATATCGTGTGCGGATGAAAGAATAGGTGCTTGTATGCATTGTGCTGGTGGACGTACGCGGGCACACTGTGGGTGTTTTGTCTGTCGAGGCTCCGACGGGGTCAAACTTTTCTTAAAAATCTGGGGGCAGCTGGGCGCGAACAACGCTGGCTGGGCGCATGGGATGATTCGACGGAGTTTACATATGATCGCTATCACAAATGCACTGCTTCTGTGCTAGGCGACGAAAAAGAAGAATCTGCGGGGGGCATACATAGCCAAGGGGCAAAGAGCGAACCAGGACATGTTCAAGCAATCGGTCTTCTGTTCATCTCAACACTTGATCTGTCGTTTGAAAGGACACCCAAAAAAAAAACCAAAAAAAAAAAACCAAAAAAAAAAAAAAACGCCGAGGAAAGAATCGATATTCATACAGCGGATGCTAGTAACTGACTACCAACGCCTAAGCTTATGCACCGAGTCCCTTGCGCTGTCCGCCCGTCTCCCACTTCATCTTGCGACCCGCCTCAAACTGTTGCGCCAGCTCGTTGGAGACCTTGTTGATATCGAGATGTGCTCGGGATGATGAGGATGATGAGCCGGCACCGCCCTTGACCGCACCAGTAGTCTTCCCCCCGAGAAGGCGGAGGAACTTGGCTTGTCGCGCAGCACCGCCTTCCAGCTCGCCTACGTTCCAGTTCTGCGCGTCGGCCTCTGATGCGGCGGGTTTCTCCTCTGTCGCTGGTGCTGGATCTTCCTTTGCTCCAGCAGACTTCTTGTCTTTCTTGGATTTCTTGTCCTTCTTTTCCTTCTTTGCCTTCTTCTTGGATGCTGTCTCGTCCTCGTCCTCGTCCTCGACCTCGGCTTTTTCCTCGGCAGCATCGGTGTCTCGCTCCCGCTTCTTGGCCTTCTTTGCCTTTTTGCTGGACGATGCCTCCTCGGTCACCTCAGCGTCTGCATCTCGCTTGCGCTTCTTGTCCTTCTTGGCGGACCTTGTAGCATCCTCGGCATCCGTCGCGAGAACTCCGCCCTCGACCTCCTCCTTGGGCTCCTTCTTTGATTTCTTGTTTTTCTTGTGCTTCTTGGTCGACTCTGCGCCTGGCCCGTCCTCTAGTATGGGTTCGCCGGATTTCTTGGACTTCTTCTTGGCATCCTTCTTCTCCTTCTTGGAGAGTGGCTCTCCGGGCTGCGCCTCTCCGTCCTCTACCTCCTCCTTGGCATGCTTGGACTTTTTGGATGCCTTCTTCTTCTTCTTCTTGCTCTTCTTCTTATCGGCCTTCTCTGGCGCTTCGGCGGCTACGACCTCGTCGGATTCGGGCCCGTCATCGCCGCCCTCCTCAAGGGGTATGAAGTCCGCCGCCTCCTTCCTCCGCAGCTGCTGCACAACCTCCTCCTCTTCCGTCCGCAGCGCCTCCACGGCCTCCCGCCTCACCAGCGCCTTGGACGCCTCGGAAAGCATCCGCTCCGCCTGCTCCTCTAACCGCCCGCGGCGCTCGTCATTGCGGCGCCGCGTCTTGTCGACCTTGCCCGCCTGGTTAGCCTTCTTCTTGAGCTTGTCGGCCTCCTTGCGCTCGCCGGTCCATTTTCTGGCATGCTGGGCGTTGGCCTTGCGCGCGACTTTTGCTTCGGACTTTGCCTGGCGCTTGGCTTTGCGGAAGAGGGTGCGCTGCTGACGCTCGTTTTCTTTGTGATTGGGTTTTTTATCTGCTGTGGTGGGGTGTGAGCGTCAGTTTTGTTGTTTACGGGTTGATGGCAACACGGTGTGTGTGTGTGTGTGTGTGTGTGTATGTGTGTGTGTTTGTGTGTGTGTTTGTGTGTGTGTTTGTGTCAGGGACAAATAAAAGACGACACAGATACAATCTTTGGTGTTGTTTCGCGATGTGCCAATGTCGAAGCAACAAAAAGGAACCAAAGTGTCGGAAAGGAAGGAATGCATATATACCTATAGGAAAAGCCAATCCCTTGAGCCTGTCGGGATGCAGCCCCTCGAAGCTATGGCCGCCCTCTGTTGCAGACATTGTTCTGTTGTAGTGATTTATGATAGGAAACGGAGTTGCATTGTTGTATGAACTCGCAAGAAGATTCATTCGCTGATCCACAGCGGGAGAGGTAGAACAGACCATCTTCTGGGAACTTTTTTTGAGTGGAGACTGGTCCACCTTAGCGGCAGTATTCAGATCTTACGCTAGACTTGAGAGAGAAGGCGGCCAGACATGTGAAGTGTAGTCCGCAATGACTACGCTTAGTTACTTACTTTTAGCAATCAATTCGGAGTTGAATCGTATTTATTATTTATCTTCTCTATTTCCTTTGTAAACTCCGTCTTGAAAGATTGGCTTAAGAAGGAGTACCGGGTTGTGGTGGAGATCCCGTTGCGCATTGTTATTGCTACATTTCGAACGTAACATGAGGCGCAAAAGGTTGTGATGTGAATATGCTTTGAAGTAATTGCTTGTAGAGAGGCAACGAGAGGGAGAAAGGAGAGAAGAGGCATTCTCTTGCCCTTAGCTGATATCATACGTTGGATGATAGCAGTAGACAGACGCAGGCACGCTGCCTCAAAGGGTGTCCCTGTCCTTATGCTTGAAGTAATTATCAGATTTATTTTCCCTTGTTCTAATTGAAGATGCAGTTGTGAAGGCCCCTTCATAATCAGCCCTCCAGCACGCCTGTATCCTATGATGGACAAACCGTTCCACAAACGCCGCTATATGCTCTCATAATATTGTGGTTGTTCCTTAGAAAGCCCCTCAGCAATGAGAGAAACTCAGCAGCCACGCCGTACCCTCTCCAAGGCAGGGTCTCTGATCCTAGGCATTGAAGGAGTGCAAGAACGCAGCGTCGTACTCTCGCGCTCGTCGAAATCCTATTTCTTGGCGCCTCCAAAGTCCAACTTTCGCGCCACCTTGCCACCCCGGTCCTCATCGACCACGCCCGGGCGCCTCTTGAGGTCAGCGCCCATCTTCTCCTCGCCACCGCCCTTCCGGGGCAGGTCCTGCTTCCGGGTGGGCCGCGGCTCCACACGCCACCAGGGGTGCTCGAGCATCTCCCTCGCGGTGATGCGCTTCTTGGGGTCCAGGATGAGCGTCTTGCATAGCAGGTCGACCCCCTCGTCGCCGACGGTGCCGAAGGTCTGGAGGAAGTTGGCCCTGGGCTGAGGGGGCACGACGCGCTCCGGCTGGACGTAGCCGTCAAGCTTGCTCACGCCGGGCCAGACCTCCTCGGTCGGCGTGCCGATGCGGTCGCAGATGAGCTGGATCTGGTCCAGCTCCGTGTTGCCGGGGAGGTACGGGACGCGGACGATGATCTCGGCCATGACCGTGCCCACACTCCACACGTCGACGGCGCCGCTGTAGTGTCTGGCGCCGTAGAGAAGCTCGGGCGGGCGGTACCACCGCGTGATGACGTTGGAGGTCATGATCCCCCACGGGTCCGCAAAGCTGCGCGCGAGACCGAAATCCGCCAGCTTGACCTCGCCGTCGGCCGCGATCAGCAAGTTGTTGGGCTTGATATCGCGGTGGAGGATGTAGTTCTCGTGGCAGAACCAGACGGCCCGCGTCAGCATGCCCATCCAGGCCTTGATGTCTGCCGTTCCGTAGCGGATGCCGTCCTGGTCGCGGATGAGCATCTCGAGATCGCCGAGGGGGAGGTATTCGAGGACAAGGCAGAGGTTCTGGTCCTTGGTGGAGAAGACGGAGAGCAGCGAGATGATGTTGGGGTGGGAGAGCTCCTGGAGGTGCTTCAGCTCGCGGACGGCATCGGGGGCGAGACCCTCTGCATATTCCTTTTGCTTCTTGATCTTCTTGATGGCGACGAGTTGGGAGGGGTCGGCGCGGGCATGGCCCAGGTTTACAATGGCGTAGGTACCCTCACCAAGCTTCTTGCCTAGTAGGAGAGAGCGGATTGAGGGTTAGCTTCACAGTCTGGACGATGGTGAACCCAGGGCGGATGTGTGTATACCTTTGACATACTTCCTCCGCTCCTCGAGGTTGATCTGCTCAGCGAGGTCCATCATAGTGGTCTGGCCGCCTTGGCCGGTTGGCTGTGCCGCCTGTGGGGTTCCATTGGTAGAGGAGGAGTGTTGTGCAGAGGCCTGTTGTCGCATAGGGGAATGGGAGGGCTTAAGGGCGGAGGGATGCGCAGGACGCTCGACAAGAGGTGAGGCAGCCATATTCAAAGTAGCTAAGCTGCTTCAACAAGCTGGAGATGCACTCATCGTAGAGTCAACTGGCGATATGGTCGAACGGAAGTGCCCCTATCGTATGGGACGTACTGTATGTACTTTGTATGGTGGCAAAGCTGAGTGTTGGGTGGGCGATAGAAATGTGTTGCTGGGTTCTTTGCTTGTGAAAAGATCCGAGACGATGTCTGCTATGGTCTCTCGGCTGGTGCCGAAGTGGGGGTGGGGGTGGCCCAAGCGCCGTCTCTCTTGTGTGGACTTGCTTCTAGACTCTGCACCTACCTTTACCTGATGGACTCGTAGATTTATTTCGTCCGCAGCAACAGCTTGCATACATTAGGCCCACCCTCGGGCCGCTCCTGTCTGGAAAATACTACTTCAATATGCAGTTACGTATAGAGTAAGGGACCTGAAGATCTTCATGAAGCAAAACCACATTGACCTCTGCTGCTATTCTACCTAGCCGAGATGGAGCCTTTGTCTACCTCGCAGCTGTCGAGAGTCAGAGGTACCATGGACAAGAGGTTGAGAGTTTGCGAGGGTGCTGTAATCTCCGACCCCAGACATGCCAGCAAATTTGGACGGCCCCAGCGCCAAAGCCTATCAGATAAAAGAGCGTAGCCTGCATGGTATCCGTTTAGTAGACGTCAGCTAGCGCGGCCTTCCAAGTGGTCCAGTGGACCCTTTGTGCATTCCTGGCAACCTGGGAAGCCTTAAGGATGTGTGTTCCCTTGACGTCACTTTTAAGCTTTGATTGTGTTGCTGTTTTTTTTTTTTTTTTTTCTGGGTCAAGTTGACGTCGCAACAAAGCAGGAGAGACACAAGACACTGCTCGCACCACGAGGCTAAAAAACTGAACAGGTCATTTCATGTCTTCCACGTCAGTCCCTGGGGCGCAGGGTCTGCCGATACTTCCTTGGCCTTGCGTGCCTTGCCAAGAGGGTCCTCTATCAGCCCAAGTTTGGCTCGAGTGCGGCCCAGCCATCCGGAAACAGGCTCTTCGTTCTGTTGCGTGCTTGACTCCCGGTTTACCCTCCCCTGCTCATTTGGTTGATGGTTGAACTTGAATGGCCTGTTATTTACTTACTTACCCCCCTGGCTCTCACCAGCCTTTTTCTTCCTCTTCTCCGTCGTTCTTGATTCTCGTTTTGCTTTGTTTTTCTTACCATTTCTCCCCAGGCCAGACGGAAAAGGGCTTACTTCATTCTTTGTGAAGATGATGAGATTATCCTATTGGGTGTTTCCCATCATCGCTGGGCTGGTATGGCTCGGCATGCTGTTGGGACTGCTGCTCCACTGTACGTCACGACACTTCTCTCTCACACTCACTTCACTCACTCCAACACACCTCACCTGGCAATTGCCATGGCCGTCTTTCTTGTTCGTGTTGCTGCCGTTTCTTCTTTTTGCTAACAAGTCTCCTTCCTTAGGGGTCATCGACACGCATTCCGAACACTACCCGTCAATGTCTGCTAATCAGCACATCGCCTACATCTCGGACGTCGGGGCGCAGGAGCTCAAGCCCCTCTTCATCGTCGGCTGCGTCCTCACCACGGTGCTCCTCGACACGAGCTTCCTCTCGGACCGCTGGCTGCGGCACCGCGGCCGCCTCGTGCCCAACAGCACCCGCGGCGAGAAGATTCTGTCCGGCCTGACCATCTTCTGCGCCCTCATCGGCACTGTCGGCCTCATCCTTCTCAGCATCTTCGACACGGCCCGCCACCCGCGCCTGCACGACCTCTTCCTCGGCTTCTTCATCGTCGGCTACCTGTTCAGTGCCATCTTCGTCTGCTGGGAGTACCAGCGCCTCGGCATCCGCCATCCCGAGCACAACATCCTCGCCGTCTCCTTCTGGATCAAGCTCGCCTTCGTCCTCGTCACCATCGCCCTCGCCATCCCCTTTGTCGTCCTCACCCGCTACCAGATCTATAACCCCGCCGCCGTCCTCGAGTGGATCATTGCCCTCGTCTTCAGCTTCTATGTCTTCTCCTTCTACGTCGACCTGTATCCGGCCATGGACACCAAGCGCGGCGGCAACTACAGGACAAGGACCTGGAATGCCCGCCACCAAGCCCACAAACCTGAGGAGGGCGCCAGCGACCGGAGCATGCCGCACACCCATAGGAGAGATCTTGAAGACGACGCTGGCCTACCGAGCAACTTCTAAAAGCGGATCATAAGGCAACCGCATTAATGTCAAATCTACGTATGTAAGCCGGCTGCTATTCAAGATACACTGGCTGGTGGTATTGTTTGGGAATCGGCAGGGACTGCCAAGTGAGATTTACAATCGCGATCCTTTTTTTCTTTTTGGTTTTTGCTTCTTTTTCGTCTCTACTTGCCTTCTGCATTTTAATGGCGTTGGGGGATAAGGCATGTGACGATGGCATTTACTTCTACGAGATTTGAATTGTATATACCCTGGAAAGCTTTGAAATGTTTAATTCTTAGTATCACTCATCTTTCACATACTGTACATGTTGTTGCCTTTTAGGATTTTTTTTTTATCCTTTGCTCCCCGCTGTCTCTCCCCTTTCGTGACAGTAAGCAGAATTTCGTTCTGAACGGCTGATCAAATAAACGAGCCTGGGCGAAGAGGGCACGCTTGATTTGCCAGAGACGTTAAGATACACCAAAATAATCAGAGAGGAGGAATCCTGCAGACAAGAGCTTAAGGAGATAAGCACTACTTGGGGTCGGCGACGATTAATGTTGAACTTGCAAGACCTAAATAATTATGAGACCCGAACTAGAAATAAGCCAGCAACACCGCCGACAGCCCCATGAATACACTTGCCAAGAAGATTGTGGCCAAATGAGTATTCTTTTCTCTTTCTTGAGATACGACAATCTACTGTGCGTGTACGGCATTTAACAACTCGCAAGAATAGCGTGCTCACTCCTCCTCAACTCATAATACTGTAACCATGAGGAGCGTCCAAACCCCCTTGGTGGATATAAAATAAAATAAAAAACATGTCTTCCTTCCCTTCCCTGTCCAAATCAACGCCGTGTAAATCAACGCCGCGTATTGCCTTCCTTCGCCTTGTCTTCCCTTCCCAGACGGAACACGTTTGTTCACCCTGCAAGATCCCCTGCGCACAGTGTGCCCAGCAAAAGCTGCAGCTCACATTACCCATCAGTCATCGCTTTGAGAAACATCTCGACAGCGCGGCACTTTTCACTTCAGATCCTCGATGAATTTGGACCCCCTCTCGGGACTTGCGCTGTTCCGTGGCGTGGCTCTTGCAGGGTCCTCAATAGCCCTGGGAACCTCGATCCCCTCCAGCGCCGCCGTCGTCCTGGCCCGCGCCTTGGCCTTCGCAGTCTCCGAGGATGCGTTCTCCTCGCTACTCACGCTGCTCACACTCCCTCCCCTGCCTCCCCTCCCTCGCCTGCGCGACCCGCTGCCCTCGCCCGGCTCATCTGCCTGTACCGGCGCGGCGGCTGAGACAGGCCGGCCCGCGAGCGCGACCTCGCGCATACTGCCGCTTTGCGTCCCGTCGCTGTGGAGACTCGTCAGGCTCTCGGTGCCGTCTGCATGCAGACGGGTGAGCGCTACTCCGCCGACAAACCCACCGGACTGCTTCTCGGCCTTGACGGTCGAGATAGACCTGGCGCGAGGTTTGGACAGGCGGGATTTTAGCCAGTTCTTAACTTTGGAGGCCTGAGACTCGCCTGCCGATTCGGGGGATGTTGCAGGAGACGCGGTGCCGGGTTCGTTCCTGGCAGTAGGGGTCTTGGTCTGTATCTTGGGCGTAAAAGGTCGGTGCAGGCGGTGCTTGTGTGACACGACGAGTTCCTCGGTGTCAGTCTTCTCAAAGGACTGTCGTGAAGGTTCTTCAGTGTGAGTCTCGGAATCGTCCTTTGCTTTACTCTTCTCCTCCTTGGCCAGGCGTTTCTCTTCGGCTTTGGCGGCCTTTTCTTCCTCTTTACGAGCCTTAGCTTCCATTCTGACCTCTTCCTTCTTAAGCTTCTCCTCTTCTGTGCTCAGGTGGTAGTGTGATGGTCAGCTGCAAATCTTCTTATGGGGAAAGAATATGGCGTTTCGCCTGAAGACGTCCTCACCTTTCACCTTGCGCAGAGACTCTTTCACCTCTGCATTTCTCGCCTTCTCCGCCTCCCACTCCTGTCGCTTCTTCTCCTGTTCCTCTCTCAGTGCAAGTATTCTCTGCCTCTCCGCTTCAGCCTTCTCGTTGATCTCGTCCAGCACAGGCTGAACCCTTTTCGCCGCAATCTCCTCCACCTTGTCTCGATCCATATACTGCCCCGCGCCCAGGTCGACCTTGCCAGTCCTATCGGCGCTCATGCGAGCCTCACTTCGGGCCAGCGCGGCTACGTGCGCCTTCGTCTCCCATTCACTTAATTTGGCTGGTGCGACTCGACCTGTCTCGCGGTATCTCTTCTCGTCCATGTCATCCAGCGTGGCCCTGACATTCCTCTGAGCAGCTGCGAGAAGCGCACTCCGATCACGGGATCGTTTGGCCTCGTCGACCTCGTCAAGACGGGTCGAGAACATAGACATCTGGTTCCGGATCTGCCGGGACCGCTGCCGGTCATCCTCACCGAGCGATGCAGCCACGTCACCATCGCTAGAGGCGCGCCTGCGCATCTTCCTCGAGAGTTTCTTGCTAGGAGAGGTGGGTGTGGTGGGTGACGTGCCATAGTACTCGGCCAGGCCACGGTTCTGCTGGTGCTGGTCGCGGAGGCGTGCGAGCCTCTCCTGCGCGAGCTTGTAGGCTGCCTCCTGGAGGTTCATGAACTGCATGGGCTGCTGTGCGCCATCCGTCCCTGCGCTTGCTGGGCGCGCGTCCCCGCCTCTGTCACCTTGTTGCCCTGTGCCGCCCTGCTTCGCAGAATCAATGATCTTTTGCTGATGCGCAAACATGGTCTTTGCCATGGCCACAGCACTCGCATGCAACGAGGCTTCGCGGTTTCGCTCGTCCACCTCCGGCTTCACGGGCGGCTGCGAGGTGTACATTTGCCTGTTCATCGTCGTGATAGGCACCGCGCCGGCGTCCTCCAATTTAATGTTGTAGACATCTGACCGATTCGCAACCGTCGCGGCGCTGAGGGCGTTCGATGCTGCGTTGGCGGAATCGGGGTACGACTGGGGGCTCGAGAGGGAACGCGGCCTTCCGCCGGTCGCAAACGCCCCTTTGGCGGCTCGCAAGCTCTTCTGCCTGTTGAGGTTCGTCATCGGCTCTCGCGGATCGGCCTTCTCACCACCGCCAGCCGCATTAAAGGCCTGGTTAGCCGCGGAGTTGCCCCAAGGGTTGGGAGTCGTCGAGGTGCCCTTATCGAGACGGGAGGCGTTCGATGCAGCGAGGACGGCGGCCTTCATGGAGCCGGGCGGACCCCGGTCGGGCTGCCACGGGGCTGGCATCTTGTGATCGCTGGCGAGAGTAGCGGCCCTGTGAGCGGAGGGGTCGTGCTGGGGCGCCCAGAGAGCCAGGGGTTTCGCGTTGGCCCAGCCTAGTGAGGCTGCTGCGCCTGCGGCTGCATCGTCTTTCTTGAGGCCAAGGGAGGGAAACGACGGGAGGTCTCGAGGCTGTGCGTATTTCAGACGACCGGAGTGTCCTGTCAGAGATTAGAAAGTGAGTACGAGTTCAAAAGAATGTACATTATGATTTGGATGCGCTTTCAGCCTTGAGTGTGATATTGGAAAGGAGAGGGAGTAGTGGTGGTGGTGGATCTGAGGAGCTGATGTATTATGTGATGATGGTGTTGTGATGACGTATGTGTGCATATCTGAAATACGCATAGGTGAAATGCAGTCCTCCCTTTTTCGACAAGTGAAAACGCGCAAGACATAAGCGACAGTAAGAAGAAAACGAAGTGCCCAAATATAGCAGCAGCGTTGGTCCCATGATCATGGAAAGTCGCATCTGACAGAGCACCGTACCTGATGGAAGAGGGTATGATTTCGCGAGACTATTGGATCTCTGCAGGTCCTGGGTGGTCGTTTGTGTTCCTGTGCTTATCGTTGTCGCCGCCATCGTTTCTTTATAATACCTGTATGGTGAACCCCCTCAGGTACAGATGCATCCAGAGTATCAAAGCGCCGATAGTAGAGGGAAGCAGCAAGAGAACGAGGATTAGTGGACGAAGCGCAAAGCCAGGGTACGAAATAGCCCCCCTTGTGCGACAAAGTGCGTGGAGGACGACCCTCGCGTGGGTTTCAAGGCGAATGCAGTGGTGGTGTGATATCAGCGCATCGACAGAAGCAAAAGAATAAACAAAAGCCCTGTGCGCGCATTCATGTGCCGTCGAATGATTGTTGTATGTCTGCACGTATGCCGCAAGGGGACGGGATGACGACGACAACGGCGACGGAAGAGAGATGGGGACATGATAAAAAAAAAGAAGAAAAAAAAGAAAGACAAAGCGACAGAGACAGACAGGACATAGTCGAAACCCAGTTGCGAGATGATGATGGTCACCAGTCTAGCCTATCCCAAGTCTAGCAAGACAAGATAGTCTGAATCGAGAGGGAGAGTCTCGAAGGAACAAAGCGCACTAGAGGGTGGTAGGACCTGGTGGCGCCTGTGTTTGTGCTATGGCCTGTATGCTAGCAGCTCGATCAGACCGTTTCGCTGTAGAAAACACGCATCAGGTTCCGTTCATTCGTTCGTTCATTCGTGGGCCCCAATTCGAGACAATGGGATCCCCTCCTAGGGCGCACTTTCCCCCTTCTCAGCGGGCGGGGGCCCAGATAGAGGCTCAAAACTACGTCATGGTGCCGAAGACGGCGTAGCAGTGCCAGTCTGGGCTGTCATGGCGTTCCAGGCTGGTGTACCTGGCACAGTCCCCACAGGGCCTAGACACCCTTCTAAAAATTGTCCCCCAGCGCTTAGGGGGCACTGGCATCTCTATAGTAACTACTGCGAACGCTACAATAACATGTCGTTCGTATTGACGTGCCGAAACCAGCCGAACAAGACTGAACAGAAACCAACCAGTGTCGGCAATCTTCCGTGACTTGGTTTGGCCCTCCCCCCCTTCCCTCCCCTCTTTTTCCTCTCTTCTTCCTCTTCTTCTGCCCTGGCCACATGGTACCCCAGATATCGTCAAAGGCTTTGTTGATCTGCTGATCAAAGGGTCTTCTTATACTAAGACCGTCAAGTAACAAGATTCACTAGACTACATCACTACTGTACGTTCTTGAGTCGGCACATTCCAGTGCCACGTGAGTGGCGATCGAAGGAGCCGAACTATATCATAGGTCGTGTGTCATACCGTGGCAAACTCAGCAGTGTCAATTCTGTCTTTTCTACAGTAGTATATGTATACATAGTCCTATGATATCAGAGTATGTACTGTAATGTGTATTTGCATTATCTGTTAGAAGGCCTCGAGGAGCTGGACCCAGAGATCCGGTAACACTGGGCCAGGGTCCCACCATCTGGCCCCACCCCTCATTGCTCCCCCACTGCTACCATGCTACGAAAGGGTAGTACTGTACAATGTAACAGGCTCGGTATACTTGCTATGCACACATGTGTAGGAATGACTGGCTCGCCACGCTGTGGCCAAGTGAATGAATGGGTGGCCTCCGTCCGCAGCCACAACAGCATTCGCCCACCAGCCTCATGGTCTCTATGAAGCCTTATACACACCGCCACGTCAGAAGAAGAAGAAGAAAGAAGAAGAAAAACAAGCCCAGCCTACCTTCTCTTTGTACACATACCATATTGGTACACTTGCAAGCCTCGATCAAGGAACTTCCCAAACAGGCTGAGTAGAGAGGGCAGGGATACGTAGCACACAGTCCAACAACAAACCAGGGGATCGTGAACGCCCCCAAATCCAGCTTTCCTCCCACCAACGTCACTCAACATCAGCCAGCTTTTAATCAAAGCAGATCACCAAACTCATATCTTCTCGGAGCCCGGATTTTCTTAATTTCTTTTTTATTTTTCGCACTCAATTTCCATTTAGACTTATTTTCTCCCGTTACCACACACTTACAATGTCTTCCGTCTCAGACCCCCTCGCCCAAGGCGAGACTGCCCCCCTCCACGACGGCGGCTTCCACACGATCCTAAACTTCCGCGACGTGGGCGCTACAATCAACGCCCACCTCAACAAAAAGCTTCTCAAGGAGGGTCTCCTCTTCCGCTCCGCCCGCCCCGACGAGGCCACCCTCGCAGACCGAGACCGCCTCAGGACCCACTACGGCATCAGGACCGTCATGGACCTCCGGAGCAAGACCGAGCACAGCCAGGCCGCTGAGAAGCGCGCTGCCCTCACGAGGAGCCCAGAGGTCGTGGCCAAGAACAAGGCACTGGCCGAGCCGGCTCGGATCCCCGGCATTGAGTACCGGGACGTCAAGATCACGGGGCCTGGCTTCGAGAAGCACATGTTGGGCCAGATGAGCTGGGGAGGTTTCTTGTGAGCTAAACCCCGTTATGAACATCTAATCACATAAAAGGAGAACATGAAGAAGAAGAAGAGACACAGAGAGAGAAAGAGCTAACACAACGGCAAGCAAACTCATCTCCCTCTATACAATCGGCCAACGCATGCCTGCGATCGCCACCTTAGGCCGCGAGGTAATGACCCCCCGCGGCCTCCTAGGCCTCGCAAACGACACCCTAGACGCCTCCGGCTCAGACATCGCCACAGGCCTGCGCACCCTGCTACCATCATCCTCACCTTCCTCGCAGCAGCAGCAACCCCTCCCTGTCCTGGTTCACTGCACCCAGGGCAAGGACCGCACAGGCCTCATGATCTGCCTGCTCCTGCTCATCTGCTCCGTACCCCTCGAGGCCATAGAGTACGACTACGAGCTCACCGACGAGAAGCTCGTCGAGGAAAGGGGCGAGCGGCTGCAGGAGATCCGCGCCATGGGCCTGAGCGACGAGTTCGGGCGGACGGTGAAGGGCTTCGTACAGGGGGTCACGGCTCACCTGGACGACAAGTACGGAGGCCTGGACAGGTATCTGGACGGCATTGGGTTTGGTGAGGGTGACAGAGCGGCGGTGAGGAGGTCGCTGATGTATTGAGAAGGATTGAAATGTGAGCAAAATCACTCGAATTGATGAGATGTATGTAATGCATGAGCAAGGCGTTGGGGGGATGCGTATCGTACACTACATATGGGAATCTTGAGAAGCCTAGAGCCTAGACACACTTCCGACCCCTGGGATATGCCACGCAGGAACAGAGGTAACCTTGAAGCTCAAAAATGTATATAGTTGCAGGCCATTATCCCGTTGAAACAACATTGGTTCTATTTCATCATATTTCATCCAAAGCGTGCTAAAGCATGGCGCCGTGCCATATAAGATGAGCGTCTCGCTGACTTCGTACCCGACGAAGAGTATGTACCGTTGATAAGTGGTCGCTAACCTCATGCATCAATTTCAAATCACGACATCCTGTTCTCCATGTTGTCCTCCCTCAGGACCCACGAGTCCACCCTGTCAAGCTTCCCAAAAGTCATGTTCGCAGAGCCGTCCATAAAAACCACCGGGTCAGAAGATGCATCCTCGAAAGTGACCCTACGCTGTTGGTGACACATATGTTCCGAGGTCCACATGTTGGTAAAGATCAAGTACTTTATTGTTATCTTGGTAAATTTGCTCGTGTTATGTTGCTCTTGGTCTCTTGATCTTCTGTGGGGAGGCATAGATCCCGTCTGAGTCCCACATCCAACATTCCTCGCACGGTCCGTTCATATCAATGCTCGCCCATATAGTCTTGTCAGCACAGGGAGTCTGGATGAGGCTGGCGGAGTTGCAAAATTTGGCGAAACTGAAGGTTTGATGTCTGCATCGGAACGTGTGGGCATAATACTCGCACATCGTGGATGCCACAGTAGGTAGCAGGATGCTTTTTCAAGTGGAATAGTATGCGATTTCACACGCTCGTGTGCCTGCGAGGACGGAAACCAAGGCTCTAGATTTCAGGCGATCACATGCAGCCCAGAGTATAAGTCAACCGAAATGGCGGGATGTAGGAGGTTTGGGTGGTCATGCTCGAAGTCACCCTGCCGAATGAACTCATCGGCCGCTGAGAGGGGAAACCATAGCTAGGAAGGGCTGCATTGGCGTATACCTCATTTGCCGTACTCGCCAGATCATGTGCAAAAGGAGAAGGTCGCATCTGCTCCCAGAGAACGCCGCGGGGGCAAACGAGCAAGCACCGCTTCTTCACTCACCCAAGACTTGCGCGCTGAGGAAGGGGACGGATGTGATCTCTCAGATGGGCAGCTCGTAGCGCTTTCGGTATGAGGCAAACATGCATCCACCAAGCAATCCGTGAGTACTCAAGGGATGTTTTTTCTCTTTCTTTATTTAGGTTTATCATTCCATACATGGCAGTATACACGTGTGCGCAGCCTTCAAGGCCACTTTGATTGCGCAAGGCCTCCGTTGTGTACAGATAATTTCACATCATGCCCAATGATGCCAGCTGGCCAGCCTTCCCAGATCAAGGTATGTGGTCCTCCACCGGAAGGTGGACCAGTTTCAGCAGTCTCAGTCGGGTGGAAGGCAATATCTTCAACGCCCACATCCTTTCCTAAGGTGTACCCCACCTGACGCTTTGGAGACGTTCTTACTCGATAGATTGAAGGTCGAATCGAATCTGGAGCCATTGCCGGTCTATGAGATGGTTCGGCAGTCTGTCCAAGTCATGGTGACTGTGTCTTCTAAATAAAGGGGCACTGCGGGATTGCGGTACATTGCCCGCTTCGGGCTCACCAGGCGCCTCAACTTTACAAGTCCTCGTTCGTGCAAGCATGGCGAGAGGATTTGTAAGGAGGGTTTGCGGAGAGCACTGAACAAAGATTGAGCAAACAAAGCTTTGGTGATGATGAGGACTGGGCTTAGTTGACGTGGTATTCGCCAATACGTAACAGTTGGCGCAGAGTAAGCCATCCAGCACCTCCTCTGAGAGGGGACGGTGTGTCTGACGGCTTTGCAAACACCCTCACCGCTAGTTTGCGGTTTGCTCACCATTGTAATTTGGGCGGCACATATGCATGAGATATGGTGCTGCTACCCTGTAGGACCACGCTTGTGGCCTGTCATGGTGCATATATGCTTGATTGAGCGGAAGGCTGGTTACCATGACCAGAAATTGCCGGACCGTAAAAGCTCAGAGGTCACTGACCACGACACGCACCTTTTTGGATGGCCCAGGCGCTCTACATCGAGGAGTCTCAGCTAGAACCGCGTCGCGGCACGGCTATTGAAGTCGCCCTTTGCCGGCACCCATGAACGGTGCAACTCGGCACCATCAGCACACAAAGTCGGTATTGGAGAATTGGGTGGCTGAAACTGGGCTTGCATAAAGGACTGGAATACTAGGGGGATTTCCCGAGTACCAGACCGTTGGTCTGTGGTGGTGTGGTATGGTTTGGCTCGTTGTGGCGTGGCGTGGCGTGGCGGCCCTCGAGTCATCTTGATGATAGAGGGGAGCCTCGTGGCTAAGCTGTCCGTAAGATGCGTCCTAAACATGATCATGGTCGTGATGGTGAGCGGTGCAGTACACTGCAGCAACGATGAAAAGGGGTGCTCAAGCTTTCCCAAGCTGTGATGCACAAGCCTTGTCTTTTCTCCAAGCCCTCGCAAACAGTCCATTTCTGACCATGTTTGCACCTTGTGTCGCTACACCTTTTTCGCTGCAGTGGAAATGAGGTAGGCCGCAGGGTCACACCCGCCCAGCGCTTGTGCATGTCGGTCACATGTGGTAGGTGTTCTAGATGGCGACTCGTGTGACAACATCGGGTAGCCATGTGTGTTTTGATGTGATCAGGACAGGGCCAAAGTCGCTATGAACTTTGGCAGAGGTGAGGCGGGTCGAGGCGGGTGAGGCCAGGTCGTCGGTCGCACCAGGGCACGGGTGGGAAATAAGGTAGTGAGGAGAAAGGAAGAAATGTCTAAGACACGCGGTCTAGGAATTTCCTCATCGGGCCAAACTGGGGATGACCAAAGATAGAACGGACTTCTTGTTGAGTGGAAGACGTGGAGATAGATATCATGATGAAAAAGAAGAAGAAAAAGCCGGCGACGATGAGAAGATGAGGTAATCCCATGGCTCAAGCCAAGATCCAGCAGCTTCTTCCTCATGGCGCATCCCTGCTCCCTGCACTCCAGCACTCTTCTTGAGAAGCTGCGGAAGGCATAAGCCCACCTGGGGGCTTCCGTCTTGAGCTTCAGGTGCCATACCAGCTTGAACCTGGGAAGGCGCACCGCAACATCCTCCTTTAGGCAAGGTAACGAACTAGTTATGTCGACCTCGCAAGGCAGCAGCTGAGCTGTCTGGACCGATCTCCATTCCGTTCTCTCGTTTCGTGTGTCGTCTTCGTCCCGCGAAAGGCGCTCTTGACAACACACATCACCGCCACCGCGCGGCATGTCGAGCCAGCCCAACTTGCACATGGACATGGACATGGGCATTACCAGCTAGAGAGCCCTTGCTGTGTACCAAAGAGGCGTTCACGCTGGGTCAGCGCTTGCGCCTCTGCGTGGCTTTATTCCGCCCATGACTTGCATACGATCGATGGCAATTACACACATAGGGCCTCTTTGTCCTCTTCCCTGCACATTCATCAGGTCAATTGTCGAGTCCCTGTCTCAGGAAGCGCCTGCCTCTCTACAGCGGTCATCCGTAGACGCGCGCGCGTCGATTCCAGCACAGGACGATGCTTAGCGCAGCGTCTTGTGAGGCGGACACTTCGCATGGGGTGCTGATCACTATACTTACTATGGTGCTATTGAGCTCTCGATCAGACCGACTTCAGGGGACGCATGACAGGTTTTCGATGCTTGGAACTCGCTACGTCCAACCTCGGATGTCTGCACTAGGTGCGGTGGCAGGGGCTGGGCCTACGGTTGCTCTTACGGTGGCAAGGGCTGCCTCACCCATCGACGTGGGGACTCGGCCCAGACCTTGAAAGTGGCCTTGCAGGGCGAACAGGAAAGAAAGCTTCAATACCATGCAATGCCATGCCACGCGCCGTTGAACAAGTCACCTTGCAGGAAAACCCGTCTGCATCGTCATCATCCTTAACCACGCCTACGCCCCACGCCGGCCACTGCAGCTGGCCTAAGTCGTCATATCCTTGGGTTTCATCATCCTAAAGCCAGAGCTCTTGGAGCTGTGCACTGCATAATACCACTGCCCAGGCAGTCTGTTCAGCCATCAATTTCTAGTCGCACTCGCGACCTCAACAACATCTTCATTGCATTTTCCTTCTCCCCATCTTATCTACTATTATTACAGACTACACTACCAGGACGGCTTGTTTCGACGAGGGTACGAGAGCGACTACTGCGGGGTGCAGCTCCCCTTGGCCAGGTATAATAGACTAGACTGGGTCTTTGGGGCATATATCGACGACTCCTATTCTCTCGTGTATGCATGCACTCCGCGCCATTCTGCACGTAGCGTTCCCTCGCCCTGCAGCTCCCCTTAGGGCTACATCATCCGCTGCAGACTCGGCACGACCTGGGCGTACCTGCGCCTGCGGCTAAGAGGGTCCGTTGGCATCCTTCATCTCCGGCGGTACTGCATACATAGCTGAGATCGCAACGCAACAAAACCCGGCCAGATCAGGTCAGGTCTCCGTCGCTCCCAACTTTCTGTCCCCAGAGCTGTGGTTGACAAGAACCCTCGACAGGCCTCCGACAGGTTTTCAGGACCCCTGAAGAGGCTCAACAAGCGCCTGACCTCGAATCTGGCGGCTCCACTTACAACCCTGGTTCACTAAAACTTGAGGTTCGAGGGGGATTTCGGCTGCCCGGTTCGCCCGTATCTCACCGCTTGTGGCTGGGAACTTATCACGGGAACGTCAGTCCTCGTCCAGAACAAGAAACGTCGGGCCCTCACGCCCTCTAATCACCCAATTCGCGGAGATTTTTGCTGTGTGCTGCAACAGAATTTACAGGAATGGTCTCCTGGAATAACACCAGAACAGTAGCTCCCACATCTGCAATGCTCTTTGTCGATCTTACCAGTTGCATCTCAACACGAAGCTTCCACCTTACTGACGCAGTGCGGTCTATTGTTGATTCGAATTGACGTGTCTGAGCTTGGAAATACGCGGCACTTATCCCAAGAAAATTGCTGGTGGTGACTGGCCCTGGTCAGTCGGACACTGCTGATGTGCAGAAGTTAGTGAGAAAGCTAACACTATATTACTGGCAGTCTTCATATCATTGGGCATCCCGAACCGTGCTTATTTACATCGGCAGAGACAACACCCACCAGGTGGATTTGCCTCACAACCATCGCTGATAAGTCCACATCGACTTATGCTTCTCGCACGTCACCAACAGCAGCTCATCACCCCTTATGTAGCATCTGGGAGATTTCAGTAAACCCGCCCCTCACCCTTCTAGCTTGAAGGAGCCGCATCGTCACTCTTTATTGGGAGAAGTGTGAAGAAGCCCTTTGCATCCTCATCGAACTTGTCTGAGGTCTCATAGAGTCGACGCCCCACGACTGTGGCATTGTCCAGTTCCTTGATTGCGGCGGCCAACCGGAACCGAAGGGAGTTTACGGAGAGTCAGCACGCCACACTCAAAGCCCTCAGCGATTCTGAGGCAATACCTCTGCAAATACAAGCAACCTGCATAACGGCCCAAGCCCCTTCAAATTGATGGCATCTTCGGTGGTCGATCGGAAGTTCCTTGGCAAGCTTGCCAAGGAAGTGGAACCGGAGAACCCACTGCTTTCTTCCATCTTATACAAGCTTCTGGGTCTATCTCACCAACTCTCTGATCTCTTGGTCAAGGCGCGAAAGCAACGGAAACTGGGACTTGAAAACGCGAACGATGGACCCCAAACACTATACAACCATATCCTGTGGCTGGCCAGAGAGGGACTGGTCATGCTGGAGCAGTATGTGCTTCCGATGGTTGCTAATTCGGGCGTTTTGAAGGTGCTTGCCTACAAATTGCGCGCCTCGTTATACCACGTCGTCGTCCTATTTCACAACCAACCTCCGGTGTCTGCAAGATATATATCATCGCCGGACTCCACTCCTTCCAGGCTTGACAAGGGCAAAGGCATAGCGAGAGATGACGATTTTTTCGAGGCTTCGCCCGCCATGCAGCAAAGAAGTCCCTACGAGGGCGGGCCCGTCGCGCCACCACCAGGCTTCGGTCCAGAACCACCAGGCGCTTTTCTACTCCCAGTGGGCGATTACCTCCCCACGGCGCATAGACACTTTCGCGACGCATTAACGCTCGCGGATAAGCATCTTTGGGGCTCCCACTCCCTGCGGCTCTCTATCAAGACAGAGTACTCTGCATTCCTGTACGAGTGCGCCCACGACGAGGAAGCTAGTCGCAAGCTCGCGCGCAAAACAATCAACGAGGTGTACGAGGCGACCGAGGGCATCGACAACGACATGTTTCAGGATGCCTGCGAGCTTGTCACCGTTCTGGGCAGGATGATGAAGCGGGGCCAGCCACCATCGAACAGGAGCAAGGCGTCGAGTCCGGGTACTGTTATTGGCGCGCAGCAGCAGGCTGAGCCTTCGTCGGCCCGGGAAGTAGAGGCAGAGGTACAGGACGAGCCGAGCCCGGTGCCACAGGCTGAAATGCCGAGCTCTGTTATGCCTCCCCCGGCTTCTGAGGCGCAGCCAGGGTTTATATAATAGCTGGAGACGACCCCGTCATGGTACCAGTCAGTGAGATACGGGGTGCAGCCACTCGGTTCTGGAGCAACTGTTGCTCTATCCTGGAAGCAGAGGCGTGTTTGGCTTGCGAAAAAATTCTGGTTGCGAGAAGATTCATGTTGATGTCGATGATATTGAATTCAAAAGCACGGAATTCTCGTTTGCATCGTACTTGATACCCCAGATCGGTCTGAGATTATGTATCTGGACTGTGGTGGACGAGGTCGCGAAGAAGCAGGGAGATGAGGTGGAAAGCGAAATTTTGGACCAGCGACTGAATTTGTGCGCAGGCACGGCTACCAAGTAGAATACGACAGCGGCCAGCGACCTGTCCAAATGACGTTCATAACGAGTCTCTATTAAATGCATATGGATTAGCGTATCGTTTCATCTACAAATTATGAGAATAACAGCGCTATGGAGAAACTTCTCGGCGACTCTAGAGATGATGTTGCTTTAGTACTTCGATTCCGGTCCTTGCATACACACACCAAGCACCAAGCTAAAAACACAGACGAAATACAGCAGCAAATTCGAGTAGGCCGCAGCATCACCTCGTATCAGATTAGGAAACGAACACCACTTTGAAGCAAGAAAAACACCTAAGCATTCGGCGTCCCAAAGGAAGGCCGGACCAGCTCAATTATATCTGCGTGCTGATGTCTGCAACGAAATGTTTGGGGCTTGAACCTCGTCGAATGCCAATAACCCAACACAATTGCTGTCCAAAATTGAAGTCAGGGCGCACCGGGACTATCAATTACCACACAACGTGCGATGTATTATATGAGAAGTGATTTACGGCTTGCTGATACCTCTTGTTCTCTTATATTTACGACTCTTTCTCTTTTCGTAATTGCTTAAATGCGTTCTGCCTAGGTACTTTAGAAGGACGAGCATAGCGTAAATATTTTCTTGTAAGAAGATTGAGCCTTTGTGAAGGCCAAAATCTTTTCGTTGAGGAACGAGAACCCGTCCATTTCAACATACAGCCTACACAAAAGTCCAGTCTGAGGCAGAGCTCAAGAGTGACCAGTCCTAAGCTCCTAGGCTAGTTAATCACCCAGATACGTTTCACACAACCCAGTCACCTAAAGAATGGAACATGGAGTCCAAACAGGAGCAAATCCACCACCGTGCTTACGGCCTTGAATGCCCGGCCGGCATATACTCGCTCTGACGTTGTGAGGTGGCCTGATTACCGCATCTCTTCTGCATGATGCGCTGTTAGGTCGTGATCCTGCTATGCAGCACATCATGCTGACAGCGTTGTAATAGTCTGGGTCTCCAAGCCGAGAACAGTTGTCACGTCCGAAATATAGATACCCTGTAAATAAAAAGTACGTTTCAGAGATGATTGCTTACTTACATGCTCTCCCGGCACCAAATGCGAATAATACGAGAGGTAAGGTTACTATGTGGCTATGTCTAGTAGCTCACAGCAAATCTCAATTCCAATACGAAGGCCAGATAGAGATGATTAAGATCCATTTGGAAGTGAAAACGCTCACGCTATTTTTATTTATGTATGTATTTGTATATTCTGACTGGGAGATCTATCAGGTCTGCCCTCTGCGACTTCTTTCTCCGTCGAGATGATGCCCCGTCTTCCAGTGTGCACCCCGAAATCAGGTGTATCAAAACATTACCGGGTCGCGAAGGCCCCCTGTATGGCTTGTAAAGTAGAGAAAGAAAGGAAATAAGACGAGATGGGCATTGCTGTGTCATCGCACCCCCGTGTCTCCTCCTGGACCCCGAAAGTCGTTCGAGAGCCTGAACGCCTGCCTGTGTGCCTTACCCCGTCTGCCCTTGGCGCCGGAAACTCTATAAGCTGACAATGTTGAGGGGTGGGTCTATCCGGATGTCACCGCCCATTTATCCCAAAGATGCTGTTATCACAACAGAGCCTGTGCCGTATTACCAATTATTATCATCTCTCACCGGTCCTGCCTCCCGGGCTGGTTCATTCATGAATTTCGTTTCAGATCTGTGGGATTTGGTCAACATCAGATTCCCCTCTCCGTATGAATATCGAAAGAGATGAGTCGAGAAACGATGAGAGGAAACCAAAACAAAAGAAAGAGGAGAAAAAATAAGAGAGTGAAGGAGAGAGAATGAAAAGAAACTCACAAGTCATCGCGCTGATCCCTTTCCCTTGCCCTTCTGCGCCTCATCATTCCCTTGGTCCTCCTCGGCCTCTTCTAGCGCCTCCTCCCCGAGCTGCTGCCGCCGTCCCCTGAGAAAGCGTCGTAAGAGAAATAGGACGGGCTAGAAGATGAAGCCGAAGTGTCGAAATACCTGTCATCGGCCAAATCATACCCATATGCCGTGCCGCCGGCGCTACCACCCATGTCATCTCCCCCAAACGAACCTCCCGCAAACTGCGGATCGTAATACTGCTGCTGCTGCTGAGAGTCGTACTGCTGGTCCGAGGCGTCGCGCCAACTGCCCTGCTGGCTGGCGGACTCGTGGCCCCGCGCGACCATGTGCGGGATATTGAGGCCGCCCCATGGGAGGCCGGAGAGCTGGTCATCGCCTGCCAGGTCGGAGCCGAAGGGAACGGCGTACGAGGACCCGGCGAACTCCTGGTTTCGGGCATCCCGTTCCTGGCGTTCCTTTTGGTCGCGGGCCTTTTCGCCTATGATGTGTGTCAGTGTTTTTTTCTTTTTCTATTTTTCTCTCTTCCTTTCTCTCTCTTTTTTTTTTTTTTTTTTTTTTTTTTTTTTAACTGTCTCTTCAAGCTTGGAAGGCTCTCGACTACAAAGGTAAAACATCTCATAAAAAAACATATAAAAGTGAAAATAGGACCCCCCCCCCAAAAAAAGTAAAAACTTACGAAATTTCCGCTGCGCAATGCGGTTCTGGATCCGCCGCCTCTCTTCAGGCTCTGTCACGTCCGCCCAGTCGTCATGCTTGGACGACGAGTGTTTGGACGAGGAGCTGGAGTGGTGCTTTTTAGAGCTGGAGGAGGAGGAGTGGTGTTTTGAGGATGAGCCGGAGGGCATCTTGGTGGATGATGGTTCTGTCTCGGTGTTTGAGCCGGAAGAAGAGGAGGAGGAAGAGGAGCGAGACCCTCGGAATTTCTCAAGCTTCCTCTTTGATGAAGAAGATTCGGCCTGTTGTTGCTGCTGTGGTTGTGGTAGTGGTGGTGTCGGTTGGAAATCTTCCTGGCGTGGAGTGACCTGCTCTTCGGGTTGTTCCTTCTCGGGAAGATGTGTAGTTGTGATAGAGAGGTTGGCAATTGACTCGGTGATACCAGATGGGTCGAGGGAGGACATGTACCGGGGGGGGGGGGGGAAAGGCCGGAAAGTTATAATTTCACGCCTCGAGGAGGAGATTCTCAAATCTGTCTAAACAAATACACATATGCACACACTATAGAACTGCCCAAATTTGGATGATAGCCAGGATGGTGGATATATCTCATATGGATAGTAGTAGGTGTGCTCCACAACGACGACCTTGATAGCCAGACTAAGCAAGGCCAGGGTAGGAAGGGGTTTGTTGTTTTTTCTTTGTCAACGACAGATTGATATGATATGATATGCCTGAGGTGCAACACGACGGACTGGATATTCAGGTGGCAACATCCAGACAAATATATAGCAGATGAGCCATTGTCTGTTTAGCCATACTACGACCCTGGTCGTCCACCTAGGTCGGGCAAAGGCAAACCAGGTCCCGCCTTGTACGTGTAAGTTGCAACGTAAACCACTTGGTAGACGCGTAGGACGATGAGCAAGGAAAAGGAACGAGACTGGCAGGGGTAAAGGAGGAATAAGGACATTGCCTGCGCCTAGTTATGCCGGCCGCGGTCGACGAGTACTCCGAAGGGACATGATGATTACCAGCCGCGACAGATGGTGACGCAGAGGTTTAAGCATGGGGGGTCGGGAGGCAAAGGAAGAGACGGAAGGGGAGGGAGGGGCCAGAGCCACGCGCTAGGTTAGGGAGGAGGAGGGTGATGCACGAAATATCTCTTTCAAAGGAACCGTATGTGGGTACCACTCGAGAAATGGAGACTCGTAACGACATGGGGGAAGGGGCCACGAGGAATGAGGGATGATGAGCAAGAGGAGGCGGCGTGTACACATGCATAAGGACTTACATAGTACGTTCCACCCGTTGTGTGGGGACGACGTACCGGCCCGGACATGAAAGGAAGAAAGATACAATAGATGCTTTGGGAACGGGCGAGTAAGACCAGGCCCGGGAAGAAGAGGAAGAGGAATAAGAGGAAGAAGGAAAGGTTGCGCTTGTAAGCCATGGTCTCGGAGAGCCAGGCGATAACCGGGGTAGGGTGACCCGTTCGATCCCTGCCCATAGGAAGGAGAGACTTGAAAAGAAACCTGGAGCCACAAGCACAGGGACAGCCTTGCGTCTGACATGCAGGAGCTAATAGGCAGCAAACCAAGTACTGGAAAATACGACGCCAGACGGTCACTATGCGCTGTGTGTCCATTGCCTTGATCTGCTAGGACTCGCTTGAGTCCTTGGAGGACTGGAGACTAAAAAGAAGCATAGCTGCTAAATATCACTGGCTTCTAAGCTTGGTGGAGTGAGGGAATGAGTGATTATTCCACGACGTACTCACCAACAGATTGGCTGTCCTCCTCAATCACGAGGGGTCGTAGATTGGACTTTGCAGATCTGGTACTTACTAGTGCCTTTCTTTTTTCTCTCTTTCTTTCTTTCCTTCTCTTTTTTGTTTTCCTTTTCTTTTTTTTTCTTTCTTTTTTCTTTTCTTTTCGTATTTGGTAAAAACCTTGTGTGGTACTGTAGGATAGCCTGCGGTGCGCATCAGCCATGCATACCAGGCAGAAACGAGTTTCGCCTCCCAAGATTGGCCTGCTTGTCTGCTTTATTGTCTCCACACCCCTCCCTCGACGATGACTGATGATAATCTGCACCTTTGTCGTCACGAGCGTCTCTAAAAAGGTGGTTGAGGGATGACTGGATACCTGTCCCTGGCGGTCTACCATCAAGCGGATAAGCTTAATTCTTTGAAAAGTCTCGGCGCTGCCGGGGCGGGCAACGACAGGACTGTAGCACAACGGGCGTAACGCCAAGGTAGAGCCAAGATGCCAGGCTCTCCCCGGCATGACTGACAATTCTAAACACGTCGTGGTGTAGAGCTCGATTATCTTACTAGAAGCAGATTGGACCCGAACCAGCGGGTGAATGATTCCGGTCAAGGTGGTGATGAGATGGCGTCTGCTAATACGTACTGATCTGCAGTGCATGTTCGGCCCGTGGATTGCCTGGGTACGATGCGCCCAGACCACGAGTATACTCTTCACTCACACAATGAGGCCCACAGAGGTTGCGAACTCTGTATGCAGCTTATGAAAGATATGATAGGCGCGTCAAAAGGTGAACTGGCGATCTTATGTGGCTTGACGTGGCGCTGTCGACAGCATGCCTAAACAACCCTCTCCCAAAAAGGCGCATCTGCGCATTGGGCCATAAGCGACGTTGCTATGGTCTGGCGCAACGTTGAGGACAGTGACGCGTCTTTTGAGCAGTGTCGCTCGTGGAGGCATCGTGGCCTCGTCGTCGTCTCGAAAGGTTCCCTCAAAGAAATCCTTCGGAGTTCAGTCTGGGCATGCGGCTGAGTGACGAACGAGGAGCTGCTCTCCAACGTGTGCTTTCTTACATCCTGACGTATGCTGAAGTCGTGGCCTCGGTAGCTAGAGTGGTCGAAAAAGTGTGTACATGAGTCTATCGGCCAAGCGACTGTACCCTCCAAGAGGATTTACGTTCCCATTATAGGCATAATGTCGCAAAAGAAGACCGGGGGGGGGGGGCGGGAAGGTTGTGCTTAACTGCACCACCGCAAGCCACAGATGACCAGCTGCTCTATGACACATCCCTAGCCCTACTCCATGGCTGCAGTCCCCTGGTTGGCCACGTGAGATGTTCGTGCCGCTGTGCATGAGCTGGAAACCCGGGACCAATATCCAGGGACATGAAAATATAGAACAAGGTATCCGGATGTCTTCCGTAAAGCCACAAATAGCAATGACAGGAGACTTTGCCAGGAACAAGAATGCGACAAAACAAAGTGACTCCCATGGTGCTAGTGCGGAATCCAAAAGGAAGGGTGAAAAGGCGAAAAAGTGTCAGATCGAGGAACCAATTTGGTCCGAACCTGGTTGCGCGGAAGAAGGCAGGGGGAAAATGCAATGAAGAAACATGCTGCGACAGCCTCAGAGCCACGGCAACAAAGCCAGTGTGACGTTTTTTCCTGCCGTATAAGCTGATGATCGTCGTACCCCTAGGTAGGCGAGAAGAAAAGAAAGAAAAAAAGAGGCCATACCAGGAACAATGACGGGCGTTGTATTCGGGGTGAGTCATCTTGATCGCGGAAAGGAACCCAAGACAAGTAACGCGGTCCCACGTCTTTGAGTCATCACTGGAGCAGGCTAGCGAGATTGAACACGCTGGATGCTGTGGATGATCGTCTCAGGTATCCAAAAAGGTCTGGTCTCGGCTCTGTCTGGTTACGGTCTTGTCATTCAGGACTGACGACGAATTGAGGGCCTGGAATCGAGGGGGCAGGTGATCTGGCCAGGTCGGAGCTCGGGGTGGGCTATGCGGAGTAAATGCGCTCGGTGTCCTTTTTTTCTTCCCTTTTTACCTTTGACCCCTCTTTTGATGATCATTAATTTTACTCTTATAAGAGACAAGGAAGGCCCAGAGGTGCCCGCAGAACTAAGCCTAAATAGAGTGGGCAAGAGAGAAGGCGCGTGTGCCTGATTTCTCCTCCACCGCCCCTTCCTTGCCGAGCTCCGTCGAAGCTTGAGGGTTCGGAACCGGGGATCACTGGAGCGGAATCCCGGCCGGCGAGAACCGGAGTCTTCAATCCAGTCAGGCGACCGCCCTTGGCGATGCTGCGATTCGCCAATTGATAATTTTCAGGAACAGCACCTGGCTCGTTTCCTTGACAGTAGGAATTCACAGCCTCGCAATAAGCTCCTATGTACGAGTTCGTGCCGCGCCGGTTCTTCCCTATTGTCGAGGCCAGGTGACCTCAAGCGGGTAAGGTACATTTGCGGCAAAATTGAGACACTGCGAAATGCCGCACAAAAGACTCATCGTGCTGAGATGACTGACCAGATCCTTCCGTCGGGCGTAACAGAAGTCAAACTTTGTAGATACTTGTTGTTGACTTCTGTAGACAAAGGGTAGACATGGATCCAATGGAGGGGTCGTTGTTGTGACGTTATTTTTCTTTTCTTTTTCCTTCATGTCTGTTTATTTCTTTAATTTTAGTTTGATTTTTTTTTTTACTCCGAAGGCTCCGGAGTTGCTGACGTCAATGGTGATTGCCGTTCATTGGGCCACCTCAGTTTAACCATGAGCTCAACTTTAATTCAAAGAAGACACAAAGCAGATGTACCCTATCGCGCATCCTTGGCGCAGATGCCTACGCAACCCCCCAACTTATCAAGGGCAGGCACCTACTCCAGAGCCAAGAAGAGGGGTGGTGGGCACCTCGTGCGAAACACGCGTACCGACATGGATACGATTACGTGGTGTGGTGAGAGCCCATCGCTCTGTTGGGATTGGTGCGCGTCGCATCACAACGCACACTAAACTCTTTAACCATAGATGCATGTATAGAAAAGAGAATTGGAGTCCTCATCGACGCTTCGAGATCTGTAGCGCGTCAGCCTGTGGCCTGGTGACATGCGTTGACAGCCCAATCAAGAGCGGGGAACTTTGGCCTCGTCACCCTGTACCGCACCGCCAAAAGTCGAGCGTACGCGTCCGTCTTTTCTTCAAGCGACCAGATAGAACATTTCCTCTTTAGGACTTCGTCACTCTATAAGTGAGAAAGCCTCGCGTCTATAAAGCCATCTCAACCAATCTCAGATCCGGAAAACAAAGAAAGAAACCTTGAACGAAAGAAGAAAAACAAAAGAGACGGAGGTTGAGCAGTAGAACACTGGATACTTTGTGTCCAACGACCCAGCATGGCGGTAAATTTTCGAGCTAAAAGCGGCCCGTTGTGACACTAAGTCTAAAAAGTGGGCCATGCACCCCGGTGTGCTGGTGATTCTCCTTGCTTCTTATTAGAAGGTTTATTTATGGTTTGAAGATGCATATCGTGCTTGTTTGATGGCATCTCTGCCTTTACGTGACTGCTGTACATATAATGGTGTTAGTCAACCAGAGAGGTCAAGAACGTTCGCTCAGCCTCGAGTCAACAGGCCATGGTTAAAGGAAATCTGGTATCCTCTAAATTCTCCTTGTCTGCGGTAGCAAAATTGCAAAAATACCAAAAATTGCATGATTCATCTAGAATAGTAATTTGAGAATTGATAATTACATAAAGCGGGTAGCATTATTTGGCATCATGCCTCCCTGGGATTGGCTGGGGATGAGACTATTGCCACATTGACTCGAGCCAATGCTTTCGAATAACAGCCATACAAGAGATTGTTCTCTTTTACAAGACTGCATGTTAGAGGAAAATTACATATAAGATCATGCAACCTAATACTACTTTAAGTATTCTGCTTGTGCATGTTACTTTGGAAAAGCTTAGTATCTGTGTAATCAAGGTGCTATTACACACTCATCAACCGATTGATCTGCGAGGGACAGCTTCGCAAACTGAATGCTGTTCTTTTTGTGCTCTTTGAAAGACTGACTACTCAGGTAAAAATTACGAGTGAAGCGTTCAGGGAGGGGACGAGGCTGAAGAAGAGAATGAGCGAGCTAACCAGTCATCTACTTGAGTATCCATGAAGTGACTGTGGCATAGGGAAGATACAAACCTTTTAGCAGAGTAGAGCATGATATTCAGTGACAAGAGAAGTCACCGTCAATAGAATTATGACAACCCACAAGCATGCTGCTGTTGAATGACCATGGTTATGTTCAGTCATCAAGCATATCCCCACCTATCAGCCCCCTCGGTACTATCATATCTAGCATGTACAAAGATCGCATATGAATTTGCCTGTTGCTAGAATTGTGCTTATGATTTTTTTTTTTGGGGGGGGGGGGGTGGGGGGTTGTTTCGTGCACTCTACGGCCTGAGACGTTTGCGACACAGGGACTGCCTGGTGTGCAAGTAATGCCTCTCCTGCAACAGAGATTCCGTTTGACTCGGAATCAGATGATTTGTGGCGGTATGTTCGATGCAAAGCCCGAGGCGAATTGTATACAAAGGGATCAATTGATCCTCTCAACCTTTTTGCATTGCCGCTAAACGCCCCCGGAACTTTATATGAAGCCCATAGCCTCGCGCTGTGCCTTGCGCTCCGCCACCCTTCTCTTGAAGCGCACCTCTGCCCGTCTCCTCTCACCACCATCAATCTTGCGCCCTCTCTTCTCCTCCCACATGCCCTCTGTGGCGGCAACAATAGCGGCCTTTGCACCCTTCATCGGCAGGGCGTAGGGTCCGGCAACGCCGGTTCCCTGCACGATATACCCGTCCACCTTCACCTTGTCCTGCTCAGGAACGTCCTCGATGTTCTTGTCAAGTGGTATGTTGACGACGCGGCGGACGACATCAAGAGGGCCGGTCTCGATCTCCTCGACCGCGAGCTTCGCCTTCCCATCCTGGACGTGCTTGATGTCGCCGCCCGGCCCGAATCGCCCCAGCTTGTAGTTGTCCCTCCAGTGTATCAGGTATCGCCGTGTCCTTGGTGGCTCTATGCCGAGCTCCTTCAGCTGAGGCGACGTGAGGGAGAAGAGAGCTTCCCAGGTGGGGAACTTGGCCGTGTGCTGGCTCAGGCCGCGGCCGATGAGCTTGAGAAACGTCGCAACGTCGGGAACGAAGGGGATCGGTGATGGTATCACTGGCACTTGCTGTGCCTGCCTGTGTGCGCATCGGATCTGGAGGGGTTGCTGAGCGACAGCAGTTGGTCGGGACAGCAGGCTCAACGCCGATCGTACTCGTGATGGCTTCATGGCGCGTTGCTCTGGTGGAGGCGGCGGTCCGGGAAAGAGTTTATCTCTGGGCCGGTGTGAAAACCTTGCAGGGTTGGGTAGGTGCACAGATGCCCTAGATCACCTCGCGACGAGCACCACAGAGGGAGGTGGAGTGGTTGCTGTCGTAAGGACGTCGCGTGCTGTTGTAGGTGCTGCGCCAGCTTGGGACGACGTGAAATTAACGTCGAACAGAAAGGACGAGAAAAAACGCTTGCCAGTTCTGACGAGTCTAGGTGGTCCGTGCTTTTAGTAGTAGGTACATGGTAGTCAGCGAATCGTCACGGCAATTCTGGGCCCTGGCACTGCATGGATCAACCAATCGGAGGAGTCGGTCTCATTGGCCCGATAGTCTGGACGAAGCCCCCCGGACTTACACGCGCATATGGCAGTCTCGAGGCAACTTTACTCTTTCTCTTCCTTCCTTCTACTTTGCCCTCTTCCACTTACACGTCCCAAACTCCTTCTCACTTGTACCTTCCCCCAGAATCCCCCCCGGCTTAACATTCAACAACATTGTGCGTCATAATCAAACCTGCTGATCCAGCATCTTGTGATGACGTCTTTCGTTTAGTACAAATTTCAAATATGGGCGGACGCAAGCATGCTGTGACCCAACGCTCACCTATAGAGATCGCTGCTTTCAGTATCAACAAGGATGGTGAGTCCACACGTGAACGCGAAGGGACGCGGAAAATTAACCCATCTATTCAGATCCCATCCCAGACTTCGCGATAGATTTCTTCCAACGCCAATATGCCAAGGATGGTGAACGTCCAGCCAAACGTCAGAGGGTTGAGACCGAGGAGCAGGTGGATTGTGTAACCATTATACGAGAGCAGCTCATCATCCAAAGGTCCAGGGATGGACCTCCCATTTACGTCAGACCTTTCACGCTGACCGATGTTCATACTCTTCTCCGGTTTGAGCTGAGCGATGTGGTCAATGTCGAGAATGATGCCGATGATGCGCAGTCTCATGTACTTACCATCTCTACCCGTGCATCGTTGAAAGACGACAGCTTCTCCATGACCTTTCCACTGGACCCAGGAGATTTCTCAGCCCGGCTCGTTGCCATCCTTGAAGCTCGAGATTCCAGCTGGTCGAACCCGGATGTTGAGGAAGCCATCTGGATTTCGGCAGATGCTACATTCGAAGCTGACGGCGATCTCACGAAATTGACACTATCATTTCAGGTTAGATGGAATATCAGCACCAACACTGGGGCATCCATCTTTCCCTCACAATCACGAAGATTCCGTAAATCAATGCTGGCAATGGCTTTCCCGGAGATATTTGGCGTGCCTGCAGAGAAGCAAGCAAATTCTTGCTCTCCTGGAGTATTTTACGAAGCAGCCCATGTTCCCAACCCCGAGGACACGCCTCCCGAGGACACCGAGATTCCAGGTCTAACAGCGAAGCTCTACCCCTTCCAGCGTCGAGCCGTAAGGTGGCTGTTGCGCCGGGAGGGCATTGAATGGACCCTGGATGGAAACGGCAATACCATCACCAAAGAAGTCGGCTATTCTCATTTTGATGCTCCGAGTCAGTTCATTGAGGCCAACGACGCCGATGGACAGAAGTGCTTCGTCAGCCCCCTCCTTGGTAAAATCACAAAAGACTATGAGATTTTCCGAGATCTGGAACAGAATTTCAAAGGAGGGATTCTTGCTGAGGAGATGGGCCTCGGGAAAACTGTCGAGATGCTGGCATTGTTTTGTCTCCATCGCATGCCCTCGGGTACAGCGGAGATCTTTGATAACTACCAGGGAGTCGCTATCAAGCCAGCGCCTGGAACCTTGATCGTCGCTCCCTCGTCTTTGAAAAACCAGTGGCTCTCAGAGCTCAACAAACATGCACCGAACCTCCGCGTCATGCATTATACTGGCCTCAGTTCATCAGCTCGCACGTCTGCGAGCAAGACAACCACACTCATCGAGAAGTTGGCTAGCCAAGACGTCGTCATAACCACCGTGAGACGCTTCATACCTAATACTATTCTTGGGCTGTACTGATTCTAGCTAAAATAGTATAACGTCCTAACGTCGGAGCTTGCCTACGCAATGAAGGAGCCTGAACGGGCGAGGCGAGCACCGAGGAAGTACTACAGGCCGACGAGCCCGCTGACGCGGCTCTGCTGGTGGCGTGTGTGCATGGACGAGGCGCAGATGATCGAGAGCGGTGTTTCAAAGTCTGCCACTCTTGCAAGACTGATTCCTCGAATAAACTCGTGGGGTGTCACAGGTACGCCAGTCAAAGATTCGGTCGAGGATCTCCGAGGGTTATTACTGTTTCTACGGTACGAACCCTTTGCATTCAACCTACCAGCGTGGAATGCCCTGGTCCGGCACCACAAGGATGGTTTCAAACGATTGTTCAATCAGCTCGCCCTCCGTCACTCGAAACGGCTCGTCAGGCACGAGATCTATATCCCGGCTCAAAAGCGCTACGTGATCACCATGCCCTTCACTGCGGTCGAGGAACAGCACTATCAAAACCTGTTCAAGGAAGTCGTTGAAGCTTGCGGCCTCGGCCTGGATGGTGAGCCACTGCGTGATGACTGGGACCAGGATGACCCGAGTGTGTTAGAAGCCATGCGTACCGCCCTCGACCGCTTGCGTCAGACAGCGCTACATCCAGAAGTTGGCACGCGAAATAGAAGGGCTCTGGGCCACAAAAATGGTCCGATGCGCACCGTGGCAGAGGTTCTGGATGTAATGATTGACCAGAGCGAAGTTTCAATGCGAGTTGACCAGCGTGCATTGCTCTTGGCAAAGCTCACCCGAGGCCAGTTCATGGAGAACTCGCCGCGTGTGAAGATTGCCTTGGATATTTGGCAAGGTGTTTTGGATGTCAGCAATGCGGTCGTCGAAGAATGCCGCAAGTATCTTCGCCGGATGATGGATCAGGCAAAGGTGTCTCAACCGAACGCAGGTGGCGGTGGCGATGAGGACAAAAGCGACGAGGAGTTCAATGAGAACAACACAGGTAAAGTAGGAGACGCCCGTCGACGGCTGCGATCGGCCCTGGAGGTTCAACACAAGGCTATGTTTTTCTGTGCGAACGCCTATTTCCAAATCAAGTCAAATAAGGAGATGACGGACCCAGAGTCTGACGAGTATCATCGATTGGAGAAGCTGGAAACTGAAGGGTATGACAAGGCGAAGGCTGTCCGTCGCGAGATCCTCGAGGAGAGTCGGCGAAAGGCCCTCAAACTCATGAAAAGAATTTCCACATCGGCGAGCCAGCAGAGCTTCGCCACCATTCCTGACTACAAGAGCCTCGACCATCATGGTCTCGAAAGCCGCGCCATCGCAGAGAGACTGGAGGTTTTGGCAGGCGAGCTCAACGATCAAGCGGAACAACTGGACGAGTGGAGGGAACACGTAATCCAGCTCCTGTTGAAGCCCCTCGTTGACGAGGATGACGAGATTGAGTTGACAGGAGAGGAGTTCGAGGATTCCACCAAGCTTATGGAAGAAATCGTCGTCTACGTGCAGATTCTGAGGACGGCGATTGCTGATCGTGAGGCTATCTTAACTGGGCAGGTCAACGAGCTTGTCAATCACGAGGCAAAGACGTCTCTACGTCAAGCTGAAGCGGGCGAAGGTCCATATCCGGAAAAACTGCTGGAATTGTTTCAGCTGCGCAACGAAGTCAAGCCGCAATCTCATGGCTCACTGAGGGCCGCTGTATCGGAGCTCCGCGCTGCTAAAGTCAAGATTCGAAGCAATGTTGGTCAAGGATCGAAGCGCGCTCAGATAGAGTTGGAAATACTGGACGAGCAGCTTCATACCACGCAAAAACAGCTCACAGATCAGCAGAAGGTCGCACAGGCGATGAACCAGGAGCTCGACCTCTTCACTGCTACGATGAATGCTCGAGTTGAGTTTTATCGTCAACTGCAAGGCGTATCTGATATGTAAGTCCCGTTCGTGTTCACCGAGTCTTGCAAGACCAATGTACCTTGGAGAGATGTGTCGAGCATGTTGTTTTGAGACTCCTCCACCATTCCAAAGCCGAAGTCGCTGACACAAAATCACGCAGGGTCGCTCCATACGAAGGCTCAATGAATGAGGCCGAGGAGAGGCAGCTCATGGTCTACGAAGAGACACTCACTAAGAAACTGGACTCATCCCAATCAAAGCACCGATATCTTCTCCATCTGAAAGATATGGATGCTACTGATGGCGAATCGCGAATGTGCATCATATGCCGCGAGAACTTCACGATCGGCGTCCTCACTGTTTGTGGCCATCAGTTCTGTAAAGAATGCATCACCTTGTGGTTCAAGGCAAATCACAACTGTCCCGTCTGCAAGAAGCGGCTGAACGCCGCGAATCTACACGACATCACACTCAAGCCACAGGAACTCAAACTTCATTCCGACACTCCGGGGCAAGGTCCATCGCTTAAGAAATTCAATGAGGACCGCACCCAGGCCAACCCGGCACCCAACAAGTCCATGATCTACACTGAGTTCAGCAGCGACAAACTTGCCGACATCCGCAACATCGACCTCAACGGACCCGCTTTCACCACAAAGGTTGACAATCTTGTGAGACACCTGCTGTGGCTGCGCGACAATGACCCAGGTGCCAAGTCGATCATCTTCTCGCAGTACGCGGACTTCCTGTCTGTGCTTGGACTGGCGTTTACACGCTATCGGATCGGGTTTACTTCATTCGACCGGACAAACGGCATCACGGATTTCAAGGAGGACCCAGCTATTGAGTGTTTTCTTTTGCACGCGCGCGCACATTCCTCGGGGCTGAATCTTGTGAACGCATCGCATGTGTTCCTGTGCGAGCCACTCATCAACACAGCCCTCGAACTCCAAGCCATTGCACGTGTGCACCGGATAGGGCAAGAACAAGAGACCACCGTGTGGCTCTACATAGTTGATGGGACCGTCGAGGAGTCCATCTACAGGCTCTCGGTGCGACGTCGCCTGGAGCACATCACCGATCAGACACGTAAGGTTGACAAGAAGGGCAAATCCAAGATGGACGCCGCCGAGCTTGCAGACGAAGCAATCGAGGCCGCTAACTCTATGGAGCTCGAGCACGCGAGCCTGTCGAAGCTGATGGGTCGCTACAGGGCGCAGGGCGAAGCAGTGGACAAGGGAGATCTGTGGGCGTGCCTCTTTGGGCACGTCGGCCAGCAGAAGGGCAATGAAGCTGGCGGCCCAGGAGGGGTCGGTAAGAACCCAGGTCTAGCAGTTAGGGGTTTTTTGGCTGCTGAGGCTGCAGACTGGAGGAGGGAGAACATCTGATCTGGGAAGGCCAACGCGTCGGAGATTTTCACCGAGTCGAGATGATAGATGGCAATGATCCAACGTGCAATGTTCTGGAGCGCGGGAGTTGGGCTGAGACGGAATACCCTTTATAAAAGAGCTGTACAGGAAATTCTAGAGCTTGCTGCAGGAGATGTGGCTTTCATGAATTTGGATCCAGCTAGCGGGTAGCCTGCGTTAATGATCTCTTTATTCATCTACTAACGGTCATTTCGGCCTCGGTAGATGTGTATGATCGGATGGAGTATATTGGAGAGCAACATTCTTCTCCCCTTCAGTCGAAAAGCTAACCTGCGTAGTACTCTGAGGGAAAACCCAGGAATGAGATAGGAAAATAGAGAAGGATTTTGTTCTCGATTTTCATCTTTTCGCTCATTCTATGCTCTCATCTCCATGACAACAATACAACAAGGCACCATGCTGTGCCCTTCCCGCTTTACTCCAGAACGCCATGCTTCATAACCAGTCTTTCTTTCTTTTTCTTCAATATAGAAAAGCCTTTCATAAATGACACATATATATGGCATGTACGTCCATTCTCACCCTCGATCGAACGCATCATCTCACATGACGCTACACTCCAGCCCATACATAGCCCTCTCGACATCCCTCTTCACCTGATACCAGTCGGCTCTTCTCTCAGCAAACTCGTAGACCTCCTCGGCGCGGAAGATGCCGCCGAAGCGGTCCCCGTCTGCGATGATGGTGGCCATGTCTTTGGCGTGGCGCGGGTCGATGAGGTAGATCTGGCTGAGCTCGCGCAGGGCGCGGAAGTAGGCGAGCAGGTCCGGGTTCTTGAGGGTCTGGATGTACTCAAAATACAGCGTCATGTCGGCGATGAGCTTGATGGCGCCGTCGGTCGAGATGCGCTGCCGCTTGATGTGCTTGCACACGGCCGTGAAGAGTCGCAGGCCGACCTCGCCGTTGAACACCTCCAGCATCGTCTTCTCGGTGCTCCCGACTAGCATGCCCGTGTGCGAGGACACGAGATCCACGACGCGCCGCGCCGTCTGTGTGGGGCCCAGGTCGCCGACGTGCGCGGCGTGCTTCTGGCTGCCAAAGGACGCGAAGCTCTGTACGCTGGACCGCTTGTCCGGTGCGCCTAGGGCGTTGGCGCCCTCGGGGGCCAGGGGATTGTAGTCTGTCGGCAGCTGTGTCGTGGCGCAGATGTACTCGACCTCGTCCATCAAGACGTCGATGCCCTTGTTCAGCCCGGCTGCGACGCTCTCGTCCAGCATCTGTTCAAACTTCTTCTTGGCCAGGCCGGACTGGTCCAGGAAGTCGTTGCGGTCTGCAATCTTGGGCGCGGCAAGCTGCTGCTCGAAGAAGACGTCGATCATCTGCGAGATCAGGTCGCCGACGTTGACGAGCTCGATGAAGGTGACCAGCGGGGCCACGCCGCTCTGGGCGCTGTGATCCGTCACCTCCCGGGCCTTATAGCCGGACAGATGGTCCACTGCCTTTTCAAAGCCCGGTTTGATGTGTCTGTTGCCCAAGATGCGGAGGAGGCTGACAAAGATCTGGGCGCACTGGTCGCGGGCTTCGCCGCCAGACTGCCCGCCTAGGCTGATGAAGACGGCAGCGCGGCCGAGGCTGGTCTTGGCCAGGTGTGTGAGCTGGAGGGCGACCTCGATGCTGAAGAGGGTCTTGATGCCCTCCAGCCTCGAGGCCATGAGAGCGGCTTTGGCTGCGACTTCATCGGTCGGTGCCTTCTCCGGGAGCGGCGTGGGCTTTCGCTCTGGTGATCTCCCGGCAGCGGGCGTTCCTGGCCTCGCGTCTGGAGCCGCCAGCCCGTCTGTCGTCGGCGCTGGTGTAGACTTGGTCGACGCCGAGCTGAAAGGGGAGCTTAGCAGCTGCCCGGGAAGGGTCGGCAGCACGGTGACGGGCATCATGATGGCCTTTTTGAACGAGCTCATGAAGTCCTTCTTGTCTACCTGCCGGTTGAAATTTGACATGTAGAATGACTCCACCGTGGCGTCCTGCTCGGAAAGCTTCCTCTCCCAGTCGCCCACCTCCTCTTCCGCCTTGTTCTGGAAGAACTCGAGCTCGTCTTGGAGGTAGAGATCAAGATGAGGCTCGACCACCCGGTGGGACTGCTCTTTCGCCCTCTCCTCGTGCTCTTCCTTGGTGCAGCCGGGCACGTTCAGAGACCGGGAGAACTGTAGACACTGCTCGAAGATGCCCGATACCGCGCGCAGGTAGCACTCTATACTCCTGACCCGTGCCTCGTCGCAGATTGATGTCGTGTAGTCCATGATGACGTCCTCCCGGACCTTGTCGACGAACGCCCAGAAGACCTTTCCCGGCTTGGGGAAGACCTGGCCGATGATCTCAGCCTGCTCGTTGACTTTCCTGGCTAGGGCCTCAAAGAACTGTCGCGACGGCTCCAGCGTGATCCCGTCGGCATCCGAGTGCCGCAGACAGTCAGATGGGTTGGCGATGACGGTTCTGTCCGAGAAGATCGGATGCTTATGGACGAACAGGTCCTCGCCGGCCGCGCTGTTCAGCGTGTCCAGCACGTGCGCGTACCGCTTCATCCGCCTTTCGACGTCCCAGACCTCGTAGCCCTGCTCAAACTCCCTGAGGACCGCGCTCTCGAAGATGTTGGTCATGCGCGTCAGCTTCTCCTCCCTCTGCCTCCAGCCGGCAGCCCAGTCACTTCTTGCAAAGACGTGCAGGTTGGCCAACATCCTCGCCTGGTTCTCCGGGTCGCGAAACACCTTGAACACGGCGGGGTCGGCGTGGCTCTTGGCGCGCACGAGATCGAAGTAGAAGGGGCCCAGCGCCCCGTAGATCTTGCCGTACTCCTCTCTGGCGTGGCCACGCACGCTCCTCACGTTCTTGAGCACCTGCAGGAGGGCCTCTGAGTCCCGCAGCGGGTCCTTGGGGCTTGTCGGCGACATCTGTTGCTGCGAGAGCGCCGGACTCCCGCCCATGCTGAGCGTTTCGAACCCGTCCCGCAGCGCCGAAGCCCCGGACGCAGCTCTGTCCCTGGCCGCCGGTGGTGGGACAGCCTTGGCAGCCAAGCTGGCGCGCCTCCTACTTTCCTCCTCCCTCTCGGCATCGAAAAACACCGTCCCGCTCTGCCTCTTTGCTGCCGCTGGCGGGCCCGCCCCTGCTCCCGCCCCTCCTCCTCCTCCTCCTCCTACACCACCACCACCACCACCACCACCACCACCCGCGGCAGTAGAGGCGGCTCGTGCTCTTGCCTCGCTGTCGGCAGCCTCCTTGCGCCTCCTCATGGCGTCCTCGAACCTCTTCCGAGCCTCGGTCTCATTCCACAGACCCATGCCTTTCAGCCGGGCAACCCATCGCGTGTCATCGTAGACCATCTCGCGCATACGTGAGGAGGTGCGGGCGAAGCGAAGAAGGTCGGAGACGGGGAGGTAGTCGAGGATCGTGACAAGGATCTCTGCAAGAAAAAGACGTAGCGTCTTTGTCAGCGGGCACGAGGTAGATGACCATCTTGAGGGTTCAAAGGGGAGGAGGAGCGATAGGGACAAGGAGACACCCAAGGCATACCAGCTGGTAGGGCGGCCTTGCTGTCAATCATCTCGGCCGCCCGGATGCTGTTGAGGATGCTATTGTTCTGAGGGCCCTGAGCCCTGCTGAACCGTGACATCTTGGCAGCTTCCCTTGTGGCACGGGAGGGCCATTCATCGGGAGGTACTGTGTTGTTGATGGTGGACACAATGGGCAAGTAGAATTTTGCTTGTGTCGGTGTTGGTTCTGTTTGGTTGCTTGGCCTGAAGGGAGCTTTGAATTGTTGGTATGGCTTTGGTTTAAGCTGTGACTTGGGGGGTTTGGCTGGGGGGGGAGGGGCAAGTTCGTTAGTTGAGTGAGTAGTACGGGCGGAGCCTAGTTGTCATGTCAGGGGCCGGGTCCAGCTGTCTAGGCTGAGAGGGGCTCAGGCAGGGCGACCCCTGCAAGTGTTCAGACCATACAGAATGTACTACCCGTGGGCCCTAGCCTAGCCACCTGGCCCACTACCTCCGTTCCTCCCGTAGTGGGTGCCGTAATTGGTTGCCGGCCAAAAAGGTGTCCATTTTGGAGGAATTTTTTTACTATGGGAATGCCACCAAAATCCGGTGCTTAAGCTATGACTGATAGTTGAATTGAAATATTGCAATACCACGATGTTGCAAGTCAACAAAAACTTAGTATTTCTATTCACAGATCTCGAGGAATAGGTAGTGAGGAACTTATATCCTCATCACTGTACCAGGCCTTAGCATTGTGCAACGCTATATGAAGATTCCTCGTAGCTTGCAACGAGGCTATATCTATATCTTGAAGAGGGTGCTCGAGGCCTTGCCCTAGATCAGATATCTCTGCATCGCTTGAAACGGGTATAAAGTCCTCATCATCAATCTCAACCTTGTTAAGAATCTCGATATCATCAAGGATCTCAACATCGTCAAGCTGTTGTATATCTGCAGATAATAGTTGCTGTGATAGCGTTTAATATTCCTCTTGAGTTGCCAGCTGAGCTTCAGAGCAATAGATTGTCAGCCAGTCTCTGAAGAGGATTGGCTAGCCTTAATATCTCTGATGAGCTTCCTTCTATGCTGTTTGCTGCTCTTTTCGTATTGTTGCTTTTCTCTTTGCCTTGTCTTTTCTCGCCTTAGCTTCTTTACGCTTTCTGATACGAGCAATCCTCTGTATTTCAGCTTGACAATCTTTCTCCTCAACCTGGATATTCCAACGCTGTACATCGCGAACAGTAAGGCTGTCCCCCACCTCGCTATCTAGCCTAACCTGAGTCTTTGTAAGCTTATCCTGGTATTCCCTCAGCTTGCCCTAGTACTCTCTTCCATCATCTTCTAGCCTGCCTTTGAGAAGAACTGATTCTGTAGCTATTGAGCTTAATGTGCTTAAGCTCCTGCGAGTGCCTGAGGATAACAGCTCAGAGTAATGGTTCAGAAGCCTAGCAGCGGTGCGTAAGCCTTGTGCATCAGTCTCAGCTGAGAGAGAAGGAAGGAGATCAGGATGCTTAGGGCGCTTCGTCTTCTTTTGCTTATTAGTTAGATCTGAAAGGACGAGGTGATGATCGATAGGCCAGAAGCCTGTCCTCTCGAAGCTGCTTATTATATGCATTGCTGTAAATGCATAGTTGATCATTAGCTAGATAAGATTAGCAGTGAAAGAGAAAACAGAACAAGAGATATACTTATAAAGCTTGTAGTACAAAATTGTTTCTTGTAAAGCTAAGATTGCTACAACAAACGTTTTCCAAGAGAATTTGATGATACCTTGCCTTTAGCCACTGAAAAACACTCATATCCATTAGCTGTAACAGATGTATAGAGTAAGGAGATAAAAAGATCATGATGATATTGAAGCAAAAGCAGTAATCCAGAATTTCAATGCTATAATGCTCTGAAAAGCTATCGAGAATTAGATAGCAATATATCCAATGATGTTGAGTACGTTAGCCTAAAGCTATTGCCTCAGGATTTTGTTTCTAGCGCCAATTGAACTTTATAGTACTATCAATACCAAACTACTCCTTGAGCGTATATCCAAGCCTTTTCAGATCTGCATAATGGATATAGGAGTATTTGTTGAAGTGCTGAACCCAGTTGAGCATAATACGAGCATTTGAAAAGCCTATATCAGACTTAGCAAAGCATATATCTTTATCAAGACTATCTAATGCCCAGCTTGGATGCAGCTACTGCTTGAAGATACAGCATGCGGAAATAGCATTGCTAGTAGCGCTGCTACAGCTGATGAGAGTCATCAACTCTCTGTTATTGAAGTTATAAACCTTCCTCTTCATCTTCTGTTATATGGCAACGATGATGCATTGAATGCAACCAGATAGCATGCTGATATGGTTGCCATACTCATCAGCATTCCAGATAGCTGAGGATATCAGCCTGTACAAGGCTATAGCAGCCTCATATTTGTTGAAAAAGCTCTTCAAATTGGCTGTTGCAAGCTCGAAGCCTTAATAAACTGCTTCAACGAACTTTATATGATTTGGATCAAGCTTAGAATGCCTATTCAGCCATTGCTATACGAAATGAGAATCAACTAGCTCTTTCTGATGCATTACATGCATAGAATTAGCAGCAGCAATAAGCATTGGTCTGAGCGAGGGAAAGTTGCTTGAATCAAGCTGCATTACATATCTAACGAGAGCTTCATCTTCCCAGAGCTCGAGATAGTGTGGGTGGCCTGGAGGCTTCGATGTGAGAGCAGGCAAGCTGTTTCGCTATATCTCGAGGATATGCTTTGTAATGCTAGTTCTGCTGTATGGTATACGATCAGCAAAAGAGCGAAGAGAGGTTCTTGAGGGCTTGATAGGCTTGGGATCTTCTCGAGGGCGCCTTCCTTGGCGATGGCGCCCTCGACGCACTCGCCACGCCTCGAGGTTGGTTAGGAAAGCATCGTGAGCCTTGTCTTCTCAAGCCTGGATGGCTAGGAATCCGGCAGCAGCCTCTATGCACGTCTGAAAAGGGCCTGGAGGATCCTCAGGGCCAGGGATAGATGCCATCGCGATAGTTGTTGAGGAAAGGGAGGGTGTGTTGGTGAGGAAAAATTACGTTGAAAATGGACACCTTTTTGGCTGGCAACCAATTACGGCACCCACTACGGGAGGAACGGAGGTAGTGGGCCAGGTGGCTAGGCTAGGGCCCACGGGTATGTAGATAGATTACATAGTGCTATGGTACATAACATAATTACTACTACCATAGTATATTGGGGTTACCATAGTAGAACACTGTGTGTAACTGGAGAACTCATATGAGGCATAATTCAAAGGAGCCCTGAAAGCAGAAGCTGGCACCCTATTCCTGTGAACAAATTCAATTCAGCCTGTCGCTGCTTATTCACCCACACATCCATCTATTGTCAGTCTTCATTTTGGTGGTCCACAATGTTCAGTGGCCTACATAAGACCATGTATTTCAAGAAAAAGAGAAGAATATATATATATATATATATAGGAAACAAAGGAGGTGGGGGGGGGGGGGAACAAGATGAATTAAAAAAAGCTGTTGAACATTGCTGTAATATCTCTTCTTGAATGCAGCCAGTCTGAACTCCGATAGCTAATCTGCTACTCAACCTTGCCACGCCATTTTCTTATCAACTTAACTCCATACTCATCATATATCGTGTGCCTTTACTCCCTCCTCCCTCTCTCTTTACGCCCAGCAATGCTTTAGTTGATGGCAACTGTAGTTGCAAGTAAGCCGAAACAATGGGGGTTATACAGATATAAAAGGTACAATGAGTAGAGAAGGGGCCCAGAAAGCTAAAAGAATAGAAGCAATACGGTAAAGCACAACGCATGGCAAAGTTTACATCCCTTCGCGGACATGAGATGTGGCCGACATCGCCTGCGGCCTCGATGCTGGCGGCCGTCTCCGTCGACTCGTCATGATGTTTTCTGCCTGGAGTCCTTCGTCTCCCGTGCTGTCGAACCACTCGTGTCCCACCGTGATGACCTTGACTACATTGCCAAAGCCAACGGCCACGCTGCCGTGCCCGATCTTCACCATGGGACCGAGTTCCGAGATCATCAGCTCCGCTGTGCTTTCTGGGGCGAGGAGTGGCTTGGCCTCGATGTTTCCTTCCTGCTCCAGCCTCGCGATGACCCATATTTCCCAGGCCTCGTCAGGTTTCGGGCGCGTGGGTGTGGGGTCCATGCGTCCTCGGCGGCGGAGACCCGACTGTGCAAATGCTGGCAACCGTTCCCTGACAGGACTGCCCTGGGGTATTTCTTGTTTCCTTCTCACCCCAACAACGCATCCGTTTCGTAAAGGTGTCCATAACCCGGGATTCGGCACCCGCCTGGTGACCTGCCTCGTTTCGAGCCAGGTGCAGCTGGCTCGCGCCGGTGGGCCCACAGCGTTGGAAAAGTAGATGTTGTCGTACTTCTCGTCGGGGAGGTATGTCTGTAAGACGCAGTCACCATCCTCCTCGCTGATATAGGCTAGGGTCATGGAGGACACCGTCCCTCTGCCCGCAGGCCCGGTCCTCTGGCCGCTGTATACGAATTTCAGGGAGCGCGGCTGCATCGGCTCGGTCGTGAATGTGTGCATGACTCTAGACGTTTGCAAGTCAACCAGATCAACACTCTGCGAGCGGACCACCATGTATGATAAGAAACCTTGGACTGGAATCAGATGCTGCGGCTGCTGGTCATCCTGGGCAGACAGCTTGACTTCTGAGGACACCCAAAAGCCGTTGTAAAGACTGACGCGATGTACACAGCCATGACGAGAAAGGCTGACGAGGGTTGAGCGTGACTCCGGTTGAGCTGCGGTGGCTTCGCACAGGCGACGGTCAGCAAGGGGGAAGACAGTAACACAGAGAGAGAGGGAGAGAGGCGGGATGAAAGAGAGGAAAGAATACTCACACTTCTCTGTAATGTGCAAAACACAAGCAAGGGGACTCTTGCATACACTATAACTGGATGTCTCACCCCCGTCGGGCCAGACCTCCATCAGAGTACCATCACGCCTGACAATGACGACCGAGCGTAGCTCGTTCTTTCTGGTGGAGCCGAAGAGGAACGCTTCTGGCTTCTGGCCGTACAGCTCCACGGCTGCCGACGGGCCCCACCTCTGCTCTGTGATGCTCCAGAGCAAGACTCGATAGGGCGAGAGCATCGCCAACCAACTTGACTCTTCATCGATAGCCATCGCCAAAATGGGGAACGGATCGTCCATAAGGGATCTTGGCTTGTCCAGGGCATAGCTTGCAAAGTCATAGCGCAGGTTCCATACTCGAATCTTGCGGTCGAGCCCTACGGAGATGACATGACTGTCAGGCGTGACGACAAGTTTCGCGATATCAAGTTCGTGACCATGCTCCAAGCTCCGTATCGAGATGAGGGGCTCGTCGTCGGGGTTGTCCTCCCCTCGGGCCTCCACCATCTCATCCCACAAGAGGTAGTTCATGAATAGCCTGACCAAGGCAACCAGAACAAGAACTGTGACGATGAATGGAGTCTGTTGGTGGTGGATGAAGTCATACACGGCATCTGAAAACCACCGCGTCACTCCGGGTGGCCTTCGATCGGACCCTTTCAGAACGAAAATGACCGGATCAAAGACGCGAGCAACATAGTTGTGCGCGAGGGGCTTGATGACGTTGATGACCTCCTTTGCCGTCTCATGATCTTGTAATCGCAGCCATGACTTTGGACTCCTGGCCTGGTGTAGTCCAGCGTAAGGTGGAGCGGAGGACGCCTCCCCGTCGCCTGCCCTCCAGAGAAAGCGGATGAGCCGCATTGGGCTCCCTGCTATACTCCCGCTGTCGAAGAAGTGCCACTGTGCGATCAAGACAAACCCCAGCATCACAATCGTTCCAGCAATCCGAGTAGACAAGGCGATCCTGCCCCGTAGCATGGCATCCAGCAAGGACTGCCGGGAGGGATAGTCCGGGAATTGGCGATTGTTTCTGATCGATGCTCTTTCTAATGCATCGTTCAGCTCGGTCCGGCGCACATCAACACTCAGGACAGACAGGAAGAAGGTGGACAGGTAGAAGAAGTCGAAGAAGATGGCGATGCCCGCAAACGTGCAAAAAGCCGATACGCCTGACGCGGTCACCCTGGACAGGCCCCAGAGGATCAGCAGGTTCTGCGCGACACTGGCCAGGGCCACATGGCCCGTCTCACCAAAGGCATGACCAACCCGGCTACTGGTGCTATGATCGGACGATGTCAGGATGACAGCATTGATCAGCCTGAATATGTTCTCCAGGCTAAGAGCCATGAGGACCAAGGGGTACGCTGCTCTTGGAATCCGGGACAGATCAATGTCCAGCAGTGCACAGACTGTGAGGCTGGACAGGATTGCCATCACAATTTGTGCCACGACAGTCACCATCAGCCCGAGCCGAGACTTCACAGCTCGGATCTTGGATAAACTGAGAAGGAAGTAGCAGGTGGTGAGAATATATGCCAGAGAGAGGAGGACCGTGTCCTGCTTCGAGATCGGGAGGAACTGGAATTCGTAGAGCTGGGAGCCCGTCGACACGCCACTGCTGGGAAACACGTCCCATCGGCTCGTCATGCGAGCGGCGTAATCCGCCGTCTTCCTCTCCCACTGCCTTCCTACCGGCGAGTCGCGCAGATGAAGCAAGGTGATGACGAGGGCGTCAGCAGCAACGAGCTGTCTGTCCTCAAACTTCTTGCCGCTGAAGACGATCGAATGCCTCAGCGTCACGTTCACAGATGTTGACTGAGTCTTCTTCTCGTTGACGGTGCTCAGGTGATCCTCGTCTCGCGCGATGGTATCGGCGTCGCAGTCCCAGTACTGCAGGGGGGAGTGGAAGAACCACGACTGATTAGTCAGGCCATTGATAACATGGAACATGTCTCTCTCCTCGCGAGACAGGTCGGCATGGGGCTCCCGGATGCCAATGCGCTTGCTCGAACGCCGCGGATTGAAGCCGTTGGTGGGTCCCAGGATCTCATTCTGCATTTCTAGAGCACCAAGAAGCACATCACGGTCGAGGGCCTTCATGTAGCTCCCGTGAACCCAGATGGACCGCATAATGACATCAGGCTCGACGAGCTGCCGGTCGCCGAGCGGCTGAGCATCGGTCCAGACATGGAGCGGCAGGTTGGATGCAGCATTGGTAAAGTCTGTGGTATAGAGGAAAGGGCAAGGATAAATCAGAGTCCCGGCTACGGCGACTGAGATCAAGAGGGTCGTGAGGACGTGTCGGGCGGCATATCTACCATACCGAGTCAAGACATTTCGGAGAGGATGTGTCGTTGGTAGCACGGGAGCCTCGGTCGTCCTTTTCATGACCCAGGTCAATATACTTTGAATCTCGATTCCAATAACGGCTGCGGGAGAGAAGGCTGAAGGAGGAAGCTCACCCTCTGAACGGATAGAGTAGGTACCAAATCATCACCAGCAGAACCGATGGTCCCCGAGATTGAAGCACACGGTAGACAGCGAGAAAGGGCTATGACACGATGAATAGGTCATGCTTGGACCATCACGGTGGAAACAAGCCGAAGGGGGAGAAAGCAGGATACACGCGAGATCGACTATGCGTGCCCAAGGATTTGAAGACTGTGGATACAATGCCAAAATGTGTCCGACTGCGAAATCGGCGGCGTCTTGAGCAGGCAGCAGGCACCACCTGACGTCTTCATACACCTCAGCCTGTCCCGAGAATAAGATTGGACCCGATGATCAGGTGAGGGCAGTCACAAAAGGCCCAGTAGACAGAGCTGGGTGGACAGATCTCCACCGTTTGGGAGGGTTGAAACCCCCAAGAATTCTCACCAGATGGCGCAGGAAGCGCGTGCTCGGAAACAGCGGCGTGTTGGCGTCAGAACCTCCTTTCGAGCCTGAGAGGTCCTTTGATATCGCAGCGCAAACTTGCCTGTCTTCCCAATGCAACAATGATACCGGTGAGGAACTGTGAAGCTCAACGTGGCAGACGCAAAGTGGGCTGGGTTGTATAGGATCAGTAACCAGCAGAGGAGAGTGCGCAAGCCTGGCGAGGGCCTCAGGGGATGCAACGGCCACTCTTCTTCCTCAGCGCTATCACACGTAGCGCGTCCTCGAAGCTAGCAGGGCTGGCCACAAGAGCTGGAAAATCCCTGCATGGAGAGTCCCGGGGCCAAAGAAGCAGCCGGTCCCGTCGGAGAGGTGAACAAATCGATCCAGCTAGTGCAGCTTGCGATGATCCAAATAAAAGCGCCAGAGGCGTGCGGCGGTGACCAGGGGTTGCCGAGACGAATGGAGGTAGCGCAGTGGGCCAGGGGCTGCCGACGACGTGCATTCGTATTGTGGCCTGACGATACGGGCGAAGGAGAAGGTTGGCTGGGTGGATGCGGTTGCGCGGTTGAGGTTGTGGAGGACCTTGGCAGGTGAAGGCTGTGGATCCTGGCTGCCCAAACCCTGACCTGACCTGGGCTGGCGTGTCGTGACGTGCGTATCTGCGAGCGGAAGGCGGGATCCCAGAGGCGGATGAAGGATAGAAGTCCACTGATGTCGTCGATGGCACTAGCAACCGTAGTTGGTCTAGTAGCAGTGGCAGGAAACTGCCTGTACGTATAGGGTATGTATTAGCAGGCCAAAACAAGCCGTGCTAGGATCCCGAGGCTGCGTTTCTAAACCGAGAAAATCCTGTCCTGGCAGGTGCGCACGGACCTTCTCCTAGAGAGACCAGCAAGAACGGGAGGAGGAGAAGTGGGGTGAGACCCTGCAAGTCGAGGAGGAGCATATGGACCAAGATGGCAACCAAGACCAAGACTATAGTCCGAGTTAAAAGTCCCCAATGAGTGCTCTGCCGTGCTTGTTCTGTTGCTCGACAACTTGCCACAACCGCACAATCCAGGAGTACTGTGATCACCTGCTATCTTGTGTGATGTCATTGATGAGGGAAGAAGGTCAGCCCACTGACGGAGGTCTGGATGCTGTTCGAGGTGAAGTAAGGTAAGGCCGACGAGTTGAATTAAGGTAAGATGAGGTGCTCATAGTTAGAGGTAGGCACGGTAGGGTAGTGGCACTGTCCGATGATCTCGTACTGGGGACGTACTTGCCCGGTATCTTAGGCAGGGAGTGGTTTCCGTTTTCTCATTTTATCCAGGCTGAGGGCACAAGATAGGTATAGATCGGAACAAAGAGGGTGTCTGCTGGGACTTGAATCGAGATCCCTTCCGAGGACGAAGAAGAAAAAAAGGGCAGGGGGTTGTAGGGTGGACATGAAAGAGGGGAAGAAGGAGGGGGGGGGGCATCAGCTCAGCTCGAGCTCGATAAGGAGACAATGCTTGAACAACAGGAAGGAAAGGAATAGCTACCAATTCCACTTGGAAGGCAGCCAAGTAAGAAAAATCATACAGCGTCCGGTTGACGTCCCTTGAAGTACAGTATAATCCCCCATCTTTTGCCTCTTGCTCGTCGCCAACCCAATTGCCTAGCATTGCCACATCTTGTGGATTGCTTCTGCAGGCTCGTTCGCGGTTGGCAGAGGTTATTCCTAACCCATTCATTCATGATCACTGAGATCGGTGAATCGTTGATTGCACACGGATTGAAGGACGGATGCACGTCGTGTATGTAGGCAAGACAATGATGGTATCCAAGTACGTAGTAAGATGCATATGAGGGCTGGGAAAAGGCTGCTCTTCGTCCCTTTTATTTCCTGCCTCTTCATCAAGAGAGTTGGTCCTTTTGTTTAATTGTCCCCTCCGCTTTCGCCAGTTTAGTCCCGCCGCGCGAGCATCTTTGTTGCCCCAAATTCAATTCCAGCGACCCTATGTCCAGGAAGGGTGGCAAACATCAGACCATTTCACACACTAATCAGCCCATTCTGCCGTCATGCGGCTACCCTGGGCCCCTGTGACAGCTGCCCTACCCGCTGTAATTACTGTGTGGCGCCTCTGATTGGGCTCTCTGTCCCCTTCCGATTGACCCTTCACCGCAGGACCCTGCATCGGCAACCAGATGGACCCTCGGAGAAGGTCTTTGAATAAGGAGAGGAAAAGGAAAGGAAAAAAAGAATATTCACATCCCAGACATCCACATTAGCACAGCGCACCGCTGACAAGGAACTTCCTGAGCCAATCTTCGACTTACCAGCCGTTCGGGACCCGCTGAGCGCTCCTTTGACGGCGAGATTGCCCCTCAGGTTTTACTTGTGACGCGACGGGCCGTGCTGAGTTGCCGGTGCGGTTCGTGCCTGGTTCGCCTGGGGTTGGTGCTGTCACAAACCGGAGAACCTGGCAAGCTCGCTCTGTTCAACGACACTCCATTGGCGAGGCTGTGTGTCAGGCAATACCAGACGGAGCCGTGCGAGCCCTGTCTCCTTCCTAAACCAGACATGGATCCGAATCCTGACCCCGTGGCAGAGCTTCTCACTACCTACAATGAGCTCAACGCGTCTGTCACTGATGAAATTTACGAAGAGCCCAGCCCCCTAGAGTTCATGCGTTATGTCTCAAGGAATACACCTTTTGTGGTGAGGAATGGTGCTGCTCACTGGGAGGCCACCAAGACCTGGACGTTCGACTATCTCAAGAATTTCCTGCGCCAGCAGCATGTGAATGTTGCCATCACCCCAGAAGGGTGAGTCTCTTCTCCGCGACCTGCTCAATGTAATTGATGCATACACCTCAACCATAGATTCTTTCTGACTACTTCGATTCCCTGCTCAGCAATGCCGACTGCCCCACGGTGCATGAGAATGGTGAGCTCGTCTTCGCCAAGCCATGGGAGGAGGACCAGGCGTTTCCTGAATTTCTTGATTACGTGCGCCATCAAGAGATGAATCCATCAGATCGCAAATTCTCTGAGGTCAGATATGCACAAACTCGTAAGTGATGGTAGAGGGTGGAATTGATCGGGCCATGCCGTGGGGTGTCTGACTGATCCCCTTATCTCCTTCCAGAAAATGACAACCTCAGGCACGAGTACGTCTCTCTTTTCAACCAGGTTCAGCGAGACATCCCATTTGCACGTATCGCTCTACAGAAGGAGCCGGATGCCATCAATATGTGGTGAGTCCTGAAGTGGACCCAATTTATGATGACCTAAAGATCAATTCCTTTTTTTTCGCACTCCAGGGCGGAGGGGACAGATCTGCCATCAAATTCACAGCCCTGGCAACGACTAATCTTGAAGGCCTAAATCTCAAGGATAGGGAACTCTCGCTCCGTGACGGCGCTTCATTTAGACAATTACGAGAATATCTACGTGCAGGTTCTGGGACAAAAACACTTTGTCCTGCTGCCTCCTCACTCCCATCCCTGCGTCAACAGGAAGCCCTTGCGGCCGGCCACTTATGCTCGAAGTGACAAGGACGACAGCCTCGACCTTGTCATGGATCCTGCCTTGAGCCCAGGGGAGGAGGCTGAATTTGTCACATTCGCCATCTGGGACCCAGATCGACCTGCGGAGAACCCAACGCCTTACTCAAAGCTGGCCGAGCCTATACGTGTCACGCTGGAGAAGGGAGACATGCTGTACCTCCCAGCGATGTGGTTAGCATCGCTATCATGCCCGCATACAGTAGTGATGAAACTAACAGGGCCAATGTGATGACAGGTATCACAAGGTCTCGCAGTCTTGCTCGGAGGAGGGGATCTGTGTGGCTGTTAACTACTGGTAAATCGCGTCGTCCCAATACTGTCCCAGCTATTCTTCTCTTGGCTGACCACCATCTTAGGTACGACATGGACTTTAGTGGTCCCTTATACCCGTTGACATCGTTTGTGCGATCGGTGAGCTAGCACAGGTGAACTCTGTGCGCACTTACGTATCTCAGTGGAAATGGCACACAGCTCAGACTGAAAGGCCTCCATCGTTCATAAGGAACCCGTTCTTCATTGTGAGTTGATGACTGTTTCCAGGAGTAGCTACCTTATTAATGCATTCCTGGCCAGACAAACGGCCAACAATAGGCAGTATTCCCATCCAGTGCATCTGTCAGACCTTCCATAGCTCTCAGATGATTGACCATGAACCAAATCCTCCCATCCATCCGCAATGTTTTGGGCGAGATCCCAATCATCAAGGTCATCCATCCTGCCGCCCGAATAGCTGTGAGTAGTGCCTCACAGGCCTGAAACCATGCATGTCTTGCCCTGCAAAACAAAAGAAGGGGTTGGAATAACAATGTAAATTATGCAAACCAATTCAGGAATGCAACACACTGACAAGTGTCGCCATGCCGAAGCCGGATTGTTATGAAGACATTGAAAGTTCGCATCTCGAGAGGCTTGCATACAGCCTGACGAAATCAAAGTGATGATGTCGCTTGATAGAAGCGATTGTAAGGTTATTGCAGCTCTTCGAGACTGTGCAGGATGCTGTAGCCCAAGTGTAGCCCAGATTGGTTTCGAGACAATGGGCAAGGATGATGTTTTCTTGTTGTCGAAGCTTGCGGGTTTTGGTCATCGAAGGAGCAAGCAAAACTAAAGCCTTCAAAGGACTGCAACTGATCCAATGAAAGCGCTTGCGGTTCTCCTATTCTTTCCTATCGATTCCACGCCTCAGTAGTTTTCAGGCTTCTCTCCCTCACCCAGCTTCCATTTCAGCACCTCTTCGGGAATCAGTCGGCCTGTGGTGTTGGCAAAGTCAGCCTGGATATCCAGCCAGCGGTTCGTGCGGTGACCGCGCTCGACCAGGGCAAGCAGGACGCAGTCGTCGGCGTTGAAATGGTGGTCGGGCTCAGGCAGGCGGACGCGTCCGGCGCAGTGGTCCGCGATCACTTGTCGGCCGTACTGTCCGATGTAGGACTTGGTGCCTGTCTCATTGGCATCTTCAGAAGCGCCCGCGTTATAGCCAGCGGCATCGTCGTCGTCGTTGCCGTCGGCCAGAACCTCCTTGATGAGGGCAACTTTGTTGCTGTCGAGAGGAGGAGAGGGTGGCTTCTGGGCGCTGGAGGAGGCGGGCTGTGCCTTGTTCCACTTCTGCTTCTTACCCTTGTCAGGGATGATACCCTTCTTGGACTTCTTGGGTTCTTGGACAGCCTCAGCAGCAGCGGTCTCCTCCAAAGTGAAGAGATCGGTGCCGAATGGGACGTCACCGAGGAAGCCCTCGTCCTTGTTCTCGGTATCGGTGTTCTCGGCATCAGTCTTCTCAGCATTCGTCGTCTCATCGCCTGTCTTGTCTGCATCGGTTGTCTCTTCACCTGTCTTCTCGACGTCCGTGCTCTCCTCGTCGGTCTTCTCAGCGTCTGTCGTCTCCTCGGCGGATTTGTCAGCAGCATCGGTGGTCTCCTCATCGGTCTTCTCGGCATCACTCGTCTCGCCGTCCGTGGTAGTATCACCAGCAGTGGCCACATCGCTCGAGATAGCACCAACATCATCCTCGCCCTTGGGGGCGTTGCCGTCGGCATCATCCTCGCCAGGGACCTTGGCTCCGATGTTCTGCAGGTGTTTGTACCGCTTCGTCAGCTCGCCCTTGGGACGACCCATAGCAGTGGCTATGGTGGCCCACGTCTCGTTAGCCTTCTTGAGCACTAGGAGGTGCGAGTCCTCAGACGGGGTAAAGGGGGCCGGGGCCGTATTGCGGCCTCCGGCGCGGATCTTCATATTGGTGAGGAAGCCGCGCATTTTGCTGGACGCCTCGGTCGTGCTAATCTCGCCGGTCGTCGTGGGATCCTCATCGTCGGACGAAGGAAGCATTGCGTACATGACCTTCTTAGGGGCCATCTTTTTTTTGGTGTTCGCCTTCTTGGCAGCAGGGGCACGGTCGGCGACCTTCTCGTTCTTTTTGGACGACTCGGCGGGTGCGACCTTCTTGTCGCCTCGATGGACCTGGGCATTGAGCTGCATGATGTACTTGTTCTGCTCCACGAAGCGGGCCGCGAGGCGCTTTTGTCCCTCCTCGGCCTCCTGGAGGTGCTGCTCGACCTTCTTCCGCTTCTTTGCCTCGATAGCCCGCTCCTTGATAGCACTGTTGCTACGGAGTCGGCCGTCTTTGGCCTTGGCCTTGCCCGCGGAATTCTTTTTCACCAGAGGCTGGGTCTCCTCCTCGTCAGCGTCGGCGGCGTAGTCGTCGTCGTCATCATCGGCTGGGCTGGTGAGCTTGGCCTTGGGCTTGGTGCGCTTGTTGGGCACGACGATGGGCGCAGCGCCTGGGAGCAGCAGGTTGAGGGGCTGGAACTCGCAGTCCTTCACTGGGACACGCTGGCCGTTACGGCCGCGAATGGTGAGATCCTTGAGAGAGATGGACATCTTGGCTTGAGGGGGGAAAGGGAGAGAGATGCTTGATGAGGATGTGATGGTGGGAGGAAATCAACGACGTGGCTGTGATGGTCAGCTTCTGGCGACGAGATGTTTGTGTTCGTGGATGAAAGAGCAGGGTGTGGGGTAGGGAGGTAAACAGATGACGCGACTGAGGTTGGAGCACTGTTCATCAACAAGGTGTTGAACTAGTGATGGGAGTGTGGGAGTAGAAGGCAAGCTCACATAAACAGGCTTGGGTAATTTACTGACTGTAAATGAGATGCTGAAATCTAGTGCGGTAGGGTATGGCCAAGGCAGAGATCAGGCTTGGTATCACGTCTCGAAAGGACTTGGTATGTATAAGGGTTCTGGAAATATGTGTGGCTAGAAAGGGAGGTTGGGTGTTGATAGGATGGCAGGGGTGGAATCAGAGACACGTTGTCTGATTGCTTTCAGCAGGAAGCCAGGAGATGGTTAGAGTGCAATGGAATGGATTGGACAGACAGGTACACTGGATCAAATTTTTTTTCTTTAATGGAACGAGAAACCAATAGTTTGACATCAGAAGATGCTCATGGTAGACAGTTGTGTTTGAGGATCTCGCACATTCACAGCTTAGAAAAGAGAAGGTTGGGCCGTGTGGATCACTGACTGTATGCTTCACATGTCAAGCAACCCATCCAGGTTGGATAGGAGACCTGGAAGCTTGACCATACATACTACAATTGACCAGTAAGAAACACTGTTCCCAAGGCTTCATTCTTGAAGCATGTCGAGTTTTCAAAGGTCCTGGAAACTTCTGCAGCATGCTTTTATAAACAAATCTTCTCCATAACTATCCTGCTATGGAAATCTCGTGTTTCGAAAGGGATGTAAGCTATTTAGCTTATTGTCCATAAGCAAATCAATTATCATTCATGACTTCTCCATCTCAATGAGTCATTAGAGCCACCGAACAGCCTTTGTTTCTCACAGCCTGTGATATCACCTGGGCACATACAATGCAGTCCAGACCTCTAATATCTAGGTACTCTGGGGCATCCTCCTGGAACCTCGACCATGTTATAATTTGGCAGCTGCATTGTGGTGGAATGATGGGACCTCACAATTTTTGAGTAAATATGCTTACATACTTAGTAGTAATGCATATTGAAGAAATTGTTGTTTGCAAGTGATGGTCATCGGAGGTGGCCAACCTGGACCCTCCTCAGCCAATGGGGTGTTACAAATTGCTTAGTAAGACGACATTTGAGCCATCTCGTCTCAAACCCCAAACTTTCATTACGGAGTCGTTATCATGTGCTTCTTTCACAAAATTACTATACCAAGGCAAAGGAGCGCTATATCTACATCTCAATTTATAGCCGATACGGCACTTATAATGTCTGAACAAGGCAGCATGTCTCACCAGTAATCCACTGTTGCAAGTCCATGTAGTTTCGGGGCACATGAGCATGCCCTCCCCCTCCCTTATGCCAATAGCAAATGCCAAGCAAGCCAATCAGCATGCCTCATAAGCAACTAGTTTCAAGCCCACTGCTGATATTGGCGCAGGCTTGGTGAGATTCACACCCAAGCAAGAATACGAGACGAATCAAGGATCGTCTATTTTATGGTTGATTTAAGGTTATCCCAAAGGATCGTCCGAGTGGATGTCAGATTTTCCGGACCAACGTAAGATGGGATCGGATTTTATGCTTATCCCGTTGTCGGCAAAGAGTGCGACTACGACCTCCCTAAGTTTTATTTTGAGACTGTATGAGTCGGTTATACGAAAATTAGAATTATCACGGGCCTTTAGAGACTAGATCACAGCTTAGGCACATGTACTGATTCACATAGATCTCATCAATGTTTGTCTCATTTCTAGTGATCATCATTACAGCGGCCTCGATACACGAGACCGAACGACTATATGATATCTACTTAGCTTATTACAGTCCCAACAAAAGGCCTTACTACAAAATCAAGGAAATGTCTCGTGGCAACAGCTCGAACAGCTCAAGTCATTCGACTCCCCACGCTGTTGTTGAAAGCAACTTCGCCTACGGAAGTTCCCTCAGCTCCCCATCGTGCTTCGTGGACGGCATCTCATGGTATGACCAGGTATCATGCTGCTGATGCTCATTGAATGTCTGCTGCGTCGCTCCTGTATTGTGCTGAGAGACAGTACTGAAACCTGACTCAGTTGGTGTGAACCCCTGGTTCTCGGGTGGCGGCGGCGAGTACGTGCTCTGCTGATAAGGGGGCACGGCGCCGGGCGATGGGCTATGAGGAGGCGGCGGGCTGCCCGGAGAAGGCAAGGATTGGATGCTCTGCGCGTTGAGGCTGTAGTGAGGTTTCTGGTCTGGGTTGTGGCCGTCAATGCCGCCGGCAACGGGCTGTTGCACGCTGGCGTTGTGATATGGCTGCTGCTGCGGCTGCTGCTGCATTGCTGGCTGGCCCTGGTATGTTCCAGGGGCTGGTGCAGCAGCACCAGCCATGGGTGGCGATGAGAGGGCAGCATTTGGATCACTGGAGGTGGTGGCAGGACCTGAGTTCCGTCTTCTCCTGCAGAGAAGGAAGACAAGGGCGAAGACGAATATGGCGATCACTGCCACTCCGCCGACAACTCCGCCGACGATGGCTCCTATGGGTGCCGAAGATTTGGACGACGAAGATTGAGATGAGGCTGCGGTGGAGGTGGTGGATGTCCCACTCTCTGTGCTTGCCGAGGAAGCGGACGAGGTATCCGAGGTGGTCGTGGTACTGGCTCCTGCGCTTGACACGGCCAAGCTGTGGTCTACGGCCTGAAGAGTAATGACGTCTGGCCCACCGCAGTTGTAGATGGTGTATCCTGGGACATCTTCGTATGTCAGAGTCACGCAGACGGGGTATTCGGAAAGCGAGCTAAAGTAGAAGAATCAAAAGAGATCGTTAGCAACGAGGTCTGAAATATCTTTCGCTACCATTGCAGACATGTAGGAATGGGGAAGAGAGAGACTTACCACCAGTAAGTTGAAACGCCAACGTCTAGGCTGCCCAAGGAATATCCAACAGAAGAGTCGACACTGGAGGGTTACCTGTTAGTCGGGCGAGCCATTCCTTTGAGTCGTCGAAGTCCAAGCACATACCATGTCGTCGCAATTGGACAATCGATTGAAGTTGAAGGGCAGCATCCGGCCATCCATGAGAAGCCAAAAGTCGTAAAGATACAAGTGTTGTCAGTTGCACACGCCAATGCGGAGGCTAGAATCACACATGGCCAGTATAAGTATTTTTGTGTAGACACACACCAAGTATTGACATATTTCAACAATTGTACTGACAGATATCATGAGACATGTAACCACAGACACTTCCTGGAACAGATGATGCTCTTTTCCCTAATGGCGATCTTCTGAGCTCTGGAGGACTTGTCGGTGCTGGAACTGCTGGGACAGGCACCATCTGCTTGTCTTCGAGACCGGCGGTTTGCTGTGCTGGCGCATAGCCTTCAAGATCGTGGCCGGTACCTGAATTCCAGACAAAGCTTCCTGCATTGACCAAAGGGAGAGAGCAGCCCAAGGCTGCCAGCTGATAACTTCGCTTCATCGTGCTGGTTGTGGGGATGGCAGCACGAAGACCTGATTTCTTTTTTAAAATAAAACAACAATTTAGAAAATGGAAGCAACACCGATAATATTCCTTCCCTTCTTCTCAACCCTTGGGCGTACCTACTGAGTAGGCAAACAAACGTAGAGAAAGGGGATGCGATGGTAAAGAGCCGCACTGACCTCTATATTCTGGGGACAGACTGGTATAAGAGACAAAGAGAGACAGCGAGAGAGGACATGAGGCTCTCAGTCCGGAGATCGGATTCACTTTCCGACCAGACTCCTCCTCCCCTCTTCCGATCAGGTAGATTCTTGGCAATCATGATAGGGCACCATGACTGAGGAATAGTGTGATCCATCCGCAGGCTCGACGGACAAAATATGATGTAGAATATTGAGGCTGCGCCAGAATCTCCAGCCGCTCCTGATTCGACCTCCATCTCCGAATCTCCCAGAAGCTATGTAACTTCAGGGTCGAGCTTGAAGTGGAGTTCCTGACCAGCTGGCAGCTGCCGTCGTGCGGATCTTCCCTGGATGTGTCTTAAAGCTAACCACGAGGTGGCTTGCAGCTCATGGAAGCTGATGTCTCTTTTCAAAATCGCTGGCCTCGAGTGGTCCAGAATACTGGCTGGAACCTGGCAAGCTGCGGCTAGTCTGTTGGAAATATTGAGGGTTAAACTTAATACGTCCTTGTGGCTTGCTAGCGGGACAATTCCGCAGTCAGCCAACGGCTGAGATACGAGCCAAGAAGCACCTGTATGGTCCACTTGGGCTCTGAGGGGAGCAGGCAACAGCATTTTTGTCACTTGTGGAGATGAAGAAGGGAGCGGAGTGCATTTGAGAACTGAATCATGACAGTATAAAAATTTAGGATTATATAGATATCGACAGAGAATCTCCATGGACTCCAGTTCTGCAAGCATCTTGCTTTTCCTAGCTAGGTGAGACGGCTCATTCTTTTTCATATACTCTCCGTCTCTCGGCTCTTTCTCCAGGACCCTGAAGTGCCAGGACATGGGTCTTTTTGAATACTGTCGGTTCTCCAGCTCCAGCCGCAAATCACCAGGGTTGAATCCCACTGTAGCGATAGCGTTGGTACTACTTTGCCAGCTCGCCTTGGCAATATCGAGTGTTTAATATAAGGGTCTCTTTTCAGTGTAGCCAAGGTCTCTTGGCACCACTTGTCGTTCGAGCGGAGTCATTCCAGTTGTCTTTTCCTTTTTCGAAGGAAGAAATAAAGAAAAATTAACCATAATTTACCTTTTTAAACTCTCGGCCGAGTCATTGGCCATCTTTTCAATGTGGGATGCCCTGTGTTGGGAAGGGAGCAAGAAATAAAGGGAAGGGGAAAAGGAGAGAAAAGGAGAAGAAAAGAGGCCTATGAGAGTTTCCCCTAGACCGAGGTAACTCCACATAATTCCGAAATGCCTTTGCCCATCGCGCATCTGCGCAGAGGTTATTTTAACGTGGCACTCGCTATTACAGTGCCGCTCCGCCACCGGGCGGTGAGCCAGGACTGTCTTGCCGGGGCAGTGAGGCTCTGTCGTCTGACCATCAACTTCAACCTGATCTAATGAATGGATAGGGGGAGCTGGAAGACTAGACCGCCGACTTAGGTTAAAGACAGAAACCAGGATGACCAATTGCACCCAGAAAGCGGTCTCGTTCTCGTTTCCGCCGGTGGTCGGAGGCGCTGCCTGGGTGCATAATTGAAAGAGGCATCCATCCCCTGTCAATTGGTAACGCCAATTCAATATCAATCAAGCATATCCTTCTTCTGTCGTGACGATCAATTGAGAGGTCGATTCTTTTGCCTTTCCTTGAAAGGAACGTGTTTTCTTCCACCCGTCTTGTAACTCGCTTGACACAGGACCACCCGACTGGAGAGTGATTGCGACCCCAAGGACCTGTATATGTGATCTTTCGAGTCGTACACAGCCTGTATTGTAATTATTATTTATGAATAAGGTCCATATTCAACAACGTCACGTCACGATGGAAGGAGACAAGAAGACCTCATGTCGGGACCGGCATAACATTGCAAGCCGACCGCTGCCAGCACGACTAATCATCCATCAAGCACCTCCAAACCCCCTCACGAGCCTGATGCAGTATTTGTAATCTTGCATTATGAAGCTTTATTTTGTTCGTCTGAATATATATCTGTGCCTCAATGAAAAATCAAGCACTATTTGGTCCATACCAACATATTATAGTAATTAACAACAATCTTTCGCACTCACTTACCTATTACCCCATAATTATTACCACCACCACTCAAGCCAAGATGCCCCATGCAGTTGTGACAGGGTGCAATTCTGGCATTGGCCATGAATTTGCAAAGGTTCTCATCAAGGCTGTAGGTTGTTCCGACCTCCAAGGAAAGAAAAAAAAAGTTCTCGGGAACTTCACCATTGACCGCGGGAGCAGGGCTATACTGTTCATGCAGTTGATGTAAACGATGGCGAGAAGTTGAAGAGCCTCGGCTGTCAGACGTCCAAGTTAGACGTCACCTCTCCAGAGTCCATTGCCAGCTTCAAGAAGGCTTATGGCGATGGGCCCTTGGATATCCTCTTGAATGTCGCGGGTAAGCCGGTGCCCTTCTCCATCACCACACTTGTCTCCTCGCACCTGGTTGCAAACGCAGCAAAGCTGATCAATACTCTTCCCCCTCCCCAGGAGTGTTTGACGCTGCCCACGATTCTCTTGCAACTCTCAACCTTGCCTCCTTGCAACAAGTCTACAATGTGAATACTTTTGGGCCCCTTCTTCTCACGCAAGCGCTGCTGCCCAACATTCTCGCCTCCTCCAGCCCCCGTCTGGGCTTCGTCTCCAGCCGCGTGGGATCCATAGCGGACAACAGCTCTGGTGGGAGCTATGCCTACCGGTCGAGCAAGACAGCGCTCAACATGCTATGCAAGAACCTGTCGTTAGATCTGAAAGACAAGGGCGTTGTTGTCTCCATCCTGCACCCCGGAATCGTGCGGACTAACATTGGTGGTGGGGGCTTGGCTGGAGATCCCGAGGCCATCGAGCCGGATGAGGCTGCTGAGAAGCTGTTCAAGGTAATGATGGAAAAGAGCATCGAGGACACGGGTAAGTTCTGGCACCGAGAAGGGATGGAATTACCGTGGTAGTCCGTCCGGCGGCCTCATGCTGTACATAAGACATTGTCTTCTTTTTCTTCAAACAATCAAGTGCAAGCCTCATGTAGATACTTTTATCTTGGAGAACATTGCCAATTGTGAACGGGTCTGAATGTGTGTACTTACTCGACTCACATGGGTACTGGTGTCCTGAGGGATGTCTCTGCGGGCGTTCCTGATCATGGCATAACCTGCGGTCCATGCGGCGACCGCACCGGTGTTGGTGATGATGGGGGCGGCCCTGCTGGTGTGCCAGTCTTGGGTCGGACAGACCTCCTGGATGGGTCACTATGGGCCTCAGGCGAGGGGCCCCAACTAGACGACGGGGGCTGCGGTGTGGGCGGATGCAGGTCCAGAAAGCTTCCTGCCTCGGCGATCTCGTCCGTGGAATGTTTCACAAACTCTGATGGTTCGATGCAACGGCCCATGGTATTGAAGATGTGTGGCCACGTTGCTGTGCTTATATTGGCATATATCGTGTATCCCCTGGCCCGATAGAAATCGACAAGAGTTGTCGCTACTCTCAAGGTCAGCTCATCCTCAGTCTCGCCGGTTGGTCCCGTTTCTCGCCAGCCTGCCGAGATTTCCGGATCTGGAATGAATCCGGGCTCTAGAATGATGGTGAGCGGCCCGTCGATGGTATACCACGCGGGCAAGATCCCGCCCATGAGCAGCCGGTAATACATGTCCAGGGCCTGAGTTGCATACCCGTTACCTTTGTACGATACGTTGGGATCGACTTGACTGTATGGCCGAATATAAAACGTACAGATATAAAGCAGGTCAGTGCCCTTGTCATCGTTTGAAAGGCCGTCGCGGTGTTCTTGCTTGACCACCCTGCCACGAACCTTACCATCGGCGTGATAGATCGAGCGCAAGGCGTTTGCTATAGTTAGATTTCCGTTTGGATACTTTGTCTCGCTTGGTTTGTCCTTGAGCCATTCTTCGACCCAAATCTTGTCGTCAATGTTTGGCTGGTGACATGTTGGCTTCGAGATCCGCCACCCGGAGATGACACCCATCTTGTTGCGCTCGAAATCGTCCTCGCCATAGCCTGGCCTGCGCAGGGAAATATAGCCTTGGTATCCAAGGCAGCTTCGGAAATAGGGGTATACCGAGTGGACCTGCACCATGACCCGTAATGAAGCCTTGTCTTGACCGTTGTACATGCATTCCTCAGTGGCGGTGACCATGGCGAGGATCCTGGGCGGGTGATCCCCTGGAGGAGTCCTCGGAGGAGGAGTTGAGGGTCCGGCTGGCGGAGGTTTCGTACGTGGCATCAAATGCATCGGCTTTCCTCTTGGCTTCCTCTCCAACTTGCCCTTGGGCTTGCCCTGCGGCTTCGACACTGCTGTATCATTCCGGGCTTCTGGCCTGCCCTCTGAACTGCTCTCCAAAAGAGCGTTGTCTAGTAGCAGATCTGCTGCAGGTACTGGAGCTGATACAATGTTAGCTAGGAGACATACTTCCTTCAAGCAAATACATTGCTCCTACGGGACACACTCTAGATTACAAACTTACCAGGAGAATCACGAATCAACAGTGCTGCTGCTGCGTTGGCGGCCCTAGCTACTGCTGCCGCCGCCGCTCTCTGCGTCTCGCGTCTTGCTCTTACGCGGGCGTTCGACGGCCTGAGAAGAGCGTCGGGATTCTCGACAAAGTTGCTCGGGAGGTTACCATTCCTTGTCCTGTTGGACCTCCTAGCTGTGTTACGTGTTATCGGCATCTTTATGCGGTCAAAGGTCTTGAAAATCCTGTGTAAACCAGTTATTATTATAGTGTGGATGATCGCTTCCGTGAACCGTCTATCATGTGAGATAGACCACTCTATTTAAATTGTGAGATATCCAGAGTATTAATAATTATTACGATATTGGTAATCCAGCAGCCAGAACATTTTCTGGGTGTCATGTGTTGTACTACTTTTAGTACTCGCAAAGGGCGGAATGATTCAAAGAAAATGAGTTCTAAAGGACCTTTCAAACAATGAATGAATTGAATACGTTAAATATTCATAGAGAGCCTCTTTGTTCCATGCTTGGGTACAAGCCCTTTTGAAAATTTTTAGATACATATTGCTTTGAGCAACTTGATAGAATAGCACAATGGATTGTGTTGGACATGTTAGCAAAATAACTGACACAATAAGAGTCTGTCTAGACAAAGGAAGAATGAGCTGACTAGGAGCTTTAAAAGCCAAATTGATTGATGTACTTCTGAGGGGAATTACGCAGGAGCGCGGATGAACACCTGTTGACGTCTTATGGACTGGTATAATGTACCTGGAAATGCATTTCGTCGGATGATATATCATTGGAATCGACCTTGTAGGTCGTGATTAGAAGTTCATCAACCGTGAGTATGTAGCATGACTCTGTATTCTGCTGGGCCAATATTGGATGATGATTAAACTGTAGACACTCACCCCCCAGATAATCATTGCCTTTTGATTCTCTGAATGTGGGAATGCTTCCTAGCTCTTTATATCCACAGGCCATCCTTTAAATCAATGGTCACTGATTACAACAGAGGTGATTGCCTCGAATGGCTGCTTTACATAATCTTACACAGCTGCCGGAATGCACCCCCGGCGCCTGTGACCTTGTGTCTCAACCCCCCCCCCCCCGGGCACTGAGGGGCCAGGAATGAGGCGCTGAGGAAGGTACCTGAAGACTTGAAGATATGTATGCTGACCTCATTGTACCATCCAGTACCACGGTGCGACTGGTTTGAGCCTCGCTCCCAACGAGGTGGGTCATCTGTGCAACCCTCCTGCGGGGAGCTGCAGCATGGGCCGAGCCATTCCCGGGGCTGTACGTTGGCGGGAAGCCTGGGAGTTCTCTCTGTGCCCCCCCCCTCCCCGGTGTGTGTGTGTGTGTGTGTGTGTGTCCGTGTGCCCTTTTGAGCTGGATCATCTTACATGTCACTGGAACGTGTGATGGGTATTTCCGTCATCTCCATTGGGATCCTGCATGGGGAAATGTTGCGTCGAAGGCAAATGTGAAGTGCATACACGGGTCCGCCCGCGGCCGTGTCCCCAAAGATTGTAGACGAAACAAATTTTGTCGCTGCATGGTGTTCCTCCATTTTTCTTTCTTTGTTATCTCTTCCGTTCTCTTCTCCCCTTCTCATTCGGAGCTGGCCGCTCTATCGTCTTGTAATGATCATGAATGCTGTATAATGACGCAGATGTAGTCATCATCGGGCCATTACCGGGGGGTAAAATTCGCCTCCAGGGCGAACCGGCGACGAGACCCCTCGATGAGCGTCTGGGATGCCGGTACTCTCCTGCAGCAAACCTCGTCCTGTCGGGCAGCACGCGCTTCTACAAGACGCAAAGCCACGCTGACGAGTCCATGTCGCCACAACAGCCTTGCGAATCCGACGGCTAGCCCGCTGATGGTGTGCACTCCTTTTTCGTGCTTGGAAGAAAGAGAAGAAAACATGAAAATTAATTGGAAAAGTGACTGGTTCAGCCACTCGGCGGTCTTTGCATTTTCTGTCGAGAGGTATTTATGACATGTCGTTTTCACCAAGGTTGCGCGATGATGCCTGTCTCGATCCAGGAGCGGCCGCTTAATCCCCTAGATCGAATTTTCGCGTGCAAGTCCCGCTCTAGACTCAAGGGTCCTGTCATTACTGCGGGTCAGCCTTGTCTTTCCTCTGCAGCGCTTGCAGCGCGCAGCTCTATAGCGATACGGTGGGGGAGGGAGAGGGGGAGAGGAGGTAAGGGTTCACCATCGGGAACGCCGAGCTGCGGCAGAGGCCTGCAGCGGAAGAATTTACATCACCTTCCGGGCCTGGTTGGAGAGAGCTGGACCAGATACTTTGGTTCACAGCGCAGGAGGCTTCACGGCCTCGGTCATACAACACCGTTTACCATGAAACTCTCAAAGTGAGGCGTACTGTAAACACAGGGCGGTTGCGTGTGTCGATCCCGCCGATCCCTTTGTGACAGCGGCCCGTGTCAAGCGAGAAACACAACCGAGATTGATGGGGATTAAACAAAAGTCGGGGCGTGAGCAACGTCTTTGTACCGACCGTACTGTTACTACTGTATTCGTAGGAATGCCGGCGAGACACAGTTTTCCTTGTGTGCCACGGGGCAACCACCCTTATTTGCACACGCGCCGGCGGATAGTTCGGTTCCAGCTGTGGGAAGCTTTAGTCTTCCAAGGCATAGTTTATACAGCTGCATAATATCGGCAGAGATGGCTGGCAGATAGAGTTTAACCCCCGTCGAGCCAGTTCAGAGCAGAGCCTCAGGCAAGACCGACAAGTGTCGAGAACTGAAGTGATTTATCACAAGACTAGAGGCGGAGATCGGTCGCGAAAAGGCACTGCTGTTGAATACCTGTCCCTTTCCCTCCCCTTTTCGGGTCTTTTGGCACCCACTGCACTGCTGTGGCTTTCATGTGACCAATATTGTCCTGGCTACTTCTGGGAGTGCCCATCTTCGAGGCATCGGACGATGTCCATGCGAAATATCGGTGATGTTGATGCTTCAAACTTCGGCAGCTCGCCACTTCATGCAGCGGCTGAGATAGACAACGACTCGCATCTCGTGAGGCTAGTCAGTGATCTTGGGACTGGTGTGGCGGCGCTGCAGCTCTAGATGTCAGGAGATGAAGCTGGAATGCACCAGAGACCCCGACCTCCCCCCCTCTCTCTTCTCATCCGGGATGTCCAATTAGAACTTGATTTTTCCCCCCCTTCTTCTTCTCTTTTCCTTCAAAAGCACAAGCATCTCGCCAGGCTAGGGAGAGGTCCGTCACCCGTAGCCCCCGAGGCCGTATGAATAGAACTGCCCGTAAAAAGAGTGTGTCTTGAACAACTTGCCACAAGAGGATGGCGTTGCGACTACAGGGCGAGCGGCCGGCTACTGCTGCCGCATAGCTTGTGGCATGATTCTCTGGTAGTTGAGTCGACAACAAGCCGTTCCTGTGGATGGGAAGAGAAGTACCAACATGACATTACCACGAGACCGCACTGCCCGTCGGAGAATGACCTCGGGGTTCGCTCAACAGCACTGGCCTCCCCACAACAGCAGCAAGCGTGGAGAGCTTTTAGGGATGGCGGCACATCTGTGGGTCGTACAAATCCGTCCCCCCACTGAAGAGACATCTGAATATGCAGCCACGGAAAAGGCTGGCTGCAGGAAGTCGCGGTAGCCTCCCTTCTCGCCCAGTCAAACTCAATCGTGCCGCCTCAGCAGGAGTAGCGGTCACGGGGACGGCGGAAGAGTACTGTACTGGTGTAGTCGTAGGTCCTGCAATCGCCAGACGAGACGAGGTATGAGACAAGCCTTCCTGCATGGTTCTCAGCTTTGGTCTCCATGTCGATGGTCACAGTCCACTCGAGTGGGATCTCTTTGTTTTTGTGCGTGTGTGTGTGTGTGTGTGTGTGTGTGTGTGTGTGTATTCACAGGCCAGAAATTAGGCAGATCAGAAGTAGATTCCCCCCTCCCCCAAGGCAAAGTCTGTCACAGTTTGGAAGGCCAGCATTAGCGGTCGGAGATGCGGACCGTGTCGAGGATAGAAAGCAGTGTCTGGGTTCAAAACAGATACAAAAGCCGTCAACCAAATTGCTTGTAGAACGGGCCAACAGATGTTTAGATGCGCCGTGAAGACCAACCATATCCTGCTATCGCAGCAGTATCAATCTTGATCCCCCGTGGTCGACATCTCTTGCTGGATTCACGTGAACTTGGTCTTGGTTGGAACCATGGCTGCCGCGTAGCTTCATGGATTTCTGGCGGGACGGGTTCCTGCCCAATTTGGCGCACCTTGCATGTCTGAAATGGATGGAATAAGGCATGCATTGATGCCGTAGGGGAAGGTAGTGCACAGCACCTATGAAGTCACGGTGGGATGATGATGCAGTCCAAAGCGAGCGTGACTCGCAGAAGGTGCTTGTCTACCTCGACTCCGTGTTCAGCAGGCAAGTACGGTGCTACACTCCAGACGTCAGTCGGTACAAGCTACCTAGTACTTACTCGATAGAGGCGGTGTTTTCGGGGGGTGGGGGGTGGGGGGGAAGGGTTGAACTTTATGGGGTCGGGAGGGCCTGAAGGGAAGGGACTACTATAGTAACAGGGGCAGCGCTGAAGCCGGGGCTACGCAATTGGCTCGTTCATCCCGCTTAGCAGGGGTCTTCCCAAGTGGCACTTTTGCTTCTGTATTTTATTACAGTACAGTGGCTTTAGTTCAGCTCGTGGAGTTTTTAGTTAAGTTGAGATGTCACCTTCCCACTCGACAGTGCAACTTGGTATTTTCATCATCCCCCTCTCTTGCAATGCAGGAGAAGTCTGCATCTCGGCTCGCTCTTTCGTCTCGTGTTCGTTCATGTTGATCTTCTTCTTGTTTTCCTTGCTCAGCTGCAAGGTCTAGATCACCAGAGCCCCCCCTCTTATATCGATTGCACAACGGGTGGGTTCTGGCCACGGCAGGTTTTCCCGGAGGCAACCCGTCATCAAGAAAGTCGCAAGCAATGCCCATCTTTGCTACCATGGCCGATCCTGTTCTTGCTCATGCTTTTCCCGCTCTTTCATCAGAAGCCCAGTCGCATCTGTTGTTCCTGCTCCCAAGATGAGACCAGCTAAAGATGCTACGTTAATGATCTTGTGAGGTTGACAGCAGGGTCGCAAGTCTCGGCGGGATACCTTCGATATTCTTTTGTATTTCTGAGGCTGCCATTTCGTGCGGACGTCCCTCAATGGATGGATGCATGCATGCTGCAGTGTACCCATGCCACTGGCCTCGCAGGGTCTCGCCTCTCTATACTTTTTTTTTTCTTTTTTTCGCGCTTCGGCCGATCGATCTGACAAGCGCTGAGGAAGGGAGCTCGTGGAGCTGCCGCGACCCCTGTTTTTTCCTTTTCTTTTTTCTTTCTTTCTCCCTTCTTTCTCCCCTTTCCCGCCCACAGGGGACCAAGGGAACGTATGAGCACGGCTGGCAGCACTGTCTATTCGTTCCTGTGGCTTCCTCTCGGTTATCTGGCTTCAGCAAGTTCCCGATGACCCTGCGCCTGCAGGGCGGACGACTTGGACACTCCCTAGTCTGCTTTGTCGTTGGGGATACCTTCGGTGACATCGGACGAGCAGCCCTCCTTTCGTGTGGACATCTCTTGTTAGCCCGTCTTTCTTTTTGGCCCTTGCAGGCGCGTGCTGCATCTCATCATCCGGCCCCGTCGTCTATGACACTTTTGGAGTTGCGCCATGCAGGGCAAGGACGCAGAAACGCTGCCGACATCCTTCGCGGCGCCTGGCCCTTGATCGGCCATGCGCTGCTGGTGACCTCCCGGCGGGGGGAGGGGGGGGGGCAAGGCGAGGTTCACAGTGACATGTATTGTGTATGTACGTTGTTGTATACCCTGTTCGACCCGCATATGGCCTGGAAGGTGACCCTTCATGCATCCTCGTCTGCCTCACTTCTCACATTTCCGGAGCACGATACTACCCCAACCCATCCACACGCATATGAGGCATGGAAATATAAAACAACCACAAGTCCGTTTTCACCTGCTGTTCTCGCCCAGAAATCTTGCACACGCCCAGAATTGTTCTATATTCCCATACTCTACAATAAAAACAATAATTTCAACCAAGACCGTTTCCCTTTTCTTATGCTAGATCCAGCTGCATTCTCTCTTAAAATTATTCTAGCTTCTTCACTTTGCCACACACCTCAGACGGCTGTAGCAGTCAATCGAGCGCACACATAACGGCCCAAATTTGCTGCGCGTGTTGTCGTGTTATTAGACACCTCGCTGCTCCCCGCGCTCGTTCTCAGGGACCAATATTTACGACTCATGACACTGGGGATCGTCGGCCGAATGACTTCACGATTGATGGATCTGAGAATAAGTGCAGGACGACAGGTATAGACAGGTACGATGCAGCTCTCGGCTCCCTTCCATCCAGCCTGGCCCACCCAAGGTTTTATTGGTAGAAAACAAGCTGAAAGTATGGCTACTGCAGACACCGGACGAATCTCAATACTCCGACCCATCAACCCACATTCGCGAAACCTTACGCACTTGAAAACTTGTGTGTTCAAGCAACACCGGTGCCCAGTCTAGGGACATTGCAGCCGAGACCGCTGCTCGTGTATCGACGATACTTGACTCTTTTCTTCATCTTTTTGGTTCCCTCGCTTTCAGAAACATGGCGTTTTCGAACCCATTGGGGATTGGGTCATCATTTCAGCAGCCACAGGTAATTAACATATTGACTGCTCCCTCTCTCCATCCTCGACAAGCCCCAGCTTTTTGCGTCACCTCTGGCCCTAGCCATATGGCTTTTTTCTTCCTTGCTTCTTTTTTATGTATCCCCCCTCCCCCCCAAAAAAAAAATCTGCGTAAAGTGTAGCTTGTACAAGGGCATGCTGACATTTCTGAGAAAGCACCAGCCTTTTGTCGAGGCTCAATTCGACATCTTCGAATGGCATGCGCAGTTTCAATCATGCGTGCGATATTTTCTGGACCATGCACAGCACACGGGTCCAGTGCAGGCCGTGGCAGCGTTCGTCAATATCCAGCTTCCCTTCCAAAAAGCGCACCCAGTCTATTCGTACGTCGCAGGATATTCGCCACCAGCACACCACAACCCTCGTACAGGACCACAGCCGCCAGGGTTTCCAAGCATGTCAGGGCCTGGACCGGCATCCTTGAACTCTTCCGGCAAGGTGCCTATGCCTCTGTCGCCAGGCCAGCATCACCAGGTACCTTACGTCACACTTACGCCCTACATAAGGCGACTGGTGGCAACCGGATTCGACGTGCCTAGTATCCTGCACGGCTTCTTTGGAGACGACTGGGCGGCGGGTATAGGATCCTTGCACGAGGCAGAGCGGCGCAACTATCTTTTTGCCGCTAAGAGCGACAACTGGCTCAAGGTAAAAGCTGACTACGATATGGACGGAGACCAGATGGTCCCGTTCCTCAAGCCGCTGCAGAACGTCAGCGAGAATGAAATCCTCAGCGCAGAGACGAGCTGGAGCGAATGGCTCGCCATGCAGGACTGGATGTTGGGACCTCGGGCACCGATAGATGCCGAGAGAGGAGGAGCTGCCGCCCAACAGAGACGACCTGGTCAGACACCAGGTGTGAGGGTCAAGCGCGAGGCACAGTAGGGCATCACAGGGACGTGGAACTCATTACGGCCGGAGGAAAGAGGCTGACTCCGAATTCTACCCCCAAAAAGGGCCTTCCGAAGAGAAAAGCCGCCGCCGCCATCGACCGCACGAGCTCGAGGTCCCAGCGTGCCGAGGAGCCACAAGAAACGAAAGCAGTAGGACGCCTCCGACACACTCATGGAGAGTTCACCGCCGCGGTTCGAGACGGGAGGACGAAAAACAGAGGCATAGAACGGCCAGCCAGCAGCTCGCTTCTGCAGAAACTTATGATTGATGATATATGGGAGATCATTACTGGTACAAGTTGTTTTACGTGCAAGGAGGGAGGGTATCAGGCAGGCAAGCAGGAAGGGCTTCTATGCTCCCGCACCACCATGATCGTAACGTAGGACCGACAGCACTACGTTTGACGATTAAACGTTTCTAGAACACACGAGGCAGACTCAAGCCGAGCGTGCGGTCGTCCTGCGACTTACACTGAGAAGTATCCATAGATCTTATTGAACACTACAGTATCCTTACACATACAGCCCCCCTGATTCGCTTTGCCAACATCATTGCCAAATACAACCTCACCTTGACAGCCTCATCGCCGCCTCCCTTCCGATGCCGAACAGAGCAGCAATAGATGGTCTCTTTCGACGTGGCTTGAAGAACAAAGACGGTCTAGCAGGGACAGCCTTGGAAGGCAGTGATGAAATCCACGACGCCACAAGTGGCACAGCATTGTGGTTTATAACGCGCCGCGGCCCTTCTTCTTTACCAGCATCCCGTCCCCAGGCAGGATCAGGACATTGCATCTTGCATAAGTGGCCGCCGACGAGGCGGAAGAAGAAAAGAAACATGACGCCACCCTCCCAAATAAGAGGGCGAATCTCTTGGACCGAAAGTCTTCGGAATAGCGGAGCGCACCGTCACGGACCATCATGCATCTCGACGACGCCACATCGACTCTCCAAGCTCCCGGGGTTTATCTATGTGCCCATAAAGTGCTAAAGCCTCACTTTCCTCACTCTCGCTATGGCATGTGTTATGTATGTATGTCTCATCGTCGGGTTTTCCGCCCCCATTCAGAACTCCCCAGGGGAAATAGGGTCGGATCTGCAATGCGGATGGCGTAAAGCAACAAACCCGCCGCAGAAGGGGGGAGGGGGTTCAAGCCGGCGCGCCAGGTCGATGTTCGAGATTTCAGAACCGACAGGCTTTTTGGTTTCGTGAGAAGGGGGCCAAGGTTTTCATGGTGACTGAGGGTTGTCTTTCTTTCCTTTCCTTTCTCTTTCTCTTTCTCTTTTCTTCGTGGCCAAGGTGTGAACGGCTTCCTCCTATCGGGCCGGACATCCTGCTCTCCCAGAGCAGGGCGACAAACAGGAAGGATGTTGCAAGAGAATGGGTTCTGCGCCACAACGCTCCGTCTTTGCTCTTGGTCTCATCGGGTGCGTGCTCCGACCGGGTTGGTGCTCCTCCAGGGAGATTATTCTCCGGGGGCGGGGGTGTTTTGTGTTCTTTGGGAGAAGTTGACCGCGCCGAGATCAGAAAGCCGGGGACCGGAGCCGAGTAATGCTACTACTATACTCGGATGTACCCCCCTTTTGACATGATCACCTCTAGTGGTTCAGGCACGGCTGGGACGAGAGGGATACCCTGCGTCAAGTGGCGATACAAAAGCCCTGGAATTCTAGATCCGTTGTGATTCGGGGAAAAAAGGATTTGTCTTGGTCAACGACAGGCATAAATAAGCCCTAGACAACGTAGTATACACTTCCTCGCATGGGGTATTGCTGGATGATGTAGGTATCATCGACAGTGCATATTCGAACCAACGTTGCAATTGAGGTCATGATCTTCATAGCGAACGTTGTATAGATGGTCGACGATAGGGGGGGAAAAAAAAAGTAATCTTGATCCTTTCCCTCTTGATCTTGGACATTTCGATATTTAAAAAAAAAAAAGAAAGGGAAAATGGCAGCAAAACATGCAACACCGGGTATTCGCTAATGGTCACCCACTTAACTACTAATCCGGCGGTTAGTGGCTTATTTAGGGGAGAGTAGACGGGATCCCAAGTTTTCCACTACCTATGGTCGCATGTGGTAGTTACCGAGACATTAGACACTATATAGCGTATCTTATTCATTTTATACCGCTCTCTGCAGTGCTCAGAACAAGAAAAGACTGTAACTCTTGTCAATGTTGAAAATCTAGAACCCCAGATTTTTGGGAATAGTGATATGAAAAAATCTCATCCTCGTGTGTCTTATCACGTTTGTGATATTTCATCATCAGACACATCATTGCTGCTGACTGTGTCAGTACCTTGAAGGGTGAAGGGCTCGTTCATAGTGTCATGATACTGTGCTCAGGCGGACGAGCCCCCCACAAGACCCCACTGAATCTGTCCCACAGTACGTAGTAGCAGTACCTATTACTATACGTACATATGCGTCTCGGTTCGTGCCGAGTGACAGCCTTGCGGCAGGCACAGTGGTTCGTCCCGCTTCCACTCTAGCTCTGTCGAGCTTCCAGGGCACATGTCATTGTGTACCTTGCCTTTGCCATCTCGACTTTAAACAATTGCAATGTCCTTTGACATTTTCCCGCACCACGCAAAACAATACTTTTACAACCGAAGAGAGTCTCACACCTTTTTTTTTCTTCTTACTTCATTAGTGATCACAACTTGCACTGTGACACAGACTGATCCCACCTGCCGATCCAAGGTTATTTGCAGTGGACACATAGTATTCGAGAAATCACCGTCGCAAACAACAGCCGCCAGCCTGCATCTGTCCGCCTTGCTCAGCGCAGCACTGAACCCCTCACCGCCTGATGAGGCCCTCACATCCCACACTTACCGAGACAAGCTACAACTGAAGGCGCTCTCGCGATAATCGCCTCCCTCAAGATGGGCGATCCCGCTGGGGACGACGGGGCCCTAGATCGCTCCCTCCTCACGCCCCAGCAACGCGCTGAGGAGGCCTACGGCCAGTGGGACAAGTTTCTGACATACGCCCTCAAGGTCCGTCTCGACCCAGACCGCTTCGCCGAGTTCGTACCCCTGCACGCAAACCGCCACCCGCTCGGCCCTCTCCCCGTCGCCGACTTATTCCTGCGCCCCAATACGTGGAACAAGAACGCCCTGGACCCGCGCGTGCCGTTCTACCTGCAGACCCTGCTAGAGCTGCGCTTGGTCGATCTACAGGCAGTGCTGGCCGGGCTACTACGATACAGCTCAGCGCATGCCATCGTGGATGCTGCGAAGGATGGAGAGGGACAGCAACAGGAGGAGCAGGAAAACAACGAGGACGATGACGACGACCACAAGAAGGCAGTGGCGGGACAGAAGGGCGTGAAGCGTTCATCTGATGCCGCCGGACAAGACAACAGCAAGGGGAAGGGCAATACGGTGACGCGCTGGCAGAGCAGCTTCACGTCCGACGAGGTCATCTTCTACCGCCTGCGTCAGGCTGTGGGAACTGGCTCCGCGATACGGAATGGGAAGGATGCGATAGAGGTGTCGCTCATGATGGCAAGGTGGATGATGCTCTTCACATCTGCAAGCGCAGCGCTGCCCGTTGAGCCGGACGATGTCATGATGGATGGGATCACCAGTGCATACTCTGCACCTAAGAAGGCTAGAGATCAACTGGAGAACGCAAGGGCAGGTTTCGTGATGCTACTGCTGAGCATAGTTGAGAATCCAATCGTATTGCAGGCTTTGAGTAAGCCCGTTGCGAGAGGTGAGTTGCACTACAAAGAAACGTTCCTCCTCCTCCTCCCTTGGGATGCCGCTGACATGGGGGGAAAAAAGGCGTTCGCAAGGCCTTGTCGAAGAGTCTGGCGAATTTCGTCCCGTCTATCATCCCGGGTTCCGCCCAAGAGTCCCAAGGCGCTGCTCAGATCGCATCGAGACTGGAAATGTTCCGGACAGAGACCTTGGCTGGGTTCGAGCCGGTTGACAAGAAGAAGGAGGCTGCCAACGCGGAGATAGACGAGCTTTTCGATGAGACTGTTGGCCTGCAGAGCATTGTGCTGCAACCATTGGACATTCTTCGATCTCGCGCCGGCTTATACATTTATCTCAACGCGGCTGTGAGTGGCAACAGGGACAATAAATGTCGCTATGGAAACATACTAATGATCTACAGTTGATTGGACGACCACTACTGGACGACGCGTCTCTATACAGCTATCTGCACAACAGGTTCGAGGGAGACATACAATTGACCACGATCGACCTCATACTAGCATCCTTTGACGTCCTCGCGAACGCCATCTTTCGCAACGAAGGCCAGCGATCAGCACACCTCCTCCGCTCGTATCTGATCAATAAAGTTCCGCTCATCCTGGCCTCCTTCGCAGCGACGGCGAGCCCCATGTATCCGTTCAACTCCGAGCTGTGTATTACGAATGCGCTTAGCCAAGTGGACACGAACACGTTCCCGACGCTTTCGTCGCTGTTTGAGAACGGCGAGAATAATCCCTTTACCGAGTCTGTACGGTCCGACTTCGTTACTGCCTGCTGTCTGCATGGCCTGGTGCCCGAGTCCAGCATAGACAAGCTGCTTGGGGACTATGCTTACCAGACGCTGCCGGCGGGTGGCCGTTATGTCAAGGACAAACTGGTCCAGGAGTGCACAGCAGACCATGACCGCATGTTGCGGCTCATAACGGAGTTGGATAAAATGGAGGGCAATGCCGGAGCTGTCTGTCAGGCCCTGACCGAGGTGAGAGCGGTACAACATCCTCAGTTTTGTAAGGCCATCTGCTGACTTGGGGTGCTATTGAAGATGCTTGGTCGGCTTTGTGCCAACAAGGAGACGATGACATTAAAGCAGTTATGCAGCCAATTGGCCCGCAACCCTCTCAATCTCGATGTGCTTCTTCTTTTCGACAAGCCCCACACCATCCTTACGCCTCTGTGCGAGCTACTGGATAATTGGGGTTACGAGGATGATCAAGGGGAGTATCAACCTGTCTATGAAGAGTTTGGGTCCGTCCTCCTACTGCTTCTGGCATTCGTCTACCGCTACAACCTGTCAGCCTCAGATCTGGCGCTTAGGTCTCCAGACTCATTCATCGCGAAGCTCCTGGGCAAGGGCCAACTCAGCCGCTCGCTGGATGGGTTGAGCGAGCCAGAGAAGAGCAATTTGAATGGGTGGATCCATGGCCTCTTTGACACCGATGGGGGTGGTCTAGCGGATGACTTGCTCTCATCGTGTCCTCCACAGAATCTCTACCTCCTCATTCCTACGTTGTTCCACAATATTGTTCTGGCGTTCAGCACTGGGTATCTTTCCGAGGAGAGCCTTAAGACGGGTATTGAATGTGAGTCTTTTGACGGTCTGGCCGTATGTCTTCACGTATTGACCAGGTTGCAGACCTCGTGGAACCCTTCTTGCTGCCCTCATTAGTGACAGCCATCATTTACCTCGCAAATTGTCTATGGACCGACCGACCAGAGGAGAACAAGGCCATCATCAAGATCCTGCAGCTCATTCTCAGACCGACCCAGAAGTTGACCCAGGAATCAAGCGACATGCTCAACTCTGTCAGGAACATCGTGGCCAAGCCTCTAGAGAACGGGCTGAGAAATTACCAGCGCCAGAACCCAAAGAGTCAAGATGTTGAGCCTCTTCTCCAGGTCCTCAAAGACAACATTGAGCTGTCTCGGAGGGCAGGCGCTGCGCCTGTCCAGGAGGTTGAGACGTGGTCCAGCAGCAGTGGTGGTCTGGTCGCAAATATCAAGCATACGACCCACGCACTCACCGTTTGGAGCCTTCAACAGTCTGTGATCCCAACAGCTTACTCACATCGACAGATTCTTGTCGGTCTGAAGCTTGTAGGCGCAAAGCGGGTTCTCCGCGCCATTCTTGAGGAACTGAAGGCGCAAACCGAGGCAGGCAATAGCAGCATTTCTTACGGTTACGACGTCGCGGCCGCTCTTGTATGCGCACCGGATGTGACAAACGCGATCGACAGCAACCCCTCACCATCTTTCTTAGACGATGCGGCCGCCCCAGCGAACTCTGTGCCTGCGCAGCGACATCTCTCTCTACGCGAGGCTCTGAAGTGGGAGGCCGAGGAGTGGAAGAAGATTCAGAAGAAAGACCCCGTCATGGCCGAAATTATTGTGCGCCTCTACCAGAAAGTCGAGAAGCAGATGACACCCACGGCGCTGGCCATGCCGGCCCTCGACACCGCCGCTGCCATCGCTGATGCTCTCGTGGCCGACGACGCAGCTGCAGCAGCTGTCATGGCAGATCCGATGTCCCTGGACTCTGCCGGGGTCGCGGGCCTGCCATTGGATCTCAGTGCCGGCGCCGGGGATCTGGGTCTCGATGCTGGCTCGAATTCGGCGGCAGGGCTAGATCTGGTCGGCGGGGACGATTGGGGCCTTGATGGGCTGGATGGATGGGATGCAAATATGGATCTGACTTAGCCTGTCGGTCTGGATTTCACATGACGGTGCTTTGCCGAGGCTGTCTGGCAGAGCTGCGACAAGATCCAGATGCAGTGCTCAGCCTTTCTTGGGGGCCAGGCGCAAGCCTCCTGCACTTCGGTCCCGTGCTTATCGAAAAGTTAACATTCTGCCAGGCGTTCAGGTATACCTAGTCATCGACACTTAACGAGCGAATTTATGCTTCTTAATCAGGCTCGCAGTGCCGATCAGCGATGCGAGAGCCTCTGCTTTGCCTGCAAGGCTTGGGGGGCGGCGCTTTGGAGTTCGATCGAGTTCGTCTTTTGTACGCATCGGAGAATCATGATATCAACACAAAGGCCCCCGTCGAACTTTATCATAGGACTCGTGATGGTTTCCTTGAAGCGCGCAACTCTGCCGGCGACATTGTGTTGCTTCTGATGAGGCTTCCTGTACCACAGAAATCGACCAGGCTCGCCGGTCAGTCGGTGCACTACCTTGCTGACGAACGCGCCGATAAGTACGCCACTATCATATTCTGCTGAGATGAGAAAGCGGGGAAAACTGAGCGGGTCGCTCAGCAGCCACGCGCGAGGCTCTCGTCAGCACGATTCCCGTGTCTGCCCGTCGGAGTGGCAGGCCGAATAAAGCGTACCAAACATGTTTGAGGCTCCGGATTGAGTAGCCAGAGCTCAAAAGGGTGGACACAGTCTACTTTGTAATAGCATCGCGGATCCCTGCCCGGTTTCGACCATGTGCGTACCCCCCTCAACATGCGCTATTCGACATGTCTAGTGAGAATATACACTCCCATCGTGGTTGCCAGGGTGTCTTGCTGATGTTACCTTGCCATCCCTTGACTTGACAACCATTATCTGGTGTGGTGCCGGTGCCACATGTTTGAGGTAGTGTGTTTGGTGGTTAGGGCTCAGCAATGCTCAATTTGTGTTCTCATGATGCTGGTCTTCCCTCCACATTTTCTTCTAATGTGCCATTTCCTCGAATTTACCGAACCTCTCGCAGTTCTTACTGCTTATCACTCCCTTTTTCGCTCGCCCCTGGAATTTGTAGAATAACCCCCTCGAGGATTAGGACTAAATGCATTCATCACAGAACAATCTTTGACGTTCAAGTCGATAAAAGATGTCAGCTCGTGATCGGGAGACCGACCCGTAGGATAGTGCCAACCGCGCAAAACATCTTTCAAGATTAGCCGCCTTGAGTTGTGCGGTCAACAATGACTTCCACAACATAGAGCCGACTACCCACCTCGGCTGCGTTCTGGAGACTGATAGTGTCAGTCAGATTGTGGGAGTAAAGGAGCTTCGAAAGAGGCCACTGTCCCGAAGCCTTCTTGTTTCTCGATTTATAGTTCACTTCGTGAGGAACGACTTCGTTCTCGGACAGCAGCAACATCAGAACGCAAGGCTGTACGGCCCAGCACAAAAGATGAAAGCAAAAAGGAACAAAAAGGACACAACACCGCAAAGAACTCGGAAGACAATCGTCGGGATCTTGGATGGTGTATCAGTTTCATTTAAACAAATAAATAACAACTCCATATGAGTTTGGTTTTTGGGGGGTTTTTTTTTTTTTTTTTTTTTTTTTTTTTTCGAAAGATGAAAATCACCAAGTCAATTCATCTACAGCCTTCTTCTACTTTCTTCTTTTGCCCCCGCTCCCTATCCACGCAATGAAGAATCCAGACTTGTAGTGGGACTTTTTCGCAGTGTCAGTACACTTGTAGGATACAGAGGATTCCAGACACTTACACCATGACGCTTGCATTTCTTCTTTCGCTCTGGTTTATCGTGTAGCGGCGACGGTGGCAGCGGCGGTGGTGGTGGTGGTCGAGGAGGAGGAGGAGGAGGAGGAGGAGTTGGAATTATAAATGGTGGCAGGGGGCGAGGATCGTGGGGGACCTCCTGTCGACAAACAGCTATGTCAGCAAGAGCAGGTTGGTATCTTGGAGGTCATGACATACCACAGCATATTCTGTTTTCGCCTGGACCTCTGCCTCATCCATCTTTTGGCAGACAGGGCAGCGTATGTCGTCCCTCATTCTCATCGGCCGCCTCGATGCCACCTGCTCATCGGGCACACTGCTGCCCGGCCTCTGGGCACTGATACAGACGAGCTTTTGTCTTCCTCTTCTGTCCTGAACAACTTTGAACCTATCGTCGGGGTGTCTTGCGGCTTTGGCAGCGTCACACTGCACATAAGTGTACACTTCGCACCGGTGGGTGTTTGAGGGGTCCGCCGACCGGTTCAGCTCGGTGTGAGGTGCTGCTGCGGCACTTCCACTCGAGGTATTGCTAACGAGCAGTGAGAGGAGATTGAAATTCCAGGCCTGGCGCCTTGCCGCACTGCCAGCATCGGACTGGGCCTGCGCGGGAGCAGGAGGATGGCACTTGCAGGACACTCGATAATAACGGCAGTTGACATAAACCACCGTTTGAAGAAATTGCAAGCACATGATGATATCTGCTTGGCTGAGTGGGATTCACCCAAACTGTGAAATGAAATCAATAGTCTGTGTTGCACGATGCTGCTCCATATTGATTTCCCCCTCGAGGACTTGGGTCGGTGACAGGCAAGCCTGGTTCACATGTTTATATGCCGAAGCTTCACACTTTCTTCACCCACAAGACAAGCAGCGCAGAGAGATCTAGAGAGGCCGAGAGCCGCATGATTACTACAAGAAGTCGGAAAGAATTCTACCGTGGGTTGCACAAGTCGAAAGACTCAGCCCCCTCACATGCGACCAAATATGCAGCTCATCTGCGGGGTTCACCGACGTTACAAGTGTGCACTTTCGCAGCCTTATGTGCAAATCGGGATCTGCCTTGCAGGAGAATTCCTGTGAGGCTGCGACGCCGTCTCTGTTGTTCGACATAATTAACGCTTTTGAGGAGGGTGCGAGGGTTGGGGGGGGGGGGGGTGGGGAAGCCGTGGCCCTTTTCCTCCCCTCCATCTTCTTTTCTTGGTTCTACCAGCTCGTCAAAACCTTACAAGACAGCAGCATTGCACTGGAATCATCGCGAAAGCGGAAGTCTAACCTGTGAGAGAGGGACCTGGATTGAGACAGAGCCGCGTAATACCTTGAAGCGCCAAAGTTCATATCTATTGAAGGATCAGTGATGATGAAAACAATACGATGGGGAGACTGCGCCAACCTCGAATCACGCGCTGGTAATAGCTAGCGAAACTATCGTGGTGGGTCACACAACATTATCCTGTGGGTGTGTTATACTTCTTAAGAGTATGTATTAAGCGTCACGTCAGCGACATGGCGCCCCAGGGGGGCTCTGTCATAGAAATTTGTTTCGAGTTCCAGGGGACGCTTTGTTGCTCTAGACAAGCTGAATGCGTCGCATGATGACTCTTCCTTCTTATCTTTCTTATTTGATTCTCTTGAAGAATGGAAAGGGAAGTGACATGTCAGTCGGTGAAATGCATAATTTGTGGCTTCTATGGTGTATGATCTAAACAGGTTTGGGCCTGGGCTGAGTGCCAGCCGATTCTCCCATCCGTCCGTGGTGGTCAATATGCAGCTCCTTAAGTGGAGATCAGCTTGCCTTTTTCTTCGTCCTCACACTGAATTACAATACTTCTATCGTTCAGCTACAGATTCTGCCATGTGAATCTCATCGTAGCCTCTGCATGCCAAGAAATGCTCTCCAGTCATGATCAGCTGAGCTCAGTATTCTTCGCCAGGTGATATTTTACCTTTGGCCGTTCGAATTTTAATGGAGACCCTGAATTGTTGTGCTTTATTCTTGTAGTATATACATTATTAGATTTCAAAGATCCTGAGGGTTTTATGATGTGATTAGTACTTGTCAATATTAACATTTGTTCAGCCTCCCAAAGAGACCTCGGGAGGAGGGCGGGCTTCTCTAAGCATGTAAGTCGGAACCAGCAGCTGATTTCTCAGTAAACACTCAAAAGCAACCTTTAATACAGTTACAAGTGATGTTTCATATGAATGTCTAGTAGTAATAACCCCAGAGATATCAAGCATTGACATTCTATTTCCACAGCTTTGGTGAAACAGACATCCCAAACTGGCGGGACGAGATAAAGCAGGACTTAAGTATTATTTGCTAAGAAGTGCTCAAGTGTTGAATCAGAACTCTACGATCGTGTTGACTCGAGGGCTATTTACAATTCAACACTAGCATCTTATGACAACTTATAAAGTCAGACCAATGGTATAAAAGAAGTCAAGAATGAGCCTCGTTGTGAGACTATATGCAGGCAGCAGCGTTCTTCAACATAGAAAATGAATTATGTTGAGTGTGAACACCTGGACATAAAGTAATTACAAGGTTGAAAAGACACAAGATTCATTTCAATCTTCCCAACTCCCAATCGTAAACTGTGAATTGCACATGTTGGTCAGTTCCCAGTCCTCGGCGCCCAACTCCCCCCTCATCCCCTCATCGTCCTTGTCCCCACAGAGCCCGGCCACAAAGATGCTCGACATGAAATGATCATCCGTAGCATGCGCCTCTCTGTACTTGGGATGCTTCATCAGCGCCGTCATCTTTCTCCTCAGCCTCGGCCCGCCGACGCCCCTCGGACTTTCGCCCGACGAAGAATAAGCAGAAGATGATGATGATGATGACCGCAACACCGTCCCGTACGCGGCATCCTCAATCCGGGTGGCGGACGAGTTACCAGCGACGAAAGCGTCCATTACCTCCTGGCGAAAGTCCATGGCCCAGGCCTCGGGCGGCGTGGGCTGGGCAAAGTTGTCCCTGTAGCGCAGCATGGGCGTCCAAACGTTGCGGTACAGGTTGTGCACGGCGCCGCCGCTCCCGATGAAGAGGACCTTGTGGCTGTCCCAGTCACGCAGGGGCCGCAGGGCCGCCCCTACGGCCATGTGGAAGTGCGGGTCGTATCGGTGCTGCGACGAGATGATGGTCGTTGGTGGGCAGCCCTTTGGAAACATGCGGATCAGGACGAGATACGTGTCGTGGATCCAGTCAAATGTCTCGTCGGGCTTGGAGGCGATGCCTGCTGCGGAGAGGTGAGACTGGATGGTGGAGACCATGGCGAGGTCTGGGTTGAGCCTGTACTGCTCGTATTTGGATGGGTGGACAAAGGCGACTGGGTTCTTGCCAGGATGAGGGTTGGCTGAGATGAGGACGCCATCGAAAGTGGTGGCCCAATGTGCACCCTAAGGGATGGTTTAGCAAGGAGTCAAACGATATATTCCAGCCCATTAAGGGACGAAAAGAAATCTCACCATCATAATCACATGTTCCACGCCGTTCCTCACAGCCTGATCACCCATCCTCTCCCAATATCGGGCCGAAGCACTGTCCTCACCCAGCATCATCGTCGAGCCATGAGAGAAGAAGTGGACTGGGGCCATCTTGCCCTTCTGTTTCTTCTTGTTAGCAGCCATGATGATGTCTGTCTGTCTCAGCAGTCGTGCGTCGGCAGTCTCGCAGATTTAGAAAGGAAGTAAAGAACAAAGAACTAAAAAGATGGCTTCCAGCTCTTTGAATGATGATCTCGTGGGGAAAGACTATAATAGTAAAGTTAGGTTTCACGGTCTGATGGCGGTTATCTGGACTTGCGGTTTCGACATGCTCTCTCCCGTGGCGACGGGAGCCACATTCACGACAAGGTCGTTCTACCTTGCGGCCAAAGTGCTCATCCACTGCATGTAACATATAGGTACAATGCATGAGAGGGTAGTACTAGACGGGTGGAGACGCTGCCCCCTCGCCAGCACCAATGCTCAAGGGATACCGATTCCACCCCACCGTCCCGAAGTGTCACAGCAATGTGTGTGTCTCTCCTCCACAGTCACGGAAATAATCCTGGATTCTCCAAATATATACCTTGCACGGCAGCTTACCCCGGGTCTTGGCCATTGCAGTGGGTCTACAGTATGCAAGGAAGGAAGGGAAAGCGTGGGGGGGGGGGGGGGGGATTGCTGCTGTAGCGGGCTCACATACTCAAGTTGCTAACTAAAGAATAGACGTTTCGTCGATTCGTATCATCTAGACCTCATGACATATGCCAGACCTTTTCTGCTCAAGTAATATGTCGAGTAACCCAGCACCGGTAAGATCATCGACAGATAGATGCCCGCCCCAGTCAAAAACCCTACCTCAAAGAACCCTACAGCTTTATTATCTGGCTGTCCTGTTGGGCGCAGTGGCTTGAGCGCCATATCCATCACAGCAGATGTCGTAGTCTTTCCACGTTTCTTCGCACCATCACCAGCACCACCAAAAATCATACCATCTATCTTCTCAAAGAACGGCGGAGGCTTCTCGACAAACTGCGGCCGCAGTGTCGAGAACATGTCCCTGTTGTACCTGTACAAGAAATCAGGTGCATGTGCCGTTGGTGCTGCAGGTCCTACGAGGACATGCGCAGGGATACGGTTGACCAGTGAAATGTGGCAAGGAATGAATTGAGCAAGATACTTGGCTGAAGCAGGCTCAGCGAAGAAGTAACCGCTTAGCAGTGGGTTCCTGTAGTTGATGGTGTCAGCGCACGTGTCCAAACATGTAGCGAACCAATCTTGTGGAGAGAAACACACTCATGATCGTGATTGAAAGCTGCGTCGGTGAGACTGGAGCACGTCGCTATAAGCAGAAATCGGCCAGTAATCTTCATCTTCATGAGTGGTGTATTCCTGCAGACATTTAGCAAGCTGCAGACGTTGTTTAGTCATGAAGGGAGGCGGACTCACTGGTCCAAGACTTCAGATAGCTTGAAGTTGGTCGAGCCGAAACTGGATATCTGCCCCTCAGACTCCGCTATCTCCAGGGCTTTCGTGGTCTCTCCGTTCCGGTCATTGCTGAGCCTGGCCATGCCTCTGACTTGGGCGAAGTAGGACGTCGCACACTGGGAACATGCTTCGAAGAAGTCCTTTCGGATAAATTCGTTGACCAGTACCAGATCCGGCGCATAAGGCGATGAGCCACCGAAGCTGAATCTCGCCGTGGTGATAGCCTTGGCTGCTGCGTTTAGGTCTGCACTCCTGTCGACAACAGCAATACATCGGCTACTGTTCGAAGACAGCAGATGAGATGTGAGGGTCGTTGAAGGTCCGTCGCTCGTCTGGTTGACCAAGATAGCCTCGTTCAGAACGGATTCGTCCGGGATCGATTTGACGATGCAGAACGTGTCGACGTTCAAGGCTTGGGACAGAAGAGCCCGCAGGATATTGTCTGTCTGAAGCAGAGTGTCTGGAAGCTATGCAGGTCGTCAGCACTCTAATGCCTCGCTAGAAAATCGGATCAAAGCTTATAGTTAGTAGCCAGGCTCACCACGACAGCTACGCAGTTTCCAGACGCGATAGCAGGTGCCAAGGCCGTCACAAGCGAATAGAGACGTGTATAGGTCGTCGGAAGTATGACCACGAGTCCAGCTCCGAGTCTTCTCCGCGGGTTGTCCTTCCCATGCACCACACTGTATTCCTTCTCAAGGCTCTTCTCGAAGTCCAGAGTCTCATAGCATTGTCGCACTGCCTCGACAGCCAGACAGTACTCTGCTTCGACTTCAGAGGTCGTGAACTCTGAGTCGGCTTCAAGGGCTGCGCATATCTGCTTGGCCTCCTCCCTGAGAACCTTGTGGAGAGATTGGAGTTGGTCTTGTCGATGTCGTACGTTCTCGGCTCGCCCGTCCACGACGGACATTTGAAGACGCTCGATGGCCGTTGGTGTAGATGCCATAGCGAACGATCTTCCTTTTTCCGGCCCTATAATACTGGTCTTTCTCAAATGTCAAGCAACAGACAAAGTTGCAGTTTCAATGGCGCACAATTGAGGATCACTTCGTAGCCTTGACGTGGAGCCAGCTCATCCATGACTGACGCATCCTCCAAGTACTCCCACGACATTTTCCCCAGTCGTCCATCAGAGCCGACATCGTATCCGATCTTATGTTGTAAAGTTTCGAGTGGTGCTGTGTGACGCAGGCCTCGAGATTGGGGTAGACGGGATGTGGGGGAAAGCTGGTCCAGGGTCGAAGGAAGGGATGGTGTACTGTGCAAAGCCCGCTGCACTGTATATTCTGGAAGCACCTGCCACTGCAGACAAGTTTTAGCATGAAAAGAGGGAGGAAGATCGACCCCAAATGTAGATTAGATGGAAGTGCTGCGGCTGTTATAGGCCCAAATCTGTGTACCGACAACATCGAGACTTTCTTCATCCAAGCCAGCTGCCGCCTTCGAAATATCTACACGAAAGATCAAGACTGTGAGACAGAGATAACACAGAAAGAGCCACAATGTCCGCCACGACAGCAGACAACCCGATCTCGACAGTCCTTGAGCGCGCTGCCGCTTCATCTCACCTGCGAGACTACGACGTCCACCTCAGCACTGACCCTTCAGCAGCGGCGCCACCGCCTAATTCAGATCACCAGCCACGAGCATCACAACAGAGATCTCACTCGAACCCGCCGAACTGGAATGGCGCGCACCGTGGAGTACCGCCTCACAGGCCGGTGAACAGAGATCTTGACTTCAGCCAGCGGCCTTGGAATGGGCAGCTCGTGGGCGATGCCTTTGTCTTTACGATGTTCACAGGCGTATTCACTATCTGGGTGAGTGTCTGCTCAGAGCTCGAACATGTTACAAAAGAAAAACTCACACAATACAGAATCTCAACTGGCTCTGGCGGAACACAGGAGGCAGGTGGAATAATAGACTCTTCAGATATAAGGTTGGCGGGGAAATTTGACAAGAAATTTGATCATATTATTTGGCTTTCTTACGAGGGGAGGGAGGGGTGGCTTCAACATGCGGGACGGGAATACTCTTCCCCTCCTCGCCCTCCTAGAGACAAACGCCATTCTGCATAAGACTAGCAATACACGATTATGATCGCCTGTGTACATTGCAAGACTGAAAGTACTAAATTTACATAGGTACTTCTCAGATATCGGGTCACCTGTCCCCGCCCCCACCTCTCCGAGGCCAGCTACTGCAACTCTCCGCCTCTTTGGGAAGAGGCGTGACGGTTATCCCGGACAGCCTCATGCATATACATTCTTGTATCAGTTTCACGGTCCAAGACGTACCTTTTACCAACATGTCTCTTGCTTTTCTGCAAACCACAAATAAGCCATCGCGAATCAGAGACCATACTCTCTTCCCAAGACAGCCAACATTGTGTCACCTCAAGATCACTCGATAACCATGGCCTCCTCTCAAGATGTCGAGACGCCTGCCATCAAGGATATCTCATCCCGTCACGAGGACAAAGAGAACAATCTTCTCTTCCTAAAGAATGTTTCCATCCCCCTCAAACATTCTTCACTGCCTATCCGTGCCAATGTTTACCTTCCCCTCAACTACACCACCCAGCCCGAGGAGCGATACCCCGTGCTTGTGACATACGGGCCCTACGGAAAGGATATCCCCTACGCGAGCTTCTTCCCGCGCTCCTTTGACGAGCTCAACCCAGAGCACAAATCAAAGTACTCAGCATGGGAGACACCCGACCCCGTCTTCTGGACCAGGCATGGGTATGCCATTGTGCGCGCAGATGAGCGCGGCACGGGCCAGAGCCCAGGCCTGCTGGACACCATGAGCGTTGGGACCAGCGAGTGCTTCTTCGACGTGGTGGAGTGGGCCGCCGTGCAGAACTGGAGCTCCGGCAAGGTGGGCCTGCTGGGCATCTCGTACTATGCTGGCAGCCAGTGGCGGGTTGCCGCGCGGCGGCCCAAGGGGCTGGCGGCCATCATCCCGTGGGAGGGCATGAGTGACTACTACCGGGATCGGTGCCGCCATGGTGGGATCTTGAGCAACCGCTTCATCAGTTTCTGGTGGAACAGACAGGTGCTGGTGAACCAATATGGAAAGGGAGGGCGGTCCACCTTGACCTTCCCGCCTGATGGCCCGGGGGCGAGAGGCCAGGAGGAGACCATCGAGGGGGTCCTTCCTGAGGATGTGCTGCTGAAGAATCGGAGGGACCAGACACAAGACAACGAGACGAACCGGTTCAGGGACGACGAGTATTACTCTAGCAAGGAGTATAAATTGGAAGATATAGAGGTGCCGGTGTTGAGTGTCGCCAATTGGGGCGGCATCCTGCTTCATCTCCGGGGTAATGTACAGGGCTACCTGCGCGCGGGCTCCGAGTTCAAGTACCTGCGGTTCATCACCGGAAGGCATGACCTGCCGTTCTACTACCACGACGAGGTCGAGGTGCAGAAGAGTTTTCTTGACGCGTTCCTGAAGGGAGAAGACCGTGTGGGCTGGAGCATCCCAGGCAAGGTCGCACCAGTGACACTGACGCTGAGGAAAGGCAACGTTGGCTACAACGATGCCGACAAGGAGAAAACATACCCTAAAAGGGAGGAGAAGGCTTGGCCACTGCCGGACACCGAGTATACCAAGTACTACCTCACCCACGAGCAGGCTTTGACGACGAGCAAACCCCCTGGAGAGGAGCTCCAGAAGCTGACGTACAGAGCGCTGGGCACTCTGGACAATCCTGCGCTTGTCCAGTTCACCACAGCGCCGTTCGAGAAGGAGACGGAGATTACAGGACACCCTCTCGCCCACCTGTGCGTGTCAGCCACAGGGCCGCCCGAAACGGATATCGACATATTCGTCACAATCCGGCACCTAGACGCCTCAGGTCAAGAGATATTCTACACCGGCACGGCCGGCGATCCAGTCCCTCTATGCAAAGGTTGGCTGAGAGTGAGCCTCGCCAAGGTCCACAGCGAGCATCCCAATCATAAATCATGGCTGCCGCATCGGGAGTATCTATCAACAGATGTTCAACCTGTGGAGACTAGTCAGACTTATGAGGTTGATGTTGAGATCTGGCCGACAAATGTCATTGTTGATAAGGGAAGTATGTTGGTCTTTGAGGTTTCCAGTGGTGATACGCAGGGCTGTGGTACTTTTCAACACAGTTCAGAAGTTGACAGGTGAGTGCTACCCCCAAATTCCTTTCACATTTCATAGAAATGGCTGGAGCTGACTCATTTGGTAGACCTGAGTCCAAGTTTGGTGGCGATAACCACATCTTGTTTGGGACAGGCTTCGACAATTATTTGACGCTGCCAGTCATTCCGTCCAAGTAGAGAATAGATTGGGAGGGAGTCCGTCTATAGAGAGATGGGCATACTGGGCCAGGTCAGAAATACGAATTTTCTTTGATAAGAAAAAAAGGAAGAAGAAAGAAAGAGAGAGAGATTGCAGAATGCTTCCAGTCAATGATGCTATGAAAGTCAGTCGTGAGGTTGTTAAATGGCATGCTTTTGGGGTCAAGTCTAGCCCAACAGCTAGGTTCAAGCTCCCCTAGGGTAGCCTGGTGGGCCCTTAAGCTTCATCATGAACCAATTGCAGGCTGAGTAGGTTCGGCCCACACCCCTCCCTTTCCCCCCCTGCAGTTGGCCTACTTTGGCTGCAGAAGGCCACATCTTCAATTGACTTGACAGCAACTTTTCTGGGGGTCTCGGATTGAAGCTTTGCCTCCGATACACCACCATCCGCTTCAGAGGTGCAACACAACCTCTCCTTCCTGCTTCTCTCCTTCCCCCCCCTCTTATCTTTCTTGTCTTGTCCTCTCGACTTCCCTCCTTCATTAGCATTATGGCTTTCCTCAAGCTCTCGGCTCTGGCTCTCCTGGCCCTGCGCGTTGCTTCCGTCTTCGCTGTTGACGCCGCTGTAAGTCTCGACACTGCTTCAGCCCCTGGGACCATGTGCGCGCACAAGATCAGTCGCGTAGAGGATCTATGTCAGGCTGTAAATTGATCTTTTTGATACTGACAAGCATCTTCGCAGCCTGAGGACGCGACTGCTCCTGCTGCTGGTTCCCCCGAGCTCAAGATCGACATTGCCACCTCCTTCCCCGACTCGACCTTTGGCGTCAAGCTCGTCAACGGCCGCCCTACGAAGGCGGTCGTCGAGATCGAGAACCACGAGGATGGGCCCATCAACCTTGTCTTCATGGGGGGCATGCTGGCGACCACCCAGCCTCTGCCCGAGGATGCGCCTCCGTCTGCTGGTGTCCTCCGTAACCTGTCTGCCATGAGCTATGATGTCGACATTGGCCCCGGGGAGGCTCGCACCCTGCCCTTCCCCTTTGTGCTGGACATGCAGCCTCAGGATGTTGTTCTCAACCTCCTGGCCGTCATTCGCAACGAGAAGAACCAGATCTTCCAGGTCGAGGCCCACAGTGGTCTGGCCAGCATTGTTGAGGCACCCACCAGCATCTTCGACCCTCAAATGTACGTGCCATGATACCCAGTTCTTAACTTGTTCCGATGGCCTCCAGATGACTGACAGTCTTTTTTTGCGTTCGGTCTCTATAGCATCTTCCTCTACGTGTTCCTGACCGGCGCCTTCGGTGGTACCCTCTACTTCATCTACAAGACCTGGATCGAGGCCCTCTTCCCGCAGGCCAAGAAGGCTCCTCGTGCTGGCAAGAAGGCCAAGAAGATCGAGGCTCCCGAGCCTCTGTCCGGCAATGAGTCTCCCGGTGTCGCCTCTGGTGTCGACAAGGACTACGATGAGAGCTGGATCCCAGACCACCACCGCCGACCAACTGTCAAGCGTGTCAAGTCCAAGAAGAACGAGTAAAAGGTAGTCCATCATGGGCAAGGGCAGACAGGGAGGTCATCAAAAGTTGGCAAAGGAAATTTGCAAATTTAACGTGCTCCTGCGCGCGGCCTGTTAGGACCGGCAGGATATCATTTGTCGGAATTTGATGTGGTGGATTGAATGAATACGGTCCGAGGCAAGATTAGCATCTACATAACGCAGGGCTCATCGAGTACAGTGTGTGGGTTAGTCGCTCTAGGCTGTACTCGCCGTCTCGCAGCCGTCACGGCTCTAGTATCAAACCTGATCAGTTATGCCGTCGACTTCAGACGAATTTTGGTGCGGGCCGTGATCGTAATTGATATCCTTTCAACCCATATCCCTACTATGACCAAGCAAAGGTTCATGTCAAGGCTCGCAATGACTGATGATACGATTCACTTAAGGCGCGCCCGCTTGCGAACAGCGACTGGCAGGTACTGACTGGCCATAATTTCGAGCGTGAAGGCTCACAGTACCTTATCTACAACAGCAGTAACAGTCAAGCGAGCATCAAGCACACTGGTTCCACAGGAGAGTCACATCTTTCCAACATCGTGAGGTGGTCTTTTCTGGTCGGGCATTGATGGTTGTGATTCGTGCTTTTTTGTTTTTTCGTTGAAATTCGCAACTCCAGTAGAATTCGGAACTCCGTCTCTAGGAAGAAGACCCGAGGCCCCAATGCACGGCGGCGTCGCTCATCGTCATCGCGAGAGAAAGGATCCGCCCAAAGACCTGTGCCCAATTTTGTGCCATGTCCGCCCGCGCTGGATGCTGTTTGATGCAACTCGTCCACCGCCGCCGCCACAACCATCACCACCACGGGCTGCCCGTCCCACCCACAGCTTCGCTCACGCCGACCGCTCCATCTCTGAAACCGTTTTACCTCAGACGTCTGGCTTCGCGCTCGGATTCGAGGAGGCAGAGGATGTCGTTCTCGCGGACTGTAGGGAGCACAAAGAGGATATATGTCAGCAATTCTGCCCTCCAGTCCCTTTGCTTGTGCTCGTGCCTTGTTTGGCTGGGGAAGAAGTCTCGTACCGGGTCCCTTCACGTTGCGGATGATCGAACGGGTCTGGTCGTCCATGAACTCGACGCGAACCTGGGTGACACCACCGCGAGAGCCTAGAATCCATCAAAATCAGCATCTTGCGCTCCCTTTTCCCGACCTGCTGGCGACAAAACGAATTTTCATCATGAAGGGGGAGAGGAGGGTGCTCCAATCGTACCGGTACGGCCGAGGACGCGGGTGACCTTGACGAGCTTGACGGGTTGCTTGGAGGCATCCATTTTGACTGATGTGTGATCTTCGTCTGTTCGGCGGAGAGTCGGGTCGAGAGATCAATGATCGATTGGGTTTGATTGTCGTGAGGCCGCGTGGGGGAGAGAAGTCGAAAAGTGGATGTGGGAAAGTATGGTCAAGTTCAGTCGGCGGCAGGGTGGGCTCGCCTGGGCGAACTTTTCGCTGGTGCGGTGAAAATCGTGTTGGGTTTAGCGTGGTTCCATGTGCCAGCTGCCATGAGCCGGCCACAGCTGTCAGGCTAGAGACCTTTCGACGGAGACTAACCTTCCCGTTACCTCAGCTGCTAGAAAGACGACACCTCACCTCCACATATCTCTTCCATCGTGATCCTTTGGCGGATTATTGCAGGAAACCCTGTCGAACCCTTGTTATATGTCACATCTCAAAGTTGCTCACACTATTGTGGTGTTTATTGTTTTTATTTATTTATTATGTATTCTTCTTCAAAGGTGATGCCATGAGCAGCCCCTCTATGGAGAATTCGCCTGCGTCAACGCAAGTTCCTGTCTGAGTCTCTATTTTTCGAGTCCAAACGGTCCGCGTATCTTCGACACTCAATCAAGTCGATCCTTCATGTCGGAATCGTAAAAAGTGGTTAGTGTAATTTCAAGATTCAGCAATGCCAAGTGGTATAGCTAAACGACAGAAGTCAAGCAGTGGTTTGCATTACGTCTATGGAGCAATGTTCGAGGTGAATATTTTTCCAAGTTTGCCGGCTCTATAAGCCGTCTTCTCAGCGCTGTCGTCAACCGAGACTCCAATACATTCACTCCCATCCCTGTGCGCAGGTCAGAAAGCCCATTGTCTCATCCAATTTTGCATCCACTCGTCCTGGACCGGTCCGACAGTGGCCAATGCTGGTGATGCCGCAACAGCCTGGCTGTTGTCCAAGGGGATTTGACCTCCGCTGCCAATGAACATTCCCTCGAAAAAGGGCAGGATCTTGATGGCCGGATTGACAGCTATGTCTTCTGTTTTCGACGCGCTCTCGCGAAGTGCCGTCACCCACTCTTCGAGGGACACCATCTGGAGCTTTTGCGACGAGGGGTCCAGACATCGCGCTACGGTCGCTGCGAGCTTCGGCCAAGCTGCATGCTTGGAGTTGATCAGGTGGTACACCACAGCACCCTGCTTGGCATCCACTGGTTCAGTCGCAAGCTCGACAATACTCTGTCCGAGCACGTCTACCGGAACCCAATCAACCACGTCCATTGCGCCGAGGGACTCTGGAAGCTTCCCGAGATACTTTGAGCTCGCGATGAGGCTCGGAAGCCATTCCTGCTTTGGCCAGCATCCGGCTTCTGTCAAGGGGCCCGCGATCTGGCCCACACGACAGACCACGGCGGGAACATCAGCCTCTTTCGCTGCAGTCTCCAGGATACGCTCAGATACGAACTTGCTCTCGCCATAGCCCAACCCCTCAGGCACTCGCCAGTCCTCGAAGATGTGCTCGGGGATCTTGTCGACCTTGTGGCCTACAAACGCAAGCCAATTCATCACTGCGCTGATGCTGGAGACGAAGAGGACTTGCGCACCAAAGGTTGAGTGCGATGAGAAGTCGACCAGCCGCCTGACGCCGTGGATTTGTTTCGCGAATGAGTCGATAGACAGGTTGAAGTCGACTTGCCAGGCGTTGTGAATGACATTCGTCACTTCAGCGAGAATAGTTCTGTATTCCTTAGGGGACAGCCCGAAGTAGGGCTTGGAGAAGTCTCCATCAAGGCATACAGTCTGGTCCTCTGGTAAAGCTTGCAACCCCTTCGCCTCCAGCGATTTTTGCATACGCTGGAGACTGTTCGGGCCCCGATTGAGGCAATATACCCGGGCGATACGAGCATCTTTGAGCAAGGAGTCCAAAATGTAAGCGCCAAGCGAGCCGGTTGATCCGATGAGCAGGATCACCAGCTTATCTGTAGGCTTTGGCTGTATGGGCCGCGCGGAGATAGGCAGGTCTGTGGTGTGGAGATCATAGAGTCTTTGCATCTTCTGCTCCTCACTCTCGTCGTTTTGTGCAGCGACATTCCCGCCGACAAGGCTGGCCACGAGACCGATCAAGGCGCCGATGGTGGGGTGGGCGTAAATGGTACGAGGATCCACCGCTTTCGAACTTCCCCGTTCCGAAAGAAGCTGGTTGACCCCTTTTGTTATGACTGTTACTTGCAGGGAGTCCAGTCCCAGTCCGAACAAGTCGGTGTCAGCAGTCACCTCGTTCAGGTCGATGCTGGTAGCTGTAGCAACGATGCGCCTGACAGCATCCTCGACAGAGCCACTGGTTATACTGTTCGAACCATTTGGAACACCGCGATCCTCGTTTGCTTTATAAAGGGCGTCGAGCTCTGGCTCGTAATCATCCTCCAGCTTTCTGCGCTGTATGGTCCCTTTCCCAGCCCTTGGTACTGGCTTGTCAGGCGAGGTGAATATGATCATGTTGCGAAGGACACGACCATGTGCAGGGCTGTGCTTGTTCGCCTCTTCGACGGACGGCCAGATCGTGTCCAAAAGTCCTTCCTTCTCAGAGTCGGTGGTGGGCAGCTTCACGGGCTCGATCAGCAGGCTCGACTGGAAGCGTTTTCTACCACAGATGATGGCTCCGTGCACAGCCGGATTCGACGTGATGATACCCTCCATTTCGAGCGGTTGGAGTTTTTCCCCTGTTGCAAAAACAATGATGTCGTCGCTTCGGCCACGGTGGAGCCACAGTCCCTCCTTGGTTGGATGCTTCGAGTACAAATCCTTCGTTGCCCACTCATCCAGCTCTGGGAACGTCGCGAAGACACCCTGGAACGGCAACAGCTTGGGATGCTTCACAATAAAGTGCTCATACAACCCATCCGAGACCGGGCGGAACTCATGGCCTCCAGCCGGATGGAAATTGATGTATTCCCAGTCTTGGCCAGGACCAGGAAACTGCGGAGAGAAGCCTGCCTCGGTCGATCCGATGCCATTCACGAGATTCGTCTTGGCAGCAATCTGGTCGCCGACGGCATGGGGCAGGGGCCCGCCTCCAAAGAGAACCGCTTCCAGTTTGCCCAGCTGCTCTAGATGCTCTGGCACCCTCGCGAGCTCGACTAAGATGGTCGGCGGTACAAAACTGACTTGCACATTGCCGTGAACGTGCATAGCATGCACAATATCAGGGGACGGCGGGAACGGGCCGAGAACACTTATGTTTCCCGTGTAGATACATCCAGCGGTCGTCAGGGCCACGCCGGCGGCATGGAATATGGGAAACCCCAGGTAAACTCGGGTCCCTTTGCCGAGGTACGGGAAGCAAGGCTTGCCACCCGGTTTCGGCAAGCTGGCAGATGCGTGGATGGAGGTCCACGTTCCTTGCGCCGCGACAATGGCCTTGGGCATACCTGTTGTTCCTGAGGTATGTCTGTGGCAGTTTTGTTAGCGAACGGAACCAAGACAAGGGGTCAGCCAAACAACACTAATGACGCGACGTACAGGACGACCATCGGGTCATATTTTGCCTCCTCCCAAGACTTTGTGTAGGGATAGTGGTCTTCGCGGCCGCCATACTCATCGTGCAGCCACTTCGGTAGCGGAGCAATCTCTTGAACATGCATCGGTCTTGCGGCCAGGATCTGCTTCACGATGGGCAGAGGGAATTTTGGCGGAAGCAGGAATGTGTGGCAGTCCAGGTCCTCCAAGAGTTTGAGATGCGCCTCAAGAGTGTTGCGCAGGGAGCTCAAAAACAGCCTGTAGCCTGTCTTGTTGCAGGCGAGTACCAGAACCACATAGGTGATGTCTTGAGGTCCCATATAGGTGAGAGTCTGGCCATCTTTGGCTGGTCCCAGTGTCTCTTCGAGATACCAAGCGCAGCGGTCCACGGCACGAGCAACCTCTCTCACGGTGATATCGCGAAAGCCATCGGCGGGGTTACTGGTCTTGGTGATGGAGTAGAGGATCCGTGATGGCTCGTTGACGGCGAGGTCGTCCAGGTACTTGACGACCTGGCGCGGCTCTTCTGTCTCTGGGATTTCAAAGTCCATAATGGGCAGGGGCCTTTTCTTGATTGAGTAAAGAAGTACGACTGTGGGAAAGATCTAAGTATGGCCAGCTACTACTAGGAATATATGAGTCGGAGCCTTTGTATTTATTATCACACAGAGGGGTGACCCGCCCCACTCGGCCCAGATAATACCGATCCTTCTGAAGATAATAAGCGTGACGATGATGACGAGGATGATGATGATGGGTGTGAAACACTCCTTTACAACATACGTAAAAGTCCCTCGGCCGCTTCCAAATGGACAATAACACCACTATAGCCGGGACCGAAAACAATTCCGCGCCGAAACGCTCTCGACGGGGCCTGGACAAATATGTGGGGGTAAATCGATAATACCCACCGGGTGGGCAGGTTTGTTTGAAGAACATGGAGGATTTGCAGTGGTGGTTGCAAGCGCCGAACTGCCGCCGAGCCAGGCAAGTAAAGCATATCATGTTATGCTTCGCAATTCCGGGTCGGTATTTGAATTCCTCTCCGACCGCACGGGACGAAGTGGCTCTCTTTGGACTTCACTCAGGCCCCTATTTACCACCACACCGTCGCCAGCATGTCGACGTGATCTGCGCGGCCCTTTTTATCACTCCACAAGTGGACTGAGGTAATGAACCTCGGCTTTGATCCCAGAGGCCTTTTCTCATGAGTATCACGAGGTTGATGGCACAGAAAACACTTCAACGAACCGGTGTTGCCGTCTTGCGCCGGGTCAGGACGCATACAGTGGTACTGTTTACAAGTTGTTCGGGTGGCATGTGAGTGGCCACCTCACTTAAGTGGCATGCTTCAACTTAATATAATAATGCATATTGTGTAATTGGAATCCACACGTCACCAGTCAGTACGGCCAATTGTGTGTCCAGATCCATGGGTACTCAAGTAGGTAGCTTTTGGATCTGCACCGATTTTTCATACCCTCATTCTTGGTGAGTCCCTCTGGCTCAGTTACAGAATGCGAAGTGATCATTCCGTCGAAACCCATATATTAAAATAACTTATAGACCCCTGCACCCACCCCCCCCTTTTTTTTTTTCCCTCACCCCTTCTCTGCCTTCGTGTTTTGTTTGCATACTATCACGACTTTCCTTATCAGGAAGTTATTGCCACTGGTTTTATGAGATAATCAACTGGCAATGCATCGTACTACTCATAGCTGGCTTAAACTTCGTGATCCAAATAGGAGGCTCAACCAATCTCATTGAGAGGTTGAGACTATTACGTAGCTGGAGCGGTTTACTGGAAGTCATCTGGCATGGGGACAGACTCGATTCCTGCTCTTATCACTCTCAGAGAGAGAAGAGACTCGGATCTACTCTGTTATCCTACTATCACAAGAAAGAAACGTACTTATCGCCCACCCAAGCCAGTCTCTCAAAGCAGTGAAATATGTAAATGAGGCAAGAGTATTGCACTTGCCTGAAATGTGTAAAGGAGCACACACAGTGCGTCTGGCGGAGGAATAGCACAAGTAATAGTAATTCTAGGACCCTGACATTTGTTGCAACAATCATGATGATTGTGCTCACTGCCCTTGACTGTTTACTTACTACTTTCTTTGTAACAGGGGCGTGTAAGGGATTCGAGCAGGAATTCCAGGCTTGTTAGTGTAGCCTCTGTTAGCCTGCAGCGTCGACGTCACACCCTCTTCTGGCCTCTATGATGCTGGGATACCCCCTTAGCCTGGCCGACGGCAAACGCCTCAAATTTACTACAACAAATGTATTCCTACAACCGTTGAAAAGATATTTCCAACAAATTTGTTTTCGTATTATTCAATTTCCATGTTTCTCATGAAATGTCTAATCAGAACGACGAGCGCGCGCCGCTCCTACAGCATACACGCGGGAATCTCGAGAACGACGAGCGTCATGTGGTGAGATAATAATAAAAAAGAGATGCCGTAGGCATGCTTTCATTATTACTGATCAAGCACGACTGACTGCCTCACAGCAGGTCAAATTCTCGAGCGACGACCAGGACAACCCGCGCGCATGGACAAGAAGACAAAAACTGGCCAACGTGGCCGTCATAGCGTCCATGGCGATCCTGAGCCCGCTGGCCAGCTCCATGTTCACGCCCGGGATCTCAGAAATCGCAGAGGGTCTCGGTACCACACCAGACACTGTTATCGGCGCGACGACCAGCTACGTCGTCATGCTGGGAATGGGCCCCCTCGTGCTGGCACCGCTCTCCGAGACCTTTGGGAGGAAGTCGCTCTACCTATCCTGCTTCACCTTCTTCTCGCTGGTGCAGATTCCGACGGCCTTCTCACCCAACATTGAGACCATGATCACGCTTCGAGCCTTTTCTGGTTTCTTCGGTAGTGTGAGCATCGCTAACGGCGGAGGAACGCTGAGCGACATGTTCTGGCCTGAGGAGAGGGCGACTGTCTTTGGCTGGTACCTGATCGGGCCCCTGCTTGGGCCTACAATCGGTCCCTTGCTGGGAGGCGTCATTGTCCAGAGGTTAGGCTGGCGATGGGTATTCCTGACCCTCGCGCTCCTGTGTGGGGTCAGCGTCACCTCTGGGTTCTTTTTTCTCAGGGAGACATATGTGCTCGTCCTCCTGCAGAGGAGGAAAGAACAACAGGAAAAGGAAGACGGCTCCGCGTGTGCAACCCACTACTGGTTTGAAGGCGAAGACCTTCGACCCATGTCCGTCAAGCTGTGGCACTCGTTCTCGCGCCCGCTCCGCATCCTCACCCAGCCAGTCGTGCTCACCATGTCGGTGTACCAAGCTCTGATCTTCAGCACCACCCACAGTCTGTACACGAATTTTGAAGACATTTATGGCGGCATATACGGCTTCAATACCGAGCAGGTAGGGCTGGCCTACCTCGGGCCGGGGCTCGGGCTGCTCTTCGCCGTGCGGATGATTGTTCCGCACATCGACGACGTGTACAAGAAGCCCCGCGACAAGAACCACGGGGTAGCCAAGCCGGAGTTCCGACTACCGCTTGCGAACATCGGCGCAGTCCTGGTACCTGTGTCGTTGATCTGGTAAGTCTTTACATGAACAACCCACAGGGCAGTTTGGGCTGCCAGTTAGTGTCCACCGTCGTTATGCTGACCGCCCTGCAACTCAGTTTCGCCTGGATGGTTCACTTCCACGTCCACTGGTTTGCAACGATTGTGGCAGCCTTCTTCTACGGCATCGGACAAGTCGTCATCGTCAACTGTACGCAGAATTACTACATTGATGCTTTTGAGAAATTCGCCGCCAGCGCGATAGCAGCCGGGGTAGCGTTTCGGTCCATTTTCGGGGGCGTGGTTCCACTGTTTGCACCTTTGCTCTTCAAATCTGTTGGGTACGGCTGGGGCATTTCGGTTTTTGGTCTGGTCGGTCTGATGCTTGCTCCGGCGCCGCTGCTCTTCTATCACTTTGGCGAACGGATCCGCGCATGGTTTGTCTTGGTCTTGTGAGCTTTGTCTGAGCGGAAGCTTAGTATAAAGCACGACATGTATGTCTTCGCACCGGTCAAATAGAAAGGGAACAGCAAAGGATGAAGAAAGAAATAGAGAAGAGGATAAAGTCATCCGCTAGGAGGGCTGGGTCAGAAAGAAGTATACCCCTCAGCGGCAGACTTGCAGTGAGACAGGCTTGAGGAACTCCCCAAGCATGACCTTCGTTGTTGATATTCATTGTTTTTGGCCTCATTGAAAATAAAAGGTAGCAGGTGATCGACTGCACAAAGAAATAGCTAGGGCTGAAAAGGGAATCACGGATAGAGAGGTGAAGAGGTCAGGCTGGGGGGTACAGGGGATGTAAGGTCCTCGGCTGCAAGGGCTTAGTCATCTGTCACCCCTGTCATCATTCCGAAAGAAAGCTACCCGTCGACAACAACAGCAGACGCGTTCGCGTTGGACATTGGTACTGCCTCAAAAGGAAGTCGAAAGGACAGGTTCCAACTTATTTTGGTCTCCCTTGACGCTCATCACATCTCTTCTTCAACCACTGTTCTCTCCCGCCAGGTTTCTAGCTACCCTCCGTCAAGAAAGAGGGGCAGGCGCATCTTCGCCTTTGTCTGGCCGAAAGCAATTTTGTGGTCGCAGACGGTTCCCTCGCCCCATCTCCTGCTCACCTCGCGCCGCGCGCTGTGCCAATATCCAAGAGTCTCCCGCTGCGATGGCTCCCACCAAGCCAGCGGGCAAAGGTCGCGGCCGTGCTAAGAACAACGAAAACGACGGAACTCTGGACCTCAACATGCCCAGCAACATCACCACCTATAGCGGCGTAGCACCCGAAGCAGCACCAGTCAAGCGCGGTCGCGGCCGCCCTCCCAAGGACCCCTCCGGTCTCCCTCAGCGCATCCTGAACCCCAAGATCTCAAGGACCGGCGTCGGTCGCGGCCGTGGTCGTCCTCCCAAGGATCCCAATGCTCCTCCCAAGACCCCCGCCAAGAAAGCGGCCCCCACCGCTGCCTCCTCGTCAGGCCGCCCCCGCGGCCGACCACCCGGCTCCGGCAAGAAGCAGTCGATCGCAAAGGCCACGGCGCTTGCTATTGCCGGTGCGGAGGGCGCGAGCGGCAGCACACCCAAGTCGGGAGCCAAGGGGGCAAAGAAGGGCCGCAGCTCGAGAGCCAAGAAGGCAGAGGAGGATGTGGACATGAACGAGGGCGTGGGCTATCAGCAGCAGAACTACGAGTTGGAGCTTGGCGAGGGTATGGGATTCGGCGACGACGATGATGATGCTGCCGCTGAGACCGAAGACGGTGGTGAGTGATCACGATTTATCGGCAAGGTTGGAACATCCTCGTGGCCCGGCAGCCCCTCTATGATTTCGCCTTTGTGGTCGTACGGGTGTGCTGACCTGGCATATCGCATAGGATTCCAGGTTGGCACTGCATTTTATCAAGACCCGAACCGCAGCGGTTTCTATGGCATGGTAGGCCGCAAATTCGGCCTCTAGGCTCCAAAACATCACCCAGTTTGGAAAGAGCGTGGCTTTGGGACAGAAACCTTGAAGGGCCGATGGCCAGAGGTTATTCGAGACAGAGTGGTCCCATGGGCTTCATCCTTACTTACGCGAGGATGCGATGCTCATACAAGCAACATTACGCGGTCTCAGCTTTGGGTCTTCATCAGAAATGCAACCGGCACCCATCAGCTCTTTCCGTGAGAAGCACCAGTTCGTTTTTTGTTTCTTGTTGTTTTTTGCTTTACTTCATCTTATCTCGATGCGACTCGCCGCCATTATTGGGCGGTGATGGATGGACGCTGTACAATAGTTGAGCATACGATATGCTTTCACGTGCCGTGCAAGATCTTGGGGTGTCTTGTGTAAAGGATGTGTGGTTGTGATGCAGATTCTCATGCAGAAAACAGGGTATCTCTATCTTGTGCCCAACGCCAGCTGTGATTCCAGATATGCTCATCCGAAAACAAACGCGATCCCCCCCCTACTCCCTCTTCCACTGTTCAAACTCGACCTCCAAATGTTGCTTCAACTCCTTGAATTTATTTCCAAAGTCTTTTCCACACCTCCAACACACTATCGGCCGCTCAGGCCACTTGTCCTGCCTTCGCCTCGCATCGTCCTCGGCCAGCGGGAAATCATCCAGCGGCACAAAGAAATCCGTCGTGAATGAATTATAATGCTTCCGGTGCTTCATCCTCTCACTGTGCATGTCTCGACTCAGGACATGGACATGCAAATGATTCATGCTCGGCACCGCGTGCACGCCCACCTTGACCTCTCGCAGCCAGTTTCTCCCCTCCGGCAGCCTCACATCCCCGTCACCGCCGACCTCCGGCTCCACCTCTCCGTCAAGCACGGCGTTCCGCGCCCTCTCAGCCGCGCTGTGCCTGCCCAGCACCCGCTGTAGCTCCTTGGCGACGAGGTCCCGCAGTACCGCCGTGTCGGCGCGGACCTGCGCGAGGAAGGCGGCGTCGCGAAACGCCTCAAATGGGTGCAGCCTGTTGTGCACCGCGGACCGCGGCAGAAGCAGGCAGTGCACGGTCGCCTTGGGAAACATGTCGTGGATGGCGACGGCGGTGGGCGTGTGGAAGATGACGCGGCTGGAGGGGAACGAGGAGGGGTTCGCGAGGTAGGCGCCGAGGCCGTCGCGGGCTGTCCTGGAGGGATGGTGTAATTTCTGTTCAGGCTTGGGCTTGGGGGCCATGAGCTCCGAGACTGTGTTGAGGCTGGTCAGCTGCTAGCTTCGTGGTTGAGGGCAAAGGTGGACTGACAGGCGCTGCGAGGTATAGGCTTTTCCTTCAATGGCGAAGGTGGTAGAGGCGGCTGCTCGGTTCCCTGTATCTCTTCCTTGGTTATGGCCTCTTCTGGGTCTGAGGGGATGTTGCTGTCGTCGATGTTAGCTCGCTTCCTGTGCGGCGCATCTTGGGCGTCTGCACAGCTTCTCTTAGCCCCAGAGCTCGAGGGCTCATCTGCCATGGCGAACAGTTCTCGGTGATGACCTCGGTGATGACCTCGATGATTATTATCTTCCTTGGACGGTCTCAATGGAACAGATGGACGGCATGTAAGCCATAGTAGACCCAGACAAATTGGTTGTCTCAGCAGGATGGTTAGCATTTGAAGGTTGCGGCATCAGAAAGTGTGAACAATGTCGTTAACATGTGACAAATAGGACATGTGGGTAGCTGCAGCACTATTTCCAAGGGTAGTCGAAGTGGGTTAGTTCCCCACATCCCGTTGGCGCGAACATTTATTGTACTATTCAATCTAGCATATTTCTTTCCCCTCTCAACGTCACTCATCCGGCACACTCCTTCGTTACAGGGTCGTCGTCTACTGAAAACGCAGGCTGACATTGCCCGTGAATTATACAAAACAGCCGCAGAAAGGGGGTAGAAAGAAAATCAGCGACAAATCATGATCCATTTAGACACCTATTTATCAAATCTATGCTGCATCCCTCTGCCATGCCAACGATGCCGTCACGAGTGAACGACCAATTCCCTCAGTTCTCAGACAATATGAGCACTTCCCACCCGAATTTACGCAGAAGGGGCCTTCATCGCACCACCAGCGTGCTGCTCTCCCTCACTGGGGCCATTGGCAGAAGGCGCGAAACCCCCGGCCGTCTTGTGGCTCCCTGAAAGCATGTTCTTGAACTCGGACGAGGACAGAGGTGTCCTCTTCAAAACAGTGCTGTCGGAGCATTGAACAAGCTCTGGACCTCTTCCTGCAGACGGCGACCATGACGCCTGGAAGGCCTCGATCTGAGCCTCAGTCATGCATCGCTTGGCGATCAGGTGATTGCCCTCTAGCTCCGGTACCGGTACCGGTCCAATCAGCTCTGACACGGGAAGATCACGGCCGCTATTTGAATGAGATAGCTCCTGGGTATGCCCGGGGAATACCATCTCGTCTGGCATCCCCTTTGCCTGCTCGCTTATGCCAGGCACCTCCAGGGTGGACGACCTCTGCTGGGGGGCTTGGTGGCCCTGCCAACTGGCTTTCCCCGCTCCGCCGAGCTCTCCATGGGTGTTAGACTCGCCAGCATGCTGATAATTCACCTGCGTGTCGGCGTTTGTTGGCGCGGCTGCGCAGTTCTGAAGCTGCAGCAGCACGATGGCGGCGAAGACTTGGGCGCGCATTGTGTTATTGGTCGTTGGCGTGTTTATGGGGAGATGAGCTGGGATTCGAAAGGGTGGTGTTTGGCACTGCCCAAAAGACACGAGACGGATACTTTTCGAGAAGAAGGGATAATCAAGCCTGCTTGTGAGAGATTGCGGGCTGCTACCAGAGCAGCTGAAGAGAAAGTGAAGGAGAGATTGTGTAGATGGATAGATGGATGTGCTAATGAAGACGGAAATACAACTATCGGAATGTTGGTCGCTGTCAACTTATATAGACGGACCGTGACCTATCTCCCAGGTATTTGGACTGCCTCGATCGCGGTCGAGACAGGAGATGGTGCATGAGGCCTTGTCGCGACCTGGTCCATTGAATGGTCGATCGACCCGGGCCACTTGTTCGGGTCTACCAATTGTGTTGACCAGAGCAGCATCCTGTGTATGGAGTATCAAGATCATAGCTTGCAAAAGGGCGGCTAGGCGATCTTGACCACACACAACGGAAATGCTACAAGTCAACTAGGAGTAGCTTTAGCAAAGTGAAGTGCAGCTACACAACTCGTTCCCACGGATGACAATGCACAAAAGCCTAGGAAAGGAAGTAGTCACCTCAAGCCGGCAGATGGCGTCAATATGAAAACAGGATCAATCACGGCCAGAAAAGCATTCGTCATGTTAGTAGATACTCCGACTTGCAGATCAATCCTCATCAACAACTTGAACTAGGTTTCCATTCCACCATACAGAAAAGAGGCCCGGAAGGAGTTGTGGTGGACAGCGACCCGACCGGGCCCACAACGTCGAACAGCCTTGATTTCTCAGGCTGGCCAGAGTGGGCGAGTATATACATTTTTTTTGGGATTTGCCGGGGAGGGGGGGGGGGGGCAATATTCGTTGCTGTCAGCCTTTCGTCACATGCTTACACTGCGAACAGCATGGGACGCCGGACGGCATTGAGGTGATTCGGTTCCGAGTGAGGACCTTGTGCGGGAGAGCAGGGCCGGTTTACTTATGGGCCGGCCGCGTGTAGGTTGGAGGATTGAGCCCATATACGAGAGTGTTTTGAAACAAAGCCGGGGTATAGACAAGAGAGTGATTTTTTGACATCTTTGAGGCGTGACAGGGAAAATCTCACTTGCATGCTCCTCAGACAGGTCGCGCCATGATTACGGCATAGAAACCAGCGTACGTTTTACAGCCTTGTGAGTTGTTTGATGTTGATCATTCTAAGTATAGGCTTCATCATTATGCTGGTGCTTCTACATTATTTGCTGGTAATTTTGAAGCCTCTGAGCTTCTGCATCGCCCTTCCCACTTGCTCAGATCCATACTTCTGATCGGATCATGGCAGTATTCACTAATCACCTTGGGGTTTCCCATGGCAGGCGATGCCCATAATCCTTGCAGAGATGGACAGCCTCAGGGGAGTTTGAGGGTCAATGTTGTGTGTCAGCACTGATATGTATACTGGTAAAGTGGATCAAGTCTTTGGTGTGCTACTGGAATGTGATGTGGCTCACAGGAAGGAATACGAGTTCCTGTATTTCTCACAGAGGAGCAATTCCTTGCTGGGCGGGCTAGAGATGTGTCTTCTGAAAGTAGGTAGTCTCTGTGGTCACTCCTAGAGGGTGGGACGGACTTTTTGGTAGGATAATCTTTTTTAATAAAAAATAAAATCGCATTTGAAGCAAACTTCGACTTCTTGACTTTATCTTGATGCAAGTGACACGGGTACGGCCCAGGTTTGGAGGAAAATAATCAGAAAGCCACATAGATGACAAACCACAAGATCATAGATGCAAGAGATAATTTCTCGCTCTAATCCAGGCCTCCCAAGGTCCCACCAGCTTACCAAAGTCTAGACACAAGCTGTGTGGCATGTGGCAGGTTGAAGAAGATGATAGAGTCAGTGGTTAGTGATTGAGCCTGTACTGTACAGTGCTACTATTTAGTGGGGTGGCACTGCGAGCCCTGTGTGGTCCAGGGCTCCACCCTTGCACCAGCAAGCCAATTGACCTTGCGCCGTAGAGGCTACCCCACGCTAAAATGGACTGCTACAGTTTGGCAGGTGGCATCAAAACTTTGAGCAACACATCGACTTTCTCACTATATGCATTTTGACCTGGCTTTGAAACCTCCCATCTCGAGTCTCACCTTCTCCAGGTAGACAAATATTTCCGTGGTCCTGGCACAAACACACAGAAAGATCATAATGTCCTGATCACAGTCCTCCAAGTCTTCGTTATTAGGTTGGCTGTTCCAACTTGCAAGATGGTGAAAAAGGGGAAGGATAAGAGCAGCACGCCAGCTTCCGGGGGTTCTTCCTCCAAGGCCTCTGGCAAAAAGGCTGCCCCACCCGAGGATGACCTGCTCATCTTCACCACTGACAAGAAGAAGAAGAAGGACCCTGTGAACAAGGATGAGGGCCCTCCAGAGCCACCGAAACCCACTGTCAAACAGATCATCGGTGGCCAGTCATGGACCGGAAAGCTTCCAGTGAACCTCCTGTCGGAGCACTGCCAGAAGATGAAATGGCAGAGACCCGACTACATCCAGCGCAAGGGCAAAGAGGGGTTTTCCTTCATGGTTGTCCTGAGTGCCAAAAACTCAAAAACCCAAGAGGTGACCAAACTGGAGCCTTTCAAACTTCCGCCCACCCATGTCCACATGGCATACAAGGAGACTTCGCTCGAGGCCAGGCATTTTGCTGCTACATATGGGCTTTTTAGGGTCTGCAGTATGAAGAACATGTCCATGATTCTTCCCCCAGACTACAGGTCTATATGGAGAGAATTCGAAGCCCTGAAGAAACAGGATGTCAAGGAGGGCAAGGCCTGGATGTACGAAGCCGACCCGTTCAAGGCGCTCGAAGAGAGAGAAGCTGCAAAGGCCGCGGCTGAGAAGAAGCGGAAGGAGCAGCAGGCTGCCAAAGAGAAGGCCGCCAGTCTGCCGGGGGCTGCTGGTCTGGTGCTCCGGGGCAATGCCGCAGCATCCGGTGGTGGCGGATACAACCCAATGAAAGGCTGGACCACCGTTCCGAAGATGGAAATGGGTGCCAAGACAAGACAACACTTGGAGAACCTCCTGCGACGCGATACGATATGGAACCCGCACGGTATTGTCATGAGACCAGAGGAGAAGGCCTCCATTGTGAAAGAGTTCCGGAACCTGGGTTTCCGTGCTAGTCATGTTGAAGAAGCCGTGGAGGAGTGCAAAGACCGCGAGGAGACACTGGAGTGGTTGCTAATCCACGTGCCGGAGGACGACCTACCGAAATGGGCCTTACCAGAGAGCTACTCAGCCGGTGTCAGTGTTGGAGCGACGGATCTGCGGAGAGAAGGAGCCGTAAAACGTCTGGCACAGTCTGGCTACTCGATTGAACTCTGCCGAAAAGTCTACGATGACAACAGCGGGGATGAAGGCAAGGCAGCGGAGGCCTTACAGCAGATCCTTCTAAACAGCGGGTCAGAGGCTGAGAACAGCGGCCTTGCAGGAGGACCGGCAACGACTGAAGACCGCGACCAGCTATGGGAGGAGGAGCTGGCGAGCCTGGAGGCGCTGTACAGCGAACAGTATGCCCGCCTAGGAACTGATGTCTGTCAGCTGAAGTTGACCGATGTTACCAACGGGCCCAAGCAGAACGTCGAGGCCTGTATTCATTTCCGCAAATCACCCCACTATCCCTCACATTTGATCCTGTCCGTGATTGCGGACTTGCCATCCTATATCAAGCTCAGCATTATCAAGAAAGCCTTGGCCTACATGGTGGAGTCTCTGCAGGAAGAAGAGATGAAGATGTTCTACGTCATTACCTGGGTACAGGAGCATATAAACGACATCATCGAACGCCCGGGAACTCTTCGTGAGATTGCAGCTGTCTCATCCACAGCTTCGGAGGCGAAAAATCTCTCTACGAGGAAATCGAACAAGAAGTCGCCAAGACGGCCCAACCCTATAACATGGACCCCTGAAAGCAGCTCTATAGGGCGGTGGATGGAGAGGCAGAAGACACAAGCGTTCCAGAAGATGCTTGCTCAGCGTCAGAAGCTGCCTGCCTGGCAGGTCAGAGAGAGTGTGGTCAAGACGGTAACCGAGAACCAAATCACCATCATCTCTGGAGAAACCGGTTCCGGAAAGTCGACTCAGTCAGTACAGTACATCTTGGACGATCTTTATGACCGGGGATATGCCAAGTGTGCCAATATTATTGTCACTCAACCTCGCAGGATCTCTGCTCTGGGACTGGCGGACCGAGTCAGCGAAGAGCGCTGCACGACAGTCGGACAAGAAGTTGGGTACTCCATCCGAGGAGAGAACAGGACGAGCAGGGACACGAAAATTACTTTCGTCACTACCGGTGTACTCCTCAGACGACTGCAGACCTCTGGCGGGCGTGTTGACGACGTGGTGTCGTCTCTGGCAGACGTCAGCCATGTCGTAATTGACGAGGTCCACGAGCGAAGTCTCGACACGGACTTCCTGCTTAGCATCATCCGGGACGTGCTGTCTAGACGCAAAGATCTCAAGCTTATTCTCATGAGTGCAACCCTGGATTCTGCAACGTTTGGTGATTACTTCAAAGCCGATGGTCTGCGAGTGGGATTTGTTGAAATTGCTGGTCGTACGTTTCCGGTGCAGGACTTTTACCTCGACGACATCATCCAACAGACGGGGTTCACAGGACAGCATGATTACGACAGCAGAGCTCTTGACCGGAGTCTAGACGACAAGCAGCGGGTCTCCAAGGTTATCCAGAATCTCGGTATGCGGATCAACTACAACCTGCTCCTCGAGACCGCCAAGGCCATCGACGCCGAGTTATCGCAGACACAAAAATCTGGCGGCATCCTCATCTTCTTACCTGGTGTCGCTGAGATCAATCAGACCTGCAGGATGCTCGGTTCGGTGTCTTCATTGTACGTGCTTCCGCTGCACGCATCCCTGGAGACGAAAGAGCAGAGGAGGGTATTCGCTGCACCGCCTTCCGGCAAGAGGAAGGTTGTCGTCGCGACCAACGTGGCTGAGACATCTATCACGATTGACGACATCGTCGCGGTCATTGACAGCGGTCGGGTCAAGGAAACCAGCTTTGATCCTCAGAACAACATGCGAAAGCTGGAGGAGGCGTGGGCATCTCGTGCGGCTTGCAAGCAGCGCCGCGGCAGAGCTGGACGTGTTCAGGCAGGCAAATGCTACAAGCTGTACACACGTAACCTGGAGGAGCAAACCATGCAGGAGCGGCCCGACCCAGAGATCAGGCGTGTACCTCTGGAACAATTATGCCTTTCGGTCAGGGCCATGGGCAACCAGGATGTCGGCTTTTTTCTGTCCCGAACCCCAACACCTCCCGCGGCACTGGCGGTGGAGGGTGCCATCAAGATGCTCCGCCGGATGGGCGCTCTCGACGGTGACGAACTCACCGCCCTCGGCCAGCAGCTCGCCATGATCCCGGCTGATTTGCGGTGTGGAAAGTTAATGGTTTACGGCGCCATCTTTGGCTGCCTCGACGACTGTGTGACCATCGCGGCCATATTGAGCACCAAGAGTCCCTTCCTGTCGCCGCCTGACAAGAGAGATCTCGCGAAGCAAGCCAAGATGAGCTTTGCCCAGGGAGATGGTGACCTGCTGACAGACCTCCGGGCCTTCCAGCAATGGGACGAACTAATGCAGGACCGTATACCTCAGCGGCAGGTCCGGAATTTCTGCGACGAGAGCTTTCTCTCCTACAACACCCTCTCAGACATCGCCTCGACAAGGACCCAGTACTACTCAGCCTTGAAGGAGATTGGACTCATACGGTCCGCTTCCTCCTCGAACAGTGGACAAAAACGCCCCTCACCATCCATGCCTCTGCTACGCGCCCTCACCGCTTCGGCCTTCAGCCCACAGATTGCACGCATTCAGTTTCCAGACAAGAAATTTATGTCATCGGTATCAGGAGCGGTGGAACTCGATCCGGAAGCCAAGACGATCAAGTATTTCACGCACGAGAACGGGCGGGTATTTGTGCACCCGAGCAGTACTCTATTTGACAATCAGGGTTTCTCTGGAAACGCGGCTTTTGTGTCATACTTCACGTTGATGTCTACGTCCAAGATATTTATGAGGGACCTGACCCGTAAGCCCCCCCCCCCTTCCTTCTCATTTTTCCTGACTGCATCGAGTAGAGAACACCTGAACCTAGTACTGATCAATTTTCACAGCATTCAATGCGTACACACTGCTACTGTTCTCAGGCGCTATCGAGCTAGACACGCTCGGCAGGGGCCTGGTTGTCGATGGCTGGCTCAGGTTGCGCGGTTGGGCGCGTATTGGCGTCCTCATCTCGAGGCTTCGCGGCATGGTCGACGACATCATCGCAAGAAAGGTCGAAAACCCCGAGATGGACCTTGGAAACAACGACGTGATTAGAGCGGTGGTGAAGTTGATAGAGCTAGACGGCCTGGATGCATAGGTGTAGCGTGGCGTTCATAGATGAGCTGGATGCGGCACGTCAAATACGAGGGAGGGAGGAAAACTTGGCATTCTTGTTTTGCTATTCTTCGAAGGGTGCAACAGCGGCCCTGCAATGCAAATCAATTTTCTTTAGGTCTTGACCAGTACAACCCTGCAAGGGAACAGTAACATGTAGTATGCATGTGCAACGTTTGGGCCGCAAAAGAATGGCTTGCGTTGCTCTCTGGAGACGACTGTCGACCTTGTAGATTCGGCCGAAAGAGGGTCGTGCTCGGATGAAAATGGAGTTGTTCCCCTTGCATCCTCGCAGGGTCGTTTTCGTCTCACATGCAGCCGCATGCAAGTTGGAGGTAGCGCTAAGGGCAGAAATGGCTGCCTTAGGCAGAAACAGCCCACCCACACCCTAGCCACCCCCAACTTTCCAGCAGCTAATGCTGCAGCGGGCAAGAGCCAGGAGCAAGGGTGAGGGTGAGCACAGGCCATCGCGCCGCACCCTCGATTGGCAGGGAACGCCTGCAGCCAGCTTCCCAACTCAACTACACCCTATACAGTACCTTCCTTGCTCTGCAGCACACCCGTGCTGTTTATCACTACTGTACTTTTCCCTCCACCCGCCCACCCAACACCACCATTCCCAAACCCTTCCGGCCCGTCAGAACCCTTTCTCTGCCCACCACCTCCCCTTCCTTTCCTTTCCAACACGCGCATCGCATCTATCACAGTTTCTGAACTGCGTCAATTCAGCCTCATTTTGGCTTCTTCGATGCCCTCCGCCCGCCCGCCCCTCATGGACACCTCGGAAAACACCGCGACCCCCTCCCCAGCGCCCGCCTCCACAGCGCGTCGGTCTGGTCGCGAGCGCAGGGCACCTGAGAAGTTCCAACCCGAGGCCGGCGCCGCATCCAAGCGGAAACGCGGCGAGGACGATGACGACGACGTCGAGAACCACAACCCAGCAGCCGACGATGAGGAGTCTGACGAGATGAGCGAGGACGACGACAGCGACGGCGAGGACACACCCGACGAGGAGGAGCAGCGCGCCGCGAGGCGCCAAAAGAACAAGAAGGGCGCGTCATCGCAACCCTCTCGCAGCAGGAAACCTGCTGCGAAGAAGCCCAAGATCAACGGCGCCGGACCCGCGGGTGTCGCGCACTCGAACAGTGTGGGGCTGCCCAGTCGGCCGAAGCCAAAGAAGACGGCACGCGTCGTCACAGGGGACCATCGCGATGGGGATGGTGTCTACGGTAAGAAATGCGGATTTGACGCGTAGAAATACCTGCTGACGCGACACAGCCGATATTTTCGGGTCGGGCGACAACTCCGACGACGTTGCGGGCCGGTGGTACCAGAAGTACCGGGCAGACAACGAGGCGGCCGTCACAGACCTGGTCAACTGCGTCTTGCTGGCATCGGGATGCGATGAGCAGGTGACGGACATTGACATCCGGGATCCGGACAACATTCAGAACCGCTTGTCGGAGCTGCAGGATCTCTACCAAGAAGTACGTCGCGTCGGCAATGATTTGCTGAGATTGCGCGTCGCTGACCATCTAGCAGAAACAAATAACCGACTACCCTCTCGCCAGGGTGAAGGAGAGCAGAGGCTTCCGCGATTACCTCGTCGGTTTCTTCGAATCCCTGATCAATGTCTTGCACGAGACAGGCGCCCTCTATACCGACGAGCCTCTCATGGAAAACATTGCGCGCTGGGTGTATACAATGTCCTCGTCAACTCTACGACCTTTCCGACACACGGCCACGACTGTCGCGCTGGCCATGGAACTGGCTCTGGCAGGCGTCGCGCAAAAGCTCGACGACAGAATCGCAAAGACGTCACAACAAGTGGATACCGAGAGGGGACGCAAGGGCAAGAACAAGAACAAGGATATGCTGGCGAACCTACAGAAGTCCCTGAATGAGGCAGAGCGCAACCGTGAAATGTGCTCCAAGTACATGTTAGACTGCTTCGATGTCGTGTTCGTTCACCGGTACCGTGATGTCGATCCTCGCATAAGGACAGAGTGCGTGGACGCTTTGGGCTCTTGGATCTGGGTGCTACCCACTGTCTTCATGGAACCAGAGTACCTGCGATATCTGGGCTGGTTGCTGTCCGACTTCGTGGCATCTACCCGGCAGGAGGTCCTCAAGCAGTTGTCGAGGATGTTCAAGCGCGACGCGGCCAAACTCGGGCACTTCATCGACAGGTTCCGACCCCGATTGATGGAGATGGCCACACTAGACCTGGACGTGAGCGTCCGCGTTGCGGCTATCAACGTGATCGAGGCTCTGGGCGAGAACGGCATGCTAGAGCCTGATGAAATCGACAATGTGGGCAGGCTCATCTTCGACTCTGAGCCCCGGATACGAAAGGCTGTCGTCAAGTTTTTCGCTGATGTTGTGGAGGCTGCTGTTGAGCAGAAGATCGAAGCCATGGGAGGCGACGAGGTTGTCGACGAGATCTTCCCAGAGGGCGAAGATGTGGAAGAGTCCTTCTCACCCAGGAAAGAGTGGGTTGAGGTCAAGGCTCTAGCTGAGACCCTTGAGGCCTACGAGTCACAATTGGAGGATGACGATGAAGAAGACCGACGTGACATGTCTACTGACATGATCAGTGTCATGGTTCCAGAAACGAGGATGTCACTGGCATCCCAGGTTCTGTACGAGAAGCTGCGCACAGTCAAAGATTGGGGTATTCTCATCGGATATCTCCTCCACGACCACTCCACAAGCACCAAGTCAAATTCAAGGTCCAGGAACTCGGCTGAAAAGACGATTCGGCAACATGTTGCTCCAACAGCAGAGGAGGAAATCATTCTTCTTGAGGTCCTCGTGGCAGCTGTTAAGCAAAACCTTGCGCACATAGCAGACGCCGAGAAGGGCAAGAAAAAACTAATCAGGAGCAACGTGACGGACTCAGCAGAGGATATCGCTTTGAGCCTGGTACAGTCGGTCCCAAAGCTTCTGAACAGATTTGGAGCAGCTCCAAAGGCTGTCACCACCGTGCTCCGGCTTTCGCACCTGCTGGACCTTGACGTTTTCGAACAGCTCCACCAAGATTCTTCCACGTTTGAGCACTTCTTGGATAGTATCTGTACCCAGTTCTCGAGGCAGGAGGACAAGGATGCAGTCTCAGATGCCGCTTTTGCGCTCCTTCGAGCTCGCAAATGCGATGAGTTTGAGGAGACTGTTGACCTGAAGATCTCAGAATTGTGGGAGAACTCCATCGATTCGCTACGGAATCTGGACCGGGTCAACGACCTTTCAAAACGCGGCGAGCTGAATGCGGCTGTCTTGTCGAGCCTCTCCAGCACGCTACTAAAAATCAGCAGCCTCGCCAAGATCAAAAACTGCGTCGACATTCTCGAGACCGAAGGCAGGGGCTCAGGCGCCAAGACTCCCGTCATCGACGTCTTGGTCAAAACTGTACACCGAGGTCGCTTCCAGCAGCCCGACGAGGAACTCGATGACATGGAGGACGAGGCCACCTCGTTTGCTATCAAGAGCTGCCAGCTCTACTTCATGTGGAAGGTCGTCTCGATCACACGCGATATTGAGACACAGGTGGACATCCCGGCTAATGCGATCAGTCGCCTTGCGGGCCTGAGGAAGCTTTTCCAGACAAACCTCATCCATACATTCTCTTCCAGGGCCATCAATGACGATCTCCGCCTCTTCGCGACTGGTAGCCTCTGCGACCTTCACGTCACTTTTGCGTCGATCAAGCGCACCCTCAATCAGTGGTCAGCGGTCGGTGCATCTAAGAAATACGCTGGCCTGCTGGCGCTGAATCAAGAGATTCAGCCCGGTCTCGTTCCCGAGCTCATCAATATTTTCGATGGCGCCGAGCGCGCCTACGCCAAGAAGGCCAAGAAGCACCTCAACGAGCCTGCCGAAGACGAGGACCCCATTGATGATGATCAGCTGTCAGACGCAGAGGATGAAGAGGATCTTTCGGACAGCGAGAAGCGAGCAGCGGAGCTGCGCGCTGAGAAAAGCCTGTGTGAGCTAGCTCACAAGTACGTTCTTGCGATCCTGACACGGGTCGTGGACCAGACCGGTCCACATGCCGGCAAGCTCAGGAAGCGCCTGCAACGCAATGCCACGAAGCTAGGCAAAAACTTCCAGGACGCGGTGGCGTACCTTGACGAGAGGAAGATACGCGAGGCAGAGGCCGCGAAAGCTCGGCGCGCTGCTGCATCCAAAGCCAGAAGTAAGGCACCCGCCGCCAATGTCAACAGGGAGCCTGCCAAATCGGCCGAGATAGTGGTTGCGGGCGATGAATCTGACGAGGAAGAGCAGCCTGAGGAGGGAACGGAGGAGGATTTAAGGAGACGCGAGCTGTTGGAAGATCCCGTTGAGGATCCCGAGAGCGACGCTGATGAGGCTGGGATTAATGCTGCTGATGATGAGTCTATCCTGGGCGACTGAGGAGAAGGTTAATCTGTAAAAGTTCCGGAGGAGAGCCGGGGTGGTGCCGGGGGGGGGGGTGGATGGTGTAACGGTGGTGAGCCTCTGGGAGCCTGGCGTTTTGCAGAGGCGTCGATATGATACTATTGCGTTGATGATGGATAGGAACGAACGTGCAACACATTTCTGGGCTTCTTCATGTCTGATGATCGTTTGCATCTCTTGTTGAGGGTCGCGCATTGGACGAGCTCGTGAGTGCACGGGATCAAGGACACATATTTTTTTTTTTGCAGACCGCACTATTACGTCGGCATAGCAAGCGCAAAATTCACTCCTTGCAATGGAACTGTACATATTCTTTCGGATTTGACCTTGTGCTTGCTTGCCCGCATGTGCCTTTTTAGGCGAGAGCGCGCCATGCAGACCAGGCATAATACAATTGAATGTGGTTAGCTCACTGAATTGTGTCATGATATCGTTTGCGTGTGAGATGCACAAAAGCCAACTCCCCCGGTGGCGAAGTAAATTATCAGTCGTTGGCAATCTTTGTCCCAAACAGCCCAAACATTCTCTGCCACTGCTTCTCTCCCTCCTCGTTGGCCAGGCTGATTCCATACTGCCGGATGCAGCACGTGAAGGGTCTGTTGGTCAGCTGGCTCGAGCCAGGGATGTACTCAGCAGCAACCTCTCCACCGGCACCACCATTGCTACCACCAACAGCTGTATTGTCCTCCACATCGCTCGAGTCTGCGGGTGGCGCCTTGAGGGGGTCTCTTGTATGCTGCCTCCTCTTGGCCTCCGCCCTGCTCTTGCGCTCCTCGAGGTTCCCCCACAGCCTGAACATCTGCTCCCGAAGGGCACGCAGCAGCTCGCTGTTTGCGGCGGAATGCAAATCAGCGGCATCGTCGAGGCCTGTGAGGCATTGTGCGTCGAAATGGTCGACTAAAACCCAGACAGTGGCGGGGTTCTTGCCTTTGGGGAGGGGGCCGGCGGCGATGCACTCAAGCTTGAGTGCGAAGCGCCACTCCCAGACAAGGCGGGTGCCACCAGGAGCTGAACGGTCAGAGTCGGGATCGCTGCTTTCGTTGTCGGAAAGGGCAGGGTACTCTGTTACTTGGCGGCTGACGGAGAAGTCTTTGAGGTTGACGGGGTGGAAGTCTATCACTCGGGCATTCGTGCGGTATCTGGCATTGGTGAATGGGAGTTCGATGGTTGTGGGGGTTTGATTGATCGTAGTCTGATACAAGACTGGTTCGAGGATAGAGGAGAGAGGGACGATTTCTTGGTCTGGGTATTCACTTTTGACTTGAGGGGCGGAAACTATTAGCAATGATCGGAGGGGGAAGAACCAAGAAGAACAGAAAGCTGATGTCCGGTGTACTTACTGAGGGGATTCAAGCCAAGGGCTGCCTTCTGCTTTGCCTCTTGGTCCTCAAATGCTTTCCTTTTTTCTTCACGTTGCCTCGCCCGTTTGCCCTTGGAGCTATCTTCCTTGATGAGGTCCTCAAGTTTCCTCTTCTTACCAGCCTTGAGGGACCGCCTATCCTCTTTCTCGTAATCCAGCTTCCTCCGGAGGGCCTCAAATAAGTGAGGGTCAATCGATTCGCGGTCCGCTTGAGGATCCAAAAGGACTACATAAACCCTACCAGGATATTGGCGGTCTCCCCTTAGGAAGGCCTCGATATTGGTGGCATTGTGGCCGTAACCGATCTGCACATTGCGCAAGCGCACCCAGTCTCCTCCGTGGACGTTCTCCCTAATGTACTCGGCGTGCGGCTCCCAGCATGTGACCTGAAGTGACTTTTTGCCAGGCGGGCCCATCCAGTTTCCACTACTCTCCCTGGAAGCCGCATCGTGCTTTTTGCGAAATCCGTCTGTGTAGCCGTACGGATCACCGTCGCCAGATGGAACACCGTCGTTCCAACCTGCGCCTTGTTTGGTGGTCCTGTTGAAGAAGTTATGATTCTCGGTGTAGTCGGACACCCACAGAGTCATCCTGTCGCCGAAGTCAAAGGGCTCCCTGACCACCTGGACGACGAGGTCGGCAAAGTTGTGATCTCCGACGTCCTGGAGCAGCCTGAACTTGTCTTTGACGTTCAAGGACTGCTGGGCCCTGGCAGAGAATTCTTGTGGGTCCGGAACGAAGCTCTTGTCTATTCTGTCGAACAGCGAGAGCACGTATCTGTTCTCCCTTTCATCTGGCTTACGGATGATCTTTCTCGTTGGTACCTTGAGTGCGCCGGAGGCCGACCCTGACTTTTTGCAGCTGAGAAGTCGTTGAGAATCGTATACATGTATGTCTGTGCTGTACGAAGACAGCAGAGATGGGCCGCCGCCGTAGATCTGAAATTTAGCGGAGAAGACTACAACAATATCGCCGGCCTGCACGCTGGGCATTTCTTCCTCACGGCGAAAAATGTTGAAATCGATGCCATCGTTGTCCTCCTCTGTAGATGTGTCATACAAGGTTATGCAGCACTTGAAATCTGAGAACTTGTGTGTCAGTCTTTTGGGACCTGAGTGCTGAGCGACGCCAGAAAGAGAGAGACCCACCAGCGCCTCTGGTAGGGACTGGCAGCCTGTGATCCTTTACAGCGCCAATTACGCTGACTTGTCTGTGGGGAGTCACGTCCTGATCTAGAAGAGCACGAATGGGCGTGAAGCTTGAAGGAAGGTCCATGCTGTCCTGGGCGTCGCCGCGATGTGAAGACGGAGGTTGTTTGTATTTCGATATCACGACGTGGGGTTGGGGGGGGGGGGTGTTTCTAAACCGAAAGAAGAAAAGCACCAAGAAAGGAAGAAGAAAACAAAATGGCTGATGGGGTATCAAATGAAGGAAAGAATAAGCGAGCCTTGTCAATGAGCTCTTTTATTATATTGCGGTGCATGGACGTAAAGGATCTGTCTTGTGAAGTCTTTCATTCAGAGGACAAACCTCAAACCACATTCACTGGGTTGACGCGCCGACGCGTCTGTACCATAGTACCTACCTAGTAAAAGGGCAAGCATCGGGTCGGTCAGTACTACAGGGGTTCCTTCTAGCGATCGCGGGGGCTGGGGGTTAGAAGGGCCTGTCATTCAAAGGGCTGGCTGTTGAAGAGGCGTTATCAAATCCGCACACACAGTAGGCCATTTCCTGTTAGTAAGAGAAAGTAAGAAATACTGTACACAGCCCAAGCTTTTGATCCAGTATGCCACCGTACTAAGTACCCAGTGCTTACTGCGGTGGTATAGCCAGCACTATCGTGTCAGGACTATTACCTACAAAATCCTGCAAAGGGTTTAAGGTGGGGCTTCTGTGTGAAAGCGATGAGCCCATTGGTACTTCTTACTCATAGAACCATAGTATGTATGACTGTACTGTACTGTGGCAGGGCGGCAGCAGCAGCAGGTTACCTCACCCACCGGCAGGGCACGGGCCACTACCGACGTGAACGGGACGAGGGGTCCTGAAAGAACGACTTGATACCCAAGGGTTCAGAGCCAATACCACCATATCTTTGGTCACTCAGGGCCTTGCGTCAGGCTTTTTGTTAGCGCCTGGCAGCTCCCTCCCGCTCCCCAAACTCAAGCCCCATTTGATACTGGACTACCGTCACTTCTTTCCTCTCCCCAAAATTCTTCCTTGACACAACCCACCACCACCGCGTCACGACTTGCCACAACAAAGGATTCGTCGCTGGCTCCTCATTTTAAACGATTGTGGTTTTTGCTCCTGCCCTGTAGGCATAAGGAGGACAACTTTGCACCCTTGCTAGTCGCGAGGATCATTTGCCTCTGCATTCTGCAGTAATAACATCAACCAAACCACACCCAGCCAGGCAAGGCACCAACCAAATACCTTCCCACGTTCCAGCAAGCCATTCATCCATCGCGACCATGGCTGAGCGATACATCCCCGAGCACCGGCGCACTCAGTTCAAGGCCAAGGGCGCCTTCGCATCCGATGTCGTCCGCCGTCGCCGCGAGGAACAACAGGTGGAGATCCGCAAGGCAAAGCGGGAGGAGAACTTGGCCAAGCGACGAGGCATCGGCACAGGCGCTGACCGACCTGGTGCTGCCCTGGGTGCCGCGCCTGATAGCGATGATGACACCGCGCCCACAGAGTCACAGGTATGTTCATTCACCATCTCGTGGTAATCGGGTCTCGTTTGTACTCGTGGTGTTGCACGCGCAGGGCTGCTCGTGGCGCGCTGCTCGCCCTCCCGCCACTGCTGCACCTTAGGTCCTTGCGTCGCCCAGGCGGCCGTCACCCCTCACCTCCCCCCATCCGTGTGATCTAGGACGGGAGTCGCGCAGCAGCGCAGCCCACCTTGGCCCGACCCGCACCCAACCGCCCACTTCGCGAATCCCTGCCCTGCATCGTCACGAATAAAATATTCTACAAAATCTCCTGTGCTGCAGCATCTGGTGGATTATTATGTTCCATCTTCTCTGTTTGTACCAATATCGACGTCAAGATGCTGATTGATTGCAGTTGAGCGAAGATCTTCCTCAGATGGTGCAGGGCGTCTTCTCGGACCAGATCGAGCTACAGATCCAGGCTACTACCCGGTTCCGGAAGCTTCTCTCCAAGGAGCGCAACCCCCCAATCGAGGAGGTCATCAAAACTGGCGTTGTTAGCCGCTTCGTCGAGTTCCTTCGATCTCCTCACACCCTCGTCCAGTTCGAGGCCGCTTGGGCCCTGACGAATATTGCATCAGGAAGCGCTGCACAGACTCAGGTGGTCATTGAAGCGGGTGCCGTCCCCATCTTTGTCGAGCTTCTTGCCAGCCCAGAGCCCGACGTGCGCGAGCAGGCCGTATGGGCCCTCGGAAACATTGCTGGTGACAGCCCACAATGCCGTGACTATGTGTTGAGCTGCGGTGCCCTCAAGCCCCTGCTCAACCTCTTGGGAGACAGCCGCAAGCTGAGCATGCTCCGTAACGCGACCTGGACCCTGAGCAACTTCTGCCGTGGCAAAACGCCACAGCCTGACTGGAACACAGTAAGGCCTCTCCATACCCCATACACCAGTCCTCGTAATCATACCCAAGTGACTCCCCGAATACTCACACTCGTCGTCCTCAGATCGCGCCCGCTCTCCCCGTCCTGTCCAAGCTCGTCTACTCTCTTGACGATGAGGTCCTGATCGACGCCTGCTGGGCCATCTCCTACCTCTCCGACGGCTCCAACGATAAGATCCAGGCCGTGATCGAAGCAGGCATCCCCCGCCGCCTCGTCGAGCTTCTGATGCACGCCTCGACCTCCGTCCAGACCCCGGCCCTGCGTTCGGTTGGAAACATTGTTACGGGCGATGATGTGCAGACCCAGGTTATCATCAACTGTGGTGCGCTGCCGTGCCTGCTGTCCCTGTTGAGCTCAAACAAGGACGGCATCCGCAAGGAGGCATGCTGGACCATCTCCAACATCACAGCAGGCAACTCGACCCAGATCCAGGCTGTCATCGACGCCAACATCATCCCGCCCCTGATCCACCTTCTGTCGAATGGAGACCTGAAGACACGTAAGGAGGCCTGCTGGGCTATCAGCAATGCGACCAGTGGTGGTCTTCAGAAGCCGGACCAGATCCGTTACCTTGTTGCGCAGGGCTGCATCAAACCCCTCTGCGATCTCTTGATCTGCCCCGATAACAAGATCATCCAGGTCGCCCTCGACGGTCTCGAGAACATCCTCAAGGTCGGTGACCTGGACAAGCAGGCTGCCGGTGATACGTCCGATGCCATCAACCGCTACGCACTCTTCATTGAAGAGTGTGGTGGCATGGAGAAGATTCACGAGTGTCAGACAAACGCCAATGAGGATATCTACATGAAGGCGTACAACATCATCGAAAAGTACTTTTCGGACGAGGATGAGAACGCAGACGAAGGCATGGCGCAGGCCCAGGGCCCTAACGGCACCTTTGGCTTTGGTGCCAATGGTGGCCACCAGGGCGGTTTCAATTTCTCCAACGAGGGCGAGTCAATGGATATGTAGGGATAATATCGGAGGAGTTTGGCATGCAGGTACTTTATTGGCAGTCAATGACCACTTTGATTTTTTGACACGAAATCTTATCTTGTTCAGTGTACACACATAAGCGCCTGGTCACCAAAGTGCTCTGCGATACTCCCCTCCCTGGTCAGCATCGAGCCGATCCACATGCGGCCGCCCTCAACCGTAGCAGAGGCGAACTTAACGACTACACTGCCCCTGATACTAGCTGCCGACCAAAGCACCCTCTCGTCCTTCTCCAGCTTGAGCCTCCCGGCCCGCCAGGTCTCGTGTGGGTCCTTCTCCTTGCCTTGTCCGTCCTCCATCTTGGCGTCCTCGCTGCGCCAGTCCCGTGCCCCTATGCGAGGCAGCGCGCCGAATTCCTTGACAAAAAACACGCCCAGTGCTCTCATCAGCGGGCCCCGCAGGATCAGCGTCCCGAATATGCCTGCGCCGTGCATCGTGTCTCGTAGCTCACCGACGACGTGCGACAGCGAGGCCTTGCCGTCAAGCTTCACGGCGTCTCGCACCAGGAGCCTCGCCCTGTCCGAGGCAGAGGCGGACCACCACAGCTCATTGCGCCCGACCCATCTGATCAGGTCCCAATCCTCGCCCCTCGCCTTGCGCCCCTGGGTCACCCAGTCCAGCATACATAGCGATGCGCCCTCGCCCACCAGCCGGAAGGTCTGCTTCTGCTCATAGACGCTGTCGGCGAACGGCTGGACAGGGTCTGGGAGGAGACATAACGCCGCGCCGTCCTCAATCGCCACGTCCAGAATCTGCCGTGTGGTGATCTCGGCCGAGGCGGCCTTGAAAATCTTGGTGTGGCCCTGCGTGACGACGGAGAGCTTGGATCCCGCGCTGACGGTGATGCGTAGGGAAATGGTGTCGCCGCTCACAAGTCCACCGCCGTAGGAGAGGAGAAATACGAGCGCTGAGAGGTGCTGCTGAATGTTGCGTGGCGGAGAGATTAATTTGAGAGGGTACTGGTAGGTTATGTTGAAGAGATGGGAGTGCCCGTTGGGTAGCAGGACGGTGGTGAGCTGTCCAGAGCCTGGTGTGGAGGCTGAGGGAGGAAAGGGAGACTTCATGATATTAACATTTTGTGGGTGACCTCTTCGTCAGGGATGACATGTACTCATGTACAAAAGAGATCGTTAGGATAGAATGTATATGATTCTGTCCTCGGCCGTACTGCGAGCAGTGAGCAGTGGTTTTGGAGGGGTTGATGTTCACGAGCCTTGTCTGATAGTGTGAGTAAATGAGCTGCTACCCCAGGCTGCCTCTGTCCCCTTGTAGGCTAGTGACATGGATGTGCTCACTGATAATGCACGCCGATAAGAAATTGTTCTGCTCTCCAAACTCCAAGTTGTGCCCCACTAAGCTCTTGCCTTCTCTAGTTCAACATGAACTTTTGAGCTGGGATATTCTCTAACCGCTCATTCTCCATGAAATATTGCTGTCCTTTCAAAGCTCCTCTCATTCCCTCACCACTGACAACAACCATTCACTATGGCTGGTGAGGGCACAGCGCGTGGCAGCGCAAGAGGTGGCAGAGGCAGAGGCACTCGTGGGCGAGGTCGAGGGGCTCGATCTGCTCGTGGCGGCTCTGCTGCTACTGTTGCTGCTGATTCAACAGCTCTTGAAAATCCCACTCCTCTTCCTGCGGCCGAGGCCGAGATGGTCGATGCCCCAACTGCCCAGTTCTCCTCTTCAGAGACCGTTGACGCCGCTGCTTCCTCGACCGCTCAAGCTGCCCCTCCAACCTCCGCTCCTCCCACGACACGATCCACACCAGCACGCGCCTCTGCTCGAGGCGCTGCTGCCAGCGGCCGATTCCTGCCCCGAGCTATTCGACGATCCCAACTCGACCGAGACACTATTGCGGCTAAAGAGTCGGCTAAGCAAGAAACGAAAGCTGCTGTCGACGCGCGCCTCCAGCGCGCAGCTCGTGGTGGTCGCGGCGGTGGCCGTCGAGCTCGTGGTGGCCCTCCGGCTGGTTTTGATCGCATAATACGGGGTGGAACGGGTGGTTTCGGCTCCACGATCCAGGCCTCCAGCAACCGTAGGTCATTCATCCATCCGAGCTCCGTGCATGATAATTGTGGCGCTAACAGTGGCTAGGTGGCGGTCCCAGCAGCTTTGCCCGCCTGTACGATGCGCCTTCTGCTGGCGGCAGCAGGTCAGGTACTCCGTCTGCCTACGGTGGCGGATTGAAGAAAGAAAATGGACTTATGACATACAACTCAGAGTCTTCTCGACCAACTGGTCGCCGCATGAACACTGACAAGATCGCCGAGTTCATAACCATAGACGATGACGAAGCAATCAAGAGTAAGGAGGGTACACCGGTCCTGCTGCCGAAGGGAATGTTTCGCGAGGACCCAAAGGAGCCTGACCAGCCCGAGATTGCCACGACGGAGGAGGTCAAGGCCGCCGAACGAGGGGAACCACTGCTTGTTCCTTCTGGCGATAATTCTGAGGATGGTGATGTCTTCTATAACGAGAACGACGTCGAGATGAAGGACGACGACCGCAAGTGGCCTGGCGCCAAGGAACTTTCACGCGTCAAGATTGAGGGCGAAGAGATCACCGAGATCGACATGCTCACCCAACGCCGCGCTGAGAAGGAGCTCCAGGCCAAGGATTTGAAGCGAAAGATGAAGTACAAGGACGACGAGGATCGCCTCGACGCGGAAAAGATGGCTTATCAGCGCAAGCTCTTTGGTATTACCAGCAGCGACGATGACTCTGACGACGAGTTCAAGGAGGACAAGACCGAGCGGAAGCCCCTGATCGCCGAGGGCGCCATCTACCTGTGGCAGTTCCCTCCTGTCATGCCACCCCTTTACAAAGTTGAGAAGACGTCCGCGAGGAAGAGCCCTGTGAAGGATGAACCCGACGATGACGACGTGGTCATACTCAACGCACCCTCCCACAAGTCCGACAAACCAGTCGACCTGACTGCCGCCGACGACATCAAGGATGAAGACGAAAGCGGCGCTGGTCTCAGCAATGGGAAAGGTCAGCCCGAGGACGACGACGAGGAGCTCTCCGGCCTCGTTGGCAAGCTCATCATTCGCAAGTCGGGCAAGATGCAGATCGACTGGGGCGGCATGCTGTTCGACTGCGAGTCGGGCATCCCTGTCTCCCACTACCGCGAGGCGGTTGTCACCGTGGAAGATGATGAGAAGCACCCGGATGGCTTCCACGGCACGGCATACGGCATGGGAGCCGTTGCCGGCAAGTTCAATGCTGTTCCGCACTGGTCGGATGTGAAACCCTGGATTGTTGATCCAAGCCAGCTGCCTCCTTGGGGCGTTGGTGCAGCCCCTGAAGGCACGGATGTTGAGGAATAAGCCATGTGAGAGATATGTGTGTGTGTGTGTGTGTGTGTGTGCGCGCGCGCGCGCGCCAGACAAGCACCGATAAGCCACTGTGCTCTGGAGCAATGGTTCAAGCATTTGACATCGTGCTACAGTGGTGTTCTGCTTTGAATTTATCCCGTGGGCCTGGCTAGTGATGTTCACAAACTCTTAGAAGCATGTACTTGATTCTTATGGGGGGAAAAGATGGGAAGTATAATCACGAATTGGGACGGCGGCACTCTATTGCTCACGGCTACATATCAACGTGGGGCTCAAAGCGTGTGTACTACGCGGGGCGGTTTTTTGGTTTTCCTTTTTCTTCCTTTTTTTCTCTCTTTCTCATTGCTTTTTTTTGACTGTCTTTCAAGCGAGAATCCGTGGGTAACAGCAAACGAGAGAGCTGTGGTCAAGGGATAGGAGAGGAAGATTCTGCACTGTGATGGCGTTTTGGAAGCATACTCTGGTCGGCGCATCTTGTTTGCGTGGTTGCGTGGCTCGGGATTTGGCCACCTCACCTCAAAAGCGTTTAGGAACCAGGTATTTCTATTGCAAGAATTTAAGGACGAGTCTGGGTTGGATGGCCAATGATGTCCAAAACAAGAGAGAGACAAATAAATGTTGTACTATGATACCCTACATTTCTTCTGGCCTTAGAGGGGCAGGCGGGGAGGTTGTTTAAGATCATGTGAAACGCTGTTGGTGTTACGAAACTAGATATGTCGCAAGTGGCTTGTTGAAGACATACTCAGGCGTCCTACACGCCTCGTTCATAAAGAATATAAGCTCAATGCCACCTTGAACGGTCAGAGCCTATAGAAAAGTTCACATAATTGATTTTCATTTCCCCCAGGTGATGATTTGTAGGTAGAAGGGGCCTTCAACTTGGTGTCAATTGTCCATCTATGCCAGGTATCTAGAAATTCGCTTTGCGCAACTTGAAAATTTCATAAACTTCACAGCCCATTCTCCGCCTTGAATTTGTCCCAGCTCTCGTTAAGGGTCGAAAATACAGTACCCGCGATCATGCGGACCTCGGTGTTGGCATCTTGGGGCAGCTGTACAAAACATTTTTTATCAGCACCATCCAACGTGGATTAACGACGACTATGATCATGAAGAAAGAGGAAACTCACCTTGTCAGGATGCGTCTTGGCAATAGCCTTCATGTACACGATCTTGACGCGATTCGCCATCACAAGTTCATGAAGGCCGACCTTCTTCCACCCGCTGCCGTCCCACAGCACCTGATCCAGGCTCGCCAGCAGCGCGCGCAGGTTTTCGCGCTTCCCATCGCGCCACCCTGCAATCCGGGCATCGACCTGATCTGACAAAGCGAATTTCTCGGCGTCGGCAGCATCGGCAGCCTTGTTGGCTGCTTGCAGACGGCTCACAGCCTCGGAATCGCCTGAGGCCGCAGTCTTGGGTGTAGGGCGGGGTCTTGGGCGTGGCGTAGCAGGCTTTGATGCAGGCTTTGATGTGGGCTTAGGTGTGAGAGCCTTCTGGCACCGTTGACGCCCTGCAATCGCTGTAGGTCCGCCCACACCAGACTCGACGCAGGATTGCCAGACGACCCCGGCGTCGGCCCATTTCTCCATCTGCTCAAGGGCCTCGGCCTTGCGGGTGAGAGCCTTGCCGTAGAGGTCCTTCATGTCGCGCTTCTCGCCTGTCTCGTCCTGCAAGGAGACTTGTTCGCCCTCACCATTGCTTGGCCCAATGAGCTGTATGGCTGCGTCTGCATCCGCAACGGCTTGTCTTGGTTCGCCAGTTTTGAGGGCTGTCAAAGCGCGGTTGCACAGGATGACGATTGCGAGTGGGTGGGTGCTCGGAACTGCGGAGAGCGAGGCCGAGTATGAGGCATGAGCCGAAGCATAGTCGCCTCTCTTGAAATGCGCTGTGCCGTCCACCCTGTGGCGTGTGGATGTCTGCAGCGCGGAGGGGTCAAGGGGTGGAATTTTTCTAGTAGGCGGTGCCGGGCGAGGTGTTGGTGTTTTTCGCGGAGATTGGGCAGCAGCGGTGACAGGCCGGGGAGAGGGCTGAGCAGAGCGGCTAGGAAGGCTGCGTGCAGGAGGAGCCTGAGTGCTGAAGAGGTCTGGCTCTTCGGTGAACTGAGGCTTGGGCTCTGCGGGTGGCTGAGGCGTTGTCTTCTTTCTCCTTGCAGGGCTGATGTAGGCCTGTGAGCTCTGCTCCTCGATGGCCTGCTTGTTCAGACGGCTTTTGGGGTCTTGTTGCCACCTGGGAGCGGAAGCGCTGCGGTTCGAGATTGGCGACAGCGCCGGTGACTGGTCCCGTGATACTGTCCGTTGAGCTTCAGAGTGGTGCGGCTGGTTCTTCCTAGATTGTCTTTCTGGCCGCGCACCAGAGTCAAGCATCATAGCTTCATCGGTGGCATCATGGGCTCGCTGTGCTCTGTTACTCTCACCGGTTCTGTCCTGCTGCGCGGACCTCATCCATTTGGGTTGGTTGGGATCAGCTGGGGCCTCTTGAAACTCAGCAACAGCCTTCTGAACCTTCTTTTGCCCGGCGCTCCAGAACTTATTTGCTGTCTTCAGGAAGTTGGTGCCCATCGCCGCGGCTTGCTTCGCAAAATCGACATCACCAGTCGCTGGGGATCGGTTCTCATGTCTGTTCGGGTGCTCCTCGTTCATCCACGCAGGTCCCGCATTCCTAGCTCGGCTTGTGGACCTCTCTGAATGCACTGCTGGGGACGACCGCCCCTGTGTCTTCTCCTTGGCCTTCTGATGCGCATCATTAAGCAAGTAGCTCACGGCTGCCTGCACATTTAGACCTGCGCCGCTCTCGGTCAGACCTCTTCTCGAGTCTTCTGGAGAGAAGCCCATATCCATCATCTGTGCAACAGCTTTATCAAACGGATCATTCCCGCCCTGTGGCCTTGCCTCAGGCTCATCGTCACTTGAGGTCGAGTCTGAGTCCTCTATTGCTTTACCAGGCTCTGGTTCTGGCTGCGGTGCCTTCTGTCTTTGAGCCTCTTGCTTCTTGCGCACCTCGTCTACCGGTCTTCCCAGATCTCCCAAGAGATCATCGTCCTCCTCGTCTGCTCCTATTGGCGCCGGAGCAGGTCTCGTATCTGGTCTTGACTTGGCTTGGAACTGGCTCAGACCGAAAGGATCATCGTCGTTGTTGAAGTCGCCGTGGGCGCTGTTCGAGAGCGCCGGTTGTGACCACGCGCTGGGGTTACTCAGGTCTAAGCCAGGAGTGCTTCTCCCCGAGGCGGGCTGGGCAGGGGGGGGATAGTGGCTTGCATTATCGACTTTTGTATCCTTGTTGAACGCGGCGAACAGATCGTCGTCGGACTCGGTCTTGCCGTTGTGACTTGGGAGCATGGGGCCCGCACCATGTGCTAGAGGCGATGCTGTCCTCGAGACGCTTGTCGGAGTTGAACCCCGACCCAAAGTATCCCAGAATTGCCCGTCGCCATACGCCGCCTGATGCTGCTTCTGCTTTTCCTGTAACTTCTTCAGCTTCTCCGCCTCGAGCTGTTTCTGCCGCTCCGCCAGGCTCATTTTCGCACTGCTCTTCCCGGAGCCCATAGGCACCAGGTTGCTAAAGGCATCCTGAGAAGGCTTTCCCGCTGTAGATGCCGCCACCGCAGGAACCTTAACCCCGCTGCCACCACTGGCATGGCCAGAGTTGGCTGCGGAGAGAGGGGTGTTCCGACCAGAGGCGAAAGGCGAAGGGGTCGGTTGCAGAGAAGGGAAGGAGCCGAAGGCGCTTGAGGGATTCATGGGTGGTTTCTTCTGGGCATTGTTGGTGGACGAGGCTGGCGTCGACCAGTCCATGCCCGCCAGATCATCCATCTTCGCTTTGTCCAGTCGGCGGAAGAAGTCGAAGGAGGAGGGAGAACAGCTAAGGAATCTGGTTTACTCGAAAGCCTCTGAACATCTCATATGGTGCGACTTGTAAGTTCCGAGGAACACATGGAGGCTGGGTGGGGCAGGGGCCTGACACTGTCTTGTATGAACGAACAAGACGAGTGAATTAATCGTTGTTGAGTTGTGCAGAGGCCGTCGAATCGGTTGATCGGCGTGATTCCCCTGAATGACAGGGCCAGCTCTCTTGCTTACATAACACGTCGGCCTCTGGGGACTGGGCAAGCTTGCTCTAGTACAGGGGGTGACAGGCGACTTTGGCTGGTCTGCTCTAGGCAGGTGGGGTATTGCAAACTATGTCCAGGGCTCAGTGACTATTTCTGGAACATGGCAATTCTTCTAAACCTTCTTCATCGACGCCCCTCAGCATCACGCGAGCAGCAAGTTCAGGGCGTGGCAAGGCGCAACGCCCAGTTAGTCGGCGGAAACATCTACAGTGCCTCCCTAACATAATTACAACAATGTTTTGTTTCTCAAAATATGCTGCAAAACCGTCCCACAGCCGAGAGGCAGAGAGACATAAAAACGAGGTTTGGATCGCCGTCACTCTTGTAAACAAAAAGTTACCAGTCACACGTCGCCTGGCTGCGTGCTGACTTCCTAGTACAGATTCGTGCATGTCAGGCCCGGTACTCATCCATGTGTACAAAGTGATATACCTACCTCCTCCTTCTTCTTCTTCTGAACCGAGCGCAACCTGCAATTTCCCTCTCAACATGATGACACGTCCATCCCCGGTTGTGTCTGATTACATCAGATATTTCGCACATCACGTCTTCACTCATTAAAGATCCCCATCTGGCATCTGCACTTTTGACCCTTGGCTGGTGGTTCTGTACCTGTCAGCCCACACCTTGGCGGAATCCCTGCCCATCGCCCTTCCCGTGCTCTCGGGTTTCTTTTCCAGAACCCCCAGTGGTCGGTCGCGCCATTCGCCTGGTCGATCACCCCTGCCAATTTCTTCAGGAGCTGTTAGTGGTAGTGGGCTGAAGCCCCAGAACCACTGCTGCCGGAACCGCCTATGGCTCCAGCCAGCCTGGCCTTGTCTGACGCTATGGCCTGGCACCTGGACAGGGCTAGCAGGGCCGGGGTCCCCCATTTAAGACTGCATTGCCCCAGGCCCCAATATCCCGTACCGTACCTGCAGAACGTCACAAGCTCTCCACACAACCCTCCATCAGTCTTTGAGATCTGTGACTCTTTAAAGAGTGTCTTCCACCCCAGCGACCAAAAGCAACATCTGCAACACACAAAGCCCACCCCATATCTGAACACACTTTATGCCACACTTGTCTACAGATTTCTGAGTAATCTCCCATCAATGGCAATCATAATCCCCTGATCGAGAGAGCCACACAAACACCAAAACCTTGGGTTGACCGCCTCCCGGATCCATTTCCTCCTCCCTTCTCTTTCTCCTGGCGTGCGTCCTCTCGTGTCAGATATCCTTTCCTACCTCTCGAGACTGTCTCGTGCGCCCAATTTAGGGCTCCTCAGACGACAGACAATGTGTCGTTTTCTGGTAAGAAGCTCCTTTGCACGACTACGATACGCAGCTCTGGTCCCCCTAAGCGCCCCCTGGCTTGAGCTGACCACGTCTTGTCCCCCGTGATTAGGTTTACAAGGGCAGCGACGAGCTACTCCTCGCCAATCTTGTCCTCGACCCCGTGCATTCGATTCTGAAGCAGAGTTTTGACTCTCGTCTGCGACTTGTAAGTCATGGTTTCCGATTTCGCCTCCCGACCTTTGTCACCATGCTCCGTTTGTGAGCACGTCATCCGCCTCCATCTCTCTCTGGCCTTTCCCTTTCCGGTATGCAACCTCAAATGTTTCTGCAACACAACAACTTACATTGCGGAATCTTTACAGGACAGGAGACGTGGTGTCAACAATGCCGATGGTTTCGGAATAGGCTACTATACCCCAAAACTGCGCGCCTCGCCCTTCTTCTACACGTCTGTCTTCCCGGCCTGGAACGATGAGAACCTCGAGCGGCTCGCCTACCACAATGCCTCGCATCTTATCTTTGCGCACGTCCGGGCTACTACGGAGGGCTCAACCTCCCAAGCGAACTGCCACCCTTTCGTGCACGGTAGCCTCATGTGGATGCACAACGGTGGTCTGGGCGGTTGGACGCATATTAAGAGAAGGCTAGCAGAACGGCTGGCGGACAAGTGGTACCTGGGCGTCAAAGGCGGTACCGACAGCGAGTGGGCCTTTGCGCTGTTCCTGGACACACTCGAGCGTATGGGTGTCGATCCCAGCTCCGAGCCTCAGGAGGGCTTTGACCCCATGACACTCAAGAAGGCTATGCTCAAGACGATCGAGATCATTAACGAACTCATCGACCAGATCCCTGAGAGCACCCTGTACAACGAGAATGTCGATACAAGGAGCCTGCTGAATTTTTGTGTCTCGGACGGCCACAGCATCATCTGCACGAGATATATCAACAGCTCAACAGACGAGGCGGCCAGTTTGTACTATTCTACGGGCACGCAATGGGAGAACAGGCCTCGTCTTGAGGACAATGAGAACTACCAGATGGAGCGCCGCGACAGGGGGGCCGACGTCGTTCTAATTGCCAGTGAACCTTTAACATTTCAGCGAGGTGAGCTTGCAGTTCCTTGTGGTGGTCAGACGCAGACCGGTACTAATCTAGTCAACAGAGAACTGGATCAATGTTCCAACCAACTCTATCCTCACCATCCATGACCAGAGCGCTTTCATTGAAGACATTAAAGACCAGTTCTACCACAGCGATCCTTGGCACCGCCGTTCGGCCGGATTTGTGCACAGCAAAGGCCTGGTCGCGAACGAGAAGGCTGGCACCCCTACGGCTCTGCCTAGCCCTGCTGTGGTTGTCACCGATGACATCCAGGAGCAAGAAGCGGCTCAGAAAAGAACCCATCTGGGCCCGACAATTCCTTTCAGTCTGATGCGATCTGTCACGCCACAGTCCGTGAAGCCTGTGAGGCCTGTGACCCCAGAGGCTGCCAGAGATCAATCCGCACCGCCACGCGCACGAGCCACCATCTCCAGCGGCAGTGTTCAAAACAGTACGGATGTGCGGTCCGTCACGATGCCTTTGGAAACAAGACCCGCGGCACCCGTACACACTCCGTCGCAAGGCAATATCAAGAGAAAAAGGATGTCTCTGAGTGATCTGCCGCAGATGCAAGGGCAATCCAACCCCCCGGCGGACCCACCCACCCCGTTGAGCCCAGTCGAGAGGGCAGCATATGGCGATCCTGCGAAGATCGCGCGGTTTTTCCCCGAGCTGACCCTCTAACAAATAGGGGGTCCAAGAGGAGATGCCTCCACGGGCTATCCAACCCTAGCTAAGGTCACCACATCGAAATGGATCTTTCTGCGGACCGTCATTTTAACATATCTGTCCCTTGGCAAATAACGGTCATGAAGTAAGGCGTTTAGGAAGGTTTTGGGATAGGTCAAGAGCGTTTACAAGGTGTGACTTTTACAAAGGTGTTTCAGCGTTTATGAAAATGTTAGACAAAAAAGAATTCATGCATATAGACATTGGGATAACCATTGAATGAGGACCAGGTTCCATAACCAAGCAAGGGATCTGCAGACCACGTGGCATATTGAAAGACGTCTAGCCATTTCATTTGGAGATCAAGTGATGCGTCTCGCCTTGAAACGTTGTTCCGGCTCAAGGATGCTGAAGACGGAAGTTCGGAACGGCGGCAGTAGTCGAGATAAGCGGGCCAAGACGGGCCCCGCTCCGAACCTCCTTCCTCCTCCAGACGAAAGGCTCTTGAACAGGCAGCGAGTCAACCGCCCTGCATTTCCGACAGCTTCGCTTCGTCCAGACTCTCTCTGCTGCGTTAAGCTCACAAGGTTCTGCAAATTGGGCCGAGGAAGAGCGGCAGGGTAAGACGAGTCAAGTGCTGAACCGTGTTTGCGCGAGCAAGAGTGAGTTCATGTCGCCTCCTGCTCTTCTCAAGATGAGCATGTCAACCAAGAAGAGCCTCCTAACTGATACGTACTGCGATACAAATCACTGCAGGCCGTTTGACTCGAAAGTGTCTCTTCCGTGTTGCACTCAGACCTCAGTCTGGACGGCGCTCCTCTCACGCCCTCTCCAATCCTCCACCGAACATGGCGGCATCACTCGAGAGGACAGAATACTTTTACGGATCCGAGAATGCCCTACAAAACGTAGCTGTCTGGGAGTTCCCCAAGGATCAGGTCGAGGAGGCACCATTGGGTAAGACAAAATACTGGCTCATGTAAGATTCTACTCACTCACTTCCCACACAAACTTCCTCGAACGTATATTCTCAGACTCACACACTTCCTCGCTCACATGCAGCTTCCTCCACGGCGGTGCCTGGCGTGACCCCCGCGCCACCTTCAACGAAGCAGAGCCCACCATCAACGCCCTCCTAGACCCTTCTCACCCTGCGCACATCCCCCACCCGTCTTCCCGCATCGCCGCCTTCGCCTCGATCAACTACCGCCTCTCTCCACACCCAGAGTACGTCCAGGACGAGGCCTCCACGCCATCTTTCGCCCGCCGCGCCGCCCGCCACCCAGACCACCTTGTCGACGCGCTCTCTGGGCTGCGGTTCCTCCAGCACAAGTTCGGGGGCAGCGCTGCTCCTGCTTCACGGTACGTCCTCTTTGGACACTCAGCAGGCGGGTTCTTGGGGTATCAGGTACTCGTCAGGGAGGCGTGTCTGGGCGGCGGCGGCGGCGGCGACGGAGCAGCAGCAGGCAGCGAGGGGAGGGCTAGGGACAGGTTCGCCGACCTGGCCCCGCCCACGGCTGTGGTAGGGTTCGAGGGGATCTACGACCTCGTCGGGCTGAACGGGCGGATGGAGGGGAACTACACGGGGTTCATGGAGGCCGCGTTCGGGCCGGACGAGGGCGGGGGCTGGGCGCGGGCGAGCCCTGCGACCACGGCCGGGCAGAGCTTTGGGGCATGGGGTGGGGCCGGGGCAGGGCGGCTGGCGGTCCTGGCTCACAGCCCCGGCGACGAGCTTGTGGATATGGCGGACTGTGATGCGATGGAGGCGAGGCTCAAGGCGGATGGGGTGGCGAATGTGAAGGTATATCGGGACCTGAAGGGTGGACATTTTGAGGTGCTGGGGGATGGGTCGTTTGCGAGGGTGCTGAAGGAGACGCTGGAGGAACTGGAGAGCATGGAGAAGGCATGAAGAGGAGGAGTGCCGGATGATACTCAAGGCTACGAGGCAATGCACAACTACTGTTCCAGTTCTACATGGTCGCTCTTTTAGACGTAATAGCAAAGTCTACTCGTCTGGCAAAGAGAAACAGCACCTAAATCAGAAAGTCAGAATGATTTTTTCTTTTAAATGAATTCCAATGGACATGACATTCTCAAGTCATATAAGCCTACGCGAGGAGAGAAAGAGAGTGGCTGAAGTATAGAGGCTGCGTAGCCTATATGGTGAATAAATGCCTTTACTAGGCGAGATATTTTGGTGAGATTTTTCTCTTTTTTCTTTTTTTTTAAATAAAAAAAAGCCTAGCAGGTAAGAGTAATTACACAACAAAAGGTCACATAATGTAAAAGTCTGAGAAGTATATTTATCCAGTTGTGGACAGAAGCCATCTGAGGTGTACTGGGCCTCCTCAAACCCAGCAAGCCCCCGTCTTCTCTCTCTTGCTTTTGGTTGAAAAGAGGGGTTCGACTGCCAAAGAACATCTCCCTGCACAGGGTTAGGGGAGATAATCCAAGAGCGAGAAAAAGAAAAAAAAAACCCCCCACCATTCCGTAGAGGAACCAAGCTTGCCAAGGCCCCCAAATTAAAGTTTTTCAGCTAAACCCTAAAGGGTAAATTCGGGCTGTCCGCCAAAACGGCAGCTGCCGCTTCTGCATTCCCCATGGCCGCGCGATCTCGTTCGGTCATTTGGGATGGTGGGGTACGATGGGAAAAAAGGTGGGGGGGGGGGTTGCTTGTGGTGTGGTGGTTTGTGGTGGTGGTACAAGCAAAATGAGTGAAAGATAAACGATAGAAAAAGAATAGGCTGGGTCTGGAACATTGGTTTGAGACGATCGATCTTGGAACTCGACCATGGAGGAGAAGGAGGAGGATGCGCCTAGAGATAGATCATCGTTACTATTAGTACTGCCTTAAGGTACATAAGTACCCAAGTGCCATACATACTATATACAATAGTACGTTGCAGATATACTATCCACATGCATAGATAAAGTTATGGCAGAGAGACTGAAGCAAGCTTGCTTCAAACAAACTACCTGATTTACATTCAATTTTCCAATCATAAATCAACTTTGCCTTCTTTCGTTCTTCTTTTGCTCCGCCCTTCCCCCCTTTTTTGGTTCTTTTTCGTCCTTTTCCAAAGACGTCCAATGCCATTCTTTTTCAATTCTTGCCACTCCTTTCGCGCGCCTCGCGCAAATCTTGCATTGAAGCCACGCTGGTAGGTGCATGAGAAGACAAAGCGCTCTGGAGCCAGGGAAGGCGAGGGTGTCTCAGCCTTTGCTTTCTTCTCTTATCCCCTCTTTCTTTTTTAGCGCGAGAACACTACTTACGCTGTGTGACTTGGCAGGCCGGGGGGGGGGGCTGCTACCAACAAAAAAATCAGGCTTATGTGTGTATGCATTAGAGTGCATGTTTAGCAGAAACGCTGACTCCTGCGTGCCCTAAGATCTTTGCTGCAGCAGAGCATCATGGTTACGGCGGCAGGTCATTTTCTTCCTTTTGTTTTTCTCTTTCTTCTTCTTTCTTTCTTTCGCTCTGACAGTAGGCCGTCTGTGACTCGCTACATATCATCTTGCCTAGTGTGTTACTGCTACGTAGCATGAGGATCGTTTCACGTGCGTCCTCTTCAGTCACGTCAGAAGTAATCAATAAACAAACACACAAAATGCAAATGCGGCAGGTCAGCAACCTATCAGTAAGAACCATTTGTCTTATTTTTGTTCCATGTACAGGTAACTCCTCAACTCAGGCTGGACGTGAACGTCCCACAGCTCCCAGTTCAATTGTTTCAAGAGTTCGCCGCGATATAACACTCGGATGTTGGACCCTCCCTGGCTCAGGTCAAGGAACAGGGAAACAATCAGAGATAGAGAGAGAAAATGCCAACAACTATTAGCAAACAAGACCAAAAAGGAAAAGAAAAAAAGGAAGGGAGGAAACAAGGAAAACAAAGACCAGTAGGACTCCCTTTCCCAAGTTACAAGGCAAAGGAGCGTTTCGGAGTAAAGGAGAAAACCAAAGGGAAGAAAAAGCCCGGTCATCTTGGTGTGCAAACAGTGAATGCGATCTGCTACCGAGGGCAAGAATCGATTCGTCCGTTTCATCACGAGCTGACCGCCACCAATGCACCACGCCGGGGCCTCAAGCATCACCGTGCTCCTCCCTGCTCACCCCACTCCAATTTTGCCAAACTCCACTCACCAAAACCCCCCTTGACAGCTCTCATATCCTCGAATCTCAACAAAGCCCCGGATGCGCTGGGGAAACCCAGACAGCTTCTGGAGGGCCTCGCCAGTTTGGACAGGTTTGTAAATCCATGAGAAACAGTTGCTCTCGACAGCTCAAATCCAGAGAACGCGCAAAACCCAAGAGAGTTCGAGAAATCAAGCACACTGACACGCCAGATTGACAACAAGGCACCAAAGCCTTGCATTGACAGATTGCCAACAACTCCCTCAATCTGACCGGATATAATAAAAGGAGTGGAATGACGGCTGATGGATATCGAGGCCGTCGAAGTATGATTGAGTGCCCTGGTCGAGCGGCGGCCCTCAGGCGACAAAAATGGTGATTGCATTGCGTGTAGAAACATTTCCGATCTCCACTTCGGTTTGTGATGCCTTTTTGTCTGCGATAGAACGTCGCATCGCAAAGTGTTGTTGTTTGATGTTGATGGTTGGGGGACCCGTGAAATATGTGACATGTAAGGGTTCGCAAGACCATTGTCGTCACTGTGCTGATGTCTGGCCATGTATAATATCTTTTAAGCCATTTTATCACGTCCCCGCGTCCACTACCTCTTGCGCTTCTTGCTCTTGTCCGAAGGGCCGGAGGCAGCAAACATCGCTGTTGTCGGCGCGATAGTCGCAGGAGGCAGGAGGGCACTGCCAGCCTCGGGCAGCTCATCCTTCTTGATGGGCACGCCCATGTGTCGACCATAGCGACCCTTGCGGCCGTTGCCCTCGTCCTCACTGATGCACAGCTCGGCAGGGATGCCAGCATCTCGGCACCGGCCACATGGGCGTTGTCGGTCACAACCCTTCTTGCTCTTGCGGCATCGCTGGCAGCGGGGCTTGGTAGAAAGGTCGGGCTGGTCGTCCTCACCAAGCATGGAAGCACCACCAGGGTTGGACACCACAGAAGGCTTCCGGGACGCCGGAAGAGAAGCGGGCGACATCGGTCCATTAGGGATGCTGCCGGCCTTCCTGACCTTGGCGCCTGTGGCTGTCTTGATTGATTTGGTTGCCTTGTTGGCCTTGAGTTTCGTGCCGTTGGACCGAGGCTTGACACCATTCGCCGCCGCCTTGGGAACCTTGAGCTTAGGCGCAGCCATAGTGCCCTTCAGGGCGCTCTCGGAATAGCCATCCTCCTCCTCGTCGCTCGGCTCAGCATCGCCATGGGCAGAGCTGAATGTGGCCTCGGTGCTTGGGTAGGTACTTCTGCTTTCAACATGTGTGTCGAGCTTCTGCTTGTGCATGGGTAGCTTCTCGTCAGCCTCGCTCTCGCTTTCACCGTCGCTAGTGGCGCCAGTGGAGGAAGCCGCATCCGCGTTGCGGCTGAACGTATCGTCAAGGGTTGAGGCCGACGTGCGGCCATGTGAGTGGCCTGAGATATCGCCGAGGCGCATCAGCTGCATGGCAACATCTTTATCTTCCTCCGACATACAGCTTCCCACCGTGGGATCTGGGGTCGCGAGGACGCCCACCGAAGGGCCGGCGGCCGTGCCAGCAGTGTAATTCACAGCGCCACGAGAAGCTCGGGGAGCCGTCATGGGCGTGGGATACATAGCCGTGCTATTGTAATTGGCGTTGTGGGTCTGAGGTGACTGTAACGCAGCCGCATTTGTGAAGGCGTTTTGGCCTGGTTGCACAAAGGGCAGGGAGGCGCGATTGTGCTCTGTTCGTCGGACAGGGGAGACAGAAGGGTTAGAGATGGCAGCAGGCATCTGAGGAGGTGCGAAAAGGGGCAGCTCCTGCAGTTGTTGCTGTTAGCGACAAGCTCATACCCAGACTGTGCAGCAGCAGAACAGTAGTAGTCTTTGGATCATCAAGCAACTTACCGAGCTCTCGAACTTGGCGCGCTTGCGGCGGCCGCCCTCGACGATATTGTCAAGGCTGATCTCAGTGCTGCCAATCAGCTCCTTGGGCTTTCCAGACGAGGAAGACCCAGGCGCACCGTCACCACTGCTGTAGCCATTCATGCTGTCGGTCATTGCGTCGCTGTTTGTCTGAGATGCGGTGCCACGGCTCTTGCTGGACCGAGGGCGAGTGTTCTTGCTGCTTGTGCTTGTAGATGCACTGCGGCGCCCGTTGACGCTGCCAGGCGAGACGCTACGCCGCCTGGAAGACCTGGACCCAGGTCGGGACAAGTGGAGGCCCTGCGGCTGGGGATGTTGGACAACATATCCGTCTTGCGTGTAGTACACCTGTGTGCCCGAGCCGTTTGGTAGTGCTGCGTGCGGGCCTGGCGTAGGAGGACCGTCTCGGACACGAACATAGACAACCGAGTTGTGCCGGAAGTTCTCGTATCGGCCAATGATGGTGTTGCCGTGCTCATCCTCAAAACTCACGCCAGGGCAGCTTGTGGCTGTGGGATATAGGCCATAAAAGTTCTTGACGGTGGAGATGATGGACTCAGTAGTGTCGTGGGGGTAGATTTGAACTCGCATCGGTATGCGCGCTCGGTACTGGTGGGAGTCCTCAACCAGCTCGAACTTGACAGAGCGGGGAACGGGGTTTGGTGCATATTGAGGTTGGACGAACTCCATGATGCCTGAGTCCCGCCTCAAAGAGGCCAGGATATGGGCTTCGGAGGGGGTAGGGGGTTCGTGATGCTGGATTGTGTGTGGTGTAGCGATAGAAGCGGAATGTGCTCGAGGGGAGATGTCGGAAGCGGGAGATTGTGCCGACATCAGACGCGGAGGTGTCATTCCCTGGCGAAATGACGGGCCCAGAGAGAATGACGAGTCCTCTAGAGGCAATCAATATGCCTTTCTTCCCAGCTCCTGCTGTGTATGAGTCTTGAAATGTATTGTGTGTGTATAGATGGAATGGGGTGGCGCGTGCCCCTGGTCTCGTAACAGGTCGTGAGCGGTCAACGTGCGATTGTCGGTATTCGGGGAGGCAGTGGTCGAAGAGGGGGAGAGTACCGCAGACGACGAAAAGTGTCGATACTGGAGGAGAAGAGGGCAGTTAGCTCAATAGTCCGACAAGTAAACAAATGGTAGTCATCGTGAGGCGAAAGGCCCTTGAAGGTTCTCGACAGTGCACAGGAGGTGTGTGCGTGTGTGCGTGTAAGGATTGGATCGAATCTGTGTGGGAGGGAGGGTACTTGACCAAGCTGGCAGGAGAGGGTTGGAACGAGAGAGGGAAGAAAAGAGGAGAATCTCGAGCAAAAGATTCGATCGCATGCTTCAAGGGAGCAGGTCCAACTTACCAGAGAGGGAGATAGTTGTTGTTGTTGGCCCTTGAGGAGTCTTGAAACTCGGGCGTTGGATCTCTCGTTCACATCCAGAACAGCGGCACCTGCGACGACGGACGATGGGGATTAGGACCCGAGGAAGCACGGCTGGACGAGGTGGAATGGGCAAGTAGGGGGAGGTCTAGAATAGTGCCAATGGGTGCGGCATGGGTTGGAAATGGCTTACCTGGTGATTTTGACGTTGTTTGATGGTCGAAGGTGGGCAGTTGGGAGGTGTTGTGGTGGAAAGAGGAGAAGTTCGAGCAGGACTGGATCGGATGGGATTTGTCTCTCGACGTCCCCAGACTGAATAGGCGAATAGCGCAGTAGCCCGCCTGCGCCTGTGCCCGCTGTGGCCCACTCTGGCGCTCTCTACCACGCCAGACACCTCATACACTTCAGAATACAGGTCATATTTGGTCTACGTAGCCCTTGACAAGAGCACACAGGAGATCGATGATGGGAATGTTTTGACGACTTATTTCTTTTCTTCTCCAGTGATCTATAGACTCTAGACTTGTCTCTTTTTGTGCGCTTCTCTTTCTGCTGTTGCTGCTGCTGCGCTTAGGTGGGGAAAAAGGGGGGGGGGCGCTGGCCAACTCGGCCGGGCCGTCTTTGTATCTCAGATCGCCCCCGAGTTTCGATACGGATGCGCAAGACGATCTCGTTAGAGAAACCGCTATTGAATTGCTGTTTCTGGTTCGCCTTGTGATATTTCCACTTCCCTGTACTGTTCTATAATAGTCTCGCGGCGTAAAAGCTCGTGCGCAATCCGCCACAGATGCAGCCTGTTGAGATCTGGTTTCTGTCGCATACAATACAGAACGCGGGAGGGTACGGCAGACAAACAGGCGACTCTCAGGGAGGACAGGGCAAGAGGTTTAGACAACAGCCTGAGGCTCATCTGACTTTCCACCGTTCTAGCACCGCCGTGGCCCATGCTGTTCATCCATGGGCCAGCAATTCAGGTCAGTCAGTTGATTGATATGAAGTGTGGAGTTGTGGCAAGGACCCGGGGACTTTCAAGGGTAGCAGCGCAAATTGAGGTCGATCCGGGGCAACATAAAGAGAGAGAACCTGCCAGGAACCCTCTAGACATGTACCAGTACGACTAAGACGGTTGTAGAGCCAAGGCACAAGGACCTCTTGCTGCTATAAAGAAAAACCAAACTGCGTAAACTCTGCTGTTGACAGGATTCATGACCAAAACCTCACTACCGAACCGAAACCTGCAACTCGTACAAACCCGGCTTCGCTTTCTAAACACAGACCCCCTTTCAACCCCTAGTCTGTTATAGCTACCGCAGCGGTCACTAGGTCCTTGTAAGGTCGTTCGTTGTCAAAACAGGCGGCTCATCTTGCGCAAGTTCCAAGTCGGACTTTAATCCAAAGCAGCAAGAACTTGTCTTTTTCTCTCCATCTATCTTGTCTGCACCAACGGCAAATCAAAATTCCATTCATGACATTCTTGAGGATCAAGTTATACGAATGGTAATCTCCTCAAACCGCCGCCACCCTTACAAACTGGAATGGTCATGCGGTCATCGCTGGCCCGACACACACTTGGCCGACCTTCCGGCCGCTTTGCCTCTTGCACCCACCACACTCCAAAACCAACACACACAACCATCTCCCTCTCTCTCTCTGTGGTACATACACGCATGCACGTACAGGACACACACACGCACACACGCACCAAACGTTCCCGCCCGGTCCAGACCTAGCCCGGTACAGAGTAAATCTAATACATCGAGCTGAAGACTAGAAGGATGAGATGGTACGATTGGTGGCGGCAACAAACCAGCTATATCACACCAGTAGTCTGTCTGTACCGGCCCATGCCTGGAAGTTTTGTGCAGGCAGAACTGTCGCATAAAGATCTCCCAGATCGCTTGCGCTATACGTACATGTAACAATATCATGGCT